TGCGCCATGCCCCTTTGATTATGGTCGATTATCCAGGAGAGGTTTCGCTGAATCAAATTTACGGAACGTTCAACTCTGCCATTCTCAAGATTCTTCCTCTGTTGCGCGGATACTCCGAGTCTCTCACAAAGGCCATGGTTCAATTCTACCTGGAATCTCAGTCTAGGTTCACGCCCAAGATCCAGCCTCATTACGTTTACTCACCTCGTGAGCTTACAAGATGGGTCCGTGGTGTGTATGAAGCTATCAAACCCCTCGAGACTCTTTCTGTTGAAGGACTGGTTCGGATTTGGGCGCATGAAGCTCTGCGCCTTTTCCAGGATCGGCTTGTCACCGAAGAAGAGAGGAGCTGGACGGCAGATGCTGTCCGTCGCATTGCCCTCGACAACTTCCCTACAATCGACGATGAACAGGCTCTTAAGGGTCCGATCCTGTTCTCTAACTGGCTGTCTAAGAACTACGTGCCTGTTGAACAAGAGAGACTGCGTGATTTCGTCAAGGCACGTCTAAAGACGTTCTGCGATGAAGAGGTCGACGTTCCTCTCGTTCTATTCAATGATGTTCTGGAACATGCGTTACGCATCGATCGTGTCTTCCGCCAGCCTCAGGGTCATCTCATTCTCATTGGAGTTAGTGGAAGTGGTAAGACTACTCTGTCTCGGTTTGTTGCTTGGATGAACGGTTTGAAGGTGTTCCAGATCAAGGTGCACGGGAAGTATTCTTCGGAAGACTTTGACGATGATCTGAGAACTGTCCTTCGTCGCGCAGGTTGCAGAGGTGAGAAGATCTGCTTCATCATGGACGAATCCAACGTGCTTGATTCTGGTTTCCTCGAACGCATGAACACTCTGCTTGCGAATGCGGAGGTTCCTGGCTTGTTTGAAGGGGACGAATTCTCATCTTTGATGACGGCCTGTAAGGAGGGAGCCCAACGCCAAGGTCTGCTGCTGGACACTCAGGAGGAACTCTACAAGTGGTTCACCTCGCAGATCGTCAAGAACCTGCACGTCGTGTTTACGATGAATCCCCCTGAAGAAGGACTTTCTTCAAAGGCTGCAACAAGTCCTGCCCTGTTCAACAGATGTGTGCTCAACTGGATGGGTGATTGGTCAGACCAGGCCCTCTTCCAGGTCGGCTCCGAACTCACGCAATCGGTCGATCTTGATAAATCCAACTTCATTGCCCCTGACAGCATTCCGGTGGCATACAGGGATTTGAGCCTGCCTGCTTCCCATAGGGACGCCGTCATCAACGCTATGGTTTATATCCATTACTCGCTGCAAAGATTCAATCAGCGTTTGCAGAAGCAACAAGGCAGGACGACTTTCCTCACGCCACGCCACTACCTCGATTTTGTCGCTCAGTACGTGAAGCTCTTCAATGAGAAGCGGGAAGACCTAGAGGAACAACAGAGACACTTGAACGTCGGTCTTGAAAAGCTCAGAGATACTGTCGATAAGGTCAGCGATCTTCGGGCCAGTCTCGCCCATAAGAAGACGCAGCTGGAGAAGAAGGATACCGAAGCAAACGAGAAATTGCAGCGCATGGTCGCGGATCAACGAGAGGCAGAACAACGTAAGGCGGTCTCCCTTGAAGTCCAGGCTGCCCTGGAAAAACAAGAGAAGGAAGTGGCGCTCCGGAAGGAAGTTGTGCTTCATGACCTCGCTCAAGCTGAGCCTGCCGTTGCGGAGGCTCAGAAGAGTGTGAGCAACATTAAGCGCCAGCATCTTACTGAAGTCCGTTCTATGGGTAATCCCCCTGCTAGCGTTCGGCTGGCGCTTGAGGCCGTTTGTACGCTGCTTGGCCACAAGGTTGATAGCTGGAAGACCATTCAAGGTATTGTGCGAAGGGATGATTTCATCGCCAGCATTGTCAACTACGACAATGAGGGCCAGATGACCAGGAATCACAGGTTGAAGATGCGGAACGAATTCCTTTCCAAGGAGGATTTCACGTACGAGAGGGTGAACCGGGCTAGTAAGGCCTGTGGTCCGTTGGTCCAATGGGTCCAGGCTCAAGTCAACTACTCGGAGATCTTGGACCGCGTTGGTCCTCTTCGTGAGGAGGTTACTCAGCTCGAGGAACAAGCCCTGCAAACGAAGGCTGAGGCCCAGGCTATTGACAACACCATCCAGGACCTCGAAAGTAGTATCGCTACGTACAAGGCCGAATACGCTGCACTCATCAGCGAAACCCAAGCGATCAAGACGGAGATGTCCAGAGTGCAGTTCAAGGTTGACAGAAGTGTACGCTTGCTCGACAGTCTGTCCTCGGAGCGTACTCGTTGGGAAGAGGGAAGCAGGTCCTTCGAAACGCAAATCAGCACCCTTGTTGGTGATGTCCTCATTGCGGCCGCTTTCCTTGCCTATGCTGGCTTCTATGACCAACAGTTCCGAAAGGCCATGATTGATGAATGGGTCGTTCATCTAACACAGGCGGGTATCAACTTCAAGCCACACAATCCAATCACGGAGTACTTGTCCAATGCCGATGAACGTCTCACTTGGCAGGACCACTCACTACCGGTTGACGACCTCTGCACTGAAAACGCCATCGTCCTGAAGCGCTACAACAGGTACCCTCTGATCATTGATCCGTCGGGCCGTGTCACCGAGTTCTTGGAGAAGGAAAGCACCGACAGGAAGCTCACTGTTACTAGCTTCTTGGATGATTCTTTCGTCAAGCAACTGGAGAGTGCTCTGCGTTTCGGAAACCCCATTCTCATACAAGACGCTGAGCACCTGGATCCCATTCTCAACCACGTCCTCAACAAAGAGTACCAGAAGACCGGTGGTCGTGTCCTCATCCAGCTTGGAAAGCAGGAGATTGATTTCTCGCCATCCTTCAAACTCTTCCTCTCGACCAGGGATCCTTCTGCCACCTTCCCACCGGATGTGTGCAGTCGGACGACCTTTGTCAACTTCACTGTCACACAAAGCAGTTTGCAGACCCAATCCCTCAACGAGGTCTTGAAATTCGAGCGCCCCGATGTTGACGCTCGGCGTACCGACCTGGTCAAGCTGCAGGGAGAGTTCAAGATTCACCTTCGCCAACTCGAGAAGCGACTTTTGCAGGCCCTGAACGAATCGCGTGGCAATATTCTTGACGATGACAACGTCATTGAAACTCTCGAGACCCTGAAGAAGGAGGCAGCGGAAATCTCCAAGAAGATGGTCGAGACCGAGGGTGTCATGACGGAAGTGGAAAATATCACGCTCAAGTACAGCATTATTGCCCGCTCTTGCAGTGCAGTTTTCGCAGTCCTGGAGCAACTTCATCACATCAACCATTTCTACCAGTTCTCACTCCAGTTCTTTGTTGATATTTTCAACTCGGTTCTGTATCAGAACAAGCGCCTCGCTCAAGAAAAGGACCACGCTGCACGCGTTCAGATCATTCTTCGGGATTTGTTTGTGACCACTTACCAGCGTACCTCGTTGGGACTGATCCAGAAGGACCGCATTACATTGGCTATGCTCCTTGCTCAAGCCGCGCCCTACCCCATGGACAAGAGAATCATAGATATGATTCTTGACGAGTCGATGGAGAGCGTGGACCTGTCAACTTCACCCGACCTCAAGGAACAAGTGATGAACAAGATCTCTAATATGTCGCTCTTCAAATCAACCTTCCCAGCAGTAACTCCCGAACAATGGGAGCAGTTCTTCAGCGATGAGCTCGCGGAGAACTCAATTCCTGTCGTCTGGGAAGATACCACGGAAAGCATTGACAGACTGCTGCGGTCGCTGTTGCTCGTGAAGCTATGCAGAATGGACAGATTCGTGCCAACTGCAGAGCGTTTCATCGAGGCTGTCTTTGGTAGAGAATTGTTCGAGGGAAGCACGGATTTGAATGACATCGTCAGTCAAGTCACAGCAACCACCCCCATTGCGCTCAGCTCCAGCCCTGGCTTCGATGCAAGCTACAAGGTTGACGCCCTCGTTGAGCGCATGAACGCAACCTGTGCAAACATCGCGATGGGTTCGAACGAAGGTCTCGAGAGTGCCGACAAGGCAATCAGCAACGCTGCTGCCGCTGGAACCTGGGTCCAGGTCAAGAACGTCCACCTGGCGCCATCATGGTTGCAAAGTTTGGAAAAGCGGCTCGAGTCTCTCAAACCTCACAAAGACTTCAGGCTTTTCCTTTCCATGGAGTCGAGTCCCAAGATCCCTGTCAACCTCCTTCGTGCTTCCCGCGTCCTCATGTACGAGCAGCCTGCGGGTGTTCGCGCCAATATGAAGGATTCTCTGTCCTCGCTGTCCACCAGGGCCTCCAAGGCACCGATCGAAAAGGCTCGCGTCTATCTTCTACTCTGCTTCTTACATGCGGTGGTGCAGGAGCGACTGCGCTACGCTCCCAACCTCGGTTGGAAGGGATTCTGGGAGTTTAATGATAGCGATGTAAGTCAATACTGCAACCCAACCCCTGTCTTTGAAACCCCACTAACATGATCCTCCAACAGTACGAGTGTTCCGCCCACATCATCGACTACTGGGTCGACACCATCGCCCAAGGCCGATCCAACGTGGCCCCTCAAAAGCTGCCCTGGGATATGATCCGCACCCTGGTAACCGAGACCTACGGCGGCAAAGTCGACGACAACGGCGACTTCCAGCAACTCGAGAGCCTCGTGACCAGTCTCCTCACGCCCGCCGCTTTCGAGGACGAACACAAGCTTGTTTCCGGTGTCGAGAATGACGACTGCCTCACTCTGCCCGGAGGAACCAGTATCCGCGACTTCGTGGAATGGGTCAACAAACTCCCTGAGCGTGAACCCCCAACGTACCTGGGTCTGCCGGCTAACGCGGAGAAACTGCTCCTGGTCGGTCACGGTAACAAGATGATCTCGGATCTGTCCAAGGTGACGACGTTGTTGGATGAGGGCGAGCAGTTGATGATTGAAGCTTGATTGGTTGCCTCATGATCTCTTGTATTATTGTATCCGTTCTTGACTTTCTTGTGTCTTGATAATAGACTGCTTTTGTTGCTTTGTTCTTCTTCTGATGAAGACTCATGTTACTGGATGGGTTTGTGATATAGATTACTCTTGTTGTTACTATTACCATGATACATGTTAGATAGCCCTGGCGGATGGTTTGGATTTGTCTTTTTTTTCTCTTTGTATTATTGTATTATCTTGGGGAACATGTACCATTTAGTCCACCCATCCATCCACCCGTGCGTGAAAGTACATACATACCTCTGGTAACCTCTATCGTACCTTCCTTCGACTATTCCCCCGTATGCCCAGTTTCAATAGAATCAACGTAAATGTATTCAATGTATCACGCTCAAGCTGACAACACGCTTAAAGACGAACGCTAATGATCCATGAAGCAGAAAACAACCTTATGGGAAAAAAGTAAAAGAACCAACACCACCGAGAAAGTGTTCCATCCAGTTCAGAATTCCACCAAGTTGGCCGTAACGTGGCAGGTACAAACAAGAAACTTGCTTCACTCCCGAATGCGTGAGATAAACCAGTGCGCTAAACGAACGGATACTCCAAGACCAAGGGGACAGAGGTGGTGTATGGCGAAGGCTAGGTATGGTCGAAACCGTACAGAGTGTGACCCATCTGTTTGTTGTTGAGATTATATAAGTATTCTGTGTAGAGAGGTGGAGGATGCAGGGTAGGGGGATTGGAATTGGGATGGGACTTACCCTGTTGAGTGCGAAGACCACCTTCATTGACGAAGTAGGAAATTAGTGATTTGTGTTTCTCTTTGTTTGGCTGTGGATTTGATGTGCTGGGACTTACGTCTCTGGTAGTAACAACCTAGTATATATGTTAGTCTATCTGTCTGCACTCGAATAGGACGAATGATGAGGCCAGAGTATGTGGTACGCACCTTCCTTTCGCGACGGGGGGTGGTGGATGAGTCCATTACATGCACCACGTGACGAAGGATCTTGGACCTGTTAGTAGCAGGAGCTGAGTGCCGGTGCATATTGGTAATCCTCACTTCTGTCAACCGGTTCTTGAGAACCACCCGGACCTCCGCGTAAATCGCCGCACTGATTCGAACAACACCCCCACGACGAGCAAGACGGCTGTGTTTGCGATGAGTTGTGGGGCCAGTTAAGCCAGACTGTAGATTGGAGGGGTCTGCATACCGAATGGTGGGTCGAGCTGGGGTAGAAAGAGAGGTGGTTAGCGCCGAGACTCGAGGGATGGGCTGGGTACTCACTTATCCCATCGATGTTGTTACGCAAGACTTTGCTGTGGTGAGGTGACAGATTAGTAGTTGAGGCTGGGGAATCGACCACGGGAGACTTGTACCGGTAGCGTTTCTTGGGCAAAAAACGCCGACTTCTCTTATCCGTAACACGTTTGGGATCCATTCTTGCGGAAGAAAACCAGAGTAAATGGCGGCCTGGAGATGTGCAGGAAGGAAGAGGGACAGGATATGAGTAAGATATGTAGAAGCATGATGCCCTCCACTAGCAGCCTCAGTGAATGATGTGCCTTGGAGCAGCAAGACAAAAGACAAGATGTGGGGTCCAACCCAGTGAAGTGTGGAGGAGAAATACATGACTCAATAACATTAGATAGCCTGTAGGAGGTTTATGAACTATTAGGGATCAATATTTGCGTAGCATAGCGTGTAGATAACGTCAATGGAAAAATATCGAGCAACACTCAAAACGCCTTCAATGAGGTCCGTAACCATGCCCTATATACCTGGATCCGTCTATGAGATGAACGTGGCCTCGGAGAACATAGTTCCCTGCTCGGTGACCTCCGAGTCGCCGACCTTGATCTTCAGCGAGAGCTTCTCTTGGGGGCAGTACTATAATCCAGTTAGTTTCATCCACCAGAGAGGCGAAATACAGTGAGCATACCTGGAAGATGTACGGTCGCGTGCCGGCAACACTGCCAGCAATGGCCTTGACGAAGCCGGGCACTTCTGCCATCACGTCGATCCGGTCCAAGCGGTTGCCAAGCGCCCCGTTAAGCTCCGCATGAACACCCTGACCGTCCGTGGTCTTGCCCTCCCAGACCCACTTGATGGACTTGGGCTCGGGCCAGTCACTTTCTTGATCTTGGGAAGCTTCAGTGTGAGTCGCGGTGTTGTTGATACCCGCGTAGACGATCTCTCCATCTTTGACAATACCGCCGACGTTGACCTTGGTCGATCCGTATGAAGGCGGCGTGGTGTATTCCATCATGACAGCAGAGTATGTGGGGGTCTGGAAGTTGACAAAGTTCCACCGCGCAGCTATTCATATGTCAGGAGCCAAATCTCGGAGGCATCGGTACGCAGCTGAGACTTACCGGCGTGGTGAGGTTTCATGCCCTGGAGGGCATGGATGAACAACCCCCGGCCCTTAAGATCATAAGTCTTCTCCTTGGTCGTGATGGTTCCCTCGACAGCACAGCGGGGCCAGAAGGCGTGGCTCATTGAACCCCAGGGGTTCTCGGGATCCGTGCCGAAGTAAGAGGTGCCGTTCTTGCCGACCATGAAACCAGGGGAGGAGCGCTTGAATGTCAGGTTCACCAGACTATCCTCGTTTACGGCGGACTTGATGGTGTAAGTGTCACCATCTTCGCTGAGTTGCACGGCAAGGTTGTCTGCACCAAACGAATGCATGCTCTCATCAAACATGAAGTTGGTCAGGGGATCCGAGTGCCAGTTGTGGGGCGCGTCGCCGTTGAGGTTGAAGATCTTGGAGGTGAACTGGGCGGTGGTGTGTAGACCTCTGTACAAAAGCCAAGAAGGTTAGCATGTAAGATGAGAAGAAAGTAATGTTGCATAAACGAGGACAAGGGCAGCAACTCACGCAATGTTGCTGTAGATCACCTGAGCCATGGCCAAAGTGCCATCGTCGCCCATGATGTAGAAGACCTGAGTCTCGACATTGGTGTACTGGTGAGCGCGCCAACGAAGGTCATCCCTGGTGAGTTCGGTATAAGGGGTCTCTTCAGTCTGGCGAGCGACGGATTGAATGGCTTCAGGGCCATAGATCGGTTCCTGCGTACCGGCAACGGAGGCAAGACTAGACGGGCGGGGGAGATTTGGTTAGCAAACAAAAAACCGACAGTTCATCACAGGGTCCAACATACGTAGACTTGAGCCAGTTCATGATGGACGAGAGACGAGGTGCTGTGATGAACAAGTAAGTGAGAAGAGGTTGAGAAAATGAGAAGGTGAGGAAAGATGGAAATCGAATCGATAGCGCGCGGGGCCACAAGGGGGGTCGGGCGATCGTTCTATAGTAGCTTCCGGTGGTCTGGACAAACGCTGGCACCGCAGCACGCTGGGCGGCACGCGGCGGAAAGAGGGAAGCGCTGGGGAGATGGAGGTACAATCCGACACGAATCAACAGTCGGGCTGGTCTAGTAAGTAGTAGTTTCAACCAACTGGGAAGATCAACGGGGCATCAACCCAACTGCGCGCACACGAGTTGGGAGAGAATGGCAAGCGCCGACCGCCAACCGGGCGAGGCATCCGGATGACGTCCAGCACTGCATTTCTTCCCCTACGCTTTTTCGCTTGTGCTCCAAACGGCAAGTAACTCCGACCCCGCCGCGCCATCCCGAATCCAGAACCCCAAGAAAACCTCTCGCCGAACTTCCGATTGTTGTTGTTGATTGCCCTGTCGAAGCACGCCTGTCAATTCCCATTCCCCTCCAATCAGTCCTTCTTTTTCAATCTCTCCATCGACTCTAATCACCATGGCGAAGAAGGCATTGCCCAAGGATCAGATCGTGAAGCTCATCGTGGGCGCCGGTCAGGCCAGTCCCAGTCCTCCAGTTGGTCCCGCCCTGGGTAGTAAGGGTGTGAAGAGTATGGACTTCTGTAAGGTGAGTTGAGAATCCAACAGACAGATCCTCCCAGCTCTAGATATCTTTAAAGATGTCCGAGATGAGGCATTGGCAATGGAAGGAGCGCGCATCGCTCACGGGTCTACCATAGGAATTCAACGCCCGAACTGCACACATCAACACCGGCGTCCCGATTCCTGCGCGTGTCACTGTCCGTCCCGACCGCTCTTTCATGTTCGACCTCCGTACTCCCACTACAACCTACCTGCTTTTGCAGGCGGCCAACATCGAACCCCGCAAGAACCGAATCCGTGGTGCCCAGAACCCGGGACACGAAACAATCGGCAAGATATCCCTTAAGCACGTCTACGAAATCGCCAAGATCAAACACACCGAGACGCGACTGTCGGGTCTGAGCTTGCAAGGGTTGTGCAAGAGTGTCATTGCCTCAGCCAAGTCCATGGGCATCCAGGTTGAGCCGTGAAGCTGCACAGAGCGGGCGATCGGAGATATCGGTGTACTCTATATTGTGTCCTTACTACCGTGAGGTTACTGTCATTTCTGTCTTGGATTTACGAAATTGGCGTTACGTGGAACTGGGTCTGTTACCATTTGTATCATAGGCATTGCATGTTGTATAGAAAGCGTTGGCTGGTGCCTGAAGCGATCACATGAAGTGGATTTGACTTTTTGGAAATAAAGGCCATTGGAAGGTATCGGTGGATGTAAGATTGCCGGAATGGATGGTCCTGAGATCCAGGTGAGGTTCTGAACAGCTGCTGGTTGTCACGGCGTGTCTATACGAAGAGCGCAATGGATTGGATGGAAGCTAGACCAGCGACACAGGCACTTCTCTGCACAAATCAATCCATGCAAACCCCCTGCAAAACCCCTTGCTACTCAAACGATGGAATCGAAAGTGGTTGAAGAAAGGAAACCAAGGGTGATAGGGACATGTCTGCCATGCTGTCGGGATTGATATTGGACCCTCGCCGAGTTGGAAAAGGGAGCAAATGGTGAAAACCGAGCGAGACACAACAGGCTGCCCAGAAATACCGCCGAGCAAGCCAAGAGGAGGAGGATACGCAATTGTGTTCACCCACTGCCACTGGTGATCATCTGGTGCTGTACGATTAGCTGCAACCCCTTCAAGATGGAAAGGGAATCATCATTTCGTAATGCACGAGCAGGTTTCAATTCCTTCTACGGAGTATCTCAGCTTGGCTTGGCAGGTATGAAGGCGGTCTCTCCACGCAATTCCTCAATAGTGCTATGCTTGGCATCGCCCCGAAGGAAGCAGACAGGGGGCGGGGAGGTGACGGCTGGTATGTGATGGCTTGGGGGGATGATGCCATACCCCGGTAAGCTTGCTGGGGTTGACCCCCCACATTCTCGGCCTGGTTCTGGAAGTGTTTGGAGACCCTTGACAAGGTGCAGGAGATGGCTGTTGGGAACTTAAGCTGGTCGGATTGGAAAACGGTGGCAGACACGCCCGGCTGAAACGGAGGGCTCCTAATTGTTAAAATGGAATACTTGGCAGCCTGACCATCACAATCACCTTGTTTGGGGGCATTAGAGGCAGCCTCCCTGAGGGCCCTAAGATACGATATGGTCAATTGGTCATAGTTGTTCCTCCCCAGTACAGTACGGAGTAAAATATGGAGCCTTGGAGCCTGGAGCCCGTAGCGGGAACTTTCCAGATCGGGCTGGGTTCGGCCTCCACTCAATCCCAAAGCGGGATGGAGTGCCCCGCTGGCGTTAGTCCCGAAGCAGGATGGTGATGCTGTCCGAAAGGGCGTGCTACCGGCTTACACTGTGTAGACACTACTCCGTAGCCAGAGCGTAGCGCTCGACTAGTAGGTCGTTGTCCTGCAGGAAACGGTGGTCAATTTAGCCAGGGAGGGGAGCGGACATTTCCCAAGCAAATCCGATACCGAAGGCCCCGGCGATTGACAGGAGCCGTCCATGGGCAGGCAGCTGACGGACGGACAGATGATCGATTTGGCCGATTCATCAGCTGAGTGGACCGTGGGTTCGCCTTCTCTCCAGTCTGCATGCATTAAACCCACGCCAGATGAGATCCAGAAGAATCTAGCGGGGTAGACAACCAGCCCATCCTTGACAGTGGGCAGTGCGGATCGGGGAATCTGGAGGGCCCTCGTCCAATACTGTTCGCGGATGGCAGGCTGGCCGGCTAGACGGCACCGGCAGTCTTTCCCCAGCTGATAACTGCCTTCCTACTTCCTCCTCGGGGACAACTGACCTTCGGAGCAGATAGGATGGGAGAGATGGATGAATGGGATAGATAACTCCTCCGTGGTACGGCTTATGGCGGGCGACTGTTCGGACACCTGGCGCAGATGTTACCGGTATTATTTACATACCTGACTTACCTCCCTTACCCGTACCGGCCATGCCTTGATGTCATGGTGGTCTTTCTAGTACTAGTTTGTCCCAGGCTATTGATGTAGCTGCGATTATCATCCATGAACTACTACTCAATATACCCTGGAAGGCACATGCTTGCTTCTATACCGACTCACTATAAAACCGGTAATGCCCAGACCTTACTGGTCACCAGCTCACTCCCATTCATCCTCTCCGCGGATTCCCGATTGAGGATCAGTTGAGGTCCAATCTTCAGAGCACGGGGGAGACACCCTGACCTTCGTTCCGGCCATCCGCCAAGTAAACACGGTACCGGGTGCATGTAACTTTGCGGGAGACATTCGTTTTTTCTGTTTAACTTTGCAATGCTTGGGAAGGGAGTTTTTCCCGCCAAGTCTTTTGGATAATTTTTTCTGCCAGCCTTCCTGGTTTCTATTCTGGGACTGGTTACTGGCATCGAGATCTGGAGAAGATTCATCCCTACTTCCAGATAGCACCCGTTGCAGTGAGGGCTGGGAGGGGCAGAAAGGGAGGAGCAGATTTATTATTGATTGATTATCGTTGGGGTGAATTTGTGGTTACAAATCCTCCAAAGGGCTCCGTCCGTCCCGCCGCTATTGCCGCCGCCGTCGGTCTGGCTGGCTCCAATTCTAAGGGCGCCGCCGCACCTGCTTTGCTTTCTCTTCCTTGCCCGGTGGAACCTCTCTGGCCTGGCTCTCCCCTCTACTACTAGGTCGCCGCCGTCGTCGTCTCTTCGTCCTTCTTGTTTCCCCAGAACTGTCTCCTCCGGCCTCCCCTTCAACTCTTCAACGCAGCTGTTCTTGGATGGGGCGAATTCCTTCCGCCCCTCAGCATCCCGCCCGTCCAAGTTCCTGCCCTGCGTCGTCCTGAGCATCACCCGCAACACTTGGAGACGAAAGATTTGCTCCGTCTCGCATACGAAATCCTCCGTGGCTTTCCCTCGGACCCTACGAGTGCCTCCGATCGACGCACTCGATACACACGAATCTTGCAGACTACTGCCGGGCTCCTTTCAGTTTACCCCCATCGCTATTCCTATCGTTGAGCTCATTCATTCGGCATCAACCGTGGAGGGGTATGCGTCCCACCCCCGAGGTCTTGACCGAGTATGACGTCTGAAGCGACCAATTTTGCCCAAGCCAAAGATAACATGAATCCCGGTAAGCACCACCCCTCCATAACAACCAACTCAAATGCGTTCCTCTGACCCGGTTACCTTGCAATTATCAGGTGCTCAAACCACTCAATCTCCAGCCCAGATGGCCCCTGCACAGGCCCCCGAGTCCGCCGACAATGACCCCAGGCTGAGGTCGCAACCCGGCCAGGTCCGGTTTTCTACCATAACTGAGGAAATCGAGCCTTCGGATCGCTCGGTACCTCCCAAGGCCCCGGGCGATGAACCAATTAGGAGTCAGAACCAAGAGGAGGATCTCCGCTCACTGGCTGCGAGCCTTCAAAAGTCGCAACTGCAGGAGACTCGCTTGCGACAGTTCTCTTATGACCCGATTTCACTGCCATCCTCAAGGGTATGTAGTTCGTACTTTGATGACACCAGATCTGTGTTGCCATCTACCATACAACACTGTGGCGTGGAAGTTCATGTCGCCTTCTACGGGCCAGCCGGCTCCTCGCATGGCCCTGCATAACTTTCCAGATCTGAACAGAAGCTGACTACTGCACCTCCCTTACAGGTTGCGTCTCGAGAATCGAGCGATCGCAGTGCACGCGAACCCAATGGATCCGGTCTTCCGTCTCCCCGCGGCTCTCCAACGGTGTCCGCCATGCAGTCTCCCCCGCTTACACCAGCGGCTACTCATTCCCGTGAAGCCAAGTCTACTGATACATCTTCGACGTCGAATGCAACCGACAGAGCACCGGGACAGTCAGCTGCAATGACTCCCACCACTTCCCCGCCGACAAGCGCGACCCTGAAGAACAAAGCTTCCCAGAGCGCCCCCTCGTCGCGGCCTTCTTCGACCGATCAACTGTCGAAACAGAATGATGTCGCTCAAACGTCATCGCATCCGCAGAATGGTGCAAGGCACCGGGCGCAGTTTTTTATCGGCCCCACCGCCGATGCAAGCTCGCAGGACGAAAGTCCTCCGCTGACTCCGAGGGCCGATCTAGAGAGCTATACTCCCCCAGGCGCCATCACACCGGTCGGAGAGCCTAACGACCCATATGCCCGCAGCAAGCGGCCTCCGCAGCCAAAGAACCTTGCCCAACTCGACCAACGGTTTATATTCGGCGGCCGGGATTCGAAACGTCGCACAAACACCTCATCCTCTTTCACTCGCCCTATGTCTCCACGGTCCGCCAGCGCAAGTGACCTCAGGTCGACCGAAAAGCGTAGCGGCTTTTTCGGAAGCAAGAAAGAAGCACGGCCGCAGGAATCGGAAGGCAAGCACCACGGCCACATGTCGGAGCTCAAGCGCTTTTTCAAGAGGAACCATAATAAGCACAAGCGTGGAGACTCGCCATCATCGATCCCCTTCAAGAAGTCGAGTCGGTCATCTGGGAAAGGCGGGCCTTTTCATGCATCGGACAGTGTTCCATTCGCTGATGACCATGGGCTGAACTCGAAATACGGGAAGTTAGGGAAAGTCTTGGGCTCTGGAGCCGGTGGATCCGTTAGGTTGCTAAAGCGCAACAGTGACGGTGTGACTTTCGCCGTCAAACAATTCCGGGATCGTCATTCGTGGGAAACCCTGAAGGAATATTCTAAAAAGGTCACTGCTGAATTCTGCATCGGCTCCACACTTCATCATGGCAATATCATCGAGACACTGGATATCATCCAAGAGGGAAGCCATTGGTATGAAGTCATGGAATATGCCCCCTTTGACCTTTTTGCTATCGTCATGACGGGGAAGATGGTAAAGGATGAGATTGCCTGTGCGTTCAAGCAGATTCTCAGCGGAGTGGCCTACTTGCACGGAATGGGCCTGGCGCACCGGGATCTGAAGTTGGACAATGTGGTTGTCAATGAACATGGCATCATGAAGCTCATTGACTTTGGAAGTGCCGTTGTCTTCCGGTACCCTTTTGAAAATGACATTGTCCCTGCTTCCGGTAAGTCTGGCGCACATACGTGAGTTGGTGGAAATGATCTCCTAACACATTCTAGGAATTGTGGGCTCTGATCCGTATTTGGCTCCGGAGGTCTACGATGAGAAGAAATACGACCCACGGCCTACAGATGTCTGGTCCTTGGCCATCATCTTCTGCTGTATGACTCTGCGCCGATTCCCATGGAAGCAACCCCGCGTCAGCGACAATTCTTACAGACTCTTCGTCTCTCCGCCGACTCCCGGTACTCCGGTCCCAGATGCGGACCCCAAACGTCACCGGATCAAGTCATCTCCCGATCTTCCTTCATCCGTTCACGAGGAAAAAGCCTCGCAACCGATCGATAGCAAAAAGGGGCCGACCGACCAACCCATGCAGTCCAATGGAGCCCCAGCAGGCACCACTGGTGGGGAGGAAAACCGTCCCCCGGAGAGTCCCCAGGAAAGAACGCCCACGAACAAAACCAACGTGGACGACAGAAATGCCCCTCCTCATAAGGCCAGCCGCACCACAAGCAAAGAAGCCCCTCCCCTCCCGGCTTCAGCCCAACCTTCGGGTCAACGCCAAGAAGTCATCAAGGGTCCCTGGAGGCTTCTGCGACTTCTGCCGCGTGAGAGCAGGTATATCGTTGGACGCATGCTCAAGGTGAATGTCAAAGAGCGGGCCACCCTCGATGACGTTCTGACCGATGAATGGGTGCGCAACATCAAGGCTTGTCAGCAGGAGCTTTCGGGCGAGGTTATCCGAGCTCCTGGTCATACGCATGTCCTGGAACCCCCATCCGCCAGTGTCCCGGTGCCTAGCAAGGCCAAGTGATGTTTCTCGGCCTTGCATTGTATAAGCTTATGTTCGTGTTCGACCTCCGCCGCTGCTTCTATGTCTATCGTGCGTTATAATTCCCGTGGCCCGACCCCGCCCACATATCTCTTCGCATTCTCGTTTGGCTGTTTTTCGACCTGATTCCCTACGGCTATGATGCTTGCCTGCCTCAGGTGGGCCTCTCATCATTGTCTGGCTTGTTCCTTTCTCGACGGTGGATTTCCAACGCGGTCAGATATACTCCTGGAATCCACAGTAATCACTTACCTATTCGACTGTTTTGCTTATCTTCTCGCCGCCCTTGCGCTGTTGGAAAGAGGATGTGGGTTTCGTTTTCTTCTGTTTCTTTCCTTTCGATCTAGGCGTTGAGGTCCGTGTCTTGTGGAACGGAGCTGCTCAGGCAAATCACTCTTCCCCATAGAGGGTCGGCTGCTAGATTTCTACCTGTTAATTTCTGCCGCGTCTTTGTTGCTGCGATTGCTCTCGCTTTGGTGCTCTTGGCTTCCGCATTTGCCTCGGGGAGGTTATTGTTCGCGCATCTGGCCGTGTCTCGGAGCCGTCTTTTGCACCCAAATTGTCCTTTCATTGTACTCATGGAGACCACCTAGCTTAGTAGATACTATAAATAAACGAGTCATTGTATAATCATCAGGTTGACGGGGTAGTTGTGTAGGGAGTCGGTGACCAGCCTGACGTAAGGATGGGGATGCGGAGATTGCGGAGTTTAGGCCGACGACGGGGGCGATCGGCGGCGCCATCAAAGGCTTCACACGCGACCGCTCAACCCGACCTCCCCCAGCTCCGATCAGCCAATCCATCCGTGACAATGACTCAAGCCGGCGAACCGGAGCCTTTGGTCTCCTCCCTATGGACCCGATCTCTCGTGGTACGCAATTCCTATTAGTCCGTCTGGATGCATTGCTGGCGCCAGCTAACCTCCTCCCCGCACGCAGTCCGGTGCCATCGCCGGCCTCACGGTTGATTGCTCCCTCTACCCCCTCGACACGATCAAAACCCGCCTCCAGAAAGCCCGGACCCAAAGCCCATCCGTTGCGATCCCGAGCCTCTCCCTCCGCCAGACCATCCGTGGCATCTACGCAGGTCTCCCCTCCGTCCTCTTCGGCTCCGCCCCGTCCGCCGCATCCTTCTTCATTGTCTACGATGGCGTGAAACGGACTCTTCTCCCCTCGACCCCCTCCGAAACCCCCTCTCGCTCCCACATCATCCTGACTCACTCCCTCGCTTCATCAATGGGCGAGGTCGCCGCCTGCGCCGTCCGAGTCCCCACCGAAGTCGTCAAGCAGCGCGCCCAGGCCGGTCTCTTCGGCGGATCGAGCCTGCTCGCCCTCAAGGACATTCTCTCCCTGCGCCATCCGGACCCAGCCACCGGTGCAAAGCGAGGCTACGGACAGGTTGTTCGAGAACTATACCGGGGCGCGGGCATCACCATTGCCCGTGAGATTCCGTTCACGGTCCTTCAGTTCACCATGTGGGAGTCGATGAAGGAGGCGTATGCCAAGCGCATGCAGGATGGATATGCGGGCGTTGTCCCCGCCTCTACCAGTGCCATGTTCGGCAGTGTGGCGGGTGCCATCTCGGCTGGGTTGACGACGCCGCTGGATGTTATTAAAACGCGGGTCATGCTGGCCCGTCGGGCGGACGGTGCCGGCGTGCGGATCAGAGATGTGGTGCAGGAGATCTCCAAGGAGGGCTTCGGGGCTTTCTGGAGAGGAATTGGTCCGCGTGTGGCTTGGATTGGTATCGGTGGTGCGGTGTTCTTGGGTAGTTATCAGTGGGCGTGGAATACTATGGAGGGGAAGAGGGCTGCTGAGGAGAAGGAAAGTACTGGTATCTGAGCTGATTGATGTAGATGATTATGTAGTTATAGTATAGAGGTAATCGGCTATAGACTTAGACGGGTCTCTCTCTCTCTCTCTCTCTCTCTCTCTCTCTCTCTCTCTCTCTCTCTATATTCCATCATATATCAATATCCACCTATTCCCCCCCCCCCTCCTCACCATCCACGCCATCTCCCCAACCTCCTCCGGACTCAACAACTCCCTCATCTCCCCTAACGACAAAAACTCATGATCCTCCGCCTCAAACCCGGGAATAACCGTCTGCATAATCACAACCACAATCATCAATACGAACTCATTTCCCTCCAAACATGCAAAAACAAACAAAAAAAAAAAACATCATACCTCACTAATCAACAACCCCTCTGACCCTCCCCCTCCTCCCTCCTGCTCATCATCCAACAACAAAAAACTCGCCTTATACACCCCCCCCCCCCTCAACCACCCACTGCGCCCTCTCCCCCCTCTCCACCCCCCCTCCTACCACAAACGTCTCCACCGACGCCCCCTCATCCGGACGAATAACCACATACCGACCCCGTCCGCGATGCAGCGTATGCACCGTCCTGCTTCTGTTTCGGTGGAACGCGCTGAGCGGTGACCCCGGCGTGAGGAAATAGTATATGGTGGAACTGGCTGAGCGGATGCCGTATGCTGTGGGGATTTGGTGTGGGTGGCGGTCGGTTTCGTCGTAGTAGCCGCCTTCTGGGTGCGGGTGGAGGTGGAGAGTTTGGAGGGTGGTTTGGATGGTGGGGGGTTCTGTTGGGGGTGGGATGAGGGTGGGGGAGGGGGGAATGGTGGGATGGATAGGGGTGGGGATAGGGATGGGGATTGGGGGGTGGTCATGTTTATGGTGTTGGGGGTTCTGGGGGGTTGGGATACTGGGATTTTGGGTGGGTGGATGGGTGAGGGAGGATTTTATAGATCGTGATCGTGGTGGTACTGTACTGAGTATATGTAGGGAGGTGCTGCAGTTCTATACTCTCCGCCTACTCGTTTTGGAATCATATACTTTTGGAAATAGAGGAAGTTTGCGGCTTTTTGTATTCATGCTTGAGCTTGATGTTGATTGAATTTAAAGTCTGTAGGTGACGTAGTGGTAGTGTTAGATTGAGTACTGGGAGGTTGGTCTGGCTGGGGACATGTCTTTTTGGTCGAGTGGTTAGTTGTCAGGTAGAATGTCATCAGGTAAGGGTTTAGAGGATGTTCTTCATTGGGATATAAAGAAAACGAGTTCAATTTCTGTTATAAATATATTACTCTACCTCTTAAATACACTGTGGCGGTTAGCGGGCCCACCGCCTGTCGATGTCCAGCTATGACGACATCCATATCATCTTCCCTGCTGGAATAGGATGATGCAAATTGGTCTACTATGTACTTAGTCGCAGACAGCCTAATGCTCCTCATCTGCCTTTCTGCCTCTCCTACGCGGGCAACGCCCACTTTACCATATACTCAGACCTCAAAAGTTGGTCCGCGATAGGTCGTTCTGCAGGTTCAAACGCCATCATAGCTCTGAGCAAATCCTCCAACGCACGTAGTTCACCACCTGAAACGTCCCATTTGCACGTCTGCTCCGTCTCGCCACGGCCCATGTCCCAGAGGCGCTGGTGCAGCCGCCGGAAGACGGGAGTGCTGATACGGCGAAAGTCAGTGATCCATAACCCATCCTCCTCGAAGAATTCGGAGCGTTTCGCCCACGAATTCCACCACCTCAAGGGCGGTTGGCCCAGCGTATTGACCATCTCGGCAAAAATGTCATCTCGGTCACAGGCAAATGTTTTGAAAAGTGGACGCTCGCCCAAGACTTCGTATAAGTTGACACCTAGGGTCCATATATCAGCTGCGGTGGGGTGAGTGATGGGCTCATTGAAGAAGTCTTCGGGTGGGGAGTAGAGGGTCGGGGTGTGGAGAGTCGGAGAGGGTGTCTGTGACATAATAAAGGACGTTCCGTAATCCGAGATGATGATTTCGGGGTTACCCAGCTCGTTGGCAGGTATGCTCGAAGCCATGGGATATATGGCATGAGGCGGTGCGTGGGGTTCACTGGGCTTTCCATCTACTCGCCGGATAGGAACCTCGGAGGGTTCGCCGAAGCGTTTATAGAGATCAGCTGTGCTTAGGTGGTCGAATCCTGGTATGCGTAAGAGAAAGTTGTGCAAATGGAGATCTGTGTACGATTAGTATGCGGGATCAGTAACCGGAGATGCACACAGATTCTCACCTCCGTGGCATACGCCAGTTGCATGCAAATAGGACAGCCCTAAAAGGAGCTGGGCGGCAGTAGATCTAGCAGCGTCCGGTGGAAGCATCAAGTTTGTGCTGTCCTCCTTGGGCTTAGCAATACTACCTCCAGCAGGCTCTCCGACCAAGCACCGATGATGTCCGTTTGGACCGTGAAACGAGAATTCGTCAGGTAGCGGCGGAATGAATTGCTTTCCAGCATGGCTAAGGTCGCTCTTCATCAAGTAATTCAGAACCTTCCCCTCGCGGCTATTTGATGATGCTCTCGCAGTCAGTATCTTGAGCGATACGTAGCGCCGATGCTGCTGATCCCGGGCGAGCCAAATTGTGAAATACCCACCAAATCCAAGTTTGTGAACGACGGTATAGCGGCCATTACTTAAGGTCTCTCCGATAAGAGTTGGGTGGTATCCGCCAGGGACATAATCCTCGAGATCTTCAACATCTACCTCAGGATGGTATAGATCTTCCATTGACGCGTTAGCCATTGCATGAAAGCATCGCGGTGACGGAGAGGCTCTGTGGTGACTGCTGGTCTTTGGAGTGAATGGAAATCGGCATGGGGAGATATCTTGATTTCGTTGTCGACAAAGTACCACTAGTTGGGATAATGGGCGAGGGACCCTCCAGCTAGGGTTCGTCACGTTCATGTCCCTGCAGAGGTCATCGAGCGACGCGTTATTACTGGCAATATTGAAGGGCGGGGCGAGATCTTTGGGTATTCAATTCAGAGCATATCCAAGGTCATGTATGAGACTGAATAGAGTCCTACGTGAAATCCTCTGTAAGTCTTCTCATGAGGTACTCTGGCAGGTTGTATATAAAAGCCTTTATAGATACTGGATATTCTGCCGAATAACTGCCCGGAATAGTAGGCGGAGAGCGGATGCAGGTGGTTAGTGGTTAGCATGGCTATACTATACATCAAGAATAGGTTCAGTGGAAATACGATTGAGATCAGCGATCAGCAGGACGGAAGGTTTAAAGCTGCTTCTGGACGGGTTCTTTGTGTTTGCTTATGGAAGCGATGGGAAGGTGTCATGTTGAGGTCGTATGGAGTACTTTTGTCTCCTGTGATATCACTGTGGAGCATGCCGTGGTTAGAGTAAACATTCAAGTCACACCAAGTACAGCAGTAGAATACTGTACATAGTACATACAAAGTAGTAGCTAGTAGATGGGGCTATCTATAGGAAGATCAAACTCCGATAAAACGCTTCAAGGTACAATCCATGGTATTATGTACTATGTATGTATGTAAGGTAAACATGCGGCAGAAGGCAAGTAACTGGGGAAGAAAGGCGTGACCCGAGGGGAACCGCCGCGCTCGTGCCCACCTCGCCCGTCGTCCCATTCATCCATCCATCCTTCCAGGCAACAAACCACCATCCTCTCCTCATTCTTTCTACCCTCCGCCTCTCCCCTCCTTTTCTGCTCGTTGACAGCGTCTATTCATTCCTTACTCATTGTCTTTTGTCCCTGTTTGACCCTGCCTTGCCCTGACTGCCTACCGCCCGGGGAATGCTCCCCTCCACCTCCACCGTACCTCTGCGTGCCTGAGCGATCGTCGCTTCTGCCTCCGCATCGTCCCTTCACCTCCGCATTTCCTCTGCCACCTGCGTCAATCCCCCTCCCACTGCATGGCCCGAAAACTAAACCACCAGAGGGTCGCCTATGGTAGGTCTCCTTCCCCCAGGCAGGTCTGCGTGGTGTCAGCGCCATCTACTCTTTGGTTTCACGACCTTGGTGTTCCGCGCTTATCTGATCCTCCCCTTCCACGACTGCTGCGCTAGAGCGGACCTTTAACTGACACTCAATCTTCTTGCTCTTTCTTCAGTGCTCCCTCTGCCAGATGCTCCTGGTGGACATAGGCTGGGCGTTAATGGTCTAACTGTCGATACGGACAATTCCATCCTGTGAGCTTCCCACCCGTCGTTTTGCGCCAGTTGGTCCTCCGCAAGTCCCGGTTGCGATAAACTCCGCTCCTCGCCGTGTCCAAAGTCACACAAGTCCTAACTCCGCACTTTGGAAGGTATTCGGCGGGTCGCGATGGTGTCGTCTGCTCATGGGACCTCAACCGCCCCCTCTCGGGCGCGTCATCAAAATCCACTTCAACAACGTTTAGAAACCAAGTACAGGCTCACAGCCATTGGATCAACGACATTGTCTTGACCAAGAACAATTCTGCGCTCGTTTCCGCCTCTTCCGATACCACCGTACGGTTATGGCGACCGCACTCGGAAATCACCGAGGTCCCGAATCCCATCGGAAAACACACTGACTACGTGAAGGCCTTAGCGACGCCGGGAAACCACTCCTCGTGGGTCGCATCGGGCGGGTTAGATCACAAGCTCTATCTTTGGGACCTGAATGGCGGCGGGGAGATTCTGGGTATTGATGCCTGCGGGGAGGACCGGACGGCAAAGGGCTCGATTTACGCCCTGGGCGCTGTATCCTCCGTCCTTGCCAGCGGCGGACCGGAAAGTGTGGTCATGGTGTGGGATCCAAAATCCGGAAAACTGATTACCAAGTTCGTGGGCCATACCGATAACATCCGAGATATCCTCATCAACCAGGATGGCGATACAATCATGACCGCATCTTCCGACCAGACGGTCAAGGTTTGGTCGCTGACGGCAGGAAGATGCATGCACACCTTGACGATGCATAACGATAGTGTCTGGTCGCTATATTCAAATCATCCACAACTGTCCGTCTTCTACTCGAGCGATCGGTCCGGTTTGGTCGCCAAAACCGACACGAGACATTCCCCGGACATTGAGCAAGGCGTCTGCGTCGCAGCACTGCAGGAGCACGAGGGAGTGATTAACGTTGTAGCGGCGGGGGATTACATCTGGACAGCGACCCCGAAGTCCAGTATCAATCGTTGGAGGGATGTCGATACCACTGCCGAGATAAAGTCACCGTCTTCGGGAGAAGGACAACGCGATAAGTCCAGTACCGAAAAAGGTTCGTCAGCGAAACAGGCGCCAAAGAAGATACCATACGAATCAGTTTTGTTACTGTCAAACACATCCACATTCCCCAAAGCGAGAGCTCCTAACGACATGGCGCCGGGCTCAGTACCACATGCACAAGGGCCACCATCGGGGTCAGATATGGAGGATGAATTGGGACTGACTTTGCCCGTTCAGACCTTGCCCGAGGAGACCATAGAAGGCCAACATGGATTGATCAAGCACTTTATGCTGAATGACCGCAAACGCACGTTGACCCAGGATTCCGCTGGCGAGGTTGTTTTATGGGACCTCCTCAAGGTAGGCTATGATCTTTCATGAGCAACATCTTACACATTTACTAACAATTTGGCAGTGTAAACCTATCAAGTCATATGGAAAGAGGCATATAGACGATGTCGCATCCGAGATTAATACTAATGAGACCATCGCTCACTGGTGTACGATTGATATCCGCACTGGAAGACTATCAGTGATCTTGGAGCCAGGCCGCTGTTTTGATGCCGAGATATACGCCGACGAAACCGAGCTGGAAGATTATTCGCAGTTTCGCGACGATCAGAGGAGTATGGCAACCTATGTTCTCATTTCCCTTCCGCTTTGATGGTGGTTGCTGACCTTGACCCAGTCAACCTAGGCAAATGGATCTTGCGCTGGCTCTTTGCGCCACTGGTTGAAGAGCATGTTCGTCGCGATGCCCAATATCGCGCCATGGCGACAGCAAGGGCGGAGGAGCTTGCTAAGCTCACCACGACCAGCGCCTCCGCACCAATGGATATACCGTCAAAAGATGGATCCAGACGGCCATTAGGCTTGCAGACGTCTTTGGATGCCTCCTTCGCAACCTTCCGGTCAGGATACGACTCCCTTGGCAGCCCCACGACGCCCGGTTTTGGGATCGGTTATGCGACGAGCCCCGGGGGTCTAGGGTCACCAGCACTCCCACATAGCTTCAACAACAACAGTTACTTCGGGACGTCAATAGGCGAGACATCCGACTTTCTGATGTCACAGCAAAACCCCGATGTGACTCGAACGTCTTTGTCGGATCGCTCGAGCGATTATTTCTCCTCGTCATCTAAGCCTCACGGTCTGGCTCCTATAGATACAGACAAGGCTCCACCGACACCGGGAGAGCCGACTCCAACCGCCCTGCCTCAATCACCGGCTGAGCCCGACAAGGAAGAGCGGAAAAGAGGCGCATCCATCTTCGGGAAGAAGTTTCGAATGGACTTTCCCAAGAAATTGGGCCGGTCTTCCTCGGAGGTCAAGCCACAGATTCAGGAAGAGAAGGTGGAAGAATCGGACCTATCATCGGTCAAGGAGGAAAGAGTGTTTGAAACCAATCTCGGCGGGTTCATCGAGCGAACCCGGCATGAGTATGAGGAATGGCTGTCTGCCAACCCAGGCCAGGAGCTCATATCGGCCTTTGCGCCGAGCCCCGATAGCGAAACCCCCGCCTTGAACATACCTCCGCGCACGGGGGTTTTCATCCAAGAGGAATCTGGCGACACTGCGGTGGCTTCGGATTTGTACCGGGGTACTGTGGGTCAGATCAGCCAGGAGATTGATAAGCTCGAGAAGTCGATACCGCTGTGGCTAGCTGACTTGCTGCTCAAGGTATGCATTGCCCACTTTGTTCCCCGGGTCACTGCTAATATTACCGATAGAACCAAATGCCTGTAAAGGAACCGGTCAAGATCGCGTTCACGCTGAAGCCCTACGACGATCTTCTACCGCCTGTCGTCAAGCCAGAGTATGTACAGGGATATCCTTGGGAGATGTAGGAGGCTAACGAAGACCAGACCGGCTACCACCGCGAACACGAACAATAATCGCCTCAATGCCAACCGCATGCTGCGAGCCAAGAAGATCCTTGCCTACGTGGCGGAGCGGATCGATCCGCCCAACCTCGACGAGCCAGAAGAGAATGTGATGAAGCCCGAAGAGTACTTGGAGTTGTATTGCCACAAGATGGTCAGTCATATTGCGGTATTTTGGTATATAGGAAGTTGCTGACCACGGGACAGTTAATACCACCGAACATGACTCTGGCGACAATCCGCGCACACATCTGGCGATCCTCGGGGGATATGCTTCTGCACTACAAGGCAAACGGAAAGAAGGAGATCCGAGTGAGAGATGGGGAGAGAGGGCTCCATGAGTTAGGGTCTAGTCGTTTTCTTGATCCCGGGAGCGCCGCCAACGGAGAGGGCGGAATCGCAGCCCCAGGGAGTATCCATTCGCTGACAGCTTCGGGATCCGGTGCTGCTTCGATCAGCAACTCTTGAGGATGACCGGGGGAGGTGGAATGGGATTCAAGGCGGACCCATTCTGTGACATTATTCTCTGTTTATATTGGTTGGTGGCGCATACCCACGAGGTATGGCCGGTACATACATACATGGAGAGGTGGCGGCATGGCTGCTTCTCTACCGCGATAGCAAGCGACTGTAGCGTCTTAGTGAACTCAATTGACACTCGATACTATTCCTTGCTTCCCGTGTAGAATCACGCGTGATGCTGTGTAGACTGTCGAGGAAATGAGTGAGCCTCGGCTTGCGGGGATGCCAAGACCCGGCGTCTTTGCGATGCGATTGATTGATTCCATTCGGCCAAACGCTTCTTTCCCGCGCCAACTACTAGTCAGTCAGTCCACCATGACAGCAGCATCCCACCTCCTGCGCCATACTGACTCCGGGGCACTAACTGTTAAACACTTTGTTGACTCCTTCCAGCGCATATGGCTCGACTCGCGACCAGCCCGGACGGGGCGGAAGCCAGATGCTCGCCTGCCGCGCCGACTCGGTATGTCCGATCTCATGCATTCCCATCAGCCAACTAACAGCCATCCAGGTCTCGCCATCAGTGGAGGTGCAGACTCCATGGCTCTCGCATATCTGTGCAAGCAATGGGAAACGACCCGCATCACGGACAATGATGTGACCGTCACGGCATTTGTAGTCGACCATAAAGCCCGCGAGGAGAGTACTCGCGAGGCCAACATGGTCGCCGGATGGCTCGACAATATGGGTGTGTTTTTCGCCTCGATTCCATCGTCAAGTCGCGATGGAAGAACATCATCACTGACCGCATCCAGGCCTCAAAACCCAAATCCTCGAGCTGTCATGGCCCGAAAGCAAAGTCTCTGCGTTTGAAACACACGCTCGACGTCTACGCTTCCAGGCCCTCGGCCAGGCATGTCGAGCCCAAAACATCGAGACCCTTCTCATGGGCCACCACCAAGACGACAACGTTGAAACCACCCTCTGGAGACTCTGCACGGGGGCCAAGGGTGCCGGCTTAGCAGGGATCCCGCCAGTGACGCGCATCCCCGAATGCCATGGTCTTTTCGGAGTCGCAGAGAGCGGATCCTCGGTCTCGCTGAAGCCAGCCAGGGATACCAGGTTTCGAATCACCCACACCAATGAGCTCCAGCTTTTCTCTCCTCCAGCAGCCGAGAGGAAAGCAGAGGAAGATTACCGCATATCAACCGGTGGGATATCCATTTGTCGTCCCCTCCTCGCCTTCCCTAAGACCAACCTCCTCGCAACCTGTCATGAAAACAACATCCCCTTCGTCTCGGATCCAACCAACTTCGACCCAACCCTTACTCCCCGCAACACCATCCGCAGTCTACTGTCGGAAAACAAACTCCCTCGTGCACTTCACCCACCGTCAATCCTCTCTCTGATCCAGAAAAGCAATACTCTTCTCCAATCCGCAACGAACTCCTCCAACGACTTGCTCAGACAATGCACCCTTCACTCTCTCGCCCCCTCGACAGGGACTCTGATCGTCAACTTCCCCCAACCCGTCCACAATGACCACCAAACCAACCCCAGCCCAAACCCAACCCCCGATCCTCAAATTCAATCCCTCACTCTCCGCCGCATCACCGAACTCATCTCCCCTTTCCCAGAGAATCACTTCTCTCTACGCAGCTTCGAACCTTTCACCTCTCGTGTCTTTCCCTCCTCTTCCTCCCCCTTTACCCAGAACCAGAACCAGAACCAGGATCAAAACCAGGACCCCTCCCCCCAAAACAGAAACAACAACCCTTCACCCTAGGCGGAATCATGTTCCAGCCTCTCCACTGCGCTCCACCCCCAGTTAACCCCCACCCAGCCACTATCAACCACCCTAATAACAGGAATACATGGCTTCTCTCCCGCCAACCCTACATGCGCAACCGTCAACCAATCCTCCCCATCACCATCCCCATCCCCATCCCTACCTCTCATCTCCCCTCTAATACCCTAAACTCACACACAAACCCAACCTCACAAAACGACACATCTACCTGGCATCTCTGGGATAACAGATACTGGTTCCGTATCACAGCTACCCTGAAATCCAACCTCCCCATACAAGACGTCCAGCCCTCATCACTTTCCCCCGACCAGAATTCCCAGTATGGGTCGAAGAATATATCGTTGGTGATACGTCCATTACAAAAGTCAGATCTACAAATAATTCGGATGGCGGAGCGCGCGGAGAAAAAGAAGGAAAATGGAAAGGAAAAAGAAAAGGGCAAGAGTGCGTTCATGGAACAGCTAGGACGGGATGCGCCTGGCCTGGTTCGATTTACGGTGCCGGTGTTGGTTATACCCGGTGGTGTCTCTGGATCCGGGATGGATGTGCCGTTGGCATTACCGACAATAGATCTGTGGTTGCCGGGTGCGGCAGAGGTCCGCAATACAGCTCACTGGGATATCCACTGGGAATGGAGATATAAGATGATTGATCAGGAACCGTTGGAACTGATGGGCTGATTGGGAACTAGCTAAGCTAAGCTATGCTACAAAGAAAGCTCGAGACAATGAATGTACGGGAAATATGATGACAGGAGAGAAGATGGAAAGGCCGACCACGATGCGATCGCCGTACAAGCGACCAAAACCAACCGCCAAACCCAAGCAAACCCCGCCGGATGCAGTGCAGATAGCCAAGGAGACACGCAGGCTATGCCACGATACAAAGGAAAGAGAAGCCCTATAAACAATGTGGGACAGAAAGAGAAGGACGCTCCTGAGCATCATCACGCCAGAAGCCACCAGGAATAGATTCCAAGAAGAAGAAGAAGAAATAAAAGGAAAGGACGTCTTCCAGTAACAGGCATCACTCATATCCAGTTCGAAGATATCCCACGGGGGGGAAAAGAAAAAAAAGAAAAAAAAAAGAAATTAGAGTAAGAAAATAAGCCTACTCAACCAGCCCCCAGATAGATCGTTCATTCGCTTGCCTTCAACAAGGCCACCGCCGCTTGCTGAGCGCGCAATCCCCCAACTTCTCGTTTCAGTCGAAAATTTTCCTTCTTCAGCCGTCCGATTTCTTCCAAGGCTGAAGAAAGCTGGGTTTTGAGGGATTCCTCGGCGTTTCCAGCTCGCACGTCTTTAGCGACCTTGCTCAGCTCCGAATTGAATCGATCGTAGAGGGCTTCATTTTCAGCGCTGGCCTCGCGATAAAGTTCGTCGAGCTTTTTGGCTCGTTTTTCGCTGACCACAAGAGACGACTCCAAGTCTTTTTCGATGGCGGCAGTTCGGCCACTGAACTCCCCAGATAGCGTGTCGAACTTCAACTCCAGGTTGCGAACGCGAGATAGGAGAACAGCATGTGGGGTTGGCGAGTCAAAAGGCTCATCAAGTGGCTCGGGGCCTTGTCCATCCCTTTTGGCCATTGATGGGGTAAGTCGCAGCGCCCTTAGTTCTTCTCCGATCAGGTCGAGCTCGTCCTTAAGACTCTGTTGAGCCATGTTTTGCGCCCTTTTTTCACTATTAAGACGGTCCCGAAGCTGTAACAGTAAGTTAGCAATGTTGCTTCTGGTGGACATCCTGAAACAAGGGAATTCAATGTGTATAATCTGTGCCTCACCTTTTGAGGGCTCTGCAACCGCAGTTTGGGGGCCTTCTGGGAAGACGTTGGTTGCAGGCGCCTCGCATCAGAGCCATTCACTTGGATGGGTCGCTCCTTCAGACCAGGAGCTCGGGACGAAGGTATGCTAGTCGCTCGAGATCTTCTCTTGGATTCTTGGGTAGGCGAGACAGACGCATCTCCTTTCTTCCGGGTAGCGCGCTCCGTCTGCGGCAATTTTGGATCGATATTCTCTTTTCGGCTGGGGGTGACGGGACGGGTCGGTGACCGGCGAGTAGGGGAAGCCAACCGAGTGGGCGAGCCACTCTTGGCCGGCGATGTGCTTCGGACTGTGGAGCCTGAACCATGGCTGGTCTGTGGTCGAGCCTGACCGGCAGGAGTCGCTATATCTGTTCGAGATTGGTTGGATATAGACAACGGAGTTCCAGGCCTTTGTCCCTGACTCGAGACGACAGATACCTCAGAAGATGCTGTGCCGGGTCGAAGATCCGATAAAGAGCTCCTTCTCTTGCGACGTACTTTCACCACCCCATTTGTCGAAATCCCGCGAACTGAGGATAGAGACGGTGGCTGCTCCTGGGAACTACCTGGCCGCCGAAGATGCTCCTGAGACGTGGAGGCGCCTGGGCAGTCACGCGAACCCGGTCGCAAAAGAGAGCCTAGCCCGGTATCAATGTCTATCGACTTGGACCGTAGCAGCGAGCCCTTTGGCGTGCCAGGTTCCGAGTCGCCAGAGCCCTTGCTTTTGCTCAATGTCCTCAGAATCGACGAGACCTTGCTCTCCCCTTCCAGTTTTGAGTTCTCCCGATGTAGGCTAAAGCCGAAACGCTTCCTGAAGGACGATGCGTTGGAATTCATAGAGCCCGCAGTCTGGGAGACTGACTTGGTCTGGTCACAGTTCAGGGTTCCCTCCAACGAGGCACCGCCAGGGATATATTCATCAAACAAATTGTCAAAGTCATCCACAAGTCGGTCCAAAAGAGAGATATGCTGCATTGGGTCTCCTTCGACTGTTAGAACCTCTGCAAACGCGGCAGTTAAAGCCCCACGATCCCCATCGCTCCCCGAGGCATCAAGCAGCTCCGCGAGCAGCCGGATCATGGAGGCGAGAGCACGGCGATTTTGGGGGCTCATATCGGCTAGGAATCGTCGAAAATTCTCTTCGAAATCGCGCGGGAACATATTATCAAATTGAGCTTGAAGGATCTTTAATGAGGCCAAGTCGATGACTGGACCCATATGTTCACTCCATGCGTTTGCCATGAATGTTTCAAAGGCCACGAAGAGTGTATCAACCGGGACTTCTGCTGCGGCTTGGATCTTCCCAGGGTCTTCCAGCAGAATATTGTACAGCTCATTGACCGAGGACCGATCGACATTGTCCCTCCCACGAAGGGATCTTCCCACGATGTTGCCACTACGAGACTGCAAGGCAAGTGCATATGCGCCAAACGTTTGCTCCAATGCGCTAAACGGACTTTCCTGCCCCTTGGAGGGTGCGGCGCCCACCACCGAGATCTTGATCGGGCTTTCCTCCTTTCCCGGAAAGACAGAAGGGAGTGTGTTGGACCGCGACATATTGGCTCGGGGAGGCGGCATTTTTGGGAACTCGCCCAGCAGTGTCGCCGAGCTGGGCGACTTGGAGTTGGGCGTGTTGCTTTCCTTGGACTGGTTCCCACCCAAAAGACTGGAGAGCAATTTCGAGGGAGACGGGGGCCGAAATCCACGCGGAACCTTGAATTGGGCCATGAGATGACCGGTGAGGTAGCGGAGGATCTCGAAATTGGAGTGCACGATTGATTCCGTCATCGTCCGATTCCGAGGTCCATGAAGCGGCAGAAGGACATTCAACACTACAAGCGTCAGCAATCAGACAGGAGCCTCCCCAAGCGTCGTGGGGTACTTACAGCGCTTGGAGAGCACGGGGACAAAGCTGTCCACGGTCACCATGTCAGAGGATGGAATGCCGACTACTGAGTCTACATCCACCCGGTACTGGTCTTCATTCGCCAAAGACACCGAAACAATCACCTCCAGATCTGAGTTGCTCAACGTTTGACTGCAAACCGCCCTCGAAGTATCGAACACAACCCTTATCTTCGACAAGTTGGCCCTTCGCGTGGCCTCCTCTTGTTCTTCTTCGAACACACATGCCAGAATCCCGAGGTTGCCGACAGTACCGGTGGGACTCCGCAGCGACCATTTGCCATTCTCCCGCTCGTTGTCCGAAAACCTGCCCTCAATCTTTGCCTTCGCAATCTCCTCAATGATCCGACTTGCACGACCCTCATACATGGAGATGGGCTCCAACGCAAGCAGGTCCACCGTGGTATTCTGGTCCGGCCTCGAGGTGGCGGACGTAGGAGCCAAAAACAGAATCCGGCCACACGTGGATTGCGTACACCGCACGGTGTGTAGGTCGTACACTTGTACCACGCGAAGTTCCATTGAAATGGGGGAATTTGGAGTGGTGTTGGTCGCCGCTGCAGCATTATCCAAATCAGCCAGGAGACCCCGCGCCGTCGCCCTACTCCCTAAAGTCTTTGATAGTAATACCAAACAGTTTTTGTAGATCAGCATAATGCCCGCGCTGGGCTCGATTGGTGGGACATCGAGATGGTAGGGGGGAGTTAGCTCGTTGAAATCAACGGCGGTGATCAAGCGACCAATCGGCAGGATCGTGGATGGCCAGCCGTCTACTAACTCCTTCAACCGCCGAAAGCTTTGGTCGTGATTGGTCGATGAAGTATCGTCAAGCGAGCAGATATCCTTGATGACATCGCGCGCTTTGAGTAGGGGTCGTACGGCAGCATGAACCAAAGGCAAACTGCTAGTCATAGTATCGATAAGGAGACTGTAACGCGGAAGACGTTGCACCGGCTCCATGAGCAGGGAACGCAGCTTTTGTTCTCCCGTCTTGTACACTCGCTTCGAGAAGCTGGAATTTTTATCTCTCATGAATGAGTTGAGCGTCTGTGTAAAGCCAGTATGGGCCCGCATATAGTCCGCGTAAGGCTGGGAGAATCTGGGGAACCACTCCAGAAGCGCAGTGGCGAATGCCACCGCACCAATCGCATCATTTTCCTCCCTTGAGAAGGAACGTTGTGACACGGACGACGGGAGTTGTGTATCCTCGGTGATATCATCGATAGCTTCTTTTTCTGTCTCTTCGAGGATCTGTCGAATCACCCCCAAAAACCCCATATTAACTTCAAGGATCTCATTTAAGCATGGTGGAAAGAGCGTGGCCAGGTCAGACTCGTCGGGACTGGTACTAGATGCGCCTCTTGCTTGGGCCTTTAACCGAAACTCCTCCGCGACATTACACACAAGGGTGTAGAGTTTGTTGACGTATCTCTCCTCTGTATCAACGACCTCGCACATGGTCAAGCGAAGGGCCTGTTTCTGGCTTTTGGAAAAGAGCCTGGACTTGCTCACATTGGTCGGCTGTGAAGGGGCGCGCTTCAGTCGAGACGTCGGCAAAAACATCGGCGCTCCAAGAGATCGAATAAGAGATGTGTATCGTCCATATTGAAGATCGGGTGCATCAAAAAAATCCGCATTACCGTCATGACCATCATCATCAATATCAGGCTGGGGAGGAGGTTGAATCACTCCGGCGGGGAGAATGACATCAACATCTACCCACGGAACCTTGCGCTCTTGGAAAGCGCCTCTGATATCGCGCACAATGTCCGCTGTGTGATCTATTTTCGCCATGCGATTTGCTATTTCCGCCGCATGCATCTCATCGAAAAGCTTGGGCAGCCGCACCCCGGGTTTCTCGGCGCGAGAGATAGCCTGCAGGCACTCCTTGGCGGGATCCGACAGCTCTGCGAAGTATTTCAGCATACTGACGGCGAGACCACGGCTGACCTCATCGCCTTGCTTTTCCCGGGGCAAGTGGTTGACAGCGGCGTACAACGGGGCTGCGGGGGAGACGGTAATGCGCGGGTAACTTTGGAAGCCGGCGGGGGAGAGGATATGCGCCTGAATGCGCGAGCTGCTGACGGTAGCATTTGCAGTCGCAACAGGGCCGTAGAAGATGAAGACGGCCGACAGATAGGGATCGGAGGCATGGTACAAGGAGAGCTGCTCGAGGGGCAGGTCCGACGGGGCGGTTGACACTGTCGCCATGATGGCGGGGGAGGCAGGAAGAGTTATCGCATGCAACGAAAGAGTAGGAAGGAGCGATGGGAGTAATAAAGGATTATGGAACTAGTAGCCAATAGGTGGAAAAGATTAATAAGTGATGGTCAATGTCAAACTAGAAAGAGAAACCGAAGTAGTCAGGAATCGACCTCGGGGAAAGAGCGAGGCCGCGAAATGGCCGGGTTGGCACGTCCAAAGTATTAGGGAAGGACTATGGCAAGCAAGTGGGTAGGAGACATAATAATAGCAATGTCGCACGGTCCAGTTAAGAAACGAATGAGGGTCCTCATGCAGTGGAAGGGGAAAGAGAAGGAAACCCCTCCATGGGAGGAAGTAAAAAGGTGAGATAAGACGATGAGGAGAGGTGGAGGAAAGGCGGAGGAGGAGGAGGAGGAAGAAGAAGAAGAGAAGGAAGCGGAGGTGCCACAACGATAAAGATCGCAAGACGCGTTTCTCGGGCCAGGCACAAGCTTTCCCGGACTGAGGGGAAGACAGTGACAGCAATGTTTATTTTTTTTTTTTTTTCCGTGGATTAGAAAGGCGTCGCTGTGGTGGTGGGAGAAGAGCGACTGACTGCAGGTGATTTGCGGTATTGGACCGAGCGACTTGCAGCATTAGTTGGTGATGAGGGGAGGCACTGAGGGTCACGGCAGTCCGTGAGACTAACAACCAACTGAGATCGGGCCCGGCCGGCGCGATGCTTCTTATTATTGGTCGTTGCGCGGGGGAATCGAGCCAATCTGGTTTAGCCGGTTCTCGGATTCAGATCCTCTTCGTCCTGACGACATTCCAGCCATCTAAGAATAGGAGAGGCACACCACCGCGGGGGATCGTCCTTGGTGCCCTTTTATCTGTCGAAACCATCCAGAGGAATATTTCAAACTCAAACAGCAGGTTGGAATTCCCTCCTATCTCTCACATGAATCCTCCCCCCTCCTATCCAAGTAGAAGAATCACACGGCGACACGTGTAGCTGGTCGCCAACTGTCAACAATTGTCCGAAAAAAAGATAGAAACAGGGCAGATTGGCAGAGCACGGCAGAAGATACGGAGTACATTAGGGAGGGAACAACTAGGCATGCCGAAAAACTAAGTTACGCTCGGACTTTTCTTGAATGTAAGGGAGACGCTAAACTACCCCATTGCCTTGGAGGAAGTATGTGTTGACTAACTTGACTGTTGACTTACACTTAGCCTACCGCTATAGATAAGTATTATCTACTGACTGACTTGACGCGATGTCGGTGGGGAACTCTGAAGCTGCTGCGGACTTGCCTGCCCGCCTGCCTACACACCGCCCAGCCCATGCATCCCCAACCATGGATCCTCTCAAGCTTGACCAAACATCCACATCTGTTCCCTGCTCCGAGGCCTGGCTTCTCTGGGTTGATCGGGTATATCATCCGGATATCTATCGAGAGTCCATCTGGGAAATCCACCACCGGTTCCCCAGGCGTTCAGCCACCCACCCGGTAAGGCATATAGTAGATTAAACCCCGCGACCATCTTCAGCAAATCGCCGTTGGGGGATCAACCCTTGCAGATTTGCCGCCTCCAAGTGACGGGGTTACTGCAGTGACGGGGGGATGGGGGGGGAGTGTACCGCATAGTAACCATAAGCTCTGTCCTCTTCTCAGTTCTTCAGGGCAATGGGCCGGCCATCTGCAGTGTGTACTTGCATAGTACCTACGTTAACCTACACCTGTCAGCCAAGCCAGGGGTAGTACATCGGTCACCATGGGTGCTGCCCGTAGCCGAAAGGAAAGGGCCCTGGCCGCCGGGGAGCGGTTCGGCCCTAAACCGCATTGGGCCGCCAGGGAGGACTCTCTCCGCCCGGAGCAAAAGAAGACCAGCTGTTGTGTTCCCGCTCCAACTCTCGCCTCCACTCTGCTCAACTTCCCTCTTTCCCCCCCTCCCTTCGTCATTCGAACAGGGCCATGATTTGAGATTGCTCCTTTGTCGGGCAACCTTTTTCCTGCCACTCCCCCTCCCCCTCGACCCTTCACCATGTCGTCCATGCCTTTACCCATCGCGGTCGACCCGGTCGCGCTGGTGATTACGGAATGCATCACCGTCACCTCGGCCATGCGCAAGCATGCTCGCTGGGCTCATTCGTCTGTCTCTGCCATCCTGGGCGGAGGCGCTGTTTCCCGGGTCTACGACCGTGACACGTCCGCCCCCCCAAGCCCCCGCAATGGGGCTACGCCTCCCCGTCCGAGGTCGAGAATGTCGTCCGCCGATGAGGACCATGCCCTGGCGAACCGATGGGGCCTGCGAGGAAAGAAGGGCAAGAGTATGCAAGACAACCCTCTGATATCTGCCTTTGCCAGGCTACGGAGCGACCTGAAAGGTTGCAGAGATATCCGAACCTTCGACGCTCCCGCTTTGCTTCACCCGTTTCTCCAAGTTATCCGCTCCTCGTCGACCTCCGCTGCCATTACCTCTCTTGCCTTGGTTGCCCTGACCAAGTTCTTCGCCTACAATATCATCAGCCGCGATTCTCTAAGGCTCCCCATGGCCATGCAACTCCTCTCCGCCGCCATCACCCATTGTCGGTTCGAAGCCAGCGACTCCGCCGCCGACGAGATCGTTCTGTTGCGAATCTTGAAATTGATGGAAGGGATGCTGTCTCGCCCAGAGGGCGAGCTTCTCGGCGACGAGAGTGTTTGCGAGATGATGGAAACCGGTCTGAGCATGTGTTGCCAGGTCCGTCTCTCGGAGGTGTTGCGGCGGTCCGCTGAAATGGCCATGGTCAACATGTGTCAGGTTATCTTCATGCGTCTGTCGCATTTGGAGATCTCCGAGTCCGACGAACTAGTATCACAGCTTCCGATGCGCTCAGTGAGCGAGCAAACTAATCTGAAGATGGACCCTTCAGTAGACGGAGATACGGTGACTTCGCAACATCCTTCCGCCATGGGCTCAGACACAGGTGTGACTGAACGAGAGCGTGGCAGTCGAGACGGGTCTCCTGATCAGACGCTTAATGGAAATGCCGTCGCCGCCCCGCCAAATCCACAGGACGATACCGGCGACGAAGTGAAGCCATACTCCTTGCCGTCCATCCGTGAACTGTTCCGCGTACTCATAGACCTTCTGGACCCGCACAACCACCAACATACGGAGCCGATGAAGGTAATGGCATTGAGGATCATTGATGTCGCCCTTGAGGTCGCGGGTCCTTCCATTGCTAAACACCCCAGTCTGGCAACCTTGGCGCAAGACGACCTTTGCCGGCACCTCTTTCAGCTGGTGCGGTCCGAGAATATTGCAATTCTAACTGGCTCCCTTCGGGTAGCCGGGACATTGTTGTTGACTTGTCGCCCTGTCCTGAAGTTGCAGCAGGAGCTCTATTTGTCATATTTGGTCGCCTGTCTCCACCCGAAGGTAGAAATTCCGAAGGAGCCAGGGATCAATCCGGCCCTATACGACGGCGTACCGCAGGTGCCCAAGTTGGTGAAGCCTTCCCCGTCGCAAACCAACAGTGGAAGGTCCACGCCGGTTCCGGTGAAGGATAGGCAAAAGCTGGGCTTAGAAGGAGGCTCCAGAAAGCCGGAGACCCGGGAAGCCATGGTAGAAAGTATTGGCGTACTGGCGCGCATCCCGAGTTTTATGGTGGAGCTTTTCATCAACTATGACTGCGATGTTGATCGAGCGGACTTATGCGAGGATATGATAGGCTTGCTCTCACGCAGTGCTTTCCCGGATTCGGCTACGTGGAGCACAACCAATGTGCCACCGCTGTGTTTGGACGCTCTTCTTGGTTACGTCCAGTTCATCCATGATAGGCTTGATGATGAGCCGGTGTCTGATGGTTTCCCTTCAATCGACCAGCTCAGGGGCCAGCGCAGGACGAAGAAGCTTATCATCCACGCCGCCCAAAAGTTCAACGAAGACCCCAAAGCTGGGATCGCTTATCTTGCATCACACGGTATTATTGAGAACCCAGATGACCCTGCCCTTGTTGCTCGGTTCCTAAAGGGGACAACTCGGTTGTCAAAGAAAGTCCTGGGTGAATACCTGTCGAAGCGTTCGAATGAACAGCTTCTCGATGCATTCGTTGAACTTTTCGACTTTGCTGGCAAGACCATTGTCGACGCTTTGCGCGATCTCCTGGGTGCTTTTCGCCTGCCTGGCGAATCTCCCCTTATCGAAAGAATTGTTACGACGTTCACCGAGAAATATATGCAAAAGGCTCAGCCTACCCAGGTTGCGGATAAAGATGCTCTGTTCGTACTAACATATGGTATCATCATGCTCAACACGGAACTTTACAACCCGAATATCAAATCCCAGAACCGCATGTCATGTACGGCTTTCGCTAGGAACCTTCGAGGTGTGAATTCGGGTCAGGATTTCGCCCCGGAATTTTTGGAAGAGATCTATGATTCAATCAAACACAATGAGATCATCTTGCCGGATGAGCATGACAATCAACACGCATTCGACTTTGCGTGGCGGGAGTTGCTGCTGAAATCTTCTTCTGCCGGAGAGCTGGTGATTGGTGAAACCAACATCTACGATGCGGAGATGTTCGCGGCTACCTGGAAACCCGTTGTTTCGACTCTGTCCTATGTCTTCATGTCTGCTTCTGACGACGCAGTATATTCCCGAGTAGTCACGGGTTTCGACCAATGTGCCCAAATCGCTGCCCGTTACGGGTTGACGGATGCCTTTGACCGCATTGTCTTCAGTCTTTCATCTATTAGTACGCTTGCTACCGAGAAGCCTCCCAGCACGACTCTCAACACGGAAGTGCAGGCTGGCCAGAAGAGCGTCATGGTGAGCGAGCTTGCGGTAAAATTCGGCCGTGATTTCAGGGCCCAACTGGCCGCGGTGGTTCTCTTCCGTATTCTGGCTGGCAACGAAGCTGCAGTCCAGCAGAGCTGGTCGCATATCGTTCGAATCCTTAGCAACCTGTTCATCAACTCTCTTATTCCCGCGCTTGGTTCTAGCTTGAATGCCGAGCTTGATATTTCCCCCATCCCGTTGCAGACCCCTTCGCAGATTGTGGATCGCGATGGACGAAGCACAGAAACCGGACTTTTGTCTGCGTTCACTTCGTATCTCTCCAGCTACGCTGCCGATGAGCCTCCAGAGCCGTCAGATGAGGAGCTGGAGAATACCCTGTGCACTGTGGACTGTATCACAGCTTGTTCTACGGGCGACATCCTGGCCAATATCAAGTGAGTATTTATATGTTTCACCCCTCTTTGTGTCCGGGTCATTCTAACGCGTGTTAAGATCGCTTCCACTGGAGTCGGTGGCGATGGTTGTGGAGGCGCTATTGGCTCAGATGCCCGAGGAAAGTGCACCGGCAGTCATTGTCGTGAAATCCGAAAGACTGTCGGCTGGCTCAAGAGCGTCCAACGGCAGGCCCGATGGCAGTAGATCTAATTACGATCCCGGAATGATGTACCTCTTGGAGATGGCGACTATTCTCACCCTTCGTGACTTGAAGACCCTGGAGACTCTCGGTGAGAGACTCTTGACCACTCTGCAAGCCTTCATTCGGGATGCAAGAAACGTTCACTCTTTGGCATTGTCACGGATCATCCATTATCTGCTCAACTTGCTGCGGCTGAGCCATGTATGTCCACTTCTTCCAACCAAATTTAATCGTACTAACCTTCTGTCAGGATCAACCTTATATGCGGGTTCCTGTGATCCTGCATGGCATCTCAGGTTTCGACCAGGACATCCTGGAAAGTGTCGCGGTTACAGTAGTTAACAGCCTGTCGCGGTGCATTTCAGGGCCCGGGCTTTTGCGGAATGAGGTCACTGTATCTCCTGACTTCTGGTCCATCCTGCAGAGACTGCTCCAACACAAGGAAGCAGCTCCGCTGGTGTTTGATTTGCTTCAAACGATTGTGGAGTCGGATCCTCCTATCATAACGGCCGATAATTATGAATCTGCAGTTGGTCTCGCAAACGAATTCATCAGTGCCGGTAGCGTGGGCTATATCGAAGAACGACAGAGGGATGCGCAAGGGCGGCGCGTTAAAGGTGCCAAGCCTTCGAAATCAAGGTAGGTTTCTCACTAAGCCCGTTTGCCACACATTGAGATCCCCAACTGACAAGGACTGGCAGTGAAAATGAGGTGGTTGCACGTGGCGTGAAGGCCATTGGTTTCGCGCTTCACTTGACACGGCGTGTCCCTACTTTGATCAGGCAGTCGCATCTCGAAGAAAGCGAAGGTTCGTATATCCAGTTCTACGATGTCGCGGGACTTCAACTGATGTGATTCCCAGCTTGGTCTGCCTACTGGTCTCCTATCTTCCAGTCCTTGACCGCGCAATGCATTAATCCATGCCGAGATATCCGCCACCATGCAGTCTCAGCGCTACAACGTACTCTCCTTTCTCTGGAGATCAGCTCCACGGAAGACCAGGAATGGACCGCCATCTTCGACCAGGTCCTTTTCCCCCTTATACAACGGCTACTAAAGCCGGAGGTTTACCACTCGGACCCTGTGGGGATGGGCGAGACCCGAGTGCAGGTCGCTATCTTGGTCTGCAAGATCTTCCTGCGCTATCTCGATCAGCTTCCGAACAGAGACAGCATGCTCGATTTGTGGCTCAAAATCCTGGATATTCTTGACAGGATGATGAACAGTGGCCAAGGAGACAGCCTGGTACGTTGGCCGTATCTGAACCCTAACCGGAGCCAAGAACTAACTCCCCAACAGGAAGAGGCCATCCCCGAAAGTCTCAAGAACATCCTCCTCGTCATGGCGGACGGAGGCTACCTTGTCCTGCCCTCTCAAGATCCCAGTAAGGAGCCGGTCTGGACGGAAACTAAAAAACGCATGGAAAGATTCCTGCCCGACCTGTTCAAGGAGATCTTCCCCAATGTTTCGGATGAGAAATCCGCACCGGTCTCAGCAGCTCCATCCCCGGCTCCGTCCACTCCCGCCGAACCTAAAGATCCAAGCAGCGCGGAGGAGCCGACTGCAACGCCTACAGCTCCTACAGAAGCCGGAGCTGACGGGGCTACTGAGGAGAATGGTCCCTGAGTGCGACAGGGACGTTGTAATGAACGAAATCATCTGCTTTTTATGTACCTCGGGCATTTTATAGCGTGGGTTGTCCGTTGTTTGCTTTTGGGCTTGAAGCCGTGTGTTAAATACCTGTACCTGTAAATATATAATCGAAGGGAACGCGATGAAGAAGAAGAAGAAGAAGAAGAAGAAGAAGAAGAAGGAGGACCGGTTCAGGGTCCAACCAACCACCAGCCACCAGCCTTCACACTAAATTGCGGGGCAGCCGATCCCTCGCCGATAGTACGAGCTTCGCTGGCTTCCCCATCATTTTATGCACTCCATGCACTCCTAGTTGCAATCCCTGCCTCTCCCCATAGCATGGACCCCCTCTCGATCTCCACTGGCGTCGCTGGCCTAATTGGTCTGGCCCTCCAAGTCGCTCCAATCCTCCACGCCTACATCTCCGACGTCGCCTCCGCGCGCACTGACATCCAAACTTACCTCCGCGAAGTAGACGCCCTCTCCCAGGTCTCGGAGCTCCTCTACTCTTTCATAGATACATCTGCCGCCGTCAATGGCCAATTCCAAACCACTGAGGCCGTCCTTCTCCAGACCATCAAATCATGCGAGACGTGTCTGTCAGATCTCGTCCGCATGTTGAACAAACCGACGAGTTTATCCAGAAAGCTCCTCTGGAGTATGGAGAAACAGAAGGTGGAGAGCATCATGGAGCGGCTGAGGCGGTATACTCAGCTGTTCCATTTTGCGCTGAGTGTCGAGGGGTGGTATGTCCAGCACTTTTCCAATCCTGATACTTGGATGAGGTACTGGATGATGTAAGTTTACTGATGTGTACAGGGCTGTGCTTTCTCAAACGCCGGCAGAGGTGACGGCCATCCTGGAAATGCAGATGCAAATGTCGAAGAAGATGCAGGAGATTGTTCGCGTGACGGAGTCGGTGAAGGCCTATCGGGAAAAGACGGAGCAGGTGGCTACCATGTTGGGGCATATGCGTCTGTTGTTCGCGGATGAAGGTGGGCGTCTGGCGGAGATCCAAGAGACGGTGGAAGATATCAGTCGGGGGATGAAAGGTAAGGTTTTGCTGGATACTTCTCATGAGATCGTGCTGATATCGGGCTAGATGATCGGGAGATGGAGATTCTTGAGTGGTTGACCCGCGAGCAAGGACCGGGACGTCACCATGATATTCGATCACGGAGGACTTCAGGGACGGGGAGATGGATGTTGGAGCAGCCTACTTTCAAGGGTTGGGTAGAGCCTGCGTCCTCGACTCGTCTCTTGTGGTGTGTTGGGGGACCAGGCTGCGGCAAGTCCACTCTGATGTAGGTACTCCGGAAGGTGAAATTGCGGTGTTTGCAGTTCGTTCATGCTCAATCATTTTCAGGTCCTTTGTGGTTGATGAGCTAAAGGAGAAGTCTCTAAGTCCTGGCCCTGAAGCAGCTGTCGCCTATTACTACTGTGATTATCGGGCTCGCACCACCGAGCCACTTTTGCCGGCTTTGGGAAGCCTCATTAAGACTTTCTTGGAGACCTCGTACAGTCTCCCAAAGAGACTTCAAACGCTGTTCAATGCTTGCCGCCGAGAACGTCGACCACCCATGGTATCTGAACTGGAAGGCATTTTGAGTGAGATCTGCGGTTCTCTTAAGTACCCCTTTGTTCTCATCGATGCCTTGGATGAGTTCAGTCCCAGCGACCCAGCGCAGACAACACACCTTACCTGTCTTTTGGATACTCTCGCCCAGAAAGGTGCACGGGTGTTTGTGACAAGTCGCGCTAGGCCTGAGACTTCACTTTTATCTCCTGGCTATGCTGTTGTGAATTACACTGCTGACAATGCGGATATCAGAACTCATGTCGCTCACGCTCTCCATACGGACAACTCGATGATTGTTCTCTTGGACAACCAACTAGAAGAGGATATCAGCAACACTATAGTCTCTCAAGCTAGTGGAATGTAGGAGAAGGCTGTTCAGGAATCTGTGAGATGGTTGCTGACTGTTGAACTAGGTTTCTTCTGGCAGTGCTGCACTTGCAGAATATACGGGGCCAAGTGAGTCGAGCGGGTATTCGCAGAAGCCTCTCCACCATGAGCCGGGACCTGGGAGACGCATATGACAAGACTTTCGAGGCCATAGCAAATCAGTCCCCGTCCCAACGGCAGCTCGCTTTTGATGCATTACTGTGGGTGGCCTCTTCGTACCGGCCCCTGAGTGCGCTGGAGCTCCGCCATGCTTTGGCCACGCAAATCGGAGATGCCAATTGGGATATCGACGATGTATCCCCTCTAGGCCTCATAGTCAGAAGCTGCTGTGGATTGCTCTCGGTGGACGACATGAATGATGACCAATCTGAAGTGTGGCTTGTTCATCATACACTACAACAATACCTTCAGTCCCGTCAGCCCACCTGGTTCGCAAGAGCGCATGAAGTCATTGTTCAGACCTCTCTTACATGTCTTCTTTTCAAATCATCTGGTCCACCAGCTGCAACTGGAACCAAAACCTCTAACTCTTTCGCTGAATCCCATGCTCTCGTGCCATTTGCTCGAACATCCTGGGGGTTTCATGCTGCGATGGCACCCCTTGAGTCATATCTGAAGCCCGCGATGCGCCTTTTCAACGATAAGCCGAAACTCCATTTCCTCTACCCCGACAACCGATGTATTTCCGGACTTCACATTGCTGCCGGATTCGGCCTGACAGATCTGATCCTGCACACGGTGAAGGATGGCTTGGACGTCGAGACATTCGATGGTAACCATCAATCCCCTCTTCAGTATGCCTGCGCCTACAATCATACAGAAACGGCGCGTCAGCTGCTCAAACTTGGGGCTAATCCAAATCACCTCAACGTCAAGCGTGATACGCCTCTCTATCTTGCCGTGGGAACCGGAAACAAAGAGCTGACCACAATCCTCCTCGATCACGGCGCATTGCCTGGCCAACTCGCGCGAGACAACTGGGTGCCGCTACATAAAGCAGCCGATGCAGGGTATTACGATTTAGTCAAAATCCTCGTACGTCGAGGAGGTTCTATATCTAGCAGATCCGCCAAGGGCGTAACCGCACTGCACCGCGCAGCAGGGCGAGGTCATACCGAGATCATGGCATTCCTACTATCCGAAGAGGCCTCCATAGAGGCAACGACCCACGACAGCTGGACTCCACTCCACGGAGCATCATCCAGCGGACAGACCCAAGCCGTGACACTGCTCCTTCAACACGGCGCGAACATCAACCACCGCAGTCTAGACGAGAAGACACCGCTCCATCGGGCCTGCCGGGGTGGTCACCTCGAGACCATCCAGACTCTTTTGGACCATGGCGCAGACATCATGGCCCAAGATGCAGACGGAAACTTACCCATTCACATTGCCGCTCGAGAAGGCCACCCAGCAGTCGTCAAGCACCTTCTCACCCAGAAACCCGAGCAACAACTCCAGCACAAGAACAAAACCGGGCTGACCCCCCTCCTTGAATCCCAATGGAGTGGCTCTCGAGACACCGAACTCCTCCTTCTCCAGCAAGAGCTCCCAACAACCCTCAACAACATCACATCCCACGCAACCGATGACAACAACGACTCCCCTACTACCCCCACACTCCTCGAAATCAACACTCCCGACGCCATCGGCCGCACCCCCCTCCACCGCGCCCTCCACGCCTCCTCCTACAGCACAGCCGAAGCGCTCCTCACCTTCGGCGCCGACATCAACGCTCAATCCCACATCGATGGATGGCACCCCATCCACTTCGCTGCTCTCTCTGGCCCCGCGGCCTGTGTTTCCCTCTGCATCTCACACGGAGCCGACATCAACGCCCGCACCACCCGCGGCCAAACACCCCTCCACCACGCCTGCCGCAAAGGAGACGAAGAAACCGTGCGGCTGCTACTCACAAAGGGAGCGAACATCAGGGCCGCAGACGACCGAGGCTGGCAGCCACTTCACACCGCCACAGATGCAGGCCACGAAAAGATCGTTCGGATCCTACTAGAACACAAGGCACTACGGGTAAGATGGGAATCAGAATCATTCCAAGGGTTTGCGGCAGATAGAGGCCATTATCATTTAGTAGAGTTGTTCCGCGAGTTGAGATACTCGGGTTAGATTATGGTTTTCAAAGCGCTCTAGCGCTGAGAAACTCTAGATTAGGTCCTACAAGTTACATAAATTGTGGGCTTTTTATTGATCGCGTTCTTTTACCCATCACGTGACTTGATCTAAGTTCTTTGGAAGCACTTGATAGATCTTTAAAATGCTTGATTGGGTCTTTTGAAAGACAGAGTCCTTTAGAAGCGCTTGATTTCTTTAGCTATACAGGATATTTATAACTACATGCTTCTATAAATGCGTTACATGGTGTTTAGTTACCAAGGCGATTCGAAACGCCTTGGGCAGGGTGGGGGGGGCAGGACCTAGTAATTTCTGGTTGAGGATTTACAGAGTTCAATTACTTGAATTGATGGCTAGATCGAGACTAAGCGATCAGTCCTTATATGGTCAAGTGGACTTGTCACGCGCTAGCTCGCTAAAGACATGAACTAATCGTATATATAGTAGTAATAGTAATAGTGGTGGGAGACAAACACCAGAATAGTAGCCAGGAAGAAAGAAAGATCCTGCGCAATGGTCCGAATTGAGATATTCAATTCCATTATCTATACAGACAAGCAAGAAGAGAAAAAAGAAAAAAGGTGGGGGTCAGAAAGAAGAAGCAAGGCAGGTATCCCGTGGATATTAATATGAATGGTTCACATAGCACACGCACATGTGCGCAGATGCGCAAAGATGAAGAAAGAAAAGAAAACAAAGGAGAAGAAGAGGTAGAGTGGTACAGTTGGGAGGCAGTTGAGTCTAGTCATTGTTTCAGTCGCCCATCAGGTTGGGGTGGCTGTACAGGGGAGACGATATTGAGTGGGAATGTATGAATGTGTTGACGGAAGGATGAGGAAAAGGTCAAGAAGTGGGTGATATCAGGCTATCATATGGTTGGTCCATCTCTGTGGGATGGGAGGTTGTCATTGAGATTGCAGGGCAGCTATTCAAAAGATAAGGATTGGTATACAGGTAAAGAAGAACTAGTCGGCATCCATGTCGTCATCGAGGTCAATAGCATCCGGGTTGACCGGAGCAGCCGAGGGCTGCTGCTCCTGGCCAGCAGGAGGTGGCCGGTTGCCACCTTCGGGGCCGGTGCTGGCGGCGACAAAGCCCACGGGGGCACGAGCCTGTCGCTCCAAGGCCGCCATTGCGTCTGCGCGCTCCGCCGCGGCGTCCACACCATCTTGCTCGTCTTGGCCGCCGTCCTGGGTCCGTTGTTGACTGCGGGCGATGGCTTGGGAAGCGATGAAGTTGACGTCGGTGCTGAGAAAGGATTAGCCATGAGCGGGTTATTGGGTTAGTGAAGTAGATCACATACTTGTATTGTGCCTGAACGCTGCGTTTGACACGGAGCATCTCCTTGAAGGTGTCCTCGTTGCCGTGCTGGACTTCGAAGGCCTCCCATTTCTGCCAGAATGGCGCGTTCGTCCGGGGATCGCAGAATTGAGACGCGTGTCCGTAAATCGCACGAGCCCGGTCGATCTCTCCGAGTCTCCGCTCCATCTCCGCAAACTTGAGGCACATTTCCTTTGCTTCTTGGTCCGGCAAGGCAGCAATGGCCCGTTCGTATATGGGTCTTGTGGATGTTAATCCGAAGTTCGACGCCGACTTGGTGATGTAGAATTCGAACATCTCGAACCGGTCCTCGTCGGAGACAGCACGAGTAGCACGCTCGTAGATTCTCATTGCATGTCTGGCCAGGCCGCGCTCCTCTTCCAAGTTTCCATACATCAGGTAGAGTGGCTTGGCAAACTTAGGGGGGCATCCATCCAAGGCCTGTTCGAACAGGTCTCGTAGTCGTTCAATGCCGATCTTGCGGTCAACTGCCTTGGTCAAGTAAAGGTTCCACAGCTCAAACGCAACCGGGTAACTGAAAAGATCCAAGCCGCGTTCGTAGACCTTGAAGGAGTCCTCGAAGTACTTGTTTTCCTCCAAGAGATTGGCGTAATTGACAACAGTTTGAGGCGTGGCGATGCGCAGCTCAAAGATCCTTTCGTACACCCTCTTGGTCTCTTCGAGCGAGGATACACTTTCGACCAGGTCGACATAGAAACTCCACAACTTCCAACTCTTGTGCATGCGCTGCTGGGGTGACAGGTTCTCGTCAAAGTAGTCCACGGTCGACTTCTTGGGGGCTTGCGTTGCCTTGGCCATGATCTCCACGGCCTTGTCGAAATTCTCGCCCCGGAGTTCCATCTCCGCCCACTCACACCATGTCTCAGCGAGCTCCGCAACTGATTTGAAAGGCACCTTGACAGCCTTCTCGAAGATGACCCGTGCCGTGTCCAAATCACCACCGTTCTCGTAGAACTTGGCGTAGTTGACCCAGAGCTCGGAGAATTTGCCGTGGGCCTTCTTGGGGTTGATGGCCGCGATGGCAGCTGTGTAGGTTTGCACGACCTCGTGCTTGTTATCACCCCAGAGTGCCACTCTCTTCTCCCACTCGATGACATTGTTGGGATTCTGCCGAAGAAGCACATCATTGACCAAGAATGGTCGTCGATCCATAAGTTGCTCGAAGCGCAGCATCCGGAGATCAAGGTCGAAGTCAGCTTCCTCGTCACTTTGTCCTTTGTCGGTTCGTCCAGCCGCGGATTCCATCAGACTTCCGATAATAGACTCCTCGAATTCGGCGTACGCGTCGAAGACCAGGGTGAAGTCGCGAACGGTCATGACAGTCGTGATACCCTCCTCGAAAACATCCCGTGCCTTCTCGAAGTTGCCTCTCGTGATCCAGTACGTTGCCAAACCAGCCCACAACTTGCCTCTCTGGTCTGCAAACCGATCGATGCCGCTGCGTAGGATGGCGTCGACATCAATCCCGACCCGGGGGCCAGTCTCAATCTTCTTCGCCTTCGATACCAACAAGTCGACCATCTCCGTCCACAGCTGGAAGTTACTCTTTCCCTCTTTGGACTGGAATCTGGGGTCATCGAGGATCTGCATGTATCGCTTCACGGCCTCCGTGTACTGGCCCATTTCGACGAGTAGTTGAATATACTCCTCGGAATTCTCGGGGTGGATCTGCATGTAGCGAGCCCAAATCTTCACGGCCGTCTGGCCCGACGCGGAACGCGCGAAAGTCTTGTAGAGCTTCCAGATGCGGTTGTGTTGTGTGATGGGAAGAGCTCGCAACGCACGATCGAACGTCCGGCGAGTCTGCGTGACTATCGGCTGCTGAAGCATAAAGGCGAGGTACAGCTCCCATATCCGCGGCATTTTGTTGAGCAGTATGAGCGCGCGCTCGAAGAGCGCGTTGACTTTCTGGTATTCGGCCCGGTAAACAGTCGCGTTGCGGCCTCGTAGGTGGTTTGTTCGGAATTCAAGATACTGCAGTGGTCAGCTGCATTCAAATCGCACCCGTGTGACATGGGGTGAAAATGAGGGGCTCCGAGGAAAAAAGGGAAATAGAAAATTCCGTACCATCTTCCAGAGCTTGTATGATCGCGGGAGTTCTCTGCAGGCACGCTCCATGACCTATGGGTGACAAATTAGCACACGTAAACTGAGACGTCACGGCGATGAGAACGTACAAAGGCTTGCTCGTAGAGCGTTCCATGTTGCTGTTTATATTCGATGTAGGCGAGCCATGGCTTGATACTACCGGGATTGCGAAGCAGATCCTGTTCGTAGACAGTATCCTGATCGGCCTGGAATCATACCACACGGTTAGCCTGGGGTTTCCTGCAGTTCAATGCCTTCCCCCACTTACAATCAGGTAGAGATCCGGCCCTGAGGCCAACGTTCGGTCCATTTGAGCGTGTTGCCGGTGGGATCTCGGGGGCAGGATTGTCCCTGGCATTGCGCCACTCGATCGAGCGGGACCAACTCACACGGTCAACACTAGATTCGCAGAAAAGGGGCTTCGCATAAACGGGGGCAAGCTTGTCTGGGCGCGGTTTGGAGAAAAAGCGCCGAAGGCTGCGGGCGATGAAGTCGGAGGCCGGGCACGTGACCGGGTGTCATGCGGCCGTACAGATTACATACAAGAATCATCCAGCAAGGCGGGCTCGGCTTGGCCCGAGCGCCCCATTATCGCGTATCGTCATCGCCTACTTCGCTGCGCCCTCTCGCTGCTGCTATCGTGGCCTCTGTTTGGAGTCGCCGTTTTTGTTTTTGGTTTCCCTACAGCTCTCCGTCATGTCGGGTGCCGTGGTACGTCCCTCTCCTTTTCTCATCTTTGTTCCCAGAATCCTTGCCGGACCTCCTCACTGACTCCCCTCTCTATACAGGGCCGTGAGGCCGTCTTCCCGACTCGCCAGTCGCTGGGGTTGATGAAGGGTAAACTAAAGGGTGCGGAGACTGGACACAGCTTGTTGAAGCGAAAGAGTGAAGCTCTGACCAAGTATGCATATTCCTGGAGCTTCAATTGAGCTGCCATCACTGACCCCCGCGATCTACAGGCGCTTCCGGGGTATGATAAGCCACCCTCCTGAATATCCCCGCCATCTCGGACACTGACACCGGATCCCAGAAATCACTCGCCGGATCGATGAAGCCAAGCAAAAGATGGGTCGGGTCATGCAGATCGCTGCGTTCTCCCTCGCTGAAGTCAGCTATGCCGTCGGAGGCGATATCGGCTACCAGATCCAGGAGTCCGCCAAGCAGGCCCGGTTCCGTGTGAGGGCCAAGCAGGAGAACGTCTCCGGTGTCTTGTTGCCCCATTTCGAGAGCTACACCGAGGAGGGTATCAATGACTTTGGCCTAACGGGTCTTGGAAAGGGTGGCATGCAGGTGCAGCGCTGTCGGGAGACGTACGCCCGGGCAGTGGAAACTCTGGTGGAACTTGCGAGTCTACAGGTGGGACTACATACCCTCGCGGCTAGACACAAGGCTGATACTGTTATAGACTGCATTCGTGATCCTAGACGAAGTCATCAAGGTGGTGAACCGCAGAGGTACGTGCGCCGTCGGAAATTAGTCCCCTGATCTAGCTAACTCGGTCACAGTCAACGCCATGTAAGATATTCAGCGCTCACCTAGCGAACTCAGCACTAACCCATCCCAGCGAGCACGTCATCATTCCCCGTACAGAGAACACCATCAAGTGTCAGTATGCCCTCCCCCGTTGTCTCCACCCGACTAACGCAATCCAGACATCAACTCGGAGCTCGACGAGCTCGACAGAGAAGAGTTCTACCGCCTCAAGAAGGTCTCCGGTAAGAAACAGCGCGACACTGCCGCCGCCGACGCAGAGATGCTGGCAGCGCGCCAGAAAAAAGAGGCGGCCATCAAGGAGGCGGGCGCTCCTGTGGAGGAAGAAGAGGCGCCTGAAGCTCCCGACGTGCTCGGGGAGCAAGAAGATGCCGACGTGATTTTCTAGGTGCTGATCTGTTTCGTTTCGTCCTGTAACTAGTACCTACACTTCTAGCCTGTAGCAGTTCTTCTCGTCATTCATATGCCCGATTCCACCCTACACGGCAGCTATTCCCTAGCCAGAGCGACAACGGTTACCGAACATATCAAACAATAAGTTCTTTCCAGATACCAACCATAAAGAACAAATCGAATAGAGAAAAAAGAGGATACGTAGACACGACAAAGAAAGGAATAATACCCACCCCCAACGCCAAACAACACACAACCCACAATCATTGTCTCTGGTAGGTAACGCGAATCGGCTTGGCCGCCTCGCCCATGGGCATCCCCGATGTCGCCTCCTTCGCACTGATCGCCCCGGACTCGTTCTCGTACTCGACGAACGCAATGCCCTTCCGCCCCGGCACCAACCGCACCTCCTGGAATCCTTCGAACCGTCCAAACACAGCCGTAAGACTCTCCTGGTCCACGGTATCCGGCAAGTCGCGCAAGAACAGAATCTTGTTGGGAGGCAGATACTCGTCGGGAATAACAGCCGCCGCAGCCCCACTGGTCGGTTTGAGACCAGCTCCCTTGGCCGTCTTCGCGGGACGACCTGGTTCCGTGGGCGCGCCGACTGGAGGACGCTTGAGCTTTTTCTGGGCTTCGAGGGCTTCGTGTGCTTGTTTGCGTTCTACACCACCAGCACCCAGCCAACATTAGCCTTTCCCATCATACACAACACAACAAAAAAAAACATAGGGAACAAGGGATCGTACCCTTCTCCGCCCCCCTCCTCCTCTTATGCGCCTCCAACTCATCCTCCCCACCTTCCCTCAAAACCGTCGCATCACTTCTCGTCTTCGCATAATCCAACACCATAGGTTTATCGAAGAGCTCGAAGCCATTGATTTCGTCGATGGCGCGGGCGGCCGACTCAACGCTATCGAAGACAATAAACGCCTGGCCTTTCGCTTTGAGGTTCGTTTTCGCGACGATTTCAATCACGGTTCCGTATTCGGAGAAGATCTCGTCCAGGGCTTCTTTTAGCTGGTCGACTTTGATGCGCTCTTCGAGGTTGCGGACCTTTTTGGTTGGGGGATTGGGTTAGATTGGGTTGGTTAGGGAGGGAGAGGGAGGTTGTGGTACGTAGACTCTGTGGAGGTGGGTTAGTTAGGATTAGGATTATGATTGAATGTTGCGACGCGGATGGGGGGGTGGGATTAGTGGGATGGAGATGGAGATGGAGGGTTTGACGTACGTGCAGTTCGGGGGAATGGTCGTAGGCGCTGTTACAGCCGCCATGGTTGCTGGAGTGTGGGCGTGGTGGGATTGGGATTCGACTGGATTGAATTGAGAGCTACCGGGACGGACCTATCTAGTAAGTAGGTGCTGGAGATATGTCGGGATTAGTCCCGGTGGATGGGCGCCGCTTTAGTGGGTGAGCTTGGGGTCAGGTGATTTGCTGATCGCTGTCAAATATTTGTTGTAGTCCATAATATTATTAATATCAGCAGTTCATATAACAACAGCATCATTGGTCTAGTGGTAGAATTCATCGTTGCCATCGATGAGGCCCGTGTTCGATTCACGGATGATGCACAGCAATTTCTTTTTTTTGTTTTGGTGTTAATGTTTGGCTCCTCTGATATTTTGACACTTCTTCATCTTTTTTTAAATATTTTTGATGGGAGGTATCGAGTCTATCTAGAAGTGACGCTGCTATTTACACTTCAATGTCTCCCTCAACTTATCTACTTGCTCTTTCAGTTGTTTCGTCGGCTTGCTCCAATCTTCAAGCTTGACTGCATCCACCTCGGTTTCCATGAATAGATACTCGGCCACAGTGTTGCGAACCTTTTCATCGTCAGCATGGTCCCTAGTAAGACCAGGTCAGACTTACTCTAGGGAACGGGTGCAAGAGCATCGCCGTCATCTTCTTAAGCACATCCGTATGCAGCTGTTCTATCCTTGATAGAGGCGCATATGTGCGCACGGCAGCTTCGAGCCGTGCGATATTTGACGATTTGAAGTGCGCTTTTTGAACGAGAACGAATAACCTCCGTAGACTGGGGGTGTTAGTGTACCTTGTAAGTTCTAGAGAGAGGGAAGTCTACCTTGGGACCGACTCGTCGGGAATGGAACAGATAAAGCCGTCCAATAAGAAAGCTAACAGCTCTAGCACGGGGATCGCATATCGGTCATCCTGCAAATTCTCGCCCAATATCGTCGTTAAGTCCGTGATGATAGCCATTGCTGCAGTCTGCTGCCCTGTCTCTTGGATACTCTGCACCAAGGCGGAGCGCGAAGACCGGATCAGTCCCTCGCTGCCGGCAACAGCAGAGGTTGCGAAGCCTTGGAACAGAGGTTGTCGTAGCCAATCAATGTCCTGCAAATGAAGCAGCTGTAGCAGATACTCCACCGTAGATACGTGGCTGAAGTGCTCATATTTTCTGATGTAGTCAGTATCCATGCCCCCACGATTCAATGGAATTCGCACCTTGTTAACGGCGGGAAGCCCTGAGCTGTCTCCCAAAATCCCTGAAGGCAGGTCCAAGCCTGCACACGTACTTTGTCAAGCTTTTCTGCTGCAAGTCGGCAGAGACATCCGACAATTTCCTGAACCCTAGGTGCTTGATTGGCAGCTGACCGTCTTTCCAGGGCCGTCTGAGCGGCTTGAATCGCTTCAAGCCGGATCAACGATCCGATATCTCCACGCCTGTCAGTTGTATAGTCATTCAAGAAACGAATGAGATGATCTACAATATCATCGGTCACATCTGCGAATATCAGTTGCTGTCGAACTGTCATCAGAAACAAACATACCTATGTAAGGCAGAACGCCGGTAGCCAAGCTCTTGACAGCGGCTACTCTTTTCTCGATTAGTTCCTCCTTTTCTGCACACTGTATGATGCTATCTATAATGGCCTTTCCAAGAAAGTTGTCCGGCTCGATTCGTCTAAAGACAGTTCCCAGGGCAGTAATCTGACCGCGACCCGTTGGCAGGTTCCAAGTTGTATGGATGTGTGAAAACCACCCCAGGATCATCTGGTCCTGTTCCACAGGTGGCAATAGAGGAAGTAGCTCTGATACTGCATTGGAGGAGCTCTCGATGGAAATGTCTTCGCCCCGTGAAATGCAAAGCGAAAGTGTTTCGCGAGCTTTGTCAAGCAAATCCGCCGATGGGTGAGGAATCCGCGGGTCGTGTGCCAAAGTAACCGAGTGAGCAAGAGAATAGATCAGGCGTGAAGAGGCTTCTGCCGTCAATTCTGGGCGGAAAGTTTGAAGCGTGAGATCGTCTTTAGTAGGTCCAATTGGAGAGCCAAATATCTCCCAGACTTCGGCAACTTGACTCAGAATATTCGTTGCTTCCGATTTATTGTCATCATCCCTCACACGTTGGCTGTTGAACGCATCAATCGTGGCAGTAATGGCCAAAAGACAACCATGCCTCGTCTCCACATCACTGCGTGGAATGCTAGACAATCTGCTCAGTAGGCGCTGAAAAACTTGTTGCATGGTCTTGTAAGACTGATGCGTGCTCAAGGCTCCGATCGCTTTGGCTGCATGTCTGCGAGACTCTGCATCAGGGGAGCCAATACCGCGCCAGTGCATCAATGACTCGATAAGGGGGCTCCAGTAGTGGTGGCTGAGATCGGCTGTTGCTTTGGCGACGTCAATCATCGCTCGCGAACGCCGAGCAACCGCATGGTAGTCCACAACCTGTACGAGCGATATACCCTCGGCAATTGTATTTGGGTGACGTCCGATTAACTCTTGCAGTGCTGCAGAAGCTCCCCTCCGAATGTTGCCGGAAGGGTCAACGCACGCGGCGCACACCAGCTCGATGGCGAGCATTTGCAGTGTATTTTCCTCCTCGCCTAGTGCCGTGGCCGTACTGGTCGTCTGCGGTTTCAAGGCAAGCAGTTCCTGGGTGGTGTACTTGCGGGACAAGGCCCAGATTCCGAAACACGAGGCATCACGCACACCGGTTCCGACAGAACTTCCAGTAGATGACCGCTGTTCGAAGCCAAGACCCGAGATGAGCGGTTGAAGTACATCGCCAAGTCGATGTGTAGGGGGGGCACGACGAAACAGGAGATGGCTAAGCGTCAGGATCAGTCCCTGCCATCTTTGAGCGTCAACTGCGCTCAAGTTTCGTTTTAATGTATGAATCCCGATTTTCCGTGCCTCCAGCGGTGTCACAATGGCGCCGTCCCGCTTTTCATACAGAATGTTCTCCTCCAAAGAGCCGGTGACAGCCTCAATGACCTCTGCAGCCATGTCCGGGTCCAATTTCAGGGTGATGATACTCAGAGCCTTGCTAGCCGCGAAGCGCACGGGAGTATCCTTATCCGCAAGAGCTACGAGGAAGTGATCTATGGCATCCTCCAATATGGTGGAAACCTGATCGTCTGAGATCGCATTACTTCCCCTCTCACTAAGCGACAAGGCCATAACGGTTACCGCACGCAGGATCTTGATGATAGTCTTCCGTGCCAAGGCCGACGAGTTGATAACATCGGAGACCCCTGAATTTCCCTGAACAACCCGCAAGGTCTGTTCAAAAACAGGAGTCACCAGCGGCGCAAAGTCCTCCACTTGACCCGAAGCCCCCAAACGAGCGATGAAAGACAGCACACCAATACAAGTGTAGACAGATGGGGGCTCCGCGCTACCAGTAGGTTGAACAGCCGAGAATGCCCAGTCCGTCAAATTGGTCAAAAGCCCCAGTGCCTGCATATCGCGCCGAAGCACAAGTCGTGCCAGGAGAACGGTGGCAGCTTCGCGCTCCTTTCCGGAGACGTTTACGTAGTTCAATGCCACAGAAAGAAGCGATTTTGTGACCGTGGGTGTCTGAGCGGGGAATCCTTTCAGTTGTCCTAGGTTGTCATACGGAATCGGGATATCGTCCGATGACATCGAAGCCAGATCAAAGGGAGCAAGCAACAAGTGTGAGATCCAGATCAGCATCACATAGCGCTCTTCCCAAACTAAGCGCGGAGGAATGTTCCCAATACCTAGTTCGGGTTCATCTTGGGCAATAGCGTCCCATTCAATGAAAGCCCGTAGCAGCGGGTCAAGATACTTCGGTTCATTGTTCAAGAACCTGCTAATGACTTTGACGCCGCGGACCTTGCAGAAGGTGTAGAGTAGTCTGCAGATGGCTCTCGGGAGAGGATACGCTGTCTGCTGTCGCTGTGAACCAGCAGCCTTGGCCGCGTACTGATCGCGATGCTTGAGCAAGTATGCCAGAAATGCATCAACTAAAGGGGGCAGAAGTGTTGACAAATGGGGGTCCAGCAGCTGTGGCCACTCTTGAAATGGCTCCAACTGTTGATATGGTCAGCAGGTCCAATGTGCCTCCTCATATGCGATAGAGCAAATCAGGGGGGAGTGGTTTGAAAGGCTTGCTTACCAGGCCTACGAGTCTCTCCGTTTTTGCGGCTGGGGTCCATCGCCGTGGAATGCGAGTATTTCCTTGCTCGGGTTGGGATTTCCAGAGCAGCGATGGTAGTTTCGCGGAGAACTCTTGGACAAGATCGCCAGAGGCGCGCTGAAGCTTGACCTCTCTGTCCTCAGCTGCGTCCATGACGGATTGCCAACTAAACACAGCGAAGTGTCGAATACGTTGAGGTTTGGAAGTTGATCGATTCAATCGATTCAAGGCTGCGGGGATGCTAAGGTGGCTTAGTCAGCGTATACACACCACCCTTTGAGGGACAATGCCATCATATACATGTTGGATAATACTATATAGAAATCCGTGCTAATATAGAAAATAGATGTGTATGGTATGCTCATCAGTCAATGGCTTTTTTTGGCTATTCTAACTTCGAAAGTTTGATCGGTAGTAGTGATAGTATATATTCTTAATCGGCTTGTGTAGTTCGGTAAGGAATTTCAATTGACAAAAAAGATACTAGTAAGTATACTAGAAACGCAGCTACTATACTAGACAAGCAGAGGAACTAATGACGCAGACTTTGTTCCTAGCAGTAGTGGCAGATGTCATACAAACTCATCAGTTCAAAGCTCCTAAGCACTGATGTACACTTCTACCCCCGTCTCTATTTCACCCCGAAGACAACCATAGCATAAAACCCAACGGATCTCTGGCGAACACTTCATCCCAGGCCGGAGTCATAGCCACTTATCATCAAAACTGCTTATCGGTTCTCCTGGCGCCTGTAGCCGGAGGCGGAGCCGGATTCGGGTCTTTGGGCTTATAGAAGGCCGTCACTTCTTTGCGGCGCGGGTTTGGAGGCGGAGGAGGCGGAGGCGGAGCTGGACGGCGGCTCCCTTTTTCTTTGCCCCCCCGGGCATTGACACTCTTACTGCTTTCTCTCAATCTGGGCGACCCAAACAATCAGGATGAACGGAAGGAGTCAGTCACGTACTGGTCCGGCATGCTATTGTGGTAGCAACAATCGGAAGGTAGAGATCAACCGCTGCAGTTGTAACAAGGGCAACGCGGAGGAGTGGGCTTTATAGAGAGGGAACACTTCGCTGAGCACGCCTTGCCTGGAACGCAAGTCTCATAAATCTCTCAAGGTCTGGTGATCTCAAGGACAGATCCTTTGATGTGACTACACCCCAAGCCTTGCCCATCCTGTCCGCTGTTGCAGAAAGCTGACACCCACCAACACGAAACTAGATGAGGAATCAATATACGGACGGCCGAGATTTCCGCCCCAGGGACGCAAATGCCGTCAGTCAGCAGATGTCATAGCCTCGTCTGCCGCGAGAAAAGGTCTGCTAGTGAGTAGTGGCGCGAGGACTTGCATATGCTCAGCGGATTCCTCGAGTTTCATTGGCAAGAGCTGACCTCGGGATGCGCTCAGGCAGACTTGCTCCTTGGCACTGGTTCGCCTCATTGAAGAGGACAAGAAACTGCCAAAATGAGGCTGGCACGAGGTTGTAGCATGTAAGTTGGGGGATGGGCTGTTGTCGGCCAGCTTGAGAAATCATCTAGATGATACTTTAATCACCTAATCCGAACTGGTTGACTCACCACTTCAGATGAGCCCATCCGCGCGATACTCTCATGGCGATTATACAGTTGGGTGGATATCCGCCCTCCCACTTGAAATGGCTGCAGCGGAGGCGACGCTGGATGAAATGCACCAGGCTTTGCCAAACCCTCCACACGACAAAAATGCCTATACACTGGGCGAGATCGCGGGCCATAAGATCGTGATAGCCTGCTTGCCAAGTGGGCAATATGGGACGACGTCAGCCGCGGTGGCGGCACAGCAGATGTTGTCAACTTTCCCCTGTCTTCGTTTCGGACTTTTAGTCGGGATCGCCGGAGGCATTCCGAGCAAAACAGTAGATATCCGGCTGGGCGATGTGGTGGTCAGTACGCCAACAGCGACTTATGCAGGAGTCGTGCAATACGACTACGGAAAGACCTACCCAGGGCACTTTGAGAGAACGGGGATGCTTAACAGGCCACCCGAACTCCTGTTGACAGCAGTTTCCAAATTACGTTCCAGGATTTTAAGGGAGGGAAGCGTGCTCCAGGAGACCATCTCACACATGGTCGAGAGAAACCCCCACATGGGCAAGGATTTTGGGTTTGGGGGGTGGCAGGATCAGTTGTTCAATGCACACTACCCCCATCTGGAATCAGAGTCGACCTGTGAGAAATGCGATAGGTCTCAACTGGTGTCCCGGAAGCATCGCCCAAGTGATGGCCCTAAGATTCACTATGGGCTTATTGCTTCAGCAAATCAGGTGATGAAGGATGCAGTTGCTCGAGACAGGCTTGGACGCGAACTGGGAGCCTATTGCGTGGAAATGGAAGCGGCTGGCTTAATGAACCACTTTCCATGTCTGGTTGTCCGAGGCATTTGCGACTATGCAGATTCCCATAAGAATAAAGAATGGCAAGGCTACGCTGCGGCTGCAGCTGCGGCGTATGCAAAGGAGCTGTTTACCGTGATTTCCAGGGAGGAAACACTGAAAATGCACCATGCTGACTTCCAGGATTCCAAATTGACTAGTATGGGGGAACCACATCCCAACGTCGCAATTGTCAGTGAAGGGCAAAAGGTAGATTCATCAGTATCTCGAAAAAGCACGCGACAACTGGTTCGTCAGCCCAGCCCCATCCGCCATTCACAGCCCTTCAATTCATCTTCCCGGCTACCATCATGCGATCCCAATTGCGGTTGTTTCTGCCACAGAATGAAATCCCGCAAAACTTGGAGGACTTTTTGCCTTTTAGAGAAGTGGGTTGGAAAAATTCACATTGTCACCTCCACTTCTCCAAGCACGTCCTATTGCCAATATCCTTGTCGTAATGATGGAAAATGCACGGTTGAGATTCGCTATGCGGGTCCAGATTGGTTTTGGCAGGCTACCGTACACGCCCTACTCACGAGATCCCCGCTGGGGCGTCCTTCATTTGGGCTCGCTTTGAGGCGACGAGTGGGATACTGGGAAGAATACAGCATCACCCGTCTGGTCGATGAGCGTGATATAGTAACGATTCAAACCCTGCTGGGTCAAGGAAAGATCTTCATTGATGACCTGGAGCCAAAGTACGGTGTCACAGCACTTCAACGAGCAATCCAGTTGCAGGATATTGATCTTATAGAGTTTCTAATCCAACAAGGCGCAGACCCCGACATCCCTGATGATATGGGCACGTCTGCGCGGGACGAGGCCACATTCTCCTCCCTCGCATGCAGCAACAGTGAGCTTTACTGGGAGTGGCACCAAAATCGGCTTCAAAGCATCATCTCGATTGGCTCGCATCTCGATGAATGGAACCTCTCCTATCTCCATGAGGTCATTCTGAAAACCCACAGTACAGACCTCTCGGACGCTCTTCGCGATAGAACGATTTGCTCGCAGCTGGAGAGCCGTGATCGACAAGGACGGACCCCTCTGCATTGGGCGGCCATTCGTGCTGACGCGGATTCTGTCCGACTCCTGATCCATGCAGGGGCCAATGTCAACGCCCTCGACAGCTACCATAAGACACCTCTCCACTTTGCATCCGAGACATCCAGCTTCGAATGCTTCGAACTTCTTCTCAAAGCAAAGTCATGTCCAACTTCCCGCACCCTCATTGGAGAGGAGCCCATCCATAAGGTGTGCAAAACCCAGGAGGATCCGATCTTTCTCCTAAGGCTGTTGGAGTTCGGCGCAGATGTGAACTCGCCCGCAGATGGAACCAGTGGAATTACTCCAGTGACGGCGGCAATTACTGGTGGTCGGCCAGCTGTTCTTGAAGAGCTCATCAGACAAAACGCGGATCTATTGATGGCTGATGGAGAGGGCGACATAGCCTTATTTGAAGCTGTTATGTGCGAGTCGAGCGAATGCTTACAGGTACTCCTAGAACATTCAACGTCTGACAGCACGCTGCATGCCAATAAGCGAGGCATGAACGTTCTACACCTGGCAGCGCTGTATGGAAGTGTGGAGATATTGGAAATTCTCGCAAATGCAGATCTCCATGGTCTGGATCCAGACGCAAAGGACAGTGAGGGTTACACAGCACAGGATCGAATCCCTGCTAGTGCTGGTGACGATTTGCGGCAAGCTTTTGACGCAGTTCTTGTGAATCTTCGCAGGGTGGGCGATTCTGATCAGGGTGAACAAGATGAATACTTTGATTGTCTGACTGATGAATCATGAAGAAATATATATCAGCTCGCATTAATTCTGTATGCAATTTCCCTTTATTTCCCTTACCAGCCCTTTATATTCACTAAATCATACAATACCCCTTAGAGAAGGAAAACTGTCACTTGCCACAGCCAGGTAGTAAATATCATTCCAGTTACTGTCTGATCCAGTGAAGCCACTCGACAAGGCTTATTTAAAGACCCAATTCCCCGGACAATCTACAACCTAAACCCTCTCGCCCAGAAGAGGCATCATGGTCCGATACTTACCACTTTCTTCATAACTTTCAATTCTACCTATCTTGATATCAAACCGAGATATCTAATGAAAAGATCCCATATCTCCTCCCGCACCAATACGCAACACTGTAATGCATGGATATATTATCGTGCATACCAAATGTTTCGACCATAGAGGGAACTTAAGATCGACCTGCGTACCCAAGGGGCCGTTTGACCAGCTGTTCACCAAAGAACAACCCTACCTTCCGATCTCCAGGAGCTATTACATCCCTTGGGAAACCCATTAACCACGTTTTCGTCTTCGTTGCGGTACCTCTCCCCTGGCCTGATAAATGGCCTACCAGAGGGTCAATCAAGTACATTCTGTGCTGATGGAGAGGGAAAATATTCGAATCGAGGAAATTCAACGAGAAGATGGACCTAGCAGTACGAAGTTTATACTGTGATTGGTACATGCCTCAACTATCTGCAAAGTTGGATGAGCTCCACGCAACGAAAAGCAGCATCTGTTGGATGCGTATGGGAAGACTGAGACAGAACAGTTCGAGCATTAGCAGAATTCCCTCCCTATGTTGTGGGCTCTTCTGATATTAATCAGGGACCAGAACGCAAAATATGTGTGCAATGATGCATATCAGCCTCAGACTAATATGTTACAGCACGCAACTCCAGTGAAAAGCAGGGAACAGAACCCGGAGACAAAAACGCTGGAAACACCATCAAGTTTAACCAGCTGAGTGTGAAAGACACAAACCAGGAACTGAAGTACATTTAAAAAGGGGTGCCAGAAGATAAACTGTTTAAAGGACAGTTTGGGTCCACAATCGGGACAAAACTGTGACTTTGTTATATCACCACAACCACCACCATAATACAGTGTCTAGTTAAGAAGCTTTGGAACCACTTTTTCAATCGTGGTTATCAAGCCATATATATGTATGAATCCGGAGCTCTGAACTCGTCTAACATATACCTCGCTGAATGCAATCCGCAGAAAGCGCTGCCTGGCTTGATAACAACGATACGTACAGTGGCTATCTCCAATGATCAATAACTCAAGGCCGGCTTCTAGACCATGGAAACCATAGCTACAGCACATACAGCCCACCGAAGAGTCAATCATGCTGGCCGAGGCATTTCAGCAATAAATGGATGGACTACTGCCTCGAATTCCAGCACGAAAATAACGAAGAAGCATGCCGGAAGCTGTATATTGCCAGTGTCGAATCCCCCAAGCTGCTCTTCATATGGACCAACACTAAACTTCGACTTTGGCAGCCTGTTGCGATCCACGCGATCTATCAATTCCGCCCTTATAAGTTTCCTCTGCTCCGGCGTCATCTTGAATATCGTCAACATCCTCGGTTATTCTTATCGGCTCATACTAGCCAAGTGATGATACAAATTAATCCATGGGTACTGTAGGGGCGGTTGCCCATTTCGGGTAGGAGACGCGCCTGCCTGTTCCGGAGACCGATGGTCCCCTAGGGGATCAGCCCGTTCCCCAACTTTCCTTCGTCATTCATCACTTCATCAACTCTAGTATCTAGCTACACAATACTACCATCGATTTCATCAAATTCGTCGTTAGTTACGGACGTTAGAACCCACAGCACTAACCTAGGCCTACTGAATACTGATGACTTGGAAGATCATACAGAATACCTCTAATAATAATAATGATACATTTCAGAGCGCGCAGTTAGATAAGATTCGCTATGTGGAAGAGATAGTCCATAACTAACTTATATTAACATGTTTATAGGAACGATCAGTTCAGCACTTAGATAAGAAAAGAATCCTGTCTGAAGAAAAGTATATCAATAAGAAAGATCTTATAAATATGTTGAACATGAGAGACATCCTCATATTAGACAGTGTAAAAGTATGTAAAACCGAAGAATCCCTCTGTAAGGAGATTATATAACTATAAAGACAAGTTACCGAGTAACAGACATATATCCAGGTTTTAAAAGGAAACATCACGGATGATATAGAGCAGAAGCAGCATCATGGATCTTGTAGAGGATGCATAGGCTGTCATTGGTGAGTGGCTTATGTTGTTGACTTGGGATATTATCTTCAGTTCGGGGTCGGTTCTGCTTTGTCCTTGGGTTTTGGTGGGTACTGTTGCTGGTTTTGGCCGGGTTTGGGTTACTTGAAGGGGGTGGGGCTTGGATGGACATAGAATGAGGGTTGGTGTGGGTTGGAATATATCAATTATTGAGTAATGAAGAATGACATCTATCAGAATCAAGCAAAACCATACCAAACACGCCAGAATATTTCAATAAGCTAAGCATAAATCATAATTCATATCGCGTAACTCTACAAAACGGTAACTATACAAAAGCCCAATGATAAAAGCCCAGCAATCAATGTCGAATGATCAAGATCAATATCAAAGATCAATGTCCGAAGCGGACGGACTACGCTCATGATCATACCCCCGTTTCCCCTCCTGCGCGAGCGACAGCATCGTCCGACAGACAGACACCACCGTAATCGCAATCGCAAGCGAATTCCACACATCCTGGCCACGTTCAGACAAGTCAAATTGGCCCATGAATCGGCCCTGCACTTCACCGTCTCCAATTTCCTGGGGATCAGTGCTGTGGGTCAAGATGGCGACAATGGGCCCGCAGATGGTGAACCCTATAAGAAGGGGGAACTTGGCGGGAGTGGGCTGTTGCTCGTGTTCGCTCGACTCCGATTTCAAGTGAGCGTCGGTTGTCACGCCTAGGGCTTCGTGGTGGCGACGGACAAGATTGCGGAGTTTGCGGTTCATGTTATGGACGGCTTTCAGGGTGGATTCGCCTTTTTTCTGGTCATATATCACATGTACAGGAACCGCACCTTTAGCGGTATGTAGATTGGCATCGAATAAAGCCCAGCGGATATAGTTCTTGATCGCTTGCTTGATCAAGGGCTCGGCTCGTTGGCGGAGAATCTCGCAGTCACGCACACGACCACCGACGGCGAACAGGTTCGACAAGGCTTTGGTTGCTACATGCTTTATCAGTAACATCCAATGGAAATAAATTGTCAAGATAACTCACCATATGAGTTGGAGCTTCGCGTGACATCAATAATCGGCGTGCTATTCGGCTCAGCGCCCCGAGGATACAAAGATTCAGGTAGCGTCGGAAAGTCATGTCGCCAGATTTTTGGAAGGACAGGCTCAAAGCCGCGCATGGCAAGTCGGAAAAACAGATCCTTCTCTTCAGAATTGTATAGACCCTCCGGCACGTTGATTGCGCTGGCCCAGCGTTTGGCCCTTTCTACAGAAAAGTCAAAGACAATCCCCGTCGTCTCATTGTGACGAATTGGACGATCCTGATATTCTTCTTCATCGTCCTCCAAGTGGGACGACGCTGCGTGCTTGCTATCACTCGTTCCCTCCCGGCTTCCCTGCAGTATAGGAGAGATAGCTTTTTCGGGGATATACTCCGCATTGTCGCCTGTCTGGGGCTTGACCGGGGCGCGGTAGCGACGAGTAGGTGAAGACAAATCCCGAACATTGTTTGTAGTCTTTGTTAGGAGAGACTCGGGTGTTGGATATGATGCATGGGATGTTATCTTTGCGTCCTCAGACTGCGAATCAGGCTCTTCCACCTTCACAGGATCGGTTTCTCTAGACGGGGTGATGGGGAGTATCGGCTTCTTTGCCTTCTCGGGTGTCCGCAGAGGAGCTTTTTGTGCGGCGGTATTTTTAAGCACATTCCTTCTCTTATAAGTCCTGCCTGAGGGTGCAGTCGCTATGTCGCTCTGGCTGTCATCGCCATCTTTGTCCTCCCCCGGAACGTAGGCAGCGTCCACATCCCTTTTCCTCTTTGCAGGCTTCTTAGCAGCAATGTCAATGAGCTCAGTGGGGTCGACCTCGTTCGCATCTGGAGCAGGGTCATCATACTCTTCATTGCCGGGGACGTAGGTAGCATCCGTATTCATTCTCTTCTTCCTCGCCTTCGCAGCAGCGTCATTACGCTCAGTCGGGTCGATGGCCTTTGCATCAGGAGCCAAGTCGTTGTCCTCATCTTCTTCTAGGGTGTAGGCAGCATCAAGATCCTTTTTCCTCTTCTTGGCCTTCTTAGAAGCACCACCATCCAGTTCACCAGGAACAACCTTCTCATTCGAGGCATCATCCTCGTCTTCCTCACTTCCAGGCATATAATTAACATCCAAATTCCGCTTCCTCTTCTTACTCTTCCTAGCATCATCAATATTTAGTTCCCTCGGATCGACTTCATCCGCACCAGACACAAATTCCTCATCCTCCTCTTCCTGCTTGATGTCTTCCTGTAGAATATAATCCGAATCCGGAGCTGACACGCTGCTAGCAAGGGAACTTCCCGGGGACCGGGATCCGACACCGGGACTGCTCATCCGTGATCCCCTCGGCGAAGATATCAAAGAAGCGAGTCGCTGGCGGAAGCTCTGTCCGGAACGCTTTTTGAAACCGGATGACACTTTCTTGACGATTCCGCTTCGAACCAAGCGACGACGAGAAGGCGATGGTGGCGATGGAGTAGAGTCGCTTGAGAGGGTGTCGAAATCTGAGGAAGAAATCTCCAGAAGGTTTGTGTTAGATGTAGAAGGGGGGTTATGAGAGGGATGTTGAGGAGGTGAGAGAGATAGATCAGAGAGACTCTGAGAAGATGACATGATGTCTTTGTTTGAAGAGAAATCGCGCATCTGCAGAGGTGAGGGCTCTTTGGGGGAAGCGTGGTTGGGATGCAGGGAAGGGGAGGACAAAGAGGAAGTAACGGGAGGAGAGGTGCAACCAGGAGCAGCACACAATGGCCGGTTTGTGAATGAAGGGGATCCTAACACATCAGGCACTCGGTGAGATGGAACAAAGAGTGGCTTTGTGCCTGCCTTCAGACCTCTATCAGCTGCACACAGGATTGGATCTATTGAGTAAATTGTGCAATCTGATGCTGGCCGATCTACATTCTATTCTATCCCGATGCATTCATCCAGTCGTCAGTTCCGCGTCTTCCATTCAATCATACAGCATGAAACAGTGAGTTGAGAGAAACGCTGAAGCAGAATTACATTCCAGGAACGGGAAATCGCCCGCAAAGAAAAGGAATTAAAAACAGCCTAAGATGCTGAAGACATATAAGAGAAAATACTCCCCGTTCAACCGCTCCTCCAGCTGCATTCACAAAAGTCATCGTAGCGCTTACACCAGCTCTCAAAACTCTCATGGGTATGTGGGAATCTTTCCAGCGCAAAAGTGCCGAGCAACCGGCAACATCAAGAAGTTCGAGAAACAGATCGTGCCAAGCTTGACATCAGGTAAACGAGCAATCAACGCAAAGATAAGGGAACAGTCGCTCATGCGAAGTCGGCGGTGTACGAGAAGCCGCGGAACTCCTCTTGCATCGCCTGGGAGAGAACTGCACAAGGTGTTAGCAGTTGAATCGCCCAAAGAAAAGGACTGGTTCTTACCGGACTGCACGGGCGTCAGGACCGGAGTCACGCTGGTGAACTCCTGGTCAAAGTTGCTGGTATCGGTAGGGCTGCTGATGCTTGGCATGAAAGGCGGGGGAACGCGCTTATGATAAATATCATCCCAGTTGATGTTGCGGAAGAAGGCATGGGACATGACTTCCTGCGCATCCGTGGGGCCCGAACCAAGACGCAGTTCCGGCTCACGCGTCAGCAGCTTCTGGAGGATAGAGACCGAATCTCGGGGCATGTGGATGGGATACAGCGGCTCATCCGCGAGAATGGCATCGTAGATTTCATCTTCATCTTCACCGCGGAACGGAGACTGCTGCAAAAGCATCTGATAGATCAGTACCCCGAAGGCCCACCAGTCAACGGCCCGGCCGTATCTCTTATCCAGGAGAATCTTTTGCAGATGTTAGTAATGCATTCGGTTCGGATAAACATGCCACGCTTGACACTCACCTCGGGCGCCATGAATTCCGGAGTACCACAGAACGTGCTCGTCGTAGCTCCGTACCACATGTTCTCCTTGCAAAGACCGTAATCAGCAACCTTGATATGGCCGTCCAGGGTCAGCATGATGTTGTCGAGCTTCAAATCACGGTAAATGACACCGTTCTCATGGAAATACTTGAGGGCTAGAAGAACCTCCGCGGCGTAGAACCTATAAGGGTCAGTATCCCGCGCTTTCGATGGACAAATCCGTGACTACTTACTGGGCCCGCTTGAGACCAAATTGGCCGCGCTGAATGTGCAACATCAGATCACCACCGCTGATGTACTCCATGACGAAGTAAACACGAGTTTCGGTCTGGAAACAAGCGTGAAGATTGAGTAAAAAGGGGTGGCGCTCTTTGTTCGCGATCATGAATACTCGCTTCTCGGACTTGGTGCTTTCGACTTCATCATTCTCAATGATGAACTCCTTCTTCAAGACCTTGATTGCGTAAAGCTTCTTGGCGCTCTTGGTTTCCGCCAACATGACCTTTCCGAAGTTACCCTTGCCCAGAACCGCCAGGAAATTGAAGTGATCCAATCCAATCCGGACCTTCGCCTGTTGCTGAGGAACCTCGGCCGGCTTCTGTGGAACCATCTGCATAGGATCCTGTGTAGGTACACCATACGTGGGCGGAGGTGCGTGCTGGATTTGAGGCGGGATACCTTGCGGGGCATTGGCGTATGGTTCGTACGCTTTCGGGTCGTAGGTGGCCAGCGGCGGTGGCATGGGGCGACTCTGCTCGACTGTACATTTTTAGGTTAACCCTTTACTCACGGTAGAACAATACTGGAGGTGAAAACAGTGGAACCTACCTGGCGTCTGCTGTGGTGGGGTCATTCCTGTCGCCGCAGCGGCAGCGGCGACCGCAGCGTTCGACGACGACGTTCTCGGGGGCATTGGCTGCCTGGCAGCAGCTGTCGGGGACTGCGGAGGTGGATAGGAGTTGTTGGCCGCGCTCACAGCTTCAGCGGAAGGCTGTCGCGGGGGTGCTCCATATGGGCTCTCGCCAGGACGCTGTGGGTAGGACATGGCTGGGTTGTCCTGAGAGCCCCGAGAGGCACCACTGGGTCGAAGCGTGGGGCCACTGAGACCAGAGCTGACGGACGCAGTCTTGTGGTGCTTGGTGCGAATCAGGGTTTCCAAGATTTGGTTGGCTGCCTCCATGGACATACCACAGAAATCAGGCACCAGATGAGTACAGTGCGCGTGGCAGGTAAGACCACACTCTGCACAAGGTAAGTCAGTATACACCATCGCAGTAAGTTCAGTAGGACGTGGGAAAAGGTTAAGAAAGGGCACATACCGCTGCATCGCTTTGCATTCTTCCGCCCAAAGGGAAGCAAATACCCACAGTGGCAACACCAGTTGGCGGAGATATTGGAGAAACCTTCGAAACGATGCGGGATACGGTGGTTGATCTTTTCCTCGTCGGGATCGGTCTCATAGTTCGCCTTGCTGATACACTTGGTCACCACCTTAGGGTAGCACTTCTTATGGCAAGTGTACTTGCAGTCGGCGCACTGCATCCCGGCAGCGTATTTGAGGAAGTCGCCGCAGAGGGCACAACGCATGATGTTGTAGAACTGCTGAGTGATAAACTTGTGGCCCTGCTTCTCGTGGACCTCCTCCTTCTTCTGCCGAACTGCACCCTGGCGGTTGAGACCGATGTCGAACGGCCGTCGGTCCTTCAGCTGCTTGGCTACAGACTGTGTCAGTCCAACGGAGGTGCAACTCTCGAGCAATGTCCTGAAACCTACCGAAACTCATTGAGAGATAAATCCGACCCACTGGTTCCAGCGCGAACCACGAATCGATCATCACCTGGCCCCCGGCAGACGCGCCACCAGTAGCATCACCGTAAGCTTGACCCGAGCCCCCAGCAGGGCCCCCGGGTCCTGGCGGGTGAGACGAGCCCGGCCCCCAGCGGTATCTGGTCGTCCAGATGCGCCTCCATGCTCCATCTTGTCGGCAGATACCCAACCCGATGCGTTGAACTCGCTCTCGATCTTTTTACGACGCATCTCTTCAGCGATATCCGAGATGCGCACCCAGAGCATACCAATTGGAGTAGGCCGGTCTCCGGCTTTGTCATATACCGTAAGCTCAATCTCATTTGCTTTATCAATGTCGATGGTGAATGTTTCGTCCTGCCACCTGTCGATCCGCGTCGCTTTTGTCCTGGCCTTGATGGTATCCTCCACCTTAAGCACTATGAACGTTTCGGGGCCTCGGGAAAATCTCGAGCTAGTAGCATGGTCTACGTCCTTGACGGCATGGATCCGGAATGTCAAGAGCCCGGTGAGGGGCTTTCGCAGGTTGGGTGTGCTTAAGCTTTCATCTACGCGGAGGAGACATTAGCACTCGGAGGGCATGGGGAAGCGAAGAAGTGGGGGACGACCTCAATGCCAGTGATACATACCATCAGGGGTATCCGTCGATTCAATGTCGACGTGAAGATCTTCATAACGTTTGAGGGCCTGCTTGAGCAACTGGATCTTCTGGTTACTCTCAATTCGCCGACCTTCGGCGTCCGTCCGGCTCTTCCTATCCCCCTCATCCTGATATAGGCGAACCATCTTCTCAATACCGGCCTTGTACTGCTTCTCCACGCTCAGCTTGAATTCGAGCTGTGACAGCATGAGCTGGATCTTGGGTCCGAGGTAAGAAGTATCATATTTGATCAAGTCTGGAGAGGGACAAGGTCAGTTTGGGAGATCTACCGCTACCGCGAGGTGATTTGACTCGAGCGGCCAGATGGGAGACGTACCCAGCTTCGTGTAATTGGGCCGGGCCTTGGGCACGGGAGCGAAAGGCCGGGGGTCTGCGTATGGGGCCCCTGACGGCATGGAACCAGATCCTCCGTGCGGGTACGGCCCGGAGCCATCGCCGTACTCGTCGTTCCCACCATATCCCTGGGGATAGTCCTTCTGAGGGGTCATGGGACCAGCCTCAGGGTTGGGCGGGAGACGCTTATCGGTGGGGGAACCTCCTCCATCGCGACGGAGCTGCAGCTCCCGCATCTTCTCCTCCAGGTAAGCAATGTTCTTCCGGCCATCGCGGATGTTCGCATCGACTCGCTGCTGCACCATGGGATTATCGGTCGACTGTCGCATGTTCGACGCAGCGGTGATAAGGGCCTTTTCCCGCTCGATCTTGCGGTAGACCGAGGCGATGAGATCGTCCCCGTCCATGGTGAGGTGTCCGCGGACGATGGAAACCGAAGGGAAATTGGAGGAACTCGAGCAATGCGACCTAAGGGTGGAAATGAAGGTGGTGGGGTGAGAAGAAGGGGGAAAAAAAGGAGGGAAGAGGAAGAGGGGGGGAGGGGAGGTGGTGGTGGCCGACGATCGGGAGATAGGATGTTGTTGTGGTGGTGGTGGTGTGGAGGTGCAGAAGGAAGAAACAGCAACAGCAGCAATAGCAGGTGTCGCGGGGCTCTTGTTGACAGTTGCAGGGGGACAGGGAGGGGAATCCGATCGATCGCAACGGGATGTCAGGTCAGTCAGTCAATAATGCTTAAGCCACTCGGAAAACGTGAGACAAAATGGCCCGTGGCGATGACGGCTCAGACCCTCGTGTTGGTTGCTGGCAACCCAACTGTGGCTCAGGCAGTGCAAGTTTCCCCCGGAAAGAACTGGAGATTCGGCTGATAGGTAGACAAAAGGGAAAGAAAAAAACCGAGAGAAGGAAAGAAGATGAGGGAGTGTGAAAGCCCGTGTTGCTTATTCTTCCTTCTTCTTCGTTCCTTACCGCCCGGCATCAAGCCCTTTCTCTCCTTCAGGCAAGCAGTCACCGGCCGGAATGCGCATCAGCCACACTCCGTTTCCCCCAAATGGATCTGATCCATCATCGGCCAATTCACGGCCGGTAATGATGCAATGTTCAACTTCACTCGGACTGGATCCGGACAGGGTCTTCTACCACTGGCTCTGGTGGAATCCGTTTCAGCTTTCACCGGGACTTGTCAGTGACAAGCCCAGGGGCACAATCAGGGTAGGCCCACACACTTTTCACCACTTTGGATCATGCAAGATAAACTACCATTAACCTATGACGCGGTTTCCCTGTCTCTTTTTCCCTGTCTCTTTCAGCCCGCTACAGTCTCCTGATATCTACTAGTAGATAAACACTATTTGGTTTTCTCCCAAACCTTGGGCCCACTTTTCGACCTCACTTTTTGACCTCAATAAACAAACAACCCGACTAAGGAGACTCGACAAAAGACCCTGAAGTTTATTTCAGGGTTACTGAGATTCCCCAAGTTTGTGTGCCATTCCACTCCCTCTAGCTTGGCGACCCAGATCGATCCCTTTGCCCACAGTCACAGCCACTTTGAAATGACGTCGCTGAGATGAGGGGCCTGCTGGAAGATATCACCCCTTGCTTCAACGCACTTCTCTAAGTCCACATCTGTGTGTTCGATGGTCATGTGCCTCCGATCTACCCGTCAATGACTGCTTCGCAGGCACGTAATGCTATTGGGTGGAGCATGCACCGGAGACAGAGACAAAGGCCCGCGCAAAATCGAGAGGCAAAGACAAGAGCATTTCGCACCATAAAAGAGGAAAAGGAAAATCTCCCGAATTGAAACAGACTGACATGAACCAGAAAAATGGATAAATTTACGATGAACTTTTAGCATTAAGCGCTGCGCTGGATGACAAATGCGAGTACACCTTGCAGCAATGCAGGTCTATTCAGATCTCTTCGAGATATGGGGAAGAGACAGCCACCCTACAAGCATCACACCGTACAATCCGATGCATATCGGATGTAAAACATATGTCCCCACATTTTGTGCCAGCAAGCCAGTGAAGAATGGCGACACAGCGCCCCCACTGCTTCCCATTGCACTGATAATGCTCATACTGGACGTCTGCATTGAGCGCGGCAGGAGCTTGCTGAACACTGCGGTGGCGCAAGGATACACAGGTCCCAACAGCAGACCCACTATGGCGACAGCCACGGCATCCCCGATGATATTTGGAATGAGCCAGGTCATGAGTTGAAAGGCCATTGACCCGAGCACCAGTAAAACGACTGAAAGTTTCTCGCCGATAAGGTGGGCTGGATGGGAAAGTAGGAACCGTCCAACGGTAATGCCAGCCCAAAACCCTGCACTGACATAACCAACACGCGAGGGATCTCCGCGCCGATAACTGGTCAGAAATGATACAACCCAGCCGGAGATTGACACTTCCGCTCCTTGGTATGCGAAGATAAACAGGGCACCGAGTAGAGTGGATCGATCTTTCAAGGCTTGCTTAAGGTGTGTTCTGCCTGATGGGTTTGGGCCATGCGTCTGGCGAGAAGCGGTGCGGTGGAGAGCAAGCGACTGTACAGGAAAATCCTTCTCATATTTCCGGAATGACCAAGCGGCAAACGCCAGGTTGACTAGCGACATGGCCAGATTTATGCTGTAGAGGTATGACCATCGGATGCCATGGGATGCCAAAGCAGTCGCTACAAGCGGTCCTATAGTCCCGCCAATTCCGTAGGCACCACCAAGGCCCCCTAACGCTGCAGTGCTATTCACAAGATTCGCGCAAAAGACGTTGTTTAGGGCCAGGTTGATGGCTATGCCCAAGCCCAAGAGGAAGAAACTGGCCACGACTCCAGGGAACGGCGGCTTGCAAATGATGATCACATAGCCAGCCGCCAACAGACTCATAGAAAATGAATAAGTCTTTGAACGGCCAAGTCTCATTTCCAGGGCATGAGTCAACGGTGCAGCAAGAATAAAACCCAGCGCATTTGTCACGAAAATCAGCGACACGATAGCATAACCAATATCGTAGTCCGCTTCCATGTAAGGGATTAGGGCTCCCGGGGCGCTGTCATTCAGGCCATTGGCAAAGTTCATGAAGCAAGCACTCAACAGCCGCCATTTAGTTTGTGGTGGACTATACAAAGCAGGAATTGAGTCCATGGCTTCTTCCCCAAGCGAAGTGGGAAGATCCTCTATTTCGCCGGGCGTCACAGGCATCTGCATATCAGGAACTGGGTGAGGGGAGATATCATCAGTCGGCTGGCTGCGTCCTTGCTGGAGATCATCGAGCTCATGGTTTGAGGGGGCATGGGTAATCCCTTGCTGATCCTTGCGCAGAACCGGTGCAGGGCTTGTGATCGGAGGCTGGCTCTGAACATCGACTAGAGCACCTAAGGTTAGGAACGACATTGGGAAGGAGACTGCTCAATGAGAAGTGGCTATGTTTGTTGTTATATGATATAGGGAAAGGCTCTGGGAGAACCACATTTCTAAGGATGTCTGGGACCTGAGACTCTGGATACCCCCAGGGATCGGGGACAGCGCATTTTAGCCGTAGCGGTCTGGCTTCAGCCGGATATCTATCTCCCCGCGTGCCCCGCAACTTGGTGAAAGCCATGGGGATCAGATCCCGAAAGCCAATCAAGCACACGTAGGGTTGGCAATATGACAAATCCAAGCGAAGTGCTGAAAGAACGGTCTAGAACACGAGGCAAGGCGTCTTGGAAATCTGTTGCGCGACAGACCTGTCTCGCAACTTGAGCTCCGATACGGGAGGAACGTGATGCCGTCGACCCTCAACTCCGAAGGCGGATCACGGCCCTTCCATCAGTGAACCTGGCCAGGATCATGAGCTCTATCTGAAGCGCGAATGGTGAGTCCAGTTGACTATTGGGTGGAAAGTGGAAAGTGGAAGGTGAAAGATGGAAGGCGTATGGAAGAGATGGAAGGCGAGCGGAAGTGGGCCCCATCGGCCTCTCCACCCGGGGATTTTCTGCCGCCCGAATTTCTTCTTGCCTTTGAAGTTCTTGTGGATTCCAGGCTTCGAGCAAACTCTCCGACCTCTCATCCCCGTCAGACCTACGCAGGATAACAAAAATCCCATAGGGTGTACTTCAGAATGGGTCCTCCTCGACGCAAGGTACTCGCTACGGCGCAAGAGACCATGGTTCCGCCGGATGAGCTGCCCCAAGGCCACCTGATCGTACGGGCTATCAAGGCTACCGGGAACAACATCTACTCGGTCGAGCTCCCCTCGAAGGAAACCGTTTTGGTGGAGCTTCCTTCCCGCTTTCGTTCGACCATCTGGATCAAACGGGGTTCCTACGTGGTCGTCGACACTAACGCCCTCGAGGGCCGCGACAACAAACTCAAGGGAGAGATCGTCAATATCGTGCGCGATGAGAAGGCGTGGCGCAAAGCTCCGTTTTGGTGAGGAGACTCCAATCTCGGTGCAGGGACCACTACTAATCCTTTTGTAGGCCAAAGGAATTTGCTAAGCAAGCCGTTGTTATCGCGGATGACTCGGACGAGGAGGATGAATCCAATGTGGGCAAAATGCCTTCTTCGGACGAATCAGACGCATGATCTGGTGTCCTCTCTGGTCCTCCAACGATCGGGGACTTTCAGCGCATGGGCGTCAGGCGGTCGCAGCCCGACAGGGTCGTCCTACATCTTGGCCTCTCATTATGTCCCAGGATACAAGGCCATCGTGACTATGAATGAACCTGCAACAGCTTGATATCAATAGACTGGGTGTCACTTCTATTGAGTATGCTCTTTACCGCTATCTTTCAAACGCATGGTATCAAAGGCGCTGGCGCCATTCGCAAGGACGCCGAAAGTCTGGGCAGCAAGTGAGATGACAACAACCATGGAACTGAGGTCGGTACTGGGAAAGACGTTCCAAGCCCACTCTTGCAATGCCCATGTGAGGTACAGCAGGACAGGGTGGAAACCTGCGCGCCAGAGAAGGAAGGGGGTGGCCCAGGACAGATAGGCGAAGAATTGATAGTGAAGGGACCTTGCGCACAACAAGCCGACTGCAAGAGACGATAACATCACGGTCATGATGTAGGATTTGGAGAGGGATACCGTGCGTTGTTGACCCAGCAGAAGATTCTTGATGAATACGGGCAGGCTAGATCCGGAGGGCCTCAGCCAACCAGTGACAGCAAAAGCGCCCAGCAGAACAACATGTACCGCTAGCAGCGCCAGGGAGAACTTCTTGGATAGAAATAGTTCTTCGCCAACAAATCTCCAATTCACCGTCCATTTGAACATGAACTGTCTGGTTAGCTCAAATGCCCGCGAGAGGTATCCTGCCGGGTTATTATGTAGGAATGGCATTGCGAGTAACACCTGTATCAGAATTAGTCTAGTCCCAACGCACCTCACATCTAAGCACCGTCGAGGAGGAGTTATGTGTGCTCACCTGGATAAGCACCGCCCGAACACCAAGCCGAATGCTGGGCAAAAGAGACAGGCTGAGCACAGTGACCACAGCAATCGCCGGAGCAAGAAGCAACAGTGTCATCTTGACCGCCACACCCAGAGACCACACAATGACGGCAACAGTCCATTGCCGATTCTGAAACAACAGAATGGCAACCCACATAGCAAGCGCCGCCAGGCCATCGTTGAACAACCGCAGGACAAAAACGCTATGTAGTCGCTTGGAGAGAACTAGGAGCGGAAGCAGATACGGCGGAGCTCCCGACTGTCTATAACAAGCCAGCACCACCACAAGAGTAATCAAGTAGAGTACAGCGAAGAGGATCTGTCCGAGAAGAATATCGCGCCCCTCATCGGTGAGATGGTAGAGAAAGGTGTAACTGTACACATGGCCAGCCGGATAGACGAGAGGTCCAGTGGATCCTTTGATTAGAGTGTAGTCGCGTTCTCCAGATAAATATAGCGAGATTTGTTGCATATACGTAGTCCAGTCAATCTCGGTGTCTGTGAGAAACATCAAAGGGTTAGTTCGCATATCGCTTCATTGTCGCAAAGGAAACGGAGCTAGTCTTACAAGGCACTTTCCAGATGATCAGCGCGCAGAGAAAGGCGTCACCTAGGACTAAAAGCGGAGCGATCCATTTTGTGTGTCTGGGATTCAGACACAGATCGCGAATCTGGTGCTTCCAATCCATTGTGGAGGTGGTGGTTGAACTGGAGATGCAAGCAAGCATCTACATTGTACATTTAATGTGTCGGGTGGCCTCTTCCGCCGAAGAGCCAATGAGAGCTGCCCCGTTTGGGATTAGCGCTCGTTGACACACACACACCGCGCGGCCGAGTCTTCTGAGTCTGCAGAACGCGTGGGCCCATCGCCACAAAAATAGGAAGACTGTACATCAATTGGACTTGTATTCAATCGCATATGTGTAAATGTAAGTAACTCCTCATGGCAGTATTTGTAGGTACACTATCGATACAGAGATGGGTATATTGCTGCCGTGGGTTGATTTTCTGCCCGGCCGACAAGATCCGAAGCCAACCCAGTCGAAGCCAAGATGCTTCAATGGCCTATTTCATGGTATAATTCACATTTCCTCCAGTTTTTCCATGTCTCAGAACTCTGTCGGGACTTCCCGTATGCCAAGTGTCGGTTACTGACTCTCCCCCATCTGTTGTGACTGTGTGGGTGTCGGTGTCGGGGCATCCCCACGGTTCACAAAACCTAGCAGTTCGCCAAGGAGACCTCGAGGCTTTGGAACAGGGCACTCGTGGCCCGCCTTGGCCAATCTCTGTGCCTCCTCTTCCAATTGTAGGAACGTAGACACCTCTTCATCGGCAGTGGGCTGGGCTCGGACGAGCGCATTGTCGTCTGGACCGAGCATTTCGTCGTCCTTCCGGCGCCGTCTCCGAGTTCTTTGGATGGGCTGACCATCTGCCGACATTACCATCTCGGAATCGGCGAATGTGCGACGCGGGGCAGGACAGGGAAAGACGTGCGGCAGGCCAACAACGACCAGCGACGCAAGGAGCGTCCCGGCGAAAAGGGAGGATGTTGACCGCGATCGGGGGTGTAGATGGGGTGGCATGTTGGACGTAAAGGTGAACAATTGGAGGGAGTGGTCGGGAACGGGAGGTCAGGGTGACGATAAGACGTTTGCTAGGCGGGGACCACTGTCAGTCCAGTGTGAGGGTCCCAGGGTCCAGAGGGAAGTATCCTACCAAGCAATAAACTCAGATGCGAGAGAGAAGGCCCAAAAGGCGGCATGGCCTCTCCAATGGGTAGCGGGGACAAGAGAAGGACCGCCGGGGAAGCCGGGGAGGGGGAGGGAAAGGGAAGATGGGGAGAGCTGCTTGGAAACTGGAGGCAGGCATCCAGGCATTTGATTTCCCGGACTGGATGGATTCGGTCTAGTCTTGGCGATCAGATCTAATCTTATCTACAAACGTGCTGATTGGCCAGCGCGGGACCACGGCGAGTTGCAAAAGCCTCCAGCAGCCCAGCTTGCTATCACCACCTCTCGCCTCTGCCTCTCCCTCCCCTCCCTCCCCTCCCCACCTGGCCCCGTCTTGCTCGGGTTCCATTGAGCACTACATCCGATGAGAAAATGAGCGTTCTGTTTCTGCGCACTTAGCGGTCTCTCTTTGTCAACCTCCCAGCGCCACTCCCGCCTGCACTGACTCAACTGCCTCCTCCATTCTTCGGCCGTCAGGACCCACCCTCCCTCCTCCTGCTCCAGCCTCCCACCCAGCTGTTCATTCCGATCACCTCCTTTGCGCTCGAGCACCATGAGCGACCTCGACAGGTATCCTCACATCCTCTCTCCTGCTCCTCTCGAGCCGCCTCCACCTCCCATGTCCGATAACTGACCTCCCTTTCTTTGTCGCGTAGGGCGATCGCGCAATTACGCGCCTGCCGCTTGATACCCGAAGCCCAGGTCCGTGAACTCTGCTACAAGGCGCGCGAGCTCCTGATCGAAGAAGGAAATGTGGTCAACGTCGACGCGCCCGTCACGATCTGCGGCGACATCCATGGCCAGTTCCACGATTTGATGGAACTGTTCCGCGTGGGCGGCGACGTCCCCGACACAAACTACCTTTTCATGGGCGATTTCGTTGACCGCGGGTTCTACTCTCTCGAATCCTTCCTTCTCCTCCTCTGTCTCAAAGTCCGATACCCTGATCGCATCACCCTGATCCGTGGCAACCACGAGTCGCGCCAGATCACAACCGTCTACGGCTTTTACGATGAGTGCATCCGCAAATACGGCAGCGCCAACGTGTGGCGATACTGCTGCGAGGTGTTCGATTACCTCGCACTCGGAGCTCTGGTCTTGGGAGCCAGCTCAGAGCTCGACCCCTCCGGCCCCGTGGACACCACACAATCTACCGTGCCGCTCGATGACGAACTTGAGACGGAGATCCTTAACTCCAAAGGCGAGGTCACGATGAGCACCTACCGACCCCGACCGCAGTCCTCCGGCGCATCCACAGACTCCAGAGCCCTCTCCCCGCCACGCGACATCGCCACCCCCAGTCAGGCACCCATCAGGTCCGGAGCAGCGGGGACGGGAGCGTCCGGCGACTCAGGCGGCAGTCTGTCCAGCCGGACTGGGGCCGTTCTCTGCGTCCACGGTGGACTCTCCCCGGTGATCGACACGGTGGACAAGATTCGCCTCATCGACCGAAAACAGGAAGTGCCGCACGAAGGTGCGATGTGCGATTTGCTTTGGTCCGACCCAGATGAGATCGACGGCTGGGGTCTCAGCCCCCGCGGCGCGGGGTTCCTCTTTGGCGGGGACATTGTCAAACGCTTCAACCAACGAAACGACCTATCTTTGGTCGCGCGCGCCCATCAACTCGTGATGGAGGGTTACAAGGAGATGTTCGACGGGGGGATCGTGACGGTCTGGTCCGCCCCAAACTACTGCTACCGATGCGGGAATGTCGCCGCCATCCTGGAATTAGGCGAAGACACCAGCAACGGAGGCACTGTCGCCCGAAGCAATGGCGACTCCGGACGAAGTAACGGCCTCCTGGGACACAATGCGCCGACCGTGCGGAGTCCCGGAAGACGGTATCGGGTGTTTGAGGCCGCTGCGCAGGATACCAGAGGCATGCCTGCGAAGAAGCCTGTTGCTGATTATTTCCTGGTGCGTATTTTCCCATTGGCTTATCGAAAACACGCATACACTAACATGCCATATAGTGATACCATATGACTCCCACGACGATGCATAGTACTCCAAATTTTCCCCTCCCACTATTTGTCTTTGACTACGGCTGCATCTATGTCTGTATCTGCGCCTCCTATGCGATCCTATTCTATCCCAAACCATTTCATCTCATCTCATCTCATCTCATCCTGTCCCGCGTCCGCATTCGCATCTGCTAGTTATATAGGCCGGCCTGTGCATGAACATGACTTGCGTACTCTATCTACTCTTTCCTCGTCCTTTTCTTCTTTTCTTCTTTTTTTTTTCCCTTTCTTTTTCTAGATCTGTGTCGTTTTGCCGTCCAATCCTATTTCTCATCATTTTCTTTCTTTGTTTCAGGGGACTTGATTGATGACGATACACGCAACGTTCACAAATCCAGTTATTTCTATCCTTTCGTTTCATTTCACTTGATTTCATGACGTATGTGCGTGTCCCATAAAAGGGACTTGGGTTCAGACACCTATCTTTGTTTTTATTTTTTTATTTCTTTTACACTTTGTACCAATCATGACTGTTTGTTTGTTTGTTTACATCTTATATTATATCATTAAATATACTTGGTATGATTCAGGTTCGAACTGGTCGGTGTTGGGCATCGAAGTTAGATACTTAGCTATCTGGTTGGTTGAGCTTTGGCATGAGGGATGGAGTCTTGACGATCTACATTTGATATTAGGTGAGATTTCTCTCATGGAAACTATGCCGTCTGAGATCATTCTGCAGAGATCGTCCCCGCCCATATATGCATGGTCTAGAGATCTAGTAAATAGCCCGAAAAGATATGGCCTCTGTATATAGAGGGGGTGGCAAACCCTGGACGTGAACTGCAGGCCAGCATTACAGTTGTCATCCATGGCAGATCCAAATGCCCGACAGGAAGAAAAGAATACAAAGATAAACATTAGCCCAGGCAGTCATGCCATCTTATCGTAACATCATGAGTTGGATTTAGAAGAGCAACGTGGTGCGAGTTGGGGCAGTCAGCAGTGCTGCCGGGTCATCCGTTGAAATCCCCCGGAAACCGCACGGTGCTGTAGCCAGGGTTGTTCGGATGTTGCTCGGGTTTAGAAGTGCTAGGAGGGGCCCCAGCACCAAACCTCATTGCTTGGGGCGGTCGTGAACTGTTCTCCGCTCCCGATGTCTGCCCAACGTGGGCGAAATCGCTTCCAAAGCGCACGTCGGGTTCTCTCCCCGGCATAGCAGGGTTCCATCCTGGCACCCAGTTATCCATCCCGAAGGTCAAGGCGCTCGTTTCACGGGACCACCAGTCTTGACTCTCTTCTACGAGATTCTCGGATCCATCGAAGGGCGTCATAGGCGACGAAGTCGTCGTGGCAGGAATGTTCTGCCCATTGGTGAACGCGCGGATCTGCTCTTCATCTGGACTATACCAGACATCTTGCTGAGAAACCGGAACCGGCTGGACTTGACTAAATGCATTGGTTACGGGCCTCAGATACGTTGGCTCAGGAAGCCGGGCCCCATCCTGTGCAAGCTGGGCGTTCAGAGACCGCTGCGCTGCACGCATGGCCGATATAGAAACGGGAATTGGGGCTCCTGTGGTATGTGAAAGACCCATCGACCCAATTGATGCCGGTGAATGTATCACAGGTCCGCCATGCTCACTTGTAGGGACCCGTCGCTCAGCCTCTGCATAAGAGCCACTGGTCGAATCCGCGACCGGAAAATGAAGGGTTGGAGTGGGTGGCGACTCTCCAGAAGGTGGGGGAGATATCGCTTGATCCCACGAGCCCCATGATCCCCATTTGGCATGGGTCTGTTCAAAGGTGGCCGTAGCTTCTGCAGGCAATTCGACGTGCCACTTGTTGGCAGAAATTTCCAGGATCCTGAGCGTGCGCCGTGCGCAGAGCCAGCTCTCGCCCATCTCCTCGAGATGTCTGAGGCCATGGATGACATCCCTCTGGGCGTTCTTCTCCGGCAGGTTGAGCAGATGAACGGTCAGGGCAGTATGGGCCATGTAGACTGCAACGTTACAAATTTGTTTGAAGCCGTAGGTGCGTTTGTACATCCTGAGCAACTTTGAAATTGCACAGGCAGCCTGTGTACACAGCTTGCGGGGGGAAACATGCTGAGGAAGTGGGGAGTTGGACTTGGTGTATTTCAGGAACGGTCGATAGAGGTGAATGAGGAGGAGCTGGTAGAACATGCTTCAAGACGGTTAGTGATATCCTTAAATGTCAGTCAGAACTGTGGTGATCCAGCTTACTGCATCAGAAGCGCCTGAGGGAGCTGCCCTTCCTGTGGTCTGAGCTCCCTTGGTAGGTCCTTCTTCCAAGCTTCGAGTCTCGTGTGGATTTCGCTGAGTTTCTTGAGTTCCGCCTGCTTGGTCGAAGGCTTTTCCTTGGGAGTCGGGTCATAGAAGAACACGAGCAGATCGCCGTTGATTTCGCACAACCGGAAAATTTGGGAGGCAATTGCTCGGATCCGCGAAGGCTGAGTATGTTCACGGCCGACTCCAGTGTCCATGTAAGGAGACCACAATTCGGCTTCCTCGTTGGGCAAGATATCCACCTTCGGTACGCTGACGCTCGATGTTGCTAACTGAGGCTGGCGACCAAGATAATTTGACCAGCACCTGGGATAGTTAGCCCTTGTATCATTCCTCGCAAACCCCCATTTGGTACATACTTGTCGAAAAGAAAACAACCCCAAAACGTTATGCGGCGAGCATCCACCTCCTCTTCGCCCAGATCGCGTGCCCCGAGGCTGGTGGAGTCGAAGTTCAGGCCCAAGTCAAAAGCCATTCGAAAGCTCATTCCACTGTAAACCCAGCCCTTGCTTTCGCGGCCACAGCCAGCCTCGCGGACAGAGAGCAGAGCCAGGGCCTGTACTGTACACAGCTTTGCGTTTGCATGTTCGTCATTCTCGAAAAATAACCTCTTGGCTTCTTTAAAGAAATGGTCACCAGCTGTTGCAGAGTTCCGGGGGTCCTCCCGAGCTCCTTCCCAACTGCTGAAATGACAGCCCAGGGCCAACATCGCATTTACCAGCAATGTCGAGCAATATTGGCTGGGTACCCCGCGGATATAGTCTCGGTAGAAAAGGTCTTTGGAGAGTGTCGTGAAGAAAGGGTAGTGCCATGTGAAATACATTGTCATGAGATGGCTGATTAGCCTTTCATCGCTGGTGACTCTCGTCCACTGTGTGACGGAATAATCATGCCCGTGATCCAAGGCATGGCCACCTAAAGTCGAGTTAAACTCGTTCAGCTCTGCTCCGGGCGGCAGGAAAATGAGATTTGATGTGCCCCCGATGAACTTTCTGGAGCCGTCCAACACAAGCTCACTCATCTTTCCTGCCAGCTCCGACTCAAACTGGTCAGCCTGCATCAAGGCCTCATCCCCGCTAGCTGCTGTGTCCTCGGGAGCCGTTGTGGAACCTCTCCCCTGGCCGAGTATCGATTGTGCGACATCTTCGAGACTATCACAGGACCGGATCTGGCGAACCAAATCGAATGCATCCTCCTCCTCATAGTTTAAGATAGCCTGGATCAGAGTCAACAGTGTGGTATTCTTCGTCCTCAACGTGTCGGTGTCCTTCTTATATACACCCTTCCTGCGATGGTCGGAGTTCGGGTCGTAGACGCCTAGGATACGGTGAGCCTTTTTGGCAGGCAGTGCGGGGGACTCGGCCACATACAAGCGGTATGGTAGACAGAGGAACAAGCTGCGCAACTCGGTAGATTCCCGTCGCACTGGATCAGCACGTCAGCTACAGGGAGCATGTACGGCATCCAAGGCCGGCCGTACCTTCGATTTCCTCCTGCGACAGGCAATACAAGCCGTGCTGACACAGCGCCTTTTAGAGACTGGACCGTTGTCTGTGCTCGATCCTTGGCTTCTAGCCGAAGCTTTCCCTCGAGGCCTTGCTGGTGGTGGCGTGGCGTCCATCTCTTGAGACTTCTCCGCGGAAGTGTCGTCCATCGCTGTCAGGACCACCCAGAAGTGTTCGGAAGAAACGTCAAAACGGGGCAGATCATGCTTCTCAAGGGTGGGAAGATCGGGACGAATTGGTGAGAAGGAAACCCTGGAGGCCCCTGCACAAGATAGGTGGAGGGGGAGCGCGGATGGGATGTGCCGGCATAAGCTCGACGCGGAACGGACGAATCTGAGGGCGTGGAAAAGGCATTAGTTAGGCAAGTGCGCAGGACTAGGACGGTACTATTGGCGATATCGCAGGAGGAGCTAGCGTTTATAGATAGATGGACTGATGGGGGGGTGCGTGATCGGGGGAGGGGGTGCAGGACTCAAAAAAACCACCACCCCATGCCAAGCGACTCACAGATCAAGCAGATCGAAGCAGAAGGATTAGGCTACCCCGCGACGTGCAGATATGGGTTGCTGGAATGACCCGCAAGTGGAGGCGACAACCGCCCTGATGGGAGAGGGAGAGAGCTCGTATGGGGAAGAGTGATGGGAGTGGCATGAAGACCGATGATAAGGTCGTCAGCTATGGGCGGGGTGATTGGACAATCCCGGGCTAGAGGCGAGATAGCCAGCGGTGCAAACTGCAACTGCGCCGCAAACTCGACGATCGGCCGCCTCTGATTTGAAGTTGCTTTTCTTCCAGGCGATAAGGTCGGGCTGACTAATGTGTCCTTTCAGACTGGTCCTACACATTGATTGACTTTACTTCTACTATAAAGTACTCTGTGCAGAATAGATAGATAAATAGATAACAGTCGATACATCCACTCATTCATCCAGGTGGAGGAGTGATCTTCCAGCGATCTTCAGGCGTCCAGAGGCTGGGATAGTACACCTCTGATTATTACGCATCCTTGGCCGGGGAACAGACACTCTGGGTTCCTTCTGTGGGATTTGCTTCATAGATAGCATCGGTTTCAGGCTTTCACCAGGTGTGATGGCTCTCACAAACTCAGCCGCATGGTTGTCAGGGTCTAGATACATCGAAATGAAAAACCACGACAACGACAAGAATGCACCTTAGTCATCTGTCTCCCTCGAATCACCACTGAATGAGTAACCAATTCAGTGGTATCATCATTGGCTGACTCTCCCCAGGTCAACACAACTCCTTCCCCCCCTTTACCGCTCCTACACAGGGGAACTCTTGGCCTAACGATGATCTCCAAAAGAGAGAAAACCCTTGTCTACCATTTCCGGGCTGTGTGCGTGCATCTGAGGCACGCACTCCGCAAGCATACGGAGCCCAATAATTATGTACTTCTTGGCGCCAAGTCTCGCTGGAAGATCCTGGATTATTAATTGCCGGTATTATCTGCAGGCACAAGGCGGCCTGTACTCTCCAGCACAATGAGATTACTCCGTCGTCACACGGTACTTTTGATCATATCCGGCGAATTCGTCGACGGCGGGAGATGCCAGGGAAGTACTCCGTACAGTAGCCATTTCAACGCACAGCATGCTTCATCTATACGGGATGGATGAAAATGCGCCTTTCTTCCGAGGTCCACCAGCAGGTGATGGACACCACTCCGAAGATTATTAATAAGGTGGTTGGTGGTTGGGCAGACAAAATCCGACACCCCCATACAGTACTCCGTAGTCCACCTATACAGACTTCCTCATTGCAACGATGCAAGTTACGGTGTGACCGTGAGTCGTACGTAACACTCGGTAAGATGGAACATTCTTTAGTGGGGACGGGGGCATTCTGGGCTCCCCTGGGGGACAGCATTGGGGACACTGGCGGTTCCAGAAGTTACCGTAGTACAGGGTCAATACGGCGCTAAGACTGTTCAGATCAGCAGGCGGGCGTTGGGCAGGCTGGTGCGGTGTACCAGGGTGTTCCGGGAGTCGGCACCCGCCCTTACCGCCTGAAACCAACCGCATCCGCCTCACTGAAGGCCAGCGAGTACAGTGAGGGGACTAAACCGTTTGGGGGGCCTGCAGACGAGGAGGGCGCTAGTGCTGTCCGATGCGGTCAGGCGCCTGCAACTTTCTGTTATGCGATCAATATTACCTTTTGGGCCTAGCGGGCTCCGCTGGGACCCGATGTTACGGACAAACCGTCATCCACTCTTACAGACGTACAGACTTACACTCTTACGGTTTCCCCGTTATCTGCCTTGTCGGAATTCCTGGTTGAGATCATTTCTTTGCCGCTTGGCTGACCACCCTTTCTTCGGGCTCTCTCTTATCCTCCTCCTGGTCCTCTCCTCCCTGGAAACTCTCCTCTTCCCCATCCTTTGTCAACGAACCTCACTCGATCCGCATCCGGTTCACTGCTCCAGCTCCATATCCATCTCCATCTCCATCTTACGTACCTGCGAGTCGCGTGCCTGCATACGGAGCCGGCCGTTTTCCGCATTTGGCGTCCTTCCGCTCGGCTGGGTCTCAGCCAGTGCCAACACAGCAAGTCTGAAGTGTGAAGTGTGTGTGTGTGTGTGTGCTTGTTAGCCGATCGATCTACTCCAGACTATATCTATCAGAAAGACCTCCACCGGGGAATCGCCCACGGGACGCTTCCCTTCCTTTCCTCTCCCCCTCCTGTCCTTTTCCCACCCATGTATCTCGCTCAGACACTCGACCCAAGTGCCTCGTCGGGCCTAGAACGCCTTTTTAAATCTAAACAATACTGCCTTGAGCTTCAGCTGTGAAAATGATGGTCCCAAGAGCTTTCCTTTTCAGTTCCGTGCCTTCTTCGCCCAAGACCTCCATCCGCCAGCATGGAGAGAAGATCCCAGTCACTAGATCCTCCCTGGACCTTCTCAACGTGCAGGACCTCTCGGGCCTCGAACTCCCATCTGAGACTTCTCCGCATACCATGCACACCAGTCCGGTTGTTATACCTCCGAAGCGGGCTCCCCGGGTGACATCGGTACTTTCTCAGACTACGAACGGTCCAAACACACCCAGGAAGCCCAGAACAGTGTCTCACAGGTCGTCATCGGCCGCTTTGGCTGACCGGCCCGTGCCCAGTTCCATTGCGTCGATTCTGGAGGCCACCGCGATCCCCGTGCCCCGTCGTAACTGGAGTGTCCGAGAGTCTCGCAACCGCAAGAAATTGCCTCGCGGAAACCATGTGCAGGATTTCAGCAAATTATTGATGGACGGGGTTGGCGATAACCTGGTGGACAGCACTGGAAATACCACCCTCGATCTACTTCTGAGTCCTCCGGAGGAGCTCGACCGGTCTACTGTTGGAAGTGACTGCGACAGCGAGGCACCGTCATTCTCTGCTTGCTCGCTGTCAGTTGCGTCGACTCCGTCGTTGGAACGCGATTTCGATTCCCCGTCTAGTCTTCCTGCCCCGTCTACACCGTCCAGCCAGCGGAGCCCATTGTTGGAGAGGAAGTTTCAGCGCCAATCTCCATGCGAAAACTGCATTTTCGACCACCCCTTGCTCGACACAGAAGCGTCGGACACGGAGGAGGAATCCGTCGGCCAAGCCACGTTGTCCGGTCTCAGCCCGAAGACCCCAACTCCATTTGGGACGCTCCCACGACTCGGATCCACATTCAAGTCTAACCTAACGGCTTCGTTGCGAGCAATCAAATCAGCTGCACAGAGCGTCTCAGCGTTTGCTACTCCTTCCGTCCAGCCGGACGATTTTTTGACCCGCTCGCTCTTCACTATTACGCCGGAGATGACGGACGACCGACGGCCTCCGCCCATGAACGAACCACCGTCGCCCGCACTCCGGCGGTACCTGAATCCAATTACGGTCTCACCAGCGGAGATGTACGCTTATCAGGAATACCCACATGAGCCGCTTGACACCCCCAACTGCCCTGTCTCCGTGCAAATGCAAACGTACCATCGCTCGGGTAGGCGCGGCAGTCGCAGGAGCGGGTTCCACCTGGCACGCTCCGAAGGCCGAGACAGACAGCTGCAACCGTTCGACCCCGAGATCCCGCCGATGTCACGCCAACGCGAGCCTCGGGAGAACAGCGATTTCCTGCGGATGGTGGTGCTTGAGATGAACATGCGCCGCAGCGGCAAGCTGCGGGACGACATCCCGACGCGGGCCCGGATCTGGCTGCCTCCCCGGAAGGGTGGTCAAGGTCGTTACGTGCGGTACGATTTTTATGAAGATGAGGATGAGAATGCGGTTCCCTCCCGATGGGTTGGGGTGTCTGTGAGCAGCCTGTAAATACGCACGACCACGACGTCGGCTCACACTTTCGCTTTCTTTTTTTTTCTTTTTTTTTCTTGCTTTGCTTTACACCACTCATTGCACAGCGCTGGGCGTGACTTTCGGACTTTGATATTCTTTTGCTCTCTTGTACATAAATGGCATACATAGGTAGCGGGCGCGACCCCCTACGGGATAGGGGTATAGCGAGGCGGCGTTTGGGAGGGACCACCCATCCATCCATTCATCCATCCATCCATTCAGATATTGGATTATTACTACTACAATACTTATTTCCCACTGAACCATTCAATCCTAAAACATACTTGCATATCTACTTGATAATAAACAAACCCATCGCTTACGCGCGGATAACAGCCAAGTCATCATCATCAACCCCTAAAATCCACTTAATCGCCCAACTAACGGAAGTTACCGTCCCCTATCTACCTAGTAGCCTATCTAGTAGTATGTAAATAGTACTAGTCCGTGGCTGCCTACAGGGCTACCCTACCCGCTGCAGACCAACTAGCTTTATCTAAAATTCCTTATCGACCTACCCTTTTCAGTTAGATAGCCACAACCTACCCAACTCGGTAAGTCAGTTTTTTTTTTTTTTTTTTTTTTTTGGTGTACTCGATTCCATTACTTCATTTTCTATCTTTAGCCGAGGCTCGGAATGGTTCCGCCTGAGACAGAATCCTTTACAATCCACTGAATATCCAGTGCTCCGTACTTAGTAGGTAGTTTATTGAGTATTCATGGCTAATAGCGATTAACAATACATTGGATTTATTGGATTATGGTGGGAAGGGGGATTATATAATGTGATTTATCAAACTAATTAGGTAGGTATTTGCGAGGAATTGGTTGCTTACTTAGTATGGGTGTAACCAACCCGACTCAAACCTGCTGTGTAGTGTGTGGTGTGCTATGTATGCGCTGTGTTTGTCTCACACGAGCATCCCATCCAACATCCTATCCTTTGCTTTTCCCCCTGGGCCGGCTGGCCGCGCTTCACTACGGAGTACATAGATAGTATCTTATTATTACATGCATCACACTACCTACATTCCTTCTTTGTTTGTTGCATCCTTGGTTAACCAGCTACTTAGAGAAATTAATGAAGAAACTAACCTCCACAACCACCCAAGCAAGTAAGTAAGCAAATAAACAAATATAAGCAAATGAGCAAATCCAAAAACGGAATATAGAACAATCCCAAAGATCCGATCCCCTCCCACAATGAATATTTTACCCCACGGAAACCCTCAACCTCCAAAGCTAATCTCCCCAGTGATGACGACAAGACGGCGGGTAGGGGAGATTAAACTAGGATAGGATAGGATAGAGTTTAAGCGCCGATGTCAATGTCAGTGTTGGCTTTGAGTTTGGTATGGGTATGGTACTCTGTATGTATGTATGTAATGTTTGGTTTCGTTTCGTTTTGTTTGGTATATATCTGGTTTTGGCTATTTAAGGATAAACGTAAGGGAGATCATTGTTGGGTTTGTAAATAGGTAGGAGGTAATAGACCTCGGGCGGTTGGTTGGGTGGGTGGGTGGTGATGATCATGGCTGGCTGGCTGGTGGATGGATGGATGACACGGTGCAAGTGCAGTGGCCGTTGTTTCTTTCTTATCTCTGTCCAATTGGATGGATCCGTGGAATGTCTTGGTCTCAGCCACTCGTCTGTACCTAACCAGGGAAATTGGGGCTGACGGCTGGAACTGGAACTGGAACTGGGTGGGATGGTGAGGTGTGTTTTTGTTCTACCTACCTATATTTGGGATTCAAGTGTGGTTGCGTGATGGGGTTCTGTCAGGAGACTGCGATTGATACTGATACTGATACCGATACTGAGAGTAAAGAAGATAGGTAGATCCTATGATAGATGGTGATGGATAATGATGCGGAGATGATGTCAGTCAGGCGAGCGATTGTATCATTATCTTGATAAGATACTGTGTTGGATAGGTCGACGAAAACAAAACAAAGGATAAACAAAGGTTTTGACGAGGACGGGATTCGAACTCGTGCTCTTTCGACCTGGCCCATGGGTATATCCTCTTATCGCACTCCGTCTAGGTAGTATCACAGTCAAGTGACAGCTTTAATCCTCGAACAATTAATTGGTTGCTCGGGATCATGTTCGTCATGGTTATGGATAATAGATGCCTCGGGAGACCAAGGCAACGGAATCTCCTCCCTGCTGGCCACAACTCTCCCGCCAACCTTGTGGTGTGGCAGTCCTGCTGGATACGAATAAAGCAAGACATCCTACTTCCTAATCCTAATTTCTCAAGATCATCCGGGAACTGAACCAGGTTGTCTGTTTAGGGTTCCGCCGGATCCTGGACGATCCTTGCTACAATTCCGGTGATGAACCGGTACGGTACCGGGGTAATTCACTTTGGCCGCCGGGGCGGAGAGACCCCCGACCACGAGACGTCTTGCCATCTGAAGCCGGACTGGCTGGAGATAAGACCTGCTCGGGTTTCCTGGCCTGCCTATTGGTCGGGTGGTCTGTACAGATCCGTGGGGGTCGAAATGCGCAGAGTGTCGGACTACACACCTACTAGTTTCTCCGTGCTCGTGAGTCACAGATAAGCGCTGCTTGTGCTACACTGCAGACATCCTCTTTCAGAAGGGGGTCCAACGTTGTTTATTCTCTCTTGTGGAGTGTGGGGTATAACGATATTGACAGGAGACACATCATGACGAATGATCAGAGCATGTGCGCCATCATCGGGGGTATCACAAAGTCCGCAACGGACGGAGGAGAGAAAAGGGCCATGCTAATAACACAAGGTCGCACCGTCGATGCGTGTATACCCGATGCCCCGTCAAGCAGTCCGCAAAGGATGAAACCCTAGAGTCCAATTAGCCCCTGCATCAGACAAGCCTGTCTGCCCACTTACTCTCTTCGTCCAGGAGCGTCCGCTGTTTCCAGCTCTCCTCTATCCACTCAACCGTGACAATGTGAGGAATCTTCCCGCCGGCTTTGCCAGACCAGGTTTTCCGTAATGCGCTGATTTCCGAAGATGGGGTGTCTGGATCCACCACCACATGGGTGATGGACGAGTCCGTCACCGTATCGACAACGCTAGCGCCTGCGAATCTGACCGTGTTGCGGGCCAAAGGAAACCGATAGCCTTGGCTAACCTGCCCGGGCTGCTCGGACTCCGCGCCTTGCTCACTCCACTTGAGAAAGAAGAACGTTAGGTTTTGAAAAAGCCACCCGCATGGAAGCTCCCATCCCGCATCCACTTTCTCTAGGACATCCTCCCTAAGCCGTTCGGTGGCTCTGGTGCCCTGGGATGCATCGACCTTGTTGTCGTTGCTCATTTTCTCTAGTAACTGGGGATTGTTAGTTGCATGGTCCGAAACAACGCGGATTGAACGATACATGGGGGACCTACAGCGCTCAGCTCCTCCTTGGTGACATCCCGTGTATAACTGTCACCGAACTGGTCAATACTGGTCGCTACCTCGGCTTCCTTGTCAGATGTGGTGAAAAACATATGCCTGGAGAAGTTAGCAGTCGATCATTAGCTGGGTATCGGTCTCTTACCTAGGCTCCAGAGGAAGAAGCAAGTCCGGAAGACCTGCGTCGATCTCATTCTGCCGCACACAGTCAAGGATCCAAACTGGTCGGATGATGCTCGCATCGCCCTTCTTTTGCAATGAGGCCGCTTTCACAGTCCCTGTAGACTGTTAGTCGCTAATTTCGGGCTGCAAGTTGCGCGCATACTTCTGTCTGCAATGCATATCATGTTAGGAGCTGCATTGTTTGTCTGATATATTTTGCCCCCATTGGATTTCACCAGCTGCTCCAAATCTGCCTTCGACATCTTGTTCGGGGGTCCAGAATCGGTCATTATAACTATACGGTCAGTATCCACCTTCAAACAAAGGCACGATCACATACAGAAGTTAAGACCATCGAAAATATGTCCAGTTGGTCTGTCATACTTGACCTCCGCATCTGCACTGTACCCTGCAATCGTCAATGGCTTTTTGGTTCCTGTCTTCACCCGTTTCTTGCGGAAATTCTCGACATTGAACTCCTTATCTTTTTGTTCTTGTTCCACGTTCGTCTTCAAGTCCATAAACTCTTGTACGGAAAGCGCACTCTTCCAGTCCTTATCCATGCGTAGCCTCTTGAACCGGGGAAAGCGCAATGTCAACCCGATTTTGAACTGATCACTCACGGACACCGAAGCAGCCTTGACGCAGAGTACTACCGAATCCTCCGGCTTGATCCATTGATCCGGACGCTCAAATTCGGCGTTTTCACCCGCCAGCTCGATGTACGCCGTTGGCGGCTTCTTCGGGATCCAGTCCATCCATTTGCCGTCGGTATGATGGCGAATGTTCGCGTAATCAGCGGCTGTAAACCCACCTCCGACCTTACAGAAAGAGTAGCATTTGGAGACATTTGTCCCTTGTGAAGAGGTGACATTGTCTTTCCTTAGTCCACATAGGAAGCTGGCAAGGGCACCTCCGCGATGGCCACTGCCATAATAACCCCCAATTACGATCAGATCCAAGGACTCTCCAAACTCGGTCATATACTCAGGCTTCACCTTCATCCAGTCGTCATGCCGTTCATTCAGGCGATAAGGAGACCTGGGATTCTTGAGCACTAACCCCTCAGAAGCCTCTTCCACAACTCTTCGAAGCGATGCTTCAACTTGTTCCTTGTCCGTTGCTTCTTCGTAAGGATGGACTTCGAACCGACGGTATACGGACTGTACACTCTTCTGCAGGGCATTTCGACGATCCCGGAGCGTGTACCTTGTCAGGTCATGTCCATTCAAGTACAGCATATCAAAAATCCGAAATAGCGGCCGGGATCCGTTCGAAAACTGGTTTCTTTGTTCCGCTATTGCAGCCGTCTTCAAAGTGCCAAAAGGTTCCGGCGCATCCTGCTCAGGATTCCAAGCAATCATCTCGCCGTCCAAAATCAAGCTTTTGACCCCATCTGCAAAGGCATCTTTGAGGTGCCTGGTCAAGGCACCATTCGGGTCCTCCAAGCCATTCCCATAAAGATAAGTGTAATTCTTTGCGTTCCTCGACCAGAAACAAAATTTCCTTCCTCCCGGAACCGAGTCATCAGACTCCATATGAAGTTGCATGCGCTCCCCATCGAGCTTTTCCTCGATCCAAAACACGGGATCTTCTTCTGTCACCCTCATTCGAGTAATCATCCGATCTATGGATTGCATCTGGAACTGAGCTAGCTGCGGTTGAAAGCATTGCATCAACATTATCCCCTTGTTTTCGGCCTCCAGTCGGATATTAGGATCATGCAGCTCCCAGCAAACACGCTGAAGGCTACTAGATATGCTGTAGAGCCTTTCAGCATCCGGATGCCACACATCAAAGAATGTCCGCTCCGTAGCACCGACTTTCATCTGCCGAAGAATAATCCGGATGAGCCACAGCAGCTCCTCGGGGTTCATCCTCCGATAAAACTCCGCTATAATAGGTAGCTGTTGTTCCTCCTTCGAAGCAACCGAAAGCTGATCCAACTTTTCATTCACCTCTTCAATGGACATATCCCCTACCTCCCTCCTCATGGGTCGTTTGGATATGATATCGTAACAGCGTCTCGCAAAGTCCCCCGCCATGAACCGCGACGCAACCGTCTGTCCCGGGAGCTTCCAGTTCAGAAGGTTAAACCCATCCTCCGAGTTCTTGTCAATCTTCATTATCTTCACCAGCAACTTTCCGATGGCCTTCTCCTTGATGCCGTACATGGCCCGATCCCGATCTTTGTCCGGGAGAATCAGCCGGAAGGCAGGATAAATATCATCGCCCACATCTTTCCTCCATCGTGAGATAAACTGCTCGATCACGTCGCGTCGTTTTTCAAACGGGCTGAGGTTCGCGGCAGATTGACCCTGAGGTCCGACTTTTCGACGCGGTGCGGCGGCTACTGTCGGCTTCCTTTTGATTTCGCTCAACGGGTTGAAAAGCGTCTTGAAGAGCTCGTGAAACGGTAGACTCTGGGAATGATTTCGAGGACGGTTTGGATATCTATAGAGTGATGTCATGATTAGAATAATGAGGTGGTAGTGCTGAGATCTGATAGGGCAGTGGATGCGAAAAGAGGGGAGAAATGACACTGCTTACTTTTCGTCCAGGTTGGACTCATGTTGGGAGGTTTGATTGAATGATTCTCCATATTCTCTGGCATCCTCTGAACCCATGGTTCCTTGGCATACTCTTTGTTCGAGGCCTGCAATCAAAGAAGGGGAGGAAGCATCGAGGTGGTGACTGTTATATTGGTTGTCGTAGTGATATAGGCTTCAGTCCGCGTTTAGGCGGCAGCTCCGATAAGATAGCGGAGCATGTGACATGACATCACAGTTTCCGATGATCAATGTCTTAAGGTTTAATTGCTTGTTCTAAGTAGAAAAAGTGCAGCTTCCGACATAATATACACTGACTACTATACTGTAGCCCGAAATACACCTTACGGCTGGGAGACCATTTCCGCAAGCTTTGTTAGGATCGCAATCAACCGCTTGGATATCCCCCATGAGGAAAAGCGGTTAAGTGTCATACAACCAGCTCGGAGGGTCCTCTCCGGTCCATGCGGGGCACATACATCCCCCACGCCACTCAAAATCGCTTTCATTCCATGACCTTCCCGAACAAAAAGTTGAGCCAGTTCATCATCACAGGGTCGGTCGAGGTGGATAAGCAGCGGCTTCTCTGCCACATCACGTCCTGTTTCGTGGCCGGTGTTCATGTCAGGTATCAAGGCATAGCACGAGCCATACGCCCATAGAATTAGTGTTGCCAGGAAGACGGCAACTGACTCATGAAATGCATGGCTTGAATACTCGCGGGTGTGCCAAAGCATCGCACCTGCGTGTACAACGGCTAAACGGGCCTTGTACTGATCGTGTTTGACCCAGCGCAGTATGTAGTGCCATTCAAGGGTCTGTTGGCGCCCACTCCAGCGAGCCTCTTCCATTGCCAACGAGGTTGCGAGCGATCGAATTTCACGAAACGGAGCCAGAAGGACTATGCGTGCCGAGTGGAGGTGCAAGATGGTAGGGTGCTCAAGGCCAGCGGCCCTGGTTACCGTGCTGCTAGCAGCCCAGTGAAGTATATCCAAGCAATCACACGCACTGTTGCGCCATTTCGAATACGAAGGAATCCCGGGAAGCCATACAGACCCGGAGGGTATTGCGGTATGTCGAGATTGTTTCTTAGATGTTGGGTTCCAGAAGGACAGCGGGCGGCGGAAGTAATCGCCCACTTCCCACATGCGGTGGTATAGCGCGTGAACGAGCAGAACCTGGCTGAATTCCCCTATATCTGGTACAAGTTTCTTTTCAATGTACATTACAAGAACCGCATCGTAGAGGGACACTTCTTCCTGGCCTGCAAGAGAGCGTGTTAGGTCTATATGCGCAAAATGACAGGCAAGAGGTAAGATACCTGATACCCTTTCCCGATATTCTTTCCAAGCCTCGGGCGATTTTGCTTCCCAGACAATCTCGTGTGAAGGTAGCTTTGCTTGACCATCATCGAGAGACAGCAAAGGGCGCTTGTCAAAATGGTATGCTATTGTGCAGTCCAGAAGCTATTCCAGTGTTAGGCGGGGAGATTATCGGATGGACTAAGCGGAGCACATACCCATATAAAATAGCCTGTCCGTCTTCGGGTCTCGTCTTCAATCCACGATTCCCATTTCTGCTCGTATGTTTGCTCACCTGTGAGTGGCTTCCATTTGTCTGAGTGACCAAGGAGTTCCTCGTGAGTCACAAATCCGATCAGATCACCGAAGCTATTCAGCGCAGAAAGCCTAGCTCGCTCATCACAACTGTAAAGGAGGCCAACGCAGTTCAGTGCTATTGCTTGAAGAAGCCAAATAGGCGCTCGATCCTCGCAACACTGCTCTTTCTAGATAAAGCGGATAGTTAATGATGGTTATCCCATAGAAAGAAGAAGTTGGATCTCACTTCAACATTTATAGCGCGCCTAAGAAATTCATGGAATGCCGGCGCACACTCGCCTTGTTCCTGGAGACCGGCAAAATGACATCCAATTGCTGACAATGCCAGCACCACTATCCAGTGGCATTTATTCAAGTCGAATGTGGGGAAGTGAAATATTGGATAGACAGGCTGAAAATTGTCGAAATAGAGGTGAATGAAGCCTGACAATGTCTTCGCATCGGGAAAGTGGTTTGATTCAAATTTTGGATAGAGAATATTTTCCGTGCCGCAAATTTGTACAAACGCATTATATATCATGTCATATGTTGATGACTCGAGTGAATATTGACGGTCAGTTTGGTCTTCGTTTGCGAGATGAACCCTTGCTTCGGGCAGAGTAGGGAACAAAAATCGAGGCCGCCCATTTCTTCTCTGCAGCTGTAATGAAGCGTCGGCAGACACCGTGGACAATTCTGACCAAGCTTCCCGTTCCCGCCTGAAGTTCAGGGATCCTGTACCAGCTCCATCCACATGGTGATCTCCTGCGCGCCTGGTGTGATTGCTATATATCGACTGAGATAGTTGACTTGGACTTTCAGTATTACCACCTAGGGAGGTGTTCCCGGATGGTGTCCGAGACACATTCTCTGACACTAATGGACTACTGCCAGATATTGTTGGGAACCATGCCGCTTGATTCAGAGAGGTATCTGAAAGCTTTGCTCCCGTTGCCTTCAGGTATGAGGAGTTCATTGGAAGGCTGTGGTCATTGGAAGATTCAAGATCTTGGGGAAGCCAATTAATTGTAGACGTGGACTGGTTCATTAGAGGTTGCATCAGCTCCATCTGTACCTGCTGGTTCTCTGTCGTTGGTATTGTCGAAATGTTATTAGGGTCTTCTTTAGCTGGCTGGAGGTTTTTGGGTCGATGGGCGGGTTCTGCCAATTCTTCAATCGATGTAGCGACTTGTGAGTATGAGCCTTGTGAGCCCATACCAACATATTGGTGAAAGGAGCCGCGCGTTCTTTTGGCCACTCTATCCGTATCTGATAAGAAGAAAGGGTTGGAGCTTTCTCCCAAGCCAGAAGCTTGTCCGTTGCCCTTGACTTCGTCCAAAGGCCTCTTTTCAAACTCAAAGCCATCAACCTTTGCTGAAACATCGGACGAGACTGTGCCGGAAGCATTCGGCATGGGCATCTGTAGTTGGAATTGAGTCACCTGGTACTGAAGAGGTGGTGGCATTGATCGTTCCCCATTCCGCGATGCTCGCAGGTCAGAGCCGTCTGCCCATGTGGATTGAACAGGACGAGGAGACTGCGCGTACGCCGTGTCGTCATTGGCAAAAGAGGCTTGAGCCTCCTTTCGGGCCTTCGCTTTCGAGCGTCTCTCGGTTGGATACTGACATTCAAGAGACCGGTTCTCACAACGTGCACAAGGAGAGCCTCCACTGCATCGTACCCTTGCTATGGCGCATTTATAACAAGCGCGGAACGTCTTGACGGTTATCCGGTGCGTGCGGTCTTTTCCCCCTTCCATTCCAGCATTATGATGACTGAGTTCGTGGCGATGGAGAGTATCCCTAGCGCTCCGGTCAGTTTTCCCTGCGTGGTAAATAGAAGGGTGGGAAGCTGGGAGAGCATTCGGGCATTCATTACACATACGTTCTCGAAAAGTGCCGGCCACACTGCGCACACTCAAATGGCTTCTCCTTGGTATGACTTCGGAAATGGCGCTTCAAGTGCTCCGGTCGCCTGAAGGTGCTCTGGCAGATCGAGCACTTGGTCTGGCCGGTTGCCGTAGAGCTATGCGGTATGTCACGGTTATGGTTGCTGCTGTCATTGTTCGTCGGCACTTCGGCCTCAGGGCGGGTCACGGTTTCTATATAACAATTAATCTCCCTGCAAGCGAGACGCTAGGATGGCGCATCCCCCTCCTTTGCACCGGGAAATAAACCAGGGTCTGATCTCACCTTGCCCAGCATCGCTCTTTTCCGGAGACATGGCGTCTCATGGGCGAATGTTCGTCGACAGACAATCCGGAAGAGTCTCGCATGGCACCTGAGATACCGACAGTATTATGAGTGGGTCGACGACTGAGCAGTATCTCGGGAGAATCTGGTGACAATCGCCATCGTATCACTCAGGGACTCTGGTCGTGTGGTCCAGGGGGGGGGGGGGGGAGAAAGTCGCCCGGAAGAGAAAATCGGCGGTATGTGGTCAGACAGCTGTCCGCTCTGGTTAGCATCTAGCGGAGGGAGGGACCATGCTGGCTGTAGTTAGAGGGGGGACTAGAAGCGGGGAAATCGCCCGGAGTGACTGGAGGCACTCCCTGGGACTGGATTAGTCGCGCTTTTAGCCTCGGGGGGCCCACGAACCCATCGTCCTCGCGTGGGCGCCAATCGTCTTGATTGGAGGGGGGCCCGAAGGTTTAGATTAATGTTGCATGTCTCATCCCAAATTCGCGTTCTGACCCTGGGCTTTTTTTCCGAGGTCGGTTAAATACCCATTTGTGTATAAGCTCGATGGGGGAGAGAGGGGTACCTATTTTGCAACGATGGCTTTTTCTAGGATATTCATTCAATAGACATGGGATTTGCGAGCTTTGTGCAAAATGCTCTAGCCGGTCTGGACTATCAGTTTGCTCCTCTTGCGGCGTGTGTTTCTTAGATCTATGAGCGGGGTGGAGGTACGCCATCCCAGCCAAGTTACAAGAAGGACGATAATCTTGAGGGGTCTAGAACTCATCATTAAACCTGTTATAGGCGTTTGGTAGATGTGATATACGCTGGTGATGCTGCATGAAGCAAAAAGTCCAAAATTTAAAAAGGAATCGTCAGCGACAGGATTCGAACCTGTGCACGCGAACGTATCAGATTTCGAATCTGACGCCTTAACCACTCGGCCACACTGACTAATCGCTGCTATATTTTCAGTACAATATTTTATAATACCTAAGTAAGTTGAGTGCATCGCCGGTCACATTCCTATTCTAAATATCGCTAGCACTTACTATATACCCCCACAAAAGGGGAGAGAGCTTCAAGTAAAAATGTTAAGCCCTGTATATCCGGGTCATGGGTTGGAATCAATTGAAGAATACAGGGCCATTTCCATATAGATCCAGGCAGTAGATTTAACATGTATGGAGTGGAAAGCGTCTTAGAAAATATTGTAGAAAGACATTCCGGGAGAATCCTTGGGAAGCGCTACAATGTACCTGACAGGGTGCCGTCTCTAAGCATCTCACGACTTACAAAGTCGACGAAAAAGCATAGCTAGGTGCTGGTCAGTCCTTGTATGTCAACAATAACGCCTTGGACTGTGAACGACCGCAGGTCGTAGTATATCATCGGGGATGGCGCGCAGATTACTAGGGAGCAGAAGCCACGGGCTATCCCAGCATCATAGCCATAGATCGAGCTGCAGATCTCTCCACCGTAGCCCCGAAAGAAACATCAGGCTCTACAGCCCGACTAGGGTTCCCTCCCCACCTGCATGTCCGGGAAGCGCGGATGAAAGATTGTATATCGCCCGACTGCAAGGTTCATTTAAACTAGAAAGTTATTTACTCTTTTTGGGCGGAGTAGCTACCGGGCCTTTGGACTCAGGCCGCGGGAAAATCGTGCAGAATGGGACCTCTCTCGCAACTCGATGCCATGTGAACCTATCACTCAGCATCGGGATTCTGCCCCTGTACCATCTACGACATCACCTAGTTACCAGATGCTAGCCTATTGAAATTGCAAGTTTTGCTCTCTATGCTTTTAACCTGTCTTTCCTTGATATATCCCACTCAAAAAAAAGTTCACTGGCTGGCCGCACTTCCGCAGCCTTTTAAGTAACTCATTATACCAGCGAGTTTGTCTCCTGTTTTCTCTCGGTGTGTCTACTCGCCCCAACGATACTCATCTCTCTCGACAACCTGAGTCATGTCTTTCTACACACACTATTGCAGTAAGTGCTGTTATGAGGGCCACCGGCGCCGTGAGTGCCATCAATACTGCAAGTTCTGCCACCATGCCCTGAGACCCAAGCATAGCTGCCCTCAAACTTGCTCCAATACGCCAGTCTGTGACGGTTGCAAGCGTCGAGGTCATATAAAAAGCAACTGCCCTGAGTACGGACCTGAGTGCTACCGATGCCATGAAAAGGGTCATACGATGAGGAATTGCCCCCATAAACAGGAGCTTATCCTGGATAGGCCCCCGGTTCCTGTTACATCCCCTGTCTATGTTACATCTCCGGTCGGTGATGAGTTTTCTTTACCGTTAGTTGAGGTAAGGCTCATAATGCCACCGATCTAGAGTCCAGAACAACTGATAACAACTCCCTTGAAGATCAGGTTCCCGAACCTGAGAGACACGATCGGCACTCTGGTCAACTTTCTGCTATCAGACAAACCGATGGATGTGAGATTTGATCGTATTCCATATAGGACGGTGATAAAGGATGTTGGAGGCCCTGCGACATTTGTCGGGATGGCATATGGCACCATTGATCCACTGGTCACACTGATGCAGCAAAAGTTTGTTAGTGTAAAGATGTACGTGCTTCGCCCTGTTTGAAAAGGACTTCTGATTTACGCACACCAGGCTTGATGAGATTCGCAAAAAAACAAGCCATGGGCCCAGACCCTTGGCACTGGGATAATGGGGGATATCTGGACTACATAACAGATACTCGCAGCCTTGCCTATTGGCGTGCTTATGTTGGTCAATCCGAAAACCTTCAACGGCGGATATCCGAGCATATTGCAGCCATTCGCAAGGGCTCTGTCGACAGTCTACACTACTATGTTGTCAAGGAAGGAGTCGGCCGCCGCTCTGCGAACTTCATCCGACTATGGACAATTCCTTTTCCTGGGAAAACCGAACGAACGATGAAACGAGTTTTCAACAATGTGCTTGAGAAATTTATGTGTCACGCTTTCCAATCGCTTCCTTCTCGGACACTGGAACAAGCTTTTGGACCACATCCGACTGGTCGGTATTCGGGGGTTGGCTTGAACGTTGTATCACCTCTTCCTCAAGGCAAAGAACTTGCACCTTGTGTCCGTGGTCAAGCTGTATACCTACTCGAGAACTCCCCTGACCCTGAAATTCGGAAATGGCCCGCCTTCAGAAAAGATCTTAGGTCTCAGGGAAACCTACAGTCTCGGGAGAACATCCAGCCGTCATTTAGGCACCGGATGAGTCTAGCCGACCATCATGCAGCTTTTCGGGACGCTATAACAAGTGCTGGTCTAGAAGAGAGCCCCTTTCTACATCCTAGAGATTATTTATGGGATACGCAAGAAGAAAAGCTCATAAATGTCAGCTCTTGGTTTGAGTCTATATCGACTCAAATATTGAACCAGAACAATCTAGCTCTGGCCGACCTTGAACCACCGTTTGGAACCCCTGAGGCCTCAATTGGTATTTTTCTGGACTACGCACCATCTTATGCGTACGAGGATGGCAGGACTAATCTTCCGTGGGGTTCAAAAGAGAGCGGTTTCACAGAATCAAATTCTCTGATCTGGGCATTTAACCTCCAAAAGTTTAGACATATCCCCGGAACGTTCCAGGCTGCTCCGCTTTGCGTATTTGATGAAGAAATGCTTTCTGAACACACTCGTCGGCTCATTGTTGGAGGTCGGATGCGAGTGATCTTGCTCTGTGGCCCTAACGCAGAAAGAATAGCGATGCCAGCCAACATAAGCTTCAGAGAAATTACTTTGAAGCTACATGACTTTAAATATCAAGCATGGCTTGACATGAGAAGTCCTGAAGCTCGCAGCTTTCGTATTTCCCGGGTGTTCATTCGCTCTCCAGCGCCTTTGTCAGGTCTTTGGTCTATTAAGGGGGGGGAGGCATGCCGACTTAGCACTCTACTTCGGTTCCTTGCGGATATTACAGGTGTACAAATCGTCCCAGGATTCTATGAGTCAGCTCTCTTGGTTGCCCTGATTGTCCGGAACTGGGACGACGAGAACAATGGAAGAATCGAAAAGGTAGCACCGGAAAACCTTGACTCTCTCTTGCAAGCATGGCTTGCAAACAATGGGTTCACAGACGAAGAGCATATTCGCCGACTCGAGAAGGCCGCCGGAGGCTCTTTACGTTACGGCCTTCTTGTCCTCAGCCTTGTCCTACCCAGACGAAACGGACCATGCGGTCACTGTCGGATTCCTGCTTCAGCAATTAGGCGACGAGGTACCATTGACCCTGAAATTCTGACTGAAGTCCGATCACTTTTGTTAGAACTTCATCCTAAAAGCTCAGTCGTTGAAGGGGATGATGATATAGATGACCATGCTGTCGATGAAATGGCCTCATGGGGACATGTCTTGGACGGGGAAACATCAGACAGGGAAGCCACTGAGAATGAACAGAATCTGGCGCAAGAGTCAGCTGCTAATAAGCCCATTCGGAATTTCAAAAACCGGTTGAATATAGCATTAGGTTGCTGGTATCAGGGCCGGGAGCAAGCTCCAGGTCATTACAGTGTTGATATTCAACACACCAAGATATACATAGATTCGACTAGGAAGAACCATCGAGATGGTTTCTGGATCAAAGCTGAGCTCTCACCGGCTGGAGTGAGAAACCCAAATGTCTGGGCGCAAGATGTCAGGGATGGTGATCCCGGTGCTCGGCTTGCGTTCCGAATATCGATAAGAGAGGCCGATAGGTAGGAGACATTTATTCAATATGCAACCTACAAAAGCTGGCAGTCGTGTTGCAAAGCCAACACTCTTGTGGATGAGCTCAACGGCGACGAACTCCCCGACATCTGTGTACGGCCTCGGCGATTCGTCGACATAGATCGCCGGAATGTCAATATACTTGCAGCTTACCCCATGCTGAAGGACTTCACTGGTGGTGCATACACTGACGACCAGGGAAATGTAGTGCCCCGCGTCTCAGGTAGACCCAAGGGCACAAAAAGACCCTATGGTATACTCGAGCCGCACAGCAACGGGAAGAGGGGGAGAATGGAGTGACCTGCTTTCCCTAGTGGCGTTCAATGAACAACAAAAGGTCGTAATGCGTCTTAGGCACCATACATAGAGCCAATTCGGAGAGGATATGATTAAGACAGCTTGAGCTTCTGTATGGAAATGAGTACTGTACGCTTATGCATAATCTATATGATCTGATAACAGGACATATTATTTTTTTGTGTTGGTATGTATTCTGTCAAATCTGAGTACTACCACGTAGACCAAGAAGGATATATCCCAGTTGGTCACTGGCGTAGAATTCACAAGATATCCTAACAAGAGATATATACGTTACTGCATTACTGGAGTTACTACTGTAGCAGTCAAAATCTGAGTTATATTTGCAACATGAGATGTCTAACAGGACTCATTGGGACGCAAGCCACTGTGCAATCCATCAATCAATAGCACAGCTTAATCCGAACGATATACTGGTTTTGTAGTTCGGAATATGCAGCAGATCATGTTTCTGACACCCATATATATCTTTGTGGGGACGACGAACAGACCGTTGCGAGAGTTTATTTGCCTGTCGTCTCCCAATAAATCACCGCCTCCAAGCCGCAAGGGACCTGATCAATACTTTCAGACGGCAGCTTTCGAACGTCAAAAGTGACATCGGGGATGTGAATAGTAACCCCTGAGGCACGGACTGACCGTAAAGTTACGTTACTTAGTAGCTGCAACTTGTCCAGTTGGTTTGTTCGGCCGGCGCACGGACCCATTAGCTCAGCAGACCTGCAGACAAGACGGGGCATCATTGCCGTTCCCCATCCATTCCCACGTCTCCCACTGCGCGATTCTCATATACTATCTATCTACTACCGTTGTTGTCGGACGATTTGTTCTTATTACTATCTACGGTGATCTGATCCTGTGGCCTGTCGGTTTCTTATCCTTGGACCAGACTTGACTGGCCGCTGCGAAACCTTGGATCGGGGCTTCCATGAATGGCCAGTCCGACTTCCGCTCTGGACCGCCGGTTGCCTCGCCCTGCGTCCTCGAGTCATGTTAGCAGCACCGTGACAGCCCTCCAAGGAGCCACTGCCGCATTCAATGCAAGCCCCTCCAGAGCACAGTTGCCTGTTGTGAGCCATAGATCTGGTGCAACCATGGGACCCGTAGGTGTCAGCCACCATAGTCCCAAACTAGTCCCGCTTCGCAATATGAAGTCCCCAGAGCTGCCCGAAAGTGGTTCGGTCAAGGATATGATCGGGAGGTTTAGTGATTATCCGCCACCTCCCAGCTTAAAGAATGCATCCGGGAATGTCTCTCAGAGCGTAGGGGTGATCCGATCACGCACCCCACAGCAGATCGCTGCCCAGCTTGCCGCGGGAAGATCGACGCCTGGTGAGAATACAGCCACAAACATGGGTGTCAGCAAGATGCAAGGTTCAAAGAGGACGCCTTCGAAGCGCAGTGAAGACAACGAGAGACCGCCGTTGCTAGCGCCAAAGCCGGTATGGGCTACAGCTGCAAGCACCGCCTCGTTTGACAACATCCTACAAAGCGAATCCGAATTACCGCTTAGTGATAAGTCGACCCAACGGAAGCCAGTAGCGCAGATATCCCCCATAGATGCGGCAAGGCTTGCTGCGAAAATGAAGCCTCGTCCTCCACCAGTGCCTCGAAAACCACCTGCGGTTGCCAGCGGTCCAACCTCTGCTCCCGACAACGTACACTCAAAGGGGTCAGAGAATCACGAGCAGATCCTAAGATCGCACTCCTCACTTCATCTTAAAGAGACTACCCCTGCTGAGACACCGCCAGTGCTTCCACCAAGGAGGGGTGGCTCATCCGTGCCTCGGAAGGACCCAACAAATCATCGACTTCTTTTAGAGACTAACAATGGGTCCCGGACCCGACCATCAACGCCCGGCACGGCGTCCCTGTATACTGCGTCCCTGAGCAATAGTACTACGAGCTTGCTTGATAGCTCCTCAGGGCTGGATGAAGGGGCATTCTCAGATGCGATTGTCGCCTCGTCATTGGCATCTGTTCGGGCCTCGCAGGAGAGCAAAGTCCCACCGCCCCCACCACCGCAGCGCCGCGCCAGGTCTCGTTCTCTGAAACATTTTCCCCATACGACCAAGCAAGAACATTCGAATTCCCCTAGTCCATCCACTCACCTACGACAGACCCTCCGGGACCCATCTAGAATAGTGGAAGATGAAGGGTACCAGAGACATAAGCATTTGATTCGCAAGCATCCGCATAAACATCACGAAGGCGAGCGCAGAAGATGGCGGAGTGAGGTGACTGAGAAAGAGCGAAAGCGGTATGAGGGCGTTTGGGCTGCGAACAAGGGATTGTTGCTCCCCCCCGAACAGCAGAGGCCTCCCGAAGCGTACCCCCCGGAAGCCTCGGAGATGGTGGTTAATCTGGTGGCCGCGGACATTTGGTCGCGTAGTCGCCTCCCGCAGCATGTCCTAGCGCAGATTTATGACTTAGTGGATGGGCAACGGATTGGTCTCCTCACCCGGGAGGAATTTGTGGTCGGGATGTGGTTGATTGACCAGCAGCTGAAAGGTCACAAACTCCCGCCAAGGATCCCCAATAGCGTTTGGGCGAGCGTCAAGCGGATATCGGGGGTGCACATCCATGGCCTCCCTCCTGCTGCATACTAGGTTGCAGTCCCTCATCTATTGTGGAGATATGCAGTGGATCGGTATGGAAACGTCACCGTGTCCTCGGAGACTTATGCCCAGACGATCACCTGATTCAATAATATACGGTAGTCCCAATGCTAGGCACGATAAATGCTAACCTATATGAATTATGAAGACCATCTGCATCAGATGTGGGCTATCTATGGCGACCCGGCCGATCGTACGGAGTAAGCCCGGGTGAGATTCAGCTCCTTTGGAGTTCAGATGACGGCCATCCTCACCAGACCTGGATAGTCAAAGACCACCTACCTACTAGGTACTATGGATCTAAGCATGCAGATAGAGTAACCAGACCCCGTCGTTATTCCGTGAGTTACCCACCAGAAGGAATTCCACTATCTTGCCGCACTTACATTAAAGCGCATGTTAAGCTAAGAAGTAGTAGGTAGGTCATCCTCGTTCGGGCGTTCTGCACTGCGGACTGCAATTGATCGATCCGAACTTTGCCCTCTCTGCCCGTCTGCGACCTCCATGGGCCCAACCCGCGAGGGTTGACAGTGTGGTCTCCCGTTCCCATCACCGGTAGCAAGTCCCGGCCCCTCGCATCCCCTGAGTCAAGCCCGTCGTCCCTACGTCTCCAGGAACGCCCCGAGTGCATGGACCATACCTAGAATGATAGAAATCACATACTTCTGCTGCGGCGGTCATTTCCGGTGCATTCCATCACGTGATATATTACATCGGGGTCCCGTTATCCCCATTGGGAAGGAGCCAGTGGCGTTCACAACTTCACTGGGGCCGCGCCACGCTGCTGGTTCTGGTGGTCCCCGAGAGGCAACGGGATGGCCTGGACCTGAGGAGAACCCATCGAAAAAGAGGGGGAGGGAAATTAAAAAAAGATGAATATTTGGGGAAAAGAAAATAACGGAAAAAAAAAAAAAAAAAAAAAACAGAACGCCCCCCAAAAAATAAACCAAAGGAACGAACGAATCAAGCAATATATGCAGCAGAGCTGCATGGCCTCGAAACGACGTTCAAGTCCGATCTGCCACTTCCTTAGATCCGTGCCCCATAAAAAAATGCAGAAAAGAAAGGCATTGCGGGAAACCAAAAAAGAAACGACAGGAGATCGTCGATTGTTATTCGACGACGGGCGTCAAGCCGGCGTGCCTTTTGACCAATCAGCGGCCGTGAAGCGCCACATTACGCTTTTTCTGGGCAGAAGCAAATCCCGAAAGGTGGACAGCTCGGGATTTGCCTCTCCGGACCGGTCGATGAGTAAGCTGCCGCCCAGCACGGCGGCCTCCCAGCTGGCCAACCGCTGTATATCAGACCACGCCCGAGGGCTTGGATTAAAGGCCCTTCAGATTGGCTCCTCCCGAGGGAGGGTTTTCGATGGATCTGTTTCGGCGCCGGTGTTGTTGTCGTTGTCGTGGTCGTTCGTGGCCCTCAGGTATGCGTTAGTTGCTGCTTCGGTGATGGTCGTCCGTTCTTTTCCAGGCGCCTGTTCCCTCCTCCATTATTGTTTGCTCAGCACACGCCGCCATGGTTTCAGAGGAACCCGAGCAGCAGCAGCAACAGCAGCCTGGTGTACTACTAGGTGACAAGAATGGGGTCCCGGATGTGGCAGTTACACAATCCAAGACCGCCAGACCCACGGTGGTCCGCAAGAAGTTTGCAAAGCCCCCGGTCAAAGTAGCTTGTTTGGCCTGGTAAGTTCCTTTTCCTCACCACAGAGCTTGTTTTCGGCCGCAAGCCACCGTGGTCGCGTCCATTGGGACTAACCCGGATCCCTTTCTCTCAGTCGTGCTTCCAGAACACGTTGTGATGGCCAAGATCCGTGCACGAATGTAGGTCCTCTTCCTCTCTGGGTCGCGGTTTCCGCATCTATAGTATCTCTTGCTATTGTTGCTTCCCTCTTTTCTTCGCCCCTTCCGCCCCCTTCCCTCATTCTAATCCCATCCCATTCCATTCCCGGCTCTACCATTGTTCTTCCTTCGGCTTGCGAGATGAGCCTTATATCCATGATATCTTTTCACCAGCGGTCCGATCTTTCCTACGTATGTGAGAGGGCGTGCGCTGATATCATCCTTTCGTGGAAAAGTGTTCTAGTAAGGGTAAGGATTGCTCTTATCTTCCCAGTAAGCGAGGTGGTCCAAGAAAGAAGAAGAAGACGTCGACGGCTGCGGAAATCCTCGCCCAACAGGATGACGTCCAGAATGGAGCGACCCCCCCGGCCTCTTCGGGGTTTGGCGATTGTACGCTCAGACCCTAAGTCAAGTGCCTGCTCACCCACTAATCGAAGTCTAGCATCCGGAATGTTTGGCCAGATCGATGTGCTCTCAATCCCAGGGGCAGGGCTGAGAAGCCTTGACTTCCCTTCCGATGTCCACGCCATGTTTGCCGACCTCTTCGTCCCAAACAGCGAGAACAATGTTCCTGGCCAGATGGAGCCGACCCCTTCCCCGTCAACTATACCATCCCGAGCCTTGGTTCGGACTTATGGCAGTGAAGATGCTATGTGGGTGCTATTTTGTTCCCTCCGATGGCCTTGCGGCATTCTGACCCGAGAGGCAGCCTCAATGCCTACTATGACTTCATTCATAATTATTTTCCCATACTTCCAGCAAGAGTCGACCCCCAAGCCCCGGACCGGCCCCTAGAGTGTGTTGGTTCGTTCACAGAATCACCGTCTGAAGACCCAATTCTCGTCTACAGCCCACGGTCGCCTCTGAGCCTTGCAATATCGGCGATTATGGCCCTAGTCCCACACCCTAACGATCTGGAACCATCGAGTCCGACATCTGTCATCCGCCGTCGGACATTCGCACAGACGTTTGCACAAATGGCAACTGCTGCCATTGAGACTGATTGCGAGCTTCATGCTTCGTCCACCTACCCCTCAGAGGCCTTGTCAAGCGAGAGACCACTCATTGATCGAGAGTCGTTCCATGCCCAGACGCCAGTGGACCTCGAAAGGCTCCTCGCGCTTCTGGTGCTTTCAATCTACGAGTACAACCAACGAGGCAATCTACTAAAGATGAGATATCGTGCTGGTCAGGCTCTGGCAATAGCATTGGATATGTCTCTACATTCTCTAGGGGAGGAAGTTGATGAGTTTGCGGAAGCTCGGCGAAGAGCTTGGTGGATGACTGTATGGACCCTCATCTCGAATGGCACCGCGGCTGCTAATGCCTATTTCTCCGTAGTATTATTGTGTTCTCCAGGGTTCTATCGTCAGCACAACGGTAGGTCTCACATTCACCCCCCTTAAAAACCCTCAATCCCTGTTCTTAGATCCTATGAGAGAAGCTAATGTCAGTCGCACAGCCCCTAGCTATTGCCGCGAATGATCCCCAATTCATCACTCCTTACCCGCGGTTCTCGGCCGACCCTGATGTACGCCCATTCCCATTACCGAAATCAAAGTTAATATCCGTGGAATTGGTGGCCTCTAACACACTATATAGGGCTGGTCTGTGTTGATCCAAGCCCAGCAAGTTCTTGTCTCAGCAACCCAATTCATTATCGATCTCAATAAATGTCTCTCCACGAGGACCAACATGCATTACATCTACGAGCGAATGCAGCAACTCGATGCATGGGCGAGCTCTGCCTTGGCACAATCAAATCTGCTTCCCATTGTGCCTCAGTCCATGGCCTGTGGTGGTGAGATTGAATCTACAACAGCCCAAAGCATACGTGCAATATCGCGGATCAAGTTATCCAGGTGAGTATAATCTATGTGCTAAGGCTACGGTCTTACCGTTGCTAATGTCTCTTAAGCGCCCAAATCAAGGTGCATCGCTTTAGGGCATTTTCGGACATCCCTATATTTATAAAAAAGCACTGTGATCTTACCTCAGCCGGATCAAACGACGCGATGTCGGATTCTGCCTCCAGAAATTGCAGGTCTCAAAGCGGGATTGCAAACATTGGATGCTCGTGTAGCCTCGGGCCTTTCCAGCAGACTCCAAGCGACTATACCTCTTCTACATCTTCAGTGTCGTCAGATCCCCAGCCAATGTCTCAGTATCCATTTACGAGCGGATTTCCTTACAGCATTCAACATTCAGCGAAGATGTGTCTCAGAGCATCCCTCTTGATTTCACGCATGTTCTACAGTTTGCCCCTGCCGCAACCGCTTCTTGATAATTGCCCGACTCAGCAGGAGCTGCAGATACTACCGAATCAGCTACCACGAACCATGCCATCGTTTGCGTGCTGCCTGATGCAGGGCAGCTATGCAATGCTAATGATATTCTACAAGGCACGCGTGGAGACCCAATTGTCACCAGACTATGGGAACGACAGTGCCCCAAATCCCTCAGACCGGCTAATCGAAGAAATCCGGAAGGGACTAGAGCGCATAATTGCTACTGTTACAAACTATGCGATTGCATTTGAGGCGTTGGACGGAATGAGGGGTGAGTTCAGTCCTTCCAGTCCCGCCCAGCGAACCCCTCGCGTCACCGTTCTATCTAACATTGACATGCAGATGAAATCCAGGGTGCATATCATGCGGCGTTGTCTCAGGCATAGAATCTACTTCTCTTTCTTTGCAGATACCAACTTCTCTCAAATCACAGCCTGCCTTGATGGAACTGGCTGCATACTGTATATAGTTTCCGCTAACATGTGGAACAGAAGAATAATTATATATTGGAATTACTCTTTCCCCCTCTTTTAGCCAAGGTGGTTCCTAAATAGGCATCATCTTGTGTTTAGTGAAGATGAGATCGCTTCTCAAGGTCGAACCCATCTCGTTATGTTTCCATAAATTGGACATGGATCTGTATATCTTTATGGTCTTGAATATCTTAAAACTTCATTGATTATATAAAAAATATTGTCCCATTTTTCTTTCTCTATAGACATTTTGCATGTTGATTTCCCTAGATAATATGTAACTCAACTCAATTCCGAGGTTTCTGTAATCCCTCCCTGAGTGCCAAGATATAGCAACGATAGAAAAAAGAAGAGAGAAATAGCAAATCCAAGTATCCCGAACACAGCGCCTAGTACTTAGGTAGATGTTAGTTAGAATGAGGGAAAAAAGGATTGCATCTGAAGCGAATAGGCCAAGCAACAAGCAACCGACCCCATCTATGTAGCTAGACGAACTATCTAAAGGAATTGGAATGAAAGGAGGAAGGAGGGGGATAAATTCATAATTTCGACCGAATCCCTTCTAACCGAAACTTGACGTCTTTGAGCACCTTGCTGGTTGGTTTCCAGTCGTCGAATTGACGCAGTAATTCCATGGTCTCTTCGAAGAGTTCGCGGCGGACGTATTCCTCTTCGAGGATACCGCGCATTGCGAAGGGAAGGATATAGGGGTTTGCGGGGGCTGGCTGGGTGCGTTTGATATGGAGGGAGGCGCTGTGGATGGTGGATGTTTCGAGGGCGAAGTCGATGGCCAGACTAGGGGTTGTTAGGGTGGGAGGGATGGGATTAGAGGAAAGGAGGCACAAGGACGTACCGGTATACGGCTGGGTCGTCGTAAAGGCGGGAGTGGCCTTCTCCACTGTATAGACTGCCTGCTAATGGGGAGCTGAGTTCACGGAGGAGACCGTGGTCTGGGATACCGAGGTTGCGGAGCTTTAAAACAAAGCCGACGAGGTGGGAGAGACTGGTTTAGTGTTAGATGGGTGGTTTTGGGTTGGTATTATGGTATTATGGCATGGCTTACAAGCTTGGGGCGTGTACTCTGCCGTCGACGAAGGCTGCGCGGTAGATGTATGGGTGGGTTACTGGGGCGAATAGCGAGGACTGAGATGAGGGTGGTTAGTATATCTGCAGGAGGGAGGTTAGGGAGTGGTGAGTGGTTCTGTACCTCTAGAGAAACTAGCTGGTCGTCGATGCTTCCGATGTATGATATCCGAATCCCGAAATCGAGACAGGTCCTCAGTGCCGATTCGTAATCCTTGGAGACTTGGCTGTAAGGAAGGGCGAATTCAAAGAGCTCGCCAGCGGAGCCGCTGATCCATCGGGACCTGTAGTCCGCGAATGGGCCCAGGTTGACGCCTGCCATAGCACACACGCCGACACGGGCTGCATTGAGGCAGCCAAAAGATATCAATCTAGCGACCAGCATAATGGCAACAGGGACACCCTGACTGTGACATGCCACCAGGATGAAGTCGGCTTTTCTGATTTCTTCCATCCAATTGAGTAATAGCTTCCACAACAGGTCGACACGCTCGGATATACGACCCTCGCCCTCTAATGCGATTTTCTCAATGTCGCATTTGTAACCATGGTCGTCGACCCAGGTTTGTATGGCCTCCGCCGCCATGTTCGAGAATCGAATCGAGGTGCCTGTCGGCTGACCGAGGACACTTCGAATCAATGGAGCAGGGAAGTACCCGTGTATCCCAATGGCCAATGCCCTTTTGATAGGGGGCGTATCCTTGACCATGTGGACATGTTTGTTGTTCGAGTCCTTGCTATACTGGAAATACCGTCCTATTGTTTGCAGCAAGCTGGGTTTCTCCTGCAAGGCGAAGGTGTCCTGAAACCGTGGTAAAACTTGGTTAGGCAATACCTTGCGCAGTTGTTTTGAAGCGGCCGCTTCGGAAGGCCCTGGTACCAAATCATTGAGACCGGCTTCCAGACGCAGCGTGGACTTGTCAGGTAGTGCAGAGCTACCCTTGGGGTTCTTGAGCTTAACGCTTCCCTTCTTTGCGATCTCAGCCCTTGCTTCTGATTCCGTTTCAGCTTCACCTGGCTGCCTTTTCATGGTAGGATCTGGCGTTGCAGAAGTCTCAACTACCTGAACCTCTTGTGAATTTTCCTGAATAGGGTCTTTCGAAGAGTCCCTAAACCAGAAAGACCATCCCGAAGGCTTTACATCCTTCGCGGACAATTTAGCCGAACTGTCCGTTGCCCCTTGCGTTTCATCATCTGGGATTGATGCAGATGCCGTCTGCTCGCCTTGCGTAGTTGGCCTGCCTACTGCATTTGAAAGCTCGCTCACAGGCTCGCCCACAGGCCCTTCTGGCCCTTTGGTCGACGAGCCGTACCACATTTGAAGCCAAGAACGTTTGTGAGAAGTTCGTGAACTTTCAGACACTTCAGGCACTTCTGCAGGCTTATCGGGTTCCGACGTATCTGGTTCCGACCTATTTGGTTCCGATGTATCTGGCTCTACCTGGCTCTGGTCTTCTGACCTGGCCTGTTCCTCGTCTTTCAAAGCCTGGGATTCCCCGGACGATTCTTCACTGGCCTCTGACACTGGCTCTTTCGGAGCAGGCTTCTCGGCGGTTGACGGAGCATAAAACCATGAAAGCCATCCACCAGGTTGGGGATTAGATGTAGGGACTGGATCAGCGACCTCGGGATTTTCATTTGTGGTAGTCTCGGGGGCAGGAATCAACGGTCCCTTAACTGCGTCATCCGCAGATACTGGCTCCTGCACGTTTGGCGCTTCCTCCTCTGTTGGTCGGGTCGTGGTGCTAGCCGGGCACGACCGAGCGTCCTCTTCAGGGGTGAAGGTCGTACCATCGGAAGCTATGTTAATCCTCGTTGTCGCGGTGTCCGCAGGAAGAGACCTGCTGGACGCACCCACTTTGCGAGTAAGTTGGAGAGAAGGATTTCGAGGTTGTTTAGGGGAATCGAGCTGGGAAGTTGAGCGGGAAGTGAGTTTCGGTGCTAGGTTTTGAGCAGCGGAAATGCTCTCACGGGCAACCTCGGTAACAGGGGCCGCTTTTGATGCTCTGGAAACCGCCGGCCAGACTGCAGGATACCAACTCTGTGCAGGGGAGGATACATTAGGTACATGGAACAGATGCAGATGAGGATGAAGACCTAGTGGGAACCTGAACTCACCGCAGTGCTTCTGTTCCGTGACTCCGCACGGCCTCCGCCTGGGGAATGCGATGTAGCATCATTGCTCGAGGCTGAAGGGGACTTGGAGTCCGCGCCTGGGGGGCTGGGCTTTACTCTCTTTCGAGATCCCATGGGCGGCATAAACGTCGAGACAGTAACATCACCAAATGCGAGCTGGAAGGGCGGATCAAAGCATGGATGAGATCACGGAGATGCTTTGCGTAGCCACCAGCGATGGTTGGTTATCGGGCCAGCAGCACCACGCCGGGTATCACGTCACATGCCGCTCCCTGACCGTCTTTGTACGCCTCGCCGCCTGAGGCGGTCAGTCGTGGCGGTGCGGCACGACACCCGCCACACCCGGGCTGGAAGGGGAAATTTTTATTTCGGGGCGATGTGGAGAAGGCCAGGCAGGATCCATCCAGGCCGCCGATAACTTTTTTTTCGGGATACACCTCTTCAGTTGTACCGCAACCCCCCTCTACCCAACCACTTGTATCCGCACCCCTTGTCCCTGCGGTTTCGGGTTCTTGTCGAGTGTGCCTCGACCACCCACCTTACAAGATGGCGATTCAAAAGAAGGTAATGCCGTATTGGCATATCCCGCGGGCAGAGGAATCTCAGTGCTGACGATGACTTAGCATGGTAAAGGTCGTTTGGATAAGTGGTATCGCCTTGCAAAGGAGAAGGGATACCGAGCTAGAGCTGCTTTCAAGCTGATCCAGCTGAACAAGAAGTATGGCTTTTTGGAGAAGAGCAAAGTCGTCCTGGATCTTTGCGCGGCACCCGGTGTGAGTACAGTCGCAACGATCTCAACATCTGGTCTGGTTGCTAATCGCAGGGAAACAGTCGTGGTGTCAAGTGGCTGCAGAATGCATGCCCGCGCAGAGTATCATTATCGGTGTCGATCTTGCGCCTATCAAGCCGATCCCTCGAGTCATTACTTTCCAGAGCGATATCACGACCGAGAAATGTCGCACAACGATCAGACAGCACTTGAAGCATTGGAAAGCGGATTGTGTCCTCCATGACGGTGCTCCTAACGTCGGTGCCGCTTGGGTTCAGGATGCTTTCTCTCAGGCAGAACTGGTGTTGCAATCTATGAAATTGGCTACGGAATTCCTCGTGGAAGGCGGTACATTTGTCACCAAGGTCTTCAGATCTAAGGATTACAACCCCCTACTCTGGGTTTTCAAGCAACTGTTCTCGTCGGTGGAGGCAACAAAACCTCCGTCTTCTCGAAATGTCTCCGCCGAAATCTTCGTCGTCTGCCGAGGATTCAAGGCACCCAAGCACCTGGACCCGAAGTTCCTCGATCCCAAGCATGTGTTCGCCGAACTTGCCGCCCCGACGCCCAACAACGAGGCCAAGGTGTTCAATCCGGAGAAGAAGAAGCGCAAGAGAGAGGGTTACGAAGAGGGAGATTACACACAGTTTAAGGAAATTCCCGTTACTGAGTTTATCAACACAACAGATCCGATTGCCATTCTTGGTTCATACAACAAACTAAGCTTTCAACAATCACCGACAGGAGACCTTGCTCTGGCCACCCTAGAAAGACTTGAAGACACGACCGACGAGATTCGGTCCTGCTGTGAGGATTTGAAGGTTCTGGGTAAAAAGGAGTTCCGCAATCTGCTTAAATGGCGACTGAAGGTCCGGGAGCAGTTCGGTCTCGTCGTGAAGAAGGGCAGCCAAGCAAAGGACGATGAGCCCGAGGAAGTGGCCGAGATCGCTCCTATGGACGAAGAATTGGCTATTCAAGAGCAACTGCTCCGACTCCGTGAAAAGGAAACCACAAAGCAGAAGAAGGAGCGCCGCAAAGAAAACGAGAAGAAGCGCAAGGAAATTGTCCGATTGCAGATGCACATGACAACCCCCATGGATATCGGAAAGGAGCAACTGGGACCTAATGGCGAGGATGCCACGTTCTCGCTCAAGCGTGCAGAGAGAGGCGGGGTCAGGGACGCCATTGCAGCGGGCCAAGAGGCGACGATCGAGAGTGACAGCGAGGACAGTGAATCTGAGTCCGAGACTGAGGAGAGCGACGATGAGGAAGATCGCCTGGAGCGGGAACTGGACAATCTGTACGAGCAATACACGGACCGCAAGGAGGACAAGGACACGAAACTACGGGCGAAGAAGGCCAGGAAGGGCTATGAGGCTGACGAGTGGGACGGCTTCTCCGATTCCGACAAGGAAGGAAGTGACGGGGAATCCGATGAGGAGGGTGTTAACTCTGCCTTTGCGGGCGACAAAGCTCAGTCCGGTTCCCTTTCCAACAATGCCTCGCTGTTCTTCGACCAAGATATCTTCGAGGGTCTGGAAGATATTGACGATGTAGAGGACGAGGATAGCGCCATTGAAGTCAAGGAGGATCGGCCCAAGAGCAAGAAATCCTCTGAAAAGCAGACGGCGAAGGATTCGAAGAAGAAGACTGTGCAGGTGGCAGAAGACTCGGACGACGAGTTCGTAGAACTTGAGGAGCCACGGAAGAAGAATGGTCAGCTCGGTAAGTGCATAAAGCTCGGGACCTGCTCTCGTCATTTATGCTGACGTTGCTATATAGATATCGATATTATCACTGCCGAGGCCATGGCTCTCGCTCAGCAGATGGCCAGCGGCGAGAAGAAGTCTTCTGACGTGGTCGATGATGGCTTCAACCGATTCGCTTTCCGCGATGTTGATGGCCTCCCCGAGTGGTTCCTTGACGATGAGACGAGACACAGCACCCCGAACCGGCCTATCACCAAGGCAGCGGCGGCAGCGATCCAGGAGAAGATGCGCGCCATCAACGCTCGTCCGATCAAGAAGGTGATGGAGGCCAAGGGCCGTAAGAAGTTCAAGGCTGCGCAGAGGCTGGAGAAGTTGCGCAAGAAGTCGGCGCTGTTGGCGGATGACGAAGCGCTCAGCGAACGTGACAAGTCGCAAGCTATTGCACGGTTGATGAGCAGGGCCACCAAGAAGAAGCCCAAGCAGCAGGTGAAGCTGGTGGTTGCCAAGGGAAACAACCGGGGTATCTCCGGACGTCCCAAGGGTGTGAAGGGCAAGTACAAGATTGTGGATTCTCGCATGAAGAAGGATATCCGGGCCCAGAAGCGCCTGGCCAAGAAGAAGCAGTAGTGGAAGGGTGGAGTTGTGGAACTCGAAGAAGCGATTGCATTCATCATTGTCGATGTAAATACCCGGTTACCATAGATAGCTGTCTGTATAATACCCATGCTGGAGGGGTACGTATCTACCTGTTGCCGACTGTGATGTGATGTGCTGTGCTGTGCTGTGGCTTGTGATAGGTTCCAAAGTAGTGCAGGGTGGTGGCGTTGGTGGTATTGGTGGTGTCCAGTGAGCACCAAGCACAGAGGCACCCGATGTCGGGGGCAAATTAAACTCTCTTAGACTGGATGCTTATCCCTCTTCTATCCATTGCGCCTTCACTGTTTAAGTATTGACCCTCACAGCGCCCCTCTCCACGGTCACTACTGCTACACATTACTGATAACTCAACATCTATCTAGCCACTACTAGTTTGGGGTCAGGCTAACCGCGGGACTAAGGCAAGGGCAGCTCATCCGGCCCGGAGTGGCGGCGCTGGCGTTATCGATCACCGCCGGCGCTTTCCCTCTCACCGTCGCGGCTTTTTATTCCTCCTCTCTTTCTCCGCCGCCCGCTGTCTTTGTTCTGCTGCCGCCTGGCTAGCATCGTGCATTCACTCCTTCATTCATTTGTGTCTCGTTGTCTTATCGTACATATGCTTACCCCCGTATTATAGCTTGTTTTGTTCTGTGTAAATCTTTCACGCGTCGCTGCCAATACTGGTTTGTATCTTACGCCGCCCGCCCTTTCATAGTGCGGCTCAATTATCGCGCCCCCATGGGATTTTTTGACCACCTCCAGAAAGGAGGCACCTTCTCTCTACAACCCAAGAAACCTCAGATCCGCAAGGTTGTTCAAACGCGAGCCGCAGCCCCCTCAAGACCCTCGTCCCAGACCCCAGGTCATTCCGCATCCCGAACACCCCCCGCTCAGCTCAAAGCTCGAGAGTCAGCAAGCAGATCCGTCTCGAGGGATCGAGATCCCCCATCTTCGAAGCGGCGACTCGGCACACCCGCGCAGAGTCGCAAGCGACAAACTCCGGAATTACGACTCTCTAGCGACGACGATGCCAGCGATACCGATACTTCCTTTGAGGTGCGCAAACGGGCTAGGACAGGTGACAGCGCAGAACCAGACCCTGCCAGGCGCGTGCGCTCTATGAAAGCCTTCTTCGAAGATGGCATCCGGAACCTTCCCATGATACATGCAGCAGAAATTACGTCCATTGAAAAGGCCGGAAATTTTAAACCTGCGTTTGGGGCAGCCAAGCCTCTACCGGAACTACTTCTCCAGTACCCCAGCGCTTCGTCCAAGGAAAGGTAGGAAGGCAACGACCCCGTGCAATATGAATATCGAAAAGTTAAACCTCGTTACTGACGGCGCGCGTCTTCTAGGTATAATCTTGTGGTTCCTCGTGACAACGACGACTTCAAGCCCATTGACGACATCGTAAACGTCATCGACATAGTTTCACAAAATTACATACCCGATGAGGAGGCAGATGTATTCAACAATGAATCGACTGGAATCAAACGTAGACTACGACGAGCACTTGCCCATTCCTCTGAAGCGGATCTCCGGGAAGTCGTGACGGAGTACAACAATGCGATCGTACGGCTGAGACGAAATGGGGGTATTGCAAAGAAGCTGGATTCAACGAGTCGTCTAAATTTGCCTCACGTGGAAAGAATCTTGACCCAAATATACTCGCGCACTGTCTCGCCTCGGGTCGAATCTCTTCGTCAATATGAGAATGGGACGGACAATGTGTATGGCGAACTTCTCCCGCGCTTCATCAGCACAATTTTCAAGGAGACCGGGCTGAAGTCTGGCCAAGTCTTCGTTGATCTGGGCTCTGGTGTCGGTAACGTGGTCCTACAGGCAGCGCTAGAGATCGGATGTGAAAGCTGGGGTTGCGAAATGATGCAGAATGCATGCGAGCTTGCCGAACTTCAACAGACCGAGTTCAAGGCGCGATGTCGGCTATGGGGCATAGCGCCAGGGAAGACGCACCTCGTTCGAGGTGATTTTCTCAAGGAACAGAGCATTATCGATGTACTGAAGCGCGCCGACGTGATTTTGATCAACAATCAGGCTTTCACCCCTCAGCTGAATAATGAGCTGATCAACCACTTTTTGGATATGAAGGAAGGGTGTCAGATTGTATCCCTAAAGTCATTTGTCCCGGCGGGCCACAAAATACAATCCCGCAACCTCAATTCACCCATCAACCTATTGAAAGTCAAGCAGAGGAACTATTGGTCGAACAGCGTCAGTTGGACCGATGTTGGTGGTACCTACTTTATCGCGACCAAAGATAGTTCTCGCCTGAAAGCTTTTGTGGAAAGCATGCAATGAAGTTCTGCTGATTCACCATACATTCCCACTGCTGCTTGGTTCACGACCGCAATGCTTTGCTGCTTTCGGTTTCTTGTATTGATATTCTTTATTGGCATTTGTTGGTACATATATCCTCTTTTGGCAAAATTGTTTTGGTATACTGACCCTTTGTTTTGCTTTTGGAGATGCTCTGGGCTTAGGACATGATACCATGTTTCTTATTCAGGCATACATATCAGCGCGTGCTAGTGGATCCTAGCACTCTTCACTTTCAGTACATAACCGTCTGACATAGCCAGTGCTTACTCACAAAGCTATGGATTACATAAGGTGTGGCATGGAATGAGATATAGGACTTGGGCACAGTGTGAATAACATCTCTTGGGATCATAACTTTCTTGTGCAGCCTGTGACAGCACACTAATACTGGGTACCAGTACATTCTACAAATCAAAATCAAACCTTGAGAAATCAGTCCAGCATCAAGCGGGATATGAAGAGTCTATGTCAGTTCGTCGTGTAGTTTTCTCGCTATGAGAATTGGGAGGCAGCGTTCATGGCTTCTGCCTCCCTGCCCATTCTAGCCATCCAGCGATCAACGAGCTCTTGGTTTTCCCGTTCAAGCCGGGAAGTCCGCTCTTCGGCCATGTTCAGTTGGAGATTCAACGATGCTAGCTCGTCTTGGAAATCCTACGGCAACAGGGTTAGTAACACGGAAGACGCCGACGGAAGGAGAGAAAGCAGTAGCATACGTCCAGTAGTTTTGCCTTTCCTCGCAACTCCTCGTCGCGATCTTTCAAACGCAATTGAAGATGCGCAACCTCACCCCCATACGCATGGATCCGCCTGCTATCTTGGGTGTTTCTTTTCCGCAGCTTCTCCAGCTCAACGGTCACACGAGCGAGCCGGTCTTGCAGTTCGGAACGAGACCGTTGTGCTTCGGAAAGATCCGCACGTGTCGCAAGAAGAGTCTCTTGTAGAGATGGGTCCTGCGCCCCTGACGTCTGTTTACTGGAACGGGATCCTGACGTGTCGGTCGGCACCTGCTGACCTTGAGTGGGAACCGGGCTTTGCGGATTGCTAGCCGCTGCTGCTATGCGACCGGTGCGATCGGCCAGTTGAGTATCTAGGATTCCGGGGCATTGAATTAGACAATGGTCATGTCACTTCGGAAAGTTTCACTACCCCAGAGAAGTGAGGATGATCGGCATACACGCATCGTAGATAGCTATGTTGGCTTTCTCTCGTCGATCACGAGCCGCCAGCGCAGCGGAGTACTCCTCCTTCCAGTGGGCCATTTGATAGCAATGATAAGGCGAGTCTATCGGACGGACGACCCCTCAGATCACGGAACCATGGTGACGCTCAAGCACACCGAGAGATACACGTAGATGGTAAGACACGAAGGCCTGACGCTTTTAGGACCGAGTAGGACGACAACTGCACGCTCTTTTCGCAAGCGTGAGGGGAAATGGGATGGGTTCCTGACGACCGACTGAGGTGTCGATGGGCTGACCGCCATCTCCACCGCCCCGGTCCTCGTGCATCATCGAAAGCCGCCGTCGCCGTTAGCTCGGCTCAGTTCACCGTCCAGGCCCAACTATCCCTCTTCTTGTTGTGACTTGACAACAACTACCCGACTCGTTCGGTGTGTCTGCCAACTGACTCCATCCCTCGCTGCGCTGACGGGATTATACCGACTTCCACTTTGCTTTTTTGCCCCATAGACGTTGCTCAACTTCCCATTCTCCCTACAACCCCCTCATATCTCCACCATGTCGTCACGGAAGAAGGTCTTGTTGAAGGTACCGCATCCCGACCCATGCAGGCCCTTGAAAATGCTCCAATTACTCACAGCGCTCCTCGTATCTCTTAGGTGATTATTTTGGGTGATAGCGGCGTCGGTAAGACGAGTTTGATGAACCAATATGTCGGTCGCCTTATCTCCTAGCGAGTCTTCGTATCCCACTGACCCATCTCGGTCGGCAGGTCAACAAAAAGTTCAGCGCAAGCTACAAGGCAACGATCGGGGCCGACTTTCTCACAAAGGAGGTCCTGGTGGATGATCGGCTAGTGACAATGCAGGCATGTGCTCCCCCGCTTTGGAAGATGAACGGAGCTGCTTTGGAGATGGAAGTTAACCGGTCGCCAACAGATCTGGGACACCGCGGGCCAAGAGCGATTCCAATCGTTAGGCGTTGCATTCTACAGAGGTGCCGACTGCTGTGTTCTGGTATACGATGTCAACAATTCGAAGAGTTTCGAAGCCCTTGACAGCTGGCGCGACGAGTTCCTTATCCAGGCTAGCCCTCGGGATCCTGAGAGCTTTCCTTTTGTAAGAGCCCTTGACGGAACAGGCTCCAGCGCATGGTTCACGTGAGACTGGATCTATTGACACGAATACTGACTCGAATCTAGGTTGTGATTGGTAACAAGATTGATGTGGAGGAAAGCAAGCGCATGATCTCGTCGAAACGGGCTATGACGTTCTGCCAGTCGAAGGGAAACATCCCTTACTTCGAGACGAGTGCCAAGGAAGCCGTCAATGTTGAGCAGGCCTTTGAAGGTAGGTTACTTGTCCTATTTTGTCCGTACTGCTCAGGCATGACTAACTTACTAAACCAGTCATTGCTCGGAGTGCCCTGGCGCAAGAAGAGGCAGAGGAGTTCAGTGGAGAATTCAGCGACCCGATCAACATCCACCTTGATGGTGAGCGTGACGGGTGTGCTTGTTAATATCCTCCTGCTAGACATGCCTTGCGAACAATTTACATCCCAGCCTTAAGAACGCTCCATTCTTGCTGTATGCGTTTCCGACCCCTCCCGTTTCTTGCCTGTTAGAGAACAACAGACTCGCATGAACTGCGAGCTTGGAAGAGCGTAGGTGCTCTTGAGAGAACACCTACGCTATACAGTTATGGAGCCCTCATGTGTCACGCTCCTTGCCTTGTGTTTGTCTGCCAATTCGCATGCGATATCCGTTGATGGTCTTGTTCTTTCTGCCTAATGCTTCTTTTTTCCTGTACGAAGGCACCATCATGTTTTGTAGGAGTCTGGAATATCATCGTTTATCTGCCACAATCATGGACAGTAGAGAGTACTATTGCGAATATCGTCGAGAAATGAGGGCATTCTATGATTCTACAAGGATGCCAAGTAATTAAGCCTCGACGCGGGTAAGTGGCCGGCCACCCAATCAAGGGGGGGCTGTCGCGTGCTTATCTCGGCATCATCTCGTGATGCTCGGCGTTATCGACTTCGGGTTACACCGCAGAGTCACTCCGACTCCGGTCTCCATCCATCCCCGGTGAATCCTGCCGACGCTGCTCCGTCCACCTCCCCATCGGTGTCGCCTGCTGGAACAGGTGGCCTTCCAAGTTGTATAGCATTTCCTTTGCGCCCATGATCCACGGTTGATAAGTCGCGATCCGGGGGGAAAGTATACCTCGTATCGCGCCGGCGGGGAGATCTATACGACTCGACTCCCAGCGAGTCATTCTCTTATCACACCGCTCCTGACAGCCAAATACACCGCGCAGAAGCGACTCAAAGGCCATGGAATTACCTCAAACCACGGAAGGCTCGATGTTGGTCGGTGCCGCCAGACGAACCTTGGGCATTTGTCTGCTTCTGGTCGTGGTATTCTTGTGGACGGCTTCCAATTTCCTCGCCAGTGTATGGCTTCCCCCCAATAATCTCTCCGATGCGGGGCTAATCTCGTCTCTGTCCATGGGCTGCAGACTATATTTGCGAATGATACATACTCGAAGCCGTTCTTTGTGACATACGTCAACACCTCGTTATTCACCCTCCCTCTCTTCACGATCCTCATCAGTCGGCTCTTGAAGTTATGGCGCGCTGGGAAGCTCTACCGAATCCGCTCATTCCAGAGCTTAGTGGAACACCTCGATTCTCATGAAACGAACGCCGAGTCCCAGAGGATACTTGACTATGATGCAGTCGCGGAACGTCGGCGCAGCGACGAAGACCCTGACACATGGGCTGCTGCCAGGTTCGATACTCCATTCAGAGATCGGCCGTCGAAACTGGGGTTGAAAGCGACTGCCAAACTGAGCCTCGAGTTCTGTCTGTTATGGGTGAGTCCCTACCCCCCTCCCTATTGAACCTAGAAGCTAACTAGAACCAGTTCTCCGTAAGTACCAACAACAAGCACATACACAAAAAGTGGATCAAGTACTAAACGCAACCAGGCGAACTACTTCGCCATGGCCTGCCTCCAATACACAACCGTAGGAAGCACCACCATCCTCACCTCAACAAGCGGTACGTAAAGCCCACCACCTCCTCCCCCTCGAACCCCATCTAACCCACCTCAAAACCAGGCGTCTGGACCCTCATCTTCGGCGCCCTAATCAGAGTCGAAAAATTCACCATCCGCAAACTCATCGGCGTAGTCGCCTCCCTGATCGGAATAATTCTTATTTCGCGCGTCGACATGTCCAACCCCGACACCCCCCCCATCGACAGCACCTCCAGCATCATCACCACCAGGGAAAGTACCTTTCCAACCAAAACCCCCGGCGAGATCGCCCTCGGCGACGCCATGGCCGGCTTCAGCGCCGTCCTCTACGGCGTATACACCATCGTCCTGAAGAAGCAAGTAGGCGATGAATCCCGCGTCAACATGCAACTCTTCTTCGGTCTAGTAGGACTATTCAACACGGTTTTCCTCTGGCCTGGATTCATCATCCTCCATGTCCTCGGTATAGAGACCGTAGGAATGCCCGATACCGGGAGAGTGTGGACGATTATTTTGGTATTATGCCCTCATTCCCCTCCCTTCCTCACACCTCTGGAACATCACCACAATCGAAAATAATCCAAATTGATCTAATATACACAAATCAGGTCAACGCCCTCGCCTCCCTAGCATCCGACATCGCCTGGGCCTACGCCATGCTCCTAACCACTCCTCTCGTGGTAACGGTAGGATTAAGTCTCACGATCCCGCTCTCGCTAGTGGGTCAGATCGTCCTGCAGGGACAGTATGCGAGCGCGTTGTATTGGGTTGGGGCGACGGTGGTGTTTTTGTCGTTTTTGGTAGTGAATCAAGAGAGTCAGGAGGTGGATGAGGGGGTCGGTGGTGTTGGCGGTGGTGGTGGACGAAGAGGGGAGGGGGAGGGTATGATGCTATTCCAGGGGATGAGAGGGATAGATGATTTATAGATACTATCTAGGGAGAGAGTGAGGGGGTTATGATGAAGGGTTCATAGGGATGGGGGGTTGGGTATATTTGATTGGTTCTATGGAGTATACTAGTTAAGCATATAGAATGATACTATGAGTGATTGATTTTAATTGGGTGATTGGATGGCACCTCATGCACGGTGACAGATGGATTGAATTCTGAAACATTGAATTGTAGTGTGGAGCATTCCCCGTTCTCGTACTAAATTACATGATACCACAGGTCTGGGTGAAGAATAGAAGTAAAAATACAGATAAAGCAAGCCTGAAAACACTGCACCACTTCTCATGTCGTCCAGGACAATTCAGCAATACGCGAGACTGGCCCAACTCGTCAACGTCACCTACTCGTCCGGGTCTCGAGATCTCGTGCAGCCAGATAAACAACAGACATTAAGAAGACAATATCATGAAGAACATTGGGTATGTATATCGTCAAACAAGAACCAAAGTGTAGAATACTGCAGACATGGAAGCAACATAGGGAAATAATTGAGCAAGAAGTGAAATAGACTAGCCAGAATCCGAGGGACGTTGAGAAAAACAGAAAATGCTGAATAACAGCAGATGTCGAAAGATTCGGCAATCTGTTGTACAGTGGGTTCCTTAACGGAGGCCTGCTGCTCCTGGCGCAGGCTCCAATTTCTTGCGAGCGACAAGAATGCTCTTCAGAGAACCTAGCCACTTCGCTAGAGATTCCTCGTCGGCAGTGCATAGCCGATACGATTTTTCTTCTGCGATTATCTGAAGGCAGTAGTATTTCGAGCGTGACATGGGATCGACTTCAGCGGCGTCGATCACCTGAGCCATGGGGATGACCTTGACCGCGGAGTATTCCTGATGAATCACATGGTTAGCCGCGCAAGCTTACCCAAGATGGCTCGGACGTAATGCTGAAACAATGACAAGGGAAAAGAGGACGTACCTGCTCATCTTTGTAGAAACCAAGGCTTTTCGGGCGCAACACAACCCACAGCCGCTTCCATTGGCGCATGGATCCCTTGATCCTGAGACATTGAAGATATCCATTGCACACAACTCTTTCCGGGTCACGAAAAACGCCAGATTCGTTGCGCGGGACTGAAGAATGTCCATCACTGTGAACCGATGCCGGTTGGTTCGGGAGGGAGGGAGATTTCAAGCGAACGCCGTTGTTGCTCCCAGGCCCATCAGACCACTCCGAATAGGACGTGATGTCATTCCCTGAGTGATCGTGGGGCGAGGCAAATCGCTTGGACTGGTAGGTGGGCGACAACGAATCCCCGATTTCAGGGGAGCTTGGCCTTCCGCGATGATCAAAATCAGAATGATCGGTGGTGTCGTAAATGCGGCGCTTGTTGTTTCCCGCAGTGTCGCCATTCTTTGACAATGCCAGAAAGGCCTCCTCATCTTCATCCATGCGAGTTTCCCCTTTGATCTGTTTGATCCAGTCTTCGGTGTCTTTGTCTGAAGATGCTTGGAATCGATAGTTCTTGGACGGAGAGAATACCCCAAATACATGCTGTCGATTTGACCGGGGCGACCTAACGGATGCAACTGCGGTGACCTCGGATAACGTGATGGAGGCCCGTAGCCTTGTAGTCTCTTCATCTTTGTATACTGACAAAAGGTTTGGCCGGAGAACCAAATATGCGGGTTTCCAGGAGGCCCGGAATGCCTGTTGCAACGAAGTCAGCTTTGCGACAGGAATAGTAGACAGAAGACGAAGGCAACTGACATGCTTGTGCTTCACGCGACGGAAGACCTTGCCGGTCTTCAAAACCCGATCAAACTCGAAACTCCCGTTTTCGTTGACGGGAGAGAATGTGTCTAGGTTGACACGGCCATTGCGGTAGGAAGTGCACTGGGAGTTCGGGGATAATAGTGTGGACCTTTGGACGGTGCCGTCAGGGAGCTGGATCGCTGGGGCCTTGGGATTCCCTTCTGCAACCGGTGCATACGAAGTGGAGATAGTTGGACTCATGATTATACGACGCTCTTCGTGAGCTGTGAACAAGTATCGGATTTGGAGAGAAAGTTTGCGTTCAAGTGCAGTTACACTGCGCGGTGGAGAGAAGGAGCGGGGCGTTGTCTAGTATACCGACTCGAGGGCGCACATGTATGGCGGACACGTCGAGGACAACGGCGGAGAGAGATCGATAAATAGCGAGTAATAGTCGCCAGAATTATAAGAGAGTAGGCAGAAATACTCGCGACGTATCGAGCTGCTGACAATCGGTCGTCGCAGTCGCCAGGGTCATGGAGGCTGTGCCGAAAGGAGGGTGAGCAGGTGGGAAGCGATGACGGAAAGGAACGAGGGAATGCGATGGAAAAGCGAGGCGCTTTTCGTGATGATAGCTGATGTTAAGTGACGCAGAAGGGAAGAAACTCCAGCAATAACATGACTCAAAGGCGAATGCCTCACCGCGTGGATTGGGGCATCCCAAGGGTGGGAGAAAAGGGGATCTTTCCGATGGAGAGAGGGGGCGGTGGTTCTTTTTCTAATTTTCCCAATCCAACGGGACGCATGGACGTTTTTTGTTTTGGAGATCATCTGGGTTTAGTCCGTTTGGACCTGGAACTCCCTGCCGTTTCACCTTGCCGCCTGCCCTCCTTCCTTCCTTCAATTGATTCTCGTGAGAGAGAACAAAAAGCCATTGTCATCTCACCTCATGTCATTTCATTGGGTGGAAGTCATCCCTCGTGGGAGAGAGGGAGCCGTGGCCTCTGAAACAATCACTATACGGAGTACTCCATAAAGTACGGAGTAAGTAAGTAGGAATCATCTCGCTACTGAGGTTGGAATGACAACACCACCAACTTTTTTAAGTTTCAGGGCATGATCTCTACAAATATACATAGCAGATCCATGGATCTCACCATCTCTGCCCACACGGGGGTCTAATAATAGCCGCTTGGAGCGTGGAGGAATACGTACTTCCGTAAGTCGGTTGGCCTCAGACCGAGTCAGGCTCTTGACCGCACTGCAGATCATGACGACCACCACGGCATCAATGCCTGAGGACGGCCGTGCGTGGCATGATCTATCGCCCCTGTATGCGGGATGCGTGTACCTACATATAAAGTAGGGCCCTTGGGGACCATCCAGATATCTACCGGCGTACATGCTTTCACCGACGCATTGGATGTGACAGCTCAGCCGCGAAGCTCCAGGCCCCCAAATCCCGATCATGCGCCGCACGATGGTCCTCGTCATGAGGAAGACTGCAGCGCCCCGGCGGTGATGTCATCCGGGGAGATCCCGCGATGGGCAAGATCTCGCCATCACCAGCAAGCCTCATCATATCCGGGTGAAAATGGAGGGTGTTCCTGCCAGAACTCGGGTGAGTCCGCTATTCCCAGGACTCGGGACAGGACTCCGTGTCCCAGCCTTTAAAGGCCACCTTGACAGATACCCCCTAAGGGCCGGGGTCACGTGTGGGTCCCAGTGGGATTTCAGGGTTCTGGATGCATAAATTACCGGCTCGTAATACCACCAGGTACCGCTGGCCCGCCCTTACCGTACCATACATTTCCAGCTATGTCGGGCCGAATCCGCAGGCTAGAACTGTCGCTCCCCTCAAATTGGAAATATCCACCGCGCACTACGGGGATAGTAGTATAGAGAGGATGCAAGCCGTGAGGATTGCTATCATGGCCAACAATGCACCTCGGCGAAGACGTGGCATTATCATCACTTTTTAGTATGGTCAGCCATGTACGTAGGAGATTGCAGGGCTCAAGGTCATCCAACGAGTTCAAATCAGCAGGAGTGACACCTGAAACCGAATCATCTCTAACCCGATCTGTGATACTCCGTACAGTGGAAGAGAACAGACAGCCAACCAAGCGGTTGCCATAACCTTAGTACCATCGTCTCATGTCTAAATACAGAGCACGATCCAGTAAGCAAGCGATGCTGCGCATGGTTATGCATGTTTGTGAAAGTAAACAACCCCCAGCTGGGCGGCTCCCCCCCTTTCCAGGAGGCTGTCCTGCCTATCAAGGCACATGCGTGGTCAAGGGAGAGCCTGGAGTCATGGAGGGTTGCATCCGCGGTTACGAAGCGCAGCCACCAGGAATCCAATCCTATGGTCTCTAACGACGGTCGCACCAAGCTAGAAAACGAGAGGAACTGGTTCTGGAAAAGACTAAACATAAATAGAAATCCAATGTGGCCTCTCAACTTCCATCACCCTTCGAGGTGATTAGCATGCTGATCGTGAACTCAAAGCCCAGCAGATGCCTTTGACACTTGCTGACGACAGCCAGATTCCACCCGGCCCAAACTAAGAATGATTCAAGGAGGACGTGTTTTGCAGCCGGGTTAAGCTTCAGGGTCTTTTGCATAAGGCCTGACTGATGGTGTTTCTTCTTACCGCCAGGAGGAAGGAGATTTTTCTCATTTCCTGATGTACTTTTGATCTCCTGTCTCCTCTTGTCTGCCTAGGTAGTACTTTCATTTCCCTAGTCACTACTACTTAGGTTCGAAATCCCAAGAATAATAACTAATCAGGATGGAGGGGGGTGCGCGGTTTCTATAGTGGCTTCTTAGACGTAATTTTGCCTTAGATTGCCCCAATCTAACCGACCAAGTCAGCGATAATTTACCGCCAGTGATTTGCTTGAAGTTGGGTGCTTGAAACTTGGGACTTGGGAGGGAGAACGAAAGGAACGAAAGGAACCAAAGGCAAAGGCCGAACAGGCTAGCGTAAACCGGAGCATTAGTCCATCGATAACATACGGTACCGAGAATACCGGGCTGGAAAGGAGAGCCGCGACTCCCGAGCTGGAGGGTAGTGTGTAAGTTACCGTCTGTGACCACGACCGCTTGCGCCTCCCTGGGCTTGGCGGAACTTCCACCCATCCCCATCCCCAAATAATCCTCTCGAGCCTTCATCTCATCGGTTGCTCTCCCGTAGCTCTCGGCTTCCACCCAGCCTCAGCCTGCAGCCCGCCCCCTCATCGTGATTAATGACCTCTTCGACTACCAACGTGTCTTCGGCCTCATTGCTCTGGACACCGGTCCTTCGCGTTGCTGTCGACCCTTTCCCCACCCATCTCTGCCTGGCCGACTGAGTGGGAAAAGTTGGAGAGAAAGGAGGCTTTCCTCCGGCCACTCGTTTTTTTGCTCTTCGCTTCGCTTACGTCGGGATCTTGCGTCCTTTCTCGATCATATTACTTCTAATCGCTTCTTTGCATCCTCTTCTCGCTCGGCTCGGGGGTGGCATATAAGCAGAGTCTCGCCTCGTCGGCGCTCGCGTGCGGACGTACATCTCTTGTCATCCAGGTCTCCTTTGGGACAGTGACAAGAGATAGCTTGGCTTGGGGAAGCCATCCGGCTTTGATTGCTGATACCTGAGAACCGTGCTCTGTGTCCTTGCTTTTGGACCAGCAGTGTGGCCAACTTTGCACCCATGGGCCTCATTCAACGGGTTACGAAATGGTTGCCCTCCTCGCCGAGTCTGCCCCTAGATGACTCTTCGCGCGAGAAAGGCCGTAATCTCTCCAGATTCGCTTTTTTCAAACGGAGGATACGGTTAAAGGGCAACTCCTCGATCTCAATACCCCTGGGATTTGTTTTACTATTTCCATGTCTTGTAATAGTCCTTATCCTACTACTTTTTGTTCGACATCCTTCTTCCCCCGGGGGTATTTTGATTCCTGCTGGCACCCCGCCGTCCATTAGGTTGGTCTCTACATCGAACATGACCGTTGGAGGTGTCGACCGTTCTCTAGCTAACTGCGCGAATCTGACAGAAAAATAAGCGAAAAGTACGATAGGGTCTTCGCTACTGGCTGCCTTCCGGTCGAGAAAACCGACACGCCGCGCGCAAATGCCGCCTTCGTCGTACTCGCCAGAAACAAGGAAATTGACGGAGTGGTTCAGTCGCTCAAGTCAATTGAAAGACACTTCAACCGCTGGTTCCACTATCCTTATGTCTTCTTAAACGACGGTGATTTCGATGATGCCTTCAAGGAGACGGTGAAGAATTACACAAGCGCTCCTGTGGAGTTTGGCAAGATCGATGATTCTATGTGGGGTTATCCCGACTGGGTTGACCATGAAGTTGCCAAGGAAGGTGTCCGCAAGCAGGGAGATGCTGCCATCATGTACGGAGGAATGGAGAGTTATCACCATATGTGCAGATTCTACTCCGGGTGAGTATCCTAGCCATCTCCATCTCCTGAACCATCGCGCTAATACTCGGGTAGCCATTTCTATAAGCACCCTCTGCTCATGAAGTACGAATGGTACTGGCGTCTTGAGCCCGAGATCAAGTACTTCTGTGACATCACCTAGTAAGGCCCCCGTGTACTCTTTACAGCGGCGGTTCACTGACACCTCGAACAGCGACCCATTCATCAAGATGGCTGAAGCGAACAAGACATACGGCTTCACAATCGCTGTCAAGGAGCTTCGAGAGACAGTCCCCAACATCTTCCGCTACGCCTCTGCCTACAAGCGGAAACACAACCTGGCCTCCAAGGGGTTGTGGGAAATGTTCCTCGAGAAACCTGAAGAGGAGGAGCCTAAGCCGGAGGAAGAGAAGCAGGAGAAACTTCCTGAGGAGATTCTTCAGAACGAACCTGGCGAAAATACTGTCCCCGACGTTGATCCGGAAGCCATGGAGGGCGAGAAGTACAACATGTGCCATTTCTGGAGTAACTTCGAGATCGCGCGGTTGGACTTTTTCCGCAGCAAGGAATACGAGGAGTTCTTCGACATGATGGATAAAAGTGGAGGTTTCTGGATGGAGAGAGTAGGTGCTACTGTATCTGATTGACACTGGGTCTAGCTAACTGACTGCACTAGTGGGGTGACGCACCTATCCATTCGTTGGCGGCCGGTGTTCTCTTGTCTCCCGGTGACATCCACTATTTCCGTGACTTCGGCTACCGGCACACCACTATCCAACATTGTCCTGCCAACGCCCCCGCACGGCAATTGCCCCGAATTCCCTGGTTGGAGATGACGACCGAGGACGAAAAGGAGCGGATCGAGGAAGATGAGTACTGGGCGAACCCTGATCCCGTCAAGGAGAACGGTGTCGGCTGCAGATGCAGGTGCGACACCGATATTGTGGATGTTGAGGGCAAGCAGGGCAGCTGTCTCGCCGAATGGGTCGAAGTTGCTGGAGGATGGGCATCTCCATAGACTCGGATTGTTGCCTTTTAATGTTCGCTGTATAATCTTCGCCTCCTGGTTTCCGTACCTATTTGTTCGACTATGAGCATCACTCGGTTCGCCCTTGGAGTTATTTGCTTGAGCCTGCATGTTACGTTGGCTGTGGGTTTCTGGACGGCGTTATACGGATCTGACGGCTTCTTATGTGGAAGACGGTGTGACCATTCTCATCAATATTGACAAATACATCTAGCGTGCTTCGTATATTATACCTGGCTTGCCGCAATCACTCTAAAGGAAAAGTCTCTGGACGATGGCCTTACTGTTGGAAAATGAAGTCGGCCGACAAAATTTCGTCTCGCGGAAATCAGACTCACGTTGCTACTCGGTGAACAGGGACAATGCCGTCACTTATACTGAGCAGAGAATGCCTTGCAGGATTTGTGTGGTGCGATGCATCCTCTCCGGCTGCCGGGTGTCTCGTTGCGGACATACTCGGGTAGCATCTCCCTGGTTCTCCCCAGTGGCGCTCTCCTGGTGGAACCGATATCAGCATGGGTTGAGAGACATTGTCTGAAGAAGCGAAGATTGGCTGGCCTACAATGACCGGACATTTGCTGGGCTTCCTAGATAGTATTTTCTGTCCGATGTCTTCTTCTTCCCTTTCCATTACTTCTTCCCATTCTCCGATGTTCCTTTTCTGCTTTTTGGCTTTTTTGCTGCTTCATTTCCCCATCAGCTCCCTTCGTTCAATGCCCCTTCGTCATGTCATGAAATGTACATAACTACTTTATATGCTTTCCTCGTTTCCATTGTGCTTTCAAGCACTGGAGAAATGGGGTTTTTGTCACCCGCAAGTTCCCCCCACATCCTCATGGTCCCAGCTTTACAGTTCCTGCTTGTTCATAGTTGCCTGGGATGATTTAGTTCGTGTGAAGGACTTAACTGAAATAATACTCGAGATGCAGTTTCCTAGTACTAGGTACTACTTACTAGACTGGAGTAGAGTCGGAGAAGACTGGACCCTCTCGCCCGTGGGTGGAGTCGCCTAGTCTGGATTAGGTGTAGCGGCCTGATAGCCTAATATAGCCTGATAGCCTGATAACATGCCTTATCGGCTTGTTGCTGTTCCTGCTCTCGTCCTGCCTTTCTCCGGAAACAACATTGATGATGAACAACCAACACATGATGAGGTAACCCACTTTACCGCTAAAGCCTGAGAAAAGAAACTTCCCTCTAGGCTGTTTCCCCGCCTGATCAGCCATAGAGAAAGGCTGCTTCGTAACACTCGGCCCCCCGGCAAAAGAGTCAGACTGCCGCAACATCCTTGTCATGTGCCCCGCGCCATAGATAGTCACTCCCCCTACTATCTTCCGGTCCAGTCGCTTCCTCAGTCGCTTCCCTCCAACTCCTCATCCTCTCTCGCTCTCCCTCCTTGATCCACCCTCAGTCGACGACTCCTGCTTGTCAAAGTCCACGATCATCTTCCACTTACCGCTAGTTTCCGAAACACGTTGAGCCCGTGAGGCACCTGACTTGGCTTCCGCCCGGGCCCCGGGACAGCATCAAGCGCCCCCCCACACGCATCATCGTCCGCCTAGGCTGCCTGTCATCGGGCATCTGCCTATTGGGCTGGGTTGATCCAACGACATACACATCTCAGACAGACGTACCCGTATCTAGTAGACAGCCGAACTGTCTCCCGTGAAGTTAACGTATACTTCCGCTGACTTTTGTTCTATTTATTTCTGGGCTTATCCGTCGTCCACTGTTCTCGATCGAAGTTCCGCCCTGCAGCGCTTCACTTGCTCTTTCCCTCAAGCTCTACTTATGACATTCACACGCAAACAACATGGCTGACTCTTCAGAGCCTCACCCCAGACCTCCTCAGTACACCTCTACCGATCCGCACCTACGATATCCCACTCTTCCTCCTCTAAACGCCTCTGTTGAGGAGTGGTTATCTCGTTCGCGGCCAATCAGCATGTCGTCAACTTCAATGGATCACACGCCCAGATCACTGAGCGAGAGCTGGGCGACAATGAGTGCATCAGATGTTCACTCAGAAGACGGCACTCGCTCTGAGCAGACAGATCTTGGGTCTTTGATCGACCAAACCAGCCCCGATGATGTAGCAAGTCTCGATGGACGGTCTAGCAACAGCGACATAGACACAAACGACGAGGAAGTCTTCGATGGCGATAGTTACGAATCCAGGAGCAACGCTTCCGTGTCCCAGGAACTGTCATCCGCTTTCCCTCATATTAGAAACTCTATCGATGACAGTAGCCTAACCACCAAGACTGCGTTCCGCCAGTCGGTGGAGTCCATTGAGTTCATTGAACCCGAAAGCTGGCCTGAAGTCGAGCGGGTAGAATTGAAGCATACCATCCGAGTGTTCGAAGGACCTGATGCAGCAGAGCTAAAGTATAAGCTTCCTGACGGGTCGGAAGACTCGACACTCACGGCCACAGTTCAGCAGACCATGACGAGGAAAAGTCTTGATACCGACAAGCCATTCCATGTCTTATACATCGGCAGCCCGGACTTTCGGAACATCATACTCGATAAGATTGGAGATATTCTGGTATCGAGCTCCTGTAGCAGTTTCGAAAGCGGTTCCGCGGAATCTTCCAGGTATCATGTTGTCCCAACGTCGTTTGGCGCAGGCGCCGTTCCCAACTTTGCCGAACTGCTTCCTATTCATGTTCAGCTCATTGTGGACGAATGCCCCGAGGCTTCCGCGGATCCTCAGACTGACAAACCCAGCATTATCAATCTGAGCTTTAAGAATCGTCCTTCATGCACGTCCATGTGGTCAGGGACTGAATACTGTATCTCGTCTTCGGTTGAATGGATACTGCCTGATGTAGCCATATTTTTCATATCCAGTACTGACACTACCCAAGATATGGAGACCCAACGATTGGCTCGCATCTTCATGGAAAGACATGGTGTTCCGACAATGGTCATCTCCGAGAAGCCGCTTTGGACGATGTCTAGGGACCCTATTCCTCTCAACCACCACAGTCTCCACATGTGCCTAGAATCCCGCAATTCGCTAGATGGGAAATCCGTGGTTCTCAAAAGGTATCCGATCGACTTGAAGACTTTCGAAAGCATCACACCTGGGCAGCTCAACAGAAACTTGGCCTCGCTAGCAATTATCTACCCGAGGAAACCTTGCCAGATGGCGCTGGAGAGCCCGGAATTGCCTCAAACGAAGTCATTTTCCAACATTGACTATTACGCTCGTAATATTATCTCCGTTCCCTACATCCGCGGCAATCACGATCTGGCATCCGTGTTCCGTCTCATCACCTTCACTATCATCTCTCTTATCGTGATCTCCTTCGGGCATTCGGCTCTGCGGGCCGCTGTCTTATTTCTTTCTCAATATTTCGCTCGTTCTGCAGTCTCCAGCGCGGTCTCCCCTATTTCGAGTATCGTCCCAGCTACCAGTCTCATCCACACAGGAGCATCACTGCCAGCATTGTCTACATCTCTTAGCGACGTTCAGCTGTTGGTGAATCAGATGGACGGCCACTCTCGGTTACAAGAACTGATAGAAGTGGTGCAGTCTGTTTCTGAGAGACGGGACTCGACCGATTTGTTTGAGATTCAAGTAGTTGGCGATTGTCACCTTATTATCAGGCCGCCTCACAAGTCCCCTATTGGCAAAAAACCACCGAAGTTCAGCGTCCAAGTCAGTCGAGGAGGCAAGCCTCTCGAGTACGAACTCTCTATGTTGTTCGACGGAGTATACACATTGAAGCTGGACCGGGGAGACGCATATGGTCAGTTGGATATAACATTGGCCACAATATCCAAGAACCCTCATATACAGACGACATCCATGGACTTCGGGATGCCGTGGTTGAAGATACAGAACTGGAAACGTGCAGCAAATGCCATTTCTTCACAGCTTTTGAGAGACTTCACCACTGCGCAAACCGGGCTTTCAGAGGTCTACGGCCGGTTCTGCACTGACTTGCAAGTGCTCATGGGAGATGTTGTAAGAAGGGCACATTTTCTACGGGAAGAGGTGTATACCTTGCGACATGACTCGGTGCAGCTTTCTCCCGGAACGAGAGACATGGTTCTCTCGCGATCCGAGCAACTTACAGAAGCTGTGAAACGGACTGCTGTGCAGCCTCTTCTAGCTGTCTCATCTGCGCTGCAAGCCCAGACCAACAAGGTCCATACGGGGGCTCGAGGAATTATGAGTGACACATGGGACAAAATCAGCTCTCATGCTCAAAGGCTTGATCTTGGCGCCATGAAGGAACGCCTTCGGGATGCGCGGAAATCCAAGGCTTTGGATAAAGCGCAAAAGAACGCCCGGAGTCTTGTGAGACGCAAGACGTGTCAAGATTCCGAGGTTTCGTAGTAGAGCTACTTTTCAGTGGCTCACATAGCCGGGAGATATGGTCTGGCAGTAGCTTCTTATGAGTGCCATTCGCTTCTTGCTTTCCTAGCTTGTTTGCTTTTGGGATGTTTCGTTTGGTTTGCGCTTCGGCGAAAGGGTGGGTCGGATATCAGGGATGAACTGAATCATGGAATGACTTCCTGGGATACATGCTGGATTATGTACTAGCAGCTTATGTTGACAATTGCCACTCGCATTTCCTTTGTTTGATGGGGTTCTGTTCTCGTGTTATTGTCTGGTATAGATTCCAACCCCCGTAGTCCGGGTAAGCAGTGCCAGACTTGCAGGCGGGCGGTGGCGCTAGTGCGGCCTTAGGCGCTTAGGCAATGAACCTACCCACCTCTGGCGACCAAAAACAACCCCGTTCATATTTTCCCACCCCTCCTCACTATCTACCACTCCCCCGTTACAGTTCTTTCTTTCTCCGTTTTCATCAGGTACATATTCAGAAGCATTCATCTCTATCGGCCGTGCCCGCTTACAAATCTGCCAGAAATCACATTCACTCACCATGTCTGACGTCGCTGAAACCAAGCCCGACCCCGCCATCAGCGCTCCTGAGGGCGCTGAGAAGGCCGAGGAGACCACCACCAACACTGCCGAGACCAAGCCTGAGGAGACCCAGTCAGCTACCGAAACCGCTGCTGAAACCGTCAAGGACGCTGCCACCAAGACCACCGACAGCGTCTTCTCCATGTTCGGCGGCGGCCCCAAGAAGGAGAAGCAGGAGGAGCCCGAGGACGCCAAGGATGAGCCTTCTGGCTCTTCCAAGGCCCAGAAGGGTGAAGATGAGGTGTGTACCTGATTTACACTGTGCTGGTGTTGATTTTCGCCTGAGCCAGTTTAGCCGTTACCCCGCTTTCCCCTCTACCGGCATACTGTTTTGTTTTTCTTTTTTTGCTCCTGTCTCCGTGCTGGGTTCAACCTGGCGACGAGTCAAGAGACATAAGATCTGCAAGCTAGCAGTGGCTAACTACACGTTTACTGCCGATAGGACGAAGCCCCCGAGTCCCCTGATGTTCACTTCGAGCCTGTCATCCGCCTGACCGAGAAGGTGGAGACCAAGACCAACGAGGAGCTGGAGGAACAGACCTTCAAGATGCGTGCCAAGCTGTTCAAGTTCGACCGTGACAGCAAGGAGTGGAAGGAGCGTGGCACTGGTGACGTGCGCCTGCTTAAGCACAAGGAGAACCAGAAGACCCGTCTGGTGATGCGCCGCGACAAGACCCTCAAGGTCTGCGCCAACCACTACAGTAAGTGCTACCATGTGTTGCTTGGAATTTCTCGGGTTGCTGATCGATCCTCCAGTCGTCCCCGACATGAAGTTGAGCCCCAACGTTGGCAGCGACCGCAGTTGGGTCTGGAACGCTGCCGCCGATGTCTCCGAGGGTGAGCCCGAGGCTCAGACCCTGGCCATCCGTTTCGCTAACAGCGAGAGTAAGTGGATTACGGATGTGGGAGATTGATGGGGGCTTGCTAACGTTATTTTCTAGACGCCAACCTGTTCAAGGACGCTTTTGAGAAGGCTCAGCAAGAGAACGAGAAGCTGCTCAGCCAGTAAGCGTGTTCAGACCTCTGAATTTCTCAGTCATCAGTGATATAGAGGGCTATTCTTAATGAACATTTTGATCCCTTTCAAGCATAACGAGTCTGATGTGGACTGCTTATGAAAAGACAAGACACCTTTCACTTTTATCCCACTTTATCTTTGTTTCCCCTCACAGTCACCAAGCTCCTTACACGTTTTATGGACCCTGCATTCATGTGAGAAACCAGAATTAATGACGCCGGTCATGACACGACCATGAGTCGACGCATGCATGGGGCCGACCTTGGTTGGCCATGTGGTCCCTTGCGTGTGGTGGACGAATTGGTGGTTAGTAGATAGACACCATATGCCCCAAAATCCACGTATGAACTTCACGAAGCGTGTGCCTGCATCTTTCTTTGTAACCAATCGATGAATAGAGGACTGTTTAGCTTGCTTAGTGTAGTGGTGGTGGTGGTGATGGTGGTGAGAGGTAGTGGTGATAGTAATGGAGATATATGCTTCTTGATATGAACATATGCTGCGACAAGTGAAGTCCGATCCATTTAGCCGGCTGTGGCCTGGTTGTGCACGGGGGGATGGTTGGACGGTACGGATGTTGATGGCGGTTACTATGGGGGGGGGAGCCGTCGAGCTGCCGCGATCGAGGACGGGCAGGCCATCGACTCGAGAGCAATCCCCCACCCGGCTTCAGCCCGCGGAAAGCTTCACTCTCGCTCGCTCTTCGCCCTCGCTGGTCCCTACGTCCTCCCATCCCTCGCCGACTTGACCTCCGTCCGATCGGCCCCATTTCTTTACTAGAACCATTCACCCCAACCCGAATCTGCGGGACTCCCGACTGAATTTCCCGGCCAAACATCCGTCCTGCTTCTCTCACCTGAGCTCGCGACCTGTACCTCCGATAGCTACTTCTTCCCACCCACCCCCCCCCCCCCCCAAATCCCAACCAGTCTTCCGCGGGAAGGATTCTGAGAAGAGATCTCCTCGTCCTTTCCTTTCACTTCTTACGGGCGACCGATCTATCCCCACTGAAAAAATGCCTGACGTGAGTTTCGTCCCTACTCGGATCGAGCAATGGCACCGGCCACTGGCGCTTGACGCGGACAAACCCAGTCGCCCACTAGATCGCATCGCGCTGACGTGACCCTTTTATGCTCTCCTCCTACAGGTCAAGCGAAATGTCAGATTGGTGACGGAACAGCACATCGTGTACGTTGTAGCCCATCAATGCTTCCCCATCTCGAGACATTCTCGAATCACCGCCGTTTCTCCTCTCCGCCATCGCTGCCATCCCTTCCCATCCTCCTCACATCTGTTGTTTGTTGTCGCGCAATGACGATCCCATGTGTGCTTGGGTTCTTCCGTCACAGAGATTGGCCCGTGGCAGACGAGCACAGGAATGACTCTTTTGCTGACCTAGTGCGCGTCCGCGCGTCCACAGGAATAAGGATTCTGGCGTTGAGGGCTTCCCCCTCCGATCATGGTCAATCGAAATTTACGTTGTCAACGAACACGGCGAACAGGTGCCTGCAAATGTTTTCGACAAGGTGACATACACGTTGCACCCTAGTTTCGGCGAAAGGGCCGTTCAGGGTAGGTCACTCTCTGCGCTTAGCATTTCCCTCGATCCGTGTCGGCTGTTGAGAATTGGATGAAGATATTGGGGGGGCAGTCGATGTCTACGGGAAAAAGTTGGGACTGGAGCCTACCAGCTGACGTGGAAATTCACAGTCTTCAAGAACCCCCCGTTCAGAATCTCGGAAGAGGGATGGGGTGAGTTCGACATGCAGATTGGCCTCACTGCCGCCGACAAGGAACACTTTGTTACGCACGATCTGAACTTCGCCCAGCCGCGTTATGAATCCAAACATGTTATTGTGAGTCATGATTCCGCGGTGCATCCGAGCACTCCCGGGTTACTCATTCCAATCTCTCCACACAGACGTTCAAGAACCCCAAGCCCGCCCTTCTAGCGGCCCTCCGCGAATCGGGACCTGTCCCTGGAGATGAGAATGGCGTGAAGTCGAAACGCTCCGCAGCCGGAGAGGAGGGATCTAAGAAAAAGAAGCGGATGGAGAAAAGCGTAAGCTACTCACCCCCTAGGTTCCCAAATAAGGAAGAAGCAATCATCTAACATGACCACCAATCCAGGTTGACATGGACAAGTTGGCCGACGGTCTGCAGCGACTCGGCGAGGATGACCTTCTTCAGGTTGTACAAATGGTGCATGACAACAAAGCCCCGGACTCGTATACTAAGAACGATGTTGAACGTAAGCCGTCCCCTTTTTCCTTTTCTTTTTCTTTTTCCCTTTCCCTTTCGCCTCTCCTCAACTAACCCCAACACTCACTACAGAGGGAGAATTCCACGTCGATCTTTACACCCTGCCAGATACCTTAATTAAGATGCTGTGGGATTTCACGCAGGAGAAAGGCGCTTTGTGAAGCAGTTTTTTTTTTTGGGCGATCGCTATTGTATTCTGTTTTCCACGTTACTTTTTGCATCTATGATCCTTCCTACTACTACTACTACTACTGACTAGCTACTACCTTCCTTGTCTACCTATCTATCTCCCTCTAGTGTATTCTTTGGCTTTTGAAAAGGAAATAAATGGAATGGAATGGCCGTACAGTAAACAAGCAAGAAAAAAAGAATAAAAGAATATGAAGATAAATCAATTGGGTGGTTCTCTAACAAAGAAAAGAAAAGAAACAAAGAAAAACAAATGCACGAAACTAACTACCAACCTGGGTAAAAGAGCACACGAGACCAAACAAACATGGAACAAACACCACACCCTTGTCATCTGTTTTGTATCTTTATAATACATACTAGTAGTACGATGTATCTATGTCTGCTTGTGTTTGATGGATGCGAATACGATACGATACGATAATTTTGAACGAATGAAAGTTAGGTGAGCATGGGAATACAGTAAGTAGATGATGGATAGGTATATTCATTCCTACTAGGAATAGGCTATAAGCCAAGGTAAGATGATACGAGATCCGAGGTGATAAAGAAAAGTGAGAGGGGGAGAAAGGTACCCTGACGATAAGAAAAAAAGAACAGAACCAAGAACCATGTTGGATATCTCAAGCTCAAGGTCAATCAACCAACCAATTAAGCAAGCAAAAAATCAATAATCAAACAAGGTCCAGCCCAGCCTGCCCGAACACCTGTACTAGTATGTACTGTAGATCCGTCTATATGCATGCATGTACCCGAACAAATAAAAACACCTTGCCGGCCAGATAAGGACACACGCAACGAAAACTCAAGAGAAATAGGATGGAGACCTGGACGCCCGCTTTACTGCGTTTTGCATGGTGTTCGTGCAGAAAACATGATTGTTGTCATATGAACGTAAATGAGAGTGGTTTTGTTTTTGGTTCGTTTTGTTTTGTTTAGAGGATGCGATACCTGTTTCGATACTTAGTATTTGGTTATATGAAGGTTGGGAATAGAGGGGATGCATACGACTTGAGCAAGTCTTCTAGACTATCTGCGCTGCAGCTCCGACCCTTGGGAATTTGTCTCATGATCTCGACGATCGTGGCGAAGACGTCTCCGTCCTTGTAAGCCAGCAAGGCGGGCGCTTCGATGTGGTCCATTTCGGCAATCTCGTGGTGAAGCTTGACAAAGTGAACGGTGGGCTGGCGACGGGCAATGGTGTTGAGACAGTCTTCGATGATGCCGCTTGGCGTGGACTATAAGTGAGTTGTTAGCGACAACTGATCTTGCTCTTCTAAGATAGGAACAATCATACCTCTGGGTCATAGACGCAGACGACCACCACCGTACCGGAGGTAACCTTTTCGATCGCATCGAGGTATCCTACCGCATCGACGATATCCACGGAGCCGTACAGTTTGCGTCGGGGGCTAGGCTTCCTCAGGCTCCGGGCCTGCATTTCCTGCATCCGTGATGTGCGCCATTGGTGAAGGAACCGTTCTTCATCGTCGGAGGAGCCATCTGGCGGGGAGGAGTTCTGCAGGAGTGTGGCATCGTCGGTGACGGACTTGGAGGAGAAATGGGACCGGTCGAGACCAGCCACTCCGAGTAGTGTCCTGCGAAAGGAGCTTTTGCGAGCACGCTCGAAGGCCTGGGCATCGGCGATGACACCCTTGGGGCCGGTGTTGGCGTCGTAGACGGTGTTGGGGACGCGGTAGCCGCTGGTGTTGCGGGAGTGCATGGCAGTTGGGTGGTCTTCGGTATCGGAGAATTGGGGTTCGTCGTGGTCAGAAGATTCGTCGGAGGAGTGGTCCGAGTTCTCACGGTCCTCCGGATGGGTAGAGAATTTCTCCCGATTGTTGTTTATGAGTTGATTGAATTCGTCTTGAGCAGATGACATCTTGAAGGACGAAGCGGGGGGGTTCCGGGATTATAAGCAGATGATGAAAGAAGATATTCTTAGAGCTTGACTGCGCCTTGATCTGCGTCAACAATGGGGTACAGTAGGTGCCTGTTTTATTTCTTATTTTAATTTTTCCTTTTTTTTTTCGTGGCAGGAAAAACTGGCTGGGAGCGAATAAGAATCGAGGAGGGAACGAAACGAGTTAAGATGGATCGTATCCAACACGAAAAGGGAGAGAAGGGAGTCCAAGAGGGTGTTAGTACACGTTTCAGATAATTACTGGCTTTCTCCTGAGAGAGAAAGGACGCGAGAGGGTGGGAAAGACGGAGTCGAGCCAAGGAAGGCGAGAGCGAGGGGAGAGAGAGTGTGTGAGAGAGAATAGGCTCGGAGGGAGGCTGAGAGGTGGCGGGAGATGAAACAATTGAAGACGACGATCGGAGCAGGCGTTTGGGACGGCCGGCGGTCGGCGGGCAGCCCGAGGGGTCGAATTGATCGGCCACGTCCAATCCTCGTCATCCTCGCCCCGAAAAGGGGCGGTGTTTCAGAAATCGGAGATCAGCCCCCGCGCTCAGAAGCACCTAAGAACCTTCCATCGGATTGGACCCCCTGTTGCCATGGTGCCATGGTTGATGTCCTGGCTGAGGATATGGTGCGTCTGAGAGAGAGACAGAGAACGAAGAAGAGAGAGACAAATTGCATTTATCTGCCTGTAATATTACATCCGAACGAATAAAGCACGTGGGATCTCGTGACGACATGGCTTCGTCTTCCACTCTTCATCTGCCGGTATGAAATGAATTACTACTATTTACTATCTATGTATTATTACAACAGATGACGTTGTCTAGAGGGTCCCGGAGGAAGGAACAGGCCCGGTTTCTTCCTTCCTCCTAGACAACTGGCACCTCTTCAGTGGACCTGGGGCAGCAGGATTGTTTCATCTTCATCGCACGCTTGCTTCCAACCGTTCGACGTGTCTCTCATGATCCCCCTCTGGTTGTTCATCGACCGCGCTGGCCGCCTGGTGGATACAACGAATGACACATCTCTTGCGAAGGCCCCCAGATTCCTTGGGTCCGCCGTCGGGCGACATCCGCGCAATTGGCCTCGAGCCTTCCAGCCCTTCCACATAACGGCCTTGTTCCTTCGAGGGTGGAGTACGGAGTCGTTGCCTTGCTCGATCCACTTGCGCGGGCAGAAACCCTTCCATCCGTCGGCAGGGCACGGAGATGGTGGGCTTCGAGACTGGATAGATCAACCAACCCCCACGCCAGAGTAGCTATAAATATCTGAGGTTCCGAACTTCAATCCTACGCACGCTTCCTTGTCACTGCAGGACATCCACTGCATTATATATATCTCTCTAGCAGATCGTCCCACCCCATCACTTGCCAGTGCGCTCATCCGTTGTCCCACCAGGATGATCCGGGGCTGGAGGCCTGATCACTGGACTGGAAAGAAAGGATCAGGGTCTCCAGAAGTATCGCCTCTGTCATTCGTACTAGTGGCTGCCTAAGGACTCTCTGCCACTCCTCCGCTGACGGCTTGGCCGGGTCATAAAAGAGGTCCCGCGGAACGAGATAAAGGAAAGATTTGCTGGAAATATGGTCGAATTGAACACCAGATCAAGAAAAGCCCGCTTGAAAACACTCAAATGACACAATCAACACACTTTCAAGACGTAGGCTGATGATTAGTAACAGAAGGAAATCACAATGGAGTCAAAGAAAACGTCATGGCCGATCCGGAAACATTCCCTCCCTTTCCATCCATCACCCGCAAAAAAATACACAAGGAGACAAGGAATAAGAGAGGTCAGAAAAGAAAAAGACAAGTCAAAAAAGCAAGAATGGTAGTCCGCGAGGGAGGAGAAAGGGACAGGGAAGATGTCGCAGAGGAGTGGGGGTAATAAGGGTAGGTGTAAATAGCGATAAAAAAAAAGAAAAGATGAAGTGAGAAAGGTAGAAAGTCAAACCCGCGAATAAATGAGAACAGGTGCCCGCAAATCTTCGAAGCCCAGAGATGACAGGTCGTTGCTTTTGACCCAGCAACGCACTTGTATCTGTGCCACGATCCCCCGAGGTCTCAAACATCAATAGCATTATTACAATCCACCGCACCAGTAGTCGAGCATTGTCGTTTCTTGTTGTTCGCATTCCGATTTTTTTTTTCTTATTTTTCCTCGGCACACCCAGCCGTGAAGGGCGGCGACATTTCAACCCAATATGCTCAGGCACCCTGACTGCCCCTTGGTTTTCGCTTCTTGGTGACTTCGCCCGTACTCCGAGATAGTGCATTAGGGAGCAAGGGCGACAAAATTGCTCCTTGGTGAAAAATATTATCGTACAATGGCAGACATTTAACCTAGTGGCGCAGAAAAGAACAGAGAGAAACTTCGAATGAGGACGTCGCAAAAGACTGAGACAGGGTATCTTTGCTGTTTTTGTTCGTTTTGTTTTTTACCAAGCCCAGACCTTGAGCTGCAAGACGAAGGATCATTAGTACGCCGCACAGCCCAGTTTGGGGGAGAAAATGAACTCGAGCTTACCAGAGAATCCCAGGATCCAGTGCACAAGCTGATGCCATCGTTGCTGACTCCCAAGCAGCTTACACGGTTCTCGTGACCGCTCAGGGATCCAACCTTGTCGCCTCGCAGAACATCCCAGACCTGCAGAATTAAAGAGATCAGTCAACTGCCCCATACCACGGCACACTCGGGGCGATGAAGATATTACCTTGCACTCAAAGTCATCGTAACCTGCAAAAAGCAATCTACCAGAAACGGAGAAGGCAACAGAGGTGATACCGCACAATATTTGGTCGCTCTGCAAGCACAATTCGTTAGCTACCGGGGATTCATGCGATACGGATGACGGCATTACCTGGTAGGTGTTGAGTTCCCGATCCGCACGGATGTCGAACAGACGGCAAGAGGTGTCGTCGGAACCCGTTCCGAAGGCGTTTCCGTCGGGGAAGAACTGAATGGCGTTGATGTCGGATTCGTGGCCGGCGAAAGTTTGCACTGCCTTTCCGGTACGGATATCCCAAAGCTTGGCGAAAGCATCACAGGCGCCCGAAACGAAGATGTTCTGGTTGGTAGGGTTGATGCTGATCGACATAACGTCGCCGAGGTGATCCGCGAATTCCGTCACTTTCGAGCCCGATTCAATATCCCACAGCATGCAAGTCATATCGCCGGAAGATGTGATGATTCTGCGATCGTTGATGAACCGACAGCAAGAGAGGTAGCCGGAGTGTCCAGAGAGCTCGCGCGCGACACGGGTCGGACCCTCGCGAGAGGAGAGGTTATAGATCGAGCAAATGTTGTCAAGACCACCACAGGCGACGTAGTTTCCACTCGGGGCGTAGGCGCAGGTCATGACCCACGATGACCTCAGCGGGATCGCATGAACCTTGTTCGTGGTGTAGGCGTCCCAGATGATGAGCTTTCCGTCCTGAGATGCTGAGACAAGATGCCGGCGGTCGGTCGACCAATGCATGGCGTAGATCTTGGCCAAATGGCCCTTGAGTGTCCGCCGGGGCTTCATCCCAATACGAGGCAGAGTTTCGGTTTGGTTCTGCGCAACCTGACGGACTATTGGGACCAGAGTCAGTTCGAAACACACGGCCAATCAAGAGTACGGCAGCGGTTGGTCTCCATTGCGAGGAAACCATGGCGTACGGAAAGGAAAGAACAGGAATGCGTACGAGTCGTGTCGGCCAGCTCATCCTTTCTGCGCTTGATCTTATCCTTGAGACCTTCAGCTTCGCGCCTGGCCGCGGTGATCTTGGCCTGCATCTGTTCGCCGGTCATATCGGCCATCTTGACGGAACGAGCCCCTGGGGAGGGAAGATGTCAATTGTGAAACGGAGATGGGCCTGTGGAAAGAAATTGAGTTGACGGCAGCGGCGGCGTCGTGATCCAGGGGACTGAAAGAACCCCGAGAGAGAGAGGGGGGGGGGAAGCGGGAAGAGGGCGGTAGGGGGGGGAAGAGGAGCAAAGAGAGGAAGAAGAGGGAGAGAGAGAGAGAGAGAACGAGGAGGGGGGTTGATTGGGTGTGGAGCGAGTGCACGGCGGAAGCGACCGAGCGACAGAAAGAAAGTTTCGACCCGGGGCAATGGTGAGGTGGTTCGGGCGTTTAAGTCAGCAGGGGTGGTGGGTTTAGGTGATGGATGAGCAAACTGCTGAGGAGAGCACGAGGTGGTGATTGCGTTAGAATAGTAGAAAGATGGAGAGGGAAAGGGGGGGAGAAGAGAGAGAGATAGAGGCAGAGAGGCGACGGACGGAAGGGCCAGAGAAAGAAAAGACAGGGAAAAATCCAGATGATGACAGGAGTCGTCGTCCGTAGGAAGATGGGAGGTGGACGTAGTAACTCCGTCGTAGCGCCAATAATAATGATGTATGGCCTCACCAGACTAAGACGTGCCTTTACCTATCGGGGCTCTGATGGCTGCTGCTAGGCGCGGCAGTACGGACCACGACCGACTACAAGATAGATAAAATTATATTCCGTCCTGGCTATGGGGGGAGGAGGGTGAGGAGATGAGATGAGATGAGATGAGATGAGATAGATGCTACGAACTGAAACAATTCCAATTATTCTTCCAGAACACTGCCCACCATATGGGTTGAACAAGTTAGAAGAAAAAGGAAGGAGAAGAAGAATCCGAATGATCGAATAATGGTTACTAGTGAGGGAGTTAGGGGAAGCTTCTCAGTTCTCACAGTCACCAAGGATCGAAGAGATACTTCGAAAGAGAGCCTTAGCCGGAGGAGCCTCCTGATGAAAGCCCCCCCCCCCCCGGTGACGGTACGAAACAATACCCAGAAGAACGTGGACCCCCTGATTGGTCCGCCGCAGGAGAAGGCCCGGCCGGCTCAATCTAAGCCAATCCATCTCGTTCTCCCGATTACATTAGGGGTAAAATTTCCCCCCTTCGCAGACTCGTAGGTTTTAAGGGGAGCAACAGACGGAGACACTACCAGCACCTAGCTCCAAGTACTAAGTGCCCAGGTAGGTAGGTACTCCGCCAAATGGTTCCAGGGGGTGGTCGACACCCTGGTCAAGCCGGTGGAGTTTCCGCCTCCATCCCCTCTGGTTGGCCAGCTCGTCGCAAGTGGAGGAACTCGGGACGCGAAAACCACAGGGAAATACCTGAAAGGGGACATCTCGTCGAATTAGTTGGGATTATTCTTCCGGATCTCCTTCCCATCAAAATTCAAAATAGGGGACATCTTGATGGCAAGCGGTTGAAGGAGCCTGGATCGAGGGTTCACGTAGGACAGGGTTCCCCAAATCGGTACCTACATCGTACATACATTTGACATTTGACATCTGACTTCCATCCCCATATCTACGCCGCTACGGGGCAGAGTCCGTTACTCTGCATGAATTGCTGCATACCCACCAGGATGCCGGATGGGTACCAAAAATACGCGACATAGTCAGCCTGGTTGGCCGTCTAAGCCTTGCACGAGTCAAACCCCTTCCCGACGACCAACCCGGTAGGAAAGAGGAGAAAGCTCTGGTTGCAGATCATGGTCATAGCTAGATAACGTCTACCTCGTTTGTCTCCTGCAGAACGGTCAGAACCAGGTCACGAATCCGGATCGGGTGAGACTCCGGCCTTAGGTGCATTCTTCTATATCCAGGGATTCTTGAACTGTTGCAGTGCGGGTATCATAAAGCGTTCAGGAATTGTTGCACTTGAAAGCAGAAAACCTCTAACACGAACTAGGTTAGGTAGGAGACAGAATGGCGCCGGTGTAATCTTGAGATTGGGTCGAATGAAATTGGCCTCTGAGGTTATCGGAACCATAAGATCATGAGTTGGCCCTGAAGGTTATATTTCAAGATGTCAGCTCAAGCTCCATTTCATGTCGACTGTACTATACGCTTGTGATTCTTGTGCAGAATTGATAGGCGTTGAGCCGACAGGTAAGCGGGGATGGATTGTTGCGATGGCTGGGGCAAATGCAAGTCAGAGGCTGTCTCCATTCCGGGTGTTCAATTCAGTGGCCATCGGAATTTATCGAGTGCTAGTACCCCGTCACCCGCTCAGTAGTACATCACTATTGATTATTGTCTCCGGCCAACAATCCTATTTTCTTTGCTTTTCTTTTCTTTTGCCTCTCTTTGACCTGCCGGAACGGGAAGAATCTTGCCCATCAGATGTCTTTGGCTCGGAGTGCGGCCGCCAGCCAACTTTTGTCGTTGCGCCGGACACGCCTACTGGTCATTTAATTTATACCATAGGACTAGTAGTGTTGGAGATAATAATATCCACATACGTCAGGTCCCAGAATCTTACTCCAGCCTGCAGCTGAACACTTCCCTTTGGACGGCATAAGTTCGGCACGCCTACCCTCGGCGACACATGACTAAACGCTAGTCCAGTCCACGGCAGTCGCCATCGGGTGATGAGGGCGGATTCTAGAAGGATGACAGGGACAAAGCAAATAAGACTATCATATTCTGGGTGTTGGGATTTGCAGATAACGATGGTCAGTGTGCGTTGCGGCGGGTCTGGGTGCGGAAGGGAAATTGGCCATCAGGAGTTGTCTAATTAGATCCAAAGGTGCCTGGCGATGATTATTAGTACCAGCGTCGGTATGGGGCGGGTATTGCTGCGTATTGCCTGCCCACCTGGAGAAAGTCGCTCCACCGGTGGGAGGATCGCTTGAAACTGTGCCTGACTAGCCCATCCGATGCCCCTCTCCACGGATGGTCTTCATTTATCGGAATTATTAATGATTATTATCGAGCTACTAGTCTCACGGGTTGGCCGGACTGCCCAATAGCTTATTATTAATAATGCTGTGTCCCCTGATGCTGGCTGCCTGCAAGCCTGCCACTACACAGCCTGCCCCGTATCTACATGGTAGAGTTTTGCTCTGGTTGTGGCGTGAGATGGATGATTCATGTGGCATCTACCGAGTCAGTCACAGAGGCAGCAAGTTTCTCTATTCTCTCGAGTGTTGAGTACTTGGCTGAATTCGCATCTATATATATCCACGGGATAAATAGCCTTGCTGCAGTGGCTGCAATGCCGGTCTTGCAATTTCTATATCGGTTTTCATTGGCTGGCAGAGCCGTTCTTCAACCTCCAGGCATACTACGTAAATAAGCCCATGCATGCCGCGCTTACTATAATGGATTACTATTGGCTACATATTAAAGCAGCCCATACTCCCTCGCAGACAAATCTGCTCATCAGTCCACCCAGTGCAGTACCTCGTCTCGAGCTGGGGCTCTGTGGAGGCTAAGCACAATAATGCAATACCATCACCCTCCCGGTCAGGCGGTCTTGATCATGGTCACTCCCGTGGCGTATATGGCGTATATGGCGTGCAGAACATACCTTGTACTACTGCAGGAAACCACTTTCATGTTACGGAGTTAGTATGATCAAGAAGCGCACAGGTACGGATCAAGCAATCTATACAAGGCTAACCATGATCTTAAATATAGAATAGTATGCTTGATCGGATCCGCCACCACAATACTAGTTTATAGTTCTCGAGCTACCAAGGGTTCGTCCCTTCTGACACCATAGTTACTTAGCCACCCTGAGTCAACAAGCTCAGCTGGCAAAGAGGACACATGAGTCAGCCAGCTGTTGACGTTGGCTTTAGAACGTCGCATGAAACGAACATTCATGCGAACATCCCTTCCAGAAGCACCTGCGCTTGAGCCCATTCTATATATAGCTGGTCAAGACGGGCTTGAACTTGGATTGGTGATGGACATGAACCCTGCACCATCCGGGGTATAAGCCGACTAGTCCGCAGCATCTTCAGCCCGTACGATGCAGGCGAGTGTATCTGGAAGCCTGGTTATACTGTGTGATTCGTCGAGACCGGCATCGGCTTCATTGAGGGCGGCTAATGATGGTGTGCTTGTCGGCAGCCGGGCAGCGGTTCGCGCCTAGATGTGTCTGTGTTTCTAATCATAGAATGTGACCGGCTGTCTGTGCGCTGTGATGGAGGGGTGAGGGGGATTGACTGTTCGCTGCTGGACAGGATCAAGCACAATCATAGCAGACCTGCAGTATCGGGGACGGCTGTGACAGTACTCGAGCAGGGATGTTAGCCTATGATAACTTACGATGGCTACCCTATGAGTCTAAATATACCAAACACGGGAGCGAAAGTACTGATCCGAGCAGAACCGATGCAGATTTTTCTCGCAACTCCATATCTGTGATCCTGATCCTTATCTGTCCCCACTCGCGGTGATGAGATCTGATGTGGATGAAGAGAGGGACAAAGATGACAGAAAATGGCGAGATCGGAGATTGTCCAGGCACCAGGATGGGCCAAATCTTAGAATTACACACATATCAAAGGGATAGCGATCGGGTCGCACGGCTCGATACATCGAAGCCCTTGGGTTGCTAGCAGAGATGAGACCGGTGCCTCAGGGACTTATTGTTGTCGTACCACCGTCTTGGAGGACGCGTGACCGAGGCCGAGGCGACTATTAGATAGGTATTTCAATGTTCTTAACCACTTCAGTCATATGTAGGACCGCCGGTGGGTTCTCGGGCTGGTCATTGCTCCTGGATCTACGCAGGACTCCGCTCATTCAGGTAAATGGGGACCGGTCAAGTAGAGAGAGAGAGGGGGGGGGGGCATGGGCGACCTTGGGGGTTGCCTGGTGGTGAGAAACGCCCTGTTGGATGAAGTGGTTGACTAAGGGATGAGTTGTGACTGGGAGAAAATTGGAGCAAAGTCACCAGGCAGATCTTCAGTCCGAAGGGGTCATGTTGTCGGATGCTGAATTCGGTGGCGAACCCCGAGAGGGTGAAATTAGTAGTAGTCCCGGTGAAATATCGCTCGCATTGATCGATCCAACAACGACCAAGTTTCTCGATCGAATATAATTTCCGGACGAGAGAGAACCCTTTTTTAGCCAAGTCCGAGTTCAAGTGCAAGTCCAAGGGGAGAGAGAGAGGCAGAGGCAGAGGCAAAGAAAGGGTGGCGGGCCAAAAAGCCTGGAGGACGAAAACGCCCGCGCCTGACACGCCCAGCGTCGCTCTCCGCTTTCGCTTTTCCACGCCGACCTTCTCTCCTCCTCCTCGACTCCTCAACTCAACTCCTCCTCCTTTCGATTTGAACTCCCCCCCCCCCGGTCGCCATTCTCATTCATCCTTCGCCTCCACCTGAGAACCCCTTTCGCGCCATCCTCCGATTTAATCTGGCTTCTCCCCCGCAGTCTTTCCTTCATCCTAGCCCTCGTGCTTGTCTACGCTTCCTATCCTTCGTGATTCATCGTGGCCGCCAGGCTCTGACGGACCCGGTCTTGGCCTGAACAATCCTCTCTCCCCTTTCACGCCGTTCGTCCATCATTCTGCTGTCGTCCGACCCATCGCCCATCCATCCCACCTACTAAACAACCCTCTCGTTCTATTGACCGTATCCCTGACTCGGACTGGATGACGAGGATATAATCGACCCGGCCCTCGCCTCCACCTCGCTTCTCCTTTCCTCATTTCTTCGCTCGGTCACGTTCCTATCGTCCGATTTTCCATCTCACCCCAGGGGTTGGACGCACCACCCTTTGATCGAGACATTGTCAGATCCTCGGTGATCTGACTAGGACGATATCCTTGGGTCCCGTGGTGATCATATTATCACCCCCTGACTGTCACCGACCGGCATCCGTCACAAATTAGATCCTGTACATTCTCTCGCCCACCATGCGGGAGGTCAACTTCAGCATTCCTAATGTCAATAAGGCCTCTGTTAATATCACAACCACGCTGTACGACCGGCGTGCCCTCGATTGTACATCTACGCTACCGCTTATAAATTCCCTCAATCATTTGGCCTATCTCACCACATCGTCGGCCCGCATTCGCGATATCCTGACCGTCGATGGCGGCATCGAACGGCTGGTATGTATCCTCAAGGAGGGTCGGAGTCGGGATTTGATGGAGATGTGGAAGTGGAGCCTCGCCTTTCAATGCGTTGTCAATATTGGTGTGCGGGGCTCGGAGAGTGTGCGGACGCGAGTAGTCGAAGCCGATATGGTGCCGGTGATTGCCACCATCCTGGATAACTATATTAAAGTAGTCGAAAAGACCCGTCCACGGGCAGATCCAGAAACCCAGCGACACTCGTCTCGACACCATTCCAAGGGGGCTATCACCAGCGATGCTCCTGCGCGTCCGGCCTATGTGGATCAATCGACGAACACGGAACAACGCCCCTCTCGCCGCCAGGCGCCACCACCTCACATTGAAATCCCTCCTTTCTACCAAGACAGCCATGCTTCCGACACTAACGCCATGGACGTTACGTCGTCTCCTCGGGTACCCGTGACCTCTCCTCCGGAACAGAGCACTTTCACACAGGATGGCCCCAGCCCTAGCAGTGATACCCGGTATGCCCAAGCCGCTCAGCGTCTCCGGGTGATACAGCCCCTGGCCACCACCCTGCGTCCCATGAGTGCTGCCGATGGCTTCGGTCTGCGCCCGGTGCGCGACACCGAGCGACTCCCCAGTATGCTGCCGGGCTTCCACAATGGCATTGTATCTCAGCCTGATTCCCCTACCACCCCAAGCGGACCTGCGCAGCTGCGCAGCAACACTCAAACAACACTCGCCCGGCCCCGTCCTACCCTGAGGCAACAACAATCAGCCTCCGGTGAGTCGGATGATGGGAACGGTGAGGGTTCGACAATGGGCGATGACACAGTTTCTGGCGAAGCTACTGAGCCTATCGTTGGCATCCAGAACCGTATGGAGATTGATGATGTCGGCGACCGGCAAACGGTGCTGGAAGGCGTGTCCAATACGCACGACCTCACTGTCAATGACACTTCCGAAAGCCAGGAAGCCGAGACATTCAACATCACCCACCGGTCTACCTTGATCGCGAACGACGCAGCGCGCACAAACCCAGCGTCGGGCTTGTCGCCCACGCAGGCCCCCAACCAAGCCACTTCGCCCGCGATTGTTCCCAGCCCATACTCGCTGTACGTGCGCGACCGATCGACGACCGCAGCTCAGGGGGTCTTGACATCGATGCCTCGGGATGAAGATGTCCTGATGTCGCTTCAGCTCCTTGCCTATGTGTCCAAGTACTGCAACCTCCGCTCCTACTTCCAGCATTCACACCTCGTCCCGAAGCTCAAGATGGACCGCGAACTCCAGATGCTGGAGGAGGGCGTGTCCCCGATTGAACCTGCCGAGGAGGAAGATGAGTACCTGCTGCCTGACGACGTCAACATCTTCCCGCTAGTGGAAAAATTCACCGTGCGACACCACTCCAAGGACATGCAATACTGGGCGTGTGTGGTGATGCGCAATCTCTGCCGCAAGGACGAGTCACGCGGCGGCATCCGACAGTGCGCATACTACAAGTGTGGAAAATGGGAGGAGTTTCAGCGGCAGTTTGCCAAGTGCCGACGCTGCCGGCGCACCAAGTACTGCAGCAAAGATTGCCAAAAGGCGGCGTGGGTGTATCATCGCCACTGGTGCCACACGACGCCATGATATGAACGCACGAACTGTTTAATACCTAATGCATACCGGCTTGCATAGCGTCGTATCTGTCATACCATTTCATTGTTTCTTCCGAGGGTTCACGTCTACCCGTGCATGGCATTTCAAACCTGGCGGCGTTGCTCTTCATCCCAAAGATACCTCTTGTATGTCGATTCGTTTTCCGATTCCACCTTTCTACAGTGTTTGATTACAGGCCCGAGCCTGATCGGTCATATTATTCTAGCGGTCATGAATGCGCACTTGTTTATTTCCCCTCTCGTTCTGTCTTGACGCCCAACGATTTTCCTTTGTGAGTACTATCTAGCATGCGCCCCGTGAGGGGCGCTTTCTTGGGCTTGATTTTATATAGTTCTGTTGGCAGTTGACTGGATATCAGCCAGTCATTGGTACATGCTTGTGCATAGGGCCTGAAGGCCATACCTTGAAATAATTGATCATGAAGCAATAGATTCTACAATACCTCGATAGATTTACCTCAATAGAATCTACTAATCACCTGGCAGATACATATACATCCTATACCCCTCCCTCCTTGCCCATCAAAAACAAAAATCACTTCCGAAACCCATACGTAGCATCCAACCTCGCCATCAAATGTTCATGCGCCGTCAACACCCTCCCATCGCCATTATCCCCTCCCTCACCCAACACCCCCGCCCCACCCCCAAACCCAACTCTCCTCCCCTCCCGCGCCTCCCTCTTCATCCTCTCCCTAAACTCCCCCACCACCTTACTCGGCACAGGCACCAACTCCGTCCTATCCATCGGATGACAAAAATACACAATACTGTATCTATCCTGCGCCGACCCTTCTTCACTCTCTTGTTGCTGTTGCTCAGCCATAGGAAACACAACCCTATGCACCGTCGACTTGAGTAATCCCGAAGTCCAATAACTTAGTAAATCCCCGATATTCACTAGAATTGGAGGGAAGGGATACGTTTCGCCCTGGGAGGTGGATACGTTGGGGGAGGGTATAACAGGCACAGGCGCCCAGTCCCCACTCGGGGTTAAAATCTCCAGCCCGGGTTGACCTGGACGCTGGAAGAGGAGCGTGATGGAGCCGTAGTCGGAGTGAGCACCGGCTCGGACATCTAGCGTGTGGTTGTAGGTTGTTGTCGTTGGGGATGTGAGGGAGGGGTAGTAGAGGTAGCGGAGGATGCTTCCTGTGGGGCCGGTGGTAGGGTCGTGCCGGGTTGTGAAGAAGTCTTTTGGGATCTGGATTGTGTTTGTTGTTAGGTTGGGGTTGGGTGTGGTTGGAGGTAGAGGATGGATTGGTGGGGTGTGTGTATGAGGTTGAGGGGGGAAGGGGTGGATATGGGATAGACTTACATCCAGTCCCAATGCAAGAAGAGTCAAGATGCGAGTGCAGGTCTTGTTGCAGAGGGAGGAGAAATGGGCGATTTCGGATTCGTGGGGATGGAGGGATGGAGGGAGGGGTTGTTGGGCTTGAGAGTTTGCGAATTCGCCGAAGTTGAAGGCTCTATTTCATTGTTGTTAGTTGGTGGTGGGTGGGATGGTAGTGGGGGAGGTATACTCTTTGAAGTCGCCGGTCTGGAAGGGGGTTAGTTGGATGTTATAGATATGGGATTGATGATTGATAGAGGGGGGAGCTTACTCGCTGATGCTCTGGGTCCAGGGTCTCGGTGTGCATGCCGGACCAGCCGCGGTTCTGTATCGGTCAGTGTTGGTCATGGTTGGAAGTAGGGTTGAGAGAGTAAGGGTAGTAGGTAGGTAGGTATTACGTTGGATTCAATTCGACAAGCGGCTTTTTCTTCGACAGGGGAGGCGAAGAAGGTTTTGGACTGCGATATTCATTAGTATTTGAGCAGAAAATGGGGGAATGGATATACCAGCTCAAATGCCCGGTCTACCTCCGCGGCAGTAAAATCCGTCCCCCGGCTGTCAACATACAGAAAGCCATACTTGGTAGCGGCATCCAGAAGGGCTTTCCCCGCTGCTGGATCGAGGGGGTTGGAAATGTCCAGTACGGGGAGCTCGATGGGAGGGCCGACGTCAGTCATGATGCTTATGATTGAGAATAGTAGTGTCTGAAAAAGATAGCGTTGAGATATGCTTGCTGTGCGTGGGGATGGAATAGATTTATAGGTGGTGGGATGAGACGTTATCGGATCTGCGGGGACCCCCGAACGGGACCCGGTTGGCTATCGGCTATCGATCGAATCGCATCGATGGCTGGATGGAGGCTTTCCATTTGCAATGCAAATTACTGCGGCTGATTGGACCAGTGGGGGTGTTCTACTTGATATTGAAGGCCATATGAAGTATTTTATGCCGCCAATAAATGATTTATTACCGTGAATAAAATATAGCTTACTCTAGCGATGAACTGGTCTTCTAGCAAATGCATTTATCAGGGGTTTCAATTAAGAGATAACACCCACCATGCATTTGTAATAATAATCAGAATTATTTCTCCAACATATCCTTGATTTTCTCGAGGTTGCCAAGGCTGGCTTGATTACAGTCTTCTTCACAAACTCAAATTGCAACGTAACAATTCTTTGGAAAGTCCTCGTCTATGGAATCAATATCTTCTTAGTCCTTATTTTTCAAGCTTTGTTTATATGCATCAATGATTCAGACGACATAAAGGGTTGATACGTTTAGACTTGAGCATCCTTACCTCTATGGAATCACAGAAGGGTATAAGACCAAGCTTCATGCTTGACACATTCTGCAGACATCAGATAGTAGACACCTTAAGATGGATACTTTATTCGTGGCTGTCTAATAATTGAAAGACTGCCTGTGAATAGATTCATCCTCAATTAAAACCACTGGGTATCAGAGTTAGAGCACTCTAGAGTGACCTCCAACCAAGACTCTCGAGGATGTTGGGAACGTTTCGGCAACTCGATAGTCATGGGCACGGGCGTTGTAGCCGACCCTTTTACGGAACTTCATCAATTGTTGCTCTAGTTGTTGCTTTAGCTGCTTCTGCTGGGGAGAATAATAAAGCGAACGTTCCTGCATAGACGTAGGCTAACCCCAGCCTTGTGACAGGAGAGACATGAGTCGCTCATTATTCTGTCCGGCACATCAATATTCGAGAATTCCTTGCTCCCTTGTGGAGGATTCAGAAATAGGTCGCTTGAAGACACTCGTGTCCATAGTACCAAAGCCGTTGTTACAATCTGCCAGACATTAAAGCAAACGTACCATCTAGTACTGGCCAGCATCTATGCAGACTACACTATGCCATTGATACCTATTAATCCCACATCAGGAGCCCTTCGGTAACCCTTTGAAATCTTGCCACGCAGCGGCTAGAGACTTTATTAGCCATAAATGTTTAACCGACACGAGTTCGCTGATTAGAGTATTCGGCAGATTTCCAAAAAGGATTCGCTGACTCCGAAGTATGTTTCAAGTCCGACTTCAATGGTTTCAAAAGAGAGGTCTCCTTTTAGGACGGCATTATCATGTTGAAAAACATCAATCGAGCCCTGGGCATAGCTGGGACAGGCTAATGGGTATCTTTTGACGTTTGTTGGGAATTAGCATGCGGTAAATGGACGGCTTTTCATTCGACGTTCTTCTTTCTTTCCCCTGCCTGATTTTCGTCTCCGCCAGGGTTGCTGCTCATAGCTGGCCCTTGGATATGAGCAAAACCCAATACCATTCAAGGTGCAAGCTCAGAAGTCTCATTTTTCCTTCGATTTGTATCGGCACACCATGATGATCAGATGGTATATTGAGATTTGATTATTATGACCCACAATATAGGCTTGTCGATATGTTCTGTATACATGTGCAGCGCAAACTGTTGAAGTTGACTAGCCGGTTTAAACTGCCCAATTTCAACAGCTCGATTGAAGGAGGTGATGTCTTAAGCAGTGTTTCTGTCGTCGTTATCGAGAAATCATTTCTTTCTCCAGATCGATCAGTATCACAGTCTGTGGCATGAGATGTTAACATATCCACAATGGTTTCCGGGTATGTTCCACCGTCTCTCTGCAAAAACCTCACTGAATCATCGACCACGCCAAACATATCCAGAGTTATAGCATTCAGGTAGTTAGAATGTAGTCATCAGTACCAGGACATCTCAGCTGGCCAAGTTGACACGTTCCCTGGTAACGTCCTGCAACTGACCAGGTCTCGAATAACAATACTGCGTATGAAGTCAACAATGCTGACAGCACCTGTCCAACATTATTGTTGAAATTTCCAACTGCTAAAGCAGCAGATTTCTCAGGCCGGTAACGACATGATGAGATGATGATATTCAGTGAATATCTGTTCGAAACCCTAGATGCTAGATCACTGGATGTAATTGGTGTGTGTAGGGTCTTGATCATTTGTAGCATTTTGTAGACCTATCTCGTTATTTGTTTCGCATCTAGGAAGAGGATGTATCGATGTTGTGGATTAGATGATGCGATGAGATGAACTGCCAGAGTAGAGTAGAGTATCTTGTATGGATAGTAGGGTAAGACCGTTGCAAAGAAGCGATGTCATGATGCTAATTGTACTTTTTAATGAGTCGGATTAGATGATTCTGTGCATATCCAATAGGTCGCGTGGAAGTAAACTTGAAGATCCGATAGAATAAAATATGCTAGTAAAGGTAGCATATGGCTATTGCCTAGAGCAAGATATTTGTAGAAGAAGAGATATCCCCGGAAGGTGGCCCCTTTTATACTTGAGATACCAATGAATACCTACGAGAATATTATTCCCCATCAACAGTATTTTATTAAATATTCCCATTCATTCCCTACCTACAATCACTAATTAATAATTCACCCATCCAACCCATCATACCAACTATATGAATCCCTGCCTCAGGCCCCCACCACCGCCACGCCACGCCACGCCGCCAAGACCCCCCAAACCATACCCAAAACAGCAACAACACCATCATCAATCCATCCCATACTAACTCCGTACTCCGTCCGTACCTCTTCACATGGAACTCAATTAACCACTACCTACGAAGTACACTACATTCATCCCCCCAAACCACCACCAATCTACCCAACCAAACCAACCCAACGAACAAAATGTCCACCGACTCTCCCCCCCTCTCAACCACCGAAACCGTCCCTCCCCCAACAACATCCACTCAGGTACCTTACCTCCCCTCCCCATTCCCCTCCCCCCACAATAACCAACCCATCAACCCCAAACTAACCGTACCTGAAACAACGAAAAAGACCTCCGACCCCCAAGGCCAATTCTCCGCCGCCGTGGACGATCTTCTCGACCAACTACAACATAAATTCGATGGGGTGTCGAGGGAGATGTTTGGGAAGTGTACGTCCCTATCCCCATCCTGTTCTGTATAATTTTTCTGGGGGATGTTGGTATTGTGGGGGTATAAATGCAATGCTAATATAGGTGGTTTGGCAGTGGACGATATGGCGCGACGATTGGATGAATTAGAGGCTTCGTTTACGGTTGTGGATGGGACGACAGCGGCTGCGGGGACAGGGACGGGGACGGGGAGTACGACGGGGAGTGGGAGTGTGAGTGGGAGGGGGAGTCCGGAGAAGTGATCCTTGTGCTTTTTTTTTTCTTTTTTGTTGATATTGGGGGTTGGGTTGGGTTGGAGTTATGGGTTCGGTGGTAGATGCGTGTGTGGATTGTGTTTGTTTGATTTGAGGTAATAGAGATACCCCCTTTACTTATTACTTACTAGTATTTCTTTATGTTGTGGCTGGCTGGCTATCGTCGAATAATTTCAGTATGTTGATATACTCGACATTCTCATCTTCAATATCATACAGAACATAACATATCCTGCCAGTCATAATCCATACAATATCTACAACTCATCCTTGACTTCCTTCTCGCCAACAAATTGACGAAGGATGTTGCTCCGCGACACAAGGTCGTCCACCTTCTCCGGGGCCGATCCACCCTTGGCCAGGATCTTCTCCAACCGAGCGAGCTCCTTGCTCACGTACTCGGCGTTCTGGCTCAGCTTGTCCGCAACCTTGACGTAGTACTGGGCGTACTTGTCCTTCAGGTCGGCAGCAGCCTCCTTCAACGCAGCAGTCAGATCAGCAGGGGAGCTGACGATCAGCTCGTCCAGGCTGGCAATGGTACCAGCCTTGGCATCCAGACCACCGCCAATGGTACGGTGGGTACCGGCCTTCTCGTTCAGGTAGTCAATGAAGGCCTGCTGGGAGCGGGCACCCTCGTAGGAAACCGATTCCGTAGAGCCCTTAGGGAAGAACTTGATGGTGGGGTATCCGGACACGCCCTGCTCTCTGGCAGTAGCCTTACCGGTCTCAGCATCGGCATCGACCTTGGCGATCACGACGTCGTTCTCGAGCGCGAAGTCATTGGCAAGCAATTCCCAGGTAGGAGCGAGGTTCTTGCAGTCTATCCATCATGTCAGCACCGGTTCCAGTTATCTACCAGACGAGGAAGAAACTCACGTCCACACCAAGGCGCAGTGAAAGCGACCAGAACATCCTTGTCACCATTGACAACCGACTTGAAAGTCGCGTCGGTCAACATCTCCACCTTGCTGGGCTCCTTCTTAGGTCCGCGGGGCTTGACACCCGTCTTCTCGGTGATAAACGCAGACAGACTCTCCAGATCACGGCCTCCCTTGTAGTCCTCGGGGGTATCGCTCTTTCCATCGAACCACTTCAGAGTCGGGAATCCCTGCACACCGAACCGGCGGCCCAGGTCGCGGTTCTCGTCCGCATCGACCTTTGCCACCGACACCTTGTCCGAGGCGTGGGCGAACGCTTGACCGAGCTCCTCGTAGACGGGCGCGAGGTTCTTGCAGTGGCCGCACCAGGGAGCGAAGAATTCAACCAAGGCGGGCTTGCCGGACTTGAGGACAACGTCGTCGAAGTTCGTGGGAACGAGGTCGACCACCGCGGTGACGGCGGAGGCCAAGCTGAGGCAGCTGGCGAGGAGATGGTTAAGGCGAACCATCGTGATGCAGAGGGATAGAGTAAAATCGGAAAAGGGAAGAGGACAGGTCGGTGAATGTCCTTGAGACCAGGCTGTTGGTCAGCTGGCGTGGTTGTTGCTGAAGTAGATCGAGGAGCCCCGGCGGGAAGGCGGAAGCGCTGCGGAGACCGAGCGGGTCGGAAAGGACACTTGGTAAGTTATCCATCACTAAGCAGCTCTCCTACACTCACTCAGCTCAGCTCAGGCACGGCTAAATCTATTGTATTACTGCCACTACGCTTCGCTGCAGCCTGACTACGTGATACGCTTCACCTGTCAGCCCTTCTTTTCTAGTAATACATCGTGTGCGGAGTAGGATTGGTGAAACTATCAGGTGGGCTCGGGCCACCCGGCCGACACGACTACATAGATAGTTCGTGATGTCGTCGTCAAGTGCATTCTCTTGTCCCGAGCAGAGGACCTCCTTCGCTCATCACCGCCGCTCCGCCAACCAGCGGTTCGCACCCTCCCAATTCTTGCTGTCCTTGATCTCCGTGCCTCCACTCTGTGTACCGCGGTAAACCTAAGACTATGAGTAAATACGTCATGCAACCAGACACGAGGCTGGACCTACCGCATCCCAGAGCTTGAACGCCATGTCCAGGTTGCCCGTAAAACTGTCACTATGCTGGAACCACTCCTTGCCCTTTGCTTTGACATCCGTCCGCGCCTCCGGCGATGTGGGATTCGCCTGCAAAGGCAGATCATCCAGGTAGGTACGCACAGCGATGCCCAGACCGCAGTCGTTGTCGTCGATAAACGGCAACCTATCCGCATTAGAATTTATGACTTCGATGTGCAGTCACTTTGTGTAGTCACTTACTTAACACTCAGTTCGCCCCAGTCGTTGCGCTCCCGCTCAGCATCGCCGCTCAGGAGGAGGCCGGTCAGAACCACCTCAATGAGGTTCCGTAGCGTGGAGCGCACTTCGGATATCAGGGATCGGTAGCAGAGCAACTGGCGGCTTAGTGGCCCGGAGTAACCGATACTCTTATGCTGGAGTTTGGCGATACAGGCGACGCGGGAAACCAGCATGTTTTGGCTCTTGTCTTCGTCTACAGTCGATAAATCAGCGCAGTCCACGGCCCATCAATCGGCATCTTACCTGATCCCCTCATAGGACCCCCGGAAACATGGGAGAACCACGGCTGGGAGTTGAGCAGGCCAAACCGCAACATCTCGATGGCCAGGAATGTAGACTCCTCAAGCGCATCGGCCGGGTCGAGTCCCGACAGTGCTTGCTCAAGACATACTCCCCACTGGGTAAGCTGATGTTTCTCGTCAATGTAGCCGCGGAGCTGAAGAAACCGCCAGTAGACATTGGCCAGAAGCTCATCTTGTGACGATAAGGACTGGTCGTGTCAGCTCTTGAACCGCAATCCGGACAGGGACCCTTACTGGAGCGTCCTTAGTAGAAAGGGAGTTTGTGACAAAATCGGCGTCCTTTAAGCTCTGCACAGCGAATTGGAAACGTCCGACCGAGCCCTAGTCCTGTTAGCAACGACCTATGCCAAGCGAAGACTGGACTTGCCTGCAACTTCCTCAAGCTCTCCGGAAGCTGCTCGCTGGGGATCTTCCACGATTGAATTGAATCTTTGACAGAAGGAAGGCTTTTGAGGTTGATCGTGGCAGGTGACTTCTCGTCGTACCATGTTCGCACATTGATCACCTTGGTCTGATAGAACCGGTGGAGGGAGTTCGATAACAGGCCAATGGCCTGCGTTCTGGTGGGTGTGAGAGTGCTACCAGCAAGATCGCGGTATATATCCGTGTCCTCGACGCCCAACGGCAACGAGATGAGGACTTCACCTGAGGTGAGGTAGTTGGGCACATCGGGACCCAGAATGCCCTTGGACAGGTAGAAGTAGAGCTCCTCCGGGAGACGTTGGCCGATCAATTCGTGCATATCGGAAGAAGCACTCTCCGGGTCCATAGGACCAACCTTGCCGTCCACATCAATATACACGTGGTGTTTCACCGTCATCAACGTGCGCTTGTAGCGATCTGTGTATTGGAGCTCCTGCATCCGGCGATCATCCTCGAACTGGGAGCAGAGGGCGAGTACGCTCCGTCCGGCCGCATTGAACATCGGCAGTGCATCTCGAACAGTGGGGTTCTTCCCGGGAAAGACATGGTTCTCCAAAACAGGGAAGGGCTGAAGGAATGAAGAGCCCAGAAGAAGGCAAAAGTCCAGGAACTGCTCATGTGATAGACGGCCGAGTTCTTCCAGACATGTCTGTTTGGTGATCCAGAAGAATTGTGCCGGGTCAATGTCAATGCGGGTGACCAATTTATCAATGTCGAACATCAAGACTTCGGAGGGACCGTAAACAGCGTCGACCAGAGGGTTCGGTCCCTTGGCCAGGTAGGAGAGCTATGAAACAATTGAGGTCAGATGCGCGCAACCTTTGTGAGGTCAGCAGTCTCGTACCTGAGCGGCAGCACTATATGGGGCCACAATATAGTCGATGCCATGTTGGAGGAGAATTCGCTGCAAAAATTGGTAGAGGGACTCGGGACGAGGGGTGCCTAGGACAGAGGACAGTCAGACACGCGCTTCAAGAACCAGAACTAGTGTCGTACCCGCGCTGCTGAATGCGTCCACCACTTGATCGGCCTGTTGTTGATCGTAGAGGTCCCAGGCCTGCTCGAATGCCCGGACCGACTCCTGCTGCACGTGGGGTCGTTGATCCTTTTTGCCAAAGTCGAGACCGTTGAACACGAAAATACAGCCCACGCCCAGATCCTTATAGACCTGCAATTCTTTCTCGATGTTGCTCTTGAGTGCGAACGGGAAGCCACCCAGGGCGATCAGAAGGGGCTCGCGTGTGGAGGGTTGGAGGAGGTGTTGAGAAATGTAGTGCGACGCATCGATACCGACAACCGCTCCTTTGAGGGCGGAGAGGGGGAGATGTTGGGTGCGGGTAGCGGCCCATTCATCCAACGGACGGACTGTGCAAAGTAAGATTGGGTTAGCTGAAGAGTAACAGGTCCTGGAGCTCCGCGGGAGCTACAACAGCTGACTTACTCGGCATGGTTCAAACTGGAGCTGTGTTGCGGACTTAGACGCCGGAGCCGATACCAGGCATGGAGAGCCCGGTGGGGGGAGGGAAGGGTGGGGAGATTAAAAATAGGAGTAGAGGGAGTGAGAAAATGGGGAGGAAGAAAGGAAGACAGCGAGGAAGAGGAAGAAGAGGAGGGGGTGGAGGGGTGGAGGAGAGGGCCGGCGAGAGAGGGGATGAGTGAGAGTGATGATGCGACAATCGGCAACACGGGCTGTTGATGCCAATCACGAGGGCGGTGTTGCCCCGGCCAACTGGCCGATATTACACCCACTTCACATCTTCAGACTCCTAATTATTCGAAAAGCTTGAATTGAGACTATAGCCCTTGTTTTCCTTTATGAAATGCGACTCAGACCCCTTCGATCAGGGTTCTGCAACGATGAACATCGTGGTATGTGTTTGCAATCCCGTTACATGTCGAAGTATGAAAGGGTCAATGAAAACTGTTAAAGTCCACCACCCACCTTGCTGTCCGCTCCTAACAGATCCAAGTGAGTTCAGTCGTTTACCTAAATTGTAAACTTTCACCGTTTTATCCCACGAGCTCGATATAAGCATCCCACTATCTCGGCTGAAAACCAGATCCAGAACGCACATCTTATGACCCTTGAGGGTCTGAAGGCATGCTCCGGTGTGTACATCCCACAACTGTATGTCTCTATCAGTCGACCCAGTTGCCCATGCTCTGCTATTATTGGTAAAAGTCGGGCACTTCACCCAGCCGTGGTGTCCCTTGATGACCTGAAGACACTGCCCAGATCCTGCATCTCAGAGCCGCACTGTACAATCGTGGGAGGCAGATGCAAGCACCTTGCCATCTGGGCTGAAGACGACAGAGCTTACTGCTCTGGTATGGCCCTCAAGCACTCGGATGCATTTGCCTGGGTTTGGATCCCAATACCGTAAGGTCCCGTCAGTAGAGGCTGATGCTAGCATGCTGCTATCAGGTGTGAAGGTGATTGCTACAACAGCCCCTACATGACCCATTAGCCTATGAAGACGTTCTCCGGTGGTTGTATTCCACAGCTTCACCGTGGTGTCACTAGAAGATGTCGCTAGAATCTTGCCATCATGAGTGGAAGTGATAGCCCAGACGGGACCAGCATGACCCCTGAGTGTTTGAATGCACTGACCCGTAGTAGGATCCCACAACTTGACCTGAGAGTCAAAACAGGTTGATAGAAATATCCTATTCCCAATATGGATTACTCCAGTGTCTAGATCCGTGTAGCCCGTGAAACTCTGGAGGCACTCGCCTGTGACTGGATCCCAGAACTGGGCTATGCAGTTGGAGGGAGCAGTTACTAAGACTCTTCCGTCCTGTATAAACTTGAGGGAATTGACAGGTCCAGTATGGCTTTCAAGGATTTTGAGGCACTGTCCTGTGAAAATATCCCACAGCCGTACTGTCTTGTCGTCAGAGGCGGATGCTATCTTGCCCTGTTTGGTAATTGCGACAGCTTTGACTGATTCCGTATGGCCTTCTAGTGTCTGTGGAATTATACCCCAGTCGACTATATGAGGGACTTCAGTCTCCCAACCAAGAGCTCGAGGCGCTCCGGAAAGTTGCCTCCACAAGTAAGAACTTTGCGACTGGAAAGCAGAGATATGTGCCTTCTTCCCGGCGCCTCCTCTCGCTGATGGGGAGAAGTAAATTCGAGGTTGTTCCCTCCAGTGGGGCATCCAGCCATTCTCCTTGACAAGTTGAAGAGTTGCGTCGGTTGAAATCTTTGCCATGTCTTCCCTGAGAAGCAAAGCATTGGCCGGATATGTTTCGCTTTCCCATGGTGCGATCTGACTTCTAGGTGGAGCATGTCAACTTTGGGATTATAGCGTGTGTCGCGGTATTTCTTGAATTGAGACCGGAACCCGTAACCCGGCTCAAGCTTTGCCGGGCGTTGTACCCGGATTGTGCGTGGGTAGGTTAGAATAACTGCACCGCGCGCCTCGCGGTAGACTAGGCTGATCGTCGTAGGGGTTTCCACAAAATCCATACAGGTTCATACCAGCATACGGCTCTTCAAAACGTAGGGATATCATGTAATACGCGGAATGAGATGCATGAGTACTACCACGGTGATCTGTATTCCCACAGAATGGCTCTACTGACGATGACCGACTGCAGTAGCTCTCGCACCGGCCGACGTAATTGTGGGCACAGACTTTGATGAGGCGCGGTTGAGTGTGGTCCAGCGCCTCCTGCCAGATCTTGAGGTGTAGCTCTGGATAAAGGCGGCGAAACTGTGGGAATCTCATTTGAGATGATGATGTGTAACTGGAACGCTTACAGTAGCCACGCCGAATGAGTGTGGGAGCAATTATGATAGTGTTGAGGTGACTCACCGACCCAATTCGAACCGAATCTTATAGATACTACGTAGTGTCAGGGGAGAGGGGGTTGCTGACAGCTTACGGGAAGACACGGAATCGCCATCTTGCTTGCGTGGCTCCACCAAGCGGGCCAATGCGTAGGCTCTATCTAAATAGGTGTCGCTGACAGCCCTAATGCATGGTGCATTTCGATGCTGCCTACATCCCTTCTCGGTCTTCTTCTTTCTAAGTCGATATCTTCCTGTCCATCCCCTTCCCAGCAATCTCAACCAGCATCATGTCAACCCCGCAATGTTTCCCCTATGATCCAGACATCGCCACGCCATTCGGCTAAATCTAGTGATTTTCATGACGGTCGACTTTTTCAGCCTCCTTCTCCAGGTCATCGGGGGCGGAGTAGCAGGGGCTGCCTTCAGCACCAACACTTCCTACTGGCCGGGCACCTATATCATGGTCGCGGGGATTATCTGGCAGCTGGTCTCGACCTGCGTCTTTACCACTCTGCTCGAGTATGTCATCTATCGGGCTATGCGCCAGATCATTGGGAACCCACCACTACGGAAGATCACTTTCGCGCTGATAATTGCTGTCACCTGCATGGTGACTCGGGGTGTATACCGCAGCATGGAGTTGATTAATGGGTGGCGGGGATATCTCTTTACCCATGAGATCTATGCGGTTATTTTGGATGCGCTGGTCATGTTCGTTGCTAACGTTATGTTGAATATCTGGAACCCGGCGGTGCTGATCAAGGAGGCGAGGGCTATGGGCGCAGAGGTGGTAGAAATAAGAGCCAGAGAAGAGCAGGATAGGAAGAAGAGAACAAGTGACGAGTATCAGCCTATGACTGAGGAGGCCGAACCAGTTTTCACCACTACTATTGAGTAATTTCTTGGTTGGGGTTCGAGGTGAAGCTGGAATGTCTAGGTCTCGTCCAAGAATATACTATAGTCAGCACCTACTTATGCGCTTATCTAGATTTCAATACCAGATAGTCATTAGTGAGAGCAAATAAAAGAAAACCTAATATCACAGAAATTTAAGAAGGAAATGTGAGTATTCTGCAAATGAATTGAAGCCGGCATACTAGGCAGGTAGTATGGCAGTGCCTTATAGTTCACCGCGGAGACATCATGAGCTGCCAAGACTGGCACCATTTCGATTCCCGTCCAGCGTCTCTCCACCATGCATCCACACACCACATCCAAACCATTTAGAGGATACGACATTCAATGAGGACACAGTTACACTGTCACTTTCACATCAAATATCCTAAATTTCCCCTCAAATTCCACACTCACAACAAATGAGCGCTCAATCCCCGCAGGTGCGGCAACCACCGGCCACTCCCACCTACATTTTACGCGGCCATGCCGCTGCCATACATGCGCTACAGATCTTCCACCAGAACTTGAGACTTGTCTCAGGTGACGCAGATGGCTGGATCGTCGTATGGGACCTAGTTTTTAAGCGTCCTCTAGCCGTATGGAAGGCCCACGATGGCGCTGTTCTCGAGGTCAAGGGATTCAGCTTCCGAAATGGTGCTGTTACGGAGGTGTTCACGTGCGTATCTCTCACCATCAATCGAACCATCTAATATTTCTACAGACATGGACGAGACCACAAGCTACGCGCCTGGAGATTTAGTATTCAAGATGAGGAGATTCTTCAGAAAACTCTCCCCGTGGATTATACCCCAACCTCATCAGCTGCCCCCCAGCCATGGCTGGTGCATTCGCTTCCAGTAAATGCGCTGAATTTCTGCGCATTCTCGATGGTCTTTCTTCCCCCGAGTAAATCAGATACCGAAAGTGGCACGCCAGAAGCACCGAGCGAGAGTAAATCGCTCTCATCTGCGCTCATCGCCGTCCCTAATGCCTTGGACTCGGGCGCAATTGATCTCTTTCATCTCCCGCAGGAAAGACGTATTTGCACCATCCCTGCAGATATGGAAACGAAAACTGGGATGGTCATGGCAGCTAACTTGGTCCTGTCTGCATCCGGGGAGTTATACGTTGCTTCTGCCTACGAGGATGGTCACGTCATGGTTCTGGGTTGTCGTGGGCCGTTGTATGAGAAGGATCTAGCGAAAAATGCTAAAACGTCTTGGAAGTGGGAGAAGTTATACGTCTGTCGGGCTCACTCACAGCCGGCACTGTCGATCCATGTCTCGCCGGCTGGTGATTACTTCTTTTCTTCATCGGCTGATGCGGTACTGGCGAAGCATCCGATTCCGGTGTTGGGTGCCGCAGGGTATCGTGAAGAAACGCCAATCAAGTCGATCAATACAAAGCATGCCGGTCAGCAGGGGGTGCGGATACGGTCTGATGGGAAGATTTTTGCGACTGCTGGGTGGGATTCCAGGGTCAGGGTTTACTCGTGCAAAACGATGAAAGAGCTTGCTGTCTTGAAGTGGCATAAAGATGGTTGCTATGCTGTGGGGTTTGCGGATGTTGCTGGTCTCGAGTCGGAAGCATCGACTGGTGAGACAACTACGCCGCAGGGTGGCGATGATAAGGTGGACACGCAGCTTACTACACGTGCGGAGTTCTCGCTCGCTACAGTGCATCGCCAAAGGAATCAAAAAGTGCAGAACACCCATTGGTTAGCGGCTGGGTCAAAGGACGGGAAAATCTCATTGTGGGATATCTATTGATTTGTCGTCAATTACTATTTACATATGTTGCCAACTAGGCAAGATTGAACTCGCTTGCACCAGCCATGTTCTCCCTCATCTTGGCTCTCATCTTCCGAGCAGCCATTTGCATGTCGGTCGGAGGAGGAGCATCATCGTCATCATCGCGACCAGCAGCCTTCCGCTTGTTTCCAGCGACTGGTTTCCGCTCGGCCTTGAAGTCCTTCTTGATATCATCCTTTCCTTGACGAAGGCCAGGCACATTGATCTTGCTTGGGCGATCACGCAGACCGAAAGCCTTTGCCAAATGTCCGAGATGAAGCTCTTTGATGTTGAACATGCTCCGCTCGTTGGCGATATGCGTGGCATAAGCTCTGATGTGAGACTGGTACGCGCGCCGGGCCATTTCAAGGTACTTCTTGTTTTCCAATGACCATCTTTCCACATCCAACTGCCACTCCGTTGCCTTCTCCTCCCAGTCGGTGTTTTGCGACTCGACGTTTCCTCCGAAACCACGCTTCAGGATGTCGTCCGCATCGGTGCGGGTCAGCGCCTTTCCACCGTCCCGGTAGCCCTTCTTGAGGATGTCGACGTAGCCCTCTTCGCAGCCCGGCATAAGGAAAAGGAGAGCACGACCATCACGACCCAGACGCGCAGTACGTCCGATTCTGTGCAGGTGGTCCTCGGCGCTGAAGGCCGGGTCATACTCCACCACTAGATCAACATTCGGCAGATCCAGACCACGAGACGCAACGTCAGTACAGATCATGACGGACGGTTCGCGGTTGCGGGCGAAGGCATTCAGGGTGGCTGTCCGGACATGCTGAGGAAGAGAACCATGTAGTCGATGCAGGGTCACGGGGTTCGAAGGGTTCGAGAAAGCCGTAGCAGGCGCGATAGTTCCATGAGCCGAAGCCTCAAGTCTCTTCCTCTTTTCCTCTGCACCCTCGTCGTCACTGTCTCCACTCTCCTCCTCTTCATCCTTCTTCTCCTCCTCCTCTCCCTGTTTCCGCGTAAAAACCTCAAAGTGAAAGTCCACCGAGTCCGCACACGACACAAACACAATGGCCTTCATGACCGACCCCTTCCTCATAAACGTCCGCTTCATGAAAGCCGTCAGCGTAACCAGCCGTAGCTTCGCCGCCACAATCGCATACGACTGCTTCAGCTGCGCCGGCACGCGGAACGCATCATCCTCGTCCTTCTTCCTGGGCTCCCCATCCTCATCCGCCGGATCCGCCTGAATATGCACCGCATCCTTCAAACTGATCTCACCCAGCTTCTGCACGGTCATCTTCAACGTCGCAGAACATAGAATAGTCGTCCTCTTCGCCGGAATGCCAGGAATCCGACTAGGCCGCTGCCGCGCATCCAATTTCTGGATGATGCCCGCCAACTCCTTCTCGAACCCCAACTCCATCAACCGATCACCCTCATCCAACACCAACCACCGCACATTACTCACATCCAACGCCTGGGTGTTTTCCAAATGATCCGCCAACCGACCAGGCGTCGCCACCAGAATATTCAACCCCTTCCTCAACCGCGCCTTCTCACTCTTCTTCTTCTCCCCTCCAATCACCGTCCCCGCCACAATCCAATGCGCACATCGCAACAACCCCTCCAACACCACCGAAATCTGCTTACACAACTCTCTCGTCGGCGCCAGCACAATCGCAAACAACCCACTATCACGCTGCACCATCCCCCCTTCCTCTCTCTGCTTCTGATCCTTCGCAATCGTCATAATCCGCTGCACCAGTGGCAACAAATACGCCATCGTCTTTCCGGATCCCGTCTCCGCCTGTATAAACGCATCACTCTCCTCCTTGAGTAATTGCGAAATACTCGCTTTCTGAATCGCCGTCGGCGCCTTCACCTCCAGCTTCGTCAATAAATGCGCCGCCAGCGGAGCCGACAGCCCCAAATTCGTAAATGTATCCAATCCATCAATCAGCGGTGCGTTTGTCGGCTTCGTCTCCTCTCTTTCCCCTTCTCCCTTTTTCTTCTCCTCTTCATCCTCATTATTCCTCGGCGCCGGATTCTTAGTAAACAGCGACGAAACAAACTGCCTTGGTCCCGTCTGCTGCTGGTGCTGGTGCTGGTGTCCGTGTCCCGGCTGTTGTGAATGTCCCCCCTCATCAACCCTCTGCCTCTTCACCGGCCGCGTACCGGTAACTTGAATTCGATTCGGATTCCGCACATTCTCATTGTTGTTATTGTTACTGTTGGCGGGTTTGTCGCCCCGCGGATGCGTCGTCCTGTGCGCTGCGATTTTCTTTGCGCTGAGTCGGTCGCGCCATGTTCCGCCTTTGACTTTCTTGGGCTCGTGGTTTAGGACGGTTGTGTCGGGGAGAGTGAAGTTGAGGAGGAGGCCGTCGTCGGCCATTTTGGATGCGTGGAAGGTAGGTGCCTGCCTGCCTGCCTGTATTGTGTTTTGGGGGGAGGAGGTATGGTATGGATGGGATGGGGGAATGCGGGACTGGAAGAAACTTTACTCCAGAGGGAAATTTTCTCGGGCCGGAATGTTTCCGAACCCTTGGTTTTTGCCCTAGTTTCTGTTTTGGGAGGGTTGGGTTGGAGGTTTAAGAGTGGAGGGATTTGGGTAGGTGGGTAGGTAATGAATGTATGACTTTTGGGTACATCTATATATAAATATCTGGTCTAGTAAATTACATCGGGTATATGTGCTTTTTGCTTTTGGGATGAGGTCCGGATCAATGGTGACCCGCCTCTATCTACACCCGCGGCTTGAAGATCAAGTTGTCGATCAAACGTACCGCAACTTGGCCATCGCCTAGGCCACAGTCCTCGCCGGGCTTCGACTCCTCCAGAGGAGCCATCTTAATGGCGCCGCTGAGAATGGCGCCCTTGGCAGGATCAATAACATCCAACTCATCTAGAGTATCCGGGTCAGCGAGCGAGATGTAATCAACCTCGTAGAGGGCTCTCTCCGCCGGGGACAAGGCTTGCTGCTCCGCCAGAATCTTCTGAGCAACACTGTTTGCCGCATCGAGAACCTCAATCCGGTTGACCTTGCCAGCGTTATACGCATCCTCCGCGGCCTTCAAAGCAGTGTAGAGCGCCAATCCCACAGCGCGTCTTCTCGCACCGAGATAGACGTTCCTGGAACTCATCGCCAACCCATCATGCTCACGAACCGTATCCCCAATCTTAATCTCGGTATCGATATAGAAATCCTTGACCAGCCGCTTAATCACAACCGTCTGCTGCACGTCCTTCTGTCCGAAATAAGCCCGATCGGCATGGACAATATTAAACAGCTTCATGCAGACGGTCGCCACGCCGCGGAAGAATACAGGCCGGGATGCACCCTCCAGTTTCCGGGAGAGTGGGGTAATAGTGACGAAGGACCCATCGCCGTCGATTTCAGACGATGGTGGGAGTGTCGGATACATGACCTTGGATGTGGGCGCGAGAATGGCGGTGATGCGACCGTTTTTGCTGTCCTGACTGGCCAGCTCGGTGTTCAATTCCTCCAGCTTGGCGACATCGCTGTCCCAGGTGCGTGGGTAGCTGGAGAGATCCTCCGTCACGCCGAATTGGGTGGGGTTCACGTAGATGCTGACGAAGACGTCGGTGTTTTCGGCAGCGGCTTGGCGGATTAGGGAGAGGTGGCCTTCGTGAAGGGCGCCCATGGTTGGGACGAGACCGACGGTCCGGTTGGAGAGGAGGAGCTGGCGACGCAGCTGGCGGAGCTGGGGGACATCGCGGAAGACTTGGAAGGAGTGTTTTTGGAGGGAGGGGGAGGCCATTGTGGTGGTATTTTTAAGGAGGGAGGTGGCGGCTGTGAGAGAGGTGGTTAGACAAACATTTCAGAGTGGGATGATATAAATATCAGAGCTTTCAGGGGCATACTAGAGAAACGCCGCGTCCAGCCGAACATGATGATGTGGTTTCTAGGAGGTTGGAGGATGCTGTCGTTGTACCGCCGGTACCTCTTTTCAGTCCCGCAGTGGAGCAGGTTGCACTGCATCTCAGACCCAATTAGCCTAGGGGGTGGTGGTTAGGAGAGACGGCGCAGCTGATGGTGTCGAGACGGTGCTCATCGCAATTTATGGCCTTGGCCGTGGACGACATGATGGTCTGACCCTCACGGGGCGTGCTGTCGACTGCAGCGTTGAGTTCATCCCTCAAGCTGCAACTCATGGAATTTCCGCGGTGCTCCCGATCAGGGCTAGCGCGCCGTTGCACGGGGACCCGTTCGACCTCACGTGAGCGGAGGCAGCACGAATCATCCGAGGCATTCTGGGGAAATACCGGGGATCGTCGTGCTTGCGATTCGCTTTGCCTCCCAGGAACCAGGCGCTGGTCGATCATGGAATCGCCTCTCGATGTTTCCCCCCTTATTTGAAGCTCTCCGATTCCGCCTCAGCAGTCAATGATCGTTGGGACCTATAAATATTCTCGAATCCATCCTCCTAAGTGATTACTAGCATTCCGTTTCCCCGCCGAGACAATGCCATCCGACAAGTCTCCGGTCGGCGAGTCCGCCCCGGATCTCGAAATCGTGGGCAACAAAGTCACCATCCACCCAAGCGGAGTTATTGGAGGGCCGGAACCTCAAGATGAACAGATTACCGAGCGCAACCTCGTCCGCCATATGGCGCGATTTCGGGAGAACCCTTTCGACTTCCTGCGGGAAGTGAGCCTCTATATGTCGGGAACCGGGTGGCGCGCCTACGACGATGTGATCGGACAACCGATATTTTACTCAGGGTTTGGGGACCGGATGAAGTCTCGAATCCTAGCGAGTCCTCTTCTACAAGGGAAAGTGAAAGAGCTTGCGGAGGCGCGGTTGGCAGTGGAAGAGAAGGATGGGCTGTTAGATGTGAACCCTGGCCCCTTGGTGGAGAAGAGAATACATCGCCGGAACGAGATAGAGCATAATCTCAAGGAAGTGGTGGATTCGATGCTAGACAACATGATTTGCAAGATGGAGAGTAAGAGGTTTATTAGAGGGGCATATTATCTGTGCACTCAGCTCCTGACGCGCGCTTATCACCAAGGTGGGGGAATTCGAGTGGTCCAGGAGACTTGTTAACAAGGTGCAGGAATCCACGTATCGAGTGAAGAAGTCCTCCGGTTAAGATCCTTTGCGGAAGATGCAGCTGCTAAGAAGCAATCTATTGTCTTCTTGCCCTGTCACAAGTCTCATGTCGACTATGTGTCGCTACAGCTTATCTGCTATCGTCTTGGAATCGGGCTTCCGGTAGTTGTGGCCGGGGAGAACCTGAATATCCCGATGCTCGGGCCTTTTCTACAGCATGCAGGTATGGTCTGATCCGCTCACAGTCTGCTGCCTTGCTGACAGGACTAGGTGCCATGTGGATTCGAAGGAGCTTCGGAAACGACCCGCTATACAATACTGTCGTACAAGCTTATATTGATACGCTCCTACAGCAAGGGTTCAACTTTGAATGCTTCATCGAGGGTGGTCGCTCCAGAACCGGAAAGCTGCTGTCGCCCAAGTTTGGTATTCTCAGCTTCATCCTCGACAGTGTGCTTTCCGGGCGCGTAGAGGACACCATCATATGCCCTGTCAGCACACAATACGACAAGGTCATTGAAACTGAGTATGTGATCGTTGGTGAGAAATTGTGAAGCAATGCTAACAGCCCTAGATCCTACATAAGCGAGCTTCTTGGTCAGCCGAAGAGGAAGGAAAACCTGGCTGATTTCCTATCGTCTTCTTCCGTGCTCTCCTTGAAGCTCGGTCGGGTGGATGTCCGGTTCCACGAGCCATGGAGCTTGAGAGAGTTCATCGCCCAGCAATTAAGTCGCATGCCTGAGCAGATCATCACCAATGGTGGACCGAAACTGAGTTACGCCGACAGAGGTCGGGTGCTACGGTCATTGGGATACAGGGTTTTGTCAGATATCAACGACGTGTCTGTGATGATGCCGACGGCACTTGTTGGTACGGTGCTTCTGACTCTTCGCGGACGAGGCGTCGGGAAAGGCGAATTGGTCCGACGTGTCGAATGGCTGTGTGAGCGTGTTCGAGCGAAAGGCGGACGGGTCGCTCACTTCTACCGCTACCCAACGGACGTCGTCGTTTACCGTGCCCTTGAAGTGTTGGGCCCGCAGATCGTGGGCGAGGTGGACGGACTAGTTGAGCCGACTTTCCTCGCCGTGGATCGCTTCCAACTTTCGTTCTATCGCAACATGACAATCCACCTGTTCATCACCGAAGCGTTGGTGTCTGCAGCAATGTACACGAGAATCAAGCAAGGCGGCGGGCCGTCTTACCAGCGCATGTCCTATCCAGATCTCGTGAACCAAGTTTCATTCCTTTCTCAGGTAAGCATACTCTCTGGTCAGCAGGGTACATCTTATTGACCATTGCAGCTTTTCCGTGGTGAATTCATCTTTCCCCCAGAGGGCTTAACGACCAACCTAGAAAAGACGCTTCGGGGACTCGAGAAAGATGATGTGATTACAGTTAGTCGAGACACCACCGGGCCCCCGCTCTTTGTCGAGCTCAGCGACGCAGAACGACAGTGTGGTCGCGAGAACTACGATTTTTACTGTTTCTTGATCTGGCCATTCATTGAAGCCTCATGGCTCGGCTCAGTATCCCTTCTGGGACTTACTCCGCCCCTGAACGGCGCAGAAGACGTCTGGATCGATCTTAACAAGGCACAAGACAGTGCCCAACTGGTAAGACCAGCAGCCCATTACGATGCAATCGACTAACGAGATAGCTCGGAAAAACTCTCTACCACCAAGGAGACCTCTCCTACTTCGAGGCCGTCAATAAAGAAACGCTCAAAAACTCCTACCAACGCTTCGCGGAGGAAGGCATCATTCAAGTCGCGAAAAGCAAGGAATCAAAAGCCACTACCATGAAATTGGCCGCCGAATGGACGCCTGAGCGGGATCCAATTACTGGAAAACTGGTTCCTCGCGGTCGTCTCTGGAATTTTACCGAACTGATCGCGCAGTCCAGACGTGAGGGGTAAGTGTCCGTCCCTTTCCACATATACACATGGTCTAATTTCTTGCAGAAAAAACCGCCGCGACGGCGCAACCGTCTCGTCGCGAGTTCTACACATGTCGGATGTTGTCGGCAGGAAATTATTCGAAGACGCATCGAGTCGCAGTCCAGCTGAGGAAGTGGATGTCTCGATCCGGCAAATGCGGCGGAAGGCGATTACGCCGAGTTCGAAGCTGTGAAACGTAAGTGGTTTCTGGGCCCCAACAAGACACCTATGGGCCTATGGCGCAATTGGTAGCGCGTAGTAAGTTCCTCTCCATCCGCTAGCGGATCAAATCAGCATCTAACAATTCAATCAGCGACTCCAGATCGTAAGGTTGTCCGATCGAGCCGGGCTGGGCTCATACCCTCTTTTTTGATCTTTTTTTTCCGAGTGCTATTTTTGCAGTCGGGGTTAATGAAGTGAAGTGAAGCGTAGCATTAAATACCCTTTGTATTGTAGTTTATTTGTCCATATCGTCGGTTTATATTGCAATACTCATACTCATCTCTGCCCCGTAGACAGGACTTTCCAACAATAGTTATTTCTTCACAAAATATCCATACCGATTGTTTTCTTCCCCCTAGTTATCCAATTTATTAATCCCACGAAGCTCGCTTTATATGTGAGACATCGATATTAGCTGCAATCACCTGCAGCTTGTTCCTTGCTTGCATGATTCCAAGTCGCTTCGCTTCCCGCAACCCGGTCCCTCTTAATCATGTTTATATCTCACCTTTTCCTCCCACACTCACCAGTAAATCAGGATATTTTCCATATCTCGCATGTGGCCTTATGATATCGTTTGTTGTTCTGCAACTCGTGAATCGGACGCGTCATCAAAGGTAGCCCTGAATGAATTCTCTTCCTCCTTTCTTGCTAAGCGATTCTCTCAGAACATAGCAAACTTGGTCCTCGATCAATCCCAGGATTAATATTTCAACAAATGAATGAAACGGGCATCTAGATCATTCCTCCATACTCAACGTCCCTCCCCAAACACACAAACCTGAGCCCGCGCCCATGTCCACCCAATCTGAGAACCCACAACCTTCTCCAACACACGATCCCTATCTAAACCACCCCGTAATCGGAACCGGCATGACGGGGATAATCCTCCAACTGGGACCAGACCGCGTCGTCAAAAAGCCCAAGAAATACCAGCCCGGACGCCTCGAACTCCGCGAAGACATGGAATACATGAACGAAATTAACCAGCAAATCCTGGAAAATGAGATCCAGATCTTCAAGCGTCTGGGCAATCATAAAGGGTTAATTCCCTGTTTTCAAACATCCCAGTATGGAATTGAGCTGGCCCTTGCGCAAGGGGATCTTGAATCCTATATAGAAACGTATCCAGAGCCTGAGGATTCTTTGAAGGTTACCTGGATATTAAGTCATATTGATACCTTTGTATATGTCCATTCTTGTAAGGTGTTTGTGGATGATATTGCCTTAAGGAATACCTTGATCTTGGGTAAAGAGGTTAAGCTGGCGGATTTCGGACAGTCGGTTTTGTTATCTCTTGATGTTGATGTTACTTCTGTGAAGGAGAATGGGTTGGATGTTAGGATTGAGATTCTTCATCTTGGTTGGATACTTTATTCGGTTTCGTCGTGGCAGGTTCATAATTATTATTTCTTCGGACCTGAGAATCATGATCTTTGTTGGCCGGAACGGGGCTCGTTTCCGGATGTTGATGGGGTTCTATGTGGAGAGATAATCGGGAAGTGTTGGAGGGGCGAGTATGTGAAGTATGGAGAGTGTTAAGTATGATGCTTACCGCTTTCTTACTAGTCTTGCTTTATGAGGTGGGAGATTTCTCACTTTCTCCTGCCTACGGAGACCAGCCCTCCTTGTTTAGTGTTATATTTATATGGAGTATTATACCCGGCTTTATGTCAGCCCAGCTCCCAGCTACCGCTGTGCTTAACTTTATATTAGACTTCCAATCCCACTTGCAAGTGACCCGGATCCAACAGGCCAATCATGACCCATCACAAGTACATTATCACAAACCAACAACCAAATACCATATGAGGAGAAATCACCCCCAAGCCCCCAGCCACTTCCCCTCCCCATCCACCTCCATCATAAACATAATCTCCACCGTCTTCACCTCCTCATCTCCCAACGCCAAGTCGGCAACAAACCTCGCCGCAATCTTATCCCCGTCCTGGGCAAAAAACAACAAAGAACTTCCCCATTTCTTGCATTTCGTCCGTAGAAAGGTGACTTTTTCCACTGCGCGCTCGAAATCAGTTCAATCACCGCCGCCGTGGAATCGGACCTAGTTGGGGTTGAGGACGCCGGTCACGTATGTGCGGGCTTTGGAGGGTGGGCCGAGGAAGATCCCGTCGAAGAGGGATTTGAATTAGGAGGGGGTGAGTTTCGGGGGTGTGCTAATTTCTGTAGGTATGTAGAGTGATCGGTATGAGCTTATGAGCAGGTTTGGGATTATTGGATCCAAGAAAGGGGGGTTCAAAGAAACGGCGATATGTCTTATTCTCTGTTAGATCCTGGGTGAGTTCTAAGTTAGGGTTTAGGAATCCCGGTTTAGGCGTCCCGGAACATAGAGGGGGTGACCGGTTAGGTTCAGTCGCGGAGACAGGCTTGCGTCATCGGATCTGATAATGGATCTGTCAGCTGGTGTTTGGTGAGGTATATATGGAGGTGATTTCCGACCTGGGTCGATTGCTTTCGTAAGATTCTGTATGATAGGTTTCAGAGCCAAAGTCGACATGTCTGCGTCGGAATATGTCTTTTCTCGGGATTATCTCGATAATAATCGGTACTATTCAGCAGATCATCACGCTGAAGGCCTCTGTCAAGGCTAATTGATATAGTATAAATCTTCAGCATTACCTCTGGGCTGAGCTGTTTGGTTATCTCCTCCATCCAGATATCCCGTTGACGAAGCCGGATCTGAAGATTGCTGATGTAGCTACCGGAACCGGGTAGGGACGCCTGTTATCTACACCTTGAGTTGTCCATGATACTGAATGTAGTAGAATTCTTCTCACGGATCTCAGTCGTCGTCTTCCTCCGACTGTACAACTGGATGCATTCGATATCTCATTCGACGCCATGCCTCCGCGGGAACTCCTTCCGCCAAATATCACTATGCATAAATGGGACGTTAAAACAGACATCCCTAAGGAATTCGAGGGTATCTACGATGTAGTGAATGTTCGACAGCTTGTTTTCGTTCTGCTGGATCATGAGGTTGAACCTGCGTTAAGGAATATGTTTAAAATGCTGAGTATGATGCGCTTGTTTGAGCGGATGTTGAAGCAAATCTAACCAAATCTAATAATAGGACCGGGAGGCTACCTCCAATGGGCAGACGTCGACGTTCACTCGATGCAAGTAAAAAATTCCAACAAAGGCAGCAGCACCACTGCGCTTGAGAAAATTGTGAAGATGACCCAGTCTGCGGACCCTAGACTTGTCGCGCATTGGATCCCGGAGCTCCCGACGTTATTTGAGAAGAGCGGTTTCATGGATATCAAGGCTGATAAGAGGAATGCACCGGGATACATGGGGTATACTCTCCATGAGTGTGTCTTGATGGTGCATGGGATGCTTTTGCAGAATACGAAGAGTGATGAAATTGCAAGGAGATTGAGGGAGCCGTTTTCTGAGGCCTTGAAGGAAACGTATGATGGGGCTTATACTGATTGGACTCGGTGGACGGTGGTTGGAAGGAAGGGGGGAAATGGATTTGTCGGGTTCAGTATGGTACCAATATGACGCGAAAGAAGCTGAATGATTCCAGGCCTAATGACATATTCAGTACATTTTTGCTTGGGATCATATGAGAAGAAAATATAATGTCTGATATATATCATCTTACCCCATTGTGTGCATGACCTTGCTTAGGATCCAAACCGACTAGAGTATTCCCAGAATATTCGTTAAATCACCCGGACAATAGAATAAGATTTCTGATGCGTGGAATCCATGTCGAGTAAGGTAGAAGAAATTCCCTGCGAGAATCCGGATAAACCTGCTGTCGCAATTAATCAGCGCATCGGACATTATGATAGTCACGCGCACACGCGAACCTGGCTCTCGTGGCTCGCTAGAGTAAACCAGTCGACGTATTATAGCTTGAAAGAATGTTCCTAACAAGCTCCGATACATCTCACCGATCTGAATGCCAAATGCGGAAGTTAGCGAGCAGATCTCGGAACCTCGTATTGAGCAAATATACGGCTGCACGGACCTCGTAAGGCGCGCCGGGGCGTATCTAGCTTGCTTAACTATTGCCGATATTTTCATCTGTTGTTGTGAGTGCTTGGCTCGTATAATCTAGTTTATGGCGTTTTCTATGAAAGGAAAGCAGTACGGAGAGGAGAAATTCTATCCAATCCTTCATCAAGGATGGCGTGTGTGGAACGATCGCAATGGCGTTACTGGAGCCCGAAGCCTTCGAAGCCTTCCCAACGATTGCCTGCCTCATGGCGGCGTAGCAGATGATTCTTTGTGGCTAGCTTTGTGTGTGTTGGGCCATCGCGAAAAGACAGTGCGAAGGCGAATATAAAAGGGCAAGTTTCCATTGCGAATCTCCTCAACATCCTCACAACTCACTGCAATCATTCAAATCCACATATCATTAGATCTTGCAATGGCCCTACAACACCAGAATTTGGAGAGCCTTGGCTCCACCATCTCAGGCCTCTCAAAGTCTCTCGCTGATCAGCTCAAATATTTGAACCAGCCAGAGCCATCCTTCGCAGCTGACGGTCCAGCGGCGTTGCCCTCCACCATCGAGGTTCAAGGCATTCGGATGAAGCTCTTGGAGGCCTTGGAAGGTCTGCATCACCTCGTCACCGGTCCAAGCGACTTCTGGTTCCAAGAGAGCATGTTTGTATGTTTGGACCTTAGATAATACTCCAGTCTTCTAAAAAGGTTGCTAACCCAAAGAAGTTGAATCATGAGCTCCTTACTTTTGACGTATTCAACAACTTCAATTTCTGGGATGCAGTTCCTCTCAATGATTCAGCCAGATATGCGGACATCGCCAAGTCAACCAATCTGCCGGAGCAGATCGTGCGGCGCTTTCTGAGGCTAGCATTCGGTATTCATGTCTTTGCTGAAGAAGCATCAGGCTCAGATCGTGTCGTGCATACAGCGGCATCCGCGCACATCGCGCGCTCCCCATTTGTGCGGTCGTTTGTTTCACACAACATGGAGGATGTCCGGCCGGCCGCCACAGTCGGCGTCGAAGCCTTGAGAAAGTGGTTCGTTGGCCACGCTGAGCCTCCCGAGGATGTTGCAACCTGCGCAGTGCCGCTGGCAACAGACAATGGCCTGCAGCGTGGTACGGATCTATGGGAATACCTAGAGACCTTTGAGCGACCTGATCAACCGAAAGGCTTCCGAGCCGAGCGGTTTGCTCAGGCGATGCAGGGGCTTCGAGAAACAAGTGGAACAATGACGGAGATGGTACTGAAGGACGATTCGACTGGGAGAGCTTGAACGAGGCAACCGTTGTCGATGTAAGTCAACATCCGAAGGAAGTGAGGTGCCATACTGACTAGGACCAGCTCGGTGGCTCTGCTGGGCATATCAGCGTCATTCTTGCAGAGAACTATCCCAAGTTGAAGCTTGTAGTGCAGGACCTCGCCGCCGCCAAGTCCGCCTTCGATGCGAATATCAAAACTTCTATGTATGAAACGCGTATTCAATTTCAGACACATGACTTCTTCCAGCAGCAGGACGTCCCAGCGGATGTCTTTTTGCTGAAGTCGGTCTTGCATGACTGGTCCGACAAATATGTTTTGCAGATTGTCCGGAACCTGCTCGGCGTTCTCCAGCCGGGAAATCATCTGCTCGTCTTTGATTTCGTGGTGCCAGCGGAATGCGACGGGGAAAACCAGTCAACGATGCCATTACCGGTGAAGAAATCTATTGCGGCCATGGACCTGCAGATGCATGTTGCTTGTAACTCCAAAGAGCGACGAGTGGAAGACTGGGCGGAGGTAATTCAACGAGCTGATACCCGGTTCAAATTGAGAGGGGCTCACCTTCCTTCTGGATCTCCTTTAGGGATCCTAGACTTTGTGTTCCAGGGATAGTTCACTATACAGATATTTTTACCTTGCAATGCGATCCATTTCACTGTGTGCTTCAATGTAGCACCCTGGTGGCCACGTGGCCAAGCGTGTCAGGCTCGTAGAGGCTTGATCAGTCTTTCCGGTTGGCCCCGATGGGACGCCTGATCTCACCCACGAGACGGGGGGCTTGAAGATGAGTCAGTTTGCTTTTGGAGCTTTCTTTGAATATCTGCCAAGTCGCAACCAACTGCTCTACGTTCCCTATGCGGAACATCTTCCGAGCATTATCTAAAATTCAGCTCCCTCGTCCCTTGGCTAAGCGTGCGACCATAAACCACATAATGTCGGGTTCTGGGTCTCATCATGTTTTAAGCTTGAGTGAACCGACCTTATCAAAGGCTTCGCCAGAGAACGCGAGTGAGAAGAGCCACTGGGTGAGAGACGCAGACGGGCAGGTGAAAGGTTTTGCAAATCCATGGGATAGTTCGCATGACTTTTCCTTCCCCGAAATTTTCAAGAGCATGATCCAGTGTGTGCTTTCTGGACCCTTGCGATTCTCACAGCGTTCAGATGACTGACACGGTCTGTCAGACACAAGTTCTTCTCTAAGAATAGCCAACGACCTGATACCACTGCATCAACGGTCTCCGTCATCGAACCAAAGTTCCTCCCAACGAGGGAAAAATCACACGTCCTGCGTGCAACATGGTTGGGGCATGCCTGTTACTTCGTGGAATTTCCCACAGGCCTACGGGTTCTCTTTGATCCCGTATTCGAAGACCGCTGCTCTCCGGTATCATGGCTAGGTCACAGGAGATTTACACCCAGACCTTGCGATATCTCTGAAATCCCCTTCATTGATTGTGTAAGTTGTTCTGTTGGCCTTCTCTTTCAGCGATAACTGATCAATGGAAGGTTATCATAAGCCACTCTCATTACGATCATCTTTCAAACCCCACCATTCTTGACATTTATAGACAACACCCCTCGGCTCTATTCTGTGTCCCAAAGGGTCTCAAGAAATGGTTCGCAGACTGCGGTATCAAGAACACCGTTGAGCTCGATTGGTGGGAGGACGTTAACCTCACCCTGCACAAGTCAACCGACGAAAGGCGTTCTGATGCCTCCACCCTACGCCCCTCAGATGACGATATCACGGCGACAATATCATGTCTCCCCTGTCAACATACGTCCGCACGGACTCCTTTCGATAAAGCAACCACGCTCTGGGCCTCTTGGGCCGTCTCCTCGGGTGGCAAGTCCGTGTACTTTGCGGGTGACACGGGTTATCGTACAGTCCCATACTTGCCTCCCGATATTGATGACTGGGGATCCGAGTTTGTACATCTACCAGTCTGTCCTGCGTTCAAAGAGATTGGCAAATTCCGAGGACCCTTTGATCTTGGGCTCATCCCGATAGGGGCGTACAAGCCACGACATGTTTTGAGTACCGTTCACTCAAACCCGTATGATTCTGTGGAGATCTTCAAGGATACGAAATGTCGGAAAGCCATTGGGGTCCATTGGGGGACCTGGGCCGTGGCGGAAGAGAATGTGATGGAACCACCGGAATTATTGAGGAAAGCGCTAGCGAAGAGCGGACTTCCTGAGACGGGTGTATTTGATGTGTGTGATATTGGCGAGAGTAGGGAGTTTTGAGAATTGAGCGGATGGTGTGCGTGTGTTTGGATCTGTCGGATTGAATGCGAAGTCGTAGTTTCTTATTTCATCCTGGATGTTCTGAGAAGGTGTGACAAGCCACACTACACTGAACCTTATCCTGTGTAGATCCTCAGCGGGAATAATCTGTTTGCGGTAAATGCAGATTTGTTTCCATCGTGTGTCGACCGTTATTTGCGCGGGGGTGAGGCGGGTCTCATAAGGTGGTGACAAGGCTACGATGCCTAGTGGTGGAGCATGAGAATGGTGATGGAAGAATAGAAGCGTGGGTTGCAGGAATCCGAGAGAATTGGGGGAATCTGCCCCCGAGCGCCGATGCTAAAACAATATTTGCCCACAAGTCAGGTGACTCCATGGCTTGTTGGGTGGCAGTGTGAATCGTCGAGCTGATGAACTAAAATCACCTAAAACTAGGTCCGATATGATTGGATAAAGATGGGCCATATCTGTACAATGAACCCCAGCTATTCCGTATTAACTCTCAAAATAATGCAATGGCGAGATAGAAAGGAATACAGATGGTCAACAAAAAGCCTATATCAAGAGGGGCATGCAGCATCCGCGCCAGTCTATATTGAAACCGAGTTTCAATATCAACTGTCTAATTGAAATGCGTGGAACCTGATTCCTCACAAATATTCGACCAAGGGAATGGAGATGATTAACCTTAATGCCACTTTGTGGGGAGCAAAGTCCTGACGTCAGTCCGGAGCGGTCCAAGCGGCTCCCCCAAACGGCATCCCCTCGTGTTTCCCACTTTTTGACCATCACCAGCACCCCTTGCCTACATATCCTACTGTCTATTCACACTGACACCCTGACCACAGAAACAGCATATACGAGTCTCAATAACTATCATGCCCAAAATGTGGCGAAATACCAAACTCCTCAACACGCCATCCCAGGCAGCTCTCCGAACCATCCAAACAAGCTCCGGACGGTCGCTGCTAACCTCCTCCACCCAGTACCGTCCCCTCGCAACCTCCCAAATAACCCACAAAGAAAGACATCAGGAATCAGACCTAGACCGACATCTCCTCCGCCCCGAGCACATGGAAAACTCCAAGTCCGGCACCGATGACGAAGCCGCTCATCACTGGTCCTCCTACGATCCGACCATCACCGATCCCGACCTGGAGGTCTTGGCCTGCGAGGAAGAATGCGAGCTGGACGGGGACTTGGATGATCCTCTATACATTAGTCCGGGGAACCGGGAAATCAGTCGCTTGCTTGAGCCGATGGTTGGAGGGGCGGTACATAATGATGTGAGACCTGGCCCGAGTGGGAGGGGCTGGACGAGGAAGCATCGCGAGGTGCATATTAAGAAAATCCCCGGCAGTCAGTTTGAGAGGTATGATAGGATACTGCAAGAGTTGAGGAAGACGGAGAAGCGGTGAGTTGAAGGCTGTGATGGATATTTGGTGTGATCATGTTGATACTCGTCTAGGGTTACGAAATGAGGCTGGGGGACTGCTTCTGCGACTGAAGCTTGATGCAGTCGGAAGCTGATGCGAGAGCCGCTCTGGAATATGGGCTTAGCACAGATTGTGTATTGTTGCAGGTGAGTTGTTGATTGGCATGATTGTATAGCATCGGGTTCGACTGCTGCTGGAAGAGAGATCGTTGCCGTGCATGGGATTGCTACCAGACTGGACCACATTTCGGCGTATTATTGGACATGAGATAAAGCCAGAAAGTTCAAAATGAATATTGAGGAAATAAAACATTCGAGTCAATATATTCCCGACATTACCCCGACCTACATTTCTCTGATACCAAGTGCCTATTTAGTACCGACTACTTTGTCGGGATTAAATGCTTTTTACAACGCTGTACTTATAAAACGCATATCTCAAGCATAATACATGAAAGAAAATGTCCATAAGGTAGTTATGACATCCAAATCAATTTGAGATCTAGAACAGGACCCACTACAAACACTAGATTCCCCAAATACTATGTAACCGTCAAGACAATGCCAAGGTCACAGTCCCACCACAACCCCATTGCCAACAATGCCTTTTTTATATGCCCTCTACATAGTATATGACCAGCTTCTCAAACAAGACATCACCTTGTAAATCCTGTATCAACCACCGCAATACCTTGAAAAATAAATTAAAGATAGATTAATCCCACCCGCTAGCGCAGTCGCCACGGGATCTTCGATCATGACGTCAATCCGCATGGCCCGACAGAACAACAATCAACACGAGGAATAGAGTTTTAGACCACGAGGTGATGGGTCTGCTGTCTGCAGTTTGATAAATCCGAGTTATTGTTGTAGGGGTATTCCTGGATCTGTGGCGTCGATATGACGGATCTACTATGTATGATCAGATGGAAATGAAAGTATCGCCAGAACGAGAACACTCGACCAAACGAGCATGAGTTGTGAATTTACCCGACAGAAAGTTATTTGCAGAGTACAAGATAAACCAAAGCCAATGAGGTATAGCATAGTAACAGAATTAGAATATGACAGAAACTTCAAGACTGAAGCAAAAGAGATATTCACAGGTCACTGGAGTGACATAGAAGCTGGATAGGTCCAAGAAAAATGTAGGGTTGGAATGCAGATGGCACACAGTATGCCGAGATAGAGATAGAACATTAAAGTTCAACACCTGGAGACAGGCAGATCAAAATCCTCGATCTGTACACTTCCTGGGCTGGATGAAGATCACCTGCTTCTTCTGCGGTTGTTCCCCAGAGGGTTGTAATGTACACCTTGGATGTGTTTATGTTGATTGGTGTTCTCAGGAGAAGCCCTCTAGGCATTTTCCCTCAGTTCTCGGGCCTCGTGGTTCCATACGCCTTCTCGGTCTTGAGGTTACGGTTCTGGTATGGATAGTCCATCGTCGGATACTCGTATAGTATCTGGTTCGCGGAATGGACCTCTTGTAGTTGTGGTATATCTTTGGCCGTGTCAGGTCTTTTGATCGATGTTTGGACTGTCCCGGTGTTCATCATATTCTGGATTGGACAAATCGGGGATCTAGGCACATGAACTGGGATGAGAGCCGGTGCATTCTGGAGATGGTTTTCGACATCGGTGTGTAGAATAGGTTCATGGATATATGGTGGTTCTTACTGAACCAATAGAATCTTGAACAGGTCGAACCTGATAGGCCTACTCACGGATTGTTAGGGAAGTAACCAAGCTGTAGGGGGGCAAAGACGGTGAAATGACATGGATTAGGTTCTGGAAAAGGCATGGAGGAGGGGTGATATCAAAGAGGTCGAAACGCTTTCAGAGACAAGTTTGAAAGTATGGAAATACAAGCATGAAGGAAAAAGAGATACGAAAAGGAATTTGCATTGGGTTCCTCGGTTGCATCGCCGAGAGAGAGGAAGCTTTGCATTTGATACTCACCGATGGTTTGCTCGGTTATTTGGGATTGTATCTGCCCGCTTTCTATCCTTCAATCAACCAGAAAGTCCTATAATGAAGATTTTGGATAACAGTTTATCAAGAGATCGTGAGAGACATGTCCCAGGACTTCTTGGAAGAAGCAGGTGTGATTCGATTTTAATAACTGGTCCATAATTCATCTTGGGTCCAGTGAATGCTCTGATTACACAGTGAAAGGATAAAGAACCAAGATAAATGACAATCCTTCTGTATACCAGCGCTATGTACATTTTGCTGTATTCTCATCAAACTGTCTCATTGTATCATCAAGGCGAGCACCAGCACGTTTCAAGATTAAGGAATTGAGTTCAAGGTTCATCTGAGGGGACACTGATGTAGCTGCAGGATGGCCATGAATGGCTGTTATAAAGCTGATAATATTCACTCTTAGTGATATAAGTCACTGATCTGGCCGATAACATGCACTGGTAATAGCATGAGTATCACGTGCTGAAGTAGGAAACTGCCCATTTAAGTTCCCTGGGTGATCATCTGTTCTTAGTGCCACCTAAATATTTGTTCCCCCATCATATTTTTCAGTCTGTTCCCTGGTCCATCGTTCACCATGCCATCTCTGGAGCTAAGACTTGAAGACTGGGACCCTTATAAATACTCTATCAAAGACTTCGCTGATGAACTTTCAGCAAAAGGTGATGACAATGCTGAGTACCAATATGCAGGCAGTACTGACTTCCACCGTACAACAGTCTTCCATATTCTGAATGACTATCTCCAACCAGACACAGAAATGCCCCTCTTTTCAGCGGTAAAATCAATCCTCGATATTCTTCCAGGCGCCCCTTTGTCAGACGAGATTTACGTGGTCGGCGAAATCGTTCTAGAACTGGCAAAACAAATACCCTACCATCATCCATCACAGGCGAAGCTCGCGCGTGTTATGGAAGGGTTGACAAATTCACCCAAGTTCACCACTGGACCATATTCCAGTGTATGTATACTATAAATACAGCCCTAGATGATGATAAGCTCCGGTGCCTAACCAATGCATAGGGCCAATCTATGCGCGGTCAGCGATTCAGAGAGTCTATTCGGGAGGCTTATAATGGTTCATTAACACACCTACTCACCTACCCCTTGTATCACAGAATACTGACAGAGTGTACTGTAGGTCCCAGCGCCGAGTACCCACAAGTTTGGCCAAATCTCATGGCTTTCTATGCTCACATATCATCAATGCATGTCCTCGGTCATGATCCAACTTACGCCATCTGGACCATGCGGGGTGCATTCGAAGAGCGACCTGTACCTTGGGACCCTCCTTTTGAAGGCGAGCGGGATCAGCGCATTATTGCGGCTGCACAGTACATTCTCTGGGATGGGTTGGAATTGTTCAAGGAGGTTGTCTCCCCTGGAACCATTGAGGAAAGGCCTAGTTGGATGCCTGGTTTATTGTGCTTTAGTGAGCACCGACTTTCTCTACGGAGGTGGCATTTCTGGAAGAAGGGGTTTGAAAAGTCTAGAGAGGAAGGCAATGGGCTGAGTGAGGAGTGTAGGAAGGTGGCAGGAAAGGCGGCGGCATTGATGGAGACGATTGAGGAGGGTTTGTCATTCTAGATTGTGGGTGACTTCTGATGAGAAGTTAATTCGCCAATGGAGAAATATTTGAGGCCAAGGCCTGATACAGATGGTCTTGGCAGCCTAGCCAGAGGTTGTGTGAACAGTACGCTATAACGACCATCGGGCAAGGTGGGTATACCTCATTTCCGGACTGTGTAGGGGCACCGACTGCATACAAGTAAGCGTCCCAATGCGGGTTTTCTTCCCATATCGTCCATCCCAGAAGAAAAATAATTAACAAAATAATGAAAAAGAGAAGCACGCATGCAAGCCACAGCGTCAATCGCAATCTCCGCCCACCCTCAGGGCTGAAGTTGGCCCGTCCACAGATGAGATCATTCCCCACATCCATGACACGAATCGGAGGATATCCCGCCCACACAATGCCATCATGGCTGACTCGGAGAATACCTACCGACGACGCCTATTGGCCGTGAGTCCGCCAGCCGTTGCATGTCAGACTTATCGACTGCCGCCGTGGGGAGGCAGCGTCTTTGTCAGTGCTGGGTTGTACGGGATGACGTTATCGGGCAGCGCAGCCGCGTGTCGGCGTTCCGTGGTTGACAGCTTCGGCTTGCGGGTTTGATATCCTGTTTTCTGTACCATTCTGATACTTGTGATGGTTTGGGCGATAATTTGAATTGATGTGGTGCTGTATGCTTCCTCCAGACACGAATGTTGGGATATCGCTATGCTTGTATGTAAATCTTGGAGAGGATCGGGAAAGGCTGGCAGCGCCGAGAGGTATTCTGCCTGATAAATCTGGCATCAAGGCACCATCAGGTGGCTGTCTCGGCCTCGAACAAGAATAGAATCCTCCTCAACCTCGCCGACTGCCGATCCATGCACTTCTGACGCAACAATGACCCGATCCCTCGCGCTAGTTGCATGGCGGGGCAACTTTCATTGACTTTGTCTTTGCTATGGTCTTTGTGTTCGATTCTAGAATCCGTTCATCTGATGGGCTGATCCTCGATACCATCGGTCTGCATGCAGCGATGATGTGATAGGATCTCATGGCATGGAGGCCCTGCATGCATCGGGCCTCTAGGGAGGGATGATAACACCCCAGACAATATGCAGATGCCATGACGTAGGTGGGTTTCCCTCCATAGCAGGGGCATTTAAGCCGTCCTGGAGCTTTGCGCTCGAGGTCGAGTTCTGGTTGATAACTTATTTCTACACTTTTCTTGACACATTATCTGTTACTCACGAGATTTTCCACATTTAGTATTTCACGCTACTTCTACTGTATCATAATTCCTTACGAGTTACTTGTTTGTACACCTACGATTCACGAGCTACGACAATCAGCGAAGCTATCTTCACCATTACCTAGCCTTACAAGATAGGAGCCTTCTTAAGCTCTTTTCCAAGCCCTTTCACATCCAATCAATCAACACCAGCAGACACCCCTACCATGGCCTCTCCCTTTGCGAGCAAAGTCTCCAAACTCAATCTCAGCCCCGACTCCAAGCGTGGCACTCCCCCCAAGCTCCGCCAGCAAACCCCCGCGAAGAAAACCCCTCCGAAGCTCCGCTCCCAGGAAACTGTCTCTCAAGCAGAAGAACCGAGCGCTCCATCCACCCCCACACCCAAGGGTAAGGTCACCCAGCTACAGTCTGAACAGCGCGCCTCTCCGTCTCCGGTCCCAGAAGATGTTCAGTCTCAGGCATCTGGCTCTGCAAGCCAGGCTCAACGGCCGGCTTCCGAACTCGGGGAGAAGGCCCAAGACACTGCTCAGAGTGTGACTGGAGAACAAGATGTTGGCCCGATTGACTTGTCCGTCCTGAAGGGACTGCAAGTCGGTGAAGACGGTCTCATCCATGACCAGGATGGAAACGCAATTGGACGGCTCGTGGAAGGTCAGGCAGAACATCTGGCAGGATACTCCGTCGGTGACAACGGAGAGATCCTGGATGAGGAGGGTGATCTCGTCGGAGTCGTCGATGTCCTTCCTGATGCCTTTCAGAATACCCTCGGGAACACCCAGGAGGAGGCTCAAGAGACTACCGGTCGAGCCACAAAGACTATAACCGATATTGCGGAGCTTGCCGACCGCCCTCTGTCAGAATCTGGAGAGATCAAGGACGACGATGGCAACACCATTGGAAAGCTTGTCGAGGGAAACCCCGAGGACCTGGCTGGATATGCTGCCAATGAAGAAGGAGATATCCTCGACGACGATGGAGATCTTATCGGCCGGGTAGAGATTGCTCCCGAGGCTCAGGAGTCCCCCGAATCCCAGGAAGCCCCCGATGCCCAGGAGGCCCCCGATGCCCAGGAGGCCCCCGATGCCCAGGAGGCCGAGGAGGCCCCTGAAGGTAAGGTACCTGAGAGTGTAGCCGAGGAGAGCGTAGCCGAGACAAAACCCATCAGCGATATTGCAGCTCTGGCCGAACGTCCCTTGTCGGCTTCTGGTGCGATTAAAGACGACCAAGGCAAACGGATCGGGAAGCTAATCGAAGGCAATCCTGAAGACCTGGCCGGCTATGCCCCAAACAAAGAGGGTGAGATCCTGGATGACGATGGCGATCTCATCGGTCGAGTCGAGATTGCCTCCCAAGCTCGCCAAGGTGCTACCAGCGCTTCCAGCTCCCGGAGACCTCCTAGCAAACTCAGCCGTGAGGCTGTTGAAGATGGAGAGCAGAGAGATACTGCTTCTCTTGATGAAGCTAAGGAGTCTGCCAAGCAATCCACGGAGTCTGCTGATACTTTTGAAGATGCACCTGAGGACGTTCCTGAGAACGCTGCAAAGGATGCCGCCGAGGACGTTCCTGAGGACGCTGCAGATGGCGTTACTGAGGACGCTGCAAAGGACGCTTCTGAGGATGTCCCTGATGGCGAGGACGCTGCAGAGGACGCCGCTGAAGAATCGGGGGACGATCTTCCTCCCCTTTCTATTCTCGAAGGCCTCAAATGCAACAAGCTTGGGAAGATTGTCGATCGTCAAACCGGTAAGCCTATCGGTGAACTAATCGAAGGGGATGCGAAGAAGATCTCTAGGTTCGGCGCCCAGCTTGATGACAAGGGCCAGTTCTGGGACAACCGCGGAAACGTTATCGGAAAGGTCAAGACGCTCCCTGTTGAAGAGCACCCCGACGAACCACCCTTCGGCGGCTTGGAGGGCCTCCACGTCGTTGAAGACGGGTGGGTCGAGGACCAAAACGGTAAACGCGTTGGCAAGATTAGCGACGGCGATCCAAAGAAGGTCCTGGGTCGCGCCGTTGACGAGGACGGTGATGTCTTGGACAAGAACGGCAACACCATCGCCAAGGCCGAATACTATGAGGCTGTGGAGGAGCCCGAACCCGAGCCCGAAGCACCTGATCTCTCTAGCCTGGAGGGTCTCACCCCCAACAAGCTTGGATATGTCATTGGACCCAAGGGCGTCCCGATTGGCCGTGTCGTGGAGGGCAAGGTGAAGGAGCTCGCCGGCAAGGAGATCCACGATGGCCAAATCTATGATGGCCCTAAGCCCATCGGACGGGTGGAGCTCATCCCCCAGAACGAGCAGGAAAAGTCAGCCGAAGGCCCTTTTGCTGGTCTGGACAACCTTGTCGTCAACAAAGAGGGTCTCGTCGAAGATGATGACGGCAACGTCGTTGGTAAGGTTGTCGAAGGCGACATCAAGACCTTGCGCGGCCGCGCCGTCGATGAGGATGGAGAGATCATCGACAAGTACGGCAACGTCAAGGGCCGTGCTGAGCCATACGAAGTAGAAGTGCCGGAGGAAGAGGCACCAGACCTGTCCATCCTGGAAGGCAAGACTGTCAATAAAGCCGGTAACGTGGTGGATGCTCAGGGAAATGTTTTCGGACGGATTACCTCAGGCGACAAGCGTCTTGCTGGTCGAAAGGTCGATGGCAAGGGCCAGATCTGGGGTGATGACGGCAAGGTAATTGGCACGGCTGAACTTATCCCAGGAGCCGAGCAGCAGAAGCCCGAGGGTGCTTTCTACGGATTTGAGAATGCCGTTGTTGGCAAGGGCGGTGTTGTCACTGATAGCTCAGGCCAGATCATCGGCCGAGTCATCGAAGGTGACGCACAGCGCCTCCAGGGCCGCCCGGTCGACGAAGACGGTGACATTTTGGACAAGAACGGCAACACCATCGGTCGCGCTGAGCGCTGGCAGCCCGAGGAGAAGGAGCGCAACGTTAACCCAATGTCGGGACGCAAGGTCAACCGCGAGGGTGAGGTGCGCGATGCTGATGGTAACCTCATTGGCAAGTTGACCTCGGGCAATCTCCCCTCCTTGATCGGCAAGGACATCGATGACAACGGTTATGTGGTGGACAATGACGGCAACAAGATTGGCGAATGCACCCTGATCGAGAACATTCCTGAACCAGAGCCAGAGGAGCCCGAGCCCGAGCCCGAGCCCGAGCCGGAAGAGCCGGGGCCCTCCCCTGAGGAGCTGGAGGCTCAGAAGAAGCTAGAAGACGACAGGCAGTTGGCGAAGAAGATGAGTGCTATTATAGGACAGACGTTGGAGCGTCTTCGTCCCATCTGCAAGATGATTTCAGAGGTACGTTGTCCCACTCGTCACCATGACACTGCTAATCCGTTATTAGCATATCGAGAAGGCGGAACGCACGCCCAAGGATGAGTTGGATGAGGAGCAATTGGTCAAGGATGTGAAGCCGTTGCTCGAAGAGGGCAACGGAATCCTCCAGGAGTGCAATGGTGCCATCCGCTCCCTTGACCCCGACGGTCATATTGCTGCCACAGCCAAGGCCCGTGCTGCGTCTCACGAGGCATCACCGGAAGAATATGCATTGGCTGAACAACTCAAGGAGTTGACCAATCTGGTGCTCACTACCATCGACAACGCCAAGAAGAAGATCGCCGGCATGCCCCATGCAAAGAAGCAGCTGAACCCTCTGTGGGCGCTCCTTAGCGAGCCTCTCGGTCAGATTATCACTGCAGTTGGATTGCTGCTGACTGGTGTGCTCGGGCTGGTTGGCCGCTTGCTGCAAGGCCTTGGTCTGGGACCTCTGGTGAATGGATTGTTGGGTGGACTGGGACTGGACAAGTTGCTCGGCAGTTTGGGATTGGGTTCGTTGACCGATGCACTGGGCTTGACTGGAAAGAAGAAATGATTGGCTGGAAGCGGTTGTGATTATTTCGTGATTCAATTTTTTTCGTCGAAATTGACTAATAATCCCTAGCCTGTTTAACTAGTTAATTTGAGGGTTCATTTAATAAGGTCATTGCCAAACTCCATTCATCATCCGAAGTCATTCCCGCAATCCGGACTCGGACCCTATTTAAATTCTTCCAGCCGCCACGATGATCTCTTCTCTATCTTTCCTCCAGCTACAATTAAATATTATTCTTTTAAAGCTCTATCAATTGGCCGGATGGTGTAGTTGGTTATCACGTATCGTTAACACCGATAAGGTCCTGGGATCGAGCCCCAGTCTGGTCATTACTTTTTGTTTTTGATTCACGCTCTTCTTACCCTTCGCAACTCTCATATTCTGACAGTCGCGCTCGTCAAAGCCAAGGCATTGAGGCTGTCTGGAAAAAGAATGGGGTGTAATTAAGAATACCTTGCCCTTGTCAAATCCCGCAATATCATGACCAGATATGAGAAGCCCAGACCGAGTATCACAGACAACAAAGATAAGACTTAACATCTTAGCGAGACTCTGTTAATTGCGTGATATATTCAGCACCACGGAAAAACGGAGACCCAACCTATTATTATACAGAGGAGTGCTCAAGTCAGCGAAGTCGTTTAATCACCGAGCCAATGTGGTCTGTTGAAACCGCGGATAAGTATATTGTCCCCCATCCAGGTATTTTGAGTAAGGGATTGACATTCTCATAGGAGGGGTTTTTATTCAAATATTTCGAAAAAAAATATTTCTCTACTCCGGTATCTGCATCGAATGACGATATTTGTACTCAGAGTGGATGTGAGTTAAACAACCTTATCGGTAGAGGTTCCTATATGCTTGATACTCTTAAATCTATCCAATCATACTTCAAGGCCAATCATGGTCCTACGTTGTAACGTGATGAAGAATTCTTCAGACGATCTTCAAACAAATGAATGAATTACTACAATCCAATAGAATACAACTGCTGTTTTCTGAGCCAGGGAACCCCAGATAACGTCGAAGCAGTCATACTACAATTCCAGGACTGGCTACAGCGGCAGGAACTTTAAGGCAGGAACTTCCTCGAAATCATCGCCTACTTCAAGTTCTGGCCGCAAGCAGAAGATTGGCTTTCCTGGTCGACCAATATAGATCAACGCAGTCAGCATTTGAGTTTCAGACTCGTTCTATATCTGCCTCTGTCTCGGGCCATGGCTACTAGGTTGGATAGGTCTCTTGTTGGACCATTCTTGGCTTCTTTGGAGACGTCAAGTATTGGTGTGGAGGTGGCACTCCATATACAAGGTGGCATATACCTCTTGCTAGCTCTGTGTCTCCTAGACGCATAGACGCGATAACAGAACACATACAGATCACAGACGGCTTGTTAGCTTTAAGTGTGTCCTCCATAGTTGACCAAGTGCCCGTTGTCGTCTGGTGGATGGAGGTCCAGGCTTGCGAATTGGGACTTGCTATTTACAGCTCTTGGAAATGAGGCAATACTACGAAATATATACCAATACTCCAGCACAATGCACTCTTTTATGATTCTCTGCCTGCACCTCTTGGTACACTGCGCGGTTGTCAGCTAATAGAGTAAGTTTTCTGATGATATACATCAGACACTGATCTCAGCGTGCTGTCATTGTTTATCGATTTTATAACTGATAGGCATAATATTTCGAGCACTTGCAGAACAGACCGGGGACTATGAACCGATCCCTTCATTTTCTGAGTTTTATTATGCGCTTCTGTGGCACCTGCGATGATATGATCGACAGACGTGGTCATGAAAATTGGACACACCAGGCTAACACCTTTCGCGATGAAGTACACATCATGTTCAGTCCGTTGGCGCCAATCGGACCGTGTTGCCTCCTATGCCTCGCCAAGGTGTATCAACATGCCACTGCCCGAATAATCCGGTCCCTTCGAGAGAGTGAAAGCTGTGGCCTCTAGAATGAACCCTTCTTCAGTCCTGACGGATTGCGCGATTGTGTCTCCACACTTGAGAAAGAAGCTATGGTGGCTCGTCTTTTTCTCTCAACGGTGCAAAGATCCAGCTGTTTGGACTGACAAGGCTAAGTGCAACACATTCTTTTGTCATCATGGGATCTCAAATTCGAAAATTGAGCGGTGATATCATCTACCTCATGGCGTCAATGCTGTGAGCCATGTGGTAGGACCATGCATTACCGAGCCAGACACATCAAGCAAGTTATCTGCGAGAATTATTAATCTTTATATTTTTCGCAGGAGGTGCTCGGAGAAAAATGTTGTCCTAAATGCAGACTGTGTGTAAATCTTGTTCTACCGTCGGGTGAAAACGATTCCCTGGAATGGTATCATAAAAGAGGCTCAAGATTTCCCAGCTCATAGTTCTGTGCATGCAGCTGATATGGGAATGCTTTGTGACCATTATGATTGAAGACCTGAAAGTGAGGGCTAAGAGGCTATTCTATTTGAGAAACGCTCTCAACAAAACGGTCTCCTGCGGTGACGGAGACCTATGCCAAGAGAAGGTGCGTTTTAGGTTCCTAGATGAGGGAGTAATATAGCCCCTAGTTTACTTACCTGTCGCTGAAAGTGCTTGCGAGGCTTTGTATGGTGACATATTGGGTGCTTCCGTGGAATGAACATGAACGAATGTAAGGTGCTTGGATCGAAGGGCTTGTTCTATGCATGGAATATCGTCAGCCTATGATAGCAATTGACGGTTTCTCGGCTGCGTCTAAGGCACTCATCGAGCTTGTCTCTTCGATGGATCGGCTCACAAGAATAAATGATCAACACTGGGAGTGGTGAGGAGCATTCTCTACCTATATCTTTTCAAGATGACGGCGTGTCGCGTCAAGTCTTTTATTCTTGATATTCACTTCTGCCAATAATGAGGACAGTACTGATCAAGGTCATTTGTATTCTTCCTATCGAGGAACTAGTTTACGCATGCTTACTGCCCTTCTCGATGCGCTTATATCCCTGATAAACAACAAAAGATCTATCATAACATCGTTCCTTACAGAAGAATATCCCATACAGACCAAGCGGACACTTTTCTTTTTACGTGTCAGAAAGATCCTATTCCTATCCCAAGATACCTGTATACCAATATATGGCCTGCTCAATATCTTTCTCCAACCCAATACTCCAAATCAGAGGGCCATCCTCTCCCGAGGTCGCATCTGTGACTATATCTCCACAATCTAACGGGCATGGACATACACATAGAAAGCAAGTTGCCATTTTTTCGTGAAGAATTTACATAGCATCATAACATGGCTTGCCCATTCGTGCTGTCCGTGCTGGCCGCGACAAGGGGCCAACAATAATGCCAATAAGAGTGCAATAGGGTTTATATTGGTTCTGCAATTAGAAAGGTTAACAACCAAGATGTGGGAAGAAGTACCTGGCATATCTTCAAAATAAGAGCACAAAGGTATTCCTTATTAATATATTCTGAATTATTGCAGAAGTGCTAACTTCAAGCTTTCAGCATATTTCCGAAATTTGTTGAAGAAAGGACGAGGGCCAAAAATAATGGCTTACTACATACAGTATGGAGATAGAAAAGAATAATAACACCGTGACAAATCCACATAGGTGTGATCAAGAGCAGGGATTATACACTCTGTGAATATACTCTGTCGCGAAGCAGTCCAATGAGAGGAATTTATGGAGATTGATATCGTCTCATGTGGAAAATATTGCGATCCGAATTCTGATCGGTCATATAACACACCGTGTGTTTAAAACCTCCACAAATACCCATCGAAGTCTGAAAGACACAAAAGTCTAAAGATAAATCAACCAACCAACCGAATCATTTCGTGTGGCATCCCCCAATGCCAACAAAGATCTCTAGGCCTTGAGTCTAAACCTTTTACGGCTCGCATACTCTACACACTAGATATAGGCCCTATTTGATGGGCATGGGGATCTCCAACATCTCTTGTATGTCATCATTGCTAGTAAGTGTTAGGCTGATCCGGTATCGTTGAGATGGGTCGGCTTCCGTTCCGAGGAAAAAAGAGAGTGACCCTGGTCAATTGAGACCATCTCCTAGTTACCAACCCGAGTTTTTCACCTCCTCCAGCCGATCTCACGAATACCAGATGAGATATATTGACTAGAGCGGACATGTGCAAGACATACTGGTGTGGTTCATTGCATGTGCAGACTTAGCGAATTTGGAAAACAATATATGATAATCATGTTATGTGTGCGGGGGCTATGGTTGCTTCAGAGTGTGAGGAATAGAGTTTGTTCTTTGGTAGTCTTCTATGTAGGAAAATGGACATTGGATGCTAGAAACTGTCTCAATTTTGGTCTACTAGTCTCTGCCAAACAGCACCTTAACGATAGCTTTGGAAATGTAGGTTAATCCATCCAACATAGGACTTCTAATCTGATATCAAAGTGTCATGTTATATGGCAAACACAACAGTAATGCATCAATCCTCCTGATCAACATCACAAGTTACCGCATCCGGCTCTCTGAGTCTCAGCACTGTCTCAACCTGCTCATACCCCAGTCTAGCCCCCCTCTCCCTCGCAAGCAAATGCGCAGTAAGGAGGACATTCTTGATTTGTCGCCCGTTGAGCGGAACCCGTGCCAGGCTGTCCAGTTCATCGCCTGTAAAAGCGTCCAGGTCCTTACCCAGGAACTGGGACCAGATTTGGCGTCTAGAAGAAAGGTTAAGCTCCGGGTACCGAAGAGAGACATGGATGCGTGATTCAAATGCAGGGTCGATATTCTCGGCTCGGTTGCTGGTGAGGAAGAGGATGCCCTGTACAAAAATGTTAACTGTGTGATGACTGGTAGACAGGTGGGGAGGGGGGTGTACTCACCTCATAATACTCCAAGAGTCTGAGGAAGATAGATACAAGTTCATTTCGAGCAAGATCAGTCGAGTTCCGCGCCTCCAGAAAAACATCCGCTTCGTCCAGCAGCAAAACAGCCCCCCATCTCGGGACCATCTCAAGGATATCTTTCAGACGCTCCTCCATTTCCGTCGGCTCTGTTCCAAGATCGCCCGCACTGAGCGCATACAGAGGGACTTTCATGACCTCCGCCACACTTTCCGCCGTCAGAGTCTTTCCCACGCCCGGTGGACCACTCAGAAGAACAATCACCCCGCGGCCCTTTCCCTGAATCACATCGTCGAAATCATTGTCACTTTGCGATTGTGCCCGAGCAAATGACAAAATCAGCTCTTTGAGACCTTCTCGTCGGGACGGCAAGACAAGAGAATCGAATGCCCGTGAGTTCCACACTATCTCCTTTACCTTGTCGACGTTGAACACGAGCCATTTCTTATCCTTGAGCGAATAACCCCGAAGAACCGGTGTCGTGATTAGATGATTATCACCGGAAAGCTCTTTCATCATTGGTCCGTTTAGACGAATCGCTTCGTCGGGGTTGAATGAACTGTATGACAAGGCGTCGATGACGATTCGCCCGTTGATGTGGTATTTCATTTCCCGACAGAGGAAATACCCACTTGCGATCCCTTCGTAATGCTTGTAGTGCGAGCCTTTGTATCCTTCCCAAAGTCGGCCCCGAGTGGCGAGTTCTTCTCGGATGCTGGTGGGGTTGGGATGAGATGAGAGGGGGAAAACAGGCAATGCGAGGATTGGTAATGTTCCATTGTAGTTTGGGATTTTGAATGTCTGGCACACGAAGCCGAAGTTACTCCCCCCGAAGTCGATGTATCGGGAGGTGATCTTGAATTCTTCATCGGTATGTTCGCTGGAATCGAGGATGAATGCGCGGGGTGAGCCATTCAGGATGCTGAATATAATATCCCCGGGTTCGAATATGCTCCATAGTAGGTCGTGAGTCATCACACCGTTGGAGATAAGGTCGTCTTTGCGTGTGATTGTCTCTCCGAGTTCCTCGACTAGGATTTCATACAGTAGGTCGATGTTGGCTTTGGTGGTAGGGTCCGGTTCCTGCTCCCGGGCGGTGCAAAATTGCGTCCATCGGTGGACGAAAGGTCGGAAGGGGGCTTCGAATTCAACCCGTTCGAGGGTCATGGTCAGACTGGGAAATTCCTCTAGTACATTGGCGAGGAATTCCTTCGTGGCTTTGTTTTGGATGATAATCGAGTGCACTTTGAGGGGTTTCCGACCATCGTAGCATTTCACGTGTCGCACGATAAGCGAGTATTGGCCTGTTTCTGTGCTCTCGGCTGGCTCTACCAGGTCGGTGGGCAGATCTTTGGTCCATGATCTTTTGCCTCGCTCGTCGGGCTTTGTCTGGTAGAGGTTGTGGACTTTGCAGATGGAGCCGGGTAAGGCGTATTCTTTGGAGGGGGGGTCCATTTCGTTGATGTCGCTGCGCATTGTAGCTGAGGTTTGTGTTGGGGTTTATGCTGTGTGTTATGATTGTAGAGAGGATTAGTCTTGCGAGGAGAATGGAATAAAGAGAAAGTGTCTGTACCTTCCAGGCTATTTATGCCTGACACTAGCTTATCATGTCAATACCCGGGCACCCGAATAGGCAAGACTAGATTCAGCCTTGGGTACTCACGCTTCAGCCTTGCATGACAGCCTTGCATCTCGTCCGTGCGGCGGATTCCAGAACGATGCCATGGTGGTCAGACACTTTCAGGTGCCTGCTGGTGACTGGTCGGGGGGTACGGCTTCTGCGGGCTTAGGGCTAATCCCTGCAGCGTTCCGGCTACAGGCGGATGTTAATAGACCAGGGTTGAAGCTGACAAGCAAATGATCGAGCGTTCTCAGCCTGTAGGTCTTGGTTGTAGTTTGATTGACTCATCGTCTTGCTGGGTTGGCATCAAATACTGCGCTCGGATTGGTTGTTAGTGACTTATCGTGCGTGGTGTAGCGTCTCGTTGGAAATGAGTCACAGCCATTGACAAGGATATGTACGTAACCCTTCCTTTTGTCATGTCAGCTTTGTGAATGCCGAGAGCTATCAAATCACTCATACATTGGGCCGGGAGAATGTCGGGGTTGATCATCACTGGTGGGATTCTGTTGAACTATCTCCGATGTTGCAGTGGGATTTATATTAGTATTATCAACGTATTTAGAATGTTACAGAAGATGATTTGATGATGAAAACGTGTGAGAACCAGGTAATTTAGATGAGGTTGAGGCTTCCTAAGGCTGCAAGTGAGAAGAACCCGGGTGATATCACATGACCGGCGCGACAAGCCCTTGATATCAAGCACATACAATCATATATTATTCTTTTATTGTGCTTAACACCTGGCGCTTTTTCTTGCTTTGTACCCCTGCTCTTTGGCTGGATAAATATCCGTAGATCTACGTTCAGTAATATTTGCTTTCCTTCATGTAGCCATCTTCCGCTTCTATTTCCCTACTGATTTATACTTGAATATTCTTTCTCATGAGTTGTAATACGTGAAAGGTGATTATTTCATTACTGGAGTCATCAGGAATTCTTGCATAGAATCATGCTTGTCACCACTCAATGTACTCGTGCCAGTTTAGCTTGTTGGTGATGCATAAAGCCAGGCGTATATTGACTCCATTGAGCGTGACTAGATCTCCATCGCACCGATACATTCCTTCTCTCTAGCACCAGGAATTGAAATGGCCACTCAGTGGTGATGATACTCGCAATCCGACTCGCAATCAGTCTCACACTGAATCGCATGACGCCTCAGACTCAGTATGCCCCGGGTATCCAAATGATCAGGCCAGCTACAGTACCAATCCAGAAACTCGGGAATGGAGTCAAACTGAGGCCTGCGCCCATACATCACAGTGGGATTCAGGATGTCCGGCTCAGAGTCGACAACAACCACCCGCCACGCCCAGTCCTGGATATTGGGGGCGTCGGAGATAGTATCATTACCCTCATCTGCATCCACCCGCTGACGGCAATAGAGATAGGCACTAAACCAGTGAGGATATTCATCGATATAGCCAGTCCCAGTGATGACGCCGGCCTTGACCTCCAAATCGCTGCCCTCGATACGCGGAGCCACCATAGATTTGTTGATCAGATCCCCAATCCCGTCATCATCCTCTAGATTCTCCCGCACGCGTTCGCACTCCGCCCGGACGCGCTCATAGTATCGCTCGGGCTGCGTCTCGACCAGCTCCGCCTCATCCGCTCCCATAACCCACAGCCCAGCTTCAAAGGGGGGGATACTGGAGAGGCGGAAGTCCGGATCCTCCACCGCATGGGCGTACTTGAGGAACATGCCTAGCTCGTCGCACCGGGGAATGAGCCCGGGGGTGTCCTTGCCCTGCTCAGCTGCCCACTTCTCAGCCTGTCGCTGGAACACTTGCTGGAGGGTATCCAGAATAATCTCTCGTGCTTTTTCGGTCCGCAGTCTCGGAGGATGGACCCCGTCCATGGCAAAAGGGTCTGTATCCACTACCGTGGGAAGATCTACCAATCGTTTGGGGAGATCCTCATTCTCATCTGGCATGTCAAAATGTCGGTACTCGACCATCTTTCTCCATTTTTGCCGTTCAGTCGCCAGGCCCCGGGCTTCGATCTCGTCGATGCGATCCTGGATGAATTTCCGGTTTGCCGCGGCCATTCGGTTACGGAATCGCTGCAGAGACTGCTGCATTGTTTGGTCTGCGTCTGTGGGAGACGTCATTTTTAAAGAGGTTTTTTTTTTTATGCTGGGAGAGTGAAGTAGATTGAGGTTATTCTTTTTCATCTCCCCTGAGACGCTTGCAGGTTTGGGTGGGACGTTGTTGTGTAGGGAGAAATCTCGGGAAGAAATAATCATGTGTTTGCATCCGGCGTATTGGTTATGACAACTTTGATTGGTGAAAGTTTTTAGAATCTTATCTTTGATTCTGGATTCCACTAGATGTTTCATTTTTGTGGAATGATTGAATTGTACATTATTACGTTTCTTCTTGCCTTCCGTCTTAGCTAAGTACCTTGTCTGTAATTTACAAAATTGAAGGAGTAGCTTGACCGCAGTCCTTTTACAGAGACCCTTTCTTCTTAAAGTTCTGATGCCATCCGAAAAGACTAAAAAGAAACACTCACGAACTGAACTAAGTATATACCTGGATAAAAAAACTCTCCTTTCCTATAGATAAAACACCTCCCATTCCATTTCCCAATCCTCCACTCCAAACAAAAACCTCAACCATCTATCCATCATTCCAACCTCTGCGCATACACCACATGACTACAACAAACCAGTTAGCCCTAACCCACATCATCATCATCATCTTCACCAACCAACTCACAAATCCTGCATCAAATGCGCCCCCTTCTTCAACGCATCCGCCCTCACCTCCGCCAAAAAAACCTCTACCGCCTCAAGACTCCACCCCAACACATGCGTAAACGTCGCCACGCTACACGCTTCAATTCCCTCCAGAAACTGTAGAATATTAAGTGCGCCTGCCTCTTTCTATCCCAGCATCAGCATGTTTTCACCACCATCTATCTCCCCGGAGAAAAAAACAGCACATACCAACCGCTGCTCCTTAGGCCAGGACCCCAACGGCAACGGGTAAATCCGATGGTGGATGTTACTGAAGCCCGCGGCGGCAGCATATTCGGGTAATTTGGCGCCGACGGTTGCAGGTCGGCCCATGATGTCGCAGGCCTCGCGCAGGTATTCGAACCATTTGTAGATTTTGTTGTCCGGGGTGAGGGTTCCGTCTTGGCTGTAGGTTATTAAATGGAAGTCTTGGAATTCGATCCAGCCTCCGATGCGGGTTTGTCTGTGGATGAAGTATCAGTTGAGTTCGGGTAGGGATCTGAAATGAGGGGTGGGGGGAAGGGGAATGACTCGTAGGCTTGTTTGAACAGTTTGGGCCAATCTTGGATTGATCCGCATAGGTAGCGGCCGTGGATCAGGTCGAATGGCTGACGTGGGGGCCACTCAGATTCGATGTCGTCTACTTCGAAGGAGACGTTGGGGGGGACCCTGGTTGATTAATATGCTGATTTGGTTAACGGGGAGGAAGGTATACATACATGGTGGGCTGGATAGGGCTGAGGTCGTTTCCTAGGATCTGAAAATCACTTAGCGGGACGGAGGAAGGATCCAGTGTCTGTGGCATACCGATTTAATGTCTGGATATTGGTCTCCTGTGTCACATGGTTAGTCTGTTTGCGTTGCAGTTTGAATGTTGTACTGACCAACTTCCAGGGCCCAGATACCAGTGCCAGTGCCAAGGTCCAGCACCTGCAAGGGCTGCTCCACGTTCACCGGGGCGAGGAAAAGCTTGCCATCCATGGCGGTCTTGAACACATAGTGTATCATGTCTAGACGGTCCTGCTCGCGTTCATCGTTGGGGAATTTGTAGCTTCCCTCCCTGTACGCGTGGAAACGTCGTCCGTTGATCCATTTGTAGTCGAAGACGCTGGCGCTCAACGAGGTGGTATAACTTTCTCTAGAAGAGGTTAGGACATGCATTGACAGAAGACAAACGACATACATGTCGGTGGAATATCCTCCATCTTCTACCTCATTCGGCACATCATCCTAGATACTGTATGAGTTCCGAAGGCAAGGAATTGGCGAGTAATGTAATCGGCAAACGCACCTCAGGATCGACCTCGACGTGCTCCACAGCTGGGCTCTGGCCCTCGGTCGGGTTGGAAGATGACATGATCGGAGTATTAGGCTTACGGGGGTTGGATGTTTGGGTGTTCGGATGGCGGAAGTTCAGGTCTTTAAGTACCATCATGCATTGGTTAGTTTATCTTAGTGGATACGCTCTCTCATGTTATCGCTAACTATAACACTGCTTTTATAGGCTCCATCCAGGATGGAGCAGCTCATCATGCGTTGTCGTTGTCAAGATAGTCATCGCAATCGACAATGACAGCTTGTTACTCTTGTCAGGGTATCAGGAATCCACAAGATATTTCCCCCCATTTTTTTTCAGGCAATTGGAGATGGATCCATCATGTCGTGAATATGGGTATCATCAAGCCATCCCCGTTAGGGTTTAGAGAAGACGTTAGGATGACTCCGTTATCAGGCCATGTGGCCTTTGCTCATTCCGTTCCTTTTCGTCCATAAGCCGCCGAGCAAGTCATGCATTCCTGGTTGTGAGTGGTTGCCTCGGCCCGTTTGCCCGTGATGCATCCCCACATACTCGGATGTGCCGGCAGCGTTCAATTATTACGCGCATCGGGTGCCAGAAGTGATCATTAGATTGGGCCATACCTGGGGGTGTATATAAGACATAAATCATTCAATTTGTTCTTGTTCGGATGGCCCGATTTCTTCTTTATAGGTAGAAGAAAAAAGTTAAGATTCTATTTCACACCATATTAATTACTGTAGACCTGATAGAAAGTGTCTATTTAGGGCTGCGGAGACAACCGCTGCTATTATTCAACCTACAATAAAAGAGTAGAAGGCCTGAATTACAGCCAAAATGCTTACTGATAATGATATCAATCGGACTATCTTGATCATTTTGTTTTATCACCTCTGGGAACATTCTTGAGATGGGATCGGAAACTATGACACTAGGTCTTGCGTCGGTGAATATGTATGAATCTCACTGGAGTTTGTATTTCGGAATACACATTATCTAGGAAATGTGCTCAACACAGAATACTATATAAGAAACAAAGATATGCATGTACTGGATGCACGTCGCCTCCCAATCTGCACTTATAAGCTGGAAATCCGACATACAATACCCTTCATGCAGCTGTTGAGATTCATGCATTGAAGCGACTGTAATGGCCCTCCTCTTGACCCAAGTAAAAATAATCCGGGGCTGCTTATAGGTGGCGATCTTAATGGACTTTCGAAGGAGACAGATCAAGATAAAAAAAAGAAAAAAACTACAAAAAAAAAACTGAAAGGCAGTAGTAGGCTACCGCTACGTTGATTATGATGTAATTAAGCATATTCATCGCTGATAGCTAAATTGGATATTCAGGTTCAGACCTAGCGGATCAGAGACATTGTGATCTGTAACGAGATATGCGCGATGGTTGGCATTAAGTTTTAGAGTATCATGCTTCATGCTCAAGGATGACGGTCGATATCGGATTTACCCATTATTCATTGTTGTCTAGCAATACAGACCAAAACAGATTCCTCCCTTTAGCTGAGAGGGGCAATTCTCCGCACATCGGTGGAGACATCCCTTGTAATATATCATGTTGGGCGTCGTTGGTATTGGTCAATTGGGATATACATAGACCCGAAACGGGTAAACTGCGACACTACTTAGATAATCCTATCTTAGCTGATCAGGTCATGTACATGACCGTGAACCATCTAGCTATTGTCTAATAGATAGTGGAATTCAGGTCAATGATGTAGTGATAGCTTAGTTACCTATATAATCTATCTTATAATTATCAACGCCTATTACACCGACCAGCAACGTCTACATGCCCAGTCATGCAATATTCATTATTCGTTTCAAGTCGTGAAGTGAAAGTGGCTTCACCAGGTAATCGTCAATGCCAGCTGCAAAGGCCTGCTGTTGCATCTCGCTCGAGGCCACCCCGGTGACCGCCATAATGGCAGCCCGGGGGAGGGAATGCTGTTCTTCGTACTCGCGGATCTTGCCCGAGGACGCAATCCCGTCCATGATTGGCATTGATATGTCTGCGAGGGTTAGCAAAACATTGAGGGAAATAGGTACAGCACGTACCCATGAGGATATAGTCAAAAGGTCTTGTAGAGTTTTTGTATTTTTCAAATGCCGCCAACCCGTTGGATGCGGTCTCATATGTGCAGCCGATTTTCCGCAGAAAGGTAGCAAGGATCTAGACATATTAGCCATTGTTACTAACATGCAAGAAGGTATGTACCTTGAGGTTGATGTCGTTGTCATCCACAATTAGAACATGCAGGTTGTCGCCTGTGGGCTCTCGAGGCATAGACGGCGAAAACTCCGACACATTCTCCCTAACGACAGGAGGTGACTCCGAACCTTTGGCAAGGGCAAAGGCATCAGACAAGCTCCGTCCTCGTAAGGGCACGCCGGGCAGTGGACCCAAGATCGGATCGTCTTCCCCTGGGCCCAGCCCTTGGTGCGACTCGGTAATCCGCTGCAATGCTTGTAGGACCTTGCGAGGTGCGATGCTGCTCCCAATTAGTAAACAGCTTTGAATTTGTTCATGTGACTTACGGTTGAGGAACGTAAAAAACATCAGCCCCCCGGATGGCAAATTCTCCAGGCAGTGTGACGGCTTGTTCGCCGATCACCACAATTGCCCTAAACTTCACATCAATGGGCCCTTTGGCCGAAAGCTTCTTTAACGTGGATTCCTCAATGACGGCAATATCTCCCGGAGCCATATCAAGTTTATCAGCAAAGGACACCATCCACCCAGGCTGACTCAGTAGCACGTTGCTCAAGGCACCCCGCAGTGCGAGCTTGCGCTTTGCTTCCGTGCTCAGCAGACCACTCGGCGCTTCCTTTAGGTCTGCATATGCGTTGAGTCCCACCAGGGACACTCGGGTCATGATGCGCGCTCCCGGGACACCGCAATCCATGAATGAGTTTTCTTCCACGAATTCCACCGGAATGTACACATTGACTTGCGTTCCTACCCCTACATCACTTTTCAGCTCGATCTCACCACCGAGGTAGTTCACCAATTGTTTGACCACACTCAGGCCCAGGCCAACACCCTCTGTCAAGATGCTCTCTTGTGCGAAAGGCTTGAAAAGCTGATGTTCTAGAAAGTCAGTGGAAATTCCACTCCCGGTATCCGTGATTGAGAGGTGCGCCAGAGTCTTCTTTGTGTAGCCAGACCGCTCGACTTTCTTGGCAAGGGACACCTCAATGAACCCGCACCTGGTGAATTTGAATGCGTTTCCCAGAATGTTCATGACAATCCGCCGCCATGCGCCAGAGAGCGACTGTAGATGCCACGAACCCAAGTCTTCGATCCGAACAATCACTGACAGATCGTCAGGATTTGGTGGTGCTGGGGCACCCGCAGGCCTATTGCCAACCCCGGATCCACCTGGTAGGTAACGGCCAGCAATCTTCGCAGCGTTGATGAGGGATCGGTGCCCTGCATACAAGGCGTCGGTCACTTCTTCTACTACCTCATCCAAGTCAAATTCGGTCAGCAAGTTATCCATCCCGTCCACATTCGGCCCACTTTTCTTGTGCAAATGGGTCAGGTTGTTGATCTTGGTAAATTCAAGCCTGAGAAATTAGCATTATATCATACTAACCGGAGTACAGACTTACAAGTGATTCATCGTGTCCAACAACGTGAGACCACATGTTTCCACCATGGTGACCATATCTTGCTGAGTGGAGTCCAGAGATGTGGTCTGCAACAGCTCCGTGCTGGCAAGCATGCCATGCAAAGGGGAGCGAAGCTCATGACTAACCGACGAAAGCAAGTCCGATTTCGCCTTCTCTGTAGCGGTCCAGTCTATCTGGCAGAACCCGGAGACGATCGAGTCCCCGAAGGTCTTTAGGAAGTGAAGATCGTCTTGCCCCAGTCGTCGCTGGTTGTCGCTGGTCCAGACCAGTGTCCCCGCAAGCCATCGAGATTTGTTCCAGTTCCACAATGGAAGGAACACGACAGACTTGGCTTCCGGGAAATTATGGGCCAGTTTAGCATTGATAGAGTGCCGCAAAGAGTGTTCACCCTGGATGCTATGTATACTATGCCGGCGCTGGTGCAAAAAGCTCGAAGGCGGTGATCCCACACTTTGGTGAGGGTGAAGGACTTCGCCTTGCGGGAAAGCAGTGAACATATCATGCAGCAGCCCTTCCGTCAAGGGAAGCCGGAACATGCTTGTACTGTTTCCTAGGGGGTGTTGTGATGAGGCGACACCTAGAGGCTCACAGAGCTTCTCAGACCAGCCTCCGTACGACGATACGCTGGGCGAGCGGAGAGAGAAGCCAGAGTCACTATCTCTATCGAATGCGTCCAAATCGGCCACGCTAACAGTCGAATTACTACATGCCATCAGCTAAATATTCTCAACACCACACGATCCAATCTTACCTGCGAGAGTTGCTGCGAGACGCGTCAACGAAAATAACCCCATCCAGATCCATGCATTCCTGCAGTATCCCACTGGCACGAGAGAAGAGCAGCGACGTTTTCTCAGAAATGGCAGTACCTTCTGGTACCATGACGAGATTACTTGTTTCGTCGGAGCTCTTCCTCACGTGGCGTTGATGCGTCCCATTTGGCGCTGAATGAACGGTCCCGAATGCTTGATTTGCGAAGAAAGGCGACTCATTCGCTGGTGTTGGTTGAGGGTATCGGTTTGACGATGGTGAAATCTCATGGATACTGGCCGCCGACACGGACAGACGGTCAATCTCTGGCACTTCCGAAGAACGAGGGGAAATCAGACTAGCCGCAGTGCTCTTTCTTCGGCTTTTCCGTCCATCGGTCTCATTACACGGCTGCCCTTTGACGAACTTCATGAGTCCGCCTAACAAACGATCATTCTGGCGGTAATGGCGTAGCGCATTGTTATTCTGGAGGTGATTTGCGACTGCGTTAGCAACATCTTGGAGTTCCGCTAGTTCCCTATCACCGAAAAAGTGGCACGGTTCATCATTGACCACGCAATATGTCCCGATCGTTTCTCCGGAATATGAATGCAATGGGACCTCCGCGTAGAATCTAGGCCGGAATCGCTCGACAAGGGGGTGATGCTTCAAGTCTAACTCGAGATTCAGATCGCGAACGATCGTTCCGCTGCTGTTTCTTGTGACATTGGGAGAGCAGGCCCCTCCAGTTCCATTTCGTGCCAGACCCAATGTGCTCATGCCCACAGAATTGCCGTTGACAACGGATTTGTTGCCGAAACCTGGGCCTGATGGCGTTGCTTCTGCGATAACATGCGTCTCACAATTATCAATCAGCGAAACAAAGGCGTATTTGCAGCCCATGCGGTAAGTCCCGAGTTGCGCAAGGGCAATCAAGGTGGGGTCCGAGGCTGGGCAAGCCATCGTGGAATGCTTCTGCCCATTGACGATCGAGGCTGGAGATGCGGTGCGCAGCAGCCCATCGGTTCGGTCCGGAGTCTGGGCGCTGTAGAGCCTGTTGATGGGGTTGAACATGTCAGACCTGCTCTAGACCAAGCAGAACGGCGAATGGAAATGGGTGTGAAGGGGAAAACATGGGTGATACCTGTAGAGGTCCGGGGTCATTCGGGGCAGCCGCAGGGGATGAAGAGCTGCTGAGCCCACAGCAAGTGGGTGATCACCTATGGCATCGCAAGTGACCGTAGAAATTTGTCCGCGGTCTGGAGCGACTTGGCAACGGAAGGGATAAGCACCAGATATATTTCCAAGTCTCTAGCCACACACGAGCTAGTCAGGAGGTTTTAAGGTTCATGACCCGGGCGCCACCGGTGTGCCAGAGATGTTTCGGAAGAACTGGACAAGTGGTGTGGAAGCAGGTCTAGGCCGCCGAGTTGATGTGGTCGACTTGTTCAAGTTGCTCTTTGATGGGCCGCCCCGCCGGCTGATGGCGCCGACCCCGGATAAGGGGATCATCGCAGAGTCTGCATGACTGGCCCTGCCGGATCCCGGGAACGACCGCGCAGGGCCCATGGTTCCCCGAATCTCAGCCTCGCAGTCTTCATCGGCCGAGTGGCTTCGCCTGCGGGCGTTGTCGGCTCCGACGATTCGCCTGACAGGGTAGAGGAATCCGACGGAAGATGCCGCTCAGCTGAAGTCGATGCCAGAAGATTCTTTTCCAAAACAGAGAGAAAGCCGAGGCTGACCGGTTGTTCTTGGGAAGATCTGACGAGAGAAGGCAGAGTGGGATGAGGGAGAAGATGGACGGGTCATTGATGTAACCCAACTCTATGGCCTCCCGCGTGACGCCCCCGGATTGGTCCGGACTTGCTTTCCCCGACGCCGCTTTCAGACCGTCCTCGCCTCAGGCATCCAGGCCAGCACGCGTGCCTGGGGCAGCCTTGGCCCTCGTCCGCGACCGCATCGGGGGTTCCTCTCAGGGTTCCCTCTCTCGCCAAAGCTGTCGAGGCATCGCTCTTCTGTCTTAGTTAGGGGCCTTGATCGTATCCTGTCTGCTCCCCATTGGGCGGGATCTGACCTGCATTCAAAGTAAGCAGGATGTGGCCGGAAGCTTAAGCAAGCCAACAGATCAACAGGCTCGAGGTGGTGCACATATCCACCCCTAAAGTCTAAGGCAGCTCATGTACAGCTTTTCATTGGGCAGATTGCTCGAGGAAACAACCAAGATAAGATAAAAATGCCCCGAGCAGGTACGTTGAGCTCAGATAGCTACTGCAGGGGCCCACCAAGGGGGGAAATAGATCGACATTACGCATCGACTCCGATCTGCAGTCAATCACGCACTTGGTCAACCTTTCGGGAGTCTTGGTGCTGACTGCTGCTGACGAGAACATGATTCATCCAGTCACGTGTCGGTTGTCGTCGCATTCATTGACTCGCGCACTGGGTCTAGATTTGGGATTCCCTCCAAAGGATATGGATGGCTACGGCTGAAACCTCTTAGGCACTGTAATGTTCCGCTCACTGTCGGGCATACTATATAGACTGGTAGTGCGTTCCTCACCTTAAACGGGCATCCCATGGGTATCAATGTATTAAGCAGGTTCGTATTTGCGATGGCGCCCTGCAAGGGGCACATGTCAGCAACCAGTCGGATCCAGGCTCGTGTTGCAAAACGGGCCCGTTTCCCTACCTATCTTCGTGCAAGTCAATACCGCGACGCCGGGTTCTAGGCCAACCCACTCAGGACTCTAACCTTACAGACAATGGACTCGGTCAGCCCTAGCCAAACACCCCGTCCAACCGTATCAATGTTTTGACTCCCGCGTGATCCCTCGATCCCTCCCAGATCGGTGGGGTTATTAGGTAAGCCGGTGTTCGAGGTATTACTAAAACACTAAAACATCGGCGGGTCTAGAGTTGGGTTGATGGAAAAGAAAGCCTCGAGGTCCATGGTGGAGAAGTCAAAGTCCCAGCCCATGTCTGACTGGGTGAAGTCAAGGAGGTCTTCACCACTACCAACGCTGCCACTTGGCATGCGTATACCGTCCTGCAGGGAATTCCCTTGAAAATCAGACAGCATCGACAAACCTCCTCCCCCCACTAAACCGCCGTGAACGGGGTCAGCGATGGGGCCCGGTGGAGGATGAGAGACGTTTCTGGGGTACTGTCGCGTGACGCTAGTGGGTTGGTCAAGGCTGTAGGATTGAATCGTATTTGGTGACCATTCATATGATGGGTCCAGCTTTCGTAACACTGTTTGAATAGCTGCCATGGAGCTGGAGATAGGTTCACCGTGTCGCATGGCGGAGAGGCCTTGTACAGCAGCATGTATCCAAGGAAGATGGGTAGAGGCCAGATTGTCGCCATGCATTAAATCGTATATGAGGGCGAAAGAGGAACTGCCGAGGAAGTATCCATGATAGCGGAGTTCCTGCAAGCTTATCAGCACTTGGCGTCATCCAAAATCAGAAGATGACTTACCCGAACAAGTTCATTATATATGGAGGCTTCATATAGATGATGGATAGTTCTGCAAGCCGCACTAAGGGCCTGGTTGCAGGCTTCGTTCAACCAGGTGGGCATTTCTGTCGGCCGTTTGGCTGTGCTACTTCCTGGACGTTGTGATGACATCTTCATATCGTGCCGCCACCGAGCCCGGAATATTAGAAACGGTCGAAACGTCAGGAGGATCGTATGATAATACACTGAACTATCAGCTTGGAACCTTCGAGTGGAAGCTAAACATACGAGTGGTTAGAATGATCTGCCGTACTCCCAGACTCCCCGGTTGGGTCTGTTTATCAAGTCCAAACCCTACTGCATGTTGCATCATCGAGTCATAACAGCGAATGTCATCAGCTATTGATCTAGCGATCTTCCACATTTGCAGCAGCGATTCATGGCGCCGGCCATACATCTCATCGGCTGAGCGGGAGAAAACCTTTGATAAATGAACCAGGACTTGCAAGAAGGGGTCTTTTGGCAATGCAATTCCAATGTCTTTTGCTGATAGCGATCTCGGTCGTCCTAAATGAAAACAAGTCCAGCTACGCACGGTTAGTACGGAGAACGGTGATTGACGAATGTGAGACTGACACTTCATAGAAATAGAGTGCCCAGAACGTGCTCCGCTGTTCCTCAACGCTATCAGAGGCGTCTTCACCCTCAGCGGGGGCCTCTTTATGCAGGCCAGCGGAGATGGCCTTGCGAGCAGCTGTGCCCAAAAGAAGAAAAGCCGAGTTGGGCCTGCCTTGCTCGGTTTGGAAGTGAGCGTGTTACCAAAACATCAGTACTTGTTGTGTGATATGCTGGAAATGTAGCTACTTATCATGAATAACGAAAGTTGAACTGTCTGCAGATTGACCACGTCGTCGAGTGATGAGGTAGAAGCCTTCACGCGTTCGTATAAGATATCCCCCCAACTATGGTGTTCTGTTCCTAGAGCACCGATCGCTAGCCCCAGCAGTAACAGTGATTGAACCCACTTGTCTGAGCGAGAGTCTGGAGTGGGGCGATACAAGTGATCGAGCTGTTGATGGAAGGCATCCTTGGGCCAAAAAGGCACCAGGTTGTACAGCGTTGCCAAGAAGCGCCGGAGGAAGTCATTGGCCAACTCATAGGGCAGGAACAGCACCGGTGCATCAGGCCCGTTGACAAGCTTGTTAGTATCATGCGACTCGGCCTGGGTGCCGAAAAAGATCCGACGGAAGCTAAACATATCCAAGCCCGCGCCGGCTTCTTCAACCTCTCCCTGGGGCTCCTGCGCCTCCGCGGATTGATTAGAGACCAGGCCCCTATATATCTCGTGCATAAGCGCAAAGTGAGATGTTGAGCCATAGTACAGCTGTACCTTGCAAGATGGCGATGCCATATGGGTAGCTGAGACGCTATTGTTGAAAGTGAGACTGACGGACGGGTTTCTCCGCCGGGCTGGCGGCATCAAACTCGGAGACTGCTGCCGGATGCCGGGGTCGTCCCGCGGGGCCCCATTCGAGGGGAACTCCTCACTGACTGCGGTGTCTGGATATTGACTTTTCCTTTTACGCTGCCGGATGACTTCGCGATAGATGCACGGCGTATGACGCAGCTGGCAGGTTTTGCAGGGATTGACACCATTGCACTTGATCTTCCTCTTCCTGCATTCTTGGCACGCCTTGGGAATTCGCCATCCAGAGGGCTGCGCCGGAGATATGGCGTCTGCCATTTTAGATCCTTCTGTCAACCGTTGCAACGCCGCGTCGAGCTCGGGTTTATTTCTGGCAGAAACTTGCTGCGTCATGGATGAATTGAAGCCGAGGAGTCGGATTTATCGCCCGGACGTTTATCCGTTATTCCGAGCCCCATCCGGTCTAGTCCAGTTCGGTCGCTGCCACCTGATCGGTCAGGCACCCATGCTGGGATGCAGTCAGTAATAAACACGATTTGTATTCCTTCCCTCGTCTCAAGGTATGTATTGGCTGTTCTATGATAGTTCCAGACGAGTAGGGAGCTGACGGTCGTATGGCTGCGTTTACGAACCGATATATATAGTTCCGGGCTTAGTAGTTTTGAACAACAAATACATCATCAACCAGAGGATCTTGCGAAGCTTGATTTTAAGGTAGAGCTTGGCTATACTAATACTCTGTTGAAAAATTTGTGTTTTTTGAGTTTTTGAGACTCCGTAGTTTGCGAGATCGCATTTTATTGGGCGGTCAAGTCTAGCTACAGCTTCAGTCGCCAAGTCGCTATAATGTCATGCTTGAAAGGAATTCCCCGGGTTGCCACTTTATAAACTCGGAGATGGCACAATATGTATAATGGTTTCCTGAGAGTCATACAAGGGACAGCATCTGCTTCGGGAGAAATCATCGTCACAGTTACCATATCACGATGTCAGCACGACGGACGGATGACATCGATGTATATCCCTATTTGACATAGGCTTTCTCCGAAGAAGGGTCGTCGTTCCTTCTACATATTCCCATCCATTAATTCCATTTGTTCATAGTGGAATATCTACATCTTGTCCACCGACCCTCATTTCCGTCTCTTTTCTGCTCACTGCTTTGACTCTTTTAATCTTCCCACATCAATCTTTGTCCTTCGGTAGTCCTCTTCACTATCCGGAAATTTCTGCCATTTTAGTTACCGATCTGCTTGTTATATTGCTCATCCCCTGGATTTGTGTATAAGCTTGGACACATGAAGAGGGAGACGATGAGGACAACAAGAAACACTGCTATCTCTGGCGCACTATCGATCTCCGGCCAGTCCACTCGGATCAGACTATACTACGGGTCTTCATGGGGTGAGGAAGGCTCTGACGACTTCCCGGAGAACGCCTTGCGAGTTGGAGGCGTCTCTCTATGGGGATTGGATGGCGATATTGTGGACAGACTCCCAAATGACACCAAGGACTATGAAGCCGGAGTCAGTTCAGGCAGCGGTATACGAAGAACTTTAGACAGACATGGCGTGGATGTCATAGATGTTCAATTTGGCGATCGACAGTCGTCGTTGGAACTAGATTCCGATCATAAACTCAACCTGCTCGTCCGTGCTCGATGTGATGACCCCACTGATCAGGGGTGGATCAGTCTCGCAAGAGACCTACACATGAATATGCTTCAGGAGGAGCTTAGAGAGGTCAATATCAAAATCATCGGTTCTCACTCTGGCCAGGAAGCATCCGAATTTCCATGTACACCTGACGACGACATCTTTCCTATCTGGAAAGAAGTTGCTGAAACGATCATGAAACAGATAGACCTTGCGGACGTATACTCACTCGCTTGTTATCGCATGGGCTGGAGTGGTAGTGACGACGAGTGCCCGCCTACTGTTGTCCTGGGTGTTAATCCTAGAAGCTCCAGAAACTGGAACCCCCCTAGAGACCTGATTCTAGGAATACTGGAGACCTTCAAGCTCGACTGTGTGGCGGTACATATTCGCGAAGACTCACATGTATTTGCAGATGAATACCAGCGTACTGTTGCAGTAGTGAGTGCTAGTGACTGCGAAGATGGTATTGGTCTTGGATCGACTGTGGGCCCTCATGGCTCGAGGTATCCCCATGGAACAATGGGGGGTTGGTTCGAGTTACAGGATTCTATCACTGGATATTGGGTATCCTTGGCTCTCACATGCTCACATTGCATCTTCCCTCATGAAGAGACTCTGTCTGACAGCCAGCTCGAAGGTATGTTACTCCCTTGTTCCACCCGGATGATGTTTCATAGTAATGCTTCTATAGATGTTGAATCCTGGAAGCGTGGGGGAGTTTATCTTCAAGATGAGAGAGCCAGAAAGCCCCTTTATATCGACGCCCCAATTCTAGGGGCTCTCCAAAACGGACTGGCTAAGCTAGAGTACCAAATCGAGGATCTCCAAGCCAACAAGACGTACCAGAACGTCATAAGGGCCAATGAGAACGACGAGTCTGTCCTCCCACGAAAGCTAAGCCTATGGAACCGAAACAGAAAGGCCATCATGAAACACACCAAAGAGGTAAAGGCCATGACGGAGTTCATCCAAACAGGACAATTCGTCTTTGGCCTCATTTTTGCGGCGTCAGGAAGAAAGGAGGAGCCAGCTAGTGACTCACCCGCAAATACAGCCCCCATGCTTTCTATTCGCGACTGGGCACTGATAGAATCCATTAGAGGTCCTTTTGCCGGACCCAATTATGTAAGACAAACTACATCCCACGATATTGTGTTACTGACTGGTATCATAGATTCCCAAATGGCAAGTCCCCGAATCCTCAAAGCTTGTTGGGTTTGATTTCGGTGTCCCTAAGCCTGACGAGAGGCTGCACAAGTTTGGTAGTGCTACCGGTGTCACAGAAGGTGTATACAATGGCCTAAAGACAGCTATTTTCACCACCCGGATCGTTGACGGAGAAAAAGTCACCGTGCAAACGTGGGAGCATACCATTCTTTCGGCTTTGAGTGATGTCCCCGTGGCTCAGCAAGGGGACCATGGGTCACTTCTTCTGAACAAGAGGAAGGAAGTTGTTGGAATGATCTTCGGTGGGGCATCTGGAGGGGAGATAGCCTACTTCACTCATATTTCTGATATCATCAGTGATATCAAGAATATGACTGGCGCCAGCGAGGTTCGTCTTCGAACCTAAGATAGTGCATATGTTTGACTTGGATACTTCTTGCCTGTGTCACACATTCTATCTTCCTTGCTTGTTTTGGTTGTACATACTTCGCGATCATGGATCTCTTCATCATTGTGATATCTCCCCACTCCCACTCCTGTCCCCATCGGGGTCTTTCAGGTTGAAAAAGGGCCATAGTCACAAGATTTCAAAAGTCGTTCAATAGCATATAGATTTCATTTACCGTTCTTCCTCAGCAGAAAATATCTCTTTTGGTCTCTTTGGGAACTTCTATCATGATATTCGTATCTCAGTCGTACTTAACTCAACTCTATTACAATGTTGGGCTGTCGAAATGAGCAATGTGACGGAGTTCTCCACTCATGGAATGGAGTGAATACCTTCCTGTGACATGGTTTCCCCTAGAGTCAGGCTAAGTTCCAAGAGCGTCAATGACTACAACTCTGTGTGCAGACGAAGTGACGCAAACAGAACAATCACTCTCTCCTATCATAACGAGCTGAATGCAATGAACGGAAATCGCAGAAACAGAGACAGAAGCTCGGAGTTTGATGGCGGGACATACCGTTGACACCCGGGAATACATATCGTTAAATGACTGGTGATTCCTGCATCTACATAAGGACATCTTAAGAATCCTCCCTTCAACACGTCTTTTCCGGCATTTTCGACTAGCCCGTAAGGAGCATGCTGGCTGCATCAGAGCTATAAATGGCCCATCAATTCCTCCCTTTCAAGTAGACTGCCCAGTTGAACCAAACTTTCATGCACCCTTGAGATTCACACAATTGGCCAGTTTATCACTCCAGTCACACTGTTTGTCATCATGGAAGGAGAAAGCTTTCCTCTGCTTGAACTGCCAGAGGAACTGGTTCTTGAGGTCGTCAAGCAGATGGATAAGTGTTCACTTAGTCGTGTCGATTGTACATGCGAGAAGTTGCATGGACTCTGTCATCCTGAGTTGCTCAGGATTGCAAAGGACATTGGTCGGCCGGAACAGAGCTTCTATGACAGATTGGATATCAAGGTCTGGCCAGATAATGATGTCAGGTCCGGAATGACTCCACAAGAACAGAAGCTCGTGTTGGCTGATCCCAACTTTACGCCTCCTCGCGAATATTTGTCCAACGCAGTGGAGAACGGAGCTTATGATTCCGTCAAGTTCTTCCTAAAGGCAGGTCTGTCTGTAGACACTTTCAACTTAGAAGGCTGTCCCATACTCCACCTCTCCATCCGCAGCGGCCACATCGATATTACCAAAATGTTACTAGAGAAGGGCGCCGACGTCAGTCTCACGATGAATGAGGGCTACACTCCTTTGGACAGTCTCTGTCACGCTCCTGCGGAAACTCGAGGGGAGCTGGCACGGGTTCTCCTTGAAACTGACAGTAAGGTTCGATGGATGGAATTGTTGCTTTACACAGTTCTCGGCACGGAGTGTCCTGCTGACCTCCTTGAAAGGATGCTCGAACGGGGCATGTTGGATCTTCACACCTGGAGGAATCAGCATTGCGGCGAAACGGTTTTGCATATCGCTGCATCTACTGGAGGTGATTGTAAGCCCGTTGGCACCATTGAGGATTACTATGAGGTCGGGGGCAACACTGAGGCAGTAGTGTACATTCTACGCCATGCACCGGAACTTCTAAATGATTTTGGGTCTTCTGGTCAAAGGGCCCATCAAAGGACGGCTTTGGGCTCAACGATTAATATTAACCCCATCAGTGCGACTTACTTAATCCAAAGAGGGATTACACTCGCCAGGAGAAAGGATGCAGAGACTTCTCGAGACGACGTCATTCATCTATTAAACAAGGCAGTGTTCCATCGATATACAGACGTTGTCCAGGCCTTATTGGCCCGACCTGAACTGGACGGTTATGGTTCTGAAGATTGGAACCTTGACGGAGGACTAGAACCTCTGACAAGCCTTTTCAGGCAGACCTCTTGCGGAAGGGATGTCGAAATAATGGAGGTATTGACCCAGGGACGCCGTTTTCACTATGACCCTGTGTTCATCAACAAATGCAAAGATTTAATATCCAAGAAGAAAGAGGAGGAGCGGAAGGAATTTGAAGCAATTTTGGAACTCTTGGAGAAAGCCATGTCATAGGACAGCTCGGAGTGACTTTCTACTTGAGACGGTGGGTTAAGATTGTTAGTTTTATCAGTGGACCTGACCTGGGTACTCCTAGTCTACTCATATCATAGTTGATACTATTTTTCCATGACTGGAACACTCTCATTTCATTCCTTTAGAAAAGGGCTTTTATATTAATAACATATTCACCACCGATAGACCAACTGATCCCACTAAGGATCTTCTTACACAATGTCATAGTAGTAACAGCTCATGTCCCTATATTCCGCATAATCAACATCATCTCTTAGAGTATCACTAGAGCCAATTATCATACTTTACCTTTGAGGCCCTTCTTGATGTAGCCACCAGCTATCTAGTGAAAATCCCATCGACTTGCATACTTACTCAACAACTGTCCCCAAAACAGCAGCAACAGATTGTTATTGTACCCGAATGCGTCCTTTTAATAACCAGGTTACACGATGCAGCTCGGAATTCTAGACCGTATCTTCCCTTTACAGTAGCTATCTTGTATTACTTCGATTCTTTTTACTTACTATAGTCCGATTTTCGTTATATCTCCATGGCTGGTCGCGAGATTAAGTGTGGCGACATGTGTCTATTATTTTATTCAGATGCTGCTGCTCTTGAGATTGGGGTAGATATTCGTGCGTCGAGGAGGTCGTTTGGGATATTGCACTGCAAGGTAGTAGGGCTGTGGATTGTGGGGATATATATCTGTTTCCAAGAGAGTGGGCTCAAAGCTAGCGAAGAAAGGTTTTGGTCCTCTCAGGTCCTATGTATGATTCGGATACTTGCATGACTGTTCTCTAACAAGTTCAGGTAATGTTCACAGGTAGGATGGAATCCCTGTGGCGAACTTTCGAGACGTGTATACCTCTCTCGTTAGTGGAACAGTTCCAAGGTGAATAGATTCCAACATGTGACACTCAAGGCGACGTAGGAAAGGGCCTCCTGTTTTGATCGAAGCCAATGCTTCTGGCTATGGAAGCTACATTCATCCTGCCGGAATGCTCCTGCAGGACCAGATGCTGGGAAAAGGCAAGACCCTAGCCAGCACCTGCCTCTGATGCATTGGCACCGATTTTCCTCTACCCATCTATGTATTGCTGGTATCCATCCATCTTTCTTGTCACTCCTGTTACCTAAAAATCCTGTTTTACTCCACTTGAAAGACATTATTGTGTTTTGTCAACCAGACAAGTTGCCCAATTGTCAGAAAACAAAGACAGAAGCAGACCTTATAAGGGTGCTTTTACGGGAAATAGCAGTGTATGCATGTATCCAAAAATTTTCAGATATGTCAATTGTTGGGACACAGTCTTCGTTCCGTCTGTTCTCCAGATGGCCAGCGGATTTCCGTTTTGGCCTACTGGTATGAAATTAACATCAATCCTTCTACGCCTTTCAGACGTATTACACAGCTAGACCTACTCGCTGGCTCTAACAGTAAATACTCGATCATCCAGAGTGAGGCCATGGTCCGACTTCGGCAATAAACATGCAGTTTCTGCTTCGGTATTCCCCGATGTGGTTGGTAGCAGACTTAATTCTGACATGTCGATCGCGCACCCCAGGACGGAAGTTACTCCTATGCTCAACTGCTCAATTCGAAGCATCTGTGGTGTCTGCATTGCGCCATCGGCCCTGAAGATTGGCACGATGCGACTAGACTCCACTCAACCCTAATCCTGCGGGCCGAGCGGGGCGGGCCACCAACCCGTGCCCTGTTTTACCCCAAGAGACCCAAGTCTCGACTGTGTTTGAGACAGAGGACTGAGCCGCTCAGATGGGGGCGGAGTCTATAATACGAAGTAAGTATCAGTGAGGCTTACCTCAGATCTAGAGCATGTAGCGAGATAACGCCATCGGAGACGGCTATCGCCTCATGATCCTTGATCGGCGCCGTCAGTATACCAGCTGACTTGTGTTTGCTCCGAACAGTACGCTACGCACCTGATGGTCTCCTCAACTGGCGTTTTGCTCGGTGAAAACGTAGCAGCGACAAGAGAAGAAGCCTCATTTGGAGTCTTCTGAAAAGCAAATGGATTCCAACACCAAAGTGACTGACAGTAAAAAGGTATTTATCAACGCTATTTCAGACAAGTAGGTGTTGCTAACACCCGATCCAGCAGCAAACACAGATTAGGGTTCTTGTCGCCTGTCCTCGGTCTGGTTCTACACTTTTCATGCGCATCTTGAGCGAGCTGCCTCGTTGTGCAGTCACGAGCAGGCTGATTCTCCAAGGCATATCACACGTTCGGCGACAACTGTCTGTCTCGTGTCAAGCCAGACTATACGATCTATGATCACCCCGAATCCCATCCTGTCTATCAACAGGCACTGACCGAAGGATACTCCACCCTGGTAACCAAAGAGGAATTAGGCCCTTGATTCTTCAAGAGCGAATGTGACTTCGACATCCTTCCCAACAAAGCCGCCTACGAGATGACACGGCCTGTATTTATCGTCCGAGACCCGGTCCGTGTTTTTGACAGCTGGAAGAAGTTGGGCTGGGGTGATCTGTACAGCTTCTTCATCTGCTATCGCTCCCTTTTCAAAATGCTACAAGCCAGCCCCGTGCCCCAGGTGGTCATCTACGAGCAACTCGTATCCGACGCCAGAGGCACCGTTGCCGCACTGGCCGATTACTGGGACATTCTATTTGACGACTGGTGTCTGGAATTCAAGCGACCGTTTGGAGATTACATCTTGAATGGTGACCGGGACCAATCCATCAATCAAGGCACCGTTCCGGATGGTCTATTTGATCGCGTCAAGACTCACACGCATGTCGAAGACTTCAGTGGTCATGGACTACTCTCTGCCCTCGAGATCGAACATATCGAAGCTGAAGTAGGCACCCTGTACCTGGAAGCTTATGGTCCGAGGTTAGGTCCTGTTTTGACGCTGCTCGCATCGAAGCCTTGGTTTGGTTTCGACTTGGACGATACACTGCATGAGTTTCGAAAAACTTCTGCCCATGCATCATTTTCTGTATTCGAGGCTATTCAAGCCGCTCACCCCGATGCCAAGGAGACGATAGACGATCTGGAAGCTACATATCGCGATGTCCTCCGCTCCAAGACGGCAAATGCCTTCACCGATGGGAGAACATCAGAGGACTACCGCAGGGAGCGGTTCTCTCACCTCCTCGAGGCTCACGGACATGAACCATCCACAGAGACCCTCGAACATCTACTAGTGGTGTACAAGAACAGACTCCGCGCAGCTCTGACACTAAAAGCCGGTGCACTTCACCTCCTCGAAAAACTGAAGGCTCGCGGGAAGGGGGTCATCATAGTAACCGAGGGTCCTCAAGATGCACAGGAATGGACCATCGCGGAGCTAGGGTTGAAACCCTTCATCGATATTCTTGTGACGACAAATGAGGTCAGGAAGTCCAAAGTGGACGGTCTTTTCACCGCTGTATTGGAAAAATACAACATTGCTCCCGGGGACTTGGTCTATATTGGAGACAATAAACAGCGCGATATTATCCCAGCACGAGCGGCAGGAATTGATACGGTGCTGTACGATGAGAAGAGTAACTGTCAGTTTGATGACCCTCACAACCTTCGACTGAACTCGCTCCCAAAACTGGAGTATCTGGTGTGTGTTGTTCACCATGGAAGTTGGGGATTTTGACTCGGGGTTTGGGTAGGTCTAAGGAAGGTTGGGTTTATCATTTAGAATGGTTAAGATGTGCTGTTCTTCTTGTGACTATACTATTATCAGTTGCAAGGTGAAAGTAGCGGGGCTAAAAATGGTTGCTTGCTTGTATGAATGACAAAACTCACCGAATTGCTTTGGAGTCATTGGCATATATAGCCGCCTACATGATATAGTCACCTCATACTCCATCGGTAATTCTTCTAATCCCCTGAAACTGGCCTTCGTGTAGGCAGCAAGATATAACCTTGACATTCGACAATATTACCCTCGAGATGGCCATGGTAAACAACGCCAATCGTATTCTAGAACAGCGGTACAGGTGCTTTCCTGTCTGAAACGGGCAAAGTTACACCAGATACAGTACCTCAAGCCAAGTCCAATCAAGTGACATTCTATTAATCTAATCCTGCCCTCTAAGTGTGTTATTAAGCTATATGCCCATGTTCCAATATGACAGTCGGAAATAAAAAGGTTACGTGTATGGGAAAAAATCGATAACACAATCCAAAGATATAGACTGAAGAAAAACTATATCAGTAATATTCTACTGGTCTACCAGTAACATGCAAGTCTTTATTCTCTCCCTGCCTTCAGCTTCTCATTCCTCTTTTCGATTATAATACTATGGTACGGTGTGTTAAGATCCTTAACTTTTGACAGTGAGTCTCAGAGTCCTGTTAGTCCACTCATGATGCAAGTTGGTGCCATTGATCCGTTGATGTTGGATAACCTCATATTGTCACTCTGGAACGAAGTGGTAATACTGTGACATGATTTATCACCAATAGAGTAACTGTTCTCATTAACGAGTTTCCACACCATACAATAGTAGTCAATAATATTATCCCCTAGATCCATGCGTGGGGCAATCTTATCAAGCAGTCCTTGCGCAGCCGCGTGTATCCGAAGATATAGTACTCCACAAACTCCATCAACACCATCATAAAATCATGACACATGAATCGTTCCCTTAAGCCGGTTTGAACCACTTGTCAGAACTATACCACCGAACACTCAAGTCGATAACTCCGTAACCTGACCCATCCACCACTTAGCAAAACAGATAGAAAGCGAGAAATCCGCATCCTCCTCCGTCTTGAAGTCATAGAGCCTTGTTACACGGATAACAAGATTTTCTCCATCGAGATATGCCTCCAGCGCACGAGCACAAGTGTCCATAAACGAAAACAGCAAAATCTGAACGATATTAGCTGATTCACTCTCATTTCGCAGGGCAGGAAAGGCCATACCGGAGCATTAACGTATGCACGTGTCACCTTGTGTGTAAGACGACCTCTCATAATATCAATAATTGTCAGGACTTCTCCACGCAGCAACCGCTCATCACCGACGGCTTCATTGATAACCATGGCTTTCAGGTGGGGATGATGATCCGGCATATCCCAGGCGGCTTGGACTTGCCAGCGTTGGGGGCGGCATTCAAGGAGTTGGCCGAAATTAATGAAGTCACCGAAGCTAATTGAATAAAGGGATATGGGTATTAGTGGGTATCTATATAGAAGAGGGGGGAGCGACGGACTCTCGATAACGCGGCCCGATTGGATACTTGTCGCTCTGGGGCAACTCGGAATGACAGACAAGCTTGTCGAGGAAGTCTTCCAGGTCTCTTGCATTTTCCCAGGCACCGCAGTCGAAGAGTGGCCAGGAATCAGAGATGTATCCATCCGATGTCATTTGAACTTGTCCCTTGTAGAGGTGGAAGAAGTTGGGCAGGAGGTCATCGTCGGTCAGAGACATTGGGCTTAGGTGTATGCCAGCGGAGTCAAGATCCGCTGCACTGAGATACGCGTACTCCAGATCTTCAACGGCCTTCCTGATGGCTCCGAGCCTTTCGCGGCGAGCCTCTCGCTCGGGGCGCCGGTCAATTGCGGTCATTGCGTCAACTGGCTTTCAGAAGTCGATGGAAGGCAAACGGATGACAGTATCAATCGGGCTATGTGTAGATAGTGGGGAGATAATCCAGCAGGCAATAGGGTACTGGGTTCACCATAATATTTGAGAAAGCGTGAAGAGTGGTCGAGGTCGCGGAGAGGGGAAGGGGAAGCGGAAGGGAATTCCCTGAGTGGGGAGGAGCGAGCCCCCCTCCTTCCTGACATGGGCCTTGCGGTATTGCGTTATCGCTCAGTTGACGATGCTGCCAACGGAGTCTCAACAGCGAGTACGCTTCTACTCTTTTCTTTCAGTGCCCCCCCGCCCCCCCCTTCTTTATAATAATCAGACTGATCGTTCTACATTAAGCATCGTCATGCCCGACCTTCGGACGCTGCCAACCACCCCCACGGCGGGCGGCTCGGTCCAGAAAGCTACAAACCCCAAATATCCATACAGCTACCATGAAATCGGCCTCCTCCATAACACCAGAACAATACCTATCGCTCCCTGTCCTCTGGAAGACTAGCAAGAGGACTACTCTCAAGCTGGAAAATTATGATCTTCACGCCTGGAAGTTGAAAGCAGATGAAAAGCTTAAGGGCTATTCATCCTGGAACACGTATCTAACCAACTTCACATTGGATTTGGACTCCATCCCGGAGTCCACTTTTGCGCCGGCTCTTTACTTTCAGCGACTCGTTAGCGATACCTCCTCGGACGGACCAGTTCCAGATGTTACATTTTCTCCCGTTACGAGCCGTACTCGCACGAAGACAGGGAAGCTGCCTCAAAAAATGGCTAATTTGTACCTACAAACCCCGACGAAGTCTACGGGGAAGGATCTCGGTACCTTCGACGAAGAGGAGTCCGCAGACGAGGGGACAGCCGCTAGCGCGCCAGTCGCCGAGAGTCCTGGTCCAACCGAAATTCTTGACCAGATGTACAAGCCGACAAAAGATGAGGAGATTGTCACGGCGGCGCTCTCGAACTTTCTGGTTGGGCTGACGCTCCATTTTAGTATATCCAATCGGTGGACCGTACACCGAAAACCATTCAAAGCTGACTTTCACCATGCGTCGTTCGAAGCCCGAGTTGATGGGTACCTCGAGGATAGAGGGCCTGCGGGAGTTGCGAAGGTTCGCGCCCTCATTGAAGTGAAGCCAGTCCTCCGGAAAAAGAAAAGAGTACGAATCTGTATGCAGGAGGCTGCGCAAATGGTGGCATGGCTCAAGAACAGTCCAGATCCCAACGGAACTCTAAATTACATTGGCCGGTACATATTCATTTCCTTGGTGCAAGGGAAGCCAACTGACCCCGGTTCGCAGCCGTCTCCACGTGTCAGAGAACCGCCATGAGGTATATATCATCTTTGCGGAATACTCTGAGGAGTATATGAAATACCTGGACAATAGCCAACCTGTGGATGCCGACCTAACCTTCCCACCACGCATGAGTTTGGCCCCTGGGATATCAACTCTTTGTCCGAAATAAAGGAGCTAGGCAGTATAATCCTGGCGACAAGTCTGAGGGCACAGTCAGACATGGGAGAAGAAGAGCGTGGGCAGAAGGAGAGGGACATGGAAGTCAGGTGTGTATTCCATTTACCAAGGTATCTTCACTGCTAACCCACCTCATAACAGTACGCAGAGCGAAATGGGCGTCGCAATTGCTGCTTAATGCATCGCAAGCCTCATATGCCTGTCTCATGATGGGAAGGAGCATTATAAACGTACAGTTATGCGATACATATTCTTAATTGAGTTGTTTAGTATTTTAGAATAGAGGCCTTGTGTCTTGCATCCGAGGGGGGAACTAAGAGTCATTGTATCATGAATATCTCCTACTTCTGAGTCTCATAAAAGGATGCCTAGAAACTGGACAAGGTGGTGCCATGCTCGATCGTGTTGTCGCGCACTGTGTAAGCCACTGATCGAAATATGAATTCAAGGCAAGAGAACGCACGGACTGATGATGTCATAGTCATTGGACAGATCAGTGATCAGATGGATAAGGGGCAGTGGGAATGGTCTCTACGGGGTCCCGTAGTCACCCACCCACCACGGGATCCCCCCACGCGGGGTTCCTCCACTCTCATTCAACCCACACACAATCACACACCCCTCCCTCCATCCATTGAAATGGCTTCGTCTAAACAAACTCAGGACACCATTCCAGAGTGTCTCAAGCACTCCCATAACCGGGTGTTTGAGAACAATCGCGCCTGGGTAGCTGCCAAGAAGCAAGAGGACCCCTCCTTTTTCGAGAAACTGAATGCCGGCCAAAGTCCCGAATATTTGTAAGAACCACCCCACTAGTTCTCTAGTCGTTTCACCTTGGTGGCACACATGGATCTAGAACTAACTCCACTTTCTCGATTTCTAGGTACATCGGATGCAGCGACAGTCGGGTGCCCGCCAATGAGATCATGGGCCTGGAGGCAGGCGAGGTCTTCGTTCACCGCAACATCGCCAACCTGGTCCCCAACACCGACCTCAACGTCATGTCCGTCATCAACTACGCCGTGCGTCACCTGAAGGTCAAGCACATCGTTGTCTGCGGCCACTACCAGTGCGGTGGGGTTCAGGCCGCCCTCACCTCCTCTGACCTGGGGCTGCTGAACCCCTGGTTGCGCAACATCAGGGACGTGTATCGCTTGCATGAGCGGGAGCTGGATGCAATCAAGGATACAACGGCCCGGTACAAGCGTCTGATCGAGCTGAACGTGGTCGAGTCGTGCCGGAACATCATCAAGACTGCCGCCGTGCAGCAGAGCTTCCACGAGAACAAGTTCCCCATTGTGCACGGGTGGATCTTTGACATGGAGACTGGGCTGCTTCGGGATTTGGAAATTGATTTTGAGGACACATTGCGTGATATTAAGAAGATTTACAATCTGGCTCCGGTTTAAGGGTGGTCATGTGCTAATACACCACGGGGATATACAAATTCAATCCACGTATAGATGGTTTCAGCCTCCATATCTTTCATCTGTACATGGCATAGAACAATACACGGTTAATTGCCACTCATAGCTTTTTGACCACGTTATCTGATTGACCAGCGCATGTTTAATCAACATGTTATCTCCATCCCAGTACTTATAATATCATTCCCAAACATCCCGCCAAATTAAACCAAAATTATAATTCCCAGCCTTATCCGTCTATCCCGCCAATTGATACATTAATCAATCATGAACCCTACCTAGACGCCCTCTATCCCCTCAACATGTGTCACAGCAAGTCCATCCTAGATCATCAACTGTAAAGGTTGGGAGTGTTTGGATTGTTCGACATTGTCAAGGGTTTTGATAGTGGGTGCTCTAGTGGTCGCTGGATTTGGATAATCTTGTTGATTCTAATGGTTTATTTGAGGTGAACAGAGAAGTCTTGTTTATAATTCCTCCATATACTATGTGACTGGCCATACACAGATGACCTATCACCTATCTAATTCGGGGTTTTCTAAGCAAGCAGATTCGGATCCCACATCGAAACGTCTTACCTGTCGGCCTCGGATTTACAGGCAACGAAATAATAATTACCTATTTCAAGACCACAATAATATGTAAACTCGTCTTATCAATATGACATCGGAGTAAACCAAGGTTCGGATATCGGGGCGGAGATAAGATCGGGGATAGCAATATGCCGGATATGATCTGAAAATGAACGAGGAACCAATAACATGTATCTACATGTTATGAGTTTGCTTCATTCAAGTTTCTCATCATTGTCAAAGGTCTGTGGCTCTCGGCAGGAGATGTGTCTACTTCTATACATTAGTACTGATTTTGATAGATTCGTTCTAAAAATTCTTGTTGGGAATAGCTCGGCCAGTGCCTGCGTGCAACAACGATTGTGATACAGCCCGACTGCTACAGCCTGACAGCCACGCGCCACTTGCATCAGGAGCTTCTGGTTCAGTCAATCTTGCGGTGTGTGGCGGAGTATTCTCAAGTGAACGCGTGGGAGTCTTCACGGATAATCCTTTAGCGCAGTGGGTCGAGGGCTTTACCGAATACCACTTACGCGGTTAGCTCGTATTAGGAGAACCGGAGGGGTCGGATCGACACGGGGAGTGGCTCTTATTGGTTTGAGGGATGGAATAGGTGTTTGTGCGGGGCAAGTCGAGGCAGCTCCACAGCATTTAATGGTCTCGAATCCCGCCTTCTTCCCGTCCATCAATCCGTTGTCTTCATACTGCTCTATCCCACCTCTACCACACCCCCTTCACACACAATGGTCGACTTACAACAAGTAGCTGACTATTCCGAGGAACTCAACATCGACACCACCCTCCTGTACAGCTACATCGAACGACATGGTGATCGGGACATAGACTCACTACGAGAACTCTCCCCAGAAGAACGCGCCAGCTCGCGCGTCCTCTCGCTCATCTTCGAGCAGGAACAACTTCAGCCCTATCTCCGATGGCGGGCCGACAGGCAGGACCGGATTCAGGTTGATTACAGCAACTACACCATCCCGGACAGCTTCGGTGCCGAGTCAGTCTCAGGCAATGAGGACGCGGCCGCGACGGAGGACTGCGAGGTGATCATGCCCGGCTATAACGCGGGATTTTCGTTGCACCGCGACAAGGCAATCTTCATCCCTGCCCTGCGGGAGGAGATGGCTTCTGTGTTCGAGAGCCGTGGTAGTGGCTGGACTGTTCTTTCGCTTGGGGTCGTAGCCCATGATACCACGCTGTATTTGCTGCTTCCGACGGCGCTGGTCCACGATTACCGGGCCCGAGTGGAGGATCGGATTAATGGTGACTGGGTGGATACGGATGTTGCTGATCCGACCTTTGATGATCAGATTGAGGGATTGAAACGGTGGGCACCGGAGAGGACCCGGTTCGTGGGCCGTCGGGTGGATGTTCATGGCGATGCAGGGTCGCATGTTTGTGATCGGGTTAAGGAAGTGCTGGTGGCTGCCGTTGTTGACAGCAGTTTGCCACCTCCCATTACCTGCACGATTGTGGAGGCGGGCCATGAGGTCCTGCAGGTGCTGGACACGCATATGAAGCGCTTGACTGACTGGTGGCGACCGAGTAAGGACATGTCCAAGGAGCAGACACTGGGGATGGCGAATTATGATACGATGGAGGAATATGAGACCCCGAATTACCATGATGAAGTTCATTGCAAATCCCCAGAGGAGGGAACGTATAACGCACCATCCGAGCAGCGCGAGGTCTATGTCAAGTATCGGGTTCGTGGAGGCTACATGCTGAGTAATGGGAAGTTTGCTCGTGATAATGCCTGGGGGTATAACCCCTACACGAGCAGTTTTCTGAGCATTAGGAAGATATTTGGGATTAACTAGTATATGATTATCTGATCGAGCAAAATGAGGTAATGACATAGTACTCCAGAATCCAGACATGTGTACTCACGGATTCATCGATTCTGCTATAATATTTCTTTCCGGGTGGCCACGTTCAAATATCATAGTAAGCCCAATGCCAGTTCTATCTTGGAATATAGCGTTTTTATTCATAATGTGGACAGAATTCTCATCGGAAACATGCGCGAATCTATGCTCTTGATGCAGCAAGCTAGTAGAGACCGCCGGCATCTTGTGTCGTCGTATGGCAAGAGTGGTTGAAACGGATCATAATGAGCGTGAGCAAACCACTCACTGAGTATTCGAACAATATCCTCTATGCGATTCATTGAGGAGTAATAAAAAACATACAACAGAAGGGATTCGCTGGTGGTCACCCACCCAACTACTAACCTCCCGGCGTGTGGCTTGAGTACGGCTGAGCGGACGGGAAGCCCTATTTTCCACACCCTGTGGTCGTATGTACTATACCACTGTTAGATCAAGTATAAATAGGTACAAAGGATTCCAAAAAGCATAAGGAGACTGGGTGATGGAATCTATTCAAGTACTAACCTCCTGGGGTGTTGCGTACGTTGCAGATAAATCAGTTTTTTCAATTTTCGGCATCGCATGCCTGCCAACTGGTCAAGCTCATTGATTCAACCGTATGTAGCCGGATAGTCTACTAGACTAAAATTGCGCCGACCATTCAAACTTGATTTACTTGGCATTGTTGACTCTTTTACTACAATGACTGCTCAGATATATATAGCAAGTACAGCAGCACAAAGAACCTCTCCAACCACAGCAATCTCATAATTCAAATCCAGCAAATCTATCTAACCAAATACGAAAACAAAACCATACCCTCGCCCCGCGTCACCCCTGTTCAAAATAAGACAACAAAATCAAAAACTCAATAAACTCTATACCCCCATACTATATCTACCCTCTCATCCATCACCACCTCCACCTCCCCCCTACTTCTCCGCACCCCCACACCTCCCCAAACACTCCTCCACCCTCAACGCCATATCCTCAGGAATCAACCCCCTCAACCTCTCCACCTCCTCCTTATCAATCTTCCCCCCAAACGTCCTCCCCACGACCCCATCATCAAACTCAAACAACTGCTCCGCCACCAACCCCACCGCAAACTCATCCGACGTAAACGTAGCCGTGAAATTCGCTGCCTCGCAATCGGGGTTCACCTGCGTGTGGAACGATCCCGCAGGGTAGATAGTGACTTGGCCCGGGTAAAGGTCGTTTGTGATTACGCGCTGCGTGTTGTTGGCGTTCAGGACGCCGGTCTCGGGGATCATGGAGGAGATTATGTGGCCGGAGGTTAGGGCGAAGAGTTCGGTTGCGCGCGGGTGGAGGTGGAGGAAGGTCATGCTGCATGCTGCATGGTGTTAGGGTATGTGTTAGGGTGGGAGTGTGGGGAATGGATGGGGGAAGGGGTGGGGGAAGGGGTGGGGGTTACCTGGGAGTTGGGAGATGCTGAATGCTGCGCCGACGTTGACGAGAACGGGCCAGTTTTGGCTGGTGGCGACGGGGAGGTCGGTGTTTGTGGTGAAGTCGAAGATGAAGGAGGTGTCGTTGGGGAGGAGGTTGTAGCGTTCGATTGCTCTGGGGGGTGGTTGGTTGAGATGGTGGTGGTGATGGGTTAGGGTTAGGACTTACGTATCGGCTAGGCGGAGTTGAGCTGTTAGGCTGAGGTCGGAGTTTGAGCGGGTGGTTAGAGGTTGGGGGAGTGCCAATACTTCAAGGACAAAAGAAAGTAGTAGGATTATAAGATTGAAGGTTTTGGAGGGTGTGATGAACATGGTGGATGGTAGGTTTGAACTCTGATGGGCTGGTGTGATGTTTGTGAAGGTGGGGATGGTGAGTATATTCGATGTTGATGATGTCTTGAACATTCGAGGAGGTTATCAGACTTATATACTTGGGAGATACACTGTCTAAGGTATCAATTTCAAATATCTACATCACAGCCACAAATCTCCAGTCCATACAATGTCCTCGCCAAGGTCATCTTTGTTCGTGGTCGTGCTCTTGGCACTGCCATGGGCGTATTACTAATACGCCGCGGCTCAGTGTTGTATGCAGGGTCTTCTGCAGGACTGCGTACTTCGTATTAAGGTCCTTGACAGGATTTCTGACGTGATACATCATTTTTTCTGCCTCTACTGCTGAGGATAGCTATTTGTCGCGGAAATGTTATGATGTTATTACAGAACTATACAGTTTCACAATGCTAAACATGCGGAGTATCACGGCATGAAATCGGGCGTCAGTTGCCGCTTGGCCAAATACATACTCTCGGGCCACCACATTCCTCCAATATCAGTCAACTGACCTAAGACATTGTGTGTCTTCATCAATAAGATCACCTGGCTGAGTTCCCACTGTCCGATGTTACGGATCCACCAGACCCCATCCAACAACATGACCAGGACCAGCCAATGAGCGAATATGTCCATAACCAGGACATGGATCGGACTGAGTGATAATGCAGAAGAATTCCGTGCTCTCACCTTCTCGACCCGGGTATCCGTGGCAGGGGAATCCAGTACCGACTGAACGAGTTCGAGAAACTCGGTCGGTGCTTGGTTCAAAAAAGACATAATGATCCGTCGGAGGATCTGCGGCGACTCCATCGAAGTCACACTGATCATATATTGTGCCACCCATGGTGAGACAGCAGCAGAGGATCCAAGGATGGACGTGCACTGAGAAACCCAAGGGGCCTTCCCTTCGCGACTTCCTCGTGCTGATAGCGCTGCACATGTGCAATTCTCCAGGACAGATATGGTTTCCAGGGATGCGTGAATCCGTCGTCGGTCAGTGCTGCTACATGATGCAGAAGAATGCCGCAGCAGCAGATCGGCTGTGCGTTCTGCTCTCCTGCGGAGACTCCCTAAGGCTCGATCATAGGTAGATGCGACGAGAGGGAGGAATAGACGCTTCGTTTTCGCAGATGGGCCGTCTTCAGGCGACAAGATACCATTTCCTGAGATACTAGGCATTGTAGCAGGGAACTCTGGTTGCGTATTTATCCCCGCGCTGATGGCACCCGCGACAATATCATTGAGCACAGCGGTAGACGCCGTATGTGCTGCGCGGGTAAAGGAAATCCACTGCGAGTGCTGTGGTAATAATTCTATCGGTAGTTGCTGTCCGTATTGTTTGGCCATGGCTGCCAAATGCACGCGGATGGAGTGGCTAGCCGATGCGTACAAGACCATCAGTGCCGCGTTTGCGAGGACGTTATCATAGGATTCGGAGCTTTGCATGGTCGCTTGGATGTGGTGGAGGGAAGCCCTATGATGGCGTTCGGCTAGTGCAAGGAGCTCTTGGATCTCCGTTATCTTCTGGGTGTCGAGTGGCTTTTGGTTTTGTTCATGGGCAATGTCGTGGCATTTGCATGCTGCAGCCAAGCTTAGCAGGGAGGACATGACTGCCTTGCATTGGAAGGCGAGATTGGGTACCCCGACTGCGAGGGCGTGGAGATCGAGAGGGTCAAATGGGATGGTTTGGCTGGTGTGTGTGAGATAGTGGGATAAGAGACTGAGTTCGGTCGCGTTGAGAGGGCTCGGAGAGAGCGCATTTGAATCCGATCTATCCTTTTCGGTATTCGTTCGAGAACGAGGGATGGGGTCTGATAGACGATCATTTGAATGCGTGGATGGTAACTCAGACTCTGAGACTTCAATCCTGGGATAGTCCGTCTCCGACTCGCTTGTACTCGGGCGCTGCGGATATCGACATGTATACAAGCGTCTGGTACATCGAGAGCAGCTGGGCCTCAACTCGTCGCACTAGTGTTACAATTAGTGGGTTTGTCCATTGTGTATCCTTAAGATGGAAACACAGCATATCGCTGTACAGTACCTTTTTGCGTTGCTGCTTGCACCCGAGGCAACCATTGCGAGACTTCTCATGTTTCTTCCGAAGCCTGTATCCGGACGCTAGTTCTGAAAGTGTCGTATCAATAGGCATATCGTTGATGGCGCGCTAGTCACACTGTGGACACATAAAGTTGAGCTTCTTTGGGGAAGGGCAGTTGGGCGTATTAGTAAAGGTTAAGCGCAAGGCTGAGTTTACTCAGCCTCGTGGGTGGAGATGTTGCTCGTGTAGAATCAGCGCTAAAGTATTAAGGTTTTCAGAATTTGTCATGATTGAGTGGTCCAGCTTGAGGCTCTACTTGATTTAATAATTATGAAATTAAAGTTATTCAGTAGTTGGGCAGCTGTGAAGAAAATGACCGGTCGAATTGCTAGTTGTCAAGCTGCAGGGCTGTCTTGGCGTTAATCAAAGTCGTATCCTGATACGAAACCGACCACGGTTGAGGAACATAGCATAGCTTGTCGCAAGAAGCAAATAGACTTGATTCTTTCAAGCTATGTATCTCAGCCACAAGGTAGCATCCTGTATTCTTCGTACTTCATTAAGGCCTGGGTTGGTCTTCGAGTGGACGGGTGGATGCCTGATTAAGGCATGCATCGGGCCGAGATGCATAACAGTTCTCACGTGGCACACAATACCATTACCATCACAACCCTCCGCTATATTTATGGTGTCAAAGGAAACAGCATAAAATTATGGTATGCAGGCTACCGAGACATCTCTAAGCGACATGGCCAAACATAACACAAGCCCAACATCCCACGTGACCCTCGCCTACTCTTTCACTACGGAATTCTCCCGGGGAATATAACTAGGAACAGGCTTTGGAGAGGCCGAGCGTACAAGGGTCTATCTTTTCACTATCTGATCTTTATCCATGATTTTGAGATTCCTATGAATAGCTAATGTGACATTCAGACTGTAGGTGAGCCAAACCAAGCAAAGGATAAAACGCGATTAGCGTCTGCAACTTCGGGGTGTATTCATACTCCCTACTTCGTACATCACTTGTTGTTAGGATCGTTCTTCTCTATCTTCTTTCCTACACTCTAAAAATATGCTGCTTCTCACCCATACTACGGATCACTCGCAACTTCAAGAGATTAACACCACGCGTTCTAAGAAGCCAGGATCGCAAATTATTCGACATAAGATAAGAGACAGTAGCTCCCGGGATAGTCTCTCGCAAATCAAAACAATAAGTGGATAATATACTGATGTCCTTCCGCCCGCAATTCAACACGCATGACTGACAGATAGCATGACTGCAGTTTCTAGGATTCGTTGATGCTTCCTCCTCGCGTAGAAGCCTCTTTTGAACGGCCTCGCTTTTTCCTGGGGACTATGCGCCATTCTGCCCCAAACAAGGCTTTATTGAACAAAAACAATGAGATCTATAAACCACCCAGACGGCCTGCCAAGGCATTATCTTATCAAAATGGACCGTGCGCCTCGACCCCGCCCAACCCCACTGCTGACTGTCCAAACCAATTAACCAGGCGTCGTACAGCTTCCCCATCGCTGACGCCACCTGCACCATACCTCGCGTGACATCTTCCGACCCTCGGACTTGAAGGATGCAGCAACCTGCAGCCGGCAAAACCCCGACCCCTGCTCCAGGGCCATGCGCATATCAAGTTTTCGGCGCTTAAGTCGGTAGTGATAAGCCATGGGGGGAGATAAGTGTGGCCAGGGGTATTAAAGCTGGGGCCATCCCGTTTACCTTATTTTGTAACCCCACGAATCAGTCATCGATCGGGTCCGGTTCGATACCATGGCTTCTCAGACACTGATGCAGACGATTATTCCCAAGTTGTCCTTGGAAGGGAGTGATGATAGTGAGAACGTATGCCATTTGCTCTTCACACGAAAACATGGACATCTCATTTCGTGTCTATAACTGACCAAATAACAAGACGCCTGAATGGATGAAGAATCTCCGTACAAAAGGCTGGACCGTCGTTCCCGATGTCCTCACCCAAGAACAGGCCGCCCACTATGCCGATAATTGTTACGAGTGGCTGGAAGGTTGGGGTCTCGGATATAACCGCCACGACCCCTCTACGCGGAAATCGGCAGACCTCCCTTGGCATAGTCGTGGTGGATTGTACAATCGGTGAGTTTCAACTTACCTGAGTAAGTCCTCGCTAACATGGATTAGATACGGCATCGCTCACGAGCAGTTCGTATGGGATTTGAAATCGGAATCGGCTCTCGTGGAGAAATTCGCCCAGATTTGGGGAACGGATGAGTTGGTTGTTTCTTATGGTATGTCTCCATCCGACATCATTCCCTCATTACTCCCGGAGTAATAAGGTCAACTGATCGTCACTAGACGGCCTCAACCTCTCCATCCCCGAAGCCTCCCGAGCACCCACGGACCCCATCTTCAAGCCTTGGCCTCATGTCGATCAATCCCCTTACCGAACACATCTCCAGTGCGTTCAGGGCATCTTGAACCTCCTCCCCAATGGACCTCAGGATGGCGGTTTAACCGTCCTCGAGGGCTCGAATGCCCTGTACACACAACTATGGCAGCACTTTGACCACAAGAAAGGCGAGAAGGGGTGGAATACCTTAGAGTATGAAATGCTGGACGACGACATGACCCAGTGGCTTGAACAACAGGGGTGTAAATGGGTTAAGGTGTGCTGTAATCCGGGTGATCTGTTGCTTTGGGATTCGGTATTTTCCCAATCTTTTTCGTTTATTCTCGTTCCCGTAGTAAGGAAATGTGGACTGATGATTGATTCCAGAGAACGGTTCACTACGGCTCCATCCCATCTTCTATCAATGACCGCTTCGCTGCTTGTAAGTATCCATCCGTTGCCTCCACCTTTCATCACCTGACTTAAAATACAGATGTCTGCTATAAACCAGCCAACTTCGTCCCCGAAAAAGCGCGAAACGAGCGCATCGCAGCCTTCAAGACGAAGAATGGCACGGCTCATGACCCGGCTATTGTCCGGCTTACGCAGCGTCTCCCGCCTGAGGACCACCCGTGTTACGCGGAGGCAGTGAAACGGCCACTGCAGGAGGTTTTGTTGTCGAAGAGAGGGAGACAGTTGGCTGGGTTGGAAGACTATTAAGACGATATCACCGACCTGAAACTTTCGTCTGTCGCTCAAACAGACCGGTACATTATTACACTATCATTACTACTAGTACAGACCTACCTCAATGGTAGCAAACACCCTCCATCACTACTGATTCCCCACCACCTTCTCAAAAACCCCCCTCGTATGTTCCCACACCTTCTCCCCCACCCCCCTCCCCAAATACTCCCTCAACAACTCCCCCTTCCCCTCCACAATCTCACTATCATAATCCACCCGATACGCCCCACTCCCCTTCACCCCATCTGCCCCCACCGTCTCGACCCGTTCCTCCCTTGGCGCAAACAACCCACTCGTCGCCGCAAAAACATGTCTCTCGCCCGACTCCTTCACAGAAAGCAGCCCCATCGAGGAACAAACCGGCGTCACCATCGCCAGTATCCCACTCGTAAGCCCCCGTAAAATCGGGTTAAAATCTCTCAGGAGATTCGTGTTCACGCCTCCCGGCCGACTATGAACAAAACTAATGCTGGGATGTGCGGCGGCGAAATGCATCATGGCGAGAGAAGTCATGGTGCTTCCGTGGGCTGCGGCGTTAGATAGACTGTAGTTTTGTTTAAGGTCGAGGTCGTTTTCGATCAGTTTGCCTTCGTTGCCGGGACTGAAGACGGAGATGACTCGGGAGAGATGGCCTGATGAGGCGGAATGGGTTAGTGAGGGGAGGAGGTTGGTGATGAAGCGCATGCGGGCGTAGTAGTGCAGGCTTAGTTTGCGGTCGAGACCTTCGGGTGTTTCTGGTTCGGCTGGTTAGTATTGATGGGTGTAGAGGGGGGATAGGTATGGGATGAAGTTACCGGTCCGTCCTTGGGTTGTTAAAATACCTGCGCTTAGGAAGAGGAGGTTGACTTTTGATTCCTTTTTGATGATTTCTTGGCAGGCGATGTCGACATTTTTGAGTAGAGAGATGTCTCTTTTGATGAAATCGACCGTTGCGGATTTGTTGATGGTGCGCAGTTCTGAGATGATCTCAGAGGCTTGGGCTTCGTTGCGGCCGATTAGGTAGATGTGGGGAGATGTGGCATGGCGGGTGAATTGCCGCGCGGTGGATAGGCCAATTCCGCTTGTTCCGCCGACTTGGTTTGAGGGTATTGAAGTTAGTGTTGGGTGTTGTAGGAAGGGAGGGTTGTACGTACCAAATACGGCAACGAGACCGGGACCGAGGTTTTGGACGGTTGCGAGCTGGCCACGGATCTCCGAAATGGCTACCATTTTGCTGCAACTGGTTGTGTCTCGTTGATATGTTGAATGGGTTAGCTTAGGATAGAATTGCAAACAAAATGGTTGTTTTGATGCGAAAAGTTCCATTAGAGGTCGCAGTTAAATAGGATGGTGTGGCTAACGTCAGCCACGGCGGGATCAACCAGATGACCAGATGGCTGAGATCAGCCACTTCCCCACCAAAAATATTAAGTATCTGGATGTATCTCGATCGATCTCATTACGCGTTATCATCTCCAGGTGGCTTATCGATAAGAAGTGGCGATGATCCCAGGATCAGCCGTGATTCCGTGACAAAGTACGGATCGCGGCCGCGATCGGCCTCGCCATCCGCCTTATTCAACTGTCGGTGGGGTCAATGCTGTACAGACATCCAGCACTGAACCGCTTTGGTGTTGGTTATCTCGAGGGAATGTCTTGGCGGGAGGGGTTGGCTGCATACAAATACCGGGGAAACTCCATCCAAATCCCGGGATTCGTCCCACCCCTCATTCCCAAAGACGAATGACCGCCATGCAAGAGCCAACTTCATCCCAGATTCGCGTCGCCGTCACGCAGGCAGAGCCGGTCTGGCTCGATCTCAATGCCACGGTGGACAAAACATGCTCTCTGATCGCAGAAGCCGCTGCGAATGGCGCTCAGTTGATCACTTTCCCGGAGTGCTGGATTCCCGGATATCCGGCGTGGATTTGGTATGCAACAACCCCGGAGATAACACCCTGATCTAACAACATTTATGGTACCGACAGGTCACGTCCTGTCGACATGCGTCTATCATCCATCTACATCCAAAACTCACTGAAAGTCGATTCGCCACAGATGAGCCGCATCCAACAATGCGCAGCGGAGAACAAAATCGTCGTGGTCCTGGGCTACTCGGAAAACATCCACAACTCTCTGTACATTGGTCAAGCCATTATCGGCAGCGATGGCAAGATCCTCACCACCCGCAAGAAGATCAAAGCTACCCACATGGAGAGGACCATCTTCGGCGACTCCCCGGGAGATTGTCTGCATAGCGTAGTGGATACATCAGCCGGTCGTGTTGGCGCCCTCTCTTGCTGGGAACATATCCAGCCTCTTCTCAAATACCACACGTATTCACAGCGCGAACAGATTCATGTCGCGGCATGGCCGCCTTTGTTTCCTGACAATGATGACGGGAACTTGTTTTCGATTTCCAGCGAAGGTATTTCACTATATGTTTCACGGTTGTATGCAGGAACGCTGACAAGCTCCAGGCACCAGTGCAATTGCTAGAACGTACGCGATTGAGAGCCAGTCGTTTGTTCTACATACCACCACGGTGATAAGCCAGGCTGGCATTGACCGAATGGACACACAGGCCAAGGCTCTGATGAGTACCCCAGGTGGTGGCTGCTCCGCCATCTTTGGGCCCGACGGTCGCCAGTTGTCGCAACCAATGCCCAGCACGGAGGAGGGGATCATCTATGCCAATCTGGATCTCGACCTGATCTATCACTCCAAATCCTTTGTTGATGTCTGTGGACACTACAGTCGACCGGACCTTCTGTGGCTAGGGGTGGAAAGTGGTGTGAGGACTCATGTGAGGGATCAAGCGGGGGTGGCTGCACAGGAGCAGTCGGAGTAGATGTACCGACTTTTGGAAGGAAAGCTTACTGTCTCCATTGCATACCAGGCTGGTAATTGGGCTGCAATTGAACAGCACGTTGTGTCTTTAACCTTGTTTCCGTAACATTCAGCAGGTCAGGTGATCATATCACGTTGTTTCTCTTCCCTTCCCTTCAGTACCATGCCTCTTCACCGTGCGACAGCCAATCTTCCCATTTTTCAACAGTTATAATGGTAACCACACTCCAGAGACGAAAGTGGATCTCAATCCCAAATAACACGAGCCTACACCTGACAAACGACCAGAGAATCAACAAAAATACACACATCCAACCATCAAAGCAACCAAAACAAGCCTCTTAATCTTCACCTCCTCCAAATCCCGACCCGCCTGCACATCATCCATCGAAACCGCAAAAACCTGAAACCGCCTCTTCATCGCAGTAATGCCATTCACCAATCCACACATCTCCCGCATAAATCCTCCTCACTCATACTCCCCACCCCAGACGCCATAATACAATCGTCTTAGTGTTAATCAACCTAGAGGCAACAACAAGCGTATCATGCCCCGCCAACCCGCCTTCCTGAATATACTACAAGTTCTCAACCGGCTCAGTCCGGGAACTTTAAGAGTAATTGCATAGCTGCCGGACCGCCAACCCAATTTGCAGAAATACCATTCATCTTCATTACAATAAGCATGTTCCGTAATACCAGCTAAGCCACCAAATAGCTAGATAATATATTAGCAGATCATATAACCTTCCAGTACATAGTGACTATTCTCTCACCCCCACTCAACAATTCAAGTCAACACAACCCCCCCATCAACCACAATCGTCTGCCCCGTCAAATAATCCGAATCCTCACTCGCCAAAAACCCACCTACCAATCCCCCCACATCATCAGGCACACCTGTTCTTCCCAGCGCAATACCCTTACTATATTGCTTGAGACTCTCCCCAGGAGCCCGCCCTTCCAATTTCCCCAGCGCCTTATCCAGTTCCGTCCACATCGATGTGCCAATAATCCCCGGGGCGTACGCATTCACAGTAATATGATGAGAAGCCAATTCCTTAGCCAAAGTCTGTGTAAGTCCACGAACTGCAAACTTGGAGGCAGAGTACAGACCCAATGCCGCGAACGCTTGGATTCCAGCGATAGAAGAGGCGCCGACGATCTTGTACGTCTGTCGTCCAAATACTGTGTTCGGGTCACCCTGGTCTATCATTTGTCGGGCTGCCTCGGTGTAGCAGTTGAAGACGCCTGTGAAGTTACAGGAGAATACGTCTGCAATGTCTTCATCGGTTACGGATAGTAAAGGCTTCACGGGCGCTTTCCCGGCATTGGCGATCATGAGGTGTAGGGGGCCGAGAGTCGAGACGGTTTTGGATATCATGGTTGCTACCTCTGTTTTTGAGGTCACGTCTCCGGGGATGGTTATTGCTTTTGCTCCGGGGTTCTCGACAGTGTTGGTATTGAGTTCGTGGGCGAATTCTTCGAGCTTTGGAGTAGCGATGGGGATGTCGTTGATGGCGATGCGATAGCCTTTTTTGACTAGGCGGCGTGCTATGGATTGACCGCTGATAAAATGTCAGTCGTAGGTAACGAAAAGCATTATGGGGTTCGTAGGCAACGAACATTCCTCCGGCCGCGCCAGTCACAATTGCAGTTAGAGAGTGACTCATGGTTCACGTAAATCGAGAAGGTCTCGGGTTATATTTTGTATTTCTTGTTTTTGGCATTTCCCACTTGATGGCCTGAATGCGCGTGGATTTATTTCGGAGGAAGGATTGCAATAGCAATTCAGTTGTTCAACAGAAGCGGGAGCTCTCAGGGAAAGAATCATATTCCACACAGGAATGAAGCAGACAGCGCTAGACAGAGCTAGACCGGCTTCAGGGACCTTAAGAAGACTGGGGAATGAGGCAAAATGTACCTTTTGTTGAACTTCTTGATTTTGAACTCTGAATCAAGCTTATCGACGCGTTTTGGTAGTGACGCTGCGATGACGATGACCCGGATAGAGGATGGGGTGATAGAGTTGGGTGGCGCACATCACCACGTTTTGTGGGTTTCTCGATGAGTTTATCTGTTTGAATAGGCTCTTTGGGACTTTAGAGGCTACCTGCACAGTAATACGATTAATAAGGTTCGCTAAATCCGGTTTAAGAGTACGGCTACTATCACTAACCTGAGATACACATATGTCTGGTCAAGATGTCGAATGCCTGTTGAGGAATATGGTGGACGCTGCAATGGTCAAAGCCAGATAATGCCATATGAGTCTCAATTAGATCAAGATTCCTGCAGGATCAGTTGAGTATTACCCCAGATTTCGCAATCCGAGGGATGCATGAACGAACTGGTCAATGGACCCATCCCATTCCACTCCATCAGCACTAGCCCATGTGGATCTTGAACCCGAATGTGAGTTTATCTGGCCAAGAATATAGATTTCTGATTCTTGCAGATCCAAAGACCTTGCGTCTCTTTCTGCCATCTGGTCCTCGAGCAGTACTCACTTCGCTCCAATTGACTCACCTATTGCTCGCATCTGTGAGCTCATCCAATACGACCTTACATCCTCTGAAAATCCAACAATGATCTCGCAAGGTCCCACCCTGAGTATATCCTCATCACCGGCTGTAGTGACGATGTCAACGGGTACGGCCTCGCAGTGGCATTCCACCCATATGATCGAGAAGATTACAAAAGGGGGACAGGCACACCAGCCAGGCAACCGTTTTCACTCTCCGCTTACCATATTAGGAACACTATACTTTTAATTAAAACCAGCAAAACTACACCGCCTTTGTTTACCCTAAGGCTGGCTATATGGCGCTTCTCAGGCTAACAAGTACTGTATTAAGGCAACAAACCTCTACGAGAGTTCGTTTATAAGACTAGGAAGGACACTGTAGAGACTTTAAACGAGCCTTTGAATAAAACTGAGATTAAGGGCCTGAATAGGTCGCTACACGAGTCTCTGAATATAGCCTTAAAACCTATGCAGGGTTCTGTATGAAGCTCTAGGTAAGCTCTGGATGATGTTATTTACCAGTCTTTCTTAGACTGTATTTAAAGCACGCATGGAACCAGAGAGGGATTGGGCTTTTCCCTGATAGCTTCCAGCAGTGGTCGGTGTACAGTAAACGGGTGGTTAGCAGATACCGTGGACGGGTGTGTATTAGCCTGGCCAGTGTCCCTGTAACGCCTTTCTTGATATACAGATGCTGCTGAGAGACTTCTATTGACCCATACAAGAATTTTAAGGGCTTACATTACACATATAACTGGTTATGATAGTGTGTCTTTTATGGCAGGTTCCGATCATCCCTATTTCCTGATTTGATATCAGCCATGTGGTTGTATAACCTGTTGCTAACTTCTTTAGGAACGTTCTCCGGCTCTACACATGGTCTAGAGCGCACTCTGATACTCTACGTCCGGATCTATCCCCTTTCCACGGCTGAGATTCTATGTGTAGTCACCGGAGTTGTCCGCACCCGGAGCCAGACCTACTTTGGGGATTATAAACTGCTCAATAAAGAGCTGCACATGCCTACTGAAGTCACAGTGGGCGTGGAGATGATGGTTCCGAGCTAATAGATCTAGTAGCGTATTGTAATTCAGTGGTATCGTAGAATGCTCCTGGAAAACAGGCAGAAATGGGATGGAAACGCTGCTTAGCAGACTAGAATGGCCCGAGTCAAGTGTCGAATACAGTTACAGTGACTTCTCAAGGTTCTCCATAGTGAATACTCACCTGGGGGCGTTTGTCTGGCCTAATACGGGCATTCAGGTGACTGGTTGGATGAATTACACGGCTTGTATCTGTGAATCTTCTCGGGGAATGCACTGAATCACACGGTCTTTACTTTGGTAAAGGCTTCTAGACATGGTAGATACCTCTTGTGAACATGCAGATTCCGTGCCATGGCTGTTACTAAGATTTATGTGGCCTATATAAAGGGCAGACGCATCCCCCTTCTGTTCTGCTGCTTCTGTTTCTCTTGGTTTCCCTCAGTCATTCTACTGCACCAACTGCTTCTTCTTCCTTTTGCATTCTTCTTGCCTTTCCATCACTTCTTCATGTTCTCCGATGTTCCTCTTCTTCTTTATGGCTTTGCTTCATGCTTTATATCTCCATTAGCCCTCTTTGTTCCATCTCCCTTCATCGTGTCATTACATGTACATATCATGTCTGCTTCATATGCTTTCTTCTTTCCATTGTACAACACCCTGGTGGATCTACAGTCTACCTACAGGTCATATAGGTTGATGCTTGTCCTACAACCTGAAGCCCTATTTGATCCATATCATCTTCATACTACCTCATTGGGTCTCTTGTATACAATCATCGGGGAGTTCCGCGCCAAGTCTGTGTATAGCGGCAACAGCCTCGTGATCACCGGCCAGTTCCACCCGAGTCTTGGCTACAGGAAGGATCCGGAAGTGGCCCGTTAATCCCCTGAACCTCAGGTGGTCCGTGCCCCCTTTCTTTGCATATAAATAGCCCGGTTTGTCTCGTATTCTAGCCAGTTTTCCATTCAATCCAGTCCTCTCCATCTAAGCAGTGCCTCCTCTAAACTCTCCAACGACGACTGCCCGGTCGCCATGTATTACAACGGTCGTTTGTCTTAAATTTTAATGCCCGGAATCTTCTCGACAACAAAAATACCATCCCGATGCATATATATCTTGAAATTTTTTTCTCGTCTCCGAGTCTTGATATCGGACTTCATGTCTCCCCGTTGGGTTTTGTAGAGCCAATTCATGGTCTTTTCTATATATAAGTAGTACTTCTATCGAGAAGTACCACTGCGACTGTCACGCTGGGGTTTCAAAGTCAGGACAATGCAGGTGGGAGTGTCGCTCGCTTGCTTGATTGATGGGGTGTTTCTTCCTTCTTCGCCTTGACAATCGGTCGGGAAAATATGGGATGTCACGAGATTGCCACGGCTCAGGTGTGAACTGCTACATGTTGAGGTTTTATGGGTGCCAAGGACGAAGATGAATTATGGCGGGTGCACATCGACGAGCGATGATGCTCAATATGCCGCAATCATCGGAAATAAAAGCGACTGGTTGAACCACGATCCTTATGCTTCATCCTACAAGCAATGTCCTACATCGGCATTTGATAAAATTGGGTTTCCCCTTCTGTCCGGAACCAATTCTTGGGTTCCGGGTTTCCCAAGATTGGCTGCTCGGAGTAATTACCAACTCGCACAAGAAATGGCCCGGCACTAGGATCCAATAACCTCATTGGTTTCGATTCCTTATAAAGGCATATCCCCAAGTGGGGCGACTGACGGGGAGATTTGTCAATACGATCTCCCCTGCGTCGTGCCTCCGTCACAAGATGTCATGTTTTCACCACCACTTCGGTGTCTCATGTCCTGCGTCCCCCTGACTGATCATTAACCGACTCACTCGATCTTCTACACGGCTATCCTAACGATAGTTGCGATCATGACATCTCCCACAGAGACCAGTCCTACCCCGAGTGATAAAACCGTTCCTCATCACCATGACATCGCGGCAACAATGAACAATGTTGAGCAGGGTCTTGTAGCCACCGATCAATGTGGCACGCCTCCCGTGGATATCAACGAGAAAGCCGAATCTCGCTTGCGTCGGAAGATCAACTTCTATGTCCTTCCGCCCGTGGCTCTCATGTATCTCTTCTGCTTCATCGACCGAGCCAACATCGGTATGCCATCCCACCTCATACGCATCCACTTATTCTAATCCATCTCTGCATAGGCAACGCCAAACTCGCCGGTCTCGAGCACGACCTTAACCTCCACGGCAACGATTACAATGCAATTCTCTCCATCTTCTACATCGCCTATATCATCTTCGAAATCCCATCCACCATCGCCTGCAAGCTCATCGGCCCCGGCTGGTTTCTCCCCACCATCACCGTGCTATTCGGCATCTGCTCCCTCTGCACCAGCTTCGTCCATAGCATCCACACTGCTTCAGCCGTACGATTCCTGCTCGGCATCTTCGAAGCCGGCATGATGCCCGGCATCGCCTACTATTTATCCCGATGGTATCGTCAACGCGAACTAGCCTTCTACCTCTCCATCTACGTCGTCACGGCCCCTTTAGCCGGCGCCTTCGGGGGCCTCCTCGCCTCCGCCATTCTCACTCTCGATCACCTCGGCACCCTACACAGCTGGCGAATGATCTTCGCCATCGAAGGTCTCCTCACCATCACCCTGGGTCTCCTCACCTTCTTCATCCTAACCGACCGCCCCAAAACCGCCCGCTGGCTCTCCCCTGAGCAAAAGCACCTCGCCATCACCCGTCTCATGTCCGAACGAGTCAACACCACCGAACTGCTCGACAAACTAGATAAACCCAAAATCCTCCGTGGAATCCTCTCCCCAATCACCCTCACAACCTCCCTCATATTCCTCCTCAACAACATCACCGTCTCAGGCCTAGCCTTCTTCGCGCCTACAATCGTCAAATCAATCTACCCAAACACCACCATCGTCGCTCAACAACTCCACACCGTGCCCCCGTACCTCGTGGGAGCTTTCTTCACCATCCTCTTCCCCTACCTCAGCTTCCGCTTCAACCACCGACTCATCTTCTTCCTCCTCGCCCCGCCACTCATGATCACGGGTTATATCATGTTCCTAACAACCAACTCCCCGCATATTCGCTACGGCGCAACATTCTTCATTTCCAGCGCGACTTTCACCTTTGGTGCGTTGTGCAACGCACATGTGTCTAATAATGTGGTCTCGGATACGGCTCGCTCCGCGGCAATTGGCGTGAATGTCATGTTTGGGAATATAGGCGGGTTAATTTCCACGTGGTCGTTCTTGCCGAGTGATGCTCCGATGTATCGTGTCGGGAATGGGTTGAATTTGACCACGTCGGTCTTGACGTTTCTTCTGGCGGCGGGGATGTGGGTTTGGATGGAGAGAGATAATCGGCGCAGAGACCAGGTGGATGTTGAGAGGGCGTTGGGTGGGTTGAATATGTCTGAGGTGCAGGATTTGGATTGGAGGAATCCGGGGTTTAGGTGGCGGTGTTGATGAATTCGTGGATGTGGAGGTGGAAATTTATGGTTTACGATTGGAAATGATGGCAAAAAAGTCATTGCTCTAATTATAATACGAACTGCAAGGATGGATGGATTCATCTGAACCCGAGCATAAATTGCTCAATGGTTAGGTTGAAGTGCCGCGTTGGAGACGGAAATTTATGGCTTGAGATAGGGGGTGATTGCAACAAAAGTCATTGCTCTGATTATACCACTAGCTGAAATGATGAATTGATTTGAACTGAGCATAAATTGCCTCACAGTCTGGGTTAACCTGAAGGAATCTGGAGTCTCAGAGGAGGTGCTGACGAATTTGAGAAATGGATTGAGGCGTCGCTTCAGAGGTGGAAATCTACGGCCTGGGCTTGGAATCCATGTGAGATGAGCTAAAGCTCTTACCATCTCTCTTACTACAAAGATAAATGGACATATAGATAGGAAACCTGAGCATAAATTGCTTAATGGTCTGGGTTGGATTATATTTCGAATTTTAGACATGGGATGAAGAATCGCCATGGAGATGGAAATCTATGGCTTGGGGTGGGGACTAATGGGAGATGAAGCATTCCTGTAGCCCTAACTATAACACTAGCTGCAAGGACAGATAAACCGATGAATGGATAACTGGATATGGAACCTGAGCATATATTGCTTAATGGCTGGGTTGAGATTTGAATCTATGAGATGGGTTATGGCAGCTTGAAGATGGAGATTCATGGCTTGGGATCAATATTGGTGGCAAAAGAAAAGGCATTGCTCTAACTATACCACTGGTTGCAAGGATAGATGAAGTGATGTAAACAGCATAGATTGCTCAAGGATGTGTTGAATTGGAGGAATCTGGAATATTACTGGCGGTGTTGAATTTAACAGATAGGTTGGGACATCGCCACGGAGGCATAAATCTATGGCTTTGGATAGGGAGTCATGGTAAAAGAGGTATTGCTCTGACTACTATATACCACTGGTTGTAAGGATGGATGATTATATTTAAAACCGGGGCGTAAATTGCTTGATGGTTTTGATGGATTGGAGACATCCCAAGTCAAAGTGGCAGTATTGATTGCATTCAAGGAATAGATTAAGATATCACACTGGAGAAGAATATCATCAGTTTTGATTGGAACATGATAAAGAAGGTATTCCTCTAACAATACCACTTCTTCCAACAAAATAACTGGATTTATAACCTAAGCAAGGGGTGCTCGATGCTATGGAGTTACTTACTAGAACCTAACCATCAGTGGGGCTTGAAACTCAGAGGTTTGATTGGTCCCAGGTTCTGTTGTTTCAGGCCATGCACAAGTCTCGATGATACAAGTTAATAAGGCATATTACATGGGATTGAAATGGTATATCCCCCGTCGTTGGTTGTTCTTCTAGTTGAATTTGAAAAATAACTATCTATCTATCTATTCATCTATCTCGTTTAGTTCAAGGTAGGAGTGAGTCTTTCTACCTAGCAATAAAAGTTCTCTTTCTTAAGAATACCTATCCTACTTGGAACTCAGTTTTCTTTTGGAGGGGGAACATTAAGTGTTTGATATATTACAACGTGTGCTATTTATCAACAACTTAACTCGGAATCACTTTTCTTGATAAACTTTTCTCTCTCTAATGTTTCACCGTCCTATACTCCGGGGAATTAAAATGAAAGGAGATGGGAGGGATGGATGGACGGGTTAAATATCCTTCCTTGCATATCGACTATGATTCTTTCGCAACGTTTCACCGTACTATATATCCCAGTTAGCATCCATTCCCATAGCACATAAACAAAAGAGAGACGAAAGAAGAAGGTGGAGGGGATGGGGCTACCTTCATCAAAACCATTGGAATAGGAATAAACACAATGGCCAAAAACGCTAACGTGGAGCTGGCCCACCCCACACCGAGATTCTTATACATTGCTGTGGCGAACAACGGGAATCCGGCGCCGAATGCACTCCTGAACAGATCATTCCCGGCTAAAACCGAAGCTGCATATACTGGGTATGCATCGGAGAGGTAATTCAGCACCGGGTTGAATAGCAGAAACGCACCCACGGCGAAGAATCCACTTCCGATGATCGGCATAATCCAATGCACCGAGGCACGAGCACTCCATCCGAACCAGAAGAGGCAGATAGGGATGAAGAATCCGCCGACGATAGCAGGGGGGAGACGGGCTTCTGGGGGTAGGTTTCCCGTGACAGGGTCGAATTTGGGTTCGAGGTATTTGCGCATCCACCAATAGTATGGAGGGATGGTGATGAGAGCACCGGTGAGGATACCGATGTAGGCGAGGCCTTGTTGGCCGAGGTTGAACTGGTAGATGCCTTCGAAGACGACGGCGAAGGATTCGAACCAGACGTAGAGGAGGCCGTAGATGAGGGCGATGTAGAGATTTAAAAGGAAGACCATGGGCTCGAGGAAGTTGAGCGTCAAGGGCCGGACGAGCGTCATCATGGCGAGTTCGCGGGCTGTGAGGCCTTCGCTGGCAATCTCGGGTTCTGAGCGGAGGTTTGGCCGCTGGGTGAGACGGCGGAGGCGGCGCGCGCGGCGGTACAGGATGTTGGTGGAGGAGGTTTCGGGGAGGAAGATAATTAAGATGACGAGGGTGAAGCCGGAGAGCCAGGTGAGTTCCCAGATTGTCCACGTCCAGCCTTTGGCTTGTGCGGCGAACCCGCCCACTAGAGGGCCGACGACGGGGCCGCAGACTGCACTGATCCCCCAGATGCCGATGCCGTAGGCCCGTTTAGCAGGTCGGAACATGTCGGCGATGCTGGCGCCGCCCTGAGGAGGTTAGTGGTGATTGGAGGGGACGGAGAATGGGGAGGTACCGTGGCTAGGGCGGGAGAGCCGAAGAAGCCAGTCAGGAAGCGAAAGGCTAGCAGCATTCCCAAATTACTGGCCAATGCCACAGGCACTTGCAGCACGACAAACACGATCAAAGTTGCGATGTAGACAGGATTGCGACCGATCTGGGGCACCTCGCTCATCGGAGACCACAGCAGCGGCCCCAGTCCGTAGCCGGCCACAAAGAGGGTCAGGCCTAGGGTAGCAGCCACCTGGCTGATCTGGAACTGCTCCATGACAGACATGATGCCAGCGCTGAAGATGGCGCTTCCGATGTAGACGCTAAAGGTGAGTAGGCAGATCTCCACCGTCACCACGACCTTTTTCCATTGCGGCCAATTTTGGGGGTTCTAAAGATTAGCATGCATCTTATGACAGTGTAACAAGGCTTACCTCTGGATCATCATCCCCCCACCAGTCGACGACGGCCGTGTCCCTACCCTTTTCCGGGTCGATGGTGACCCCCGTCATGCCTTGAACGCGCCGGCCGTGGTCGGACCACGTGGACGAGGGCACCCTGGTCATGGATCCGGAGTCGGGGCGATCGTCAGAGGCAGCCTCAGCATCGTCGGCCTCTATACGGCCGGTATTTGCCATGCGACCCGACTTGTCCCGGTTGACATACTGCTGCCATAGCGAGGGGTCCTTTTCCTCGGGGTACTGGAAGTAGCGCCCGCGCGAGACGAAGCGGATGAGATTGCCAAGGATAGAGTCTTGAACGAGGCCGGACATTCTATCTGCATGTCTATTCTAGAGTCTATACTCCTCAGTGAGATGGGAGTTATGATCGTCGGTGTTTATAGGTGACACCGACTGTTCCTGGCAGCTGAAAATGATGATGTAGCCATGACACCCTCGCCACTCACGGCCGTTGGCTCACTGAGCTTGGCACACTACCAATAACCTGATTATCATCAACATAAGGCAATTTAAGAAGTCCTGTCACTTCAAGTACCTGATTGTAACAGAACTAGGGGAAATGGAATGGTCGCGACCGGGATCTCAGCGTTAGGGTTAAGTGTGGCTGGTGGACACCCTTGGGCTGGCCTGCATGCCAACCGAAGCAATTACCCCAGACCAATGGCGCCGATCGGCGGTGGGCGACGTCTGCCATCCACCAGTCGGATTGGCCGATACTAACAACAGTTGTTGCCATCTCTTGACTAGTGCTATTAGTGCTGTTAGTGCTGTTGGTTCCTCCGACCCCGCGTGACCCCAGATTTTCTCCCGCGTGGTGCCATGAAGATGCCCAGAAGTCATCATCTCTGCCAAGGCTGCCCCTCTCGAGGAATCCATTGGATTCTCCGCCGGACGTTGTCCGAGCCTCTTGAGGGCGCACTGCAGCATGTTGACCGCAGGGGGCCAGGACAGGGTTGAGGTCGCACAGAGGGGCTCGATCCCCGGGTTGAACCCCAACCGAAGAAAGTCTCTTGAATCGCACATCCAACTGCGTGCGGGGTCTTTGTTCGCCGCCAAGCTGCTAGCTGTCAAGCGTGCTAAGCTCGTCGCGATATCTCGGCTCCAACGCGGGATGCCATCGTAGATTTCCCCCCCAACCCATTGGGCTATTCTTTCCGACAGAGTTTGGGTGTTGGATCCCCCGCATGCTGGTGAAGGTCGTACGGAAGATTCCCTCGCCGTCATGTCCTACTGTGCTCGGCTACCGACGTCGACCCTGGTCATTCACGGTCACGTTTCCGGGGGTATAAGGACCCCTCCGCCCTTGCGCCAGCCACCATCTGCCATCCAGGCTGCTTGCAAACATGGCGGGCTCCAAGAAACCAGTCAACATTTTTCGTCTGCGAAATCTGAGCGACCCAAAGCAGGTCTTCAACTGGAGACTATGGTTTGCTGTTCTTTCTTTTGGCCTCATGGGTGCTGCCCGGGGTGTCGATGAGGGCTTGATCTCGGGGGCTTTTAATTCCAAGGACTTTCAACGGACTATTCATCTGGACACGTACAGTGAGGTCGAGCGGACCAACATCAAGGCCAATGTGTCGGCCATGGTGCAGATTGGCTCTGTCGGTGGCGCGCTATTGTATGTACGTCCCCCGGTTGATTGCCCTGCTGACTCTGTAGTGCATTTCTCGTGTGTGACCGCATCGGCCGGCTGTGGGCAACCCGCCAGCTCTGCCTGCTCTGGATCCTGGGCATCGGCATCTTCATGGGGGTGGGTTCCAACGGCAGCCTGGGGGCTGTCTATGCCGGTCGCTTCGTTGCTGGTTTGGGTGTCGGCCAGACCGTGGTCGTGGGGCCTGTCTACCTGGCAGAAATAGTAAGTGACGTCTGTTTCTTGACTGATTGACTGCTGACTGCTGTAGGCCCCTGCCTCTGTTCGTGGCCTGTGCACATGTGTCTTCACCGGCTTTGTATATCTGGGTATTGTGCTTGCCTACTTCACCAACTATGGCTGCCAGGTCAACATGGGCCAACACACGCACAAGCGATGGGTAAGTTGCCCTGCCAAGGGATGTCACTGGCCTGCCCTAACCCGTCACAGGAAGTCCCGACCAGTCTGCACATCATGTTCGCCGGTCTCATCTTCCTCCTCTCCTTCCTGCAATATGAGTCCCCACGATTCCTCGTCAAGAAGGGCAAGCCAGAAGAAGCTTTAAAGACCCTGTCGCGCATTCGCAACCTCCCTCCGGATCATGAGTATGTTATGCAGGAGTTCAGTGGCATTCAGAGTGCACATCAGGCCGAGATGGAGGCCACCATGGGGGCTGGCTGGCTGGGGATCATCAAGGAGGCGATTATGGTGCCGAGCAATCTGTACCGGCTGTACCTGGCCGCCATGGCCCAGTTGCTGTCCCAGTGGTCGGGTGCGGGCTCTATCACTCTGTATGCCCCGGATCTGTTCAAGCTGCTGGGCATCACCGGGTCGAACGAGACGCTCTTGGTCACGGCAGTCTTTGGTCTGGTCAAGCTCGCTGCTGCCGTTATCTGTGCATTGTTCCTGGTGGATGTGATCGGTCGGAAGCGCGCTCTTCTGCTCGGAATCACCCTCCAGGCCATTTCAATGATCTATGTCGCCAGCTTCCTCACGGCAGTCCCGGAGATGGGCATCGACGATCACTTTGTGCTGCCAGATGCCAAGAGAGGCAGCAGCCGAGGTGCCATCGCGATGATCTACATCTCCGGAGTGGGATGGGCGCTGGGGTGGAACTCGATGCAGTATTTGCTGACGGCGGAACTGTTCCCGCTGCGCATCCGAGCATTGGCCACATCCGCGGCCATGACGCTGCACTTTGCCAACCAGTACGGCAACTCCCGGGCGGTGCCCAACATGCTGCTCAGCACCAGCGATGGAGGTATCACGCCGAAAGGAACGTTCTGGTTCTTCTCCGCGGTGACGGTGCTCGGAGGGCTGTGGGTGTGGTTCAGTGTGCCGGAGACCGCTGGCCGGAGTCTGGAGAGTATGGACCGGTTGTTTGCGCTGCCGTGGTACCAGATCGGTCGGTATGGCAACCGGGATGCGGAGCAACAGGATCAGCTGGTGGAGGACAAGCAGCAGGTGGCCGAGGATGCCTTTGGAAAGGCCGAGCATCGCGAGCGGGTGTGACTGGTAGATTAGTATCTGCGTGGTGGAGATGGGAGATTGATTTAATTACTGTGACATCCCTGTCGGTGTGTCATCGCAGCCGAGTCTGACAGGCGATGCAGGAGGAAGAAGCAATGAGAGATGAGAGATGAGAAATGAGAGATGAGAGATGAAGTTGTACAGCCATGAAAGCATCAGTATTTCAGTATTCGTATTGTCACGGTAGACCGACAGCTCGGCTCCGCCCGTTGATTGGCGGGCGGGCGGGCAGCTCCGAGTCAGATGACGGCGGGCGCGTCCAATCAGGGGCCCCATTGAGAGTATGCCTCTCCTCTCTCCTCTTCTCGCTCCTCCCCTCCTTGCTCAGCTCTTGCTGTCTTCTTCTCCTGCTGTCATCCCTTTCTCATTCATTCATCCATCTTCTCCCTCGTAGACCTTTCTCTGCTCATCCGTGTTGACCAATTGACTGTGACTCACCGGCGGCCCGAAAGGACAGCTCGCCATGACCACCCGCTATCGCGTTGAATGTAAGGCCCTTCCCCCTTGACTGATCGTGACTGACCATCCAGATGCTCTCAAGGTATGCAATCAGCTCTACGATAGGTTCATGCTGACACCTTCAGTCTCACCGTCGAGACCAACTGGTACGTACCCTTGATTTTGCATCCAATCACCGCTAACCGCACCAGATTGAATGGATTAAAGTATGTCTCTCGCCAAGAATTCGAACCTCGCTGACCATCAGGGCCTTCTGGCTGTTCCATTCGTGCTGCACTCGCAGCCCACTGCCGTCTACCAGGAACACAGCGAGAACCTGATCGCTGTGGCGGCCGACACCCACCAACGCTATGCTGAGATCTTCCGCGATGTCGAGATGCTCATTCGCGACCACAGTAATGCCTTCCCCCTCTTTTGTAAGATCGGTCTAACCATCACAGTTTCCCACGAGCAAAAGGCCGCCCCCGGCAACTCCAAGCTGAAGCTGCTAGTCCCCAGCGTCGGCACATTCTTCACTCCCCTGTTTCTCGTGGATGCCTTTCGGTACCAGGACCGTCAGCGTTTCATCAGTCGACGCCGCTTCGTGGCCCCCTCGTTCAACGACGTCCGGTTGATCCTCAACTCGGCTCAGCTGCTCGGTCTGGCCCGTTCCACCGGCGTCGACCTGGTCACCTTTGACGGTGACGTCACTTTGTACGACGACGGGGCCTGTCTCACCCCCGACAATCCGGTCATCTCCCGCATGATTCGTCTGCTGCTGCAGGGCCGCAAGATTGGCATTGTGACGGCAGCCGGCTACACGGAGGCCGAGAGGTACTACGAGCGTCTCAAGGGGCTGCTGGACGCGATGCACGAGTCGGTCGCGTTGACAGATGAGCAGCGGGCAGGCCTGGTGGTGATGGGCGGTGAGAGCAACTTTCTGTTCCGGTACGACGGCGCGTCGCCGCACCGGCTGACGTATGTGCCGCGCGAGGAGTGGATGTTGGAGGAGATGTCAACCTGGGCGGACGGAGACATCACGGAGCTGCTGGACATTGCCGAGTCATCGCTGCGGGCGTGTGCGACCAATCTGAATCTGCCAGTGGCGGTGCTGCGCAAGGACCGGGCGGTGGGCGTGTATCCGCTGGAGCGCAGCAAGATCAGCCGCGAGCAACTGGAGGAGACGGTGCTGGTGGTGCAGAACACGGTTGAGCGGTCGGCCGTGGGAGCACGGTTGCCATTCTGTGCTTTTAACGGTACGTTGCTACCACCCTCATTGCATGGAGATGCTAATAATGTAGGGGGCAACGATGTGTTTGTGGATATTGGAGACAAGGCATGGGGTGTGCGTGCGTGTCAGCGCTACTTTGGGGGGATTGAACGGGAGCGCACGCTGCATGTGGGCGACCAGTTTTTGTCTGCTGGAGCGAATGATTTCAAGGTAAGCTGCTGCTGCTTCTTGCTTAGTTGTGGTGGTTGGGCTAACTGAATAGGCACGGCTGGCCTCGACGACGGCGTGGATCGCCAGCCCAGCAGAGACAGTGCAGCTGCTGGACGAGCTGCAGGGTTTGTAATGTGTGCTGTAGTTATCTGATTCATCTATTAACTTATTATTTATTAAATCTGTGTATTGTCGGATTTTGATCCAAACTCCGAATGCCGTGCAGATAGCTTATCGAGCAGAGTCCATTTCTGACAAACGGCATTTGCAGTCCTCGGGCCGCCTTAACCAACCAAAATAAAATATAATAAATAGCAACTGCCGACACCTTATTCAGTCCTCTTATTACCCCCATCACAATCTATATCCCCCATTCCTCATGATCCAAGACAATGACAGAAAAAACAACCATCGCTATAATCGGCGCCTCCTTCACCGGCCTCCCCATCGCCCACGGCCTCCTCTCCCACTTCCACAAATCCTCCTCTACCAACCCTATCAAACTTATCCTCATTAACCCGTCTCCACTCTTCTACTGGGCCATTGCCGCCCCCCGCATCCTCACCAAACCCTCCGCGTTCACTGAATCCCAATACCTCCTTCCCATCGCGGAGGGGTTTTCCGCCTACTCATCTGAGGAATTTGAATTCGTCTTGGGGAAAGCTACCTCTCTAAACCCCGCAACCAAATCCATCATCGTTGAATCCACACCCTCATCCTCACCAGACACAAACACAAATCCAACCCCTGTGACACGGAATATAAACTACGACTACCTAATCATCGCCTCCGGAAGCAGCACCCCCGCTACACTGGGCCTCACCTCACCAAAGAACACTCAAAATGAAAACAAGAATGAAATCTACCCCGTCAAATCCCTCCTCAACCCCCAAATCCAACAATCAATCACCCACGCCCAATCCACCATCCAAAAAGCAAAATCCATCATCATCGCCGGCGCTGGCCCCATCGGCATCGAACTCGCTGGCGAACTAGGCGACCTAATCACCACCCGGACTGAAACCCCCCTCTCTGTGACTCTCATCTCCGCGACGGACCGCCTCCTTCCATCCCTCAAGCCAAGCGCGAGTAAAGCCGCAGAGGATATGCTTCGTTCTCTAGGTGTGGATGTCATCAAGGGGAGGAAGGTCATTACCGCTACCGCTACCCCAGACCCAGACCCTACCAAGGAAGGGATGGTAGTGGAATTGGATAACGGGGAAACACTCACCACGGAGATCTACATCCCCACGACAGGAGTAATACCGAATAACTCATACCTTCCGAAAGAGATACTCAATGAAGCCGGCTGGGTAAAGGTAACGCCTGAGTTACAAGTCGAAGGACTAGAGAGCGTGTATGCGGCGGGGGATATCACGCACCATAGACAGAAATTGGCGTTGAAGGTTGCGGAGATGGTTCCTGTTGTGGTGGGGAATTTGATTCAGGATATTATTTCCGGTTCTGCGGGGAAGAATGGGTTTTGTGGTGGTGGTAGTGGGAGCAGCAAAAGGAAGACGTATGTTGAAGGGGAGGGCGTGAGTATGGTGGTTCCAGTTGGGGAGACCGGAGGGACGGGTCAGTTGTTTGGATGGGTGCCGTGGAGTTTTTTGGTGAGGGTGGTGAAAGGGAGGGATTTTTTTATTGGGAAGGCGAGGGGGGTGGTTTTTCCTTGATCTTTTTTTTTCTTTTCAGGTTTTGTTTTAAGGGGGTGGGGGTTGGTTTTTATACTATTTAATATAGTGGTGGTGGTGATAGACATTGTTTTCTTTTTTAACTATCGGTTGGGCAAAGTCAGTCTGACTGTTGCTGCTAAGAATTAATACCATCTGTAACAATCTACAGGGAATAGTGCAAGCGATAGTCTCTGCATAAATCTACCATTAATCATCCATTCATAGCGCGGAATCATCAACCAGCGCATCATGTCAACCGCTAGGTCCTCTCGTAGCACGTCCACGCAGCATCCCTTGCGCTCGCCCGGCCAGACAAAATATTGACCGTATCCTGCAACTCCAGCCAGAACTCCGTCTTCGGCCGACGACGCGCCCAATCCGTCTCTGTCGCCTCCAGTCCGTCAGCTCCGCCCATCGCCGAGAACAGCACCTGCGAGCCCTTGATACCAATCACCGACGCCGACATCTCGTCCGCCGCAATCTGATCCGCCGTCTTGCCTGCGTAGCTCTCCAGATGCAGCATACACTTGGTCGCCATCCGCAGCGCCCGGATCCGGTCCATCGGCGACGGCTTGCCACCCTGCTGGAAGTGTCCCGGCACCGCCGCACGGCTCTCGAACCGACCCTTGGCCTCCTCCTTGATCATGTCCGCAACCACCTGCGTCGTGTACGTGCTCGACGCGCACTCGTTGCGCAGGATGATCTTACCCGCCCGGTTGGCACCCTTGTCACGGGCAAAGTTGTCGCGCAGGAAGTCAATGTCGCGGGCCAGCATCTTGATATCAATACCCTCCTCGGGAATGTACACGGCCACCGCGCCGACCGACAGACCGGCCGTGGTCGCAATGTAACCCGACTTGCCACCCTGGGTCTCGATGACGAAGACACGACGACGGGACGACGAGGCCGACTGGCGGATGGCGTCACAGAAATCGATCAGCGTGTTGAGACAGGTGTCACTGCCCAGCGAGTATTCCGTGCCCGGCACGTTGTTGGAGATGGTGGCCGGCAGCACCGTCATCGGGATCTTAAAGGCCGGGTACTTCTCACGCGCCTGGCGGAGCTGGCTAACGGCCGTGAACGCTTCAAATCCACCCACCACGAACAGCGCGTCGAATCCGAACTTCTTGAAGCACTTGGCGGTCGACTCAAGGTCGTCACCGGGCAGGCCACGGTTCGTGCCGATATCGGAACCACCCTCGTTGACCCAGCTGTCCGACTCCTCCCAGGCGACCTCGCGCACGGAGCAGACCGGGGTATCATCATGGTGGCGACACAAACCGGGGAAACCGTTGTGAATAGCAAGAGGGGTGTGGCCGCGAGTAAGACAGTAGGCGACAGCAGCCCGGGTGGCCTGGTTCATACCACCAGCCGGAGCACCGACGTGGATGATACCGATACGCATTCTCTGCAGGCCGTTAGCAAAACCCTCCCATCACGGGATGATAGCACCCACCTTGTTCTCAGGAAGCAATAGCTTAGGATGGTCGGGAGTGGAAGTGTTAATGTAGGAAAAGTGGTACTCTTTGAACTCCGAGTCGCGGAGGGCCATCGCTTGGTCAAACTCCTTGGCCTGGATGTGCTTGGTGACGGTCTGGGTGTGCTGCACCGCCTCCATCAAGGGCATGCGCAGGATCTTGTTCTCACGGATGGTGATGACCGGAGACGGGGACTCGGGCTTCATGTCCAGCACGGCGCGGACCGCCTCCACACCCTGCAACGTGGACAACCAGCGGTCGTAGGCACAGGCCGCACCACCTCTCTGTGTGTGACCGAGCACCGTCACACGGGTATCCAGGTTCAACCGCTCCGTCAGAATATCCTTGACCTTCGAGCTGGAGATCTTGTTCAGGTTCCGGTCCTGGGCTCCTTCGGCCACGATAACGATCGTCCTCCGCTTTCCGCGTTCCTTTCTGTTCTACAAAAGGTTAGCGAGCTTCCGGCACAGCTCCTGATAGATTGTACCTTGGTAATAATAGCACACATGTCATCCTCCCAACCGTCCTTGGGCGGCATCTCGGGCACAAACAGCCAGTCGGCACCAGTGCTGATGGCCGCCATCAAGGCGAGCCAACCGCAGTGGCGTCCCATGACCTCGATAACGAAACCACGCTGGTGGGAAAAGGCCGTGTCGAAGACGTCGTCGACCGCGTCACAGATACGAGTCAAAGACGAGTAGCAGCCGATGGTGGCATCTGTTCCGGACATGTCGTTGTCGATCGAACCCACCAATCCAACAATGTTCAAGATCTGGTATGGCTTGACCTGCTCCTTGGTCAATTCGCCCTTTTCGACCAATTCCTTCAACAAACCGGGCCACTCGGAGCGGAAGACGTCAGCACCAGTCAAACTACCATCACCACCACACACGACCAAGGCGTCAATGCCGCGGAGGATCAGGTTCTTGGCGGCCTGGAGACGACCGGGGCGCTCGCGGAAGGTCATGCAGCGGGCAGAACCGATGAGGGTACCACCACGGGACAACCAGCCGCGGACATCTTCCCAGTGTAGCTGACGGATCATGTCGCCACCATTGACGAGACCCTCGTAACCTTCAAAAACGGCAAAAGCCTCACAGTCGGAGTGGATGGCCATACGGACGACAGCCCGGACGGCGCCGTTCATACCGGGAGCATCGCCACCAGAGGTCAAGACACCGATGCGGCGCCTCTTGGGGGGTTCCACGGGAGCTTGAGGGGGAGCCATCATGCGATGGGTTCAGCGATTGTCGATCCGAGCAATAGCTGAACAAACGTAAGATGGAGATAGAGATGGAGATGAGAGAAGAGGAGCAACAGCTGCGGAGGGAGCCAGATAACTTGTGTGAGGGTGGGGGAGTGCTGGTGAGGTGCCGGTGAGAAAAAGCGGGTGTGGGCAGCAGTACGTCACAGACTCACAGACTCTCCCTCGCCGGCCGTCACTGCCCCGCTATATACCTGCCCAGCCCAAACAAACAATCAGTGAAGAAAAAAAGGAACAGCCCACCACGTCGTGGGGAATGGCCTAGATTCACGCCGACTGCCGATCGGCCGTGTGACTGCAGCCGCTGCAATATGGGGAGATTGGGTGGTGTTGATGTTGGGCGTCTTCCGCTGCATTCCCTTGCTGGACAATTGACTCCTCGTTCGCTGTTCGCCGATCGCCAGCGGCTGATGTCACCGCCAGCTCCTGATTGGGTCTAGTGCGGGACATGTCACGTGAGTAAAGTGGGTTAGGGCCCGTGCTGCACGTGATGGCTGTGTTATTCCCAAAGAGGCAGCCACGCGCTCAATTGCCCGGCGCTGATTGCTCCGCCATCCCCCAGTACATACTAAGTAGTAACAGCGGGAGGTTTCTCCGCCAGAACAATACCTTATCAAGGTGGCATGATAGATGCCATTATAAAACCGTACAGCCTACACAGCTTCCTCAAATGTATTAGACCTTGTCCAATAACTTCTCGGGGGTGTTATACTGCAACTCCGTACTGTCAAATGTGAACAAAGCGATCCACTCCAACTGCCCGGTTTGGCGGTGGAGAATGACAACATCGCTCACTTCTTTCTGTACACAGTACAATCATGCTTGCTCCTCGGTCCTCGTAGCACTGAGCAGGAGACTGGGTCTTACAAAGTATTCAATACCCAAGACGCAGAATTAACCGTTGCCACATCAGACAATTCCGTGTGTAACACAGAGATATATTCTAACCGACCCAGCCGTGGCACGGTATACCACCCCTGTTTGTGCAAGCACCTCGTAACATTATACCCAGCAAAGAACCAGCAGATTCCTAGCAACCTCACGAGATCTATGAAACCACCACTTGCTCATACATATCCCTGACTAGCTGACCCGGTTCAGCAATCCAACGAGCTCCTCCGTCTAGTACCATCAACGGCTGCCTACACCTTGTGATCCTAATCCAAACGAAGCATGCTGGATATGGTGCAACTCCTTTGTCATTCAGAACGGCGCCCCCTAATCCCCTATCATCATTGGAGCTCCTCTGTCACTAGCTGTGACTGCACTGTCTTCCATTGTGCCCTCATCAATTTGGTTTAGGTCCCATCTATATACTCTCCAGCACTGTTTCTTCAACGAGCAGCCCGGCTAGCTCAATCGGTAGAGCGTGAGACTCTTAATCTCAAGGCTGCGGGTTCGAGCCCCGCGTTGGGCTTATCTTTTTGCACTCTTATCTAGAGTTTCTCTGGAATGTGTGGTTCGTGATGGGGGAGTTGAATTTTTTGGTTGGAAGATTTAGTGACTCCACTGGGCCCACCGGCCAATCACATCCACCCTTGCCTTGTGAACATAAAAATTTGTGTTGAAGAATGCAGCAGTCAGAATTGTTTGTTATATTCATTAACCTACAGGACTTAATACTCCAATGTGCCTTGCTTGAATTATTGAGTGCGAATCCGTCAATTTTGTTTTCTCGATCCTTTCTTGCCGCAGAGAAACGCTCAGAGAAGGTTTTTAGAACTAGGAGACAAATAAATATATATCAGACCAAATTAACCCTACCAATCCGATCTTCTAACTAGATCGCCCTTAACTCACCCCAATCCTACCACGACGCCCATTCAAAGCCGTGAATCCTCTCATTGACCGTAGATAGTGTGGGTGGCGTGGTATACCGCCCCCCTGTCCATGAAAACCTTGTAACACCCACCCAGTCAGCAAACACGAGCATCACGAGATTCATCACACCACTCGACAGTCCTCCCAACAGGATCCCCATGGTTATTCTCGTATTTGCTTAGAGTTTCCCTCCTGCTGGGATATGCCATTCGGATGGGAACGGAGAGGTCAGGTGATTGAGACACCTGCAGGGTTTGCACTATGTTGTATGATATCAGGTTGAGGTCTTCAGATACATATTACAGGAGTCGGGTTGATATCTTCGTGTTGTCGAGTGGCTATTTAATTGACTAAAGGGCCCGGAACGCCACAAAAAGGAGTACATATTGTTCAATTCTCAGCTCGGAACCCTAGGGATAAAGATGATGCTCAGAGAATAACGTACAGTGCTCAGTCAAAACCATAGGACTCAGCCTCCTCCCGAGCTAGCTCATAAATATCCCCACCCCGGGGTTCGAATACATCACCCCGGGATAACTTCGATGCCAGATACATCCAGCTTACTGCATTTCCGACAGTGGTGTTCTCATCCGGAAGCTTAGCATTCTTAGTGAAAACTTTCTCTGATGATGATCTTTGAGCTCCGAAAATTTGAACCATACGCTGTGCGATAGCATCTGTATCACCTTGGTTGACTAGAATGGTATTGTCGTTTTCGTGAATAAAAGGAAAGAGTTCGGCCTCTCGGATTGAAATCACCAAGGTTTCCTTTTGGATTGCTCCTAGGAACAATTCTGGGACTCCGTGGAGGGTGGAAAGTTGCACAAGGGCTACTGCATTGGTGACGAGGGCGTTCCACATTTGATCTAACGCGCCGATTGGGATGATGCAGACGGATGAGGCTAAGCTATCGATGTTGTCGAGTTGGGTCATGACCGTGTCGTAAAGCACGGAGCCTTCTGGACTGCGGAATGGCCCGTGATGGCAAATAAGTAGCTTAGGGAAAGCCTGCCCTGGGTATTTCTTGGTGAATAGGTCGCGAGATTTCCCATATGACTCGAGGAGACAAAGAGTGCCATCGCCAGGCCGGAACTGTGACAGATGAAGCATATATTGCTCTTGATGGAGAGCCATGTTAGTGAAAAGCAGTGTTAAGAAAGGTAAATGCTTACCTTCTGGAAATCGTATGATAGACATCTGCAGGGTCCTGCACAATGAGCTGAACTCACGGCCATAAAATACCATATCCCAGTCTGTCAATGGCTTGTTCTGACCATCGAGTCTGACTACATCAGCAGGTGCTATTTCAATGAACCCAATGGACAACGTACTGATCAACAGAAAATGGAATGTAGCCAACATTATCCTCCGGCATTATACGCGGGGCAAGTTCCTTGGGGAGTAGAGACACCACCATGTCCACGTGCGCCAACCTGGTCCGGATAAACTCCCACGCTCGAGATTGCGGACTATTCGGATCTCCAAGCGAGTCGCCCTGAGGCTGGAGACTACTTTCAAAGATGACAGGCCGCTCAGGGTCTTGCTGCTTCGAAAGCAGAGCCAACGTCAAAAGGGGTGCGCTGTCGATGATTACCACATCGACGCCTCCCTCTGCACGGGGTCGAAGAGGTCCATTCTCGCATAGCCAATATCTCCGGGCATTTGCATAGGCAAAGTCGAGGATCAACAACTCATCCTCGATTGTGATATCAGGAAGGGAGTCGCCCAATCCTTCCAGGGTATCCTGCATTTTTCGAATAAGAGGAATCATCCCCGGACGTGGCTTGGGTACAAACCTGATCATAGTTAACTTGGTGAATCGCACGGTCAGAGCGAAAGATGAATCACCATTTGATGCGAGCCCCAAGGCTCTGGGTAAACCTTGCAAGTGCATGTCGTGTAGGAACATCAGGCTTGCCTTGGCATGTCATACTGAAGAACGCGATGTTGACCTTCCTCTGCTTCAGGTCATGAGCATAATACTGAGCCAAAGACCACGTAGTAGGCTCGACGGTCTTTCCGTAATCAATCCCACTAGCGAGGTGAACATGATAACTCCTGTCAACGTCTACCGACCCATCAAAATTTATATGATTGTGCAGCACATGCCCGATACCGAAAGACCTATATGTGTTAGAAAAGCTCTCATACACTCTGAAACACCTACCGTATGCACTTTCGCACCATGGAATCTGCCCGCTCATCCAGTTCCTTTCTATGCCATCCGGAAAAGGTAGCCAGCTCACCCTGGTCATAATGTTGTCGTTCACGATCTTTATGGTCCAATACCAAGGGCACAATATCGAGCTCACCCCAGAGTCGGGAGCAGAGGGATGGACAAATGTCCACGAGAGACTCGTGCAACGCAGCGCTGATTATTTTCTCTCCATGCTTTTCCCTATATTTCTTCAGCTCCGAGACGATCTCACAGGCGGCGTAGTCTGACGCATCGGGACGCGGCGCGTGCAAACTACACACGATCAAGTCGACCAGGTCTGTTGAATTCCGAATGGCGATTGCGACTCTTCCGCCCGTGGTATCGCTCACAAGCTCTGTTATCCCAGCGTATATGATCTAACCATGGTTATAGTTGCAGGAACATAGAGGCTAGGATCGAGGTATCATCTCACATTTAATGGTCGTCCAGCCCAGGCATCGGCGGTGAAGGATGGACTAACAGTGGCCATCGTTTATTGAAGTAGGAGGGTTCTCGATTCGATTAGAAACACCCTGAAAAGAATATAACCCACTGGGTCGAGATTAGCATCGTGATACTTATATGGGTATGAGTTGAGGGGCTGTCACTCCCGAGCCGGGCCTGGACCGGGAAAGGTTCGGGTCCCAGAGACACAAAGACGCCCCCTCTTACCTTGACGCAGAAATGACATCCACCCAGAAGAATGGTGAAGCGTTCTCCCACCATCATATGACCTGAATCCTTCCAACCGAGTGCCGTCCCGGATATCCTTCGCATGACGGCGGCTATATTTCGGTAGGTGGATGAGAGATCAATGCGATTTGGCTGGGCCTTGATTCGAGCCTTCAGGGACGAGATCGGCAGGTTGCTGTGACTGAATGGGTAGGGTAACACAATTAATCTTGCACTTTGCGGCGAACCCAAACAAGCCAGCTAGAATGTCGATGTTATAGTATTCTGCAGGAGTCGAAGGAAGTGAAGTTGTCACACGGAACCAAGGCTGTCGCTGCCTACGGTCACCTGATCGGCGATTCTTTCCACTGATACAGAAGCACATGACTGCGTGGTCTACTTGCTGCCGAGCAGGCTTATATGTTCTTCTGCCATTTTGCTCATAACACTAACACAATACCTGCAAACTCCATGTCTCCGCTACACGCACCGCGCTGGGGCAACCAAATCATGCCACTTACGAAACACATTCTGCGGATCATACTTCCTTTTGATCTCCTGGAGTCGCGGTAAGTTCTCTGCAAATAAACTTTCGATGTCTATGTCGTGTCCTGTTACTGTTACTCATCGTGGCTAACATAAGGGTATACAGATGCAGAGACTTGCCGGCAAAATTTGCATATGCCACAACATGATCGTCAGTAGTGCCTTGTTGCCCCTCCTGGATCTTTGCAATCATATTCCGCTGGAGAGCGTGCATCTTCGCATCAAGCTCAGAATCATGCCAGCATAGTATCAAACCAACATTGTAATAAGGGCCTCGATTGGCACATGCGGTTTCTTCAATCGGAACCTGGACAATCTTGGAGTATGGCAGCAGTTCAAAGACCAATGCGCTGTCTCCCATGCGCGGATATGTTCTCATGACCTCGTCAAACTGCTCCCAGAGCTCATGTACCGGACTTGTGGTGAGTGGGGGCGTGATATTCGTGCCACCGATGCTTTTGCGGCCTTCTGGTACCGGGTCAACATTGGCCATCGAATTCAACTCGGCGTAAGACACCATCCCAGTGCGGTTGACCAGATACTCCAGTGATAAGATAGGTGCAAAGAATGCCTCAGCTTCGGTTTGAGTCCCGTTATAAAAGAGCATCGCCAGAATCTCGGTCTGACCTGCTGGTCGCCGAACCGTGAATCCAAAACAGAACCCGCTCTTTTGATCCTGTCGCTCATCGAACCGGTTGGCAAATTCGACAATCTTTGGCAACTTCTCGACATCAAAGTACATCGAGCCTCCAAATATGATGGCAGGAACCTTGTGAGCGCGAAACACAAACTCAGTCGCAATGCCAAAGGCTTGTCCTGCTCCACGGACGGCCCAGAAAAGATCCCGATTGTTCTCGTCGGACGCTTCGACGATGCTGCCATCAGCTACGACCATCTTCACACTCAGCAGTTGGTCAATGATAAGCCCATGTTGCCCAGTCAGCCAGCCATAGCCACCTCCCAAGGTCGACCCGCCTACACCAATGTGACTGGCTGTGGCACCTACCACGGCAAGCCCATACGGGGCAGTTGACTGGTTGACAGCATCCCAGGTAGCGCCACCCTGAGCGCATACCGTCTTGGAGGCAGGGTCTGTCAGGACTTTGTGCATACTGGCCATACTGATGACGACACCCCCATGAGATGACGAAGCCCCGGTCGTAGAGTGCCCGCCGGCCTCAACCACGAAGTCGATGCGGTTTTTCCGGCAGAAGTGAACAACTTCAGACACTTCCGAAGTGCTGGTTACTCGGACTATAGCGCCCTGGGCCTGGTTAGATCTAGCCCAAAGTTTGAGTGCAATATGAGGAATGGCAGTCCACACAGCTTCTTTTTCGCATGTATCACTCCATCGGCGAATACTCGCCGCATAATCATCGGACCCGAGACAGACAACCTCGGCCCTGGTTCCTTCCAATTCCCTTCTCAGTTCCAGTATATGGGCAAATGATAGAAATGGCATGACTGGACGGTTGCACAGGCTCCGAATAATTTACGTCCAAGTACAATGAACATGGTAGGGAGTTAACCGACTGCAACGCGACAGACGATAAAGAAATTTATTTGCACATTCCCGAGCTATGAAAGTCAGCAACCTATCAGAATGTGGCATCCCAGACCGATGACATGGAAGCGTCCTGAAACGACGACTAGGAAGCCGGGGATTTGTAGGTATGACGGCCGGGATACAACAGGAAGCCACCTGACTCAGATAGCAGAATCATACGATCGATGGTTCTTGATGCCGCAACTGTGACGTTCCTCGAGATGTGGCTGATCGCGACCACGGATGGGCCCGTCTAGGTCTCCGAACCCCCCGAGTTTGACTTTCTGGTCGTATATCCTCTTTGCACGTGTGCAGCCACTACAAGAACTGCCAGCCAATAATCATAGAGCCCGCAAGCTGATCAAGGGCCATTTTTTGGCCGGTGTTTTGATTGCTGGCAATCCCTACATCCATCTCGTGATATGCCGTTCATCATGACCAGTCTATGACACTGTGGCTCTTGGTATTCGCTGCAGTCGTTCAGTTGAATTCTAGTGTACAACTCCCCACCCTCTTAAGCCATTGCCCTCTAGGACTTCTTGATTGCTCCACCTTCGTGAAATCAAGATCTGACTAGCCTATTAAAATCATCATGAACCGTCGAGACAGCTTTGCAAAGCGCGATCCAGCGGCCACCCACGCCTGGCTCATCGGCGGCGGGATCGCTTCTCTTTCCGCAGCGGTGCATCTTATCCATGACGCGAATGTTTCAGCTGGGAATATCCATATCCTTGATGTTCACTCTCACGCAGGCGGCGCTATCCAAAGCTACGGTAATGCAGAGGATGGCTACATCCTGTACACTGGAAGCCTGCCCTACTTTCATGATCGATGTGTAGAGCAACTTCTTGCTCTGGTCCCAGATGCCGAGAACCCACAGAAATCACTTCTGCAATCTATCAAAGAGTTTGACCGGGAATCTGTCCCGAAAAAATCAGCAACGACCCGTCTCGTGAGGCAAGGCAAGCATGGCCCAGAGCTGGCTCACACCAAAAGCCTGCAAATTGGGCCCCGATATCGGTTGGAGCTGATTAAAGTGATGCTTGAAAATGAACGGACCCTTGGGGAGAAGAGCATTCGGGAAATCTTCGATGAAGGTTTCTTCAAGACCAACTTCTGGACATTGTGGTCCACAACGTGAGTTGTGCTCTCATACGACGCCGTTTCAGGCTAACGTAGATCAGCTTTGCTCTGCAGCCATGGCACAGTGCTGTGGAGTTCCGGAGATGCCTCTGCAAGCACCTGGCTGACATCGAACGCCTCAATGATCTGAAGGCTCTGGATCGAACCAAATATACGATCTACGAGTCTATCATTCTTCCGATTGAGTCATATCTGAAACAAGCCGGGGTCGACTTTCATTTTCATGCCAAGGTTACCAACCTCCAAATGGACGCGAGGGAAGCCCAAACCACCGTCTCGCAGATCTTCCTGAAGGACAACGGGAAAGATAAGACGATCGAGGTACGACCGGAGGATATTGTCATCGTGACACTTGGATCAACAAACTCGGGCGCCCAGAGAGGCTCGAATCATAACCCTCCAACACCTCCTGTGGAGGTTAAGAACGGCGACTGGTCACTGTGGATAGAGTTGATGCAAACCTCATCGGAATTTGGAAACCCATTCAACTTCCACCGGAATATCGAACAGGCAGCCTTGGAGAATTTCACCGTCACCCTCCACAACTCCGACTTTATGCAGCGTTACGAGAAATTGACCAATGACAAGCCTGGTGCTGGAGCTCTGCTTTCCTTCCCTGATAGCAACTGGGGGCTCAGTCTTAGCGTTCCCCGTCAGCCCGTATGCTCCAATCAGCCGCCCGCCGTCGACGTATTCTGGGGCTATGGGCTGCATCCGGAGAAGATTGGAAACTTTGTTGGCAAGCCAATGTCTGCCTGTTCGGGCAAGGAGATTATGAGCGAGATGCTTGCCCATCTGGGATTCCCACCGGAAGACATTCTCGCGAATTCAATCACGATTCCCGTTTTGTTGCCCCTGGCTACAGCGCCACTGATGACTCGGGCTCATGACCACCGCCCCGAAGTCATTCCCTTCCAAAGCAGAAACTTGGCATTCGTGGGGCAGTATGTTGAGATCCCAGATGATACGACTCTTAGCATGGAATACAGCGTCCGCGGAGCTCAGACGGCCGTGTTTTCTCTCATGAAGCTCCCGAAGCATCCGCCAAAGATTGAACGACATCTCCTTTTGAATGTATTTGATTTGCTGGGAGGTGCTTAGCTCTACCATGTATCTTTTGTGGTGGTGATTTATTTCCTTGATCCAACAGCTGGAGTCACTCCTTCAAGTTTCTTGAGTTATGCACAACAGCATAACAAGTCTTGTTTCTTCTCTGCGTGTCATGGTAGTATGTTTCTAACACCTTTAATCTAATGTGTTACTGCAGAAAAAATGATCACATGGATCAACAATTGTCAGGCTTTCCAAACTGCCGTGTCTATCGTATCATCACATTTGTACCTCAAGGAGCCTCAGATTGATGAATACCACTCTTTTCGTTCTATATATCAATATGTGCCATGTAACGGACGGTATACTCTACCAGGACATAGCAACAGTTGCCCATGGTACTCATACCCACTCAATCCTATAGGCGGAATGCAAATGCGTTTAATGGAACAACAATCAGTCTGACGTCGTACAAGCACTCATCTTACTTCCACATTTGGCTATTATATCCTCAACAAATGTGTCTTCGATACCATGTGATGCTGTCACGTTTCTCCTCCTATATCTTCGATTCTTGTGGCTTGATTACCCCCGTTACTAAATCTAGCCAGTCGTTCCGAGTTCATCAAGTATGCAACCTAACTCCATTCCAACAACACCACAACCTACCCAACTCATCATCAAACCTATCGCCGCTTGGTCCAAATCGACCCTCCAGCCTACCTATCCGACCATAACCCCATCTCGACCCCTTCTCTCATCCCACCATCCACACATCACCATGCCGTCCAAAAAATACAAACGCAAACCCCGATCCAAACCCTGGTCCAACCGCAACCGCTGGTCCATGTACCCAGCCCTACACGAAGACGTGACCCGCCTTCTCGCCTACGATGACCTCGACCTCGACTTCCACCCCTTCGACGACTCCGATACCAACACTGAAGAGTACGACACCTGCATCATGGGCCAATTCACCTGCCCTAATGATTCGTGCAGCTCGACCGGCTGGACAAGTAAGAAGATCGCAATCACGATCCGGCTTTATCCGGGGGAGGAATATAATGCGCGGGTATATCATCAGAGATGCAAGAGCTGTGATGCTCTTAGTCGACCGGTGTTGGATGATTCGTATGCGGAACGTGTCGCGTATCGTATCAAGAAGTGGCATGGGGTGAAGATGGAGAAGCCGCCGTATTCGAGGGGGGAACATACGGGGCCGCATAATAGTGAGTTGTGTGAGGGGTGTAAGGAGGGGCATTGTAAGGAGGGTGGGTTTGGGGGGTGGTGAGAGGGGTTTGGGGGGTTGTGTCAGTGACATCTTGTATGGAGTATGTTTCCAGATAGCCTTGGCGAAGGGAATTTGCAGTTTTAACTATATCAGATCATCGGGGTTGTTCATCCTGGATATGGGTCTTTGTCATGTATGAGAACTTTGATTGGGGGATTAGCAGTTGAGACTACATAGGCCTGAGGCAATACAAAGATATACGCTAGTCCTAGCTTAGACTAGGCTACGCAGCTGCAACACAATCACGTGCTCCCTATCGCGGTCCAATCAATCCGCCATCACCAGCAATCAACTTCCTCTTCAAACCTACCTGCCACCACTCCGGCAGTGGACTGCACCATGACCGACTCCTTCAGTCTCCCCCTGCGCCCGCTCACCGAGAAACGCGACCGCCCCGATACTCTCCCGCTCGAGATCGCCCAAATCAACGCCCGGTGGGGATCTTTCCGCGACGTCAACGAGGAGACTCTCCGCGCCAAAATCGAAGAGGACAAGAACCGGGACCCATGGTCGGACGAGGATGAAGACAGCAAGCCCGCCGAGGATGTGGATACAACGGAGCGTCGGGAGCAATTGTACAAGCGGCGAGCGGAGATCTTGCAATTCGCCATGTAGGTTGATCGAATCGGATCGGACGCATCGGACTAATTGATTTACTAAAGGCAGGCTCATATGGAAGCTCTGTTTGCCTTGGATTTTGTCTCCCTCCTCCTATCCAAGCATACACCTCGTCAGGCCGAGACTTCCATGTCAACATACTTGAAACAGGTTGCGCCCCTCGGTTCGCTGAACGCTGAAGTCGTCAATCCTCCTCCGAAGTCGGAAGCTGCTATGCAGGATGTCAAGACGGTGTCGCGGGGTTGGAGAGTGCAGAACTTCAATGCGGCTGCGAATAAGTTGCTCAATTCGGCGACACGGTTGGAAGGAGAAATTGCGTCTGAGACGAAATACTGGGATGAAGTTCTCGCGGTCAAGGAAAAGGGCTGGAAGGTGTGCAGGTTACCACGGGAGAGACAGGCGTTGGGGTTCCATATGGGTTTTTGGAAGGTAGGATGGGCATTATCACTGTTTGAAATATGCTGACGGATCTAGCTACGCCTATCTTCCGCGATCGAGGTCTTGCTGCTTTACGAAGGGGTGATAATGGGAGTTTGAGACTGGACAAGGGACTGGCACCACAGAAGACACGGACGGTTCGGGTCCGTGTAAAGAACCGCGGAAAGCTCACTGGATGTTCCAAGCTACCGGAGTCGCCTGATATGGGTTCGGTTGAAAAGACGATTTTGCAAGCGCGCGACACCGTCTACGAGGAAGAGCTGTTCCACGAACTGATGCGTGAAGCTCGTATTATGGGCAGCCAAGGGGTTACAACCCGCCAGAACCTAGTCAGACTCCCGATATCCGAAGAACAAGAGGTTCTACTGGACTTGGTCGATGCCGACGCACCTGCAGATGGCGAGATGGAGTCTACAGAACACGACGTGCTTGCGGATGCGCTTTCCCACTCGATTCGAATCCTGCTCGCGTATGCGCATCGCCAAAATTTACGGCGCAGGACACAGCCGCCGCCCGCACTCTCCAACAAACGTCGACAAACACCGGAATATCAGCTCTTGCGTCCGGTTATGGCATATCTCCAACACAGTGCACATGTGCGATGGCTGGAGTCATTCCTGAATGACATCTACCGGGTTCTGCGAGCGGCGGGATTCCAGTGCGAGTTTCATGCGGTGCCTTTTTCATCCGTTAGCCTTCCCAGGATGCATCCCGCGATCCCGAAAGTAGAGGGGCTGGTGCAACAGTTCCTGATGCCGTTTGAATCGACATTCTCCGGGCACCTGGTCACCCCTCAAAGTTCTTTTAGGGTGAAGATTCGCACCAACCCCGCCGCCCCGCCATTTGGCACCCAGTATGATATCTCTGTCGATTTGCTCCACCATCCGGATGTCCAGCCGCCGAGTCGGGTTGGGCTGCAGAGTGACGCTGCTGCGGCTCTTACACATGTTTTCAAGTTGGATATTGTCTCGGCTATTGCAGTTCATGGCTCCAAATTAGTCCAGGACAGTACCAGAAAAGAAGTGGAGAAGGAACCCCTGACCTGGGAGGCGGCATATCCACACCACGGCGAACTGCTGGCGCTATCGACTACCGGCCGGAGTAAGAAGCTGAAGGTTACGCTGTCGCGACAGGAACTGACCGTCGAAACCTATTCCATGCGGGGAATTGATGGGCATGGCCAATCAGCCGGGACAAAGCCCCCAAGTCACTCCCAGACCTGGAGATGCGATCAGACGGGTTCCCAGCCCATTTTGATGGATTTTGTTGCCGAAGCATCGCGGCAGCAATCTTGAAGCCGTGCTGGAATCACAGTTCCGTTGCATGTAGCGATGGTTAACCCATTTCAATGGCATGATCCAGTGGCAACATGGGCTCTGGCGATACTGGAACGAGATAGATAGATACCCCAAGAAAAGATACCGGATGGTGGCAGTAACATGTGAACGTCCAAGCACCCAATGATATCACCAGCACCTGATGTTCATGAGGACCTCGACCGCCTGACGATCGGAGAAGCGGGACGGGTGAAAGGATGCCTTCACGTGGTGTTGAGCTGTCTTTCCAACGTGGTCAGTGACGCAAGACGTGGATAGCATCTTGTCAAGCCAGCCATGATCAATGTGGAGTGGGCTTCCCTATTCTGATGACTGGTCTTGGTGATTCCGACCGGAAATGGCCCAAATACGGTCATCCATCCGGCCCTATTTGGCAGCTCTCCCCGCATTCTGCTGTGCGGAAGGTCGGCGGCACCCAAGCAACAGCAACAAGGAGAGAAACATGAAGAGAATAAATACCCTAACCTCTAGATAAGCTTTATATTAGCTCGATGCAATACAATCAAGACTACATATTCTGAATCTACCCGGGGCTGTCGGGCTCCCAACGGACCGAGGCATGCGGCGAGTCTGGGGCAAAGCGGGCTTACTAGCGCGTACCGCAGGGTTTAAGGTTCCCTTTACCGCTAGTAAGCCTGTGACTGTAAAACATCCATCTTCACTCAACACAAGGTTGAATGTGAATAGGGCGTCATGGCTTCTCTCCTAAGATGGGTCAGGACTTCCCTCCGTAAAAAACCATCCCCGCCCCTACGCTTCCCATCCACAGGCTTCCAAACCGTCCCAGCAACCCACATCCTCGAAGAAGAACGCTTCAACGCGTTCAAACAAGGCCACTACTACCCAGTCAACATCGGCGACATCTTCAACTCGACGTATCAAGTCATCGGTAAACTAGGATACGGAACCACCTCTACCGTATGGCTAGCCCATGATCTGAGGTAAGTCCCTTCTACCCTACCAGCCTGCAGTATACCATACCAACACCCCCAGATCCCAAACATACGTGACACTAAAGATCTACACCCGCGATGAATCCCACACCGAGGAATTCCAGATCTACAAGCATCTAACCAGCAGCAAACCGTCTCATCCTGGGTACCCTTATGTCCGAACAGCCCTTGACACATTCACGATTCCCCGTTCCGGGGGGAATCATGGCGTTTTGGTCCAGAAACCCATGTGGGAGAGTTTCCGGCATCTCCAGTACCGGAACCCTAGTCATCGGTTCTCGGAGGATTTGTTGAGAATGGGTCTGGTGCAGGTGCTGATGGCGTTGGATTACTTGCATACTGAATGCAGGCTTGTGCATACAGGTGCCTCCGCAGTTTCAAGTTATAACAAGTATGGTTGCTGATTTACAATATGGCTAGACATCAGCAGCGATAATATCCTTCAGGAGATTGAGGATAATGAGATTCTTGAGGCGCTTACGCGAGATGAGTTGGAGACTCCCTCGCCACGGAAACTGGTTGACGGGGTGCCGGTATATGCTTCTCGACGGTTTGGGCTGCCGAGGACGTTTGGTCGGGTTGTGCTGAGCGATTTTGGGTCGGCGGTGCGAGGAGATGAAAGGAGAAACCATGGTGCGCAGCCGTATGTTTATCGATCACCAGAGGTGATGTTGAAGACAGATTCGAGTTATCCAGTTGACATCTGGAATGTCGGGGTTATGGTATGTTTTTTTCCGTTTGTTTTTTTCGAGACAGAGTGGGTGGTTCCTGAAGAGATTCTAATGGAGAATTAGATCTGGGATCTCTTTGAGGGAAAACATATGTTTTATAGGAATGATCCGGATGGGAAAGGGTATTCCACCCGTGCTCATTTGGCGGAGGTCATTGTGATGCTAGGACCGCCTCCGGTTGATTTGCTAAGGCGGGGGAAACGGAGTTGGGAGTTCTTTACTGAAGATGGTATGTGGGTTTATGTTGAGATGTTTACATTGGAACTGACGGGTCAACAGGGAAATGGAAGTAGGATGTTGAGATTCCGCAGGATTACACGCTGGAAATGTCAGAGGAGTTCCTTGAAGGGAGGAATAAGGATATGTTCTTGGCTTTTATGAGAGGGATGCTTCAGTGGCGGCCAGAGGATAGAAAGACGGCCAAGGAGCTGCTTCAGGATCCATGGTTGAATCAGGGGATGGATTAGGGCTTTAGTCATGAGGGAGAGAGAAAGTCAGGCACGAGATGGACCCACTCCGGAGATAGATTTGACTAATGGGTGTCGATGACCCTTTAGCTCCTTGATCCCTATGGAGTTGAGGGGTGTAAGTACATGGTGAGTAGTGGAACCCAGAGTTTCTGGCCATCACTCTAAATTTGGCCCGGTAACCAAGCAGGAAATGCGCGAAGCAGACTACATAGTATCTGTAGTCTGTAGCAAACGTCATTCAGTGTGATGCCCCATAGTGGCACCTTGTGTCCTGCTTCAGGTAGACTCCCGTGCAGCCGTCCCGCCCCCATGGGGTGATGCTATGGTGTTTACTTCCGTCTCGGTCCAGAGTTGAGTTCCTCGGCATCGGCCGATCCTCTGCCGACCATTCCACGTGTATCAGTACCGTTCCATACACCCCCCCGCGCCCGTGGACGGGCCAAATGGGGGGCTCCACCAGCCCGATGACAATACGGAACGAGCCAGCAGTCGGCTGAGGCGAGCGGCCAGCTTCCCTCCAGCCGAGGCATCTTGGTCTCCCTTCTTCCTTGTCTCGTCCTCTTATCTCATGTGGTCTTCCGCTCTTCCTTTTTAGCCTGCTGTCCACTGCTTCCACTTCTCCTTACTACATAATCACCTCAAGCTATTCCTCTCCTCCCTACCTCTCTTCCTCCTCCAACCCATCACAACCGCGAGGCATGTTCACAGCTTCGAGCAGAAGCCGTCTCTCCACTCTCTCTCGGCCCCGTCTCCCCCCCAACTCGCTCCTCACCAGATCCGTTGTGGTGAGTTTCAGTCCACATCCAACATGCTGAGCATTGTGACTAATAGGCAATATCTAGACTCCGATAATGGCACCCCGGCGCAAAGCATCGTCGGTCCCCGAGGGTAAGCGATCACATGCGATGTCCCTTGCGAGCCCGACTGACAGATTCGATGACCAGGATACAAAGAAGACCTCTCCAAGGGCAAAATGCTCCGTTTCGAAGACTCCCTTCCCCGTCTACCCGTCCCCTCGTTAGAAGAAACCGGCCGTCGCTACCTTAAATCCGTTCACGCCGTCGTCTCCGAGGCCGAATATGAGCGCACAAAGAAGGCCGTCGACGCCTTCATTCGCCCTGGAGGCGAGGGCGAGTCCCTGCAGGAAAGGCTGCTTGCCCGCGCCGCCGACCCCAATACCAAGAACTGGATTCTAGAGTGGTGGAATCATGCGGCTTACTTGGGCTACCGGGACCCCGTCATCCCCTACGTTTCCTACTTCTACTCCTACCGCGATGATCGCGCCCGTCGAAACCCCGCCAAGCGGGCCGCCTCCGTCACCACCGCCGCCCTGGAGTTCAAGCGCCAGGTGGACGATGGCTCCCTGGAGCCCGAGTACATGCGCGGCCAGCCTATCGCCATGTCCTCCTACGAGTACATGTTCAACTGCTGCCGTATGCCCGGCGACAGCGTCGACTACCCCCAGAAGTTCCCCGCCCAGGAAAACGAGCATATCGTGGTCGTGCGCAAGAACCAATTCTTCAAGGTCCCTCTGGTCGTAAACGGCAGGCGCCTGAACAACACCGAGCTGGAGCGCCAGTTTGAGCGCATCTACGAGGTTGCTCAGCCGTCCCCGGCGGTCGGCGTGTTGACCGTCGCTAACCGAGACCTGTGGGCCGATGCTCGGAAGAAGCTGCTGGCAGCACACCCCGCCAACAAGCAGGCGCTGCGGGACATTGAGTCCAGTGGGTTCGTGGTCTGTCTGGACAATGCCACTCCCGTCACCCTGGAGGAGCGTGCGCACCAGTACTGGCACGGCGATGGCACCAACCGCTGGTTCGACAAGCCTCTGCAGTTCATCATCAACGACAATGGCACCGCCGGGTTCATGGGCGAGCACAGCATGATGGACGGCAGCCCCACCCACCGCCTCAACGATCACCTCAACAACCTCATTTTCAACCACAAGATCGACCTCTCCGAGCAGCCGGTGCGGTCCGATCTCCCCGACCCTCGCCCCATCACACTCCACTTGGACGGCCCAGTCCTGGAGGCGATCGACGCGGCCAACAAGGAACACCGCCAGCAGATCTCGTCCCATGAGCTCAAGGTCCAGGCCTACCAAGGCTACGGCAAGGGCCTGATTAAGAAGTTCAAGTGCAGTCCGGATGCGTACGTCCAGATGATCATTCAGCTGGCGTACTTTAAGATGTACGGCAAGAACCGCCCGACCTACGAGTCTGCCTCCACGCGCAAGTTCCAGCAGGGGCGTACCGAGACAATTCGGACGGTGTCGGACGACAGCGTTGCCTTTTGCAAGGCCATCAGCGACCCGGCCGTTCCTCGCGAGGAAGCCGTCCGTCTGCTGCGCACGGCTCTGGCCGCCCACACCAAATACACGACGGAAGCCAGCGATGGCCGTGGTGTTGACCGCCACCTCTTCGGCTTGAAGAAGCTGCTCCGCGAGGGCGAGAAGCTGCCTGCTCTGTACGAGGACCCAGCATTCGCATACAGCAGCTCGTGGTACCTATCCACTAGCCAGCTGAGCTCGGAGTTCTTCAACGGCTACGGATGGAGCCAGGTGATTGACGATGGATTCGGTATTGCATACATGATTAACGAGAACAGGTAAGTCTTTTCCCTTGTCTGGTGTGATACATGCTAATTGTTATAGTTTGAACTTCAACATTGTCTGCAAGCGCCTTGGTGCGGAGCGGATGAGCTACTACCTGAACGAGGCGGCATCAGACATGAGGGATATGTTGATGCCTGACTTGGCTGCCCAGGCCGAGAAGGCCAAGATGTAAGATAGAGAACCTTGCCTGGATGTGCGCATGCTATGTCATGCTGGTTATACCTTGGATGTAAATCGTCCTCTGCAGATTTTAGTAGACTAGACCTCAATCAATGAGCATCAGATACCACTGTGCCTATTACCATTTTGTGCACATGAACCCCCCCCCCCTCCCCCCTCCAACCCCAAAAAAAAGAAAGAAAGCAGAAAATCCTTCCTTAGCCAATATACTATCTAGGTTCGTCTGTAGAATGATCATTCTATATGCATCTCAGCGAGCTATCCCATCACTCCAGAAGACAAGACAACCCTAGATACCACACCACCTACTTATCTGCATCCGAATTCCTTCTGAGTAAGACACGATGACCCCCGCTTAAAGGATACGCTTGATCCTTAACCCACACCCATCTCTTATCACTTATCCACTGCTCTGTATCCATTATCTCTCAACAACCACCCTAACCCCATCCGTGCTAGTTCCAGGGGCAACCAACCGCCAAGCCTGCGCCCAAGACAATCCCCGATCTGATCCATCCGTCCACCACGGAAACCATCCTGCTGATCAGGGTCTATCCTCCAACTTATTCTTCCCTCCATTCCAGCGATCTTCAGTATGGCATCCCGCCTAATCTCCAGGAGTATACTCCGGACCGGACGCAGTCTCCATGCACCTCTCCCTGCATTTCGACATGCATCGCATCCCCTGACGCGTACCCGCACGCGCATACCCAGCGATGCCACCGTGCACCATATCTCCCCAAGCAGAATGTATCAATCCACCAGATGGGACGATGATTCCGACCCCACGGGCTACTCCGCTACCACCCCCAAAGGCCGAATTGGCCGTTACCCATCCAACGTCGATGCCATGGCCCTAGAAGGAAAGGGTATTACGAGGGTTCATTGGGGGAACCAGTACTTGTCTATTGGTATTTCTCTTCATCTCCATTTCCATCAACATCAATGTGCAGAGCTAACATCAGGATGGGACAGTCGACCGTCTCATCCCACCCCAAACCATCATCCAATTCATAGAGTGTCTAATGCACGGGACTCTGCCGAACGGGAAAGAGACAGAGCGGGAACGGCTCGAGCAAGAGGAATTCGGGCTCCTTTCTGTTCCGGTTGCTCAGTGGGCGGGGACATCCTCGCCCGGGGGTGAAGAGTCGATTCTGCATCGGATCATGGTCGTTGTGGGCAGTCATGAGGATCCGAGACGACTTTGTACCGTCGGGAAGAATATCCATTCGGTGAAAACGAGGCTTTGGGAGGGCATGGTGCCTATGTCTGCTGCTCGATGGCAGGATAAGGGGTTGAGCGAGAGGGAGTATTTTGATACGGCGTGTGAGTATCTCACTGCTGTGATTACTGCCTTTGAGTATTTGAATAATCACCAGGTGAGGGCGAATCTGCGGGATGGGTTTAATCTGATTTCGGACCATTTGGGGATGTTTGAGGAGGCGCTGAATGTTAAGAGGAGGGAACGGGGGCAGAAGTTGTTAGATTTGAGGGGCCTGTGGGAGGAGTTTATCCGGGCCAAGTATGAGGTTATGACGAGTCGGGCGCATGGGTGGGTGGTGGATAGGGTGAAGGAGTTGCAGGAGAAGGTGATTGGGGAGATTTGTGCGCTGCCGGTGATGAACGAGGAAGAAATATCTCAGGAGATGGAAAAGTGGACGACTAAGTTGTTTCACGTCATGGAGATCACGTCCCTGGCGGATATGACTATCTGGATGCCCATGGAAGGCTATGCGGGCTACCAGCCATCGGAGGATGTGGTTGCTGGACTACGGAATCCTAATTTGGGGGACTATCGCAAGAACTATTCGGATAAGCTCCAGGCTATTGTCTGGCCGCGGATGGAGCAGTTGATCCAGGAGCAATTGTCGAAACAGCCGGATGACAGCAATGGACAGAGTCCAGAAAGCCGCGCCAAACGCTTCGCCGTCAATACCATCGCACAGGACGACCTGCGACAGGAGATCCGTGGACCAGCACCGGTTCTTGTGCCGGAGGCGTGGATCCAACGGATCTTGCATTTCCACGAGTTATCGCAGTCCGTGGAGGAAGAGGTGAGGATGAGCGAGGGGTTGGCGATTTATCGTCTCGCGTATCAGGTGTCAGATGCGGAGTGGGAGGCCTGCAAGGGCAAGTTAGAGGCGCATCTGGCTTCCTGGGGAGCTGGAGTGGACAAAGCAGAGGAAGTCAAGCCCCTGCTCAAGATCCACTGGTTTGATGGAAAGGAACTAGGCTTCGGAGACCACGATATCGACGCAGCAAAGAAGTACATACCCCAGAATCACAAATAACCTAGCTAACCCTCTCAGACACTACCTCGAGATCAGAGACTCGGACGCCTACGTCCAGAAGCTCCAACACGACGTCTTCCTCGTCGCCGACGGCTGGAGCATCGCATCCTATAAGGAATCCGGCTTCCACAGCCCAACCAAGGCAATGCTCCCGGGCGACTTCCAAGGCCATATCCTGGCCGTAGACGCCAGCTTCGACCCGGCCGCGCCCAACGAGCACGCGGAAGAGTCCCCGGGCTTTGATGGTCAGATGCGCATCCTAGGCAATCTAGTGTGGAGCGATCTCTACGCTATGCTGGCCTTGCGATGTGGAGGTCTAGAGGATATGTGGCCGTTGGCCATGGATCACCCGCAGAAGGCCTACACCGGGCTCACGGTGCCTTTGCAGCGCAAGGAATGGGCGGAGGAGAATGCCATCACGGCCGCTGTTATGAAGCCGTTTCTGGAGCATTTGAAAGAGAAACATCCGGAGATGGCTCCCACGGTGGAGAAGTTGATGATGCCGCATCAGAGGTGATTTGGTTACGTGCGCTATGTAACACTGTATAACAAATTTTCTTTCCGTTTATGTATTTACAACTCTCTTCCTACCAATACTCAAAAAAGCCTTCTCTCGACTGCGAGTATTGTGGATGACAAGTCATCCAGCTCTGGTTTGTAGCATATACCCCATAATCCGTGTGATCTGACCCAGTACTACCTAGGTGAAAACTAACGAAGACCAAGAAACCTACTTCATTTCCCCATGCCACCATATCCCCAACTTCAATTCACTCCATCAAATACCACCACCAGAAACATGATATAAATCCATGACGCACGCACCAGCCATACCTTCCCAAACAAACCCTAGCATAAGTTCCAGACCATAGCATTACTGACCTCGGCCACCTCACAAATCAAGGTTCCATCCCCACCCACCCACCCACTTTCTGAAAGTCTGGCTCATCGATCTCGCACCCGTGCAACGTGCCAGGGTCCACATTCCACATTCCACATTCCACACGACCCGCAAACGAACGATGCGATTGCTTCCGCTGTGCTTAAGGTCAAGGACATTACTAATTTGTGGAAATATAGATGCTGAGTCCGCTGATAGTGGAGTTGGATTTAGGGGGCGAGATTGGAAGCGTTGTTACATCCCAATGGCCAGACTACGTACCTAGGGTGTTAGCTGATAGCGCCAATGTGTCTTCGGAATGTTGCATCGGGAGAACCGGAACCTAATCGAATCGAGATCTATCCGAACCATTGGAGAGGTGGCCGTGGGTGACGGTGGGGAGGGGGGGTGTGTAGCTAGCCCTATGCTAGGGTTTATTCATGGGGTGTGGATGGGGTGGGATTGCTATGTTATTACAGTTAGCTAGGGTTGTTTGGGTGAGGTAATGTCTGAATGCGCTGGGTAGATTGTCATGCTTGTCGTCTTGTAATATCTATTATCCTCAACATGATTTTGTATCTATTTAAGAGACTTACGAGGCCGGTAGTTACTTGCTGCTAAGTAGAGGGGTAGTGTCATCGCACAGCCATTAATTGCTTCCTGGGATGGCATATCTGGGGGTCTCAGAGGCACCGTTCGCCAGACATTCACCTTGTCACTTAGGGCTATCTATCTAGGGTCCAGTCCACATAGTGGAAGATATCCGGATTCCTTGACTACCGCATGCGATGCGATAACTCCAACGCACCCACTCTTCCAAAGTAGTACGTACCAGTACTCTCACCACAGTGGTAAGTCTCCCACCTTTCTTTCGTCTTACCTCGAGACTCCTTCTTCCTAAATGATGTAGACGTTACACATGACAACTCCTTGCCATCACAACACACTTGACCCACGGATCCACAAACCACCACATCATACTCGACAAAGGCCCGAATCCAGACCCGAGACTATGACGAAGAGCTCGAAAGATCCAGAGCAAACAGAGCCCGCCTCAAGAACATAAATAGCCCCAATAGTCCACCCCCAAGCCATCCCACCTCCATCACACTTCCATCTCGACTTGAACTCCCACAACCACTTTACTTTTACTCTACTCTCATCTCCAACCCAACCCAACCCAACCAAAATGGGCGACTACTCCTCCTGGTTCTGCATCTACAACCGACTCAACACGCCCCTGAAATGGGTAAACCAGGCCGAGTACAGCGGGTGTTGGAAAGTGCAGCCCCCGAACGAAATCCCCGGCCATTCAACCAGCCGATGGATCCAGCTGAAAGATAACTTTGGTGATCCCCACCATCACCTCTACCAAAACCTCAACTCCAACAACACTAACAAAGAGGTAGATACCAGGTACCTTCGGCTCCGACGGAGAAGTGAAATACGAAGCACAGATTGATTCCTTGACTCATACCCTCCAAATCAAAATCAAGTGTCCGACGGGAGGAGAACCGAATTATGCGCCTATTTGGGTACCTAGTGAGGGGGCGAACCCGCCTTTGGCTACTGGGACTAGTGTTTCGCCTACTGGGCAACTTATGACGGGTATGTATTTGCTTTTGGGGGGTGTGGGATGGGATAAATGGTTGGCTGATGGGGTTACGTCTGTAGCTGAGTTTGCGGTCTTGTCGAGGGATTATATTTGATTTGGTGGGTGGATTAATCCACTGTGTGGGGTGGTTTTGGTTTTTTTGGCGATGTGGGCTTTTGGATTGACTGGTGACTCTTACTAGTTATTGGTTTCAGTTGGATGGATGTGGATGTGGATGTTGTTGATTTCCATGGGTGGGAGTGGATGGAAATTGGCCATGTCGTGATACTCCAAGAGTTTGGTTTTGGCTTTGGTGATTATAAGTATGCTTAGTACACTCTTTAGCTTTATTAAGGCAAATAAAATGATAGTATCGACTATTGAGTTTTTTCCTTTCCTTCTTGCTTTTTTTTCCCTCCTAGTGGCTGCTATTTGTGAAGTATGCAGCAGTTTCTTGAACTACTGGTCTGGGAAAGGACTTGTTTTTTTATTGTATCATGATCCTTAGTCTTGATATATGGCTGGGGGTATTGGGTAAGTAGGTTATTGTTGTTGATGGTTGATGGTTTGAGAGCATGGAAAGATGGTTTGATCTGGACTGATGTAAAGATTGAGTTGCTCGATTTGGATACTAGGATAGAGTGAGGGGTCTAGTTCTTACTGTTTGGATTATTCTAGATGAGGAAGTGTTGAGGTTGTGATTTTGCTAGTGATATGAACGGTGATTCTTTGCGTGGGTATTTGGGGAATTGGGTACTTTATACTAAGGTGAGTATGTAAGTCATGACACGGTTGGATGTGTCATTTTTAGATGTTTAGCTATTAGCTATAGTTGTAGATTACATCAGAGGTAGAATCCATGGCATGCAGCATCAATGATTCGTGTTCGTCCACTCCGAGAAAGTCACGGCTTCTGGTGCTGTGGATGAGTGCGCTGCTAGACGTCCTAGCTCGTGGTTTCCGAATATGTCGTTTGATGGCGGTTGGAGATCGGCTGGTTTCACCGCAGCATGGGTGGAGGATAGTGGCCGTTGCTGGTCGCGAATCGGCCCTGAGCAGATACGATCAAGAATCACGAGGAAGTGGCTGGATAGAGCGTCGTTGCAGAAGGCAAGTCTGGAAAGCATAGCCCCCGTCTCCTTGATATCTCGCTGCCAGGTGATGGAGTCTGGTGAGGCGGGGTCTGCGTGGAGGTGGATGACGGGGACGAGGACCGCGTGGAAGAGGGCGTATCTGGGAGGAAATGAGGTTAGTAAGTCGTTTCAGGAGTATCTGTGACGGTGGCGTACAGGGTAAAAGAGAGGGTGATCTTCGAGTACCGGCCCTCGTCAATCATAGTTGTCACCATTCGGATCGTATCGCGGGCCATGCGTACGGCGTTGGCGCGGCATTGACGTTCACTAAGCGGCTCGTTTCCCGCTGTCGGGTCGGCTGAGATACGCTTTCTATCAAGCCACCGGAGTAAGGCCGGTCGGTGGATCAGAAGACGTAGGCTTTGGTCGCAGAGGGTCTGGCGGTCCCGGGCCAAGATTGCCCATTGAGGGAGGAGCCTTCTGTCGAATGTCTCTGGGCTGCGGGAGAATTTGGCGTGCCAGGTGTTGATCATGTCATCTAGGGCCTTGATCTCCTGGGCGGTGGTGGTATCGGTGGATAGAAGACGGCGGTAGATGCTGTTCGCTAGACGGTGATAGCTAGATTGCTGGATCAGGCCCGTGTAGATGGTTGGGGCGTCTGTTTTTGGTGGAGGCGTGCTCGTTTGTGGGGTCAGACTCTGTACCTGGTTAGATGATATGGCTGAGTGGTGTAGGGTCATACCTCATCAAGAATGTTGGACACCGGGTGGACTGTTATCAAACGGTCTTCTGGGAGAAGCAGTGGAAGGCCGTGGATCTTGGAGGAGCAGCTGTCGAGGCAGTAGACTGTCCACCATACCCGTCTCTGGATTTCTTGATCTAGTAGGCTTTGATTGAAGTTTGCGTACGTGCGCTCGTTGTGTAGCCCCAGGTCGATGGCCATCCGCACAGCAAGACCCAGGAAATGCCAGCTTTCTTTGGGATTTCCGCACTTCTCGTTATATACGTTGAGGAGAAGAAGTGCCTGTAAAAGAGTGATGTTGCCGCGTTCAAACATGGAAAGTTTCTTGAGGTAGTCTTTCGCTCGTTCGAAATACTTCCTGTCAACGTCGGACTGGTTATCGGCGATCGACCAAGCTCCGATGGCGAGGACCATGTTCACCAGGATGGACCATGCGGCCTCCTTCTCGCTGACAGGGTAAGAGCCCTGGTATCGGGACACGAACGTTGCCTCGTGGATGAATGGATACATGGGGTGATAGTTGTGAAAGTAGGCGCGGATGTAAACTTCATCTGTGACCGAAGACCCAGGCTCACTCATCCAACTAAGTGGGTCGGCTCCATCAGATGTAAGATAACTTAGATCCATCGGGAGATCGACCTCCATCGGGAGCTGACCAAGAGAGCCAGGGTCCGGTCCACTGCTGTCCGCTGCAAGTGGGTTGCTCACCCATGCATCATGTCCAGGAGCAGCGTCTACCATGCTCCCTTGAGCAAGACTAGCCCCAAAGGACCCGATATCTGGCGACTCGGTTAACAGAGATCGGATGACAGATTCCATCTGGCCGTCCGGAAAGAGCCGTTCCATCGCGGTCTCTAGACTCTGGAGGCGATCTTCCACGGCCGAAAGATGTCTGAGCATGTCAGCACCCATACTGGGCATAACTCAGGGTGGATACGAACTGTCTTGTCAGGGGTGTCCGAGTTGGCTTGGGCGGATAGACACATGGTTGATTGATTGAGCGACAATGATAGCAGGATGGACGCTCCTTGGAACACTACATGACCGTGAGCTTGGTTTATCAGCGGTAAGTGGGGTATAACCTTGGCCTTTCTCGCTCGACACTCCACGCACTATATCACAGTCAGGACTGGTGTTTCAGGGCGGGGTGGCATCCCTTCGGTCACGCACCGCAGGGATGTGAGAGTTCCGGCTGAGGGAGAACCCATCTTGGCCCCCGCGTCGCATTATCGCGGGTGTCTGGGACTGTCCCAGGGTACTTTGACAAAGACACGCTAGCGGGCCTGAACAGCTGTTCGGCAGTGGCATGAATTATTGGCTTGTGATGAAGTCATCTCTCCAGCACTTTGCAGACGTGCATTACTCAGCCACGGTCCAATCACAGGGCAGGCACACCCTACTCCGGGGTCATCGGCTATCCATTCAACGGCCTCGGGTGGATCCCCGGAGTACTATCAACCGGGCATCTCATTGGTTGGCCACATCACCCAGAGCAGCCCTACGTAGGGACATCAGTAGCCACCACCAGGTATAAAAAGCTGGAAGTCACCGACCTCAGAAGCTGTCCGCAAGCTGAGATTGAGTATTCTCTCAATCCTCTCCATTCACCTACCAAATTTATCAACCACCCACCACCACCATGACCATCACTGTCGGCGTCGCCGGAATCACCGGCAAGTTCGCTCGCCTGGTCGTCAAGAACCTCTTCGCATCCCCAGATGTCCACATTCGTGGGCTTTGCCGCAACCCATCCAAACTTCCCGAGCAAATACGCACGTCTCCACGGGTGACTATCATCAAAGGCGAAGCAGACAACCTCGAGACACTTCAAACCTTCGTCCACGGCTGCGACGTCGTGGTCTGCTGCTACCTTGGAGACAACACATTCATGACCGACGCACAGAAACTCCTAGTTGATGCATGCGAGGCTGAATCCGTGCCCCGTTACGTGGCCAGCGACTACTGCCTGGACTTTACCAAGCTCGAATATGGCCAGCACCCAGCCAAGGACCCCATGAAGGCCGTCAAGGCGCATCTGGAAACCAAGCAGACCGTCCGCGGGGTGCATGTGCTGATCGGTGCATTTATGGAGACCTTCTGGAGCGGGTACTTTGGCATTTGGCACCCGGATGACTTCAAGCTGTCTTACTACGGGAATGGCGACGAGGTGTGGGAATCGACAACGTATGACACGGCGGCAGAGTACGTCGCCGCCGTAACGATGGACCCGTCTGCAGTCGGATTGCAGCACTGTATGTGTCTTTTGTTAATCTGACGGATAGTCTTGCTAACCAGCTCTGGGAATAGTCCTCGGTGATCGGAAGAGTATCCGACAAATCGCCGACGAATTCGCCGCCGTGTATGGCAAGAAACCGCGGCTCGAACGGTTGGGGTCGCTCCAGGATCTCTATGACACTATGCAAGCAACCTGCCAGAAAGACCCGTCGAACATCTTCGCCTACTTGGCTCTGTAGGTACTTGCCGTCATCACATATGCGCGTTGCTGACCGGGCCAGGTTCTATCAATACTACTGCACGAACGGACAAACGTATCTGAAGCGCGATCTGGACAATTCCCGGTATCCGCAGATCGTGCCGGTTTCGTTCAAAGGGTTTATGGAGTCTCACGCGATGGATCAGTTGACTGATACGTATCAGAACGCGGGGTCGACTGTGTAACTCTGGTGAAGAAGTATTGCGTTGTTCGTGATCTTCGTGAATCGGATTATGTATCACATTCATCCCCCGGCACGTGCTCGCCCTGTCGATTTACAGCTGGTAGCAAGAGCACTTCCGTGGTTTTCCAGTTGTTGAAGAAGAAAATGATAGATAGATTCCTTAATATATAGGAAAATATATTGAGACAAAGAATCAGTATTGTCAGAGAGATTGATACAGAGAAGTAGGAATAAACGAAAGCAATTTCATCGCTCGTAAGGGCGCTTGCTCGGCAAAATACTTCGAATCCGGTTTAGGGTCTGCCAGTCGGCAAGATGACGAAGTTGAGGGGGCGCAGATGGAATACCGGGAACTGCAAGATTTGGGTGCCTGAAGATGGAATCATAACTATTCCCAAGGATGTCTCTCAAAGCTCTGCTTTCAGACATTTCGTCCAACCGCGTCTTGGCATCGCGTGCTCGTGCGATCCATGCTACATAGTTGGAAACAAGCATAGCTTGGGTCTTTTCGACACGAAGGGAGTACGAACCGCGGCCTTTGATGGTGGATGTGACGAAATAGTCTTTGTCCAGTTGCTCGTCCAAGTGGATCCTGCGGTGTTCTCCCATTGCGAAATCCTGGGTCTCCATGGTCGTGTTTTTGATGAAATTTCGCAGTTGGATACAATCAGTACAGGAGCATCGTATAGTTGTCCTCGCTTCCCAATCGGGTGGCGGCGGGGTTGCATTGCTGACGTGATCAGTCAAGTATTTGGTTAGCATATGTTTGATGAATCGCCGTTCACTCCCTGTGGAGTCACGTTGTGTCTCCTCGATATGGTCGCAAATTCCAGCCGCCAATGGGAGTAGAAACAGATGAAAAGTATATTCCATTCCGCTTTCTTCCATGTCGAGGGTATATTCAGTAAGATTGTTGAATATTTCCGTGGTGTTGAGTTTCAAAGCATCGGCTAACTGGATTAAGCTGATCACGAGGTTCGGGGAAACCGGCGGAATCTTGTTCCGCCGGCCATAAGATGACTGATGAGGGCCTGAGCCGATTATATTGTCGATCTTGAAAGACTGAACAATTTTAGGAAAAAGCATTTCAAGCATCGCATCCACTACCTTGACTGCGTCAGAGGTTCCGGTAGCTGAGAATTCTTTGGCAGAGGCCATGAACGACACAAGAAATGTCGTGCGTTCCATATTGGTCTTAAGGAAGGCCATGATTCTGATGCCATCAGCAACCGAAACCATACATCACGAAAGAGCATCTTAACTTCTGCGCAACGCTGGTGTGGGGTGATCAGTCAGTGCTTTTGCTAGACCACGCCCATCTAATTCACTATTTTCAAGTTGAGTGGAGAGTATCTCCTTGAAAGTGGAGTTCTGCCATTCCATGACATCAGGCGATGGCTGTTGATTTCGCTGCTCACAAATTGAATGGTATTCCCGGATCACGTTGGAAACCATACTTATATTTCGACAAACCGCGCCATCGTCTCTTTTGCTCCAGGCTTTGTCCAGACTGCAGCGATAGTCAGTACGTGAGCGTTACTTGATATTATAGCTTCGACTTACGAGGCGCGTACTGTACCAAGGCCACCTACTAAGCTCATGTTGGCGATTAGGACGGTCTGAGGTACTGAAATGTTACCTTCAAGTAACTCCAGGGCCCGGCAAAATAGATCTGGGTCAGCCAGTTCAATAGCGATCCCCATCACCTTGCCTTGTAGTTCCGGATACGGGTTGTTTTGTGTGGAGGAAGCAAACCACGAGTAGATGCCAAAGCGTCTTTTGGAATAATGAACTGGGAAGATCACTCTGCAGAGCTGGGCCAACTTCACAATGGCCAACGCGTCATCTGGTCGTTCTAGTACGGCACGGTGCCATTTTTCTAGAAGTTGTTCGGTATTCGCCTGACGATGTCTCACTTGTTGCAGGATGAACCTGAAGCGAAATCTTTCTGGGATTATCAACGCGCCCTGAGATCACGTCGTGAGTGGTGAGAACATCAAGGAGAAGAACATGTACGCCAGTTGCATTAGTTGCATCATCACTGGCATGGAAACTTACTGTCGCTCGGTAAAAGTGGGTTGCTGAGGCGCCTTCGTTGCCCGTGAACCCTGAAAATTTTTCTTTATCTGGATCGCGATTGGAAATTCCATTTTGAATCAGCAATTCCTTGGGGAACGGTAGCTTCTGTCCGACCACGGTGCCTTTCGAGTCCACCAGATGCGAGAACTCCAGGCTGGATTCAACCGTGTCTGATGCGATGAAAATTATTACCTCGCTGACCTCCCTGGTCATAACCCCTGCGGCCATAGTCGGGAAAATCTGAGTTCTGCACTGGTATACTGGTGGTCGAGGATGTAAACGAGCGCCCGCGGGCAAGCATTACCGAGATCACCAACCCAACCGTCGGGAGACCGGATGTCGCCTTCATCAGCAGCACGGGTCCAAGACAGAAGCAGACGAGTGAGCCTTTTTGCGTCGCTGCCATGGAATTCAAGCAGCGCAGCCGACGGGCGATGGATCAAGTTATAGATTAGGACCACCCTGTATCCGGATGTCACTGGCTTGACCTCATGGGTGACGTCCGCATACCAAGCCGTCCATGAAAAACCATATTCCGAGGTGGACGCAGTTCGAAATGTCAGACGAGAGTTATTGTGAGAGGCGATTACATCGCCTCCCTTGTGTTTGGAGGGGAGGCACACCGCGAGCGTAGCGAACATGCCATCGGCCTTTTCCGAGTCTTGGTGGGGCAGAAAAAAAGCGCCCTCTTCGTAGATCAATAATTTGTATAGCTCAGCCTTGACCTCCTGGGGGTTTGCAGTGAGGCCGAGACCGGTGACGGCCTTGGTTACGAGCAGGGTTAGCTGGGCGTTCCATTGCGGGTTCTGAAGAAGGCACTGGTTTGCGTCGAGTTGCCAGCTTTTTCGGACCGATTCGTCCACTAGGGTTTCGGAGCCCTTTCCATAGGGGCTCAGCTGGCAGGACTGGATGATGGCCTTGGCGTCTTGCTCTGCGATGGGAAGCCCAATGTTCCCCACACTTGGAATGTGCAGGCCCGGATTCACGGCGGCGGGAAGCCGGTCACTGGTCAGGAACGACCCAGTCGACTGGATGTCCCCGAGAACGGTCTGGAGGTCGTTTTTTATGCTGGCAATGTCATATTCCTCTGCCTCGAATGCGCTCATTGTGGGTGGATGGCTGGATGCCTTTTGGAAGTGAGGTGTGCGATACCAAATCGCATCGTGGATGGTTTGACCTGCGAGCCGCGTCGCGTTGCATCTTTCCGGTAAGGTGGGGTAGGAGAAGCTGCAGTCAAGTGGATCGATTGCAAAGCAAACAAAGAGACTGTCTTGACCGCCCTCGGAAGAGCCACAACAAACGCAATAGTGCTATTTTTGCATCCTTTGCATCCTTTGCATCATCGACATCCTTGGCATCGTTGGCATCGTTGGCATCCTTTGCATCTGTTGTTTGTTGTCTGTCAAGGACTCAAGAACACTGCTGTTGTCCCCCCGATGATCCTGTTTGATTTCCATGGGTCCCCCTCGGGTTGTCGGCCTTCTCCGTTCTCCCCGCTCGCTCTCCCTCCCATTTTCCCAAGCCTCGGCCCCTGAGCGCTCGGCGGCGACTCTGCTCGTGGAGGCAATAGTCAAGGGGATTAATCCATCCCCCTGCATGAGATTGGCATTAGCCTCCGGAACTACGGGCGCAGGATTGCGCTACTCATCGGGCCATCAGATCGTCGACCATCGGAAGGATGCATCGCCCTTTTGCCAGCCCTGCAGATATCGAGTCAGTGACCAGGATCAGGATGACATGCTTAAATTCGCAGAGCGGTGGCTGGCTCGGGGATTTTAGCAGCAGGAAATGTCAGTGTCATGGATGCGGTGGGTGAGACACACGAACCAGAGTTGACTGCTTGGCTGGCGTGCATCGGACGGGGACACCCGACCCCCGACTGCTGCCTTGATTGGCGCGTGTGTCACGGCGAGTGGAGAGGACCTCACCTCGAAATTTCCTTTTCGGACGGGACAGGCGTTATCGACACAGTCCCGTGTAGCAGTTGCTCTTGGCGAGTCAGGCTCGCCTCCAAGGTCGCTGTTCAGTTTCCCAATGGATCTTGCCCTCCGACTCCAGGACCCAGTTCCCACTTTAGTGCGTTAGACGTGCAATTGCGGGGACTGCCTTACGTTTCCTGGCGACATTCGGCACTTGCTGCATAACGGATCCTACCCAGTCCCAAGGATCCTTTGTCCCGGCATTCTGGAAGATTCAATAGTGACAGCCATCAACGATAGCGTCCATGGTTAATACGAGCTGCAATGTGGTACTCGAATGAGTGCCGAGTGGATATCTCGCTTCGAGGGCATGCCAAGCCGCCATCGACCGCTCGAGGACAATCGCTATCACCGTCCTCCCGTGTTGTCCTGCTGCCAAATGAGGGTCACAGAATGTTTACTCCTCGGACAACCGGACAGTTCTAGACCGGTAGATCGTGGCGCGCAACACTGTCGTGATAGGGTTAGCTTAGCACGTTGAGTTGGGGTCAATCTCCACTCCCGGAAAACTTTCGGAACACACCAGCGAGTCAGAGCTGCCAACGTTGGCTCTGGTTGGGTTTTTTTGACGTTAGCCCGGCTGTGGGGACGCACGAATACAGTTGTCCTGAGTTGGTGAAGCTAAACAGACGATCACTTAAGGTTTAGGGGCTCGTATCCCGGCTGCCGGAGTGAGCTAGAGATGGCAAATGCCACAGCCATCGTCGTCTCGCGCCCTGACGACATCCCAAAATAGTGCTAGACCAGGAACTAACGCGATTTCGCCAGGGCAGCAGTCATGGCAGAGACTTATCATAACCATTAACACCCCACTCATGTCCACAACCCCGTGTTTACTCGAACTTATGTTTTACTCGGATGTTTTGACTGCACCACACGGCGGAATCTGACATCGCTCTCAACGTGACGCCATGGCCATTTACGCCGATGCGGCACCGTCCCTAGCGGGCAGTGTCATTATGTTGACGACGCTTGCCTTATTGACCTATGGCCTACGGGTTTACTGCAGATTGACCCGGAAGTCATGGGGCATGGAGGACTGGATCATGACCGGTGCCTTGGTTGGTCTTAGAACTCCCCCCGGCCCTGCCCAGCTAACTCTCCCAGGTGCCGTTTGCCGTGCTGGTGGCTGGATGTGTTGGAGGTGCTTTCAACGGCATTGGGATCCATGCGACTCGACTTGCAGAGCCTGGGAATGAGAAATATCAGGCCGAGGGGCAAAAGGTAGGTCAACTGGTTCGGGTGCACGGTCCTCACTGACTGTTCAGTTTTTCCTCATCTTCGAAGTCGGTTATTGCGCTGCCATTATCCCCATCAAGCTCAGTATCAGCTGGATGCTGGTACGAGTGGCTGAGGGACGCAAATTATACCTCTATGCCCAATATGCGGTGATTGCCATTTTTGTGTTGATGAACATCATCGCCCTGATCTTCATCCTCATCAACTGCATCCCTGTTGAGTAGGACGACCTCCCACTACGTGATTTCATCATACTGACTATCACAGTGCTGCCTGGAACTCAGAACTATTAGAGAAAGGGGGTCATTGTCAGCCGTCCTACGTTTTGGCCGACGTCTACTACGCTTGCACGGCCGTCAACATTCTCACCGATTGGGTGACTGCTTTAATGTGCGATCCCTCTGATATTCCATCAACTACCACTAACTCAGCCAGGCCGGTCCCATTACTCTGGAACGTCCAGCTGAACCGCAACACCAAAATTTCCATTGTCGGCCTAATGGGCCTGGGCATCTTGTGCGTCTCTCGCCTTCTTTATTCGCCACGCGCTAACCAATCCCAGTGCCTCCATGTCCGCCTGCGTCCGTCTCAAATATACCGTTAATCTCACCGACCAATCGGACTATCTGTACGGCGTTGCGAACGTGGTGATCTGGGGTTTCGCGGAAAACGCCCTGGGGATGATTGTCGGCAATGTCGCCACTCTCCGCCCACTCTTCCGCATTCTCCGCGATCGCAAAACCTCCAAAAACAAATACTATAATCAATCTCCGGGATACTACAGTTCTCAACGCACCGGACCGGGGATGTTCTCGCGCACATACGAATTAGCGGAGCACGGAAAGAATACCAATGAGATTACCACCACGTCGATCCCAGAGCATACGCGGAGACCAAGCCAATTGAGTGACGGGGACAGTCAGAAGCAGATTCTCGGAGATGGACAAAGTCCAGGAGAAACCGACATTGTGGTTAGTAGACAGGTTATTGTGGCGTATGATTAGGTGTTTATTTGGATGGAATGGAGTTGGACGGTAAGGCGGAGTTGGCAGGTTTTTTAATTCCTTATATCGAACATGTTTAATATACACGATAGATATATCTTGGATTGATTCAGAGCGAGAGCATATATTACAATGTAGCGTTTACAGCCATACAATGAATCAATGTACCCCTTCATAACAGCCCTGCTAATTCCCAGATTTAATCTATTTGTGCGGGCTAAGCTACTGCCAAGCCTCAACGGCTGCGTGCCTGTGCCGGTGGGGGATTGCATGACTCGACATTAAGAATGAGGTCATTGATGGAGACCCTTACGGTGCACTTGCCATCTACCGGTCGCTTTTCGTGGGTTTCCTTGTGCCGCCTGTTGATCATAATTGTCATCATTGATGCAGTCGTAGCCATTCCTGTGGCCTGAGGCAACAGAATATATTTTTTGGAGCAACATCGGAGGGTTGTTTCCAGTGGTGAGAGCCATGTGTTTATTGATTTTGCTTTTCCTCTTTTTCTCAGTTCTTTTGTTTTTAATTTTATTACTCTGATTCCGTGCGGTAATTGCTTTTTATCTTCTTCTCTTTTCTTTTCTGATAATCAATCCTGGGTGGTGTGGAAAAGCATAAGCGGCTTTATGCCAGCACAAGGACACTAGCACGTGCATGTGTGACGGCAGCTGAAACGGTCACTCACTTCTATCATTCCTCATCTGAGCATAGTATATTTCTCCATGTCGTCATTATCCTCGACAGCCAGGCCCCGGCTAATGAAGAAACCCCTAAGCGACAAGAAATACACAAGTAGCGACTCTGGAAAATATGATCGAAATGCGACGCCATCAGTCGTTCGATAACTTCTAGACGAAATGAGCCTATCTATGATCAAATCACCAGCATTAAATCTGTGGCAGGTGCCCGGCCGTAGAAGATGCCAACCTCCCCCGAGGTTCTCCTTACCTTCTACACTCTTTTCCAACTAGATGAATATGACCAAGTCTTACGATCAAGTCATCCTCTCCTTGTTCTTCTTCCTCATTTCTGATAGAGATATAGGACGCGCTAAAATCCTTTCATCAGTGTCACCTGCGATAATCGCTCAGGGGTTCCGAAAAGACCCTATCTGACTCGTCACATGAATTTCGTTGCAATGGTCCTCCGATATGAGCAACTCAGCATAGCGACTATTGATTGGAATTAGCACTACCCTCAGGCCCGTGCCACGACAATTGATGTCACCTTGGATGGCTTCATGAAGCAAGTATGGCTCGATGCTGCTAGGCAGCCGTCAATGCCGATGTTACCGGGCACTAGCGTTTCAACCCGTTATCGCAGCACAGCACCGCGATAAGGAACACTATTTATATCGCCCACATCGTATCCTATCTACAAAAGGAGAAGAGCCTCGGCTGTATCGGCATCAAAAAGGAGGAGCCCACTACTTCATATAGAAAACAAGCAATCTTCTCGAACATAATTCCCGCCCCCTTATATGTCCGCACTGTTCGTGCTAAGGCCCCGTCAGACCAATGGGAAGTGCCGGATAACCGATAGATTAACCGCAACCCGCCGGCCTTGTATAGAGATGCTATCAGACAGGATCATGCAATTTACATCGCGGGCCGGACTACCCACCAGCTGATCTAGATCTACCCACCACCCCTTCCCCCGGTGCACCAAAGGGTCAGGAGTACGGGAGTACCGGCACGTCGGGACGTGGCATGTCTCCTTTTGTTGTTGTCTGGAGGGTTTGGAGGGAGTAGAGCGGGATTTTTTCCTGGCAAAGATAAGTATTCGAGTCTTCCTGGCGATGTCTTCAGTGTCAGTCATCGTTTTCACTATTTGAATCTTAGCAAGCATCATCATGGCAGTAACAGGTATGATCCCTCTACCAGTCAAGAAAGTAACCTACTGATGCGATGCGATACGATTCTAGACGCGTATATCTCCGCTCTCGACCACAACAAAGAATGGGCTGCCAAAATCGCCCAAGAAGACCCGACCCTGTTCGCCACTCTCGCTGTCGGCCAGCATCCCCAAATCCTCTGGATCGGATGTTCTGATTCTCGTTGTCCCGAAACCACCCTCCTTGGACTCAAACCCGGCGATGTCTTCGTCCACCGGAATATCGCCAACATCATTCATGTGACGGATCTCAGTTCCTCTGCTGTGATCGAGTATGCTGTGCGTCATCTCAGAGTCAAGCACGTCGTGCTGTGCGGACACACCAGTTGTGGTGGTGTCGCTGCGGCGCTGGGCAACAAGCCATTGGGGATTCTGGATCCGTGGCTTCTGCCTCTAAGACAAATCCGGTCGCAGCATCTCAAAGAGTTGCAGGGTATGTCGGCGGCTGAGGCGAGCTTAAAGGTCGTGGAATTGAATGTGCAAGAGGGGATGAAGTTGTTGAAGCAGAAGGATGTGGTGTTAGAGGCGATTGAGAAACGCGGAATGCAGGTCCATGGGTTGATTTATGATGTGGCGTGCGGGGTGCTTCGTGAGTTACATAGTGATGAGCCTGAAGAGGCGATTAAGGCGAGATTGGCGTCGTTTAAGCTGGAGGCTTAGCTTTCCTTTTCTTTGTCTCTTTTGTTTCTCTTTTGTTGTTCTCTATGTGAGCCAACGCCCCTGGTGTACCAGTATATGGTGATTGCAGTTGAGCGGGGTTTGTTTTCTGTATGTTTTAGAATATCGCTCAGCTGATATATATTATCCGAGTCAATATAGATCATCTTCATTAAATCCTGGCAATGGCATGCAAAATGCCGCACAGTCGAGTATATAATTAGAAAAGACGACAAGAGTGACAGCGAGCCCCTGAACGGCAGGAACCCCCACTGCGGTGGATCCGAGCCGGCTTCACGTCCGCCCCACCGCGTCCTGGAATCTTCTTCCATCTCTCTTCCATCACCGGCGTCGCCACCTGCAGATCACTGATGTTTGCCTACTTAGGCGATGGAGCTACATTCAGCACCTGTTTGACAAGGATCGCCGGTTTAGCCACGTCTTGACGCGTCTCCGTGATTCCATCAACACGCGCTACGAATTCGACGCGTCCATAACCACGTCCGGATTTATGTCACAGCACCAGCGGCAGGTGGTTGAGGGATTGAGAGTGCAAGCTTCTCAGTAGATCCTTCTCATTTAGTGTCGAGCCTGAGGATATCGCCACCTAAAGCGTCAGGGCCGATCAATATGTCTATCAACTTGGCCGAGAGGTCTCAAGACGGATAATGGACGGACGGTGATGGCCAGGATACTGCATCCCAATGCTGAAGCCAGGACTACATGGTGGTATCCTAAACTGATATGAGGACAGAATGTCATGGGTCGTTCAGTGCAGCCAAAGCCGGAGAAAACATGACTCCTACAGACAGTACGAAGTTACTCTGCACTTAAGGATACAAAACTCATTCTTGGGTGCCATCCTACTGCAACACCAGCATTCCATCAGCTGAGCCCGCATGACAGTCTACCGCGCCACGGCATACTTCGTCCATAGTGGATCGTTGAGCAGCCTCTCCAGGCAGCCATCCGCCACGCCTATCACCACCTCCATTCCTCCCTCAGGAGGACTCGGCAAGACTATCTGCAGACCATTGATAATTCCAACATGCGGAGTCCGAACGGACTCAATGTGACCGCCCAACAGCGTGCCCCAGTCTATGTCATATAGTTTGAAGCCGATCCACGATGAAAGTATGCAATTGAACCCCGGGAGGTCAACAAGCGAGGCTGGGAATATTTGACTGATGTCATCGAGCCCTTCAATGAGAGTCGTTACGTCGTCCGTGAACTGGTTGTTTACCCGTTGCAGTTCCTGGCGGATCAATACGGCCAGATCGGCTAGGCTGGCAGAGCTCAGCATCTTTCGCACAGGCATAGACACACCGATGTATTCCAGAAAGCAGCCCAGGGTGTCGGGGTGGACCGGTGGATCTGTACGCAGGCGACCATTCAGGGCAATATTGAAGAAAGACACTGGGTCACCTTCCAGTGTCTCAACGGGCCACTGGACTGCCATCACGGTCCGCCATAATAATGCAGAAAGAGCATCGTTGGTGGAGATCCAGGGCACATTTGTGGGTTCCGTCGCATTGGAAGGAGAAGCGTCACTCTTCAATGCTGACAAGGCTTCCGGGGAGAAATAAAAGACCTGTGCACGATGATCCTTTGAAAGCATCTTCGGGGGTATGCCCGCGGGTGGCTTTACGGGCAGAACTATGTACTCCGGGTGATCCTCCGGTCGTCCTAGGTTACGCCCCGTAGAGCGCATCACTCGCTCGCGGTCCTCGAAAATAGCCGGTGGCAGTGCAACTGGCTTACTGTCGAGGCCCTGCGCGTGTCGACACTCTTCAGCCCAGACCTGCATCCACGTCTGAAACGAGGTTCCATCGCCAGCCATATGCAGGATACACCAGGTCAGGATCAGTCCTCCGCGGATGAAGTTGGCCTGAACAAGTGAAATAGGCAATGGCTCGCCGGGCGTAGGCCATACATCACTCCGACAGAATGTGTCGGCATCAAAGGCGGCCACGGGGAAGTGCTGAGCCCTGAGCTCAGCATAGGTTGGAAAAGCATCCATGCGCATATCCTTCACAAGAATGCCGTCGTCCTTGCTGTTGTCCACTTTCCTGAGCTTCATCACGCCGCCCTGTCTGGCGTTGAGGTCCGGGATGGCTTCACAGTCCATTACGGGGAGCCGCTGTATGGCAGCCGCGTAGCCGGCTTTCAGGACCGCTGCCACCTCTTTGACCTCATAGTCACTAGCCAGTGGAAAGGTGAAGACATATCGAAGATATCCCTTGGGACCAATGAGCTCGAGAGGAGTCAAACTCGGCACAGGCTCGGGGGCAATAGAACCCATGACTGTTGAAATCAGACAGAAAGTAACTTGCAGCTCAATCGGATCCTACGTCTGTACAAGAAGCCTGACTCTCCTTCTTTTATTAACACGTCCAGGGTGGGAGGGGGTCATCGCGCCATACCTTCCTTGCTGATAAGGAACTCCGACGGTAAACAGGGAAATAAGCATGAGCGTGCTCACTGCTACGTGCTTGGTTATTCTCATCATGCCTACAGAGACCAAGCTAAGCATATTAACCCCTTACAGTTGCATTAGTTCTTAGACCCGTCGATGGTAGTGCCGGACGAAGGAATGCATCCCCGGTCGTTCGCCGCCGCACCCCACACCGGCCCCAAACACCGTCCTTTCCGGCCGCCGTCAGCGTCGAACTAATTTCCCACATCTCCACCTCCCCCCTCCAAATAAACACACAATCCAGGTTTCTACCCGTACTTTCTTTGTTTCACTGGCACCTTGAAGCCTGATTGGCTTTGTTTGCCTCGCATCCAGCGATGGCAGGCGCCGTTGATAGGCGGCGCCCTTCCCGCACAGTGCTCGCCCCGATGGGGTTTTCTCATCGCCTTGATTCCAGAACAACCTGCTTGACAGGCTTTTCATCATCTTATCTTCTGCCTGCTCCTGCTGTGGTGGGCGTACGTCTCGTCCGACAACCACCATGGCCGTGGACCCTGCTATCGTTGCGATCTTCGGGTCGCCCCCTTCCAACCTCGATTTGGCCGACAGTAGGGTATTAGTCGACAATGCTGTCGCGGGTGTGATCCTCTCTCTAGCGGTGATTTCTGTGCTCCTGCGCTTTGTTGCCCGGCACCTTCTTCGTAACCCTCTGAAGGCCGACGATTGGGTCATTATCCTCGCACTGGTGCGCCTCATCCATTCACAGATGCTGATTCAATTGCGCCCCTGCTAACCCAAGCCTTCCATATAGGTGTTCATCTTTACAACAACTGGCTTATGCATCTCAGGTAAGTCCACACGATTAAGGCTTCCGCACTGTCCGCACGGAGATTGAAAAGCCATCCGTAATATGGAAAATGACGGTTGCCAGGGGGGTTTTTCGGAGCCGGAAGACATGTTTGGGCGATGAGCATCCCCGACGTGGTGACGCTTTTCAAGGTCAGTAGCCACATCACATCTCAACATGGCTCCAGCTGACACCTCGTGCCCTCACAGATTCTCTTCGTATATGTCCTGGTGTATGCCGCAGTATGTGCGTCTGCCAAGCTCTCCATCCTATTCTTCTACCGCCGCGTCTTCTTGGCTTCACAAGGGGATCTCTCCCTCCGCTTGAGTATCTACCTCGGCTTCTTCCTCACCATCTCCTACCCCATCATCATCTGGGTCACCATGGCCACCGCCTGCCGTCCCACCTCATACTTCTGGACCCAGTTCAGCGGGGCCACAGGCAGCTGCATCGACACAAATACCTTCTTCCTGGCCCTCGGCATCATCAACATGCTTAACGACGTCATCGTACTCCTGATCCCTTTCCCGCAGATTGCCAAGCTACATATGAATCGTCGGAAGAAGTTAGCCATCAGCGGTATCTTGGCCGTGGGCGTCGTGTGCGTACCACTGACATCTATTCAAATGGCTCCCCGCTAACAGCCATTCTCCTTAGTGCCTGTATCGCGAGTATCGCACGCATTTCCGCCGTCGACGAATTTACCAAACGCACCGACATCACCTGGACACTAGGTCCCGTCTTCATCTGGTCTACCGTCGAGCCCGGCCTTTCCATCGTCTGCGCCTGTCTGCCCCACCTCGCACCGCTGGTCCGCTTAGCACACATCAAACTCTCCTCCAGCCAGGACAGTAAACCCAGCCGGCCCACGCACCAGAGCACCCCCTGGCGGTCTCGGAGCGGCCATGCCGCGAAGCCTTCTCCCAAAAACAAGTTCAACCTTAGCGGATACGACGATGAAATTTGCCTCACGAACCATGTCACGACCAGTACCAGTCTTCGTAAGCAGCAGTCTATTGAATCGGTGACGGAGGGTAACCAGGTTCAGGCTATCGTGGTACACTCAAGTCTCATGCAATCCGTTTCAAATACATAGACAGCTCCTGAACTACCTTGCTACGTGATAGTATCCGACGGTGAGATAAACCCTCCTAAGTTGTGGCTACTAGTATATAAATATCAAACACTTCATGTTCGCTCCTCCCAGACCAATCCACCACCCAGTTCCATCCCCCGGCACCTACTCGTCGCTGAGCCCGCTCCATCCTGTTTGATTTACCTAGTGCGGCGAGGGGTGGTGGGTGCAGCTGGTTGTGGCTGGTTGTGGCTGGGGTGGGGTGCGAGCATCTACCGGAGATCGACTGTTCTCGACGTCAAGTCAAGTCATATTGTATGTATTAGCTTGATAGAGCCCGCTCTACGTGATGCTGGCTATATAAACTGTTGGAGTGGCTACTAAGGCGATTCAACCGTGTCGAATGAGATGGATGATGATCTAGCTAGGGGCCTCGTAGGCCATCTATATGGACTAACTAGCGGTGTAGGGAGGAGTGTCACGTGACCCTACGTTGCCTACCGGCGTGGGAGCCCATCGGGGATCCCAACATAAACTATCTTTATTGAAGCAAGGATATATGAAGCTAGAATATTGTATTCTATGAATCCCGCATATCGCAGTATGAAGCAATACAACAGCCACACGTATGGAAAGAAGTTGATAAAACAATAGAACATAGCAATGAAAGAAACAGTTAATGAATTGCAAAGTTGCCTGCGAGTCCCTCTGCCATTCCCCGCTTCTCATTCCAGGTATTAACCTGTTTGTTCCACGTCGTTTGGTATGCGTGCATGCCCTACCACATAGTGGGAAGTGCTTGAGGCGTATACGAATGCTGTATTCCGAGGAACGCATTGATCAAGCTGTGCCAACCCTACGACATATGCAGGCGTTTTCCATCTCTTGTCTCTTCGCTTGATAGTCGTCTCTTTGCTTTTTGTGGTCGATGTGAAGTCAGCTGCTGATTTATGAAAGTCGAGCGATGAAAGTCAATAATCAATGCCCGCCCCAACTCTTCATTCCAAAGAATATTATCGCGTCGAAGGTCCTCATGTCTGATTCCCAACGCTTCGATTTCCGCGCTTGATCTGCGAATCTCCTGATCAAGGGACGATGTCGGCTCCATCTTTGCAGTGGTTTCGCCTCCCCAGCCCATCACGAGCATGTGACGAATCGCTCCAGCCCCATGAAGAAAGTAGGTTTTTAACAGGTCGATACTTCCCAAAAAGACCGGCACCGCAGATCCTTGAGCCTTTTGCAAGATTTGGTATATCTTCGCTTCACGGGAAACTTGTTTCCACAGACCAGATGTTGTTCCTTTTCCCACAACAGTGTAGCCATATGTGACACAGGTCAGTTTGAACGGCGCTCCGTATGCTCCGCAACCTCCAAGAGGGATACATCGATCGATGTTTTCGTCGAGTTGTGCCTTTAGGAAACGCACTAAATTCTCTGAGGTGAGGGGGTGTTTGACCTCAGTTTGATTTTGACGATGAAGCTTCACATTGGGACAACTGTCGTCCAGATTACCCCCTGTCTGTAACCCAAGTAAACATCGCTGGGTGCAAAATAGCGCATCGTGACCTCCGGGCTGACTGCCCCGGTTATCCTTAGTCTTGCGTTCATGAGCCACTCGTTGCTTAGAGGAGGAATCGGACTGCGATCCGCTTTGCTGCAATACGTCCTGAGGGATCTCAGACCCAGTGTCGAAATTGCTTGTCCACAAAGGCAGCCCCGACTGTGCAGCTTGCCTCCATTCCTGGCCACGCACAGTGGAGCCAAAAGCCATCAAGCACATGCACAGTACCCGGGCAATCGAGGTCTTTGGTTCTTGAAGGCTCTGAGCAATGTCGCCCTCCAATTCTCTGTTGGGGTCACAAAAGAAATAATACAATGTACTGGGATCATCGGATGGAACGCGAAGAAGTACACGAGCAGTCCCATTGGCCACGTAGGAATACTCAAGTCCTTCCTGAATCATCACATGGTATTCCTGAACCAGGGCAGAGCAGACGAGTCTTTCTGCATCGTACTTCAATTTTTCTTCCCCCTCCCGGGGTATCTTATTGGAATATACCATATCCCGCCATACGTACATCGGTCGGAGTCCCAAGCGAATAGTTTCGTCAGGAAGCTTGTGACCCGGTATGTATTCAACAGAGGTCAGGAGGGTGTCCGTGCCCTCGTCATTTCGGTAGATGCAGAACTGATCCGGTGTCGGATGTTCTATTGTTGATGGCTGCCTTCTATTCGCCTCTTCTATACGGTTGGTGTCGTCCAGGGTGTTTGTGTGATTTTCGAACCGGATCCCATTGCCCAAGCCGAACTGATCTTGGGCAGCTTTGATTTTGCATAGCTCCGCAACGATGTCGGAAACATGTCCCTCCACAGCAAAGCGCTCATAGTACCTGAGAGCTCGTTCGCCATCCATGGGATAAAGGTGCACTCGTCTAGCATCCTCTTCAAGAACCACCCGGGGGACAAACAATCGGGCGCCATCTCCGTCAGTTGGTTCTAGATAGCTACATACGGAGTTGTAGATTTCTTGCAGCTGTGCCGCACAATCCGTCCACGGCTCCAGTCGCACAGGACAGTATTTGCCGATAGAAAGAGGTATGGGTTCTGTTGTGGAGTGAGATGGTGATTCAATTCTCAGCGGTCGAGAGAGTAAGTTGTGGCAGAAGCACAGAAGCTCAGTGAATGTGGATCGTTGACCGCGCTTCCATTCCTGTCTCATTCTCTCCTCGGCCTGTTTCATTCTCTCAGCGGCCTGTCTCATTCTCTCAGCAGCCTGTCTCATTCTCTCATTAGCCCGGTTCATTCTCTCCTCAGGCTGATTCACACTCTCGTCAGAATGTTTCACTCTTTGGAAGGTCAGGCTGTCTCTGTCCTACCTCAAAGAAGAGTCTCTCGTATTCAGGGGAGCTATTGTTGGCTATGGTGTCGTCGATGGATGTCTTCTCTGATGTGAGCGGTGCTCGATCGAAGATGGGGTGGGGAAGTGCTGTTGATGAGCAATATGGAGAAGTGGCGACCAGACAGGTGAGGATGTGTTACTGACGTGCAGCTCTGGGAAGTGACGACACGAGCTGTTCATGTTGGGGCAGTCATGACCGTACGGATGGGGTGGTCACGTTCCTGGTATGTTACCTGTCTTCAGAGGTATTTAATTCAACGCGACTACAGGTGTAGTCTTATACATTGCTCGGCAGTGGTCACATATGGCTTGGGCTCAATTTAGGTAGTTCCTACCATGCACTGCACCATTAGACTGGGGACCTTGTCATTGCTTCATACTCGGATGGGCCCTCTCGCTTGAACTCAGGCAGAAAGATGTTGGGTGGATAGGGACACACCCGAGTAGTTGACCTGAGTGGAGATTCAGGCAGCGGGCCGAGTGGAGAAACTCAGCTGCATGATGCGTTAGAGGCTCTGAAATAAAGCATCAGTGTAGGAATTGAGATTGATCTATCTCGAGGACCTTTCTGGCTATCCATTTCGCTTATCAACCTGTTTTCATCACTACGGCCGGACTCAAGAAGCACAGTGAACAAGACAACTTTGTACCGTACATGGTATTCAATCGATGGATGATTCTTCCGACAGCTGCATTCACTGCCTCGATGCCTGAAGCTAGATCAGGTGATCCCGGTAGTTGCAGCTGCCGTGTGATGCCTGAACCGTCAGGCCTGACACCACCACCAACACACCTTTCGAGATTGCTTCTCCCACAAATTCTGCGGTTTCTCCAAATCAGCATGCCGGGAAGCTCCTCTCTTCGAGTCTTGAAAATTGACAGCAATGTTCTGGAACAAACCCTTCTTCTCACCATTGCTGGGATGGTGGTGAACTTAAAGATATAGCCGATGACTTCACCCGGCGGCCATCGGCTGTGCGGTCGGCAGTCAACTGGACCTCGCCGAGCACCATTATAACCATCACGGCGCACCCCACCATGCCCCTCATTCCGCAATCAATTGCTTCTGTCAATATCCTGCAACATGGCGACTCCCGGTCTTCTCTGGGTGACGATGCACCCTCGCCCCTCCCTGCCTGCCGCCCAATTCCACGACTGGTACAACACCGAACACGGCCCTCTGCGCCTGCGTCTGCCCTTTTGCACCAATGGCTTCCGGTATCGGGCGACGGATGAGGAGGAGCCTGAATGGGTGGCACTGTACGATATCACCGACATGGTGGAGATGACGCGCGAGACGTATCTGGCCCTGCGGGGGGACACCATCAAGACCCCGCGTGAAAAGGCGACCATGGCCCAGATTGCCGTCGATCGTCGCCTTTACGACACGGTCCTGGAACAAAAGGCCGCCGACTATAAAGCCCTCGAGGACACCCCAGATACCGAGGCGGCCGGCTCCGTCCTCATCGCCATCTCGCTCACCCTGTCCGACGCCGCCCACGAGGACGACTTCACCCGCTGGTACGCGGAAGAACACATTCCCATGCTGACCCGCGTCCCCGGGTGGCGCTCCTCCCGTCTTTTCGTCACGGCTGCCATCGACCCCAATGCTCCTCGTGAATACCTCGCCGTGCATGAGTACCGCGCTCAGAATGGTCTGGGAGGTCCTGAACACAAGGCCTCTTTGGAGACTCCTTGGAGCAAGCGTGTGATGACTGAAGAGGTGGCCAAGGCTCGACGCCGCGTTTACCAGTGGGCCTATACCTTTGGCCCTGCTCCTCGCGAGCTCTCATCGCTGGCCTCTCCTGATGTGGTCGGTCCTTGGTCATCGATTGATGGTCGCACTCGCACATTCCCGTCGCCTACTCGCCCGGCGGTCGAGTCGTTTGTTACCACCCCCGATGGCGTGGATCTGCCCTACCGGCTGGAAGGCAGCACCGATCCTCATAGCCCGGTGATTGTCCTCAGCAACTCCATCCTGGTGGACTACACCATCTGGGACGATTTTGTGGACCAGTTCCTGTCCGACCCGCGCAACCAGAACTTCCGCATCCTGCGTTACTGCACCCGTGGCCGTCTGCAGGAGTGCGGCGAGAAGCCCGTCAACATCGATCTGTTGGCGTCAGATATCATCGCTCTGCTGGATGCCCTGCGGATTCCCAAGGCGACCTTGATTGGAGTCAGTCTGGGTGGAGTGACCGTGCTGAACACGTCGCTGCTGTACCCTGACCGGGTGACACGGTTCATCTCGTGCGACACCAACAGCTCCAGTCCGGAGTCGAACCGCAAGGCCTGGAACGACCGGGTGGCCATGGCAGAGGGCGAGGGGGCCGTGTCAACCACCACGCAGCAGACGATTGTCGGCGAGCAGCTGGCCGAGATCACCGTCCGGCGGTGGTTCACCCCGGAGTCTTATGAAACGCAGCCCCATCTGCCCGCCAAGGCGAAGGAGCTGGTGCGGACGAACAGTCTGGAGGGCTTCCGCCGGAGCGTCCAGGCACTGTGCGCATATGATGTCCGGGACCGGATGGCGCAGGCGCAGGTACCGGGTCTGTTTGTTGCTGGAGACAGTGATGGTGTGCTGCCCAAGACGATGCAGCAGATGGCGGCGGATCTGAAGGGAGATGCAGAGTTGAAGCTGGTGCCAAAGGCGGGCCATTTGCCGATGCTGGAGAATGCGACGGCATTCACTGCTGTCGTCAACGAGTACCTCCATTAGCAGCAGTCTGTGTAGATGAATGGCTGTATATAGATGAATGAGCTATGTCATACTTCGTGTTCGGTGACTCAGGTCGTACAGTGAAAAGAGGGGGTGTGCGGGGTTGTCCTGATCACATTCACTCCCACTTCTCTTCATATTTATCTCAACCCCTGCCCTCCTTTCTTCACCATCCTCACTCTTCATCCTGTAAACAACAACTACTCACTACAACTTCACCATCAAAATGTCAACCAAATACGAACTTCCCTTCCAGGTACATCCATCCATCCCATATATATCCATCTCAACTAACATCCCAACCCAGCTCTCCGACCCCTCCCTCCTCCACTTCGACTCCTTCGTCAACAACACCTGGATCCAATCCGTAACCGGCCAACAATTCGAAGTCATCGGTACCCTTCCCTCCCCATACCCCCTCCCCATAACCCCCATACCCCCAACACATACACCCCAACTAACCCCCCATCCCAAACCCAGACCCCGGCACTCGCACCCCCTGGGCCACCCTCCCCACCTTTACACCCCTCGACCTCCCTCCCGCCATCGACGCCGCGCACACCGCGTTCCAAACCTACAAAACCCTCCCCCCTCGCCAACGCGCCCAATACCTCACCAACTGGGACACCTTAATTCGCACGCACAAATCCGACCTCGCAGTAATCCTCACCCACGAAACCGGAAAACCGCTCTCCGAATCCCTCGCCGAAGTCGACTACGCGACTTCCTTCACGCGCTGGTTCGCCGGCGAAGCAGAACGCATCTCCGGAACCCTTTCCTCGGCCTCCATCCCAGGCCGTCGCATCATGACATTGAAGCAGCCGATTGGGGTGTCCGCTGCCCTCGTACCGTGGAATTTCCCCATCGCGATGGTTCTCCGGAAAGCGGGGGCGGCGTTGGCGGCGGGGTGTACTATGATTGTCAAACCATCGCCTGAGACGCCCGTCTCTGTGTTAGTATTGGCAGAGTTGGCAATGAGAGCGGGGTTCCCGGCGGGGGTGTTCAATGTGTTGACTACAGATTTGGAAAATACCCCTGCGTTGAGTGAGGGGTTGTGTAGGCATGAGCTTCTGAAAAAGGTGACGTTTACGGGGTCGACGCGGGTCGGGAAACTCATTGCGGGGTGGTGTGTCCCCGGACTGAAGAAAGTGACGTTGGAACTGGGGGGAAACTGTCCGTTTGTTGTGTTTGATGATGCGGATTTGGAACAAGCCGTTGGGGCATTGATGGGCTTGAAATGGAGACATGCAGGGCAGGCGTGTATTACTGCCAACAGGGTGTATGTGCAGCGGGGGGTTTATGACGCGTTCGCGAGGATGTTGAAGGAGCGGACGGAGACGTTGGTTGTCGGACATGGGATGAAGGAGGGGGTGAGTATGGGTCCGATGACTACAGAACGGGGGGTTGAGAAGGCGGAGAAGCAGGTTGAGGATGCGAGGAGGCTTGGGGCGGATGTGATCTTGGGTGGGGGACGGGTGGTCGGCGAGGAAGGGTTTTTCTTCCAGCCTACGATTTTGACGAACATGACGAGCGAGATGGTGGTTAGTCGGGAGGAATCGTTTGCGCCGGTGGCGGCGTTGTATGTGTTTGATACGGAGGAGGAGGCGGTGAGGTGGGCGAATGATACGAGTATGGGATTGGCGAGTTATGTGTTTACGAAGGATGCGGATCGGTTGTGGAGGTTGTTTGAGAATTTGGAGGCCGGGATGGTGGGACTCAATACGGGGAGTATGTCGGCGGCCGAGGCGCCGTTTGGGGGCGTCAAGGAGAGTGGGTATGGGAAGGAGAGTGGGAGGGAGGTCGCCGTGGAGGAGTATTTGGTTACCAAGACGGGGACGTTGACGGTGCAGGAGCATTATTAGTGAGCTGCAGCTGGATCCTCAATTTGATACGGGATTAATCGTCATTCGTATGTACATCAGCTTAGGCTGCCTAATCCACCCGCTCCAGCTTCTGCACCACCATCGCGCTGGCTGCTCCTCCACCATTGCAGATGGCTGCCACTCCGTACTCGCCTGGCCGCAGCTGGTGCAGCAGCGTCACCAGGATGCGCGACCCCGAGCTGCCCAGCGCATGACCCAGCGAGATGGCTCCTCCTAGAGGATTAACCCGTGCGTTGTGTAGTCCAAGGATCTATTCAATCAGCATCATCCACAACAAGAGAAGCAGCAAACTCACCTTCTCATTCGCCTTGATCACCGCCGCAAACGCCTCGTTAAACTCCCACACCGCCACCTGGTCCTTGGTGATGCCCGCCCGCTCCAGCGCAATCGGGACCGCCTTAGCCGGCGCCACAGGAAAGTCCACCGGATCGATGGCCGCGTCTGCCGTCGAGACAATCCGCGCCAGTGCTCGGTTTCCAGCACCAAACTCCCTTGCCAGCTCCCGGTTGGCAAGTACCAGGGCAGACGCACCATCGTTCATCGTCGACGCATTCCCTGCCGTGACAGTACCCGTTCCATCCCGGAGAAAAGCCGGCTTCAGCCCCCGCAACTTATCCGCCCGCAGATTCTCGAACCCCTCATCCCGCTCCACCACCGTATCCCCCTTCTTCCCCTTGACCGTCACGGGGACAATCTCCTCCGAAAACACCCCATCTGCCCACGCCTTCTGTGCCCGCTCATACGACCGGATGGCATACTCATCCTGGTCCTCGCGCGAGATCTCATACTTCTTAGCCGTCTGCTCTGCACAAATCCCCATATGGAACTGGTTATACACATCCCACAGCCCATCCTTGATCAGGCCATCTTCGAGCTTAATCTCCCCAAAGGGAGGAAGCTGACTAGACCGAGGCAGATAGTACGGCACACGCGACATGTTTTCCATTCCACCGGCGACTTGCGCTTCCGCTAGTCCGAGCTGGATGTTCTGAGCCGCCAGGGCGACGGCTTTTAGACCCGACGCGCACACCTTATTCACGGTCATGGATTCGACGGTGGGAGAGAGGCCGGCGAAGATGGATGCTTGACGGGCTGGGGCTTGACCGACGGATCCTTGTAGCACGTTGCCCATGTAGACGTCGGTGATTTTGTCAGTGGGGAGGTTGGATTTGCTGAGGGCGGATTTGATCGCCACGGCGCCGAGTTGGGGGGCGGAGACGGAGACGAAGGAGCCGTTGAACTGGTTGGTTAGTATTAGTAATGGAGAGAGTGGATGGATGTACCTTGGCGGTGGGAGTGCGCGCGGCGCTGAGGATGTAGGCGTCTTGGATCTCCTTCAGGGCCGGTCGGGCGACGCTGAAGTGTCGACGCCATTGGCGGGATGCGGGGATGGCCCGCGTGGGAAGACGTGTAGTGAGAGTGGGAGCGAGCATTGCTAGTATGGTATATGGTATGGCTAGCAGAGGAAGAGGAGATGAGATGGAGATGGAGGTGGAGGTGGAGTGGATGATGGGTATGCACATGTTGCTTCTCCGCCCGCCGGTCCGCCGCTAACCGCTGCCGAGGTACGTTGCTCGGCCCGGCCTGTCTCCCGATCACGTGTGGGTCTGTGGGGCAGTTCGCACTATCCATTCTAACTCTCATTATTATGATTCCGTCAATACAAACATGTCAACATCTAACTAACATAGGAAACCACACAATGTCCAACACGTCACTGACAGCAAACTAACATAGGAATCTAACAGTATCCAACTCCTCCTAACTTCAAATCAACCGAAATGCCTTCCAACGCCCAACATTACCATCTCTACCTGAATCCTCCCATGAGCTCATGTCCAACGCCACCGACGCGACCGACGTTCTTCGTCCCGCGCACTCCGCTCGTCCCCCGGCCGAATCTCCGTATACCGATCCGATCTCCCGCTCTGCAGTCCTTCAAATAGTGACTCTCTCCGTCGTTGTTTCTCCACGAACCCAAGCGCCCTCTCAAACAATGGTGGACCCTCTTCGATAATACGTGCCGGGGTCCGCTCTACCACTGGATTCCCAGTGCTCCCTCGTCTCACATGCTCGCCGACCGGTACAGACCGTCTGTTCGGGGGCGTGGTTGCGCCGGACTGCTATGCGAACGCATCTCTGGATACGCATATCTATATGCCTGTCTGTGAGCCTCTCTTTGCTCTGGAAACGGCGAGTTCGACCGTTGGTGTCCATAACTGCTTGGTGAATGGTCTCCGTGGATTGCACTGCTCCTGAACCTGCTGTAGTATCGGGAAGGCATGGCAGGGGACGGGATGCCGTCGCTGGACAGGGAAACATGGTCCACTGTGTCGGAGAAGCGGACGTGGCGGGGCTCTACACGAGATCCGGGGTGTTGCTCGGTGCATGGAGTTGAGGGATTATGAACTTGGACTGGAGTTGTCGGGGTCGAGCGTGGCTTACGGATCGGTTCGCGTTCAGCGACGGGGGAACGCTCTCTCGGGGGGCGAGATTTCTTGGGAGGTGGAGTCGGGGGAGGCTGCATATGGAATGTTGCTGGAGGGACAGTCGATGATGGCTGTGGCGGCGGCGGCGGGGGCGGCGGTCGCCGACGATACCTGGCTGGTCGCGCCACTGGCTCTTGATGGATAACCACCGGATAAGGAGTCCTTGGTGGCCGTGGTCGTGGCTCATCGCGAGGCAGGGGCATTTGTGGCCGTCGTGGCAGAGGTCTTTCACGGATTACTGTTCGTCGCGGCGAGACGACGCGGATCTGGGGTGGGCGTCTCGGCGTAGCTCGTGGTTCCCGCTCAATCGGCGGTATCGGTATGTCCGGGGTACTTGTGGACAGACGAGACCTTGGCCGACCGCGGGGGATGCGCTCTTCATGTTCTTCATCTGAGCCTGGGACCCGTCGTAGAAAAGGGAACAAAAGACGGAATCTACTGCTGCGTCGAGACTGTCGTCGCGGGTAATCCGGGGACCCTTTCCGTGCAGGCTCCCGCGGATCGATGATCCGATGGCGCAGTGAACTCATCTCCGATCCAGGCTGGTCGTATCGAAACTGACGGGGCGGCTGATCGTGACAACGCTCTCCCAGATTAATCACTGTTGTCCGATAACAGTATCCTACCGATTTACCCAAAAGGCACCGCTGAAGGACCCGCCTTCGTCGGACGTCTGCTGGGTATACGTCGGTGTACTCTTCAATCACGCACATGCCCTGGTAAGTCAACCGTATCGTCCCCAACAGCTCGTCGCAGCAGAGCTCGTCACAACAGTTAAATAGGTCGCTGCACCAAGCGTCGAACTCCTTTCAGAACCGGAGAGGGCACATTGTGGAGGCACAAAGGAGTAGGGAATACTTTCACTTGAGTGCTTTGTAGGAACAGCACGGTCGCGACAATGTCATGGAGACGAGACATGTGGGAGAAGTCATGGGTTCACGGCGTCTGTCTGATGATAGGAGCTGGGGAGAATACGAGGCAGGTGAGATGAAACGGCGAGGAGCAGGAACAAACAGAGACAAAGGATGGGATTAAAATAAGATGATCATATAAAGAAGTATGATCGCTCCTTATGATACCACAAAGCGGTCGGATCTGCGACTGGACCGTGTTTATATCGTGGGCACAACGACAATGACGGGGCGGGATCACCAGGGACACAATCCTAGCTGCACGCCTGTGGCTGAGCGGGCCACAGCCGTACCAACAATGAGCACAAGGAGCAGTCTTCTGTATGGTGGGTGTGGCTGGTGGTCAGCGGGCGGGCAGGTCAGCGGCACATGGCACCGTGATCATTGACGGATGACATCACAGATGATTCCATCCACAACCATACAAGTACGGGAGAGCCTCTGATTTCCATGCAGCCGCAGCCTGCAGCTGCAGTCGCAGGCTGTGCCGTGGATATTATGCATGTCTGCCTAATGAGTAGTAGGCAGCTACGGGAAAGATTTCCGCCTAGCCTGAGCTACCACTAGGCTGATTCAATATCAGTAAGAGCCGCGGACCGATCCGATGCACAACATATGGCGCAGTTATACAGCCAGCCTTGCGGGATATTGTGGATGTCCAGACCATTCCATTCACATGCACCAACAATCCCATATATTGTATTCCCATTGGTCTATACACAATGCCATTCACCCAATGTCGCCTCACTCAATTCCTACAAACAATCGAATACCCAACCCACCACCCCCTAATCCATTTTCTCCAAAACATCCCTCACATCCTCAACATCAACCACACACTCCCCCTCCAACGCCCTCTTCACCGCATCCACCACCACCAACGCCCTCAGCCCCTCGACAACATCACACCTCACCCTCTCCTCCCTCCCCTCAATCAAATCCACAAAATGCCCCAATTGCAAATCAAACGGCACGCCCTCTCTATCCACCTCCCCCGAATAATCATCCACCTTCAACTTCTCCCCCACCCCCTCTCCCCACCATCATAACTCCACCTCTTCAAATCCGGCACACTCAACGCCCCTCTCGTCCCCACCACCCTATAAAACCCACCCCCAAACCCATGCCCATCCTCACTTCCAACCCTCGGAATCAACGGATTCTCCCCCGTCCCGACCTCAAAACTCCACGGCGCTGGCGTTGCATCACACACCACAAACGTGCCCACAACCCCACTCACAAACCTCAACGTAATCGCCGCCCCTTCCTCCGCCGTATGCGACGGGTCATCCAAACTTCGCTGAGGAATCGTCCTCTCCGCATAAACCCTCCCCACCGGCCCAAACAAAAAATGCAACAAATCAACATCATGAATGAAGTTAATCCCCAACACCCCACCCCTTCCCCCTTCCTTCCTCCACTCACTCGGCGCAGCAAAATACCCATCCGGTTTACAAATAGTCCACATCCCCGTCACAGCAATCACCCTCCCCAACAACCCCTCCTCAACCACCTCCTTCATCTTCACAACATACGGATTAAACCGTCTATGATGACCAATCAACACCTTCAACTCGGGGTATCCCTGCACCGCACGGAGAAGCGGTACAGCGGTAGAGATACCATCACTGATAGGTTTCTCGAGAAGAATGTGGATGTTGGCGTTCAGGCAGGCGAGGGCGATAGGGACGTGAGTGTGGTTCGGGGTGCAGATTATGGCGGCGTCGGGGTGGGGGATGTTTGGTGTGGAGAGGAGGGCGGAGAGGGAGGGGAAGGATAGCGTTTGGAGGGATGAGGCGGTCGTGAGGGCTGTTGGGGACGGGTCGATCAGTGCGAGGAGGGTGGTGGAGGGGTGCTGGAGGACGGATTTTGCGTGGCGGGGGCCGATGAGGCCATAGCCGATTATTATTATGTTTAGGGGCATTTGGGGGGTTTGGTGGTGGTGGTGGTGGTGGTGAGGGTTGTGTGGAGGAGGGGGATGGGGATGGGGAGGGGAGGGTTTTATAGGGGAGTAGGTGAGTCATGGGTGTATGTGTAGTGGTATTGAGGTATATGTGGAGGTCTGGGGTAAATGCAGTCCCTGGTGGGGATGATGGGGTAGTGGATCTCAGAATGACAGTGCTGCTGAGCTGCAGCACTGGTTTGGTCGTCGGTGTGCGCTGCATTAGATCGGGTAAATGCTGCAGGGAAGTGGGAAAGGACTTATCCGTGGGGAGTGGAGCGTTTTGCCGGTGGGGATTTAGATGGATTCAACTAGATATTGTGGGTTGATCGGGATCCATCCCGATGGTAGATGGTTGTTCCCGCGGAATCCATCCCGGAGTCTAGATGGTGGCTTGCCCCACTGCTCGTGTTGATATGGTTTAGCTTTATTGAGAGAGGCAGATGGAGATTGGGGTAGATATCAAGGTATGAATTCGGCAGAGAATATTGGATGAGGACTGATGACAATGATAAAAATGGGACAAGATTGAGATTATAGGCATATATGAAAGAATCAGAGATCGGGATACATAGATGATTATTAGGCAAAGTCACCGATCTAACAAACCCACCCGCTTGGCCACCCACGCAAACAAAACGGTCAGCCCCAGGATAGTCCCGAGAATGCCATACCACCAGTTCAACGTGTGCTCTCCCTTCCCCGGGACCTTGACATTCATGCCAAAGAACCCGGTAATGAACTGCATCGGCACCAGGATTGACGCAAGAATCGTCAGCTTGTTCAGTGTCGATGCAATGCCATTGTGCATGCGACCGGAATCAAAGTGGACCTGGGTGAGGTACTTGGACTGCAACCGGGAGAGCATTTGCTCGGCCTGATCCAGATTCGCTATCATGGTGACGACGTGGTCGCAGATGTCGCTGAGGTACAGGGCCACCTGCGACGACGGAGCGTCAGACTCGCAGTGCCGCGCGAAGGAACGAATGACGTCAATCTTATCGTGCAGCGGCTGGCGGATGTGCATCACCTCCTTGCGCAATTTGAAGATGCGCTGTAAAGCAAGTCCCATTTCGTCAGGACGGGTGATGGAAACGGAGTCTTCCACCGTTTCGACTCCGGTTTCAACCCGGTCGATGAATGGGGCAAAGCCATCGACAATGTCGTCGCTGCAAAGTCAGCACGTCCTAATTAACACGGGAAGTGGCTTACATCAATGCATAGCAGATCCAGTCACTGGTCAACAAGAGGTGACTGCTATGTTCGCGAATCCGCTGACGAATGTGGCCGGCATGCAGAGTGGGATCGGAGCTGAAGCTGATAACGCCCCCGCGGAAGACGACCGCGTAGAGATTGTGCGAGACAATACGCACCCCGTCATCGGTCTCAAACCGGCGCGGCGGTCGCAGAGAGAGAAAGTAGTATTGACTAAACAGCTCAATCTTCTCTCTCGTTTCGCGGATCTTGATATCCTCCGTGGTCAGCGGATGCAGACTGAAGAAGCGGGCGATGGTTTCGATGTCTTCTTCCGACGGGGCCGTCATATCGAGCCACCACAGGCCACTGTGGTTTCCTGTCTCCAGAAGCAGCTCAAAAGGATGATAGACGGAGCATAGATCCTCGATGCTGGATGCATCGATGGTGGTAGCCAGCTGGGAGGTGAAGAAGCTGAGCCGGCTGGCCGCAGGCGGGGGATTATCCTGGACGTCAGGGGTCGAGTGGGGTGCCATGGCAGGCACCTTGACGGGCTCCATCTGGCGCGGATCGCCGTTTAACTATGGAGCAAGCAAATCTGGGGCTACATCAATCGTAGTGTTGATGGACAGACGCAGAGCATTGTGATGTGTGGTGTATGGATGACGAGAGAGGAAGGAGAAAAGTTAGGTGAGAGTGGCGGTGCTGCGGCCACCTTCCTGTCCGCCAATCAGCGTCCGGCCCGCGATCCACGTGTCGATCTGCACCAGCTGGAAACTAAACACTAGACAGACAGATCAATGCTGCAGGGACAGGTCAGGGATCAGATCTTTGTTTGACAGCAAACGGTCGACCTGGGTTTCCCTCTGATCTATATATAGCTCAGGCTCACCTGTGGCCAGTCAGAGTGCGGGCCGTCATCTCCGTAGTGACGAAATAGGAAAAATAAACATCACGTGTGCTCAGGGTCCTACCCAACAGAATTCACGGATTTAGATTCCGGTATCAACCATTTTCCGTTAGAGATACTATTAATTGTGAAAGCTCCTAGCCACGGAGATGTAGACGTTGTTTCCGCACGACGCTTATCCATATTTTACCAATATCACCCATCCCAATAGCCACCCATTGCCCGTCCAGCCCAGATCCCAACGCCAATAGCAACGCCTAGCGAACCGCCCGGTCGAATCAAGTTGGTTTCATCATAGTCTGGCCCCGCGCACCACCAAACCAATAACGTGTCAGCAATTTCACAGCGTCGGTGTTCTTCTTGGTGAAATCGTATAGCTTGGAGGAGCGAATATTAAGCATCTCCCCATCAAAATCAGCCTCTAGAACGCGGGCGTGGCAAAGTCCTACTAGAGAGAAGACCAGAATCTACCAGAACGATTTTAGTCTATCGCTTCAGATCCACGGAGAAGTCCTTACCGGAGCAACGATATGCGGGCGGAGCGACTTGGTCCTCAGACGAGCAGCCATGATATCGGTGATGGTCATGATTTCTCCGCGAAGCAGTCGATCATCTCCCATCGCTTCACTAGCCACCATAGCCTTAAAATGCGGATATTTACCATCCTGATAATCAGTCACCGCTATAGCTTCCCAGTTGAACGTGATACACTCGAGAAGCTGACCAAATCTATAGTCGCCCATCCTGTCATAGTCGGTGAGAATTTTGAAGTTAGACGATCTAACAGCGGATAGAGACAACATACTCTCGATATTGGCCAGAAGGCGGGAGGTTGTCGGGACACGCTCCCCATTGATCGTAGCAACAGTCATTGAAGTGATCGCAGAGAAAGTATTCCAAATCACGGGTATTCCAAGTGATGTTATTTGGGTCGGGCGTAAGTTCTAGAAACTTGTCCTCCTTCTCTGGAGGGGGTAGCTTTCCTTGGTATGGCTCGGAGAAGCACGGCTGATCTTGGGTCCCCTCTTCCAGAGACAGCGGGAAGTGGCGGATACTGGCCGCCTTCAGCTCCGGCACTTCGATATGATGACTCGGTGCTTGCTTGATCAAGCTCTCGATCTTGGCCAAGGCATGGCGACGAGTGGCCCGTTCCGAAACAAGAGCCTGATCCATCTTGAGTGCGAAGAGTCGTGGCATGGGAGAGAAGAGGGTGTGTGGTAGGGAGATGGGAAAAGTTGATGGGCATCGCGTCTGCATGAAAGGCTGAAGACGGCAAGGGCGGCGGATGAGGAGGCCTGAGGCAGAAAGGCCAGTTGCTTGGCAACGCCCCATTAGGCAGAGAGTTCTATATAAAGAGACCGGCATCTGGGTTTGTGATTGCATGTCCATCTGGCACCGGTGATAAGATGAGTCACCGTGCATCTCATCAAGCGCGGGCCTTGTGCTTCACCCAATGATAGGTGACAGTGTCTCCTTGACTCGGTCGCAGCACTTCATGCTGGGTGAATTGATAGGCTAGAGTTAATGCTGTCCATAACTCCCTAGATATGGCAGGAGCCAGCCCGGTATGGCAGGAACCAAGCCGGCATAGCTGTAGCGGCTCCCTAAGGAAAAACAACATTTGGACCCCCGTGGTTTCATCATCTCTCTTCCTTGCTACTCAAATCATTGCCCGTCAGTGTCACCATGGAAGAGACTCTTCCTTCCTGTGAGAGCCAATAGACTGCATGGGTAGCCCGGCATGGCGCCTCCGGTATGACAATCCATGACACAACGCTCACCTCTGCATCCACCATCAGCAAGAAGCAGTACTTGTTACTGCAGGTTCTCTGGACCTCCTCGTCAGCCGCCCGTCTCAATCTCAAGACCGTCCAGTTAGATACGTGGAAGCAACAAGCCGACAAGCTCCTGGAGTCGTTTGAATCCTGGAAAAACTACCTCCAGAGTTTTACGAGCGACACCATTCTAGAGGGCACATTTGCTCTACCAAGAAAGTATCAATTACAGGCCGCAGAATCCAAAGATGAGAGCTTCAGATCGAATGTGACCTTCACCCCAATTGCGAATCGTACGCGCAGCAAGATGGGCAGCCTAGAACAGAAACTGAGAACAGCACAACTCGAGACCCCTACAAAATCAACAGGCCTTCCACCAGACTCACCAGGGGTTAAGGATACCCCGGATACCTGCTCCCCCTTCCAATCTCCCGGGCCCCAGGAGATAGCACATCTCATGTACCCGCAGACCAAAGACGAGCAGATAGTCAACACGGCCCTTATTGACTTTCTAAACGCGCTGAGCATGCACTTTCCCAAAGCGTGTGGCTGGACGCTGCACCGCAAATCGTTCAAAGCTGAGTTCGAACATGCATTCTTCGAGGCACGAACAGACGGTTATCTCGATGATGGACAATCATCAGAGGGTGCGGGCTCTAGTCGAAGTGAAGCCAATGACGCGGAGGAAACAAAGAATTCCGATTTGTATGCAAAAGGCCGCACAAATGGCTGCGTGGATCAAATCTGACCCCGACATTGGTGGAGCTCTAAGCCTCCCAGGCCGGTAAGAGCTTCGTATAATTTCATATATCTTATGTCGCCTTCTTTTCCTTGTGCTGACAGGCCCAGTCGTTTCCACGCATCCCAGAACCGCCATGGAATTTTCCTAACATTCGCGGAATACACCGAGGAGTACATATGGTACCTTAACAACACACTTCCACCGGGATCGCCCCGTCCATTCCTCAGGATGAATGAGTACGGCCCTTGGAATACTACGATCCGAAGTAGCGTGGAGAAACTTGGTGCCATTCTGCTGGCGATTGCCTTGCGCGCTTATGTCGACGCCAACCCGCAAAAACTTTCCAACGAGGAGAGCAGTGATGACTCCAAGCGAACCAATTAAGAGGGGAGGCGTAGGCCATATTATCCACCGGGACCAACTCCCCATCCTCACCCATCAGCATCCAGATATCAAACGCCCATATAATCCTTGCTAGCAATAAAAACAATCAATCTTGCGCAATATGTCGTCCCGTACAGATCCTTCTCCTATAGTCAAGGGAATTTGAACACTACTCATCCTTCTTCCCTCTCTGTAACAACCTGTCCGGCCAAAACATCAATGGATCCTCCCACCGCTCCTTATCTAGCCCCATGGTCTAAAATACCGGCATCACTGTCGCCCCCTTGGGAATGTGATATCCCATATACATATTCTTCTGTGTAATTGCATGTGGCAGCCCACCCGGAACCATGGACCTCCGCCTCAACGTCTCATCCACCACCGCCTGCACATACACCAAACTTCTCTGCGTCCTCAAAACTAGGAAACCTCTCCCTCCCAAACACCCCACCCAGCTCCTTCCTCGCCAACGCCACAAAGCGTCCATCTGTGTGCACCGCCCACACAAACACCTTCATGGCCGGCCACGTCGTCTCAAACCCCGCATCCCCCCAAATCCCCAAATTACACGCCACCTCCAACTCCGACATGCCCTCAGCATACCGAGACCGGGAAAGCTCTTTCGCCCAACTCCACGACCCACTCGCCAACCTCTTCTCTAAATGCCGAGTATGAGCCCTCGACTCGAGCTGAAACAATTCCCCCGCGAGCCTCTTCCACGGCGCCACCACAGCAGGGAGGTAATCCAAAAACGGGAAAATATCCGCAATCCACGTGCCCACCTGCGCTGCGTAGACGAAATTGCCTTGAATTGTGCGCATATGCCGCATCTCCTGGATTTTCGGTATCGGTAGTCGGAACCCATATGCCAACGCGAACATCAGACTCCCGCTGTAGCGTTCGAAATGGGCGTCGAAGTTATTGGAGTGGAGGAGGTCGAAGAGGAGTTGTTTGGATTCGAGATCTTGGATGGGGAAGTAGGTGTTTGAGGCGCGGAGACTGAGGACCGGGGCTTCGAGACGTTGGTGCCGTTTCATCCATGGGTTGTAATGGTGGATGAGCATGTGGAGGCCTTTGGTGATGTTGTTGGCCATGATGAGGTTGGGTCGGTTGGCGTAGATGCTGCCGCGGCGGTCGAGGAAGTCGTGGGCGATGGTGGGCGAGGTGATTAGGATGAGGGTTTGGGGACCGAATTGCGCGGACATGATGGGGCCGTAGGCCTTGCTCCATGCTTGGAAGACGCGCCAGGGGTGCGTGCGGGGGGCTTGGTGGAGGTTGCCGAGGAGGGGGAGGCGAGGGGGGCCTGGGGGGAGGTGTCGGTCACGGTGGTATTCGTAGAGGAGGTGGAGGGTGAGGAGGGTGAAGATGGTGAGGAGGATCGTTGTGGGTGGTGGGTGGTTGTATGGAGGGCGGGATGGGGAGGGGGTAGAGGTATTGATATATCATCCCGCTGTGAGACAATATGCAGTAGTCGATGCCACGGCGGATGGAAGGGGGGAGCTGCTAGGTTGTCCGTTTCAGCAGAAAGCCTTTGTGATTGATGGCATGGTCTGCTCGTAGTGCATCGTCATGGCGTATGTGCAGGCATTGCATTGGATGGTTGGCTGGGATTGCCCCGTTGGCGTGCATTAGTGCAACGGTAGCAAGCTGTCAGTTGACGCACGGTCATCACTCGGATACGAAGCGATAGACATGGCGGGGTAGATTGAAGAACAGTCGACTGCTTTACTGGCAGGACACGCCGTGTGGAAAGGGTAACCCTAGTTGATATCCCTCGTCAAGACTGTATCGCATTTACAGTAACGACATTCGAATTACTAGCTCGATACAGGTGGGGCCTCACCCGAGCCGAGCCCCGTCGGCCACGACGGCTAATCATATTCCAACCTCTGCTGTCCCCATCATGCCCGCTCTGTCTGTCTCTGATCTCCCCGCCGACATCCTGCTACATCTCATCTCGTTTCTCGACCACAGCTCGGATGTCCGTGCCCTGTCAGCAATCAGTCCAGCTCTGCACGCCCTGATCCATGCCCACGACCTCATCACCAAGACTCATTACCGCAGCCTCCGCATCAGCAGCATCCGAGACGCGAATCATGCATTCACCACCCTACTCGCCATCCTGCGCAACCCCAAACTGGGCAGCTATCTGCGCCACATCGAGATGGACATTCCCATCCGCTCACCACTAAGCTATCTCCCGAGAAAACATGATCGATCTCTGAGCGAGGCAGACATGCAACTCCTCCGTCGTGCCATCAACAAAGCCGGTTTCACCGCCACCGGAGAGGACCGCTTACTCAACATGTTGATGCAGGAGATAATTCCCGCCAGGGATTGGGGATATCTCACATACTACGAGTTTGTCCCCAGTCCCTCATCTAATGTACCCTTAGCTAATAGAACCAGCAGCGAACACGGCTTCTCCGGAAAATCCACCTTCATCGCCCAGGCTATCACCACGCTCCTCGTCGCATCTTCCCCCCATCTGGTATCATTAGCCATCTCGCCTCCATTCTGGGAATACACCTCTTCCCCACGTGACGACTCCCAAGAAGCCATTTCTCTAATCGCCGCCAAAATCGAGAAATATCCCCTCGCCAAATTCCTCAACCAGGCCAACTCGGCTAATCTAACCAGAAGTAGTCCGTACCTGGGCCAACTAAAACACTTTCGCCTTCTCACGACGGCAGCTAAATCCCCGGATGCGCGGTCCCGGGCCTGTGCTCCACAAGACCTTCTTCTCTGTATCGAGCTTGTCCATGCCCTCCCGGGAATCCAGTCATTATGTATCCAAGCAATTCAAGGGTTTGGGAATGCATCCGGCCCTGCATTGGCGGGGATTCTTCCGCCCGCGTCATCGAATATCTCCTGTTTGGATCTTAGGAGGTGTGACTTTAAATCAGAGCTGTTGTGTAGGGTTATCCGTGCGATGAAGTGTCTGCGTGAGTTGAGGTATTCGGTCGTGCAGGGGGGGTGTTATGCGGGGTTTGTGGAGATGTTTGATCGAAGAAGTTTGATTCAGGCTGTGCTTGGGCATCGGGGGACGTTGGAGGTGTTGGATTTGGATTTTGATGATCGGTTGGGGCAGTTTGTTGTTTCTGGGGTGGAGGGGGATGCTGGAGGGGAGGGGGAGGGGTTGAGGGGGTTTACGGTGTTGAGGAGTTTGAGTCTGGGAGTGCATTGTTTGTGGTATGTTGCTAGTGGGATGGGTGTGGAGGAGGAGGTTAGATTGGTGGAGTGTCTGCCGTCAAGGTTGGAGTTTCTTCGTGTTAGGGGGTATGAGAGGGGGGGTTCAGTTATGATGGATAGGATGTTGGCTGGGATGAAGAGGAGGTTGTCTGTGTTGAGGACTGTCGAGGGTATTGAGCAGTGTATACCTGTTGGGAAATAGATGCCAATCTACAGTCACGCTAATCCACACAATCAGGCAGAAAAGTTACGACAACCTCCAGGTATCACATCTGTATCCATCAAAAACCCGAATTCATCACAATCACTAACAAAGGATCAATCCCTAACCCTACCTCCTCACCCAACAAATCATCATTCATCAACTATATACACTACTACTAGTAATATCACATCACTCATAAACCAACCACCCCGTCGACCCCATCACCACCAACGACACCAACACCGTCAATAACCCCGCCCCCGCCCGATCCCCATGCGTAATCTCCCTCCTCAACCCCTCGGGCACAGGCTGCTTCTCCTGCCCTGGCTCCCCTCCCCCCGGATTCCCCTGACTCATACCCCCCGTATCCCGCGTAACCGGGGGCTCCACCATCCCAATCAACGTCGACTGCATGACCTCCAATGCGGCCATCTGCACCCCGACATCATCCATCCCATCCCATTTCCGCTCCGTCCATTTCAACCCACACGTCACATTACTCTCTCCCCCAGTACACGTCTCCGCCGCTGCCTTCGCCGAAGCCCGTATCTTAGGCATGATTTGATCCGCAGTAAACGGAGCCATTTGCGTCGTGGCGGCCATCCACCGCGCCAAATACCCCTTGAAGGACCGTTGATCGACCTCGCAGGTATTGACTGGTTCACAGGCCCGCTCGTACATGACGTTGTCGTCTTGGAAGAAGATGCTGCTGCTGGTGTTGAGGAGACCCTCCGTTCGGGCTCGCCAGGTGGGGGATTCAGTCTGTCCTGTCAGCTAACCCCCATACATATCTAACCACCCCCCGCCCCCAAAAGGTAGTATAATACTCACCAAATTAAACATAACAGCCGCCCCCAACAAAAACACCCCCGAATTATAACTCCACTCAATCCGATCCCAACTCCTACACTCACTTTCCACCCCGGCCCCATCCCAAACCCTAAACTCAGGCGTCACAAACCCCACCGTTTCCTCCGTCCACTCCCACACTCTCTCCGCCCACTCAGCATACGTCCCATTGCCCGTAAACCTCGCCAACCTCGCCGCCAATTGAAAAAACCCCCCATTCGAAATCGTATTCTTATACATCCATCCCTCGTTAAACGGGAATATCTGCCAGCGTAGCCCGCCCCCACATGTCCCTGTATCCCATCGCTCCGCCTGCGTATTAAACACCGCCTGCGCCATGCCCAACCACCCCGGGACATTCAACTCCGGCGCAGGATCAGGCAGGTTCTGTTCTGCGGCTGACATTGCGCCGAAGGCCCAGAAGGATTGGTCGTCGTTGCCTTCGGTGCGGGTTTGGTTGGCCGGCATGAAGGAGCCGCTGGGGCCGGATTGCCAGGTTAGGGCTTGGATGGTTAATGGGAGGTAGGTGGTGTCGTGGGTGAGGTGGTGGTAGTTGAGCAGGGTGGTGAAGAGGGCCCCTGCTTCCCACCAGTAGTATGGGGGGGGGAGGTTGCCGGGGTTGTCGCCCGGATGGTTGCCGGTGTAGTGGGTTAGGAGGGAGGCGGTTATGGGTTTTAGGGAGGTTTTGATGGATTCTATGATTGATATTAGTAGTAGTAGTAGTAGTAGTAGTAGTAGTATTGGGGATAGAGGAGGTGGTTGGGACATGGTATGGGGTGATGGGTGGTAGTTCTTCAGGGGATTGGTTGGGATGATGGGAGGACGTACCTGGGTTATCGAGATCAAAGCCAATGGCCTGTACGGCTACGGTTAGGATGAGGATGTACCATAGCCATAAGGGATACATGATGCTGCGTGAAGTTGGGGAAGTGCAAAATCGTGGGTGGAATAGAAAGTTAGTAGATAGACAACATGAGCATCCGTGGAATGTGGCCCGCTTCCATAGAAACGATCACCAACGGGCCAATCATGCCACGGGATCGAGAATTTCAGATGGCGATGCAGGGGTGTTGATCTGGGGTCGAATGTGGCCAATGGGATACCGGATGTCGCATTCCTGGTGATTGCGGTTATCATCCATGCATTCATTGCATAAGTAGCATTATTATCTTTCTCTAATTCAAGAATTACACCTTCCTCATCAACCTCCTATCCGTCTTCAACCGTATAAACGCCGCCAACACCGCCGCTCCCAACGCCATAAACCCCGCGTACAAAATCGCCGGTCGATACGCCCCAATCCCCGCCTTTTCACCCCCGCTGGCATCAAGAATATATCCCGCAATCGGAGAGCCCTAATCCATTAGCACCCTACCCTATCCTATCCATATCAGAAAAAGGCATGAACTCACCAAAAGATACCCCCCCGCCCAACTCGTCACAATCATCCCCATGGCAACACTCACTCTCGCAGATCCAAAGACATTTCCCACCACAGTGGGGATCGTAGAGAAGAACCCCCCGTTCGCCATACCATTGATGATAACGAATACTATCAGTGGTCCAATGGACGTCGAAACAGGCCAGATAATCAACATGCTCAACGCACTAAGCAACAACGACACGAAGAGCGTGTTGAGACTGCCGATTGTGTCGCTGGCGAAGCCGCAGGTGAGACGGCCCATGGCGGAGGAAAAGTTGAATGCTGCGACGACACCGGCCCCCGCGGCGGATCCCATTCCCATGGAGTTGGTGTACAAGGGGAGGAAGAAGGGAGGGACCAATAGAGGGAAGGTGGCGATGGCCCCCGCGGCGAAGAGGAGGAGGAAGCGGATGTCTCGGAAGAGACCCCTGTTGGTGTTAGTGGTGGTGTGGCAGTGGAGGGATAGGCTTACCATTCGACAAAGGCAGAGGGCGGAATCGGGATCCGCTGCTTGACTAGGAATGCTGCAGGGAGACCGGTGGCTAATGTGATGAATCCCAAGATACGAAATGTCCAGGCCGTGCCGACGCGGGTTAATAATGCGTTGAGGATGAAACTGATGGCTGCGCCGCCGAGCCCCCCGGCTGCGTAGACGATTCCGTTGGCGACGCCGCGTTTGGCTTTGAAGTATTGCGCCGGGGTGATGGAGACCACCATGAAGCAGAGACTACACTCTTAGCTATGGTGTGATGGTTGGGATGGGGACATACCTTGTTCCGACGCCCATTACGACACCGGCTGTGACGAAAAGTCCACCAACCTCTTTGACGGCGAATCCGCTCAGGATCTCTCCCAGACTTAGCATGAATATCCCCAGGAGAGCTGACGTCCGAGTTCCCAGTTGGCGGATCACCCGAGCATTGAGAATTCCCAGAAACGAGATGCAGGCTGGGGCCAACGATCCCACAAAAGACAGGGTGGATGCGGATGAAACGCCCTCCTTGACCAGCGCTGCCTGAAGCACACCCCAGCAGTAGGAAGTTCCGATGAACCACCAGGTGATTACGGCACACCCTGCGATGACCACCCAGCCGGCACCTCCTTCAGGGACCCCCGCGTCTGCCAGGCGCGAAGCCTCCATGACGTCGTCGGATACTGGAGTGACTGCATTTTTGGGACCTCTTGCCTCGAGTTCAACCAGGTGTGGCTGCAGCTCGACTGCGGTGGTGGTTGATGTGGCCATGGTGATGTGCAGTTGCAGTATTCTCAAACCGTGGTCGAAAAGTAGGGTTAAGTATATAGGGTGGAGCCCTAAGTATGGCGCCCTACAGTGAGTCAGGGAGAACAAGTTAATGATGAGATGGGAGTAAGTAAGAACCACTCCGATCTCGGCTACTGTCAGAACGCGTCATGGCCAATGAAGTTTGATCCATGGATGGCCGCGCACGGATTGCCGACGTCGGCAAGTGGAGCGTGTCACTCCAAGGGCGTGAGAATTTTGCCCCTCTGAATCTCAACAACTGCTGTTCATGCGTGACAATGCCCGCTCACCATCCAGATGGAGCACGCTCATCACGCGCGCCTTAAACTATGTGACGACATTCTGTCTCTACCGCCGCTGGACGAGGAAGACCCGCTAAGTAATTCCGCCAGCCTGGACCCTATCTTTACGCTGCCTTCAGAGTTGCCCGACGTCTCGTTCGAATCCGCCCCAGATGCAGTGTATCCAAGCGGCCCTTCTCACCAGCGCAACCACCAACGACTGTCCGGGGATGCTGTGAGGACTCTCAAATCATGGCTGAAGAGCCACCCCGACAATCCCTATCCCACTGCCCAGGAGAAGGATGACCTGGAGCAACGGACCGGTTTAAGCCGTACTCAAATCTCCAACTGGTTCATTAATGCTCGTCGCCGGAAGCGCTCCAGCCGGTATATGACTGTCCCTCAGGGCCAGTCCCTCCTCTCACCAATGGAACGCTGGAGACACTCGCCCCCAGAAAGCGAGGCCGCGGCAACCGACGACATTCTGCGCGCTCTGGCCGACCCCGACATGCCCGCTTTCCCGGGCAGTTCACCATACGGAGTGCCGCAATACGCCTGGTCCAGCAATGACTCCAGCGGCTCGTTTATCCTAGGAGAACCCTCCAGCAGCTGCGGCCATAGCCAGTCATCCTCGGAAATCTCAGTCGCCCTATCGCACGGGCCTCCACAACGCCCACCAACCCCCATGCACCGTCCCCAGCCTCGTCGCCGTCGACGGAAACACATCCGCCACGCCAACCGCCTCCAGGAAGCCCGTCGACCCTACCAATGCACCTTTTGCGCAGACACCTTCGCAACCAAATACGACTGGCAGCGACACGAAAAGGCCCTTCATCTGCCCGTGGACCAGTGGCGATGCGCCCCAGAAGGCGCTCTCGTCGACAACAACGGCACCCCCATGTGCATCTTCTGCCAGCAACTCAACGCCGACGAAGACCACCTCGAAAAGGCCCACAACTATAGCATCTGCTGCGAGAAACCCTCCGAGCAGCGCACCTTCACACGCAAAGACCACCTCCGCCAGCACCTGAAACTCACCCACCACGTAGACGGTCTCCATTCCGGTATGAACTCCTGGCGAGAGACCCGAAACGAACTTATCTCTCGATGCGGATTTTGCAATGCCACGTTCCAGACCTGGCCGGAGAGAGTCGACCATGTCGCTGAGCACTTCAAACAAGGCTCCGATATGAAGCAGTGGACCGGCGACTGGGGGTTTGAGCCAGACGTGCAGCGACTTGTTGAGAACGCCATCCCCCCGTATCTGGTGGGCACGGAGTGGCATACCCCTGATCCGTGGAAGACGTCGGATGTGCTAGGGATGCCAGGTGATGAGGATGATGAGATCCCGTTTCAGTGGGATGTGCCGAATGCGCTGAGTCGGTATTTCAATGTGCATAGTGACCTTTTGGCGTATATTCGGGATCAGATGGCTGCGGGGTTGCGTCCGTCGGATCAGATGATTCAGGATCGCGCGAGGGTGTTTGCTTATGAGAGTGATGATCCGTGGAATCAGACCTATGCGGATGATCCGTTTTGGTTGGAAGCCGTTAAGCAGGAGGCTGGGATGGTTTAGTGAGGTTGCTGTGGAATGTGATGAATAAGAAGATTTTGAGGCAGTAGGCTGGGCTTAGAACGTGTAGATTTACAAACGGCTTGACCGTGCATGTGTCTTCGTCTTGTCCAGTCTCAAGGTCAACCCTTATCAGATACAGTTCATGAAAATCACTAACGCCAACATACCAAAGTATTGTTCTTACCAGATTCAATACAGCTCAGATAGACCCGTCAGTGCTGATATAGGGTTCACTGAACCAACTGTATAATCCGTGCAAAGGAGTTGAATACCAAGTATAAGAGAAGCATTTTCTGCACCATGGCCAGCTATTCAGGGTCCGACAATCTATAACGATCCGACCGATCCGACGATTGCTAGCGCCTTGGACATGTGGGTCCAAATCCAAGAACTTAAAGTCTCGATCCCCGCGACCAGAGTGCTATTTGCACCTGACTTTCCAACATCCTGTCGGAGGATTCAGCGACGATTCAAGCAAAATGCAGTGGAACCATTGGTCGGTCGCGCTGGCTCTTGCAGCACCAGCATGCGCAGAAATACAACTATTCACCTCGGATGAATTTCCCTCTCTGTCTCCAGGATGTGTGGCTGCCTTGACAGCCAGTCTGTCATGTGCATTCATTGAAAGTGGGAATTCAATGTACCAATTCACAACAGACCTAACCCCTGATCATCTGGACCAGATGTGCACAGACGAGTGCAAGACCTCTATCGCATCCTATCGGGAAGCTGTGGAAACCGCTTGTGCGGATGATAAATATGATGATGGAGATTCATCCAAAGGTACCTCTGGAGTGTATCGGCCCATCGTCCTGCCTGATTACTACTTTACCAATTACAACCAGCGGTGTCTGAAAGACAGTGACGGCAATTACTGCTTGTTTCACCTGCAGTCAACGGATACCCAGGATGAGTGCGATGCGTGTGGGCTCCGAATGTTCCAGGCTGAATTGAGAAATGGCTATTTCTACAATGATGATTTGGCTGAGCAGTACAGCTCATTGACGTCGAGCTGCGGTGTTTCAACCCTAGATCTTCCAACGCCTACTCCAGTAGTCGTCACAAGGTAAGACGTCTTATCAGCGAATGTCTACGTGCAGGCATTAACTTCCCAGTTCCTCCACAACCAGCACAATCCCCACTTCCTGCGCCGATCGGAGCGCCGTCATTCAGCCCGGAGACACCTGCGACACATTTGCCGCTGCAAACAATGTCAGTACCTGGCGAATGCTGATCGAGAATGGGTTGCAGAGTGGTTGCGTTGATTTTCCCAGCAGTGGAACGCTCTGCGTCACTGGACATTGTCAGACGCATCTAGTAACAGCCAGTGACAGCTGCATGAGCCTGGCTCTGAAATATGGCATAACAATCACTCAGTTCATAACCTGGAGCTCTGTGCTAAACTCCCAGTGTAGTAACTTTGATGTTCTCATCGGCCACTATGTCTGTGTGAGCTATCCTGGCAGGGCAACCTCTGAACATAACCCCTATGCCACTGGTGCTTTTGGGGCTACAGCAAAAGTAGCAGCCCCGGTACCCAGCGATATAGCCCCAGGAACTAACACAAACTGTGGGAAATATTACCGAGCCAAAGGTCCATCTCTTATACCATTATCAAGAACCCGCTAACATGGCGACAGAAAACGACTACTGCCAAGCCATTGCAATGGCACAAGGCATCACTGTATCCGATCTGTTATTCTTGAATCCGGAGATACACGCCAATTGTTCCAACATCCGGCCCAACCACAGCTACTGTCAGTACCTCAACATCTACGCATATCCCAAGCTGACAAATTAGGCATCAAACCGGTAGGCGAAATCAGTGACTACCCCGGCTACGGCGGCACAACATCCACACCATGGTGGGTCGGACAAACAGGCACTCGCATGAACTGGGACGATCTTCCTCTTGCCACCGGCTTGACATCATGGGTGCCAATCGTGACCCCGACCACAGCTCCCTTGGCTCCCAATACCCGACGTGATTGCGAGGATTACGAAGATAACACGTATGGGCAGATTCCGTGCCGTTGGCTGGTCAAGGGAGTGTCCATGGTAGACTTTGCGAGTTGGAATCCGTCTGTCGATGTGTACGATTGCAAGTTGGCGAACAATACCCGCTATTGTACCTTGCTGGGGTCTGGGTATTTGTTGAATGAGGATTGAGAGAAGTCAGGGGATGTTAACAAATCTCTATCCATGTCTGTATACTATGTGGCAGAATTTATATTAATTGCCGGTGCCCTGCCAAGCCAATAGTCGGGTGGACAGCCCATTCAATTAATGTGCCAAGACGTTGAAAATCAAACCCTGGAAAATTCCAGCGGGGATTTCAACGACCCACATAGTCGGCCATAAGCAGTGTTTCGAGCTCCATCGTCCACATCATTTTACCGGTCTTCGTAGTGAACATCATGGCTGGGATTCTTCCTCTAGAGCTGTTGACGGAGATCGGGAATTATTTATCCGATGAAGGGGTCGCCTTGGCTCCTTATACAACGGTTTGTCGGCGGTGGCAGGCAGCTTTCGAACCATTCATCCATTCCAGAAATGTTATCATCCATAGCGATGATTTACTGGACGGAGATCCTCAACAAGAGATCTCCTTGGATCGCTTTGCGACACTAACATCGGGCACCGGCACGGTACGAAGACCCTGGATCCGTCATCTTCAATATAATATCATTGTCCCATACGAACTCCCGGATTGGACAAGTCGCAAACACAAGGGCTATCGACTAAAGAACCCAGTTCGAGATGCAAATGATCAAGCATTCAAATCCGCTATCATTAATCTTTTTCGGGTACTGAGCACCTGGGACCGAACCCATCGACTCTCTTTGCAATTAGGACTACTTGGTCGTCATCCAGGAGAGGAGCCATATACGTCATACATGTCTGATGCTTGGGAGTATACCTGGGATTTCAGAAACGGGCGGACAAAAGCTACAAAGCCCTATCGAGCATGTTTTCCTGATGATGATGCTTCTATGCTACCAGATGTTCCATGTATTGACATTCTCTCCTTCTTAAACATTGGGGATCCGGAGAAAGGTAGCGATCATCAGATCTGGGCCAAGGCAATCTTCCAGATCGTGCAGCACTGTCCCACAATCACGAAACTGCATGTGGATCGCAACTATCTAACTAGGCCAGATCAATTGGAGTATATTCAAGCGAGGCGTCAAGGTAGGACAGCTCATCCTCGAACCTTTACAGCATTTACTAATGCTTTTCGGTGGTCACCAGCGGTGTCCAACGGATTAGCCCTGATTCCCCAGACTCTAAAAGTGTTCGATTTCATCAACCAGCTAGAAGAACCATGGAAAGATACCATGCCTGCTCTAAACGTTTTATCCTCCGAGTCTGATAATCTCGCCATGACAATCCGCAACCTCAGTTTTGGTCTTCGCGTACTAAAGCTCAGATGCACAGCTCTGTCTATGGACTTTCTATGTCCCATTGACGATGACGGGCAACCTACAGCCCCATCTCTACACTGGCCTCATCTAGAGACTATCGAGTTACTTTCCGTTCCTCCCTAGCTGCCTTCGGGTACATTTGCACCGAACACACCCAAACACAAACATAGCTAATATCACATCTGGCAGGAAAATGGCTCCTCTATCCAACCCCAAACGACGAGACTCGAATTGCTGCTATCAGTGACTGGGAATACGAGATCTGCCATTCCGAAGAAGGGTGTATTTCCCGCCCCGTCATGGACATTGAACAGTTTCACCGGCTTTTTATTTCCCTGGGCCATGCGGCACGACATATGCCCCGTCTTGCCTCCATTGACTTTCAACTGGAGTCTGAAATTTCCTTGACTTTTTCTTTCGGACATAGTGCAGAAGGTATACGCGTGAATTGGTCCTCACGGGTAGACTATCGCCCGGACGAAAGGGCTGCTGCGGCCTGGGGATTCAGTGAGGATAGTTTGGAGTTGGGTCGTTTTGGGGAAGGATATTCTGTATTTCTTACTACCTGGCCTCCGGATCGAGCGTAGTTAGCTGTATACTTTGTTCTTAGCGGTGGGAAGGGGAAGTAATGTTTTCGGGTATATCCGAGGTGACTGTCAACTGGTGGGCGATGTAATCAACCCCACCTTGATTTATCCATCAATCAATCCAATAAGTTTCTCCATACATAAACCCCACGCAGAGAAACAATCAAATCTACAACATCACCCTTACCATTAAAAAACCCTATATATCAAGACCCCCCTTCACAAACCACAACCCACCACAACTCCCCCTCCCATCAACCACACTAAAACCCACTAACCCGAACTATCGAACCCTGGAACCCCTAGACTAAACCCAAGATGACAATAGCGGCCCCCCCTCCCACCCACCCAACCAGTCAATAACATGTTTGCCTGCCCTACGCTACAGCATTATCTCGGGCCCTAAACCCAACCCAGCCGAAGTAGTGTTTCGGCTATATGCGTGTTCCCCCCACTTCTCTCTTATCAGCGCGAAAAAAATACCAAACAAAGGATGATAAAAGGGCCCGAGGGGACCCAGTTTTACCGCGCCGTCGGGAAGAAATCTTACTGGATCAAATTTCAAACTTCATGAAACTGAGACTTCTTGGCTTGGGGGTTGTGGTGGTTGGGTTGAGGGGTATGTATACATTCTATCTATACATCTATCTACTTGTTTTATTATTTGTTGTTATGATTTATTATTCTTATTTTTTTTCTGTTCATGTTTGCTGATTATGGTATTTAGGTATCAGCGTGGTGTCCGCACAAGACTGCTACGCCAACACCACATACGGGGACTTTTACGTGGACGTGAAGAACTTCTACACCCAGGATGAACTAGACGCCTACACGACGAACTGCACCACGCTACATGGGGATATAGGTTTCGGGACGAATTTCACCGGTTCGGCGGTGGTGAATAACCTCATTAACATCACCGGGGTCGTCACTGTGGGATCGAATTTAACTGCCATTGAGTTTCCGGATCTCCTGTCGCTGGGGTCCGTGGATGTGGACTCGGATAAGTTGAGGTCGATTTCGATGCCGAAATTGGAGTCCGTCGCGAGCTTTAATATTGATAATGCGGAGGAGTTGAGGTTCTCGTCGCCGAGGGTGGCCAAGGCGGATTATATTTGGATTACGGGGGAATTGGATAGGTAGGGGTGATTTCTCTGGGGGTTGGGTGTGGGGTGTGCTGACAGGTTTAGTCTTGATTTACCCAAGTTGGAGACCGTGACTAGGGTGTTGGAGATATGCAGTGATTCGGATTGTACGACTCCGCCTGGGACGGCGTTTGATGTTATTTTGCCGGCGTTGCGGAATGCGAGTGAGGTGAAGATTGCAGGGAATCTTTCGAGGTTTGTTGTTTGGTTGTTCGTTTTGGTTGTTGGATTGGGTGGCTGATTGTGGCAGCTTGTCGTTGCCGGTGCTTGCGACTACCGGATGTGGCGGGCAATATGCTGGTGTCTATGTTTCGAATAATGGACATCCGTTGAATATGAGCTTTCCTGAGCTTACCAATGTGACGGAGAGTCTTAAATTGAAGGGGGCGATGAGCGGGTATGTACCTGACCTTCTATCATGGGTATGCTGACTGGATTGTAGTGTAAACCTCCCATCTCTGCGCAATACAACGGCAGATATCACGATTGATAGCTCGACGAAACTAGACGTGGATCTTTCGTCGCTCGTCGAGACGAGTAAAATCTTTCTGAAGGGGAAGATCTCATCGTAAGGATACCCCGTGTTGTTCATCGGCAGGTACTGACTGGATAGTGCGAATTTCGCTTCTCTCAAGGTGTTTACAGAAGTGGAAATCGAATCGACGGTCCGTATTGATTGTAGGACATCGCTACCGCAGAATATAACATCCACCGAGCTGACAGTTTGTTCCTCGACTGCGGTGTCAAAAAGCTCGGGCATCTCGGGTCGCTCTATCAAGATCGGAGTGGGGGTTGGTGTGGGAGTCGGTGGGGCGATCGGTCTTCTTATCATCGTTATTTGGATGTATAGGAGAGATCTGAAGCGGAAGAAGAGGGCCAGTCAGGCTGTAGCGACGCTGGATGTGTATGGGTTGCAGGAGGGAGTGGGGGTTGATAGGGCTGATACGGCGCCTCCGCCGTATTCACGGTATTAGACTAATTTTTAATTCACATTTAATCCAGTTCTACCATTATCCGCTAAGCCTGGTGTTTCTCTGTCATATGCTATGCATTGTATTAAACTCTCTCTTCTACATATCAACCTCACCATCACTGAATCAATTCTCCGGAATCTGATGCTCCGTCGCATCTACCCCCGCATGCCACCGATACTTTGCAGCCGGATGATCATCCGGCGGACCAGTCTGCCCCTCCTTCCCATATAGATTCTCCCGATACGTACCCTTCTTCACGGCATAATCCTCCCAGAAAAGCCCTCTCTTGCGCAACTCCGGAATCAACAACTCAATAATATCCTTGAACGAGCCGGGTTTGATCGCATATGCCTGAACCCATTAGCAAACGCTACCATCCCAACTAACCTAGTCAGTAACTCACCAAATTAAACCCATCCACATCCGCCTCATTCACCCACCGTTCCATCTCATCCGCCACCTGCTGCGGCGTTCCCACCGGCGTAGCCCCCAGTCCTCCAACAGTGATATGCTTCCCCACCGTCTCCTTGGTCCATTTCTCCACCTCCGGCGTAGCCTTTGACCAGCCCTCAACGGCAGATCTATCCTATCAGCCCACACCTCCAACCCCTTTCCAAAAGAAACAAAAGTGAAAACATACCGAATAGCATTACTCTCCACCCCCCTCAACTCCTCATCATCTCTATACTTATCCAAATCAATCCCCGTCCAACCCCCAAACAGCGCCAACGCACCCTCCACCGACCCCAAACTCCTAAAATACTTGAACTTCTCCCTCGCCTCTTCCTCCGTCCGTCCCAACACGGGACACAACAGCGCCAGGAACTTGATACTCGCCCCATCTCGTCCGTATTCCCCCGCCAGGGCCCGTATCTCGGCTATGTTTTTGGCAACGACGGAGGGTGAATGCCCCGCTACGAAAATCGCTTCGGCGTGTTTTGCCGCGAAGGTTTTTCCTGCTTTGGAGGTTCCGGCTTGGAGAATCACGGGGGTGCGTTGCGGGCTGGGTTGGCAGATGTGTGGGCCGGGGACGGTGAAGTATTTTCCGACGTGGTTTATGGGTCGGATACGGCTCGGGTCGGTGTAGATGCCTGTTTCGCGGTCGAGGAGGACGGCGTCGCTGCGCCAGGAGGATTCCCAGAGTTTGTAGGTCACGTTGATGTATTCGGTGGCTTGGGCGTAGCGGTCGTCGTGCTGCGGGGGGTTAGGGTTGGGGTTGGTGTGGGGTTGGGGGGGAGGTACCTGGGGTTGTTGGGTGTGGCCGAGGTTGCGGGCTGCGGAGTCGAGGTAGCCGGTTACGATCTGGGGGGGTGAGTCAGTCGGGGGTGGTGTTGGGGTGGGATGGGTGCTTACGTTCCATCCTATTCTGGGGGGTGTTAGTGGCGATCACAGATGGTTGGTGGTTAGGAGGGGGGGGGACTCACCGGCCCTTGGTGAGGTGGTCAATGGTGGATAGACGTCGGGCGAGATGATAGGGTTGTTCGTACGTCGTCGAGACTGTCACTCCGAAGCCGATGTTCTGTGTCACGGCTGCCATGGCGGGGACGACTGCTAGAGGCTCGTTGACGGGCCATTGAGCACCGGATATGATGGCCGGGTCGAGATTGCGAGGGCCTTTGTATACGTCGTAGCCGCCTGATGGATTAGTGGTTGGGTTACTGGGAACAAGGGTGGGTGGTACCTAGGACGTCGGCGATGAAGATGCCGTGAAACTTGGCGGATTCGAGGAGTTTGGCCAGCTCGGTCCAGTGGTCGAGGTCGTTGAATCGGTGCGATTCGTCCTCGGGGTGTCGCCACAGTCCTGGGGATTGGTGGCCGCTGCCTATGGAGTGTTAGGATTTGATAAGAAGGATTGGGGTTGCGTACACATTTCCACGAATGCATTGAGGATGAGCGATTTGCGTGGCCGAGCGGGGTTATCGGTTGCCATTGTGAGGTATGCGCTGTTTGCGGAATGAAAATACAGTGAGTTGCCTTTGGAGTCGGTTCAGACAGGCCGGCAATGTTGACAAAGTAGCAGTTAAATAGACAACAAGCTCCGACCGCTGATAGTTATAAATGAAGGTCGATCAACATGCTGGTGTAGCACCACAGTGGGCCGGGATGACGTGATGAGCACATGAGGGGTCACCATTCACGATAATCATATCAATGCGAACCCCGGTAACGGCGGGGATAATCTGGAGCTCTTTATTTAATAACTGGCCCCGCGATTTGCGTGTTCAAATGTTTTGGTTGGGAGCTGGCAGTCCAGTTAGGGCCATCCGCCCTATTCTTGGTCCGATGCCGCCAACCATTGTTGCTGTCACGCAATCACTAAACTTTCTTCTCACACCATCTGCAGGTCTATCGGCCGACTGAGCTTAATCAGATACTAGCTCCAAGGTTTGGAGCAAGCCCGAGCACCTCATATGCACGGCATCAGGGACCCGCGGTTTATGAATACTAAATTCATGATCGACATTGAATTTCTGTATGCGGGTGTGGAGATTAAAAGGGTGTCAGCATCCACGTTCTCGGTCTGGCTACCAGTTGTGGAACTAGACTTGACTGGCACTATTTCACCATGATAGAGCTTCTCACTCATGCCGCAGGGACAGTGCAGCCTCCGCTGTCCTAAACTGTCGAATATGTCATTCTCATGGTGCCGGGATTATCACTGCCTGCAGTACATTCATCAAATAAATTAAAATGCACCTTAGGACAATAATAATGCTTATTGCCAAAACCCACGAGAAACAAAACCAGTCAAGATAATAAAAAGACAGAGATATATGTCGTGTACCTCCCACATACTACCCCAAAAGCCTCATCTCCCCAACAAGCCCACCACCCTCCTCCTCACCTCATCCCTAATAACCCTCACCCCTTCCAACCCCTTTCCCGCAGGGTCATCTAGTATCCAATCAATATACCGCTTTCCCGTATAAACCGGACACGCATCACCACATCCCATAGTAACAACCACATCACTTCCTTCCACAGCATCAGGGGTAAGAATCTTTGGTTTCTGGCCCCTAAGATCAATACCTTCCTCTAACATGGCCTTCACCACTTGAGGATTGATAGACTCGACGGGGGCGGATCCGGCGGAACGAACTTCGATTGTGTCGCCTGCAAGATGCGATAAGTAGGCTGCGGCCATTTGGGAGCGGCCGGCGTTATGGATGCAGATGAAGAGGATGTTGGGTTTGGGTTTGGGTTTGGGGACATGGTGGGTTGTTGAATAAGGTGATAAGGGTAGGATGATGGAATGTAGGTAGTAGAGTTTTTTGGAGTTGGTGTCGGGGGGAAGAATGGATGTTGTTGGGGGTTTGAGTCTTGGGTTCGTAGCTATACATTTGACGGTGTCCGGTTTATTTGAAGGGCCGGGTCAATGCATGTCACTTGAGTGATTCTATTGGCTAATCTGGAAGCCGTGGTAATGTGCAGTGGGCAACTTGCAATGGACCAACGTGGCCCCATCATTTCGGGTCTCGGTGATCAAATAACTATCCCTTATTCATCGTCACATCTCTATATACTCTATTTGACTTTAGCTTCTCTCTCCTAAGCTCCCCCGAGGCTTAACCAGTCACCAACACAGAGTATACAATACGTGAAAGCGCAGACGCAACAGACCTATATACAAGAAAGAATCTGCCCCCGTCGAGGAAACAGCTCCCGTTCCTTGAATGTTAGGCAGTGCCAAGCCAGATCAAATACCGACATAATGAAGCCTTATGCTAGAGGTAGCAGAGAACACAGCAAAGAATATAACACCAAAGTGACTAGCTCGGATGGTTCTTCTGTTTAAAACAACTTTGTTGATGTATTCACGGTAGACATCAAGCTGAGACGGCGATGGCTTGTGCCGTCCTAGAAAGATGATAAATTATAAGATATCATCAACGGGATCAATCATACATCCTGCATCTCTCTCACTAAAACCTTTCCCAAATAACTTCAAGCACGGGCTTATACATCTTCCCAGTAGACGGTTCATTATTGCAAGATCTAATATAATCCTCAAATGAACTGAAGAAGCTATGTTTGGCTTCGTTATGGATGAGTATGTCACTGGTGAATCCTGATTGGACAGTGCCAAAATATTCACCGGCAGAAATAAGGACCGAACGGCTTGGAAAGCCGTGCATAGCTCAACTCCAAAAAATCAAGAAACACACTCAACACCCAGACACCATTGTTCCTCATACCTCACCTCACCTCATTTCTCAACCTCAAATCTACTTAGTCTACCATAGTAGGTATCTTCCCCCGCTCTATCATATTCCAGCGCTAGTCTCTTTAGGAAATTCTTAATTTTTGTGTGCGAAACACCTCCTACCCAGAACCAATAAAACAAAAAATATATCTCATAGCATAGCAAACCCCAACTCTAAATTCTATCTATCCTTTCCTCACCTCTTTCCTGATAATCGAGATCCAGAGTACAGTATTAAGATACGCGGATGATGACATCACCTCGGAGTTATTTTTAGCCCCACAAGGAACCAACTAATCAGATCCACCCAATCTAAAGGATTCGTTGGTGCCTCAGGGGTCATCGTCATCCGTGAAGGATCGCGTCATCGTGCAGAAATGGGTTGGTTTCATGTTGCGGAGGATTCGTATTCGATCCTTTCATTTTATTGATTTGATTCTATCCTTGGGAATTATCGGGTGGTGGGTTATTAAAATGAATGTTGGTGTTTGCGATGCTGGGTTTCAGGTGATGATGAGTGAATGACGAGTCCTGCATAAGCTTTCCGGTATGATCTCCGGGAGATGGGATTAATTTCATTGGTGCAGATCTGGGATTGGATTAGAAATCAGGTTGGTGGGGGTAATTTCTTTTTGATGGCTGCCTAGGGAGTACTTTTTGAAGATTACGATCGGAGGGAATCACAGTAGAGTAGAAAGTAATATGATATAAGATTATTTCTATAAGTCATCAAACATATGCTACATACGCTCCATGCCATGCATCACATAACCAGCCATCAGTCTAGGCGGGGGAAAAAGGTATCAATGCAATAATATCTCCACGAAACAAATCACATCAAACTATTTACAAGGTCAGGAAGAACCCAGTCACGAGGAGACCCGCAACCAGCGAAGTGATCTGGCTACGCGACACCGTCGCCAGACTCTCCTTCTTCGAGTCCCCAGTGCCCGTAGAGGAAGCACCGGACGTCTTGGACCCCGAGGAGCTGGACTCCGTAGCGCCCGTCGCGTTGGGGACGGCGTTCGCTCCCGTGCCGATCTCCAGGACGTGGTCTGTGCCCGGGTTGAAGTTGGCCTGGGCGATGGAGACCTCGTTGTTGGCGAGATCGTAGACGACGTAGGTGCTGCGGAGGAAGGTATCGCCGAGAAGGGTGTCGTCGTCGCTGGCGGACAGACCAAAGGTACAGTAGCCACTGCCGTCGTCGTCGTCAATGACCATCTCGCTGATGTCGACGGTCATGTTGAAGGATTGGGCGAATTCGAAGTAGAAGGTGATGTCTTCGTTCTTCAGGCTGCAGTTGACCACGGCGTAGCCGTAGACATCGGAGTATTCGGCTCCCACGGCATCGAAGATGCTCGCGGCGGCTGAGCTGGGGATGTAGGCGAGGGCGGTGCCGCTGTCCAGCACGGCGGATGTGGGGAATTCGGCGCTGTTGTTGACGGAGACGGCTTTGCCGCTCTGCTCCAGGTGCACTGCGGTCAGGTTGACGGCGAATTCGGCGTACACTTCGGTGCCGTAGTCGGTCTCCTCGGGGATGATGGGGAGGGTTTGTAGGCTGCCGTAGTATTTGGCGGTGTTGACACCGCCGAATAGGATGGTGCCTTGGCCTTTTTCTAGGTCGTCTAGCCAGAGACTGTAGGCGGCCGAGTTGATGACGCCTTGATCGACCAGGGCTTGGGGGAAGTTGGTGTAGGTGCCTTCGAGGCTGGCTTCGTCGGCGGCATATCCGATACCGAAAACGCCCTCTGTGGATGGTTAGCGGGATGGAAAATGGAGGCATGGAAAATGGAGGGATGGGACATGAAAGGATGGAAGAGGATGCTTACCATCGTTGTCGCCATCGTATGCGACAGCGAATTCGAAACTCGTCAAGGTCACGTTAGAGAACTGAAGAGTGTCCTTGACGTAATCGCCCGCGGCTTCGCTGTTGTCGACGTATTGGATGTAAAAGTCTTCGTTCACGAACTCGTATGTGGAGGAGTCGCTGGAGTTGTAGGAGCCATAGTCGCAGGGGCAGGCGCTCGAGTTGCCCGCGTTAACCCAGAGGTCGCTGCTGCCGGTGTCCAGTGTCACGCTGACTGCTTGTCCAGGGGTGCCAAGGGTGAGGTTCATGGTGTAGCCAAGATTGGCGGCCTAAAACTGCTCATTAGCGATCGTCATGATGTCTGGTGGGTGGCACCTACCAGGTTGACCAGCTCGGCCGAGGCCGTCGATCGCTTCCGTTGGGGACGGTTGGCGATCTGACGACGCTCGAAGTTGAGGGCGAGAGTGGCAGGTTCATCGCGAGGGTGGAGAGAAAGCGAATAGGCCGACTGGGTGAACGAGGCCAGCGAAAGCAGGGTGGTGGACTTCATGGTGGTGACGGTTGACGGTGGTTGATGCTCACGCAGCTGGAAGATGACCGGGGTGTCTGGGTCTTTTAAAAGATCGGAGAAAATCCAAATAGTGGCCCACGGGGGCGCAGGAGGGGCACGAGTGCTCCAGCCTTGTCGATGACTGACTACCTAGGTACTGACTAGGCTTAACCTGTTCCTCACTAACTTTGAACGGGCCGACTCAGCCATCAGCACTCAGCCAGCAGTGCCAGCAACCGATCCTGGGCTGTGAAGAGGCTCTGTCTGAACACGACGACGAATCTGAAAGGGGGAAACCAGACGAGTGGGTCGTAGGCAGCCATCATCCAACTTGACGGCTCCATTGCGCCACCCGAGCGAGGGCTCAGGGCTGCGAAGTGCGAAGCTGTCCGTGAACTAGTGGACGAACACCGGTTGAGCCGACGGCCGCACCGGAGATGAGGTCTTTGGTGAGCATTGACTCATATCTGGCATTCTGATTCTGGTGGATTCATTTGCTATTCAGATTAGTTTTCAATAGTGCACACCAAGTGCAGGACAAGCGCCCGAACTTGCGATGGAACGCATCCTCGGTTGCAGGCGGAGCACCCGACTTGGCCCAGCGCTAACAGGATTAGCAGCCAATGAGAGGATCCGGGCAGGGTGTCTGACAGAGCTAGTTATTAAGCGGGGAGGCTACGGCGCTGACTGGCCACGAGTCCAGGCCAACTCCCCTGAACGGTTAGCACATGGCAATCTGAGTTCGTCGGATGCAGCCCTGGATGGAAATTAATCGGATGACGGCGTTGCTTGGGTGTCCTTGGCAGACCCTGATACGGACCCTTCGTATAGGACTAGACACTAGCGTGTCGCCGTGGTCCAGTGCAAGACCCTGCGCCTCAAAAGGGGTAATCTGGTGCTCGATGGGACCGGACAGGTTGAATAGGTCTAATCAAGATAACAACATCAATAGACCTCACACTAGATGACTCAATGGTTGACTGACAGATAACAGAAATTAACCTGCATGCGATGCTGCCAACGGACCTCAAGGCTATGCCTCTCGAAGAGTAGCTCGCAGCAGGTCCATTCTGCTACTAGCTCGCCGAGTCAGCACGCTTTACGAGAATCACCCCTATCAGCAATTCCCACTCTCCGTTGACTCCGTTGAGCTCCTGTTCCACCTCCACATCCGAAACACAATGAATACCAAAATCGTTCCCTTATTCCAGTTGCAGCCCTCGGTCGCCTTGATACAATCGTGTCACTTGGTACACCCCCAGCTTCCTGATTATCTCGATCAAGAGCGGGTTTTCCACTTTTTGACGGTTGAGTGTGCCATGAAGACAGGGTCTGCGTGGATTCGGGTGCCGGCCCGGCTTCCGACTCGGTCGAGGCGATGGCGAGCGCGAGCGAGGACTCGTGCTCCGGCTCAGGCTGCACCGAGGGCGACGGTCGAGACTGTGTCTCAGGCTCAAGCCATTAGCATCAGCCTCACTTGGCAAGAAATAGGGCCTACTCTAGATTCCTGCTCCTCCGCTGTTGATCGTTTCTAAGATATCCCACTGTGGTAATCAGGGGAGAGGTCTCAGGGATCAATGTATCTAATCGGCGGTAATCTGTTGTGCTGTTTTGTAGGATACCTCACGCAGTGCAAGATTAGTTCATACGGGCGCATCGCGGCGAGTAATTTGGTAGAAAGGGCGCGTTCAATCTTCTGCTCCAGGGGGTTTATTGAGGAAGCCGAGTGAGACTGCGAGGAGCGAGATCTGGTTCACGAGGGGACTGGGCGTTGCCAGGGAAGTGACTGGATCTAAGGTGTGAATGTATAAAACTTTGTGCCGTCTATGTGCCGCGGAACAAACAGGAGCTCGTGGAGTAAAGTCTATGATTGAGGCATCTTGCTACCTGGCTGCTGGATGAAGCTGGTAGAAGTTATTACTGATGGGAGCATAGTGGGTTTCTGGACGGTTGTACTTGCGATTTCACAACCCGGTCCTTGTTGCTTGCAAAAAATAGAAAAGCCAGTGTTGATTATGTGGTCTGTCGCTTGCTTCCAATGTCTGGAGAGTCCTAGAAATAGGTTTGTCAGGCGAACAAATTAGAGCACAAAAACTTCTTCGGATATTCCAAGCACCTGTAGTAGCAGGGGTCCAAGTAAACGGGTAGCAAACCACCATCTTGAACGAGAGATCAGTGTTGGTTGATATTCATATTTTACATTCAGGATAATCTCCGCCGCACCATAGTTAGTCGGAATTACAGCCTAGTCCTAGCATAATACTGCTATTCCTCGAGTTTCGGAGATATACCAATAAGTGCTTATCCGCCAGCTTTATTGCAAACCAGTCCGGTACAACAATGCTAGTCGTGCTAATACCTGGCCAGGTACAGACATTCCATACTAGAGAGCCAGCAACCATCCACTATCTTCACGTGAACCGCACATGCATCCCTATCGATCAAACAAATATTATCATCCGGTTCGAGTCACTGCTAAGATACCAGAACCTGACGGGTATGTTCTTTCCTGCATATAGTTAGAGTAGCAAACACGCTATGTGATAATGCAGGTAACCACATCTACATTTGTGGCTTGTGGTAGGGCTGCAGACTGCAGTGTTGGGTGATTGCTTCCTGAGTTTTCGTTGCTTTATCTCCTCTTCAAAGTCTATGTTGGCATGACTGCCAGGTAATATACTTCGTGAGTTTATCACTGATTCATGGTATGCAGCATGTCTAGCCTAGATGTTACGTGCATTATATCGACCAGGTAATCGATGATACACTTTGGAAGGTCTTAACAAACACGATCGTGACTCATATGCTACAGTCAAAACGTTCCCACAATATAGTGGCTTGAATATTCTCCATGTGGTGTCCCAGTGTCTCCCTGGATCGCTTGCGAATAGCCCTTTGGAATATGACGCCCGCTTGTGTTTCTCTGCTTAAAGCCAAGGAGACAAGGACTTTTGGCTCTGAGACTGTTTTACCGTTAGTGTAAATGGGCTCTTTCGCCATTTTCTCATCAGGAGTTTAGTTCAATACTGTGAGGTTAGGACCGTTGTTTTCTTGTCTGAGAATCGCAGGTTTGGGATGTCCCGATGAGACCTGATCAGGTATGATGTTTGTTTCGCTTCATAATACGAGCGATGTTGGGGTCGAACAGTCCAAGAATAGTAGTATGTTTCACTGTGAGTTTGCTAAGGAAAACTCTCGATGCAGCGAGTGTTTTGCTCCCTGGGGTGGGTTGCTGATCCCGCAACCTGGATACACACCAGAGTAATTATTGGGTTATGAGTTATCCTGGTCAATAATCATCAAGAGACATACATTCAGTTAGGGAGGATTGATGCTGACTGGTGAAGAAAAAAAAATGGACCCCATCCCTCCCGGACCCCCGAAAAAAAAAAAACACAAAAAAAGAATCTGACAAGAGTGGGATTCGAACCCACGCCCCTTTCGAGACTAGGAATATTCCGAAGAACATGCATGATCAGGTGACCTGACCCTAGCGCCTTAGACCGCTCGGCCATCTTGCCTGTTGATATATCTTTTTATTATATTTATAAACTAGTAGCCTACTAGACAGGTATTCTGGAGCCATCCCACTTTTCTCCATTTCTGTAAACCTCCACAGCGGCGTGATTTTACGCCCGGAGAGGGCTTCTAATATTGTTGGGCTGGTGTGGTAGAGCTGTGGTAAGAGTGTGACGGTGATGAGGATTTGTATCTAAAATATTGTAAAGGGTGGGGTGGCTACGGTGGATGTTGGGACTTGGGAGGGCTGGGGGATGGGGGCGCGTGGGTGGTAGAGCGGGAGATGTAGGTATGGGTGGATGGAGGTTGAGTTTGGGGTGGTTTTGAGGGGGTCATGGTATCTGGGTGTCGAGGATCCGGGGGAAGTAGGGGAATTAGGGGCGGTAGTCAAATGTCAAGGGTGTTGGCGGATGAAGATGTACCGAGTTGAGGGCTGGAATCGGGCCACATGGTTGCAGTACATTGTTTGATTGTGCTCAATGTTGGGACTAAGCTAGGAGGATTGGGGCAGATAAACTCATGGCCATGTGGGGATGGTTCGTATTAATTTCGAATAAGGTTGGGTGGTCTGAGTTTATTTCATGTGGATGGTCATTATCATAGATAGGAAATATGTACAATGAATGAGGACTGGATGGGACATGATTTACTGTCCCATCACGATTAAGTAGCCTGGACGGTGGCTGGGGGGTTTGGTCAGGGACTGCCCTCGCTATAGCGGGTGGTTATGGGCGCGCTGGAGGTTTGGCCGCCATTATGAAGGAAGACGGACAGCACTGGAGATAGTGTCTGTTGAAGGCCCACTGCTCAACACAATAGGCTCAACGCAGCAGCTCTCTGCCGGTTTAGCGGACTTTGGAGAGCGGCATGCTGAGTTCCTCGCAGGTAGCAGAAGCGTGTTGCTTCCACTCATGTTCCCAAATGTCGAAAGGGTGGTGGCTGATCGCAAGGAATGAGGACAGTTTCTCGACTGTCCAAGGTGTAACTAGAAAAATCTGGCCAATCACATATCGTTGGTCAATAAATGTCAATCGCACTGGCATCGGTCTGTTTCAACCGGCTGGCTGCATGGACCTAATGGTACATGCTATTCCGGTCCCTGGTTGCACTCAGATTGCTCGAGGCCGAGTCATAAGCGGCCTCGTGTGTCACCTCGATCGTCGTGTGCTGCAACACCACGCCCATCGGCGTCAACTCCAGCCCGTCCTTGCCGATCATCTCCTCGGTCGAGTCGCTCCGGCCCCGCGCAATCGTGGTGTTGGTGGGCCCCTTGCCGTCGACACTGGCGCCATACTGATGCGCCACCGAGGATTTGTTGCGTCGACTGGACATCTTGTTGCTGCTGTTGATCCGGGCTTCCGGCTCCAGCACCACACTGCGCCGGCTGAGGGTGTACATGAGGGAATCGCAGAAACCGCACAATGTCATCAAGCTACCACTGACGCAAAAGTACAACACACTCGGAGAGTGCCCGCTGGCGGAAGCCATGCGCCCCGCGGCCAGTGGCAAAGTGAGGCCGATATAGACCAATGGGTAGAGGCCCATATGGAAAATGACGCGCTTCAGGCGGCGCAGACTTTCCGAGTTGTGCTCTCCCAGGATGGACGATTCGGCGATTCTCCTCCGCAGCTGAATGAGCATGATCGCGTAGAGAACGACGGTGAAAAATTCGGAGGCGAAGATCCAGAAATAGTGGGTCCACAGTCGCATGGACTCGTACTTGGGCGTCATCCAGCACTATGGGAACGGGGTTAGCGACGCATGTGGATGCACGGCACAAAGACTTACCCAGGCCACGGCCGGATACCAGACGTACCGTCCGTGGGCGGCGATGGGGATAATGGTCGTGACCACTCCGAACACCCACAGACCGATGACGACGGCGACAAAGACGCGGTGTTCAATCTGGTGGCCCAAGCTCACGTGGATGAAGGTGTGCGCCGCGATCGCGAGCACAAACAATCCACTCATGGGATCCCCAATCTGCAGCCAGATGCCCTGCAGGAAGCATGCCGGATCGGATGCAGTCACGGAGTCAGTCGCGATCCATCGGAGACTGATGATAAAGCCGAGACTCTGGATAAAGTCGGCCAGGACGAGGTTGAACATGAGCACGACATATTGGTTGTAACCGATGTAGCGCTTGTAGTATTTTTTCCAGAAAATGAAGCGGTAGGTGAAAAAAGCCAAGAGAGAAAAGGTGCAAATGAGCGACAGGGTTGCCAGGGCACTAATCACGATCAAGCCCTTGGTCTGCAGGTTGGGCAGTGGGCTCATGATGGCCGTGCCCTGGGATTCCGCAGACGACGACGACGACGACCGACGCTGCAGGGCCGGACTGGCCGGGTGCAGGAACGACTGGATCGCCAGGGACAGCATGATGGGGAGATGGCCGAGGGTATTGTTTCAGACCTCCATTTTCCCGACGGAAATTGACCTATATAACCGGCCATCGACCCCAGCCCCTGGGGTTGGCACGGGGCACGATGGCTGCTAGCCCTCACCCGCCTAGGTCGAATCAGGCACGTCGTGTCAAGTGTCGATCGAGGGAGGAACTCGACGGCTCGATTCACTGCAATTACCGGCACGGGTTCGGCCATGTGCCGAAAGGAGTTATCATGGTCCGCGACAACTCGGGGCGCATCTCCACTCGTGGAGTTGGAGGCAAATCCCAGGCTCCCTAGTCGACACCAAGCTTTATAAGTGCAATAGTCCCCTGAGGCCGGCGCAGTTCTAACTTCCAAGGCGAGTCCAGCGGAGGATTGAATCGCTAGTGAGAGAACGAGAACCCTAGAAACGCCACCGAAGCTTGTGTTGGCCATCATTCCGGGCTGGTTGGAGTGCCACGATGGAGTGGCGGTCTGATCATCGTGCGGGTAGCTGCATGCAACACGCTGTCATTCTCAGTACTGACTACTGGGGGCTGTTGGTAGCTGGCTTGAATTTGTGGGATCAGATACAGCAAGTTGCTTCAGCAGAGTTTCGGCTGTTCGTGTTACCTTTCTATCGCCTATCTATCTACCTACTGAACACTGGGTTGAGCATGGAGGAATCCCCGCTCTGGAACGACCCACTCAAAGCTGCCAGCGCCAGTGGGAAGCCGGCTGGCGAGTCAGGAGGTGGCTCCGGGTTTCATAGTCGACTGGGCAAGATTTTCCCGGGGCTCCTTTCCACCTTCTTGCCTCGTGTCATCCCTGGGCGATCATCGTATTTGGCGTTGAAAAAACCTTGCCTGTCGTGCGGTGGTGGCGACTACCATCGGATGCAAATTCTCCGTTTTAGTGCACTGCTACATTCGTCCAGCTTCTCTCACCGTTGATCGACACTGCGATCAGAGAGGTATTGTTATCGAAGACACTATCAGGAATGGTCGGCCCACGGTGCGGAGTCCGGCTACAGAACCAACCGAAAAGGGGGATTAGGGTGAGGGCGGGAGGATAAAGAAGCTTCCAAAGATTCGAAGCACGGTTTCCCCTTCGAGGTATTAATCTAATAGGTGGAGCCGGATCTCCAGGAGAAGTGACACAGTCCGACACGGCCTCGGATCCATGGTTACGGATTGGCCGGCCCGGGCTACGGAGGACTTCCGTATGCCGCCGAGGCAGAGCATGATGATCCTTTCGCCCTCCTTGTATAGTGTATGCCCTCGAGTTCTGGGGCTGCTCGCAATGACGGCGTTCTCAGCCCTATGGGCGTGGGAAACAAAACAACGCGGTGACATCCACCCCGTCCCACGAACATGGCCAGGACACCGATCCGATAGCAGAGCCAGATGCGCAGACCAACAAATGAAACGGTCGGGTTTTGCTGCAGCCTGGTGAAGCCAGCCCACTTGGTCAATTGCCCACCTTGTCAGTCGGATGGGGTTCTCGAGTCAGTGCCCTACCAGAGGGCAGCACCCGGGCGCAGAGATTTAAGCGCTCGTCGAGAGTCCCCAAAAGACTCGAGTCGAGGCAGGAGCGGGCTGGAAAAAGCATAAACTAACGTAGTGCGATGTAGCCTCCATCTCAATGGCATTGGCATTGGAATGCGATTGTTTGGATTGCTACAATCGAGCCAATCCTGGCGAGACTATGGCCAGTGGCTGGCTTGGATTAGCTTCCAGCCGTCGGGGTCCGCTCCCTTTCCGGCCTGGCCAAATGATCGGCTCGTTTACCGTGTCCTTGGATCTCCGGGGGATCCTATCAAACGCATGGGATTGCTATTCTTGCACATGCTGCTTACCTCCTACTACTTTCAATTCCTTGGCCCTGATAAGAACGGAAAGGCGATTCTCCGCGCTCCACGCTGCGTGGATTCCAGTCCCTGACTGGGGCTCTTGGCACTTTCAGAGGTGTTCTGCCAAGAGGTAAGCAGTTCTCAGGGGTCATGATGTGATGCTGATAGCCTGATACTATTTGTTCCTCGGGATCTCCCTCGGGTTCAGTCGGGGACAGAACAGTGCTGTATATTAATAAATGGTCCCCCATACCCTGGTTTGACCGTTGGCTGTACCCCAACGCGCACGAGCCCTGCAGGCTACCACAGCAACCCCTGACAGGGTGTATCGGATAGATTGGCGACCGTTGACCTCCATACTAATAAGGAATGGTGTTGTTGGTATCTCTTTGTTCTTGAAATAGAGGGCTAGAGAGTCGGGGAGAAGCGATGCCAGTCGATGACGCGTCGGCGCCAATCCAAACAGGAAGGTGCATGTACCTTTCACGTGCATCCCCTTAGCAATGCTACCTCGCAATAATACCTGCCAATGCTTCTTCTCTTGGCACCTCCCATGCAGGGACTGGCTCGAACCTTGAACTGTCTGCCGCGGATGCGATATGCGACCGATTGGTTCTGTTGACCGCGCCGGGGAGGAGCTGCGGGGTGGAACAGTGTGCGACACACCCCTGGACACCATAGCCTGCAACCACTCTCGAGGATTGTGTTGAACTTATCACTTTGTCCCACAGGACCGTTTTCTAATCTCCCATTATGTGGCCATGCATCTCGGCGCAACCTTGGCATGCGAACGGAGATCCCCCGCAGCTATCGATGAAGGCATCTGGATTGCTAATGTACTTCATGTCACGCAGAATCTACCCACGGTCCGCGATTAAGCAGCAGTGTTCGATAAAAGGCTGATACGATCGGTACGGTCCTTCGATGCGAAGACATCGGCAACGAAACAATCCTGGGATGAGACTGTGGGAGGAATGCCGAACTGGGCAGTGCGATGGACAGGATTTCTATGGGCTATAATAAGTGTCGCTACATTGGAGGATAGATCCAGATAGGTCTCGCCTACCGGTACCAGTAGGTATCGATTAATGCCGTCCTATACAGATGAACCCTTGGGTGTCGGCACTTACGGCCAGTCTTGTCTTTCCGGCGATCGCATCTGCTCCAAACTACTCGAGTGCATTTCTCTAATTCTCCAGTCATGCAATACCTACCATGCTCGTGGCTTTCATCAAGTCATGGCTTGTCTGTTCTCGTCGGCCTATCTGAATTCGATCGCGCAGGCGACAGGGGGCTCTCAGATGGCAGCTATCGTCGCACACGGTATAAATAAACTCTCAGGAGATTGTGCAGATTCTATATTCTTCAGCAAGCATCCGTGTGCCTACGATTCGATTTGCTTCTGAGGTTTTGACTTGACGAGCACCAACAGCGCGGAGCATTTCGCCTATCCGCTTGTGCGCCATTAGCCATGTCTTTATATACAGCGGCCGAAAATCGCTACGGGCATCTGGCTGGTCCACATACACTGCAGTGCGCCTTTGAAATTGCTGGTGTTTCTAATTCGTCTACTACTGCCTCGCGTGCAGCTCGCAAAGGCATTACTAGGATGTGTGCCCTATGCGCCCGGGCAGGGCTAGTAGCAGAATGTCAAGTCTCACCATGTGTCAAAGATGTGTTGATACTGGCCGCATCGCTGAAATACCACAAACTATGGTGATTTCACGGGGCATGAAATAGTTTCCATCTCAGCTATGGTTTCTCCACGTGAGATGAGCTAACTGGTGATGTTCACACTGACTTTGGCAGACATCTGAAACCTTCTTTAACCCTCAAGAACCTGCTACCTTGATAAAATATGGTACAATGGATGTACTAATCACATAGCATTTGGAAGCTTGCATGGCATACGGACCCTGGAGTGTTGGAACATCGTACTGGGTGGATCGCCTACATGGTTATCACCCTTTCAACTGCACCAAAAGAGATACTGTCTAGGATAGTCATCCGGACCTGAGTTCCTAGCCTTGTATCGCGATATTCTTCAGAGTTAAGGGGCCATAGTTAGTAGTCCTGTCCCAGTGGTACAATTTATCAGACACTCGCTGGACTGCCCTGTGTGCTTGTGTGATGATCCCACATGGTAGAACCATTGATCGCATATTGCCTACCTATAATCAACAAGCCTTCCTCTATCAATCAACGTAGTATCTGTAATTACTATTCACGTTGGCTATAATGAAACGCAGGACCGATTCGATCCAACCCACCACGCCCTAGATGCACCAACAAAATACATATCTTACAAGAAATGCCGCTTCAGTACAAGCACGGACAACACCCCAAAGCACATATTCACATAACCTATCAGTTCTAATTCATCCCGGATCTCAAAAACCACACCCAAATCCATTGACCCAGTGGTAAAGAAGTCCTACAGTGCCGCAGACAGACATCTTAAAAGTTCATCTTAATATTACCGTTCATGTAACCAGAGTTCTTTCCAAATTCCAACCAACAGGCAAGATGGCCGAGCGGTCTAAGGCGCTAGGGTCAGGTCACCTGATCATGCATGTTCTTCGGAATATTCCTAGTCTCGAAAGGGGCGTGGGTTCGAATCCCACTCTTGTCATATCTTTTTGTACTTTTTGAGACTCCAGATTAATAGACTGGTCTTATTCATTCGTTAGACGTTTATTTTTATACTTTTTATCTATCTCCTCTGCAGATTGTTGATTCAATAACTACTATAGTGTGTATGCAGTTTAACTGTGTCTTTCTGAAACAAATCGCGTCGATTTGACTCTCTACAACCGCCTCCTCCTTCTCACCTTGCTAAACCGAGTTAGATTTGGCGCTGTCAGTCAGAAGAGCACATATTTTATTTTCTACAACCTCGCCACTCTATCCACCCTCAAAACAGCCTCGGTTTCCTTCCTAACCCCGCGAACAATCTCCCCAGCCGGCAGTACCTCTCTCACCAAACCAACCGCCGTACCCGCAAAAGTAGCCAGTCGCCCATTAGCTCCATATCCCGGGCTCTCCTGCTCTAGAGCCTTCTGATAAAGATCATAATTCTCCCGTTCCGACACCTTTCCCGCGACCAACTCCGTATGCGTTCTATTCACAATTCCCCGCGGGGAATATTTCCCCGGCCAGCTCCGAAATCCCCGTACACGGTCATACACAGTAGAACGAATAGTACAAACCCCACCATCACTTGCCTCGAGAATAGCCTCCTGATACCCCCTCTGTATACCTGCTTCAGATGAGGCCAGGAACCGCGTCCCCATCACCACCGCTTCAGCACCCAAGACAAGAGCAGCTGCTACCCCCCGCCCATCTACTAAGCCACCTGCCGCGACAATTCTCGGCAACCTTTCCATATTACCTTGACCATCCTCACACAGCTTGTCAATAACCTCCGGCACCAAAGACACAATACTAGCCGACTTCTCCAACCCATGGCCCCCGCCATCACTCCCCTGCACGACAAGCACATCAGGATGCAGCTTGGCCACGGCGTCGACTGCATCCTCAACACTCCCTACCTGGGCCCAGATAGCCACACTCCCGCTAGTCTGGGCCCGGATTCCCTCGACCCAGGGGACTTGATCTGCGGCGCAGTTAGGTGGCGCGAACAGCCACACGGCACATGGGCGGTAGCGAATGATGAGCGGCAGTGCTGTTTTGATATCGGCTCCCCAGTTTAGAAATCCTACGCCGATAGGTAAGTTCGGGCCGTTATAGAACTGAAGACTGTTGTTGGTGGGTAGGTTTCCTTCTGCTGCCGCTGCCGCCTTGTAGTCTTTAATAAGCTGCTCAGCTCGCTGAAACTTGCGCTCGAGATTCGATACGTCGTTTCCACCGGCTACGAAGCCGATTCCGCCGGCTGCGGATACGGCTGTGGCTAGCTCGGGGCCGGCAATGTTGAGCATGGGGGCTTGGGCTATTATTGGTGCGCTTGTCCATGGGTAGGTTTTTTGGAATGGAGGTTTGTTGGACATGATGATGGCTGTGATTTGGAGTTTAACGTCGGTTGCAAATATAATAGAATGAAATAAGATAAGGTGAAAGGCTCTTGCATAGCCGTTACATCGATGAAGGCGTGGTATAACCGAGGATCAACGTCTTCCCCGCTTTCCTCTCAATTGCTAATATTAATAATAGGGTTCGGTTCCTTCCTCCCGCGATACCCGCCCGCATTGCTGTGCTGCCATCTGGACACAATTAAGCATACATTTTTGGGTTGGGCCAATCAAGCCATTACAATCACGCGAAGTGCTCATCCCCCTGCCATCCGATAGAATGCTTCAGCGTGCAGATTAAACGAGTATCCTGAGGTCTAGTGAAGAGTGCGTGTATCAATCCAACAATTGATACATTCGTGGTATATCCTGTAACAGTGCTCCTTGTCCGAAACTATCGGTATCGAATCATAATATTCGCCGTTCAGAATGAAGGTAGTAACTGTTACTGCGAAGTCTCAATGAAGGGCAGCCAATACGACTGTCGATGCCGCTCAATAGTTGTTATGCTAGTCTTTGCAAGAAGAGTTGGAATCGAGACTAACCCCTGCAGATGGTCTAGCCGTAAGACATATGGTTACAATGCTGCACGAGATGCCTGGATTTCTGTCTAACCAAGGAATTAAAGTCTGTTTGCGGTTTCAGCCCACACTTTGATGTATATGCAACAATCCATCGTGTTGAATTTCATACAAGGCGCAGAATCATGCCAATAGTGGAGGAAAGATAGTGTAAGGGTAAGGATACGAATCTGGCATGACGTGTTGACCCATTTCCGTGGTCGGGAGTCGGACACAAAACAGGTTTTGGCGTGGATTTATGGTAGTACAAGCATACTGCATGCTGTCATGCTTCCTCGGCAGAGTTATGCTGTCACTCTGCACCTATTCTTTCCTGAAGTCCAGATGGATGGCAGGGGCCCAGACACACATTCCTCAACAGCTCTCGTTTGTGGCTTCAATTGCCACGCCAAGTTCGGTGATACTGTTTGTTTAATCTATTTGTTAAATATAGCTTGCGTATCTTAGATTATATTCTACTATGATGGTGTTATACCTTTTTTAATGTAGGGTTGCATTCAAGATTGCAAGGTGTCCAAGATCTTGTATGCTCCAGGATAATCAAGGACTTTTATACTCGCGGTCTCTAGTTACGTTGAATCAAATATACAGATTAATTAGGATCCCTTATACTAGAAAATTGAAGGTATTCCATCTATGTAGATAAAATATTCTTACTCTGCAGTAAGGTGTCCTTCTCTATCAATCTATCCTCATCAGAGTCTTTCTACTAGAGAAATTTATTCTGAACAAGTTATAAATTATAGATTCAAGATAAGTTCTGCTATTTCCGACATAGTACCATCCGATCACCCTACCCCCCGGTATCTAGCTCGACCGACACTCCAGCTTCTCTGCTTGCGCAGACCTTTGCCGTCCCACACACCAACCTCTGGGTCATGTTATGGGGACATAGTTCTGGTTCAACCACTGGCCTTGCTGTATCTTTCTCGTCCAGGAGATGCAGAAGCTTCTCCGACACCTTTCCTAGCTGGGTCAATTCTCGAGACACTTGTTCTTAATAGCATTCTTGCGATCGAACGGATGGTGCGCCAGAGGGATGATCTAGAGAATACCAACCAGAGCAGCGCGATTGGCTATTCAGAGCTGTACTGCCTCCAGACCTTACCTTGCCCGCAGAGAAAAATGAGATAACTACTCCGCATGCAGCGGATGATCGGGAGCGGAGAGAAAATGGCTCGATCTGGCTACCATCTTAGGTCCTTGTATGCGGAGATCCCGGTAAACCCGGCAGGAAGGGATGCATGCAATTGTGGGTTCGGTTGTCGGTGGACATCTAGCCCTGTGAGCGATGAATGCAATATTAGCTAGTCACCTATGGAAAAAAGTGGATGGATCACCCTAGTGGTTGGAGTGGATCGGGTTACATTGAGTCCGGTGTCAGAGACAACTCCAGCGAGTCCGCATCACCATTGCATATTCACTTAGGTCTTGCTGTCTGGGTGATGTTCCATGGATTGATTCATGTTATATCGTCCATTGACAGGTCATATTCTCATCCATGGTTGGTGGCAGACTGCGGATACGCATGTTGTCTCAAGATAAATGAAGATTTCCATTTAGCTACACAATATAATTATAGGCGAAATCGTGCAAGACCACATATTCTACCGTGTTTTCCATGCCGTCATTGAAATCGTATGCTAATCTCTCATATCAATTTCCAAATAAAAACACCTACACCTACCCCCGTAATCCAACCCTGTAAACAACCCCACTCCATCACCATCATAGCACCAACAATGCTTCCCACCTCAATACCCTCCCTCTTTCTACTACTCTCAACAACCACAGTCTCTGCCTACCCCCACGCTTTTCCCCATCTCCAGCACTTCCTAAGCAACGAGCTCCCCCCAGACGACCCCCCACCCCCAACTAACCCATATGACTACATTGTAGTAGGTGGCGGCACGACCGGGCTCCTAGTAGCCAGTCGACTAGCAAAGGCCGGAAACTCAGTAGCCGTTATAGAAAAAGGCGAATATCCTACTGGGAATCTGACTACAATCCCGGGGTACAATGAACAATGGTTTAGCAAGGATCCATCGCCAGACTGGGACAACATCTTGTGGAAGTGGCCTACAGAGCCGCAGGTGGTATGTTTTTTTTTTTTTTTTTTGCCTCTATTGAGGGGGAAATACCGTTGTGGTTGTGTACTGATATAAGGTTTATTCTGTAGGGAGGAAACCCGCAACAGCATATGATGGGGAAGATGGTGCGTGCTCTTTCTCCTACCTACTCCCTCTTCACATATATGTCTGATAGATGACATTCCAGATCGGAGGAAGCCAAGGCCTAACCTTTGTCGATTACTTCCGAACCACCAAAGGCGCGCTCGGAAAATGGGCCGACCAAGTAGGTGATGAGTCGTGGAGCTGGGAAAACGTCCAGAAATACTATAAACAGTCGTTCAAATTCACAGGCCCCAACAATACCGCCAGAGGGTTGAACGCAACGCCGGACTACGACCAAAGTCAGATCATCGGTCCTACTCCGGGCCCACTGGAACTTACCTTCCCCAAATATGCCCAGGCGTTTAGTAGCTGGGTGAAACTCGGTCTCCGGGAGTTGGGGGTCGCTGTTAATCGAGTGTTCGTGGAAGGAGATATCAAAGGGGTCAGTTGGATCGCGAATATGATCGATTCGCAGACCGGTAATCGCGCCACTACGTACACGGCTTTTCTGGACCCAACGCTGAATGATGGCACGTCGAAGATTGATGTCTTTGTGGGGACAATGGCTGAGAAGATTGTATTTCTGGAACTTCGGTCCGGCCGGCCGGTTGCGAGGGGGGTTAGTGTGAAACGGAGAGATGAGGGATCGTTTACGATTGCGGCATCCAAAGAGGTTATTCTGGCTGGTGGACCTATCCTCACTCCGCAGCTTCTCATGGTCTCCGGGGTAGGTCCTCAGGATCATCTACGAGAGCAAGGGGTGGAGGTTGTTCTTGATAAGCCGGGGGTGGGCCAGGACTATAACGATCATATTCTGCTTGGTGTCACGCGTGCAGTCCAGGTGGAGACAACGTCCATCCTGCTCAACGATTCCAGGAGATGGGAAGAGTGTGATAAATTCCAGGCCAACGCAGACGGGATGCTCGCAGATCCAGGTGCAGATTTAGTCGGCTTTGTTGATTTCCCGTCTGATATTCGCAGTTCTCTTTCTGGGACGACTCTATCTGGTATCTTTCTCTTCTTTGAACAGCGCTGTCTGTTGTGGACTCACTCACTCACAAGCAACCCCAGATCTATCCGAATTCCCCTCCGACTGGCCAGATATGTGCGTCGTGTCTTCGCCGCTCGGCGTCAACGAAGAGCCAGAACATAACTATGCGGAACTCGTCTGCATTCCTATGACGCCCACATCGAAAGGAACAATCACACTCAGATCAAACTCTATGGATGACAACCCCGTGCTGGACCCGAAATGGCTCTCCACGCAGACAGATCTGGAGGTTGCTGTCGCCGGTCTGCAATACTTGCTTCGGCTCTACGATACCAGTGCCATGTCGCATATCTTGGACTGTCCTGCTACCTCGGCCAATTTGGAGACAGCTAGCTGGAACGAGCTCGCGGATATGGTGAAAAGCTCTTATCGGTCGTTGAATCATCAATCGGCGTCGTGTCGCATGGGGAAGAAGGATGATCCTATGGCTGTGGTGGATAGTACGGCTAAGGTGATTGGGATTAGTGGATGTGAGTTGTGTCTACTTGGGTTTGTATTCTTTGATGGATGTGGGACTGATTGGGGTTATAGTGAGGATTGCTGATCCATCTGCCTTTCCTTTCCTGCCTGCGGGCTTTCCGCTGGGTACTGCGTGTAAGTTTTTCTTCTCTCCTTCGGTTGATGTGGGAAGAAGTACTGAATAGTCGGTGTGCTAGATATGTTTGCGGAGAAGATAGCAGATAATATTCTCGCGGAGAATGGAGGTGATGAGGACGAGCAGCGAGGGGAGCTCTAGCGGGGATAATACACTACATTCGTAACAGTCGTTCAATCATTGCCTGAGTATGCAGTCAGAAGTATAAGTGTGCTACTGAGAAAAGCATCCAAGATGGCATTGCTTGATTTTTACAGATTAGTTCCTAGAGAGATATTGCCAATGCGATCGAAACGATGAAGATCAAAGCAAAATTCGTTGAGATCGAAGCATTCATTTCACCAAATCTGATATAACTACTATGCCTGTCCAGTAGTAATGGTTCCTGCACGGCATTACAATAAAAGTGGATTCCTTAAGATAGATTAGAACATCAACGTAGTCTATATAATCGCTAGTAGATAGACTGCTCTTCATGGCTCATTACCTCCCCACTAATTCTCCTGTTCTTTGAGCAACCGAGCCGACACCAATGGACTGCCCTTTAGAATGGCAGAAAAGTCATGGGCGTCAAAACATGCCTGTCGCGAATTCAAGACGCTGGGCTCTGCGCGCATATAGACGTCGTTTTCGTAGGCGCTTAGGCATTCTCGGAGGGTTTCTGTAGTCATGGATCTGGTTGGTTGTTAGTATTGCATATCAGAGGTGCGCTCTTTGGGATGTATGTATGGGTCGTACCCTAGAGACTGCATATCCACCCGCTTTGTGAGATCGAAAACATCCACGATGGCGTTGTTGGCTCCTTCTCCGCGGTCTAGGTTTTGTTAGGATTGTGTTCTCGTGTAGTGTAAGTGCAGTAGAAAGCAGGAGAGACATACACATGGTCATGGTGTGTGCCGAATCACCCATGAGCACCACCCGCGGGTGTGTGGTATTCTGCTGCGGTCGGAACATAAAGTCCGCGGTGCGAATGGACCGCACCTCTGTGTCGTCGGGCAAGCGATGGACTAAGGTCCTGAATGGCTCGGCCCAGTCCTTGGTCAGGGACTTCATCAGGGCGATGCGCTCGCTGTTGTCTCTAGGGACGGGGATGTTCTTGGAATCGGCCCACGAGATGATGACCTGGCAGAGGTATTTGTCTTTGCTGCTGTCTTCGAAGTTGTTTGGGGTGTCGAGGACTATTGAGGTACTTAGTTGGCTATGGCACTGTAGGTGTGGTGCGTGACATACTGCTATGGAATAGGAAGATGTTGGAGTCCGGATGCGAGCCCTGGAAGATGAAGGGATCGATTTCCGCTGCACCTGCCATCTCCTCGGCCGTATATAGGGTTGCCCCGCCGAGCAGCTGGATAGGAAGTGGATTCATCGCATGGCCGTCCGGGTACAAGATCTTGCGGGTCGGTGATACCGATCCATCGCAGCCGATCAACAGACAGCCGGTGTATGAGGTGCTGTCTTCGAAGTGTGCAGTGACGGTATTGTCGGAGGATTCGATGGTTTGGAGGGATTTATTCCACTACGTTGAGGTGTTGTCAGAGGTGTAGTCCAGAGGGTAGGGGGTACTTACTTTGATATCGAGATCCGTCGCGAGCAGCTGTCGGAGGCGCACTCTGGACACGCGAATGCGCTCCGCAGCCGGGACGCTGGACAAGGCTAATCCGGTTTTCAGGTCGTAGAAGGAAAAGCGACCGGTGTCACCACGCGCAGCCGCTGCCTTGTTGACATATGTCTCCGGGAGTTGTTGCACAAGGTGGTCAGGCAGCAGTGATCGCAGAGCAGGCAGTGCCCAATGCAGGGTCAGTCCCCAGCCACCACTGCGAGCATCAATCGCTGCATCACGTTCGAAGATCTGGTAGGGAACCTCGAGTTTGTGGAGGTGCTGGGCCAGCAAGAGGCCACTGATGCCCGCACCGACAATGAGGACGGGATGATCAGCCATGGCGGGCAGCAAGGAGGCACGGAGTCGGTTCCACGGGGATCACGTTCATCCCTGACTTTTGACTGACGCATTGCGGGGTTGGCTTCGGACGGTGAGCTCGGTGGCAGGTGCGCAGGATTCACATTGGTGGAATCGTGGCAGATGAGCTGCTGCCAATTGGACCGGAATATAGGCATCCTTCGGAACGGGCAGAGGCCGAATCAGCTAGCTGTGCTGCTGTTGGCTAGATTAATGTGTTTCTGAATAATTTGTGCTACCCTGTTTGAAGAGGGGTTTAGGCTGACGAATTATTTAGTCACTCATCTTCCTTATCGGCTCTGCATCATTGAGTAATTGGACAGGGATTGGCCGAGGCCAGCCGCTCTGTCAGACACACCAATCTTAACTCAAGCATAAGCGGCATAACCATCTTAACAAATTGTTAGTTGACAGTTACCCTGCCCCACGACGTGTGAGACAAGGTCAACCCTAACAGAGACTTAAGGGCACTAGGGCTGTTAGGCCGGGGCCGGGGCCCTCCTTCGGCCTTGGTCCGAGTCTAGCCCTACCTCGATTTGCCTGAGATGGTTGAAGCTCCATCTTGTATATTGCGATTAATAATACACTGGCCACTGGCACAATGGTCTGACTTCATCCAGACGCCACCTCAACTAGGCAACACGAACAGACCAGCCATAGGCGCGTGGGACGCACCATCCTGGCCGACCCCCGGGGATGTCCTTCCGGGTGGACCACTTTAAAGTTTCACGGAACGCACAGGATTCCTTCTGGATGGAGCTGAGCTTGATGGCCGGGAAGATCCCGTTGGATGCCAGTGGCTCATTGGCTTCTGATGCCCTCGACCCAGCTGACCCTTGGCTAGTGCGTCATGAGGGGCAAGCACTAAGGAAGCACTGCGCAGGATTATCTGCACTGCACTAACAAGCATAACGGAAATGATTACCCATTCAGAATGAAACACGACCAGTGAGCGGTTGGACCAGTGAGCGATTAATATACATATGAAAAAAAAAGTTTGAAAGAATGGCGCCATCAGACATGGCCCAGAGCATGTCACTCGTGGTCTTCGGTCGGTCGCTTCTCCGTCGAAACGTGTAGTTCGACAGTCATATGAATCCCCCCTTCCTCAGGATCCCCACTGTCGAGGATAAGCTCTTCGCTGGGCGTCCGTTTGGGTTGCGGTGCCGCCGACGTGGTGGATTTGAGCTGCGAACGCGGATCCCTCGACCAGGACTGCAGCGCATAGCTTCGGCCATTATATCCTTTCGGGCCACTGTACGATCGGAAGTCGCGCACGGCTCCTTTGAGTAGGGGGGCGAGGAAGGGCACGCAAGTCACAATGTTCTGCACATATTAGCATGGTTCGGTGGCTGGTTATGGCGACCTACCCCGACGTTGAACTCGATGGTGCCCCATAGGACGAGGAGGGAAGAATTCCCATCTCCGTATGCCACGCGATAGATCTGCGTGAGGCGCAGAATCGAGCAGATGGTGGTGAACAGGCCCAGCAGGAACAGACAGACAATGCCCGCTTTCTGGGCGGGCTTGATGTTCAGTTGAAGTAACAACGGGATTGGCAGACAGATGATCACTATATCGCAGATGATACTGAAGATGGCCAGCCCATAAAAGGTCGGTCCTGCCGGTAGACAAGACCCAGAGATTGTCAAGTCCCAGGCGCGGTTAATCTTTGCGTCGTCAGATTCTTAATACGTGGGGAGCAAGGGGTGTCTTACTGGGTGGCAATCGAAGATTAAGACTAAGGTGCCAGCAAAATGGCCTAAAGTGCTTATGGCAATCACCACGTATATGAGGATTCGATAATACGTCTTGGAAGTCCCGGAGAGCAATCGCAGGTAATTGAGGCACAGCGAGGCTTTGAACCCGGCAATCCCAAGCTGGTAGAACGGGCGACCGGCATAGTTGAGCTGACCTGTCAGCTCCCTTCAAATATAGTTTTTCTGAAGGGCATACCTTGGTGTAATTCGGCAAGTCCGCCTTTGGGCGCAGCTTCAAGGGTAATCCAAGTCCGTATCTGGTTTGGGCGATACAAAGGGAACTGTAGATGATGCTGAACCACATGGTCACCAGCATCACATAGTCGGACGCTTCCAAGCGGCGGGCTTGGAATCGAATCGCTAATCGCAGACAGACAGTGATGATCATCAACAGCGTCAGACTCAGACACACCCCGAGGATCAGGCGGTATTGCGACACGGCCTCGAGCTCAGGCGAGGCATGGTGCACCCAGCCCATGATCGCAGTACCTGGAGAGATTCAGACACTGGATAAGAGACATGAGAGCGAGGAAACGAGGATATCATGCATTGTGGCAATGTGAGACACATTGCGACCTCGGATTCGCGCGGGACACATGGCGAAGCCCTACAGCCAGGGGCGTAGACCTGATCCTGAAGACAAGAATAGGGTTCGAACCAACATCCTTCGGGATTAACATTTGGGCCAAGGCCGGAGTAAATTGCGACAAACCAGAGTGGATTCGCAATCAAATGATCGGGGTCGGGGCAGAATCTTGTTCGCCCTAACCCTGGCTAGCGTCGACTGAGAGCAGCCTATCTGCCCTCTCCAATCTGCAGGTCTCTGCAGATGAAGTGGCCATACATTAGTGAGCACGTTATCTTGACTAATATATCTACCGGGACCCAATGGTACCTGCCGCCAACCCGTTGTTCGTCTTGCCTGCATGATCTTGCAGCAACCCCTTCCCGGTTTCCTCCCCTAGCTGCATCTTTTCTTTCACCTTCGAGTCGACTTTCTTTTCTCCTCGCTGTACGAAGTACACAGATTTGCATTGTGACATGGAGGAGAAAAACCCAGAAGCCTTTTCCCAGGCGCTGCCTGCAGATCGCACCGATGATGCCGTGCAATACCTCCAGGGACATGAGGGCCCCGACACCTCCCAGGTCGATTTCCGGGCTCTACGTCGGAAAATTGATTGGCAGCTCATGCCTTTCATGTTTAGTTGCTACGTTCTTCAATTCTTGGACAAAGTCATGCTCAACTATGCCGCCGTGATGGGAATGAAAGCAGAGTTGCATCTCGTGGGGAATCAATTTTCCAATACAGCCTCGTGGTTTTTCATCGCCTATCTGATTGCCGAGGCACCCAACAGTAAGCCCCAACTGCTCGTCACCCTCATCAACAGATATGCTAACCTTCTCAGTCTACTGTCTCCAGAAAGTGCCCGCAGCCAAGTGGCTCGGAATCAACGTCGCGCTATGGGGCGTGGCTGCTGCTGCGTCTGCAGGCGCCAAAAATTATGCGACTCTTCTCACAGCCCGTATTTTCCTGGGCATTTTCGAGGCGACCATCGGACCGTCGCTGATGCTCATCAGTTCCCAATACTACAACAAAAGCGAGCAGGCCCCGAGATTTACATGGTGGTACAACGGTCTCGGCGTGGCCCAGATCATCGGTGGCCTTGTGTCTTTTGGCTTCCAGCATGTGCATCACGGTGCCACAGTCTCCGGATGGCGAATCATGTTCATCGTCATCGGATGTCTGACCATCGTGGTCGGTGTCCTCACCCTGCTCTTCATCCCCGACACTCCCATGAAGGCCACATGGCTGTCCGAGCAAGAAAAGGTGGCTCTGCTGCAGCACGTCAGTATCAACCAGACCGGAGTCTGGAGCACAAAATTCAACTTTAAGCATCTACTGGAAGCTGTGCTTGACATCCAACTCTGGCTTCTGGTCCTGATCACCATTCTCGTAAGTCTCCCCCTCCCCTCCTCTCATGCACCAGACTAACCCACCTAGATCTCCGTCTCCAGCGGCGTCGTAACCACCTACTCCGCCACCCTGATCGCCGGCTTCGGCTACTCGGGCCCTATCTCCGCCCTCCTAAACATGCCCTCCGGCATCGTCAGTATCTTCTTCACCCTCCTGGTGGGCTTCGGCATCCGCAAAACCTCCCACCGCTGGGCCTGGAACGCCTTCTGCACCATCCCCGGCATCATCGGCGGCGCTCTCCTCTCCTTCCTCCCTAAGAGCAACAAAGCCGGCGTCCTGATTGGCATCTACCTCGTCAACGCCATCGTCGCCACCCTCCCCATCCTGTACCAATGGACCATGGCAAACTCCGCCGGCCACACCAAGCGCGCCTTCAGCAGTGCCCTAGTCGCGGGCTCTTTCTCCGTCGGAAACATCATCGGGCCTCAGACCTTCCAGGCCCGTGATGCGCCGGAGTATCGCCCAGCCAAGATTGCTGTTCTGGCTACTCAGGCCGCGGCGGCGGTGATGTCTGTCGTGTTGTTTGGGTATTATGTCTGGGAGAACCGGAGGAGGGATAAGCAGTATGGAAAAGTGGAGGATTCGATGGTGGATGAGGCCAAGTGGGCGGGTTTGACGGATAAGGAGAATACCAGGTTTCGTTATGTTTATTGATGTGGACATCAAAATCCTGATACTAATAGTTGATGGTGCTTGTTTTTGTTATTGATTGTTTCTGTTCACTCCGTAGATTTCCTTCTTCTCATTATATCCTTGTAAAAGCTGTATTAGTGCCGCATATACCTAAACCATTCACTTTCTCTATTGCCAGGCTTGCTCACAATACAAAGATCGACTGTATAAAGCCAGCTCCCAAGAACAAACCCTACAGCCCCCAACATCTCCCACCCCCTCCCCAGGAACCTCACACTCAAAATTCCCCCATCATCCATATCCCCAACCCCATCATACACCAACCGCAGCGGAAACCGACACAACTCCCTCGTCACCCACCTCCCACGCCCATTCACACCCCCGCAGGCAACCTCTCCGGCGGCAAATCCTCCTCCACCCACCTCACCAACGCCCCCAACGGATCAATCGGCCCAGGCCCATACCCACCCCCACAATGCCCTACCCCAGGAGCCAAAAACAGCCGATAGAAATCGTCTACATCCACCTCACCTTCACCCTCATCATAAAATTCAGCCTCAATCCTCTCTCTATACCGCACCGTCCCCATATACGGAATAATATCATCCGCTAACCCATGCCAAGAGAGTAACTTTCCGCCTGCGGCGTGGAAAGCGTGTAAATGGTGGGTGTCGGAGCCGAGGAGTTCATTGTACCGTGATATAGAGAGGAGAGCGGCGGTGTCGAAGGATGTGAAGTTCATGGTGGATATGTCGTAGGAGGGATCTTGGAAGATGAAGTTCTTGGTCCAGCCGATGGCGGGGAAGAAGGGGGTTATGGTGGTGTGGCCGGTTGTGGGGTTGGTGGTGGTGTTGGCGGTGCCCTGGAAGGAGGAGCCGGGAGGGAGGCCGTACCAGAGGGGTTGTTTTTTGGTGTCGTGGTTGGAGGAGAGGTGGGGGCCTTGGATTATTTGGTGGACGAGGGTGGCGTGGGTGGGGGTGATGGTTATGGTTGTGTTTGTGGGGGAGGTGATTTCGGGACATTGGATTGTTGTGTTGATGAGGGAGGTAGGGTTGAAGGTGCAGAGGGAGGGGTCGGGGTTGAGATCAGTCCGTCTGTGGCGCCGTCGAGCGGGTCGCATGTTTCGATGGCTGCGGATTGAAAAGCGCGGAAGATGCATTGGGGTGGGGTGATGGAGTTGAGCATTAGGATTGGGGCCCAGAAGAGGTAGGAGAAGAGATGGGGGAGGTTGATGGCGGGGCTGCCGGCTAGGATGCCGTCGAATAAGTCGGGGTAGAGGGCTGCGGCGAAATAGCCCTGACGGCCGCCGGTGGAGCAGCCGTTCCAGTAGGAGTATTTGGGCGGGGTGCCGTAGAAGGTTTGGGTGAGGGCTTTGCCGATCACGGTCATGTCGTGGATGGAGCGGTGGGCGTAGTTTTTTAGCAGGGCGGTGTTGAGGCTTCGGTCTGGACGGAGAGCCCAGGTTCCGGTTTGCGGGTCGATGGTGTTGTTTAGTGTGAGGCCGCCGTCGGTTGATGATACTGCGTAGCCTTGGGTGATGGCTGCGACTTGCGCGGGTCCGATGTATCCGGCTGCTAGTCCGCCGCCGCCGGTGGCTTGGAATCGGCTGTTCCAGTTGGTGAGGGGGAGCCATGTGGAGACGGTGACGATGTCGTCGTCTCCGGGGTGGGTTAGGGTGATGGTGATGTCGCAGAAGTTTGGGATGGGTTTGTCGTTGTCCTCTGGGTGGTGTGGGAAGCTGTAATTGTATCTTTCTTGGGAGTGGATGGAGAGGATGTCAATTCCGGGGACACTGTGTAGTGTCAGGCGGTTGCACGGTTGTTTTTGAGGGTGCCATGTTGAGGATAGCCATGCTATGACGTTTGTTACAAGGAAGAGAAGCATGATGGACTGCATGCAGGGTGTGGGGAAAGGGGTGGAGGAGGTTCGTTGCTCGGATAGACATCGGTAGCTCGGGTCATTTATAAGCAGCCGAGGCATGCCGGCCGACTGATCCGAGTATCATCCGGGGAGTGAGGCGGCCAATGAATTCGGGGCATAAGAGGAATGACATTCAAGTGTCACTTGGTTTCTATTGTCAGGGCCTTTTTCGGTTTCTTGCAGTCTGTTGTGAATTGTGATGGTGAATGAAGGAAGAGTTCGGCAAACTCAATGCGGGAGATCGCTATGGTGGAGAATTCAGATGAAAGTCAGAGTGGGTATGTAATTGTCGGCGTTGTCAAGAGCTTGAGTAGAAGTTTCAGCATTTTGGTTATAACCAGCCTATATCTGCGAAACACTACTTTATGCCTGCCCAGAGCAGACAGCAAACCGGATGGGAAAGACTTATCATAATCGCTGGGATAATCTCCATTCAGAGCAATTCAATTCCACAATAGCAGTGGCAGTAGTTCATTAACTTTATGTATCTGTTAGTGGTTGGGCTATTCCTTTCAAACGACCAAGGTATCTAAATTGGCATGGTGCTTCACCTTGATACCTCTTATCACAAGTCACAAACCCTACATTACGGCAGCTGAGCGGTTGTTGGGATATTTCTTTATCTACGCTTTCCTTTGTCCCAATCATGCTAGATCACCAACCATTGGACAATTCGGTATCTAAGAAAATTTAATTTTATGCTACTTCCACGAATGCTGCGCATGCTCTAATCATTGTACGGAGAAGACACCCGCGTATGATGCCTCATCTCGGGAAGTGGATACTACAGAGTAAGCAGAAGCAGGAGGTAAAAAAACAAAAAATGGAGCTGCGGGGAATCGAACCCCGGACCTCTCCCATGCTAAGGGAATATTATACCACTAAACCACAGCCCCATTTGTTGGAAGGCAGACTGCTTATTTTGTTACATGATGCCAGTACTACCAGACAGGCTCAGATAATCTGGTTGTTTGCACCAGTTCATACGATGGATGCATACCCTATGAGCGAACTGAGCAAGAATGAGGATGACTTGTTATAGCTCATACTAGAGTTACAGTAAAGTATTGTGGTTGGCTGAGAACTCAGCTAGCATGCAAAATCTTCATCTTTCCTAGCGGATATATATTTCCGACGGGGGTTATCACCATGCAAGGAGGTGGTACATAAAACATTACATTTCACCCGCAGATAATAGCAATTATTGCGTAAAACCAGAATAAGACCTCAATCAATCAGCAGGTCTTGTCAATAAAAAGTAACACACGAAGCAACACGTCGATCGGGCGTACAAGGACACGCTCTGACAAGTGGCAAACCTGCTACCTCCGAGACACTCTGTGTACCAACTCCGAGAGATGTGGTAGGACAGGGATGGTTACCAGAAATCTCGAGACGCGATCGCTAGTCCTGCGTCACACCAATTACAAGGCGGACAAGGGGTTATCGAGAGCTCATCGGAGGAGCTAATGCACCTCCATGCAGCACCGTCCGGATGGAATGTGGATGCAAGCCACAGAAGCCAATCAACAGCAGTATGAATATGCAATGACGGCACATACACCTCTTCCAGTAATACTATAAGTAGAGCCGGCTCAGCTGTTAATCTTTCTTTTCTATCACTAATTTAATTCTTTGCAGCCACCATGTCTGCTGCGCTGTTGACAGGATTTTTTGTCCTCTTGGCGGGTTTCTACATCGCCACTTTCTATGGCTGCAAGAGGCAGCAGTTGCCTCTTCCTCCTGGTCCTCGACGAAAGCCTATCATAGGCAACATATCTGACTTGCCTAATTCGACTGAGAAAGACTGGGAGTTTTGGCTCAAGCATAAGAAGCTTTATGGTAATAGTCCGGTCGTAAACACCGACACGTCACTAACTATTCTACATAGGCCCCATCAGCTCACTCAATGTCATGGGCCAAACCATCATCATCGTCAATGACGCCCGGCTAGCCGTGGAGCTGATGGAGAAGCGATCCGCAATCCACATATCGCGACCACATCAGACCTTTGCGGAAATGTAAGACGACTTCGGATTCCAACCAAGATGCCGAGAGAAGGTTGACTGTATTAGGGCGGGCTGGAAAGATAAAGTCCTAGGAGCAGTAACGGATATGGTGCAATTCCGACAAACGCGACGCAACCTACATCGCGAGATCGGATCCAACAAATCCGTCGCTCGCTTCAATGACATCCAGACGGCGGAGGTGGCTCGGTTCCTGATGAGGGTGTTGGATGCGCCGGACAAGCTGGTCCAGCATATACGGAAGTGGGTCAATAGCCCGATAGCCATGAAGGCGCGACTGATGACAACAGGGAGGCAGGGGCCATCATACTCAAGATCGGCTATGGCTACACGATTGAACCGCATGGTCGGGACCCCTTGGTCGATCTGGCCGACGTTGCAATGGAGACCTTCGGCGTAGCGATGCTGCCCGCTACTTGGGCGGTAGACTTCTTTCCTATCTGTAAGCTGACAGTCCATTTGATGGCCCGCCTGACTGTTTGCAGTGAGATACGTGCCCGCCTGGTTTCCTGGGGCGGGGTTCAAGAAGATCGCGCAAAGCTATAGGAAGACAGTGGCGGCATTCAGCGACATCCCGTACGGATTTGTCCAACAACAAATGCGAGATGGTTGCTTTGTGCCCTCTTTCCTATCCAATTTACTCCAAGCAGGTGCTCCAGAGCCAGGGTCGAAAGACGAAAATACCATTAAATGGTCAGCCGGATCGCTTTACGCAGGAGGGGCAGATACAACGGTATCTTCGATATCCAGCTTCTTCCTTGCAATGGCTCTGTTCCCCGAGGTGCAGCGCAAGGCTCAGGAGGAACTCGACGCAGTGATCGGGACGAATCGGTTGCCCCAGTACGAGCATCGGGAACAGCTGCCTTATACCCACGCGCTAGTCAAAGAGGTCCTCAGGTGGCATCCGGTAGTTCCGATGTCACTGGCGCACACGCCTATCAAGGATGATATAATCGAGGGTTATTCTATCCCGAAGGGAGCGACAGTTCTTGCCAACATTTGGTTAGTGTGGCTCGTCGGGTATGCTGTTGAGACTGACCAGTTACAGGGAATTTACCCACAACTCAGATGTCTACGCAGACCCCATGACTTTCAACCCAGATCGATTTCTGGCCTCCGAGGGGCATCTCCCAGAGCGGGATCCTCATCTGCTTGTATTTGGGTTTGGCCGGCGAGTCTGTCCTGGGCGCAATCTGGCTGACGTGAACGTTTTCCTCACCGTCGCACAATCACTGGCTGTCTTTGACATATCGAAGCCCATTGAAGGTGGGAAAATCAAGGATATCACTGCGGAGTTCCTTCCCGGGGTTATCAGTCATCCTGCCCCATTCAATGTGTCCATCCGCCCGCGGAGCCCAGCGCATCTGGAGCTGATTCGGGCACTAGAGCAGAAATACCCGTGGGAGAAGAGTAATGCGGAAGATCTGGGAAGTGTGCAGTATTAGTGAAACGCTGATAGAGATGAATTTTGCAGACGTCGATTCGACATGCCAAGTGCCGATAAGGACAACCTTGCTGAATGATGCTGAGATAGAGCGAGAAGAGATTATATTCATCTGTGATCTACCCAGATCTCTGTATATAATGTTACAAGTCTTCGATATGCGTACCTCCTGTTTTTGCATTCACATTGGCACCTCGACCGAAAAGGAGCCGTATGCCATCAATTCTTGGCATTCTCCTTCTTGGTATTTAAGCCGAGGCCTTCCATTAACCATTCATCAAACAAGAGATCCGTGGCCGACGGCCGATCCTCAGCATTCCACTGCAAGGCCGCCCGAAGCCACCGGAAGAATCCCTCTTTATCTTTTCCTCGGATGTCAGCACCCAGGCTTTCCAAGGAGATGTCCGGGATTGGCGCCAAGTCCTTCCAGTTACCTAGAATAATTAGAAGGTCCTGATAATTTGGGTATCGGATCTTACCCTGTTCATCCCAAAAGACGTAGGCCAGCTTGCACCGTTCGCGAAATTCAGCCGGCGGAGGACCCAAGAGCGCTATCATCTCAGCAACATGAACTCGATCATCGAAAATACCGTCTGGATTTTTGCCGTTGAAAATGTGGCGGGAGCATACAATGTCCCAGGCCTTTGAGTATCAGCATCAATGAAAAGCCTAGTTCATTGTAGTTCATTGCAGTTTCTAACTCTGGGCAGATCAAGAGATGAGTGCACTTACCACCATTGCAACATTCCAGATATCTACCTTGTAGTCCCAGCTCTCTTTAAAAACGACCTCGGGAGCCCTGTACATGTTTGGCATGATATCCGCATTATTCTCAACATCACCAAATCGGGCTTCGCCAAAGTCACTTAAAAGGGGTAACCCATCCCCACCAGCGTTGTAAATGGTGGATAAGTATATTGTTCGGTCTTTAAGCACTTTTCTAGGTGATGGAGCGTTGACCTCTCGTTCCTCGAGGCTTGAAAGTTTCTTGATATCTGTAACCGGTAGAAGCATATTTTTCAACTGAAGATCTATCTTAGATTAGCCTTATAATTTAGCTCTTATAGAACTAAGCCCTTTACTAACCTGTATGAATGATATGAGCCGCAGAGTGCAAGAAATCTAAGCCAATAAGCAACTGCCTGATACAAGGCTTCATTTCCTCGAGAGTCATAAGTTTCCCTGGAATGTATTTTTGTAAGAGCGTATCTGCACTCATTCCTAAAGGCTGATGAACAAGACAGATATGTTGGCCATGAGGTCCCTCAATCGAGAAATGGTCAAGCAGTTTTCGGATAAAGTCCTTTCCTGGATGATGGGCTTCCACGGCATCCATGCGCTTGTAAATCTCCAGCTCATGATTCCGGTTTTGGCCCGTGACATAGATCTTTAAGACCACATATTTCGAGTCGCTTATTTCCATATAGTGTTAGCACCATCTGGAGGGTTCGAAGGGCACTAGTACACATACCAGAGATCGCGACCCAACCACACTGTTGACGTGACCCCATAACCTAACTTGGCAAGAACTTGATACTTGTTATGTAATACCTCTCCCTGTTGCACCGGGTAGTACTTTTCCGGTTCGTAGGTTGGAAGGGTTTCTTCCTCAATCTCCGCGGATTGCTCAAAGAGGGGGAGATCAGAGGTAGGGAACTCTCTCAAGGGGGTCGTCCATTCTGAGGAGGTCATGGTTCGATATGGCACGCGTGGAAGTGAAAAGAGGGAATGCCGGAGAGGAATAAGTGAAACTGGACGTGAGCTGGAGAAAGAAGGGATACCTATCCGGCGAGCGCATCGTGCGGTTCGAGTGATCATGATGATGGCGCCAATGGCTCTCGGGCGGCTAGGAGAGAAAGGTAAACATGATGGAGCTGGAGAGCGCGAGATCCATTCCGACGGGGAGCCCCGAGCGGGGGGGATGACCCGCTATCCCTCTTCGGACATGTATATCTTATATAAGCGGAACGCATGTTAGTTAACTGAAAATTGTACAACACAAGACTCCTATGATTGGCTTACTGCCTAGGCAGCAGCCTCGCGCATATGCGAGTTTGGTCTGGCAGCCTGATGGACGGCTGAGAGTCATTCATGCATGGGACGTACATCCCATACGACTGAAACCAAATGAACGCCCTGGTTGTGAACAGGGCGCCTACGGAATCATTCAATCCCTAAATATAGTGTCTAACCGCCGTCCAGCAAAATGGAAGGATCAGCCGCCTGTCTTGTGACGGTCCTCGAGCACCAATCGTAGCGATTGGAGAGATGGCGCATGCTCAGCCGTCTGACCACGGCGCGCGATTGAGTGGCTATCAGAGTCTTGAAGCAATACCATGGTCTTGTGCTAATAAACCACATTGTTTCAGCCTCGCGGAACAACGTAGCGGTTCAATGTGGCCACAGCATGCTAGCAGCCAGAATGCTAGCATATAAACCTCCTCAGATTCCTCGAATGTAGCCCTTCTCTTCTCTCTTCTGACTATATTACCGAATCCTTCACTCCCGAGTTCCAAGTTCTAATATTTCGATTTCTGTCTTATACCCCGTCGAGCATTCAACCTTCGCCATGAGCCGTAACGTCATCAGAGGCTTCCAAACTTCCACCGCAGCTGCTATTCAGCAGATAGGTGCAGAGCTCATGCAGGTCTGAAACATCAATGGACCCAACGGTGCTCGCTGGTTGGAGTCGACTAGATCTGTCTGCGACGCAGTTGAGAGAGCAGTAGGTCCAACTAACAACCCGATGCTTGGAACATTCAGCTGACGAACATTTAGAATCCCCGAATTGTGGCTGCGGATATTCAGTAAGCAAACAAATTCCACTGTTGATTCATTCGAGTCGTCACTAATACTTCCTGAAGGGGTGCCAAGGCCCACATATCCTCTAAGGACACGAGCGACCCCGAGGAGGTTATCACGGTGGGGCTGCAGACACAGGGAGGACTACGTGTCGGCACGCTTCATATTCATTTGAGTGGTTCTTTCAAGTTCTTCGCATCTCGTGCTGGTCGGGAGGTGATTATGGCACCACAATTGCCCAGGCTAATATCCCAGGCTACCTTGCTGGTGAGGATGATCCGTGGGCCAAGGCCTCTCCCGCAAAGAAATGAGCCTGGATCCCTGCCTGATCGAGTTCTGACATCTGTCATCTTGCTGTTTTGTGTTCGTTTTATATCGTGTGCCTGAATGCGTGTCATTATTGATTTCTGTACCAGCTAGAAGTCTGAACAATGTATACTTTCCTCTGGTAAATCGAGATAGCACCCACGGTGATGGGAATAATCTAGAGCATGCTTTCACACCGGTGGAATGTCATGTATCCCGGGCGAGCACACTGTGTGGTTTGGCGTCTCATGGTGGCCTTGGAACACAGTAAATGTAGTCGGGAGCTCCGATCATGGCGCGATCCGCAATCCACCGCGGAGGGGACGCTAGGCCGGAACTGGACAAGCCGGGTTCCCTCCACATAAGTTATGTATGCAACACAACGATGCATACTCTTAGTCATCTGCATCCATCATTTCCCAACATTTCACAAGCCAATGTGCGAGAAGCGAAACGAAACTGCCGGACCAGGTTTATCATAATTAGTGCTGTATATTGGGGTAAAGATGTTCATATTCGTCCTGTTATGTGGAGTGAAAAATAACAGGAAGCATCTCATTCAAGGTTTCCAGAATAGTATACTCGAAATGCTACAGAGTTAAGCAATTCGTGGTATACACAGCAAACCCGTTATAATCAATTTTGATGCGCGAATTAAAAACGCAGCAATCATGACTCTAATCTTGGCAGACCCAGTGGGGCCAAATTGGCGTCCGGGAATCTCGATCCATCGGCCCATTCATGCCGCGCTTCAAGTGGGATGATTCCAAGGCTTCTCATCCCCAACAGAATGGGCCAACAACCCCGACCCAACAAAATAATGTCAGCCCGGGGTTGCGGCTCGGCGGGGACGTTGTCCCTTTCTTCCGATATTCCTGTGCATGTTTTCTTTTCTTATATCATCGGAAACTGCTTTGGAGGACATAAAAGTCTCCTTTAACCCTGATCCAACAACTGACACGCACTGGACCGAATGGCGGCCTCTACATCCCCCGTGGCTGGACCAGGCGCCACCCGGAAATCCAAGCCTCACATCACAGAAACCCCCATAACATGGGCAAACTGGTACCAACATGTCAACTGGCTTAATGTCTACTTTATCATCATGGTCCCACTCATGGGCTTTGTCGCGGCCTCTTTCTATCCCCTACAGCGCGCCACAGCCGCCTTTGCCGTTCTCTACTACTTTAACACCGGACTAGGCATTACAGCAGGTGCGTCCATCGACATTTTTTTGCAGTCAGCGAGCAAATTGCTGACTCCCAACAGGCTATCATCGTCTCTGGGCCCATACCTCCTACCGAGCATCAACCCCTCTCAAAATCTATCTCGCAGCCGTCGGCGTCGGCGCCGTCCAGGGCTCTATCCGATGGTGGTCGAGAGGCCACCGCGCCCATCACCGTTATACCGACACCGAAAAGGACCCCTATTCAGTGCGCAAGGGCTTCTGGTATTCCCACATCGGCTGGATGGTGATGAAGCAGAACCCCAAGAACATCGGGCGCTCCGATATCACCGACCTGAACGAAGACCCGATCGTGATCTGGCAGCATCGCCACTACGTCAAGCTGGTTCTATTCATGGGCCTCATCTTCCCTACTCTGGTATGCGGCCTCTGCTGGGGCGATTGGGCGGGTGGTTTCATTTACGCAGGAATTCTCCGCGCGACGTTTGTGCAACAAGCCACATTCTGTGTCAACTCTTTGGCCCACTGGTTGGGAGACCAGCCTTTTGACGATCGCAACTCCCCTCGTGACCATGTCATCACCGCTCTAGTAACATTGGGCGAAGGATATCACAATTTCCACCACGAGTTCCCGTCCGACTACCGCAACGCTATCGAATGGTGGCAGTACGACCCGACCAAATGGGCTATCTGGACATGGAAGCAGCTCGGCCTGGCACATGACCTCAAGGAATTCAAGGCCAACGAAATCGAAAAGGGCAGACTCCAGCAGCAGCAAAAGAAGCTGGACATCAGGTCGTCTCAACTGGACTGGGGTACCCCGATTTCCCAGCTGCCTGTCATGACCTGGGATGACTTCAAAATCGAAGCTGCAAAGGCTGACGGCAGGGCCCTGGTAGCCATCGCCGGTGTCGTTCACGACGTGGCCAACTTCATCAAACAACACCCCGGTGGCAAGGCCTTCATCTCCTCGGCTATTGGCAAGGACGCGACGGCCACTTTCAACGGCGGTGTCTATCGGCATTCCAACGCTGCGCACAATCTGCTTTCTACCATGCGTGTGGGTGTCATCTACGGAGGTGGTGAGGTGGAGATCTGGAAGCGTGATTACACCGAGAAGCAGAACAACTTCATCATGCAAGACAGTAAGGACCAACCTATTGTACGAGCCGGTGAGCAGGTAACGAAGATTGCTCCCCCGCAGAACAGCCCCATGGCGGCTTAGATTTTTATGTTAGGAGGGTGAAGCATTTACAAGATAGATTCATGTATTTCAGGTTTGTATTTAGTTTTGGTCGCTACAAATATAACATCATGACCTACTCCTTTACAGACCGTAAGCCATAACAGACACCGGGTTGGCTGCTGCTCTATGCACTCCTCTATTTACCACAACATTAGATTAAACCAGCATTGGACCTGCCAAAAGTACCTCAATCTAATACATAATCATGACTAGCAGCAATCATATTCAACTAGTTGAGATATACCGAGCTGCGAATGCTATAAAGAAATTCTGTAGGACATTTGCATCTGCCAGCCACCCCAAAATTTCACAAAATAGTACAAAGGCACTGACTCAGCATCGATTTCCTCCTTAACTATAACCAGTCCCAATCAAGCATAACCAAGTTATATTAAACGGGGTCGGCGCAATTGACGATGTATGTCCTCCACCACCCGCCTAGAAGTAACCCCACGCACCTTCAATGAATTTGATTTCAACTAAAGGGAAGCGCCTACAGGGGATGTTATAGGATTTTCTTCCCTTTAGAGCGGAGGTTATACCTTGTTAGTAATTGAGGGGGGGGGGGTTATGATGCACTCTCCCAGATTTCATGGCTTGGTGCATTTTCTCTCTTGGGGAATATAATAGAATACTACATATCCGATATTCTACAGCAATATTCAAGAACGATAAGGACTATATCTTCATTGCCCAGGGAAATGCCCTTAATTCATTCATATCTTGATTAAGAGTGTTGGAAATCTGCCACTGCGAGGAGGGGATTTCCGTATAAATTTTCATTACCCGATAGAAAAGACGCAATGCACGAGATATCATCATAGAAATTACCTCTTAAACATTATAATCAACGACAAAAGTCAAACCATAATTCCGACCACAGTATACTTCAAGCCCTAGAAAAAGGTATAAGTAAGACTTACCAATTCCGCCGTCTCATCTTCACTAATCCCCCCCATCTCCAACCATGACATTCCCCAATACCGACACGACCGAAGACTACGACTTCTCCCCCGCGGCATTCATGTGCCGCCGTCTCCGGGAGATCTTCCCCGACCGGCTATTTTCCTCCGGCCGCATGGATTTCATCGTCATTCGGTTCGACACGCCCATGGACAATGGCCAGAAGACGTATGTTGCGGTTGTACGTTCCGCGGAACATAAAAGCTTCTTGAAGTATCTGACTTGCGATAATATTGCGAGCTGTGAGTATGAGAAGATTCTGACTAGGGAGATGCAGAAAACGGTTTGTAGGAGGAGGGGAGTACCGATGTATGGGATGACTGAGTGTGATAATATTGTGAGGTTCTATAGATGGAAGTATGAGGAAGAGTGGGAAAAGGGGAGATTGGAGTTGATTGAGAGGGGGGGACGGACGGAGTTTAATTTTGAGGTTGGGAAGGAGTATGATGAGGCGTTGGAGGTGTTGGAGGGTATTAAGGTGGATGTTATGGGGACTTTTTTTTATTATTAGGGGATTGGTGGGTCGTTGATTACGATGGATGATGATGGCTTGATAGGAATACGCTATTTGGTATTGAATTTGTGGCTTTGTAGGATGTTAGGGTTAAATATCGTTGTAGAGTTAATGGTAGAATCCTCTGTCTATTCCGATGGTTTTCGCTGTTAGGTATTGAAAGACTTGATCGCTGTTCTAGGATTGCAATAAAGGATGTCAGTTATTATGCGGCATCTTTAGAGTACATGTATAGAATCCTCCCGTATCATAGACTTTCAGACTCGCTATGTTTGACCGAATGGTCGGATTATTCCGATAAATAGGAAGCTTACCAGTATGAAGATCTATTCGACTGCCATTTTACAGCTATGTTCAGGCACAAACAAAGTCTTTACCTTATTGGCCAAGGGCATGTCCTTTAATCATTCATCATGTGACCAGGGGGCTTAGGAACCTGACCACTGGGAAGAGCGGGTTTCCGTATAAGTCGTCATCAACCGATGATAGAAGGCGAAAATTTCGCCCGAGCCGAAAGTCAAAAGCAGGATGTGAGGAGATTCATGGGAAAGAAACAAAGGGAGAGGAGGGGATAATAAATGAACATGTAATAAAGCGGGTAGGAGGTGAATGAAATCTCCGCCGTATGTTCAATTTGGGAAGGAACAATAAATCTCTCTCTCTCTATAAATTTGATCCAGCCGTTTCATTTTTCTTTTCTGAGTTGTGTCACCTACAGATCTTCACAACCGCAAGACAGATATTGCGTTATACGTGGTAAGATCACTAAATTAAATCGTTTCTTGTTATGCCACTAACCACAACTACAGTCCCTTCACCCACTCATTGAACACAATGGATGGCCCTCCGATGAACAATTCTGGCACTGGCAAGCTCCAGGTTCCAGGCTTTGGGGATCTGAGAGTATATCATGAGGTGGATCCTCGCCGTCCTTTGCGTAGCTGTTGCCGATCCGAGAGGGATGTAACACAATCATCAGAGGATACAGAGGATAATCACCGCTTTGATATTGCTTTGGCCCAGTTCTGTTACGGCTACCGGCTTACAATATGCGAGGTCTACATGCTGCGTTTAATGGAACTAGTGACCGAGAAGCCAAATTGGGAACATAATGTGTTCGATGAGCACCTTGTCGCCCAGTGGTACACCGAGTTCTGCGACTTGAAGATGCAATCGCAATCAAAGCCCGACAGCGAGGTCGACATGGACCTCGTTTCTCCCCGAGCATGGGAATGATGCATTGCGGAGCTACGAGATAAAGCTATTGTTTTCCAAAAGACAGGTCATGTGCTTACTTTCAATGCCGATTCCGGAGCTTGCAAGTCGGACGCCCTGGTTGGGATGGAGAATGAATTGCAGGAAGCCTTTAAACCATTGCTGGACTCAGCCCCCCCTGCATCAACCATTACAAGTCCGGTTCGGGAGCTGGTTGACCCGTCGCTTTTTATGCTGATCTATGGTCGCACTCCTGTTCTTACTGAGGGAGGGCAAGTTACCATGACTGATGGAAATATATCATACCCCACTAACGTCCCAATTGCACCCAATCCAATGGAACCATACCTCAGCATGACGGGCATAACGGCGGATGATATGAAACCGGAGTACTGCTGGACCAACAAATTTCAGTGGTTACCTTGTGAAGTCCAATTCACTGGGCGGGAGACAGAAGTGCGGATTACTTCATACATCAATAACCTTCATCCCAAAAACAGACGGGCCTATACTGCGATCGAGAAGCTGATTTCCACCAGCATAGAGCCATGGAACCAGGTTGTTAAGAAAGTCCATGGTCGCTATCCGCCGCGCATACGGTCGTACGAGTACGAAGCCAATGATCTGGGTGATGAGTCCCGGGACGCAGATCCTTTCGTCTACAAATGTAGGCTGCCAAACAAGAGGTGGACCAAAGAGACCTGGGCAGCTTACCTTGTCAGAGCAAGGGAGTATTTTGCTCTACCCAGACCTGATTTAAAGTAATGTGTCGAATATCCTGATCCTTTCGAGGAGGCGGATCTATCAGAGTTTACCGTCCCGGACACAACACCAGACACAAGGCAAGAGGCCCGGTTTAAACAGGTTTATAACTGGAAAAGGTCAAATCTCCGGACATTCAAATATCCAGAGGCAGGCAGCTCATTTTCGTACGAAGATTGGAAGCAAGGCAAGATATCCAGCAGTTACATTCTGAAGAACCATTTGTACTCGATGGACAATGACAATCCAGACAATGACCATCCAGATAATGGATATAGCGGCATTTGTTACGTCACAGATAGCGATCATAGCTATCAGTCCTACTCTGTACAGGACAAGTTCCGGGAAAAGGGATTGCAGGTGATTGTCCGGATATCCAGTGTCGAACTTACCCCAGAAAACCCACATCATTGCGGCGAGGATGACTTTTCTCTCTCGAGGTTGATGAACGAGCACATCGTGTGTATGTCGCGATACTACTACGACGTGGAGAATCTCACCCCGGCTTGGATCTCCTTTCAACAACAGGATACCATCGAGTCGACGCCGGCTTTCGATCCCGAGAGCCATGCCAATCGGCAGATATTTGGCTTTTCGCCCATCAAGAAACAATCTGCAGACCAGGTAACTCCTGAAGAGAAAGGCATTCCTCGGAAACTCCAAATACTCGGCTCGGTTTCAGCCCACAAAGGCCGGCTCCTCGTCTGGCCAAACACCCTCCGATCCAGGACCCATCCCTTCTCATTAAAGGACAAGACCTGTCCCGGCCATCAAAGATATATCACCATCTGGCTCGTTGACTCCGTTTATCGCATTTGCTCGACACGAAACGTGCCCGCACAACAGAATCACTGGTGGCGCGAAGCAATGCAGCCTCATATGCCACACCTGCCTCCTGAGCTGATGCAGATGATCATGGAAGAGACAGGGCCCTGGCCGATGGGAATGACCGAAGCGAAGAAATGGAAAACGGAGTCAGACGCGGAACGGGATAAAGCTGGGAAAGCGCAGTCTCAGAGTGTGCCGTATTATAATTTCTGGCACCCCCGGGGCTTTAACACAAACCGTGTCTCCCGTAGTTCTACATGGGGTCTATAATCTTAGCCTCACTTAGGGACTGGATTTGGATTATCACATATAAGATGGCATTCTCATTCGTTTGCTTTGTACTTGATGTGTTTTCGACTGCGCACAGAATGCCACTTCTAGCTGGAAAGAGTGTACAGTGCAGGGCTTTGGCTCTCGTCTGCTACTATGTTTTCCTCCTTTAGTCTGGAAATAATATACAGTAATTTGCCATGTCAATGTCTCTGTGGCGTCAAACATGCCTTAGTAGAGTTTCTCAAGCTCTAAGTTAACCCATGGTATCTCTTATAGCTCGGAAACATCTTACCTCCGACCACGCCATGAACCGTCCACTGGTCTCGAATCTAATTTATCTTTATTCGGTATCCTATTAATTCCCTTCCATATACTATATAAAACATGGCAGTGTCGGGGCAACGTCAATCCGTTGCCCTGCTTGTATCTCCAAGTACCTCAATATGATGCATAGCATCCCAATCTTCTTAACATCGGATATCCCATGAAAATAAAAAAGAATGGGATCTCAGCTCTGCATTACGTGCTGTGTTCCCAAGAGTACAAAGCTGAAGTGAGTGGGGTTGCGGCGCACCCGTTACATCAAGTGGATAGCCCTAAGCGAATGATAAAGCTTAGACGGTGTCTAGCGTAGCACTACGCCACTCGCAAGGTTCAATTGGCCGGACAATTCATCATCCTTCAAGGCTGGATGAGGCTCAGCCTGACGTGAGATTTAAGCGGCTGTGTCTGGTTTCGACTGCATCGTTGTTATTGGTGAGGTGGGGGATACAGTCATTGCTGATTCGATCGTGCCTATTCGCATCAGCTGCCATGTACAAGTATCTTTAACCCTTATATTCTAGTTATACTCTATAATATGTCAGCAATACCCCGCTTAACCCAAGCTTAAATCACCCAATTCCCCCCCATCTACCTTCCATCCCTCCCAACCACCAATCCCCCAAAAATAATACCACAAAATGCCCCCCACAATCCTCTTCGTCCCCGGCTTCTGGGAAGGTCCTACCGTCTTCGACCCCATCTCCACCATCCTAACCGCCCACGGCTTCATTACCGAAACCGCCATCCTCCCTAGCACAGGCACCACATCCCCGGGTAACCCCAGCATGGCCGACGATATCGCGTCCGTGCGCGCCCATCTGCAGAAGATTGTCCAGCGCGGAGAAGAAGTCATCCTCGTGTTGCACTCCGCGGGCGGGTTCCTGGGCAGTGCGGCCATGGAGGGACTGGCGAAGGCGGATGTTGGGAGTGGTGGAGGAGTGGTTAAGATTGTGTTTCTTAGTGGGGCGGTGTTTCCGGTGGGGTTTGAACATCAGCCGTTGCCGTTTGGTGTCACTGAGGTGAGTTTTTTTAGATGTTTGGTTGGAAATGGAAATGTGACTGATGATGATTGTATAGGGTGGTGCGATGTACTGCGCTCAACCAGAGGTTCTTCTTCTAGATGATGTCCCGGAGCCCGAAAAGACGAAGTGGTTGGGTGTGTTGAAGCCGCAGCCGGCACAGGGATGGGATGGAATTGTGCCCTACGCTGGGTGGCAGGATGTGCCGAGTGTTTATCTGATTTGTGAAGGGGATAGGGCTCTTCCGGTGGGTCTTCAGGAGCAGTTGGCTGGGTTGGCGGGGAGTCAGGTTGAGAGGTGCAGTGCGGGACATTTGCCTCAGGTTAGTCAGCAGGAGAGGGTGGTGGAGGTGATTGAGGCTGCTGCTGTGGGGTTGTGAGGGTAATGGATGGTTGGGGGACGTCTATGGAGTGATGAGATTAAGTGCATGATATTCGGCGAGATGGATGAGAGGGGGCTGTAAAGTGCATCATTGCTAGCTGATCTAGACGAATGGTGGGTTTCCATGCATGGATACTAAACGCGAGATGTTCTCATTGATACATAAGTATTGAACATCAGTCTGAATCATCCGACTGAAGGGTTCTGCCGTTGATGGCGAGTAGTTCCACATTGCTGCAGGAGATGAGCAGGGTATAAACGTAGATTGGAGGTCACTTACAAGACAAGGCTGGAATTACCCGGGATGAATGGGGGTGCTCCCCTGTAAATACATCAGCATAGATTCTTTTAAAAGTTGATGATGGGCTTGGTATACATACCTCTCGCCATATCCATAATGCCTATCAGACAGAATTGGTCAGTAGATGTATGCAAAAAGACAAAGACAGAAGGGGAACATACGGGCCAAATGTAAGGTAAGCCTTCTCCCCCAAACTCATTCCCAGAATACCTACTTCCCATCCTAATCCTCATCAGTATACCAATAAACGCCCGAGGTAATTGACAAACCTTTGATAACCTGGCCCATTCCGATCTGGAATGTAAAAGGGAAGCCCCTTTTGATGCTGCTATCGAACCTAGATTAACAAGTAATTAGCTTCATTCCGACAATTCTTTTGAACACAGCAAACTGTAAACAGTGAACTGCAAACAAACGTGTCCGCGGAACATACCGACGCCCCCGATTCTTTGACCGCGTCGGATCATACAGATAACCGTGGTAATGCACGGTCACCATGTCCCCAGGTTTAGGGTAATCGACCCCATTCCCTGGGCGAATAATGTCTTTGATAAAATCGATGAGCCCCATTTTCGATGAAAGATTGTGGAGATTGCAGGGAGTTGAAAGGGAGGATGGAGACGGAAACCGGCACGTTCCACAACACGTGATGAGTTGGGCTCTCTCGGAGCGGAAGAATGTTGATGCGGCAGTATATTCTTTGTGGCTATATTCCAATTCAATCAGGTGAAAGGCATCGCACAAGGCATTGCATTATTCCCTGAATTCGTTGTTCCCGCTGACAGGGTGTTCTTTAGTTCTCAGGTTACACAAGGAGCCTTTGTGTCGAATTGGGGGTTAGTCAGGGATGTTCCGGTTATGTCGGGGGGAAATCCTCGGATATTCATTGTATTGCAGTAGTGCGTGCATGAGGTGTGGATTCAAGGCGCTGCTGGGAGCTGCTCAAACCTTAAGCAGAGGGCTATTGAATGGCATATAAGTAAGAGCAGTGAGGTCACTACATGGATAATCCTGGTTACATCTCAACTTCTCAGTTCTATCAACTCAACAGTCAAACTCTCTAAAACCAACATGACTGACCCACAGAGTTCTGAACGAAGAAAAACGGGCATGCTGCGCCCTGTTGTCTCCGGTCGCAAAAAGGCCTATCCCAAAAGCGAGCCCAATCGGAAAAAGCGTGCTACCACAATTGAAGCCCTCGTCGCTGAGAACCAGCTGCTGGCAGATGGGACTGACACGGGTGGTTCGTATTTCGCTGAATCTACTCCCATCGTGCTACACAATCCGTTCAGTTTGAATAGCACACAATTGAAAGATCCCCGATATAGCCTCATGGTGGAGCCCATCGTGCTGAGCGCGAACTCATCTCCTGTCCCTGGGAGGTATGGGATCGGCAAAAATTATAGCATCCCGTACAGCCCTAATCGTCGCTCACAGCGCATAGCTAATCAAGGAGGATCACCCAATTACGCCCGGATTGCGTTTCCAATGCGCCGCTTCAGGGTGGCGGCACCGAGAGTGGGTGAGAAGCCTGCAAAGGCTCCGATTCAACCCACACCGTCCACCTTGCCACAAACCCCTGCTGTCGTGCAGAACACAGACCTGCCCCCTGTATGGTTAAGTGAGCAGCAGATAGCTTCTTTCTGGAACCAGTGCCTTAGGGACTACCTCTCCTACGGGGAGGCGACAGATAAGGCCCATGCATACAACCTCCGAATTCGTTCAGATAACCTGGTTACTGAACAGCAAGCCAGCCCTATTGCGCAGTGTAGGAAATTTGGCACAGCCGACGACATAGGGTTTTTCAAACTGCAATTTCGAGATCTCTCGACAGTTGCAGATTTGGATTGTTGGAAACTGGGAGAAGTACTTCTGATTAAGCGGCTTCCTGCCGCTTATCAATATAAGAGTGATGGAACGGCAAAGGCAATTCACGGCGCAGTCGTGGTCGGAGAATATATACGGTTTTACAAAAGTTTGGAAGTGGGAAAGGTTTCAATTATCGAGTTCGAGAATCACCAGGATACTCTTCATATGGAGGCAAACTATCTTACTATAACCGAGCATTTAACTGCAATTAGGCAGGAGTGGACGCGCGAAAAGGCTGAGCCCGAGCCTGAGGAATGGATGACGTGGATTAATGAGGATTATTGGGAGTAGGGCATGTTGGGATATGATGCATTTTTTTGTCTACTGGTATAATTACTGTGCAATTGTCAATTTTTTGGATTTTTTGAAAGCTTGGGCCATTTCTTGAAGATGTCATGCATTCTGTAGCTCCTGATAAGATTAGAAAGCCCGCTAAGCCGTGGCTCGTATTCCGTTGACGCACGCCCTAATTTAGCGCTTGGCTGCTTCCGCTATTCCCTGGTTCGTATTCAGATCAGCCGGTGGACCGACTATACGACGTAGGTCACTGGAGACCTGCTTTGATCAGATACGAACTGATTGTGTAATTTTTTTTCATGTCACCAAGAAAACCTCGTCATAGCAGATTTTTTGACGAGTATAAGATGGAGCATGACCGTCTGAAAGCTGAGGTCTCCTTCCTTCTTTATTTTCGTAGCCTTAAGGAAAGACACAGTAACTGTCTGCATCTCATACCTCTATTTAGACACTCCCATCACTCCCGCTTCGTTGAAATCAGACATGGCCGACAGTGAATTCCCCCAGCCCATCTCCTTCACCAAAACCTGGCACTCCGAGCCCTACCCTTTCATCTCCCTCAACCGGTCGGAGCTGTCAGCATCTAGCAAAAACATTGTTGTTACAGGTGGTGCAACAGGTATCGGGAATGCCATCGCCATCGCGTTTGCCAAAGCAGGCGCCAAGTCCGTCTCTATCCTCGGACGACAACCGGAAAAACTACACCTCGGCGCAGCAAGCATCCTTAATGCCATCTCGTCAGGAACAAGCACACAGGTCCTGCATGAGACTGCTGACATTCTTGACCCAGTCCAACTCACTACCGCGCTCAAGTCCATTGTCAGCAAAGTGGGCAAGATCGATGTTTTCGTTGCCAACGCAGGCACTGTAGCAAAACCGGGACCCCTTGTTGATCAGAACATCGATCAATTTGTACTCGACATTGGGGAGGCCATTCGAGGTACCTTCAACTCCTTCCAGTGCTTTTTATCCGAGGCCGGACCCAGCCCAGTGTTTCTGAATACCTCATCGTGCCTGGCGAATGTTGCACCCACCCCCCGCTTGGGCGGATACGCCGTCGGAAAGGCAGCTTCTCTGAAAATGATGAACTATCTTTCTGCAGAGAATCCCCATGTGCATGTTGTCAACGTGCAGCCGGGATGGGTGGCTACTAGCCTCAACGGTTATCAAAAGGAGGCTCCCGACTCAGGTAAGTCTACTCATGATCTTCAATCTCAGCGAGAGGATGCTAACTTATGCAGCCGACCTCCCCGGCCAGTTCTACGTTTGGTTGGCTTCTCCCGAGGCACAGTTCCTCAAAGGCAAATTCGTCTGGGCCAATTGGGATGCGCAGGAGTTATTGCAAAGGGCAGAGGAAATCCAGAACTCGAAGCTGTTGAACTGGATCGTGGATGGTGTTCCAATGTGAAAGCTGTTGCTACTAGTTTGAATGAAATGAGGTTATCTGTGTGTTTACGTGTCGGGTTCTGGCTCGGGCATCCTTCGCGCTGCCAAGCGAGCCGGCTCACCACTTTTCTCTATCCGGTTTAATGGCGCTTGATGCCGCGATCGTGCTTACGCTGGTGCCACTTAAAGCCAGACCTCTTCTACCCCTCATATCCTGAAGTGGCACATTCGGAGCAGACATCATGGTGGAAGCCCAATTCCAAGTCGTGGATATGACCGTGTCGAAGCCGCGTCTGCGCAGACACCACAGGAAATCTCGTCTCGGATGTAGTAACTGCAAACTGCGACGCGTCAAGGTATGATGAATCCCTGCTGACATGCACATGACTCACACATGACATGAGGTAGTGCGACGAAGCAAAGCCCGGTTGCAAGAGGTGTCGTTGGTATGGGGTCGTTTGCAGCTATGCCCAGAGTAATGGAGATCTTCAGATATCGCAGGAGCTTGAACTTCCGATGCCTGCCAGTGCAGATACAATGACTGTTCTGGAGCTTGATAAAACCTGTGTGAACTGGTTGAAGTGGTTTCAATGGGCGCAGACAAGTGTGACTATCATGAATGTACCCCAGGATGATATCTTGAGATTGGCACGCTCGGTATGTACTCCGGGACAGAATGTGTGATAATATTACTGCTAACGACCTGAAGCACCCGTTCCTAATGCATATGGTTCTTACAATTTCATCTATTCATCATCGCCATCTAAGCCTGTCGGAATCGGAACATCTACGCACGTTTGAAGCCCATCATACCTCCCAATGTGTCAAGCTACTCAGTCAGAAGATCGCCCAGCCAATTCCACAAGAGGAACGAGACGCAGTATGGATCGGTGCTACTTTCCTCGGCATCGTCGTCTTCTCCTCTCTATCCGCCACCACCGCCGAAGAAGTCTGGCCGCTCAAATCAGACTCCTCCGACCTGGAGTGGGTGCGCATGACCAGGAACAAAATGTCACTCTGGACTCTGATCGACCCGCTACGAAAGGACGGTCTCTTCCGGGGCATGGTAGGTGAATATGAGGAAATGTTCGAGCCGACAGCAACCGATCTCACAGTTCCAGAACCAATGGCTCGCATATGCCATTTGGATCAATCCTCGACAGCCGAGAACAATCCGTACTTTACTGCCCTTCATACACTGGTTCCGCTTTGGGATCGATCGTTTGAAGAACAGTCGAGAGCTAGTGTTCTCGCGTTCCCTAGTCAAATGACGCCAGCTTTTCGAAACCTGCTTCATGAAAAGGATCCGGTCGCTTTGCTGCTCCTAGCTCTGTGGTATGATATTTCAGGCCAGGTTATTTGGTGGAGTCGACAGCGCGCAACTGTCGAATTGCAGTCTATTTGTTTGTATATCCAGCGGTATCATCCTGATTTAGAGCATTTGTTGCCTTGAGTGGATACTAGGCATGTATGGGTTAACTTGTCAGCGTTATTTACTGGTACAGATGGACATATGGAAATATGAGAGTTTCAGAGGGATAGAAAATGGTAGAACCCCCCCGGTCACCAAGTCGGCTACCTCGACCTTGTGTCATTAAGGAAATAGAGAAGTGCCGCAGAAGCTTCACTTTGCCTTGCTCCCTGCTCTTGGAACCCGGATCAATGCATCATATATAGCCGAGCTTCATGATGTCATAGAAGCTTGACTGATGATGATTTCATAACTTACTATACATGGTCGATGAGTTCTATGTCATCGGGTGCGTTTCAGCGATGATTACCCGATGAAACAACGGAGAGTAATTCTGACTGGTGAGGTACTAATAAGGATGTAATTCTTACGGCTATAGATGGGATAGAGAATTATCGGGCTATTTATTGGTTATCAGAACGGGAAGAAATTACTCAGGTTTGAGTTTCATGATAGTGATGCGGTATAGGTCACCAATGTAATCAACACCATCCAGCGAGGCATATAGTAGAATTAACCAGTACTTTTATCCAACCAACCAACTAAACTAAACCCTTTCTTAGTCCAGAAACATTCAAAAATCTTACCCACTCTCCGCCCTCTTCTTCGCCCCCGGAAACAACTCCCACGCATTCCCCCCAATAGTCCCAACCTGAACGCCCGTATTGCGCTCAAAATCCACCACATCCTGCTTATTCCGCATCATCGTATCAATTGTCGAACAAGGAGCCCCGCAATCAGACCCATACAAGCAATGCTTCACCCCCACCATTCGCTCCGCAGCCGGCAACCCCGTCAACGCCGTGCCTCCCGTATCAATAAACAATCGACCCAGTTGCGTTTCCATCTCCTCCACAGTGATATTCTCCGGATTCGATACCCAGCTCTCAGTCCCTAGACGCAGAATCCTCCCATATAAACCCGGAAACGCACCCGCACAATGACTAAAAATGACTTTGATATCGGGATACCGCTTAAACCACCCCGTATATAACATATCCGTTAACGTTCGGGCCGTTTCAAATGTAACTTCAATGAGAGAGCCGGGTCGGTCGCGGAACTGGGGCACGTAGGCGTCTGGGTGGATGTATAGGACTGCTTTCAGGGTATTGAGTTTGCTCCACACGGGGTCGAGACTTCTATCACTGAGGTAGACTTTGTTATGGCATGGGTGCACGGCGAATCCGTCCGGGGGGGTGGAGTATTTCAATGTTCGGTCGATTTCCTCGAGACACGCATGGGGAATGTCGGTGGGAAGGGCAGCGAAGAGACCGAATCGGTTGGGGTGGTTGTTGATGATTGAGGCCCCGAAGTCGTTGGCTTGGCGGAGGCCGTCGAGGGTTGAGGGCACGTTGGATAGCATTTGCATGGTCACGCCCATTTTGTCGGTGTTGGTGAGGGATTCCTCGACGGACCATTTTAGACGGTCTGCGGTTGTGATGAAGCGGAGGTCGTCGGTTAGTTCTTTGGCGGCGGCTTCGCGTTCTGCGGCCGTGGAGGGCACGGCGAAGTGTCCGTGGACGTCGAGCCAGCCGGTTGGCATGGTGGTGGTGGTGTGGTGATTGGTTTGGGGGGGATGGGGTTGAGACTAGGGTTGTTGTTGGGAGTGGAGGTGTGGTTTGGGGAGAGGGGTAGATAGATGTATGGGGATATGCAATGCAATGGAATGAAAGGGGAATGCATCGGCGTGGAATGTAAGATTGGTTATTAATGTTGATCTAGGGCTAGCATTGGCTATGACGACACACAGGTGCTCCGAATGCGTCGACCGGCTTCCGAATTCGGGGGTCCATGATTCATGGCCCGCCTGACATGCAAGGGTTGGGAGATAGTCTCAAGATCACATTCTTGAGGATCTGACCATGAGATACCGTCCAGTCCAATCATTAAGCTGTCATGTTAGGTGTCCTGTGGCAATTGAAATCTGTGGAGCATACGGGGTACTCCGACTGTAACATGACTGGCTGGAGCATCAGGAATACGATCACCTGGACAATGGCTTTTTAATTGATCTACACAGATCGCTGACTTACCCCAGCTTCCTTGCTTTTCTCACACATGAGGCAGCACCCCAGGGTGTTTTCCGACGGCCAATCATAGCCTGAAACGCGGGCGATCAACACCAGATATATACGGTCACGTGCCGAAACTGCAAGATCCGGGTTTTGTGAGGCATCAGAAACTACTCTGACTAAGAAGCCTCATGAATAAGTATCGAATCTGGAAAGAAAGATTTATAGATAGGAAAGTGCCACTAAATATTTGTGCGTGGGCCCTGTGGATCTAGGAAGCTTCGTTCTCTCCTTCATCACAGTATGGCTAGTTCGGGCTTCTTCTATATATTTGTTGATATTATCAGGTTATTCTAGAGATTTCCGTGATATCGTAGGCTCTTGCTGTTTCGTGGTGAATCCTCACAGAAGGAGGATGGTGGTCTGGCCCAATGAGAATAGGCCTACCACATGATACGTGTGACCAGTCGCGCTTACATCCAGCGTGCCCCTTTCTGATAGTTGCTGGACGCCTCCGAACCATCTTTGGGAATCACCACGTCAACAAACCATGATACGCCACTCTCAGATACTTAAACGCGTTATTTCTTCTTCTCTGCTCTTAACTCGATCACAATGTGCGATACCAACATCAACATCTTTTCACCGTCCTCATAAGCTCCACTCTGGTTTCCCTACACGGTCGAGCTCCACAATGGCTAGTGACCGCATCGAGTACAATTGGATCGAGGACGTGGAAACCCTTGAGTTTTATCAGCCTGGGGGCTATCACCCGGTTATGATAGGTGATACACTGCACAACCGATACCTCGTTGTAGATAAGCTAGGTTCTGGGGGCTACTCGACCGTCTGGCTTGCACATGATACTTCTCTCAAGCATTATGTCACGCTAAAAGTCAACATCGCGGACGCGCTTCCAAACGAGGCAAAGGTACTCAAGGCTCTTTCTACCTCCCTTTTATCCTCTTCGCCCGTACACCTTGGACGCGACTTGGTCCCGGCCATACTGGATGAATTCGAGGTGCAGGGTCCAAATGGAACACACAAATGCTACACCACGACTCCTGCACGATGAGACCTCAGAGAAATATCCTTCAGCCGGCTTTTTCCCATTGACGTTGCTCGAGCGTTATGTTATGGACTTGTGCAGGCTGTTGCATACACACATTCGCAAGGCCATGTACACGGAGGTTAGTCATGGCGATAGTAATATCTTTGCACTTTTGGAAACCTAGAAGCTAATACTTGAGGCAATATTATTTTAGATATTCACCTGGGAAACATTATGATCAAGCTCTCGTCCAGATTTAACGACCTGTCCGTCAAAGAATGTTACGGGAAATATGGCGAGCCTGAGACAGTCCCTATTACGCGATGTGATGGAAAGCCTCTCACTCCCAATGTCCCAACTCACGCGGTTCTGCCTCTATTCCTAGGGAAATATGCTGAAACGTTTACTTTGGCAGACGTGCGTCTACTTCTCGGCGACTTTGGTGAAGCCTTTGCCCCAAACTCGGAAGTTCGACTTGGGGAAGACTGCCATGCGCCTCCGGCCTTTCGAGCTCCAGAAACCTACCTGGAATCCAAAACCCCGCTCACGTACTCCTCAGACATTTGGAGCCTGGCTACCGCGATCTGGGAGATCGTTGGAATGAAACCCATCTTCAGTAACGAGTTCATACCCCATGCCCAAATTGTGGCCCAACATGTTGATGTCCTAGGACAAATGCCTGGGGAATGGTAGCTGCACTGGAGGAAAGAAGCAAATACTTCGACGAAGACGGGGGCCCGACGGATTCCTACCGGGCCAAAAAATGGCCTCCGCTTGAGGAGTCATTCGAAATTGATATACAGAAGTGGAGGCGTAAATGGAGAGGCGAGATTAAGAAGGATGAGAAAAAGGCGTTTTTGGATTTGATTCGCAGGATGTTGATGTTTCGTCCGGAAGACCGACTAACGGCTGAAGATGTGCTTCAGTCGGAGTGGAGGGTAAAGTGGGCGTTTCCGGAATATAAACGGAGCTTGGATACGTCGGTTTGATGCGATGGATAAAAGGTTTATTCGTCGTTGCTAGCATTGTTCGATAGATGTATGAATCGATATCTCGTCTCTACTCGGACAATAATTTTCTTTCAGCAGATGACGGCATCTGCGGGAGAAACCTTCAAGCCGATCCGATGTGGTGTAACGGCTAACATCGCCGTCTTTCACACGGCAGCTCGGGGTTCGATTCCCCGCATCGGAGATTCCTTTCTTCTTTTCTTTTCTTTTTTCTTTTTTTTCTTCTTCTTCTTCTTTTTTTCATTGTAGTCTAGTCTCTCTGTCCCCTCTTGTTTTATCCGGCCAGCTAACAACAGATAATAGAACCTACCAACGGAAAGAAGACACCATGACCATGACCAGGACATAGCCAGCCAACTTTAGGACGTGGCGGCCCTCTCGGAGATCAATCTGCCACTCTACACTGCGCCCAGTGCTTCGGTGCGATATCCGCCTTTGTTTTTTCTTTTTCTAGTGCGATGACTATGCCGGGCTTGCTAGTAACGGATTTGGTTTTGGATGAAACAGCTAGAGAAAGAAAGATAGTGCTCACTCCGAAAATAGTTCCTGCTTCGATGATATTGATGGCTCCTATGGCGGTGATTAGCTGGTAGGTGAATTGGCATTTATCTTGGTCTAGAGAGATGAATTTGTTGAATATATAGTTGGTTGAATTCTGCTTGGGGGTTGGTGGATGGGTGGTTGTATTTGATGGCGGAGAGGATTGTGGAGGAGAGGACTTTGATGGTTGTTGAGGTTTGGGATTGTTAGTCGAAATCGAGGGAGAGTTTGTGGGGGTTGGAGAGGAGGGGATGATGTGGGGGTTGACATGTTGGGGAGGAGGTGGGTGGTAGATGGGGAATGGGATGTGTGTAGGTGTTGAGGGGATGAGGGTTGAGGAGAGTCACTGCATGTAGCCGTATTAGATAGTTTCAAAAATCTAAGCTTCTGCTTACTCAGTGAGTGAACTAGCATTCCTGGAACAGGGGTTCCAACAATGCAATCAGTGAAAGCGCAAACAGAGAACTTGAATCACTAACCACATTCATATATCCCGCTAAGTCTCACCACCATCTATATTTCATTCCTTCACCCACTCAACCACCCGTCTCAGCACCTCAAACCCATCCGTCGGCTGCTCAAGCCGTTTCAACTGATCCTCCAATTCCAATTTCGAAAGATTCCCATTATAAACATCATCCTCTTCCAACAACATCTTCTTTGCCAGAGCAGGTTGAACCTCTGGATGTGACTGGAAGGTCAACACAGTATTGTCTTGATTAACAAACATCTCATGGTTCTCCGCAAGAGGAATAAAATCTGACCCAGGTCTTGCTACCTCGCGGACGTGAAACTCTGGTAATTTCTGGGGCTCATTAGCGGAGATCTTACAACATCAGAACAGGAGTAACTCACATAGCTGGTAATGCCCGGGGCACAGGAAAAGAATTCCCTCCCGGCTTCTGTTAATTTGATGGATTCGATTCCGGCCTATGTTAATAAAACCATCTATGAGCCATTTCCAGTACATCGGTAAAAGGGTGGTATGATATCCTCACAATTGGACCCGTAGGCACAGCTCGCACTTCTCCCCCGAATGCCCGGGAGATGGCCTGATGACCCCAGCATATACCCAGGATCTTTGTCTTGGGTGATGTCTGTGCGGTTCTACGTAAGAATTCTAACACACCCAGTACCCAGGGCTCTGAAGAGGAGGCGTCCGCTTTGCCGCCACTCAGGATGATCAGGTCGTATTCCTGGGAGTCTGGGAAGTTGTGCTGGAAGATGGGGTCGTACATGTCCAGCTGGGCGTTGGGCGCGACAACCTCAAAGCCAGTACGGTAGGACTCGGTCACGTCATTCCAGAAGTCGTTGTCTGGGGGGGTGTTGATGAGGACGGCGATGCGTAGGGGTTCTGGCCTGGGGTTGGACATGTTGCTGAGCTGTTGGTGGATGATTTGGGATGGAGGGTTCGTGTTGTGATGCGGATGCTGGCTAGTCATCTATATATTTTGTCGCTAGTATCTTCCATATGGTTTCTAGTTCTTCATATCGGGGGAATAGTGCATCGCAATGGTTCACCGTATTGAGCAGGAGATGCTCTGTGATGCGTAAAAAGTTTACCCATGCTCCACTGGCCATGAAAAACTAATCAATTGGTGCCTCGACATTTTGAGTATCCCTAACGCAGACGCTGTACGCGGCGCTAAACCCAATCGGGTGCGCGGGAGCGATGGCCCTCTTAGTGATTGGGAGCCATTCAAGATGGTGAATCTAGACTGTCCATATCCCCTCATGGCAATTTGGAGAAGTAGCTGTGGTTATGGTGTTAAATGGGAATTTGAAGACAATATTTTCATTAACCTGTCTCCTGTTTTTTAATGTAATGCATAGTGAGTCTCATCACAATGAGGATGAATGTACAAAGGAGTAGATCTAGCATTGGTTGTCCCAGTAACACGCTGCTGTTACCAACTGCTCAAACTTGATTGCATCGGGTCATGCATTTGATTCACTTGTTGTATTTGAAGCTTCTGTTCTCCCAATGCTCTGCACCTGTCCCCCTTATCTTAACATTTCCCCATGAATCAAGCTCTCAAGATGCAACCCGAAGAATAAGAGTAATAGTTCAACACGCCTCCTCCCTCACTTAATATACATCTTCTGACATATAATCAGAACTCTCCCGCCCCATATTAAACACTCGCCAATGTCCCCTTGATAATCTTTACCAAAACATCCCGCACCCTATCCGGAGCGCTCAAAAACGGAGAATGTGAAGTCGGCAGCCGATACGTATTCTCCGGACCAGCAATCTTCGCTGCAAAAACCTCCTGCAATGAAGGTGGTATAGCCAGATCCTGCTCGCAAACGATATACGCACACGGAATCCCCTCCGTCCAAGGCTCATTAGTTACCTCGCCTTCGAAAACAGCCCGGCAAATATGTCGTTCTAAAGCACGCCACTGGTTTTGCTCTTCCACGGGGAGATCCTGGAAGCCGATATTGCCAGCGTTATCGGGATAGAGATAGTCGCTCTGCAGAACCTATTTAGCGAGATTGACTAGTGGATTGGGGGGAGGGGAGGGGGCACCTCGATTCGCCACCAGGGCGGGTACGATCCTCCCAACGCCCCAAGGAGACTCTGTCCCTGGTCCAAGGCAAAGGACCCCATGTAGACTATCTGGATAATACCGCCTGGCTTGCTGTCTCTTGTGCGTGAGGCTTTGTCCAGACCGTTGACTGCGTTGGAAACGACTACTCCTCCGTAGGAATGGGCTACAACGACGAGGTCTTTGCCTTTGTCGGCGAGGGTTGTGAGAGCTTGGCGGAATGAGGCGACATCATCGGCTAGGATTTTGGAGGGGGGTTCGGCTCCGATGGATGGATGTGCGGGACATTCGGTGGGGAATCCAAGATTCTCCAGTCGGGATCGAATGGCCTCGAAGAACTGGGGGCTGATCCAGGCTCCATGGGAAAAGATGATTGTTGGGGAAGTCATTGTGAGGTGTTTAAAGATGGATATCGAAGGGAAATGTCCGTAGGTGAAGAGATTAGGAGACAGGGACATAACGAGTGTGGAGGGATTCATAACTAGGAGCCCCTGACGCCTCCTGGATACAATAGACCCTATCAGGGGCGTTGAATGGATCCATGATCCGAGGTTGGCAGCCGATCCATTTAAGCTTATATGGTCCGGCAGGTACCTCGGCAGATCCGGGTTGGGCTATTTTTTTGGGGTTGACTAATAGAAGTGCAAGCACTATGCATTGGGCAAGATGATACACACTAACAGTATAGCACCTACAGAGTTACTAGTCGATCATGGGGACTCACAATCGGTGTGATTTCTGCGATAAGCTATAGCTTCACTCCCCCGGATTGCCGATGCAGGTAGCCGAATGTGGACTAGTACCAGAAAGGCTTGCCTTGATATAGTATAGCGTCCGATCACATGCTCATGAGGGGAGCTTGCAGGTGACGTCATGGAGATTTTATACAAAATAGTCAAGGCATAAATTTGGTTGTCTGGGGCACATGTTTAACAGAGGGATTTTCATATGGAGGGAAGATAGCCTATTTCCTAAGCAATGTCGTATATTCATTCATATGAATTTTCCACCAGGTTAGGAAATTCTCGAGAAAGATATGGCATCGACTGATACACAAGAACCGCAAGAGAAAGGCTTAAGGCTGGTTCATTACTTATTTCGAAGATGGGCAAAAGACCACTTTTTCCCCAGAAACCCCCTGTTTGTTCAGAGACAGTGCCTCCTCCACCGCCTTTAATCCCCCAGGTACCACACGCGGCCGGTTGGGGATGAATTCTCCTTTAGCGATGTAGCCATCTGCGCCGCCTAGATGCTTCGCCAGAGGCTCGCTGAGGTAGCGTAGATGGGGAGCGCTGCCAACACCCAAGACCTGTTTGACTCCCACTTTCGGCTCCTGAGACTGACCAAGTGCGACTGCCTCTTGATCGGTGGTCTCCGGATGGACTGTGTGCACAGTCACGACCTGACTGTTTGCTGTGTTGGTTGCTTGGAGGATCTGCACACCAAGCATCTGTGTTGCCTTTACTGAAATAGCATCAAAGACAAACATGAGAGGGGTATCTTGTGCAGCAGCAGCGAAAGCTTTGGCGTCTGATTGGTGTCGATCAAGAACCACATGAGCCCCCAACTTCTTCAATAGGTCAAAATTCGCAGGGCTCGCATTGGTGATAATCTTTTCAAAACCAGAGAGTCTGGCGAGTTGGATTGCATATTGACCGACAGAAGAAGCTCCACCGAGAATTACTATAGCATGGCCACGACCGGCTTCCGTGCCGCCTTTCTCCCAAGGAGGGGTCAATCCATAACCCTCCTTATCGTAGAACGCAGTGACAGCAGCCACTGTCGCGAGACTCACGCCAGCGGCCTGCTCGTCGCTGATGTTGTCTGGGGTTTTGGATACCAACGAAGCTGGCATTTTGCAGTATTGTTGAAAGGTGGAGGAATCGTACGTGCCGATGATGCCCTGGAAAAAGACCCGATCGCCAATAGCGAATCCGGAGACCGCGGGCCCCACGGCGACGACCTTTCCAGCGGCATCGGACCCTAGAATTGCAGGATACTCGGAGATGAACGCGCTGTAGTCTCGCATCTTCCAGTCGACTGGGTTGACGGCTGTAGCGGAAATTTCAATAACGATTTCATCATCGTTCAGTGGTCCGAGGGTACGGTCGGAAATGACATTTTGGGCCTTGGGTTCGGGGACTATGGCGGCTTTGAAAGCTTGAGAGAAAGACATTTTCATTCGACGATGCGATTGGATCGATCCTATTTTCTTGTGTTTGGAATGTATGACACCTGTGGGGAATTGCTTCCTTCTTAAAGTGATGGGAAGGCTTATAAATCAGCAACCGGTCGGAGAACAAAGGATGCAGACTCATAGTACATTGGAACCACTTCGAAGAAGCGAACCTGCTGCAATACGAGTCCAATATCCAATGGTTTGAAGTTGTCATCGAATTAATTGCACGCTTGAGCATGACATGACATCATCAATACTAAACGGACAAACCGGGAAGATCCGCATCATCGGGCGAGGTGGGGGATTGACCAACTCCGAGCTGACAGAGCTAATGTTACCCTGCTGACTTGATCTTCACTTATTGTCAGCACTCCTTCGTTCAGGTCATAGATTACAGGTCCTGCGCCAATTGTGTTGGATCGACAGTACCTGCAGATATGGTGATCGCGTCTGAACTGGAAATATTGTGGCTACCCATCACTGCGCCTGTTTGATTGCGAGTTTCAGTACGGTGTATGAGCCAGCACTGTTACTGTAACCTAGACAGCATTGAGAGTTCACTGAGCTTGACAGTGACGGGCCACTTTGCGTCCAACGACGACTGGTCCTAGTACAAATTCGGGTTAGCAAGCTTGTCATCTGGGAGTGGAGATAACACAAACAAAACATAATCTCCGATCGCTGACACTGCATATACAATCAATGAGCAATTCGAACCTCTATAAAAGAGACCATGGTGCCCTGCAAAGGCTTAATAGCTCAATTATTAATACCATTACCAATCACACACTGGAAGCTAATAGAAGGAAGAAAGGGCCAATCAGGATGGATCCTTCGAGACAAAGAAAAGTGGCCAGTTGTTGCCTAAGCGGCGGGTGTTCCTGAAAGCCCGTGGAATAGGGGTGGCTCTCGCCTTTTACAATTGTGCGGAGACTCTACTATGGTACTACCTCCTTGACCATTTGCATACACCAATTCACGTTCACATATCCCGATCGATTGAAGCAGCGCAAAGCCCACTGTCGTCCCCCGTACTCCACCCCGGCCCCACAATCGTCCCCAGCCTCCCATTTCTCCAACTCCCCATCCGCCAACCAGCACAAACAACAATGGCTTCAACAGCGAAGACCCCCGTCATCCCGCCAGCCATGCGCGCCTGGGTGCGCAGGCGGTGCGGCTCTCCTGACAGCGCCCTCGAGCTTGCCACGATCCCCACGCCCCCCGTGCCGACCGGCCAGTCATCGGACGTACTGATCCGAGTCTCGCATGTCTCGCTGCAGTACAGCAGCGAGATGCTAATCCGGATGATGCCCAGCATTCCTCTCGCAGGCCCATGGATCCCAGAGATCGAGCTGTCTGGCGAAGTGGTGGCAGCAGGTGGCGGTGCACCATCTGAATTGCGCGATCCGGGCACCCCCGTCGTCGCATTCCAGAACAAGTTCAGCACAATCATCATGGGTCACGGGACACTGTCGGAGTACATCCGCCTGCCTGGCTGCCAGGTTACGCGCATAGACGCCGCAGTTGACAAGGCGGCAGCATCAGGCATCAACGGTAGTGGCAGTACCGCGCTCGAGATGATCCGCACGGGTGGTGTGCGTGAGGGACACACAGTGCTCGTCAATGGAGCCAGCGGCTCGGTCGGCTCGCTTCTGGTGCAGCTGTGCAGGATTCGCGGGGCCAAGGTTGTTGGTGTAGCCAGCGGGGCAAACGAAGCCATGGTGCGCGACCTGGGCGTAGACGAGGTAGGCAACATGTCGCCTAACGGGTTCATCATGACTAAATGTCTGTCCAGTTTGTTGATTACCGCGAGCACGACTCGCTGCCAGAGTACCTGGCGCATCAGTACGGGGACAAGCCATTTGATTGCATACTCGACTGTGTTGGCTCGCAGGCACTCTTTGTCCATTCACCGACCTACCTCAAAGCTGAGGGCATGGTGGTCAACATCGGTACGCTCGAGAGTGTCATGGCAACAGCGCGTAATGTTCTTTCCAACATGTACCTCCCCAAATGGCTGGGTGGTATTCCTAGACGATACATCATGTTTAGCGCAACACCGACAAGCGAAAATGCAGTGTATATAGCACGTCTAGTTGAGGAGAGCCGCCTCCGTATCCCCGTCGACTCTGTCTTTGACATGGAGGACGCCGTGGATGCCTACGCACGGATCGCTACCAAGCGCGCGCGTGGCAAAGTTGTGATCCAAGTGCGCAGCGACTAGGCGGGGGTTGTTTGCCCCTTCGTGACGGCCATCGGCCATGCACTGGATGAGGGAACCTGTTTTCAGTAGTGGCTCGGTGGATATGAATTGAGGAGATACAGGGGTTAATCACGAGGGCGTGTTGGGCGCAGGGTGGTACAGGTGATGGTTGACAAATAACAGTCCACCAAGGGGTGGCAATTTCAGCTCAACTACTGTGTATGGCACATGTCTTAATCGACTGGGATTTGAGACCAGCGTCCGGCGGAATATCGGAGAACTCCGTGTCTTATCGCCACATAATATCAGGGCCTGCCTTGGCACATTGATTAAGATAACCCGCCCGGGGAAGAATTTAGTCCCACTCAGCCGCAGCCCCCCTACATTCGAGAAAAGAGGGGGAATCATGAACCCTGACGGTGGGCGTGGGTGGATTGGGAGGAACCCAAGGCTTATCTCTCCATCCACGAATGTTATCAAATACTATTTCTTTTAATAAGAGTTGGCTTGGCTGCCTACCAGTGAGAATCCTTCCACGTGCCCCGTCGCCTGAACTAACCGCGATAGGCCTGTGTTCGAGATAGCCCGGAACCCATCCAATGGGCGGCGCGCGTGGCGTGGTTCGTGTGTAGGCTGCCTTATCTTCCCCCGCAGGGAGTCCGGTTTAAATCCCCGTCCCAGCACCGTGTGATCTTTTTTGTCTGTGTGTTTTTCTCGCTTCGACAATTGCCTCTCGTGCCCTTCGTGTTACACTCTTCGCACGTCACCATGGCTTTTGATCCAGAAAAAGGACCAAGCACGGTCAACTACTCGACCCACGACCAAACCTCCCTCGACCATGATGGCACGATTTCGCACGAGACCGGTATTATGGCCAAGCTTCGCGCTATCGAGGCCGCCATGGACAAGAAGCTAGGACTCGAATCGGAAGCCATCACTCGCAAGCGCCCCGAAGACAAAAGAAAGGTGCATTGGGTGGAGGAATTATCCATGGCGTTTCTTTGGGCCAGTGGCACCATGAACACCTCTTGTTTCGCCACGGGCTTCCTGGGCTGGGAATTCGGCCTGACCCTGAAACAATCCATCCTCATAAGCATCTTTACTTCCATCCTGGCTGCTTCGCTCAGTGGCTACTGCGCCACGTTCGGCGCCGCGACCGGTTTGCGCCAGATCAGTGTCAGTCGGTACAGCTTCGGTTGGTGGCCTAATAAGCTCGTGGCATTGCTCAACGGTATCCAACAATTGGGCTGGGCAGCCGTCGCATGCATCACGGGTGGTCTTGCCTTGACGGCAGTTTCCGATGGACATGTTTCTTTGATTCTGGGTATCGTGATTCTGGCCGTTGTCGCGCTGCTCATCTCTGTCGTCGGACTGAACGCCATTCTCATCTATGAGCGATACGCTTGGATGGTCTTCTTCATCATCTTCATGATCATCTACGGCGAGACCGGAAAATACGCAGACAACACAGCCCCGGCTACCGTGACGGGCACCTCCTTTTCCGGTGCCGTCCTCAGCTTAATCGCCGTGGTCTACGGATCCAGTGCTTCCTGGTGCACCATGGCCAGCGACTACTACGTCCACTATCCGACCAACGTGAACCGCGTCAAAGTCTTCCTGATGACCACATTCGGTATTGCCATTCCCACCTCCATCGGCCTAGTCGCCGGTTGTGTGGTCGCCTCCGCCCTCAACAGCAAGCCGGACTGGTCCGATGCGTATGAAAACCAGGGAATCGGCTATCTCATCCAAGACATGCTTTACCCTCGCGGATTCGCCAAGTTCCTCCTCACTCTTCTCGTCTTGTCCGGAATCAACGTCAACGTCATCAGTATCTACAGTTCCGCTATCTCTTTCCAGCAACTCTCGCGACCTTTCGGCCGTGTTCCTCGGTTTATTTGGACTTTGTTCTGCTTCGCGTGCATTCTTGCGCTGGCTATTGGCGGTCGTCAGAAACTCAACACTTATCTTCAGGATTTCCTGAGCTTGCTCGGATATTGGTGCACTAGTTACGCGGTGATATTATTCGAGGAACATTATATTTTCCGCAAGGGAAACTTCGATAACTATGATTTGGAGGGATGGAATGACCCGGCCAGACTGCCGTTGGGTATCGGTGCGACTGTGGCGTTTCTCCTCGGAGTCGTGGCATGGTGCATGGGCATGGACGAGACTTGGTTCATTGGTCCTCTTGCCAAGTTGATTGGAGAAGACGGTGGTGATATTGCCAACGAGTTTACGTTCGTAGTGACTGCTTTGAGCTATATACCCGCGAGATATCTGGAGCTCAAGTACTTTGGCCGATAGTTACCTAACTGGTAGCTGTGGTTCTGTTTAATAACTAATTGCATTTGTCAATATTAGCTGGCATTGTACGAGTCCTCGACAGAGGTATATAAAAATATCATTGTGAACAGAATAGATTCAATTCGAAGAAATATGTCCATAGTCGAGAGTAATTCGAGCAACGGCGGTGGCTAATACTCTACTATGGCTTCTCCAGGTCTGCTAGACCTTTTTTGGATGTTCACGAGCTAGTAAGTGATTTTATGTGGTCGCAGAAAGCTATCACATAGTCATGGCTTCTGGTCACGACAAACACTGTCCTCGATACCTAGATCACGTCCTGCTAATTATTTTAGAAAGTCATATATTATATCTATGTTGGCTTCCTGGTTCCATGAATACAACCCAACGCCACCTGCTAGCTCACCCAGATACTGGCCATCCAAACCTTGAGCACATAAAAGCCACATGCCGCGAGTTATGTAGCTGAGTGAAATGCCGACTAGCGAGAAATATGTTCTGTGGCATTACAACGGTTTTTGTTGCCCAGCCATCAGGCACCCTACACTTGCTATTCTAAATCCTCACTGTCTTCGCCTGAAGCAGGCTTCCCCGAACCCAGAGTATACTCTGCACCTTACACCTGTGAAAATAATGGGTGGAAAACATAACATACATAGCCAGGCCAGTGATTGTCCCGACCGATCGAAGGGATGTCTAAAATGAGTAAATAGAATGTCTCTCAGGTATGAGCTCACATTTCTTTCTTGCAGCCTACTTTGATCTCAATATCTACGTCACATCCTTCTGCTCGATTTCCCAGTCCATGAGAATATTACAATTATATTATTTTACATCGAGGGGGCATTTATGGCGTGTCGATAGCGATCAATTAGCGACCAATTACGGGCCCGGTATGTTCAGCACGAGGGTATTCTATCTGAGAGTAACCATTTTGTTCCATACCGACCTACACGATGGCAACGGAGATGGTTTAAAGAATGGATTAGAGGCGCATCTCAATTGGATGAACCGTTCGGTCTCCAGTTACCGTAAGTGGGTGTCTGATCAAGCTAGGCGGCGTCGCAGCGATGGAGAAGAGAATGTCACTGTGTATAACCTCAGCGTTCCGGATCTTGTAATGTACAAAGTGAGGTCACGTGGAGTGACTTGCATGAGGTTGGATACTTGGCTTAGAAGGGTTGAGTGCTGAATACCTGAACATTCCTAGGAATAAAATAGATCAGAATGTACAATCTTGCAGCTATTTATATCTTTTCAAAGAGACTCGGTACTTCGACCTTTATTGTCATGCTTATAATCTTGGTCCATGATGCAGTATGGTACGTTGACAACCAACCAAAAACCAACCTGCTAGACAGCCCTCTTGTATTGTTGGGCGACGATGGTTATTATTAATCGAGCACATTCATTCGAGCAATACAATGAGATGATGTTGTTGGTCGCCTGAAAAGTATGTTTGCTGTGGCGGCTGGCCAATAGGGGCGTGTGCTCGGCTAATGTTTCCTCAACATGGCAGCATCAACCAATGGCAGCGATGACCATACGCTCTCAGCCCCGAGAAAAAACGCCCTTGACGAGGCGTAGCTGAGAGATAGCTGGGCGAAATGTTTGTGGTAGAAATCGGGCATCCCAGGCTGATCTTGATGTTAAATAGCCCCTGGTCCACGGAATATCCCCAACCACAACCCTAATCCACACCCATCCAAGATGAACGTCTTTGGCACGACCGTAGATCCAACTTCCAACCCCCTCCTCGGTGGGGAGTGCGGCAAGCGCCTCATACCCCATGTTATCGACGCAACGGCCCGGGAAACCCCGGATGTCGAGTGTCTGTCAGTTCCCCGGACCAACAACCCCCGCGATGGGTGGAAGCCCGTGAGCTGGGCTCAGGTCGCCCACGCAGTCGACTATGTGGCTCATATGCTACTCAACCAAGCCGGTCACCCCGCCCCTGGCACATTTCCCACCGTCGCCTACATTGGTCTAGAAGACCCGCGGTACCCTATCTTCATAGTTGGCGCCGTGAAGGCTGGCTACCAGGCTCTTTTCATCTCGCCACGCAACTCTGTCGAGGCACAGCTGAACCTCTTCAACAAGACTCAATGCAACCTTCTCTACTATGATCCGCAATATGCCTTCGCAGTTCAGCCCTGGGTCAACGGCAGGCCAGGCATGAAGAGCGTTCCAATCACCCAGTGGGATGACTGGGTGAATGCCGAAGGAGTCACACCATTCCCTTACACCAAGACTTTTGAAGAGGCTGAATGGGATCCGTACGTCGTGTTGCACACGAGCGGCAGCACCGGGCTTCCCAAGCCGATTATCATCCGACAGGGCATGCTCGCGTTGAACGATTTGCATCGCTATATTCCGCCGCTCAATGGAAATCGAACTTTGATGCCCACATGGTCCAGCTTTCCTAACCCGCGGTACCTCGTGATCTTTCCTCTCTTCCATACCGCCGGCATTATGACTTCCAGCTTGTTCGCATTCTACTATAACACTCCCATTGCCTTTCGCGATCCCTCCGTCCCCATCACCGCCGAGAACGTGATCGACTGGTTGCAAAACTCGAACCCGGGCTGGACTCTGATGCCACCGAGCACCCTGGAGCAGATGTCGCGCTTACCACAGGGAGTGGAGGAGCTGAAGAAGCTGCATGCGGTGGGATTTGCGGGAGGTCGGTAGCATTCATAATGTACGCGTTTTCAGCTAACCAATCTTGTATATGCAGGCTCCATAGCTCCAGCCCCGGCCAGCCATCTGCTAAGTCATGGTATTCAGATGGTCAACGCCATTGCTACGACTGAGTATGTTACACACATACTAATCCTCTATTCCAAGCCCTGCTTACGAACCGCACAGGTATATTTTCTTTCCATATTACTCTCAACCGGATTCTGCCATGTTTTCATGGTTCATCATTCCCACGGAGATGATGGGCATAGAATGGCGCCCATTCGGCGACAACGCGTACGAACAAGTCATCATCCGCCAGAACAAGCAGCACCCAGGGCAGCAGGGCTGCTTCTACACCTTCCCTGAAGTGGCCGAGTACAGTACAAAGGACCTGTACCGGCCGCACCCGACTCTGCCCGATCACTGGACATACGTTGGCCGTGCCGACGACATCATCGTCTTCTCGACGGGCGAGAAGCTCAATCCGACGACCATCGAGGGCGCTGTCATGGGTCACCCGGGAGTTCTCGGTGCGCAAGTCGTCGGCACCAATCACTTTCATGCTGCCCTGCTGATCGAACCGGTTCAGCATCCCCAGACTGAAGCAGAAAAACAACAATTCGTCGATGATATCTGGCCTATTGTGGAGAAGGTCAACGCGGAAACAGTAGCCCATGGACGTATCCCGCGGGAATACATTTTTTTGACGGACCCGACAAGACCCTTCCCTCGCGCCGGAAAGGGCACGATTCAGCGTGCGATGGTTGGTAAAGTCTACGCGGACGACATTGAACGGATCTTCGAAACCAGCCGCGATGTGCCATCCACGGCGGTGCACCTCGACCTCACATCACTAGTGACATTTGGAACCGGGATGCACACCCTGGTACAAAGCGTGGTCAAGATACCGATCTTAGGTATGGACGATGATATGTTCTCCGCAGGCGTCGATTCGCTACAAGTCATACAGATCGCGCGACTGCTGCGCGTCAGCCTAGACAAAGCCGGCATCAAAGTGTTCATAGAGCCACGCACCATTTACACCCATCCTAACCTCACGCAGCTGGCGGCGTTTGTCTACTCTCTGGCCGTATCCGACGCCGCAGTCGTGGCCGACGCCACAGAAGCCTGCCGTGCCCTAGTCGCCAAATACACCCACAGCCTTCCCCCACCCATTCCCAACAAGCCCGCCCCTTCGACCGACGGCCAAGTCATCATCATCACCGGCACCACCGGTGCCATAGGCTCATACTTGCTTGACGCAGCCCTGGCGAGTCCCCGTGTCCGCAAGGTCATCTGCTTCAACCGCGCCGCCGATGGCCAGGCCCGACAGACCGAGGCCAGTGCATCCCGGGGCTTGTCGACCGACTTCACCAAGGCTGAAGTCCTTCAAGTCGACCTAACCAACCCATCCTTTGGCCTTGATTCTGATACCTACACCCGCCTTGCGGGCGAAGTAGACCGGATCATCCACAACGCATGGCCCGTCAACTTCAACCTCACCATCACATCCTTCGAACCACACCTTCGCGGAACACGAAACCTAGTCGATTTTAGCGCGCAAGCCCGCAAAACGATCCCCATCACCTTCGTCTCCAGCGTCAGCACAATAGAGAACTGGTCAGCTCCAGAGACACCCATTCCCGAAACAGCACTCTCAGACTGGTCTCTCGCAGCAACAGGGTACGGCCAGTCCAAGCTGGCCAGCAGCATGATTCTCGATGCCGCAGCAATAGAATCAGATGTTCCGCGCGCTATTGTCCGTGTAGGCCAGGTCGGTGGCCCGCGTGGTCAGCATGGTCAATGGAACCCGCAGGAGTGGCTGCCCAGTCTGGTCCGCAGCTCGGTTTACCTTGGTATGCTGCCCGATTCGCTCGGTGCGTTGGGTCATCTTGGTTGGGCCCCGATTGAGGATGTTGCTGCTGTGGTGTTGGAGACGTCTGCGGTGACGATCGATGTGCCGGTGGATGAGCGCAACGGGTACTTTCATGCGCTGAATCCGACCCCGGTAGACTGGGCGGGGCTGGTGCCGACTTTGCGTGAGTTCTATGGTGAGAGGATCACCCGTGTGGTATCGTTGGGTGAGTGGGTTGATGCACTTGATAAGAGCCAGTCAAGGCCAGAGGACGTGGAGAGGAATCCTGCTGTCAAGTTGTTGGATACGTATCGAGCTGCTGCGAAGGATGCTGGAGCGGGGTTCGTGTTTGCGACGGAGCAGACGGAGATGTGTAGTCCTACGATGAGGCGGATGGAGCCAGTTTCGCCTGAGTTGATGAGGCATTGGTGTGGACAGTGGGTTTTTTGAGTGAAGAGCTGTACTAGGAATGGCTGAGATGAAGTATTGCAACAGCATCGAGGGGTTCTGCCTCAAAATATACATTCTATATTTGTCTCTCCCCTGATGGCTCACCGAGCATGTTGTTCATTCAGGTTGTGTGGCATGGGCGGACGCTTTCTGATATGCAGCAGAAATCTTAATATATATTCATTTTCAAAATCCCCAGTGAGCATACATGATGATCAAAGAGTATCAATTTTATCCTCTAAAAACGCCTTCCGCTGTTGATGGACACCAATACAACCCACCCAACCAACCCTAACCCCATCCCTCAAACAACCCCCTCCCCAACCAACCTCCCCAACTCCCTCTCCCCCAACCTCTCCACCTCAAACAAATCATTAAAAACCCCTCCCCAAACACAGCCCTCTTCAAAAGATCCCCCGCCACAAGCCGTCCATCCGGCGAATCCCTCCCCATCTCCTCCCTCGCCTTCCGTTCCAAATCCACCGTCCTCACCACCCTCATCTCCACCCTCCACCCCAAAACCACCAACAACTCTCTCTGCGAAACAACACCCTCATGCACCCTAACAGGGATATTCTCCGTCTGTGCTAGATTCCTAACAATCCACACCACGGCCTGCCCCACACCCCGGGTAGTAGTGGTACTAAACTTCCCATCCCCATCATCGTACAACGGAGTCACACGGCCCGACAAATCCAACAATAGCTCCGTCTTCAATCCAAAGTCTAGCCACGGCCTAGTGAAGAGTAATGTGTATGTGAGTCCCGAACGGTGTGCAACGTCGCGTAGATGGTCCTGGATGGTTATTTTGTCTATGAAGATGGGGAGGGTTGAGGTAGCTGGGTGGGTCGTGTCGCAGCCGAATTCGGACGGGATTTAGCGTTTTACTCCTGCGGTTGAGGCGGCGTCGATTAGGCGGATGTGGGTGGTTATGGGCACCGGGCTGACGGGTAGGGTGTTGATTATGATGGAGTGGCCGGTTAGGGCTGTTTTGAGGGAGGGGAGGGATTGTAGTTGACTTTTGTGATGCGGGCTCGGGGGTCGATGGGGGAGTGCTGGGTTGGCGGGTGAGGACGGTGACGGGGTAGTTGGCGGTTAGGAGGGTGGGTTAGTTTGGGGATAGGAGGGTGAGGAGGAAGGGGGGGGGGTGGGTTGCTTACGCCGATGAGAGCTATTTTGGTTGTGGACATGGTTGTGGAAGTGGAATTGGGGGATGGTTTTGATGGTGACGTTGATGGGATGTTATTTCTTTCTTGGAGAAGGAGGGAGAGTTTATATGGTTTATCATGGTATATCATGTCTCGGATGTCTTGAGTATGATGTTGTCAGGGCATGGTCCATTACATTTCCAAGGGAGAGAGTACTGATGCATGTTGGCATTGTATTGAAGCACACAATATTCAGGGCATGATTTCTGGGCCTGATGTGAAAGCGGAACTATTCCGCAGCGGAATATCCACTTCAGTTCAACCGTGGATCAGATGCCTCGTGCTTACCAATATTTGGCCATCGCCACAAAGTCTATTCAGAGGAGTGGCAGGTAAGGCGTCCAGGATACTGTCACAGGGGCAAGGGTGGTGCTTACAATGAGTTGATACGATTGAGTCGTGCTTACGGCATGGCAAATCTGTCATACTTTTGGAATTAAAAATATCATGCTCTGCTTACATCTTATGTTTGATATCGGGGCTTACGGATCATGAAATATCCCGGAGTCTGAATCTACAGGGTGACAGCCCCCTCGCTAGACTACTCAAACAGGATCAAGGACCAAGATCCAAGTCATAGTACAGAGAAACTAATCGTTATTCAATTCGATTATAATGTCTATCGTGTGTACCAGTTACGGATTCAACACCACCGTCCGAGTCTGCAAAAACTCCTCCACTCCCCATTTCGCACCAAACCGGCCCCAACCACTGTCCCCATGACCCCCATGCGGCAATGTAACTTCATCATGCACAGTCATTGAATTCACATGAACAGCTCCGACACGGATCCGTCGTGCCAATTGAAGAGCCCGGAAATGCGAAGTAGTGAAGATCGCTGCTGACAGGCCGTACGTGGACTGCTGGATTAGATCCATGGCTTGGTTTTCATCCTTGACCCGGACGATGCCCACCACAGGACCGAAAGATTCTATTGTGAAAAAGTCCATCTCTTGAGTAAGCCCTTCGATCACGGTGGCGTGGCAGTCAGTCTCGTTCTTGCAGGACCCTGAATCAAGGTTCGCCGTGTGGATTGTCGCGCCTTTGGCTCGGGCGTCATTGATCAGGCCGGTCAGTTTCTGGTTACTTGATGGGGTGATGACTCGGTGTGGCGAAATTGATTTCCGTAAGAGGGCAAATATGTGAGAGACGAGGGAGTCGTGAATGGCGTCAACTGCCAGAACGAGGTCTGTGGACATGCATATCTGGCCATTCTAGGATGCGAATCCTGTTACTTCGAGTCCAATGCAGAGGCATTCGTCAAGGGAACTTACATTCAGGGTTGAGCCGCGAACGATCTCTTCCGCGGCCTTGGCGATATCGGCGTCTTCGAGCACTAATGCAAAATTCTTGCCTCCCAGTTCGAGTAGGACGGGCTTCAGGGCTAGCGCCGCTTTGGAAGCAATGATGCGGCCAACATTGGTGGAGCCGGTGAAATTGCACTTGCGCACTGCCCGATGGTTGATCATCGTCTCGTAAATGAAGGCAGCGTCTTCGGCGCGATGCAGAATGAAGTTGACCACGCCTGGAGGAAAACCGGCATCTTTGAATAGGGTGCTGACGAGGAAGTGGGTACGAGGGCTGAGCTCCGAGCCCTAAGTGTATGTGGTTAGCTGGTCTCTCGATGGGAAATTAGAAAAGGGTGGATGGTAGCATACCTTGAAAATCACGGTATTCCCCGCCGCCAACGGTGCCGCAATCGACCGCAAGCCCAGTAGGATTGGTGCGTTCCAAGGCGCAATGGCCAGAATCACCCCCAGGGGTTCCTTAAAGACCAGTGCGTAGGAATCCCCTTGGGATACGGGAATAGACCCTGCCAAAGCATCCGTTGTCAAGGCGGCATATTCCCTGAGGAAATCCACCCCCGTACGAACATTGAACTCGGCAAAGACACGGGGTGCGTGGACCTCCTCTTGCATGCACCCAATGAATTCCTCCGAGCGAGATTCTAAGATATCGGCTGCCTTGTTTAATAGTGCACGCCGCTCGGCTGGAGAGGTAGTTGACCAGTTGGAGAATGCAGACGCGCAGCTCTCCACCGCTTGGATGGCAAGGTCATTGGTAGCACCTTGGAAAGAAGAGGGGGTTGACTCCACTCGGTCGCCAGATGGGTGAAGGATTTCTCGATTATCGATTATGAGAGGGGTGATTTTGGACTCCATGGTGGGTGATGTGGAATTGGACTTGGTGTTGCCCGCGAGGATGTAATATAAGACTATTGGGATCCACTGAAATGGTTGCCGCTTCAATTGCCGAGATGGGGATCATCCAAATGGGTCTCTGGGTTTGTCATAGTAAGCGAACCCCAACTGGAGAGATCGGGGTTCCGCAACCGGACCCGGCTTTCAAATTGACTTCCACAATGTTCCGCGGTCTACCGGACTTTAACCTATTCCTTAGATATAGGCACAACGGGCCTGTTAGGCAAGAGGCATTGGACTGGAATTCAGCCCAAATGAATGAAACCCTTAAATAACCAGTGAACCCAGATTTCTTCATATATGCGTTGCCCCTCGGAGATACTATTCCCGCCGTGGTATCTCTTCAACAAGTCAGAGTAAAGGACCATTGGACAATATCTGCTTCACCTGCGGTGACAATCTAAGGACAGCTGGTCGCGCGAAGCTCCTTACTGGCACTACCGGAACACACCTATCAATATATGGACCTGTGTCAAGCATCCCGTTTGATTTTGATATCCTAACATCATACCATCGTCTTCTTTCTCATCCTGTCAGCTACTACTGCAACGAAAGCTCCAATAAGCAAAAAGACAGACCACTCCGATCACACTCTGTCTACACCCTCTCACCCCCCACACAAAACCTAAACTCATCTCCCCTCTCCAAATAAACCACCTCCTCATCCAACCCCGCCTCTTTCACCTGGGCCTGAAAATCCTCCAACGAGCTAGCCATTACATCATAATCATCAAAATGCACAGGGATCGTCACTTGCGGTCTTATCAACCGCATCAATTCCACCCCCTGCTTCGCATCCATCGTCACCATCATCGCCAGAGGCAACATAGCCGGAGAAGGTACCGTAGTGCCACCTAAATGAATCAACATGAGATTAATAGCCTGGTCTCCGTACCGTCGAGGGATCTCCTTCAATTCGTCGAACACCAACGTGTCTCCGGAGATGTAGATTCGGTATCCGGATTGGAACTCGGTGGACTGGTCACTGTAGCCGAGCTCGAGCATCCAGCCGTTGGTTGGGGGGATCTATACTTTCTTAGTATTATCGCATTTGGTAGAGGAAGATGAGGAGGCTCACCGCGCCCACTATATCGTTCAATTTCTCGAGAGGCTTCCCCATGGGAATATGCTTCCCTGGCATACCGGTTACACGTAGCCGGGGCTGTCGACTCGTCTCGTCGGATTTAATGTCGACTATTGCGTGGTTATACACATCTACTGCTGTAACCTTTGTAAATGAGTCCTCGCCCTTCGCGGTCAGATTCAACTTCGCGTGGGGAGTAGTAACAATAGGAAGGTCCCGACGCAGGGAAGCTTCCACATGGCGATCGAAGTGGTCTCTATAATGTTGTCAATATACGCAAATCAATGATATACAGCAGAAGAGGAACGAAATAGAATAAAATAAAAAAAAAAAAGACACCACGCGACTGCTAGTTAAATACATCCTGTATGCGAAAAATAGATAAAAACATACAACAGAAGGGATTCGCTGGTGGTCACCCACCCAACTACTAACCTCCCGGCGTGTGGCTTAAGTACGGCTGAGCGGACGGGAAGCCCTGTTTTCCACACCCTGTGGTCGTATGTGCTGGAGTATTGGGCAGAGTAGTTTATAGCTCTTGTTCTTTTTACTTTGTTGATTGTTGGCGCTCACTGAGATCAGCGTACCTACCTGCCCATTTCCAATCACAGAGCCAAATTGATTTACTCGTAATAATCAATTCCATAAAAAAAAAAAAAGAAGCAGAGTAAAGGGAGAAGAGAAAAACAGCAAATTAAATGCGAAATGAATAAACCCAACCGACTGCACAAAAGAATATACGTACTCATGATAATGCGACAACAAGACCAGATCCACCGGTGGCAAATTCTCCAAGTCCACAGCGGGATTCTTTCTCCGCATCGAGGTCACCCCAGGACCCAGGTGGACGTGGTCTCCTGCGTGGAGGAAGTTGGGCTGTTGGTTAGCTTTTTGTTAGTCGCGGTCGAATTCGAATGTTCACAGGACTCGATTTGGATTATGGATTAGGTGTGGACATACATCCGTCATGATACGGATACCGTGCCATTGTCTTGCTCTATCGGTTAGTAGAGTCTCATTAAGAGATAGGGGGGTGTTTAGGGACTGTACATAATCGTCGTTGCATTTCCGATGAAATACACTGAGGCATTTTCTTCAGCGAGAGTGCTGGGATGGGTTTTGGTGACTTTCGCTTTTGGAAGATTGGTCGGAATGGGGTGGTGGTGGTTCCTGGTGGGTGGCTGGGATGCACTCGGGTCGATAGTTAGGATGTCACACGGAGATTTGGAATTGGTATTTGAGGTCGCCATTTCGATTCTGGGATAAATTAATGTTGGTTGTGTGTTGGAGAGATGAGATGTTGTGGTGGTTAGGATGAGATGGATACCCGATGGGTGACGCATGATGACATACATGGGGTTGCGACCGAGCTTTCACGCATTCAGATTGCAGTTCACCATGCTTAGAAACTTAGACCACGATGAACTACAAGCAGATAATTAGCAGCCAGAGAGTAAATGCATATGTCTCATATTGCTGCTTTTTTCAACTTCTTACTGTTTTTTCACTATCAAGTCTTGCTATCTTAATGATGGTCACTACATGTATTCCACGGGGCATACTATAGTATTTGTCTTGTGATACAATTACAATAAATATAATAACGTCAATTCCTAATATGATACAATTCGAACTGCAAATACGGACTTAGATATGCCTGAGGACTCTAAACAACACAGTAGAACTATGAATTCCATAAGATTTGTTAATACATCAGTACCACAACAAAGCCTGCCCTGCATGATGCCGCTAATTACCGCCGTAGAGTATATAAATTTGCGGCCAGTGACTGAACGCTGGTGTAACATCACATCAGCCATAAATTATGCTGTTGTGCCTCGTCCTCTCTCGACAACGCAAAGCCACCAGCATCCATGGAATCATTAAACAAGTGTGCGATATGCTTAGGTGACATTACCCGAGCAAATTGGACACAAAATCTGCTTACAGGTATACATACCCCGCTGCCACATATTTCCAGCTCTCCTCCCTAACGCATTAAAGTGTCACTCAGAGAGAGTAGTGTTGAGATGGGTTCCATCATATACAACATGAAATTTTTTGGCCAAATGTCTAGAAGTCTTTTACGCCCCGATGAAGAAACTCGGATAAGGTTAATACATTCACCATTTTACACCCCTGCAGAAACCTTCATCATGCATGCATCCTGCTACAATCTGCTGTGTCTGTTTGCTGGGTGTGAGATCAGTCCTCATCAGACATATCGATTTTGTCAAGCTATTCAACCTGACCAGGAGCGATACTTTAATGAAACGAAGGGGTTTTCCTACTGTAAGCTGAGGAATTCTAATGTGTGAAATTGTACTAAAAAGACGCTGATAGCATGTCCGGATCTCTACCCTTTCGTAACGCCTCGGAAATCCCTATCTTCTTCGAAAGTTACTTGGTCATTCTTACAGCCTGACACAACACACTATCCCTCGGCTCCCCTGTTCAAGCTATCTACTGAGATCATGATGGCTATTCTTCAATACTTACCACCTTCAGACTTAATTCGCTTCTTCACAGCCAGCAAGCGAACTTTATCCTACGCAAATCTCTTCTGTCAGATAAATCCGTTACACTTTTATCGCTGCACCACCGATGCCACGAGCTGTTCAGAGGAAAAACGCATCCTGATGATTGCCCTCTCAACTTGGGCTCGCTATCCGGAACTTGATCAGAGATGGCAAATTATCTCAAGAGTGTGCGATTTAGCTAAACTAATTCCTATCCGAGATAGGCTTACCTGCTGGACCTTCGCATGACCCCCGAGCCCCTCTTCTTCCCGTCCAACATCAATACGGACTACGCGAGGACTTGATAGATATTCCAATTAATGCTGAACGGATTCAGGTATGCAGCATATTGATAGAAGGCAGACGTTATGTTTCTGGTATTGGAGTTGATACCGGAGATTCAAGCTTGTTTTTTGGTACCAAAACTGAGACCCTCCGCAGTATCGATCTCAATTATATGGAATTGGAGAACATCGGGTTTGCACAAGATTCGTTGGGAATTAGGAGTATGCGATATGGTACTTCGCCGTGGTTATTCGGCGATCCTGAGTTTCTTGACTGTTGGGGAGGGGTCAGTGTACCACAAGGACGGAGGAGAATTCGGATTATTCGAGATGTAAGCACAATCCCTATTTTTCCAGTATTGTTGCTTACAGAGCACAGGCACTCAAGCTCCGGTACCTCGGTTGGGATCATGAAGATGCTCCTAGTTTCGAAGAAACTCTCTTAATAATAGATAATCACCCATTGCTATCATCCCAGGAATTCATTTCCAAAGACCTTTACGTGCAACAAAAAAGAGACCAAGAAACGGCGTTCGTGAGCAGATTTGGTACCTTCCCGACTGAAGCTATTCGGTTCGGTCGAGAACTGCAACAGATAACGATATACGGGCGTGGATTTGATGGAATTTCGGGTGTATCTGTTTGTACGGATTCGGAGAGTTATTCCGTTGGGTCGTGTGATGGGGTGCCCTTGTCTATGATGTTGGATGCTCCGCATGAATGTATTGCTGAAGTTGAGGTGATAACCTCTGATCATATATATTCGTTGGGTCTGACTGTGAGTATGGGGTTGGTTTGTTCAGTGGGTGTATTGGCTAATTGTTGTGAAGTTCAGGACCAGCCAGAATCGTATTCTGTCTGTTGCACCTCGTCAGAGAAAGTGGGTTCATCATAATATAAAGACTCTGAGACCACCGCCGGAGCACTACATTACGGGGCTTTATTTTAGATTTGCGAGTTCGGCTATCGTCTCGGTTGGATTGATATTCGCTTCGGTGAAAGCTTGAGGTGATATATGCCACAGTGTGTAATATGTTGGGATCCCCGATGGGCTCCCACGCCGGTAGGCAACGTAGGGTCACGTGACACTCCTCCCTACACCGCTAGTTAGTCCATATAGATGGCCTACGAGGCCCCTAGCTACATCATCATCCATCTCATTCTACACGGTTGAATCGCCTTAGTAGCCACTCCAACATAATATATCTCAAATTGTGGATCTTTTTGTTTCATACGAGAGTATTGAAATAATGGTGTGAAAGAAAGATTGGTACGTGGTAAAATTCTGTAATGGAATTGTATAATAATTCTAAGAAAAGACATGCAAGGCTCACCGTCATTATTTAAGTCACTTATTGAAGGGCAGATCTCAGTCGTTATGATAGGAAAGGAAGCTTAAATCAAGTGTCCAATGCATATAGCATAGCTACATGCGCACAAGAGATTGAGGATGCAGCGATATGCGCATCTCATGCATCAAAAACCCTCCATCTCCTTCAACATGGGAAGATATACATGATGATACCTCCCCAAGGCCCATGAAGTGAAATACAGCTTGTAGTTCGGATAGCCGATCATACTATTTAGTCGTGAACAGGGAAGTCAGTCAACATTGCCCGTCAATTCAAAATACCGTCTCAGACATACCATGTATTGTTGGAAACTCCTTCCACATCCTCTTGGTACCACTCTCCGTTTTTCTGCTGTCTACTCATAATCAACTGGAACAAAATCACTTAGTACTTGCTCACAATCCCAGATAGACGGGGGGTATACCTTGAGTCCCTTCTCAATAGCCTCCTTATATGGATACCGCGCATGCATCAGTGCCAAGCACGCCCACGCAGTATTCACCACCTGGCTTTTCTCATGCTGCACATACTCCTCCACCTCGCAAGAGGTGTAATGCTCCCCCCAGCCTCCATTCTCTTTCTGTGTGCGAAGTAGGAACTTGCAGCACCTGCGTACGGGCTCGCTGGTCTCCCACGTCTGACCAACCAGTTCCAGACTCAGAACTGCAAAGAACGAGGCGTAGGTGAAGCACACTCCCCAGGATCCATACCAGCCTCCATTCTGTCGTTGGGCACTGAGGATGTATTTGATAGCACGGTGTATGACCTTCTCAATTTCGGCCGACCGGTAGGTGGGAAGATGGCGGCGGAAGAGCGATAGCGCCGTTACCACCGCTGTGGTGCATTCGGGATATGGGTATTCCACCATGATACGGCCGAAGACTTCTGATGCGTTGACGTATTCAAGGAGATGGCTGGCGCGGGTGCGTTCATAGCTACTAAAGCCCCCGCAGGGGTTTTGCATGAGCAGTAGAGTGTCGACGCAATCTTGGAGACGGTCGTCGGTGATGATGTCGGGGAAGTTGCTGCGATGCGAAGGTAAGTGACTGACTTTACGATAATGTGCAGTTTGTGGTTGGTGGAAACAAACCATTCCTTCTGAAGCATCAAGACTGCTTTGAGACCCTCCGCAGCGCAATCGGACACCACATAGCCATTGTCCTTGGTACTGAATGACCATCCACCCTTCCGCGGTTGGCGATAGGGATCGGCCAAATCATCCCGTAGTTGGGAGATGTCGAGAAATTGCAGAGCCTTTTCCAACGTCGAACGGAATTCCGGGTCGGAGCCTAGTCCAGCCTCAACCATGGCCTGGATCGTAAACGCGGTGTCCCACGCTTGGACACCGTTAGTGCCACTGCAGGTCATTCCGTTCTCTCCCATCCACATATACGGGGATATTTTCTCCCGGTGACGAATCATGCGAGGGCTGTTGGTCCCATCAGAATGCCACACAGAGACCATGTGAAAGGCTTTGTTCACTGGAGCTAGGCAATTGTAGGACATGTTTTCATCTTCGCGCCGGATCAATGCGCAAACCCGCTCATTTGACCATTGAGCGATCCAATCGGGTCGTACATATTTCTCCCAGAAACGCAAGAGCCCATTGGCCACGCGAAGTAGAGTTGATGTCGGCTTTTTGAGATCTGAGGGTGCCACGTGATCCCGATACCGCTCGAAGACGATCTTCTCATACGGTGATGTGTAAATTTCCTGACGGAGGCTGGTGAGGAGCGAGTTCAAGGGTTTGGTGGTCTTGTTTGCATAAAGATACGACACAGGTAGGTATACTACGCGACATTGAACCCACCAGCGCCATGGATGGAATGGAACACAGTCAGGAAGTAACCTGAATTGGTAAGCTCATGCCATTAATCACACCACATAGGAATATACCACAACTCGGGTGGGATTGGATTCACTCCGTCCCAACTGTATAGATTTAATAATGCTAGCCAGACCTTTCCCCATTGAGGTACTCCAATTGCTCCTCCTGTCAATTCATGAGTTGAATATCAACTCTATATAATATACAGAAAAGAAGAGTTTACCCAGGGCATGCAGGCGCGTGCGAGCCTTGGTGGCCAAAGGATGGGTCGGTTCAAGACCCAAGATCCGCAGAGTAATGTAGTAGAGACTGGTGGCAAAAACCGTTGAATCGCCAGCTGAATGTAGGCCCCAGCCTCCATCCTTATTGACAGTGCTTGTTAGATAGTTGATAATCTCAATCTTCCACTCTGGGGAAATCTCTGTCTCGGTGATGTACATCGCAATCACTATGCCAGCCAGCAAGAAGCTGGGCCCGCCATATGCACAGCCCCAGTGGCCATCACTCAGCTGGAGACGCTGGTAGAACCGGAATCCATTGCGAGCAGATTCCTGGAAATTGCTCTGAGTCGGGGGTTGCGGTAATCCCTAAGTGAGCTAGGCTAGTCAAATGTGAGACCATGCTACGCATTACGCACTGTAGGCAGTCCGAGGAAGTATTTCTCGGCCGCAGACTGTGGCCGTTGGGTCGATGTCTGCTCGTCGACATACCGCCACCGATGAACCCCGTTGTCGACGTTGAGTCGCCATCGCTCAGGATATGTCCGAGCACTAGTCGACATTATTGAAGGGTGTGGGTTTCAACAGTTGAGATACTTGTTAAGAATACCACATGAATGGACAAAACCTCGGCAAAACTGGGGCATGCAAGGGGTTCGGCTGCGAGGGGTGGACAGGTTTGAAGGGGAAAAGATAAAACGGAGCAAAAAAAGAAGGAAAAATTAAAATAAGAAACAAAGGGGGCTCGACAGCCACTCAGCCGCACTAGCGCTACACCCATAGCAGCAGGGTAGGTGGCATGAGTACAAGCCCTATGGCGGTTAACTGCAGCCAAACCAATAGTCAGAATCCAGATTTCCCCCACCTCCAAGATGTAGGATCGCATAGCCCAATCAAAGCTCATACGAGGGTAAACGCTTGACCAGCACGGGCTCCGCGGTCGCAGCCTGGGTGATCCACTAGTGGCGGAAGCTGAAAGCTGAGACGAGGCTGACAGCGGCTAAACATGCACCCGGCTGTACGAACCCACCATCGGACATGGCGATGGGGAACTGGAAGTGACCTGGTGCGGTGGAATATTCCTCCCTCAGACACAGTGACACAAGGCTGTTATACTTGCACAACATCCTAGACATGAAAGAGCCTGGTGAGGATCCGCTTCCACTGTAAGTAGCTTCTTTGAAAGGGTGCAGGTTTACCCTGCACGAGCAAGTAACGGGTATGTTTAGTATGGTGGAAACCCTCAAGGGGATAAAAGAGATACTCTCCAGGTCATAGCAGTGATTGGGTGGGGGGGCACATCCCAAAATAAGATGTGGATGGGGAAAGCAAAATCAGCCAAGAGGTCAAAGCGGCGCGGGCCGAGGGCATCCCCACTAGCTACAGAAGTCTTGGACATCTTGGATGAATAAGATGGGGACCAAGGGCTACAACATGTTAGACTACTCATTCTACTCTATGAGAGTGAAATCCCCTCTGTTAACCATTTTACCTGGTGAGGCCAATAAGGTGGCCAGCGTTGTAAAGGTAGTGTAGGTGTGGCAGGAACTAATATAGGCTATGCCACTGGCGCACACGCGCCCTGCCCACAGGGGCTACGATGTCATGTCTGGACCATATCAACGGCTGAAACAGGTGTGTTGTGGTCATAGGGACTACTATCAGAATCTGAATTTATTGGCTGGTTAACCACTGCGAGTCATGGAAGCATCACCCCCCCCTCCTTCCACCCCTCGCGGTCAGCTCCTACCTTCTTAATCCCACTTCTCTAATCTCTTCTCTCTCTCTCCCCCCGTCTATAGTCTATATCCGTTCCTATTACGCCTACCTACCTTCTTCCCAGCATGGACCGGCAAAAGGCACGAGAACTAATCGAAGGGATATCCAAACAATATGGATACCTCAATGAAGATGTTCTAAGCCAGATGTCGGCCGATGTCCGACGTCAAGTTGTGGAAGCGATGCTGAAGAAAGACAAGATAATCGCATCTTCTGTGATGACGTGAGTAGGCCTTCCTATCCGCTATCTGTCCATTCCTGGCTTACACCATCAGCTTGTCCAAGAATCTGTATAGCAGCAGCGCGCGCTTCGTCTTCGAGCTGCTACAAAACGCCGATGATAATCACTACACCACAATAAAGAGCCGTGGTATTGGACCCCCAATTACCTTTCACGTGTATCCGCGACGCATTGTGGTGGATTGTAACGAGGATGGCTTCACGCATGAGGATATTGTGGCCATCTGCAACGTCGGTAAGAGCTCCAAAATGGGTGCCCAGGGCTACATAGGCGATAAGGGCATTGGCTTCAAGTCGGTCTTCATGGTCGCCTGGAAAGTACACATCCAATCAGGCAACCTCTCCTTCTCCTTCCAGCATAAACCGGGCTATTCAGGCATGGGGATGATCACCCCGGTCTGGGAGGAAGGCGAGGAGCAGCTGGAGGGCCCGCTGACTCGCATGACCCTCTATCTTCAGGATGATGAGGCCCGGAGGCAGTCCGCTATGCAGCAGTTTCGCGATTTGCAAGACACACTACTATTGTTCATGTAGAACCTTGAGCAGCTCGTAGTGTTCATGTACGACAATGACAAAATGATATCCTCGACAATGTTTGAAATCAAGAGACAGGAAGGAAATCGCAAGGTGCTGCGCAAAACAATTGTTCGAGATGGGAAGATAGAGGAACTCACACAGCACTACTACTTCACCAAATACCTCGCCCAAAACCTGCCCCCAAGTGAGAATCGAAGGTATACCAGATATGAACAGGCCACCAAGACATATAGCAAGGCACTAGTCATGCTTGCATTTCCCCTAACCCAAGATTCTATTCCAATAATTGAACAGCAAGATGTTTTTGTCTTTCTTCCCATTGGCAATATGGGATTCACTGTAGGGACCTCGCTCTTTTTGGTTATTTATGGTTGAGCTTATATCAGATGGCAGTTTCTAATTCATTCGGACTTCGTGACAAATGCAAATAGACAAAATATCATTTACTCCTCCGCACGAAATTGTAAGCTGCGGGCTGCGGTTGCCAATGCCTTTAACATGGCTGTCTTGGGGATGTGCAATCATCCCTTACTGCGATACACATGGATGCGCTATCTGCCGACAGACAATGACAATCAATGGGACCCGTTCTGGGCGAGGCTACTGAGCGAAATTAAGGACTGCTTGAGATCAAGCCCCATTTTACAGAGTCATACGAGTCGATCATGGCTCTCCATTGAAACTATGCTGTATCTAAAGGACTATTCGTTTGATAAGTCTGGAGACCCTCTCTTCCCCGACCTCCCAGGGGAGCGATACCTCTCATCGAGTTACGATAGGCAGGATATTGGGCAGCTGAAGGAGTACGGCCTCCAATCCATGCATCTAGGTGGCATTGTCCTGCGGGCTCAAAGGGATCTTCAATTGCCCGAGTCCCAGATGAAGAACATTCACACCGACCAAGACTAGCACTCTCGTGCTGCCAAGATCCTCGCCATCCCTTTCGTTAAGAGATGCCCTAACCTGATACGGATGGTCAAAGCCTTGCCCCTGATTCCTTTGATGACCGGTCATTGGGTATCGATCCGAGAAATATCTGTCCACTATTCATCAATCGGGGAGATTCCACTTCCTCGAGACCTTGGCCTTGCTCTAGTCAATCCCGATGCAGAGAATAACCCACAGCGTAGAATTCTATTCGAGTACCTAGGAGTTCGTGAGGCGTCTATCGATTACGTTCGAGGGCTGATCCTGGAAAGATTCAAATCAAGCAATCCTGCAAGCCTCAGCCCCCAAATGTCAAGGAGTCACCTTGTGTTTCTCTATCGCACAACAACCCTCTTTTCTCCCGCTGCTCAAGCTATCAACATACAGTTGTTCGACGATAAGGAGAGCTTACGAAACCCAAAGACCGACAAGTTCTATTTTCCTCATGATGACCCATGGGGTGCCAAAGCATTACTTGAGCCTGTTCCAAGCGGGGCACCCGGGCTGGAGGTTTCGTATATAAACAAGGAATATCTGCACGATCCTCCATCACGCCCACCAACAGAGGCACTACCATGGAACAGGTGGCTACAGCAAGCTTGCCAAGTCCGTGATACCCTCTCACTAACTGAATCCACTACATCCACGCCTAACGTTGCTCTGGGGCGGGAATTCCTCTATGTTGCGCAGCACCGGCCAGAAAGGTTCATGGGTCTACTTGCAGCCCGCTGGCCATTCGATGGGCCCACGGTCGTTCAACAACCAGACCTTGTAAAGCAAATTCGATAAATCGAGGTCCTCTACGAGGACGGCACTAAGAACCGACTGTCGGGCTGCTATATTCCAACCCCAGCGCTGAAAGGGATGGTTTCAAAGTTCATGAGGGACAATGAGTTCTTTCCATGGTTGCATCTCGATCTACCATTTGACCAAGGCATGCTTGCACCGGCATGGGCGGCTTTGACCAAGGCTCTCAGCTTTGGGTCTCCTGAATCTCAATTAGACTTCTATCTGGATATTATGAACTCCCTATGTGATGCCCTCTATTATGGGGACTCGGACCCCAACAGAATGTTCGACCTCTATGTCAAAGTCCAGATGGAATGCCATGCATCTGTTGCGGACTCTCGTGCTGCAGAGAAAGTTCGGTAAGTCTAGGACCTGTGTGTTATTTAAATTACTAATTTTCCCAGGAACCACGTTTATAGATTCACCGATATTTGGATTCCGCCACAGGATTATGTAGATATGTCGCGATGTCTCTAGGAGGCACCCCGTGATATGAAGAGCAAGTATCCCCTCGAGTCACTGTTTGAAGACTACTGTCGGCAGAACCCGGCAGACGCCATTTACCTCAAGGATTTCTTTCAAAAGACGCTGCAAATCCCCAATGTCGGCGCAGATGATTTTTTATCCGAGTTGAGGATGCTGCAGTCTGATAAATGCAATAACTTTGACCAAATCAGTACGGTATATATTGAGTTGAGGCGAATGTGTGAAATGATGTCTCCAGAGACTGCGGATCGTGTTCGGTTAGTCGTATATATGATACTGATGGTTCTTGGCTCACTTTAATAGCTATTGCTTTGCCAACGAGCGTCTCATTTATGTGGCCTCCGGTTGGTATACCGTTCCGGAATGTCTATGGTCAACATGTACCTCTATTTCTGGTCGCACTGCGCTCAACGACCATTACCACGGTCTGAGAGAATTCTTTGTCGATTTTCTCGGGGTCCAGAGACTAACAATGCAGATGGTCGTGGAAAGGCTTCGAGACCTGGGTCTGACGAGCTCATCTGTCGACAGCGTGAAAGAAACCATGTGGACCCTCAATGCTCTGATCCAGACTGATGATTCAGATATCTTCTCTCCTGAAGCTATTTTAAACAGTGCCGTTTTCCCTGTCCGGTCTCCTCAAGGTGGCGTGCAGCTTCAGACGTATGCAGCCGCGTTTGGAATTGCGGATCGCAAGCATCTTCTAAGCCATTTTAGCTCCAAGGCCAAGCTGCTGGACTTTGAAGTTGATGAAATCCCACGCCTTGAGCCGTTTATCTTATGGAGTGGGCTCTGGGACCGCTATCTGTCGTGCTGTGTCAAGGAGATCACGATGGTGGATAGAGACGCAGCTCGGCCATTGTCCAATCCTGATCGTGATATCCGTCCAAAGGCACACGGTCTTCTTCGGTGGGTTATTCACCTCCAAACTAGCTCTATGCGTCAGAACTAACTATTATCCTACAGCTTTGCAGTTCATCTTCAAAGCCCCCGCGCGGTTCAGGATGAAGAGGCCCTTTACGAAACACTTAAAACAATCAGCATGAAGGAAACCAACGGGATCTTATCTGAGCTGCGTCTTCATCAGGATGGGATGGACATCAAGGTTGAGATTTCGAGGAGTGAGCTGCACCTCGACGCCCGAGACGGACGACTCACCGTGTATATTTCAGAAGACCGGCGCGCCCAGGACATATGTTTCCTTGACCGCTTACCAGTAGCCCTCCTGCAATGGATGAAGACAGACCCATCGACGCAAATTGTGCATGACTTTGGTAACAATGCCATTACTGTCATGCAAACGCTTCTGCACCCGTATAACAATTACGTCTCAGACCTGCTAGACCGCGCTGGTATTATGTCCATCGCGAAAGCGGACGACGCAACTGTCACTGGAGAGAGCCGCGCTTCGAAACGTGATCCGCCATCCACCGCCGCAGAAAGCAGCGGCGTGGTCGAATACACTATCTTTGGCTCGGACGATCTCACATCCATGTCCTCCCGGCCGAGACATGACTCTTTGATCTCAGAATCCACCCTTGTTTCTCCGTCCCTGCGGTCTCTCCCAATGGCTCAGCCTTCTACTGCTACCCTGAAACATTATACGGACACTCCGATTGATCCAGAGTACCTCCGATTGCTATCATATGTCCTCGAGTATGCGAGAGGTACCGCATTACCCAGCCAAGGAGCATTTGATATGACAGCATTGGATGAGTCGATTACAACGGACTCATGCTCTAAGCCTTACCAGCTTCAAATCTCTGACCAGTGGGAACGGGACTCTAAGATCGGGGCAGCCGGAGAGTTGTTCGTAAGTTATCTTCCTGTTCACCATCGTCCGAGACATAGGAACTAATCTTAGAAGGTGTTCGAGCTCCTCTCACGTCTAGATCCACACCTACCTGCGTTCACTCGCGACAACTGGAAAAGCAAGATTCGGAGATTCGTCACGATCCTCCCCGAATACTCTACCATGACCGCATGGCATGGTCGGGAGACAGCTGATATCGCCTACGACGACCACGATGGTGTTCTCACCTCTCTATTTATCGACAAGGGATACTTACGTGAGGATATCTGGAGGGGGGAAACACCCCGATTCCACATTGATGTCAAATCCTCTACGGGGGCTTGTCAGACGCCTTTCTACATGAGCAAACATGAGTACCGACGGGTGAGACGATACCTTTTTCCAGAAGTATGGTATCTAACTCTTCATAGATGCAGGAAATGTCCAACGGGAAGTCCCAATCGGAGAACGCAGATGTGGTGTACGTGATCTTCCGTGTTTATGATCTGGGACAACGGAGCATGAATGTGAAGGTGTATGTGGATCCGGAAGTGAGGCGAGTAAGAGAGGAGTTAGTCTTCACTGCTGAAAGCTGGTCGGTTGTTCCGTCTTGATGGATATTGTTGGATTGTACGCTTGCATATCTGATATGGGCACAGGTCAGTCACAGTGTTATAGAAGGACATCATGGGAAAGAGGCGGCGGTCGTTCGGGAGAGTGATGACTGACTGTTATACATTGTGGTCTACTCGTCTTTCCGGTCACTATTATGTTGGTCAGATATTCCTTTGATCTAGTTAGGAGTAATTTTCTTCTTTTCTTTTTTCCTCCATCCATCCTTGGCCATAGATTGTTGAGAGGCTCAGAATACAAATGTTGCCTCGCCTATCACTTCTACCAGTACCCAAGACATTATCCAATACCATCTCTCCAAAATCATCAAGTGATATCCCACGCTGTCTGACCTCTAAACACAATTAATCGATGCTAGAAATCTCATCTAAGAAGATTGCGGCAGAAGATATCGTGGGGTCATAGGGGCAGGGATAATTCATCTGCAGGATAAAGCACAAGGAGAAGAGGGAGATGATTAACATGCGAACAATCTAAAAAGATTATGTGTAAAAGATGAGTAAATATTCCAGTCACAAAAGCCCGACTTGACTAGGGCTCCACCCAGGTGCCCCACTATACTCCACTAAGCTCGGATAGACCCAACGCTGGATGCTGAATGAGGCTCATCCTCTACCTTTCTCCTTTGTCGTCGATTTATATCTTTGAGACAAAGCAATCTAAACCAAGCTTACTTGCTAAACATCTACATTTCCAGACTTTGCAAGCATCAAACAGCTATAGATTATCCAAGCATCAATGGTAAGATTTCCTGGTACACCGTTCCTGCTTAGCTCTAGCTGCGGGCGATACGAGACGCTAGAACCGATAGAAAAGTGGATGATCCTGATGAACCCCGCTGACTGACATCACTGCAAATCCACCCGGAACTCACGTCGGAGACCGAGGCGCTGTTAAACCTTGTAACCCTGCTAACTCCGGGAATCCAATATTCTTCATATATATTCCATCATGCTCACCCTTGACTCCACATACATACTTTCCTCATATTGCATCAATTCAACATGTCTAAAATTGTCTTAATCACCGGCTCTAACACGGGCATCGGCCTTGAGGTCGTCAAAGCCCTTGTGGGCGCCAGCAAGCCATACACCATTCTTATGGCTGGACGGACCCCTCAAAAAGTGCACGACGCCATCTCCACCACTCAGAAAACATTCCCATCGACCCCCAGTACATTCGTACCGCTCCAAGTGGACCTCGAATCGGACAATTCGATCGAGCAGGCATTTACCGAGGTGAATTCCAAGTTCGGCAAACTAGACGTCCTCATCAACAACGGCGGTATGCATTCATACCCTTCCTATAGTACTTATCTTCTGACTCTCCCAGGGGCAACCTTCGATCACGAAGTCCTATCCGGCAAGCTCAGCGCGCGAGACATGTGGAACAAGACCTGGAACGTCAACACTGCCGGAACACATATCCTGACCTCGACCTTTGCCCCTCTCTTACTACGGAGCTCGGACCCTCGTCTGTTGTTTCTCACCTCCGGCACATCCACTCTAGCTGGTACGGATAATCTAGCTACCCCCGTGAACCAAGTACCACCTAAGGGCTGGCCCAAAACTGGTTTCAATGTACCTGCGTACCGGAGTTCCAAAACTGGTCTCAATATGCTCATGCGCGAGTGGCATCGCTGGTTGAAAGAGGATGGCGCGAAAGTGTTTGCTATCTCCCCTGGGTATCTGGCTACGGGCTTGGGTGGTGATCCTGAGGCTTCGAAGAAGCATGGCGCTCAGGATCTCGTCACTTCGGGTGTTGGTGCGTTTATCCGCGGTGTTATTGAGGGGGAGCGCGATGCGGATGCGGGGAAGGTGATTAATAAGAACGGGGTTCAGGCTTGGTAGATGGTGGAGTCCCTCAAACATCAGGGCAGGTCTTTCGCAGCCTTTAGACTGGTGACTCTGATTGTTGGCTAGTTGGCAGTAGGTCTGACGTGTAATATATATCGAATGTATTTTGTTTATCATTATCCTGAATTGGGCTTTATCGACAAAATGCAAGCGGATAGCTAGCGAGATCTGCAAAGTGGAGGTAGGAATATATAGCCAGCCTGACCTGGCTATGATAAAACCCTGACGCCAATCAAAGATCAATGTAAATGATTCAACTTGGTAACCAAAGTTCCTGCCCCGCGCCCTTCTAGACTTTTTCTATTTGCCATCGTTCAGTTGGAGACTAACTCCGCAAGACCACAAAATCCGATCATGAATGGTTGGCGTGTGCTCTGAACCCACTGGCCAATTAAGAAAACGTATTAGGCAATAACAAACACAATCATGCCACTCTGGTAATGTGATAGCTCTTCTTCCTGGCATCGGCAAATTGTTGCTCAGCCTAACACCCTAGTCACGGTCTTGTACCACCTTCCAATCCCAAGTACCTATCACGATGTCCATCACGTGGCACACCAGACTACTTCGGCTTATTCTATAATATACAATATCATCATAGCTCACATGATGCCAACATCTCCTGCCTCTGGTTCTGGTGGCTGACTCCCGCCTGCCGAACCCTACAAGATGCCAAAGTCCGGTTCCGAGGAGCAGTGGCGCCCAACACCCCAACAACCCGGTTTTCTCGATGCTTGTCATCGCAGTGGGAAGAATAATCGCCCGAGATTAGGCTTACGCTTGCTTTCAGCACCATTGATGCCCCACTACGAAGGGACACCATCCCCTCTGGCCCGGAATGTGATGCCTTCCACGATGGTAATGGTTCAGGCTGAACCCAGTGTCCAGGAGGTGAATCTCTCCACCAGAGATGAGGGACAACACCGCGATGAATTTGAGGTCCGTTGGGACGAGGATGATGTCGCCAATCCACATACTATGAGACCGAAGCGAAAATGGGCTATCGTGATTCTGGTCTCGTCTATGACACTGTGTGTCTGTGTCACTAGCTCCCTTTACACGACTACCTATAATCAGATCATGGTCGAATTTGACTGCTCACGGACTGTCGCGACTCTTGGACTGAGCTTCTACATTGCTGGGCTGGGCTGGGGGCCTATGGTGATGAGTCCTTTGTCGGAGTTCTATGGACGGAGGCCTATTTACCTCGTTTCGCTTCCGCTGTTTGTCATATTCATCGTCCCTTGTGCCGCGGCACATAATATCCAGACTATGTTAGTTGCCAGATTGTTGGATGGACTTGCAGGAGCGGCTTTTACGTCGGTCGCAGGGGCTACCGTGGGCGATATGTACAGCAAGAGTACCCTGCATACTCCGATGCTGGTCTACACGGCTTCACCATTGTATGAACCCGGTCTTTATTGCTGGTTGAGACTAATTGCTGTGCAGCACGGGGGCTAGTCTGGGTCCTGTCCTCGGTGGACTGATAAATAGCTGGGCTTCATGGTAGGTCCACATGTGGACGTACGCTGTGCTACAGACTAAAACAAACAGGCGATGGTCATTCTACTTTCTTCTCATCTGGTCAAGCTTACAATCTATCCTTGTCATGATCTTCGTCCCTGAGACTTACCATCCTGTTCTACTCCGCAACCGAGCTCGCAAACTACGCCAGGAGACCGGTGACGAGCGATGGAGAGCACCGATCGAAAAGCTGGATCGATCTGTGTTGAAGGTAGAGGCGCTTCCTATTCTGCAATGCTACAGTTGCTAACTGCTGTTTGACTAGACCGTTATCCGCTCCCTCTATCGTCCCTTCATGCTCCTCGTCCTCGAACCAATGTGTCTCAACCTGTGCATCCTCTCCGCCATCGCCCTCGGTGTTCAATACCTCTTCTTCGGCGCATTCGGGGTTGTCTACGGCAATGCATACAATTTCAAACTCTGGCAGACAGGACTGGCCTTTCTGGGCCTTCTGGTGGGAATGGTTCTGGCGGTCGTGATCGATCCGTTGTACGTGACAACCCTCAAAGGACCTACCGACATGCACTGCATCCCGCATGCTACATTATTCCACCATTAACATCTACCAGATTCTGCAAACTCTACCCCTACTTCTCCAGCAAATCCAGCCGACAAAACCCCACCGCAGATCAAGAGCCCGAAAGCCGTCTCCCTCCGGCCGTCATCGGCGCCCCGCTTCTCACAATAGGCTTGTTCTGGTTCGGATGGACAGCGTAACCCCTCCCCGTCCACCCATTCCCCCAGAACAAATTACGAATACTAAAAAGCCATTGATTAGCACCCCCTCAATCCATTGGATCGTCCCCATAATCGGCAGCGCAGTTTTCGGAGCCGGGTACGTACCCTTCCCCCTTCCAGGCGTCCAGGCGTCCAGGCCCACAGGCCCACAGGCCCCCTACACCCCCCTTCGAACCCCCCACTAACGCCAATACCAAAAATAGAATGATCTTCGTATTCCAAGGCGTCTTCACCTTCTTCGTCGACGCATATCCCCTATATGCTGCAAGCGCTCTCGGCGCAAACAGTTTCACGAGAAGTACCTTTGCCGCGGCATTTCCGCTGTTCGGTGTGGCTAGTAAGTTTGCCCTTTCCCGTGTGATATGTACCATGTGATGGGTTGGAACGCCCGATGACGAGTACATGGAATTTAGTGTACCATAAACTGGGAGACCAATGGGCGACGTCGCTACTCGCGTTTTTGAGTCTGGTTATGGCGCCGTTTCCGTGAGTTGTTTTCTTCTCTTTGCATTGTTGTGTGGATTTGGGGGGAGGTGGGGGATGGGATGGCTGACAAGTGTGATAGGTATATTTTCTTTAGGTATGGGAAGAGGATTCGGGGGAAGAGTCGGTTTGCGACGAAGAAGTGAGGGGTGGGGTGGGGTGTAGTTGGTGTGGTAGGGGTGTATTAAGAAGCATGGTATTGATTTTGGAGATTTAGTTGAATACTTCTAAGCAAAGATGATATGATAATAAGGTCGCCATACTTGCAATCTAGACCTCGCCAAAAACAAATCCAAAATCAAACCAGAGTTTTCATTAATAGCAAGCCATAAAAAAAAACAAATATCCCAAACTTTTGTATCCCACATCCATCCCTATACCACACTTCCTCCCTTCCACACAATCCACCAATCCCAAATCCAAACAACCAACCCACAAACCACACCCTAAACCATCACACTAGCCATCACAACAACAGGATGTCCAATTTCAATCCCCTGTCTATGCGCCCTCAACGCCGTCACCGCATCCAATCTCTCCGACAACAGCTCATTCTCAACCTGCTTGGCTCTCAACCCCGCCCCAGCGGGAGTCTGATCACCGAAGATATCCTTTAGGGTACTCGTGCGGTAGAAATAAAACTGTACACAACTATTAGCCTACCCTACTTGTGCTATATTACTATGTGGGTCGGTAACTCACCGGTCCAATCCCCCGCTCCTGCGCCTTCGCATACCCCCCAATCACTTCATCCGGCTCACTCTGCACCTTCCACGACATGGAAAGAATCCGGCCCGTGAAGCCAGCTGCTTCGGATAATCGGAGCATAGTCTCAATCGGGACGCGGCCGCCCATACTGGACAATATGACGCCGGATTTACTGAGGAGATTGAAAGTCCGGGCTTGGATGAGACACACGAAGTGCAAATCCAATAGCGAGTCGGAGACAAATCGCGGAACGAGGTTCGATACATCATTCGAGCTGAAGTATGTTGAGGAGGTTTGGCCGTCTAGGAGGTCCGCGTCGTCGGGGAGGGGGATGTTGGGGAGGTTTCTGTTTTTATCTTCTTAGTCATATTCAAGACTACTAGGGCTTGATGCTGGCTCACTCATAGATCAAATCAAAAGGTTCCTGACCGCGAAGCGGAACTAGACATTCGCCAGAGATACCAATGGCTTGGGTTGCGACGGTTCGAACCCGGTTCTCGGATTCGTTTGTAGCGGATAGGACATTTGCTTTGGCTTTTGTGACGACCTCGTCGTGGAGGTCGGTCATGGCGATGGTGCGGAGATGGGGGAAGATGTCCAGCGCGGCGATGGCGTCGGTGCCGGATCCAGTGCCGATGGTTGCGAAGCGGTGCACGGGGCCAAACTTGGCGGCTTGGAAGGCGGAGAATGAGTTGAAGGCGGCGGTGACAGCCCAGTCGGCTCGGGGGGTGTGGATCTGGATGGTTGGTATGTGATGGGAGTGGGGGAAGGGTGGGGAAAGGGGGTACCTTGGGGAGGTAGCTGAGGTCTGATAGAGAGATGTTGAACTTGCGGTTTATGTTTTGAGGTCCGACGCCGAAGAATGATTTGAAGTCGATAGTATAGGTGGTTGGGGACTCGGGGATCCCATGTTTGACATCACTGCTGATGATGCACGGTTCTTCTTCGACAAAGACGGGCGCCATTTTCGGAGTGTATATGCGTCAGGGGTCAGGATATTGATTAGATGCTGATAGCTTCGATGATATTGATGATTCTGAAGATAAGGATAGTAGATTAAAGAATCACGACCTTGCTAGTAGGCTCAGGTCCCCTTATATAAAGGAGGAAATGTAATTGATCATAAATTGGTAGGACTATTCCAAGGAGATCGGACTTTTTTACAATGGTAACTGCGAAGAGAGGATATTGGCCATTGTTAAATGTGCATTTCCTACATTTAAAGGGATGTTTCAAAAGTATATATATAGTAGCAGGAAGGTGATAGCAGACATACATGTGATATGGTGCCAACATTTCCCTGCCAAGTTAGAATAAGTTATGCCACGCCTCATCATCCGGGGACACATATACTTGGAATTAGAACGGTAGTTTCCAGACTTGTAAGGCTATACCCACTGAAGACATCATCCTCATAGGTGAATGCCGTTAGCCAAGATGATGCCGAGATCCAGAAGGCCTTACACGGACAGATGCATTTCTGCGTGGCGAACTATGATTCATTTTCACAAGCAGTTTGTATATAGATGTTTGGTCGAGTAATCGATGCGGTCAAAAGCTGGCAACACTTTTAGGCCTCCTGGAATAGAAACCGAGCTCAATCAGGACTCCCGAGTCTAGGGGCATCTGAAAGAGTAAGCCCGGTGATTGTTATGGTTGGCTCAAGTGATTAGACTCGGTCAGGACCAAGGTGCATCTCTGGTTCTGCTAGGATAGTCCGACACTCTAAATGCGCTGCCACCGAGATGACACGGGAGTGGCTTGCACAGCCATCATCAAACGTATGCTGTAGGCCATGGTCTGGTACAGCTCAGCAGGCTTGCTTCGGATTGGTAGCATCCCTGCACATTCCAGAGAAGTGTAGATCAGTGGGCCATGGCTGAGATTGTAGCTGTCATGTGGAGGCTGGTCGGTTGAGTCTAACTTTAATCAGACTTCCTCCCATCGATCTTTGCTGTCTCGGTCCCCCCGAGCCTGGGTTTCTTGACACTGGGCCGCATTCTGCTAAGTCCTGTCTCCACCATGGGGGGCCTAGACAGTTGCCAAGGGCTGTAGCCAAGTTAACCTAGCTCATGCCCGGATTCCGCAGGTCCGTGGATACTTTAACAGCACATGACCAGTTGTTTGTATTGATTGCATTCCATTGCAGCTGATCTCACCAAGAAACGGGTTTCTTACCCCATTGTCACTATCCCGTCCTAGGTAGGCTTATTGAGATTATCACTGCAGTGAGCTTTGATGGTCGGCTATTCCGTTGAAAAGTCTTAACTTCTGGACGACTATGCCCAAGATGCGCAACTGTTCGATAGCTCGTTCGCCAGGTCGTGACCCAGTTTCCTGCCTAGATAGCACTTTCCTGTGCCCCGGAAACAGTGTTTATCTCTTGGATGTGAGTCGTATTCTGCGCCTGTAAAAAAGGCACCCGTCTCACTTCCTCCAAGCCCGTTCCTGAGATTGAGGCTGTAAACGATGGTGTGATAGGGGTGCTGACTGCACCGTGATCCTTCATTAATCGCAATCCACTTACCGGGCTGTGTATATCCACCGGTTGATACCCGGTGGACCCTACTGTATCTCCCCGCAGATAGCAACATCGCATGGCTGATAAGCGATAGTAATTTACCCAATCGGTACTAGTATCATGCCCCAGAGGATCAAGGATTTGAGGCTCATCCCTCACTTTTATTACCCCTGATGCTACCAGCAGTTATCACCATAAGCATTGCATAGAATTGATTCTCCAACAGAGTCGTCAATGACCGACATGCTGGAGAACTGAGGGCAAGGCTGACTGCACGCGTCCCTGAACCCCAGAGTGACGCGGTCCCTTGCCTGATAGGGCTTTGAGCTGCCGCCATCCCCACCCGCAGCCGCCTGGCAGCCAATGAAATTAACACGGGCCAGGGCCGGGCCCAATGGGGGCCGGTATCCTTACGCGTCAATACGGGGGTATCAGGAGTGTCGGAGGGTTTCTTGTCCGCTGATGTCACTCGCAGTGCTTTAGCGCTGCTGGCATCGGCTCTGTCAAGGAGGTTGCCTATTGCCTACCGGTCATATGCAATCGGGCTGGATCGTGAAGATCTCAGCCCCTGTCACGCTAGCGTGTGCGCAAGTCTTCCTCAAAAGCCGAAGACCCCCCGCTGCTTCTATCTCTTCCGGCCACTGCCTGATGCTCCATCAACATGGGCTCCTTCAGACTCCCCACGTTATGGCGACGGCTTTCGCTCGTCCTGGGGGGCCTCGTCATCGTCTGCTTCCTCTATTCCACTTACGACAGCAGCTGGACACAATGGCAGGCACCGGTGCCGGTTACCTCGTGCACAGGATTCGATCTGGCATCGGTATCCGAAGATCTCCACGATCGAATGAAGGCAGAAAGCGACTACACTCCGGCAGAAATTGACCAGTTCGTCTGCGGCATCGTCAACCACGACATGAGTGCATCCGCCCAGCTCGAGTGTCCCGCAACCATCAGCCCGCGATACCAGACCCTAATCCCCACCGATGCCGGAACATCCCCAGAAATCGCATACTTCTTCACCCTCAACCTACACCAAGTGATACACATCATCCTCCCGCTCATGGGAAGTATACTCGAGGCGATTCGATACTTGGGACCGGAGCACTGCGCTTTGTCAATTGTGGAGGGCCGGTCCACGGATGGGACATATGAAATCTTGGCCAGTCTGAAGGCAGAGCTGGATGTCTTGGGAGTCCGCTACTATCTATCCCGGAGCTCATTGAATCCGCTCGGACCGGGAGAAGATCGCATTAAGGATCTGGCCGAGCTACGGAATATGGCTCTCGAGCCCCTCATCACCGGCGTCAAGCAGAAGAACGCACCCTTTGCCCACGATCCTATGATTATATTTATCAACGACATTGGCATCTGTGCGGAGGACATCCTCGAGTTGGCATATCAGCAAAAGGTGCAATCGGCATCTATGACATGCGCGTTTGACTGGAGGGAGGAGGGCGTCATCCACGATGTTTGGGTGTCGCGCGATCTGGCCGGTGATCTTTTCTTCGACATTTCCTCCGACGGGCGCATATGGGACTCTCACAACCTGTTCTCACATCACGAAGACAGTCGCCAGCGTTTCTCGAAGCATCTCCCGGTGCAGGTATTCAGTTGCTGGGGTGGAATGGTCACATTGGACAGTGGGCCGTTCATAGATGGCCAGGTTCGATTCCGCTATTCGGAGGAGGATGAGTGCTACCAAGGAGAGCCAACTCTGCTGGCTCAGGACCTCTGGCGGCAAGGCATGGGAAAAGTGCTTGCAGTGCCCGCCGTGAATGTCGCGTATGAATATCGCTGGACATTAAGGGCCAAACAGGACAAGGGCTATGTCCATGACATCGTCAACAAGCCGCGCTATAAAGGTCACGACGAACTCGTACGTTGGCAGGAAGAACCGCCCAAAAAGATCAAGTGTATGCCCAGCTGGGATAAACAGTCCTGGGTGGACGCTATCTAGATCATCCATAGCCTTCTCGCCTCTCGATTAGCGAGGAGGTTTGTATCAATATTCTGAATTTTTCATCTAAAGTCCGCCACTATTGAGCATGTCCGTCCGGGACGAGGCACGACGCGACAAAGTATCCTACGGAGTACGTGGCCTGCAGGAGCCCCGTGCTAGCGCCTGATCGTGGGATATTGCGGCCATTATCCAACCAATCAACAATAATTTGGCGGGGAGTGCAGGAAGAGCATATTCACACCCATTCGATTGGATGGCCCCGCGCCCTAACTGCCCGCCGTCGCTCACTAGTGCTGACGGGGTGATACAGACTTCACCCTCCAGTCAAGAACCGCTTGTGAGCTCTGCGAGGCTGCAAGTGCAACTTGCTTAAGCCTCTGAGAGTGATTACTGCTGCAGCGATTTATTTTTACGGAACATCAAGCAATCATGGCTGCCCTCGCGCCATCGGGTCGCACCGACCCCCGACTATCCAGCCCTATGGGCAATCTCGCAATTTCCCTCCAGCTAGGGGCTGCGCCGCATTGACCAGGTCTGTTCTTTGTTCGCATATGACCCTGTTCGTTTAAATTGCTCGCGTCGGGCGCTCAGCGTTCCATCTCCACATTCACCCCTCGCTGGGCAAGCAGACCCTCACCATGGCCCCTCAGCATCTTTACACGCTGGCGGACCAAGGAGAAGCAGAAGTCGAACCACATACAAGCACAGATGCGACAAACACATCGTCGCCTCAAAAAGGTACGACGTATTCCGATGAGCCTCCGACAACCCCTTCGTCGATCGCATCCTCGTTGGAGAAGGGGTCTACCGTCACATCGCGTTGGACCATCGGATGGATGACCCCAGGGTCCATCATCACTTGCTTTCTCCTAGGTACGATCAACACAATCCCACTTGCGAGCCGTGTCTTCCAAACTCTTTCGTCTACACATTGAGCGTAGTTCAATATATTAACTGGCTCAGCGGCCACCCTGGCGTCCATGCACCTAGGCCTCTTCCACTGGCTGGACCAGCGGGAAGTCAACAAGACCATCAAGCAACCCTACGTAACAGCGCTATCGGTCGTCTTTGTCAATGCCTTTCGAACTTTCCTGGCCGCCGCCCTGGGCATGTCTTTTATCCAGATGCTGTGGAAAGACCTGCGCGCGCGTCCGATGCGCATCGGTGACCTCGACTGCTTCCTCTCCGTCTTAACCAACCCCATCTACCTCGGGCGCATACAGCTTCTCGGGGTAGCCCCCATCCCATTCATCTGCGCCTTGATCTGCTGGTGCATTCCCATCGCCATGATCTTCCCCGGCGGCGCTCTCACCGTCGAGCCAAAGTCGCTCCATATCCTGGCCAACCGATCTGTTCCAACCTTCGACCCGAGTTTCATGGGAAACGGGTCCTTTCAGGGCATGATGGCCCAGGCTCTGTGGCAGCCGGATGATTTTGATGCATACAGGTCGACATTCCCTCCACCGTGCCACCTTCCTCACTAACGAGCCACAGCGGACCCACGAACAAGCTCACGCGCGTCGCCAGGCAGGCCATAATGGCCGGTCACTACCTGCCCTCATCATCCCCATGCGATACAGACTGTTCCTATACAATCACCATGCCAGGTCCCAGCTTCGAGTGTCGCAACTACTCCTCTCCCGATCTCTACACCTGGGTCAATAGAACCTACCCGCAGACTCAAACATGGCCATATCTGTACCTCGCCTCGGCAGACTACGCCGCACGCACCAACCAGTCGGAATATATCCTCGACTTCGCCTTACGCTGGAAACAGAACGACGGGTATCAGAATCTCACCTGCCGAGCATACGAGTCAACCTATACGCTAGACATCACCTACACCGGAGGCACACCATGCATCACGACAAAAGTCGATCCCATCCGCCCGTTGAACACCTCCGGTCTATACACAGACTTTGGCGTAGAACCCGAGACAATGGCAGAGGACGCACATATCAACGCGACCACAACAGGATCCGGCGGAGGCAACGTCACCGACATCTATCGTCGAGCCAACCTGGCCGCGGTCCAAGACTCCTTAGTCCTCGCATTGTCTGGCTACATTGATATATTCCGTACGTACCTACCTCCCTTCTCCCCGCCAACCCTACCTCACACACTAACAACAACCACCCCAACCCAGTCCTCCACAACCAACCCTCCGCCAACACAATCATCTCCCTATCCGAACTCTACTCCGGCAGCATCTACTCCCCCACCTTCAACATCACCAATTTATCCCTCCAAAACCTCCTCCAAAACATCACCCTCTCCCTCTTAACCCTAAACCAAACCACCACCGAAACAACCGTCACCAACAACGTCACCGTAAACGTCTACTCCTTCAAGCGACCCGCGCGTCTCATCACCCCGTACTTCGTTTGTCTTGGAGTCGGACTGGCGTTTATTCTCTTTGGTGGACACGCGCTCGTCAGTAATGGTATTTCTGCTAGTATGACGGGGTTGTTTCAGACGCTGTGTACCACGCGGGCGAGTACCAGGCTGGATGATCTCGCGGCTAAGGGGTGTTTAGGTGGACGGGAGAATGTCCCTGATGATTTGAGGAATCTCAAGGTCATGTTTGGGGAGATTCGAGGGAGAGATGGTGTGCGGATGGCGGGGTTGGGGTCCGCGGAGGAGGTGGTTCCGTTGAAGAGGGGGGCGATATGATGGCTGTGCTGGGTGGGAGTTATGGATTAAGAGATGGGGGGTAATGTAATGTTTATTTAGGACGATAGTTGCGATCCTATAAGTAAGGATAATTAAGTAATGTGTTGGCTTCTTGCTACATTATCTACTTATTCCTATGAGCAAAATCATGTACGATATAAGGTGCTCCGAGGTTATAATTGGTACATACGACCACAGGGTGTGGAGAACAGGGCTTCCCGTCCGCTCAGCCGTACTTAAGCCACACGTTGAACGCGGCTGACTGGAAGGTGAGCCTTTTGCGTGTTGCTGCCTTATGGGTGAGCAACGCTAAGCCATAGGGTGAGTGCGGGTGATTTGGGTGATGTTATTAAGAGCGTGGGTGAGCAGGGTGAGTGCGGGTGAGCAAGCGGGTCCCTAATAATCAGGTAGGAATTATGTGAACTTAAATAGGGCTCTCGACCCGGTTGTCCATTACTCTTGTTCTGTTCAAGATCTTCATTCTCAGAAACAGCTTTTAAGGGTGATCCTATACTTAAGACCAATTATGTCACGTGATCAAAGCTCGTTCTCATCTGAGGAGCAGAGGTGGAGAAAGGTTAATGAGCTTCGTAAGCTTGGTGAACAACGTGGTTTTACTACAGAGTACCAGCAAGATGCAAAAAAGAAAGAGAATGAGATATGCCACAAAAATAGGGCTCCAGCTACTGATGAAAGGTACAACAGAGCTGTCGAAAACTGGAAAATGTAAGTGTATAAACTATTTTATTGAATCTAAGAGACAATTCTGAACCTAATTTAGATGGATGATGACGCAAAACGAACCTGAAGACAGGTACTTCTCAGAGCTAGAGCCAGACCCTCCCAGCCAAGTCTTGAAACTCTTCTCTGAGAGCTTTATATGTCTACGTCAAGGAAGCGTACCTTCTCAACACAGTGTGATTCATAACTTATGCTGTTTTGTTGCTGAATGGGAAAGGAAAACCTCCAGAATCATCCCCAAAATGGTTAAAAGTGATGTCTATAACGTATGTTAGATATCTTTTACTTCCTCTCTGATATATACATGCTTACCTTTCCTTGACAAAAGCATATACGCTATGTATTGACACCAAAATATGGACTCAAAACAAGCCATAGAGAAAAGTTCCATGTTACAGCAACAGATCTTGATCTCCTTCTCAGACGCTTGTTTCAGGATGATGATCATGATTATATTCATGAACGAGCTCGATTTCAGGATGCTTTTGCTTTGTCACTGTTTTCGGGTTCTGCGGCTAGAGCTGGGGCTATTGTTGAGTCAAGTTCATATAGGAACACCAATGAGTGTCTTTACTATAAGGTATGTTGATCTCTAAGCTATACGAATCGTATACAAGAAGTTGACTTGTTTATAAAAAGCATCTTATCTTTAACATCCAATATAAAGATAACAAAATCAAACGATGGGTTACTATAGATCCAGAATTTGTCAAAGGCCACAGGTATAGCGATGAAGCAGTTATGTAAGTTCCTACCTTAAAGCATTACTGTTACCTAAGCTAATAGTCCTAGTCCAAAGAACTGGATTACAGAACAGAAGTTGCTTGGCAGGAACTTTATCTTCTATGTTATGGTTGCAGGTATAGCTGATCAAGCTTTTAAAGGCATTCGCAGTGTTGATGAGTTGCTTTCAATGAAGCCACCCAAGGGAAGGGAATCATGGACACTTGAATGGGAGGATCATGTACAGTGTTTGCCAGTTCTTCGCATGATCACTGTAAATGGTCCGCATCCTACTCGTGCACTGACATTTTCCTCAATTCGGAATGATTTGAGCTCTCTCGCCCAACGAGAGCATTTTCGAGACCCGCTGAGAATACATGGAATAAGAGGCCGGGTGGCAACTACAATTGATGGTATGCTCTTCCTCTATGCATCATATGACGTTATATTGATTATAGTGCAGCAAAGGCGTCTCAAGCTATACGAAGCCAGGCATTAGACCATGCAAATCCAGATACTTATCTCAAGTATCAATCAAAATTCAAACGCGCGGATATCCAGGCCCACTTCTGGAACCTAGAGCCTAACTATGAATGCCTCGATATAGAAGAAAGCATGGCCCACCACCGTGATCCTAATGCCCCCCAGAAGCTCGATGCAGCAACAGCAGCTGCATTTGAAAATGACGAAGAGATAAGAGGCTTATATGCAAGGATCGAGATCTTAACAGAGAAAATTAATGGCAAGCCAAATGAACACCGCGACCTTGCAAGCGAACGAGAAAAATTATATAACAAAGTGGCCAAGAAGCGCCGCAGCAAGACAAAAGAGTTTATCCAACAGTGGTGGAATTCCTCTTATAATGAATATATTGCAGGAAAGGATTTCACCGAACGCGATTTAACATGTCTGTTTTCAATCTACCGCAAATACATGCCAGAGCGAGACAGGCTACGGGACCATTTATTCACTGAAGTGACAATTGACAGCGAAACTGGGAGACAGTGCTTACTAGATATGGTAGCAATTTGCACATCCACAGAGAGAGTAGCATACTATCCTGGTGAATTACCAGTTGATGGAAAATGCCCGACATGCTCGAAGGACATGTCAAGGTCTGTTGCAGGTTTCCTTATTGTTGACTCTTTTGCTGATGTCCGCAGTATTGAAATTCAAGGTCGTTCTAAGCATATTCTGCAATGCAAAAGAACATCTCTTAACGCTGCACCATACCAACAGTTATATAGAAATGGGAAGAGAGCACATCGTCGCACTGAACGAGCGTTTCTGGAATGGTGCTTTTTGTGTGCAAAATGGTTCCACACGCAAACAGTCTGGCAGGAACACTGTTGCTCTCATCTGAGAAATCTTCAGCCACGTTGTGGTTTGTTAAGATTCCGTTATACATTGGTCTCACCTGGGTTTTGCCCTTTTTGCTTGGGTGACCATAGCATGCAGCCTGAATATCGTTTCAAGCAATGGCGCGAAAAAGCTACTCTAATCAATCATATTGACAGTGAACATCTAGCAAAGATAGACAAGGGAAAGCCTATTCTGTGCCCTCATCCATGTTGCGAGGGTAAGGTATATCCCTCAGTTTTGGATCTGCAACACCACTTTTACAACGTTCACTCAATTCAGGAACCTCGCCGTAACTGTGTTGCCAGAAAGCGGAAATGGATCTCTGACGATAATACCACGGATGAGCCTCCAAAAAAGATACGACTATCCAGCAGCTTCGATGGCAGTAACCATGCCTGACAACACTGGCTTACTTAACAAAGTCTTCATGCAAAATAGTGTTCGACAATTTTTGAAAGATATTCCAAGAAACAAACGCGCAGATTTGACTCTCCATCATTTTGTGTTCTTTGATGCAAACTTTCACAGATGCGATATTGTGGTGTACGGCCCCGGCAATGCAGAGACGGATGAGGCTGCGAAATAAGCAGCGGTTAGTGAGGTCGGGTCGGATCAACAGATAATCCGACTCGCTTCCGCCGCCAAGAGGACCGGTTTGCGGCAAATCAGGGCTCGCTGGGCCAAGCAGTGGGAGAAAGAACGAGGGGCCGCGCCCACGAGGCGCTTGGTCAAGGCCCGCATGAGGACGGTAGTGGAGATCTATAAGAACCACTCGAAGACGTACACATCTATCCTCATGCAGATGCGCACTTCCTCTACATGATCAAAGCACGAGAAAGTGACCGGTGCGGATGCAAGGAGGGCCCACAGACGCCAAGACACGTGCTACTCCAGTGTACCAGATACATGGAGCAACGAAGGGCTATGCTTGATAAGATTACCGCACAGGGACGGGGAGAAACTGACTATGATACTCTGGTATCGCACCCGCAGGCGGCCCGCTACGTCACCGAATTCACCCTGCAAGCAGGCTTGCTCGGATAGTTCAGCCACGTGGAGCTGGATCCCGACTGCAGCCAAGAACATGTAGGCCTACGGGCGATGGGGATAGATGCTGAAGACGATGGGTAGACAGTCCTAAGCAGCCAGGAGTGAGTCCCCGGGGAAGCACGCATATCAGGATAAAAAATGTGAAATTTGGATGCAAGGATGAGACGCCAAGGACATAATGGACTCGCAAGCAACTGGCTAGGCAGCTGTACATCATTGTGAAGGTTTATTTGTGATTTATGGTCTGCTGCGTTATTGGCTTCTTCTTATACGCGTGGCTTTTTGCGTTGCTTCATATTGCGAGTTTGGGGATAGGACGTTCTGATTTCATATTCATACTTCAAGGGGATACGCCTACATAGCTATAATTACACTCAGCAGGCTTCACTAGGCTGATAGAATGTGACTTGACTTGACTTGACGGTACAAGTAATGCTAGATACATTTCTATGAAGCTGCTCTTGTATATTAGACGCTCGTGACCTTTCAATATAAAGAAGTTTATATAGCTCCAGTGAAGCACGTTCTCGCACAACCCGACGATGAACGTAGAAAGTACAAGTGATTTTGTCAAGAATTGTAGCTTAAGAAAACGAAAGTCTGGTTGGTTATTATGCGATCTAGGTGGCTCGTAAGATCGTGAAGACCCCACAGTGGCTCACGTATGCCACGTGATCCTCGCCTATAAACCAGGCAGAAGCTCCAACAGATTTCACTACCAAGCCTCTTCTTTTGTTTGGTGACAGGAGTTTATGGAAGGCCAGAATTTGTCCAAAGCCGATGACATGTGAACTTAGGCGTATTATGACATCCTGCACTTCCGTTAACAGCGTAGTATGTCTGAACGAATATTTGGCATGAAGAATTGTTTCTCGAAAGTTGATCTTTGTCCGCATACCAAGTATCAAAGTTGCGAGTCACAGAGATATCGAGTTGCTCTTTTCCATGAAGAACGCGTGAGAGCTTGAAACTGCGAGATACTAAAGCATTTGATAGATTTCGTCCATAAACAGAGTCGGTAAAGTTCGTGAAAGCCGTACTACCCTGGCAATTGGGTTCGGTCCAGGCTTCAAGCTGTATTGGACTGTACATATTCTGTATACCAGCGAATGTAAGCAAGCGAAAACTGAATCACAGAAGTTGAAAATATGGGGTCTGGTAAACACAGCAGACTCACGAGAGCATTATTCCCCGCATGAACATCGGCTCTGGTTATAGATATAGCACTGAGTATGATTGTTGCTATAGTTGAAAACTGCATGTTTGAAAAATACGAATGCAACGGAATAAGGAAGTATGGAGTCATCAACTAGGATAACTAATCGGTTTGCTACTTATATCTACAACAAAGAAAGTTCTTCCGTTATATTGCCCAGTTGTTCAAATTAGCCGCGAGCCTAAAAAGGCGTGGCAACACCGAGTGGAATATGGATCATGATAGGCTCTGACAAACTATAGTGTCTCCACTTGGTAGAGGCTTTAGTGATCTAAGATTTACCTGCAAACACCAAAAATCAGCTTGCAGAGGCTATATCGTATAGAAATAACAGCAAGTTCTTCTATCAAAGATCTCGCTCCCCTATGGTTGATAGACTATTGCCAAGGAAAGGACTGATCAGAAGACTCAATGTAATCGAGATTAAGAACTATCACTTTGATTATCCGCGGATTTTGTTATTACATATTAAAGAACTGGTCTAGTTAGCCTGACTACTATGATTATAGCACCTCCAAATAACAGTCTATCTCATTAAGCCAAGCTGATCTGAAACATGTCAGCCTACGGTAAGGGTGCGCGCCATTGTCTTCACTTATCATTTCCGCTAATGCTATCTAGACTTATATAGCTATAATAACCCTTGGGATCTCATATGTACTATTAATCCAGGAATAATACACAAATAATGGCTGAAGAGAAACACTCAGCACTTGACCAGGAGTCTGGTCTCTGTCAAGTTAGCTCATGCCAGACTATTGCGACTCGCTATATGCAGATGCTTCTTGAACTGGACTATATTCCATGGTTCTACAGCGTTCTCGCAGGCGCCGGTCATTGGGTTCTATTAGCTGGATATCTAGTGGTTCCTGGAACATTTACCTCCCTCCAAGAGAAAACAAAAGACTTAGATGAAGTTCTTACAAAGGATAGCGTCGAGGAATCTGTTATTAAGGCTATTAGGAATCCACCGCTTCTCGGAATATCCTGTTCTTGCCTTGCCCTGGGTGTTACTCTCATGCTGTGGCTCTCTTGGGAGAGAAGAAATAATTATATCTGGCTGGTTAACAAGTTATTTATGTGAATATTAAGTATCGTTAAGAAGGCTAAATGCTTACAATTCAACAGACCAACATTCTTAAATGCCATGGCAGGGCTGGTAAGCACATTGATCAATATATACACAGCCCAGGGCGGTGATTGGTCAATCATAGCAATAATGACTGTGATTGCAACTGGCCTCTCAATGGTAGTGTCCATGACCCTGACCATCTTTTACAAATTTTGCAAGCTGGAATCAGTAAAGCGAGAGCATGAGATGGAGATAAGTGCGAGGTTTCATAAGGTATCACCAAAGTCAAGTGACAGTGTATAGGGCTGAGAGACCAAGTGATTTTTTGAAAGACTATCACGAAGCCTATACTTTAATAAGACATTACGCATGGCATTATCTGTCTTATATTTCTCGAAACACTACAAGGAGCTCTAGTGATTAGCATTTCAACTGTGCTATACGTGTACTCCTAGTAAATAGACTTGCATTATGGAGTCATTCACTGCTTGCACTGTAAAGTTTAGCTAGTTCAGCAAGTAAATCTGTTATATGTTTACGGAAAAAGAATGCGCGCTGTGGGTCTGATATACTGCCCAATAGCACGGTAACCCAGAGACACATCTATCTAGAGGTCTGACAGTGGATAGTGGATCAATTTCATCATGAGTGCTGACAAAATTTGCAGTGTAGTTTGAGGTGTAAACTAATTCTGAGCACTATGTTGGCCGCGGCCATGACTATGGCCATGGCTGGTTCGCTAGCGATGGTCTGAATTGGCAGGTGGCTGCTGAGAGTCACGAGACCTCCGCCACCTCTTCCTCGTCTCCCTGCCTGCCGTGACCCTCCACAGCCACGTATCTCATCCCACAGGCCCTTTCACCTACATAGGACCCTCCTTCACAGTATGTATGGAAGCGCAGGATCCTCAACTCGTTCTACCAAGGGACCCCGGCTGATGATATTGAAGCCGGAATACATACGGGTTTGGATTATATGGAAGAGGAACGCTTGCTGAGTGCAGAGATATGTTAAAGGATTCCGAAACTATAGTCAGAAATTAGAACAACGATAAGACTGAGGCCCCAGCTCCTGATGCCAGGATACTGAGGTCGACCTAGCGGAAGAAGAAGCCTTGAGGAGGTCATATCGGATAAAGATGCTCTAGATATAAAACTAGGCATGAAGGTGTATGATCCTAGGTAGGGACACAGGATGCGTGTTGCCAGGCAGGTAGGGCCGGGGGGAAGAGACGCGAGACGCAAAGATCACAGGAGTATTGTTCCGACAGTGAGTCCCTCCAATTCAGCTTGGCGTTTATGATGTCTGAAGGGAGATGCTTGTAGGGAGGCACTTGTGATACATGAGGCGTTCGTGGTCAAGTGAGATGAGGGAGATGCTCGTAGGAAGGTGGTCGTTGTGCTCGGAGGGAGGCGTCCGTAGAGTCTCTGGTAGGGAAGCAATGGCACACGTCAACACAGGAATCTGCGCGTGCTGCTCTAAGCCTTTAATAGTGGGAGTTGTTGTAGCCTTACCTTCAGCTATAATAATAGAAAGCCATCACCCACTAGGAGTAATTCATCCTGCAATGTCATATGCACACAGACTGGCGGAGAGCTCTGCCTCTTAGAACGGATCTAATTTTTGAAATCATGCCGCAACGCCACGCCCTTGAAGCCTCATCTTTTCCTAAGGTTCTCGCGACACCGTTCGCTATCATTTGATACGACTTTATTAGGTTATCACAACGATGGCGACGAAGGCGCCCGAGTGGCCCATTTTAGCCGCTTCCGCGAGAAAATCGGAGCACCCCCATGAACGCGTATTTGACCTCCGACACGGCGCAAACACACTGCTAAGGCATCTAGAAGTGAGCAAGGGCTCTCGGGTGCCAAATCCCATCATCGATCATGTCAAGAACGTACAGGATTTCCTGATTGACCTGCTGAAGAGCCCTCCTGGTCGCTTCTGGTCGCAGGGACACGAAGCCCTCCAGGCGGAAATCAAGGCGCTACGTCAGAGTATGGAAGAGCGCTTACACTCTCTGGAGATCGCCTCAAAGGACCCTTCCTTTCCTGATGACCGCAGCTGGGCTAACATAGCCGCTCAGGGAGGTGCGCCGCCGGTCGCCTCGACGCGGTCAGGGTCAACGGGTATTCCCCCTTCAGAGCTGATGGAGGCTCAGATCATCGTCAAACTCGGCGACCCGGACGACGTAGCCAGATTTCGCAAAATGATCCCTGGGGATATGCTCGCGAAGGCCGAGAAAGCGCGCATCCAGGTCTGCCAGGCTGAGGCCCCCCCGGCTGGCCGCTGCAAAATTCGTCGCGGTGCGGCAACTCAAGTCAGGTGACTTGAGCCTCAACCTCCGCTCTGTGGCAGAGGCAGAGGCCGCCCGCCAGCACTCTGCGCGGGCACGCAGGCTCTGGAAGGACGCGGACATCCGCACTCCGACCTGGGGCATGGTGGTTCACGGCGTGCGGATCAAATCAGTCGACCTCACTCGGCCAGAGGGTATCATCAAGGCCCTGCTGACAGACAACGCGTTCCGCTGGGGTGAGGCCCCGATCACCCACGTGGGCTGGCTGACTCCTGCATCCCAAGGCCATCAGAAGAAGTCTTCAGCATGGTCGTCGAGTTCACCTCTCCCGTTCCCGCAAATACGGCGATCAAGTACAGCGTTCTCTGGATCTCGGAGATCCTGACGGCAGTGAAATATGATCGATCGGCACGCCTACGTCAATGCTATAACTGTCAACAATACGGTCATATAGGAAGCGTCTGCCCCAACAAGATAGCCTGTGCGTACTCTGTGGAGCATTACCAGGCTTGTGAATATCCACATAGGAAGGCAGGGACGCTAGAGGAACCAAAGTGTGTCAGCTGCGGGGGCACACATTGCGCGTGGAGCAGGAAATGCCCGGCACACGAGAAGAAAGTGCAGTGAACCGTGGCCAGGGTCGCCTAGAGGGCCCATGGCCGTTACCACTCTGTTCCTCCCCGTTTCCGAGTAACGTTCTTGTCGACGAGGACGGCATCCACAAGCGAACCGACAACAACACGGGACAGCGCCTCCGGGGGTAGCGGCTATGGAGGAACCGCCGCACCCACCCAATGTAATATGATGGTACCAGATCCAACGCCCGCAGAGGCGCGCGAACGGAGCCGGCGAGCAGCGACAGAGACAATAAGCGTGGGAAGTACGCGGTCTAACCGAGGCGAGGGGGCCAGCGAAAGGCGACGGAGCCTGTGGCCTCCGAGGGAACAGATACTCCCCCGGCCAGAGGCGAAGGTGAAGCCAGCAGGAAACAGGGGTCGCGGCCAGGCAGGACCCGGCCGATGTTTGAATTCACGACAGGGCGATGGCCTGCAAGTCGACAAACGAGGGCAACGGCGAGGGCCGCTAGTGTGCAGTCAGAAAGGGTAGAAAGAATCCTACGTACTAAAACCCCCAGCGATACTAACCTTTCGCAATCAATTTGGGCTCCCAAGGACCTCCACTCCAATGGGGGTCTCAACAACTCGACATGGGCACCGCAGGCCCAATCCCGATCCCAGGAAGCACCCTCCAGCTTGTCGCTAAGTGCGGCACCGGCCAGCAGCTACGTTCCCAGAATTATGACACGCTCCCGCAAGCGCAAGATCGACGACACGAGGAGCGACTCGCCACACCGCCGCATCCGCACACCCCGCAACATGACAACTAGCGGCCCTCAATGAAGACAGAGCGGCTACGAATCATCCAATATGACACGAACAAATCGAAGGATCAGGTGATGGCATACTTCTCGCGGGACCCTCAGGTCCTTGCTGCAGACGTCTTAGCGATTCAGGAGCCCTGGGAGGATTCTTTCTCAGACACCACGCACAGCCCTGCTAGAAGCCACCAGTTGTTGTATCCAACGGCGACGGCAGGGCGCATGTCTGCATGGTCATATCTAAAAAGATCAACCCAAGCAAGTGGCCACAGAGCACTCATGTGACGTGCAGGAACTCTGCCTCCGTGGCGATTGCGACCGGACCCTGAATCTGGTGAACATATACAACGGTGAAGGGGAAAGAGCGATGTGATCCCCCTGACAGTGAACGACCATAGGATGAAGACTGGCTGGTGCTTGGCGACTTCAACTTCCACCACCCCGCTTGGGGCGGCGAGGATGCTGAGTCCGATCGAGAGGCGGATCCCTTACTAACCCTTGCAGACAATGCTAATCTTGGCCTCTGGCTTGAACCAGGTACAACTATCTAGGAGCGTACAGGGTGGCAGACCACGATAGACCTGGTCTTCGGCACCTCCGAGCTCACGAGCCGCATGATTGTCTGCAAGACAGCACCCGCAGTGCACGCCGATTCCGACCACCTCCCGATTGCCACAATCATCGACCTAGATACACCGTTAGCGAGGTCGAAGCCGGGGAGGGATTGGAAAGCCATGAATACGAAAAAGATGCGGGAATTCGTGAAAGCAAACATGGAGGGTGTGGCAGCGCCTGGGCGGGGATCCAACCCCTGTGTAGATCAATGCTGCCACGGATCATCTCGTGGAAATGATACAACAGGCAATTGCGGAGTCAACCCCGGCTCCACCCCGGAATGCCGTGAAGCAGTCAAGACAACTAAGAGAACGAGGCGCGCACACAAGAGGGAACGAACAGACGAGAAATGGAAGGAGTAGACCATAATATTCCTATCTCATATTCTATAGCGATTTCGTACGAGCTAGTCCGTTACCTTAAGCGATCAAATATCGCTTCCCATACCTTAATTTGCCAACCAAGGATCATGTAAAAGTTCTCTAGCTGTTGCTCTTTCCTCCAGTATCCAGGTAAGAGCTCTTCTTATATCTCCAAGGCGTAATAGCCTCTGGTACTCTAGCATAGAGAGTGATCGGGAACAACTTGTGTAAATCCTTGACAAAGTAGCATGCAACATCACATATTCCATCCCACTTGAAGGCCCTAGCTTGACTATAGTCCTTCCCTTGTAGGTTTCATCTTGTCACTCGTCATCCTATCCCATTTGGGCCGTCTAGCTGGAAATTCATTATCACTAGCATGGAAAGAGCCACAATATGTCCACACGTCCGGTTATCCAACATCAGCCCGGGGTCCTGGCAGATAATATCGACGAATTAGGAACTCGCTAGGCTGCAATAGCCTCTATGTGTCTAGCATAGGAAACCTTCAGTCAGTATAGTATAACTTTGGGGGGGGGGGGGTTAAAGGGGACTCTACCACCATCATTGTAATCTCCTGGCAAATTGGCCCCGACCCAGCTTAGCATCCATGAGCTTCTTTGATTCAATTTCCTGCCGGATATTCTCTTTTGATAGGAACCCCAACCTGACTCTATGTATTTTGATAGCTGGTGAGGGCGTGTGATTGCGTGATCCTGAGGGTCGCAGGGCGGGGGACGCAGTGGTAAGAGGAGGCGCAGGGGATTGATATGGCCCAAGCAATGGCCGGGAGTGTCCAGCCGGGGTGCGGCATTCATGTTTTCGCAGACAGCCAGGCTGCTATCAATGCGGTTGGAGCTCCCGGAAGTCCATCAGGCCACCATCTCCTGCGTTCTTAGTATGTGAAGTTCAGACCCTGCAGGCCCCTGTGGTGCTCCACTGGACCCCTACCCATGTAGGGGTCCTCGGGAATGAGGCTGCAGACTGAAGCGAAGCGGCCGCGTGGAGCGGGGTCGGAGCGGAATAATAGATAATCCGACAATTCTTCTGCACCCAAGACAACAGTTTGCAAGGAGTTTAAAGACAGATGGGCCAAACAATGGGAGACTGAGCGCATGGCAGCGCCAACGAAGTATCTGATCACGGCCCTGATGATGAAGTCGCTGGAACTGTATGAGGGGATACCAATGACCTATACGGCTACGGTTATATAGATACACACGCAGAGGATCGAACTCGCGCGCTTCCTATATAAAATCAAAATCAGAAAGAGTGATAGGTGTGGCTGCGGAAAAGGCTCGCAGGTTTTATAAACATGTCCTACTGCAGTGTCCCTGACAAACACAGCTGTGCAAGGATATACTGGATAAGATTGCCGCACGAGCGGATCTGGAGGACTTGACAATGATAGACTGATAACGAACCCGCAGACAATCTGCTACATCGCCGAATTCATCTTATAAACAGGCCTGCTCGGGCAGTTGAGTCAGGTGGATCTTGATCTCGATCCTGGCCTGGTACCTGACGAGGAACACGGACACTTAGGCTTAGGGACATTGGGGATAGGCGCTGAAGATGACGGCAGAGGCTCTAACCACGACGCAAGCGCCACAGGTCGGGGGGCAATAGCGGCCATCCAGTACACAGGAGGCGGTAGCCATGGAAGGAAAATAGACGAAAGCAGTGCTGGTCCAGCAGCCACAAGTCGCAGGAGACATGCTAGCCAGGCAGATATGAACACGGAAAGCAGGTACGGGGAGTGCTGGTTTTGCAGTAAGCTCCTTCGATTTAGCTTGGTATTGTGCTCGGAAGGAGACGATCATCCCGGGATACCCGTAGTGAAGCGTTTGTAGGGGTTTTAAGAGAGATGCTTAGAAAGGAATGCTCGTGGTACTTGTAGACAAACATTCGTAGTGGAGGAAGATGCTTGTAGGGAGGCGCTCGTTGTGCTTGTAGAAAGGCGTTCGGGCTCAGGGTGGAAGGCGATGCTCGGAAGGAGAAAACCAGAGAAACATGCTTCCAGGGCAAGGCTCGTAGGCTTAGGGGGAAATGCTTATAGGAAAGCGGTCGTGATGCTTGCAGCCTGGCAGAGAGCACATCTACACGGAGTCCTTCACAAGATACTCCCTGACTAAAGTAGCACCTGACAACCCGTTTGATCATTAACGAGAGAGGCGCGGCTGACCTGGCCATGGATTACGTTAGCAGATCTCGGGACCAATCTGCCTAACCACATGACCACAACGACTTCTAAAGCCCCTTGTGCCCCGCGTGCCTTTTTCTCCGACATCAAATCCGCAAATTCATCCACCTCCTTCGTCTCCTCTATCCCATGCTGCGGAACAACCAGGCAGCAACGTCAGAAACCAAGGAATACCCAAAATTATTGCTTGTGAATACAGAACCCTCCCAATACACCCAGATGAGCCGGCCCCTAACACCCGAAGCCGAATCGTTCCGAGTGCAAATCAAAGACATCATTTCAAAGGCAGATGACGGTACTATAAACAATGTGGATCGTCTCGAGGCTCGTGATGGGCGAATACTATATGTAGGGGTGCCTCTCTCGATGAAAATCGGTGACCTAATGAAGCACTCCGGGTTATCAGCTGTAGGTCTAGCTTCTTATTACCCCTTGCTATATGTGCAGAGTGGCTTACAGACTTTCAGGAATGGGGCTTTACTGTCTTCACTTTCTCTCATCGGAGGGCAGTGCAGAATCCGGATCGGAGTATGTGGCTGGTCCCACTGTCAGATCGCTCAGAATTGATATGCGGTGGATCATTGAAGGAAGGCTCCCTTACGCATGTCACGGAACCGGAACCCATTATTAATTCAGGATCCACGGTAATAGTTTTCATGAAGTTTAAGTGATAGGGGTTCTTTTGTTTTCACCATCCATATGTGTTCATGTGCCCAAGGCTTCCCGGCCTTTGCTTCAGCGTAGGCAGACCAGTCAGTTGACCCTTCATTCGTGTTACGTCTTCCCTTAAAAGAGCATCAAATTGAACCCAAAAAACTGCAATATAATTATTCAGCGTATTTAACCTCGCAATCTCGGCTAAGGCGCTCAGATTTGAAGATAAGAAGTGTCATATGGTTGCCAATGTCCCGCCCCAGGCCCATCATTAAGATTCATGGTGCTCGTAACCGGTAGCAAATTTGAATGATGATCCTCTTGCCTTTGAAAATAATCCGACGATTCTCCAGACTCTTCAGTCACAACCGCTCCATGTAAGATGGTCCGCGTCCCGAGACATGTGTGATCTAAGGGTTCCGGAACGAGGTAACTTAGTCGTTGCCTCATATAAGGGTGTAGATCAGCGGCTTCCATGTTTATGTCAGCCTGTGGTTGGCCAACCTGGGCTGCATTGAACATCATTGTATGCTCTGTGGAGGCTTGATTGTTGTATAGTGAATGGCCTGGCAGTTGCTGCATATGTAGTTGGAGATTGGCGGGATCAGAATCGCAGTGTAATGGCTCATTATGTAACACTCTGGGTCGTGGCGGGATATAAGATCGCAAGCCCCGAAGGACTTGAGATTCCTGCGTCATTTGCAGGTTTGGCCACTCATTGGAAATGCTATTATTCAAACGTTCGTGATCATTTGTCTCTTGTTCAATCGAGGACGGTGAAAGACCTCGCGTGTCAGATTGCTGATATACCTCTGACGGATCATTACCCCCAAAGTTTTCTTGACCGGGTTCCATGGTATGAGAGGGTGCAACCGTAGTTTCATTCCTGCTTATATCATGGCTGTCACCAGTACATGATTCATGGGAAGAACTTTCACGTATGATTGGACGCTCAAATGTAGCCGACAGAGATGAGAAGATGTCGCAAGCTAGTGTATCCAGGGAAATACCTTGGATATCTGTACTCAAGTCAAAAGACCTTAGTTCCTGGACTTTTAGATCTCTTTTCGAGCTACTATTGAGAGGAAGCCTCTTCATACTGACGGACTGTTAGTTATAATCTAGCTTGGTGATAGCTAAAAAGGGTAATATAACTTACTAATCATCTCTAACATGTCCGGGCAAACGGAATAGCAGCCCCAGATGTTTCTTATCACCTATCCGGTCGATTATATATTCATCATCTGGGTGGTGATTGTATTTGAGCTCAAAACAAAGTAGCTCTAGTCTCCGTCCAACGTTACCCCAGGAGAGAACACGTTTCTCAATTAAAATCGCGTCATCCTTAACAACTCCAGATGCTCGTATAATTGATATAGCTTTCCGAACATCTTCTGATCGTTTATATGAACCGCATAAATCTTTCAAAAAATGATGAAAGATAACTTCAAGGAACCGTATATGCCAGAGATTAATCTCTTCGCGCTCTTCCAGACGTGAGAGGAAGTTATAGGAATCAGCTACTGGGTGATATGAGTTCGATTGGATTTGTTTTCCTGCTTCTAGGAAGCTTTTTATATCATCCTCCCATTGAGGAGAATATTTGAGTAAAACATTGGTGTTTCGGGGTTGGGGTTTTGCTCGGGATCTTCTTGGTAACTTGGTAGGTTTTTGGATGCTTTTCCTGTGTGCTGGAGACATCCTTTGCCAGAGACTTCTTAAAGTATTGGTGAACTTCTGTATGTCAGAGATTCTGCCGCTATAGCAAAGGCATCTACTCACTTCGTCGTCAGAAAGGAGGTCATCGATATTACCACAGCCCTGGGCCTCTGCCTTGATACAGGCGAAACTGAGTTTGCCCGAGATTATCTTACTCTCAGAGACACCCATACTGGAGTAAATCAGTATTAGATTGTTCTCATGAAAGGACAGACGGTCTCTGTTAGCATTATCAGTGATGTATTAATGCTGCCGTCTCGACCCCGCATGTAGGCAAACATGCGCATTGACCCATCTCGGAGTAGACGTGGTTGCTGGCCCGAAAACACGAGTTTAGTCAGCGCAAAGGGCCAAATCAGAGCAGGAAAACCAGCTCCGTCACTCCTTTACTAGCTACCCATTTTCCTCACTCCAGGAACATACTAGGATGTTTTCCATATTCGTGTCGGCCTCAGATACAGATTACTTCTCGAGATATCTCCCCGTCCATACTCAGCACGTGAGCGGTGCTGCATATTACTCTTCACTGCGCCCACCCCACGGGGTTGGTAGGTCATGGCTCTGCGAATCTCCCCTCGGCCCAACGAATCGATACTGAATCCATCCAATCTAAAACTATACTAAACACCTGAAACGGTGCTTTCCCCCCTTCTCCTCGAGTTCGGCCGCGGATACGGATTGACAACGTAAAATACTTTTCTCTGCCAGCCATGGTGGTGGGGAATTAACACGCTGAGAAGATGATGAGTTAGTATGACCTTCCGTTAGTGATCCGCCTTTGCCTTCCATATATTCCAGGAGCTGACAATTTGTTGCTTCTTATAGTATGGATACGTTCCTTGACTTGTCCTGCGTACCTGAGAACCCGGCGGAGTGGCCCCCGGAGCGATCCCCAAAGTCCCCGCCTCCTGAATCCGGGGGATCCGCGCGATTAGATGACGCCTTCATTCGTCAAAGCAACACAGATGATCCAAAGACTGCAGACGTTGATAAAGAGGCTAACGTCATCACTGGCAGAATACAGACGATTTCTACCTCCGCTGAGCCACCTGACCAAGACCCCTGCGTTCCATCGAGAACCCTGCCGAATACGAGGCTAAATCAGTCAGATTCGCTACACAGGACCACCGAATTTTTGATACTCCAACTCCTGAAGCCGCTCCGATAGTGAGGCGCTCCGAGAGGACCATCAAAGGCAAATCACCTATCTGGTTGGGCCATGAGCAACTCGTCTCAGTCGATCAAAATACTACTATCCTGAGGCTAAAGCATCACGAAGTCGTTGTCCTGATGCTATACACCGAAGCCATGAAGTCTCCTCTGGCGCTATACTGGAAGCAAGCGATGGACACTCATATTGATAAGATAGAAGCTATGGGAACCTATGACATTGTGAAAAGGCTCCAGGGCGCTCGTGTTATCCCAGGCAAGTGGGTATTTGACTTGAAGATTGATATGGAAGGATTCGACACCTAATTCCGCGCTCGGTGGGTTGTATGCGGCAACCGCCAAGTGTCTGGTAAGGATTACGACCAATTCTTTGTCCTGGTTGCTAGCGAGGCCGCTATCAAGATGTTCCTTATTACTGTGGCGATCAAGAATCTTATGTGAGAGTAATGTGATATTATTTCTGCCTACCTGCACGCTCAGATAAAAGGTCGTAAGGTCTTTATGAAGTAATTATCCGGATATCACGAAGGACCGGAGGACTATATTTGTAAGTTGAAACAAGTCTTGTACGGCCTCCGGCAAGCAGCATATTCATGGTATCATACTTTTGACAATAAGTTGTAAGAAGTTGGATTTACTGCCTTGCTAGAAGACTCCTGCATCTACTAGAAAGATGATGTTTATCTTGTTATTTATGTCAACGATTCTATCATTGCTGGCCTAGGCTAGGAGGGCATTGATGAGGTCAAATACCACCTGAATCAGGTATTTAGATTGAAGGAACTCGGCGAACTAAAAGTCTTCTTTGGCTGCAATATCCAACGTAATTAGAATGAAGGTTCGATATCGCTATCCCAATCAGTGTATGTGGAGGAATCCATGATTACTGCGGGCATGAAGGACTACGTAAAACTAACTTTTTTGATGATATCTTTATATCGCAAGGCGGACCGCTCTAATATGATGTCTGAAGGAGTTGATAGTACTGAATATCGAATCTTACTAGCCGCCTAAATTGGCTGGTGTTGAAGACGCGATCTGATCTGTAACAGTCTCTCTTCCAACTGTAAAGATGAATGAATTTATCTACAACCGCTGCTTCCAAAGTATTGAAGTTGGTATACTACTACATGAAAGGCACAGGGGACCTTGGTATCATACTTGTTTTGGATTATATTTAAGGCATTGAAGTCTATGTTAGCACGGCCCACGCTGACCATGAAGATGGCAAATCAATGGAGGGATACGTTATATTCTTTGCCGGAGGTTGTATCTTATGGTTCTTGAAGAAGTAATCTATAGTAGCTCCATCCTCAACCGTTGTAGAATACTGTGTATATGATGCAGCCGCCAAAGAGGCTCTTTATGTCAAGAAGTTGGTAGAAGCATTCGGCTTAATGCTATCAGAAAATGGCAAGATCCCTATCCTTAGTGATGCAGCCAACTCCCTGAAGATCCTGAATCACGGCAACTTTACCCGGTCGACGTGCTGGCTTGATAACTGCTATCTGTTCGTTGCAGATCTAATCAAGAAGAACATCGTTGAGATGCTCCACGTATCTGGCAACACCAATACTGCTGACGGATTCACCAAGCCACTAGAATCCGAAGCGTTCTGCGTGTTTAGAACCCGTTTATAAATGAAGGCATGTTTGATGACTGTGGAGCCAAAGACCCCGTTCGGCAGCCACTCCGCGCCTCTGCCTCAAGTTGCATAATATTTATTACCCGATTAGGAAAGCAATTTGGCATCATGTTTGCTCGTATTCTAACTCTTGCTCGCCTAGGGGGCCGTGTTGGAACAACCGACTGTCCAGTAGGCGAGTGTTACGTGACACTAGGTCACGTTGGCTACGGAGGTGTTTGTTGTTCTGCGAGCAACGCAGCTACTCATCGAATACAACGATCGTTTTCCTGCCTCGCGTCCCCAACCGTTAATGCTGTGCTCCGTACGGAGTATAGCTCCACAATATACTGAGATGCCACGTATCCGCATCTCCGATAGAACTATACGGGAAGCAGCTGAACTAGAGGGGAAAAAGAGTCTTCGTCGTTCAACTAACTGAAAGAGGCGCTAAAGACGCTGTTCTGTAGCTAGGCAGAAGGTCAGCAGTGGCGGTGGTGTGGTAGGTGTTGGGCCCGCCGGAACAACGTAGGCCCGAGAGCCCCCTGAGTCCACTTCCGCAACAATACCCGCCCGAAACTTGTACAGCCAATGATGGCAACTAAGACTACATGTTGGCTTTGGAGGGGTCGCTTTAGTCTTTCGGGATACTAAAATTGCGGAGGTCTAAAGCTTCCTTAGTACGTAGCTGGGTATTACGCAAGCGGGGACTCGAGTGACAGTGCTAAAACCCATATACATACTAGTACGTAGTACTATAGTAAACCAGAGACTTGATTGACGTATGGCTTCTGTGGATCACATATCCACTTTTTCGTATTACCCCAGGCGCTCAGGGAGAACTTAATATCAATGACTCAGGTTTAAGCTGTGCCAAGACTTCTGCGTACGCAGAAGTCTTGGCACAGCTTATCATTTGGTCCAGACACACGCCAAATTGCCATGGGGGCCGCGGGAGCGGAGCGAGGGCCCTCCCGCAGTGGGAGATCTCACCTCCAGGAAATATTCGCCCTTGGGCTGCTACTCTCCTTCTCCCACTAACCATGCTGTCTTGGGCTAGAGATGACCCGCTTTCTAGACAGTTTCTTTATTCTACACAATTGATCGCTTTCACTTTTCTCTTCGCATTTTGTTTCTGTGCATGGCTCTATGGGTATGTATTACAATACAGGCTATGTCGGCTGATACATCAGAAGGTGTACTTGATTATTCTATACTATGATGTTCAAATAATGATACTCTGAGGTATCAGAATCTTCTATAGACACTCTATTATTAGTTCCCTGAACATCAAGCTCTCGGAAAGCAAGTAGGTCTTCTCTATAAATATCCACTAAACTAGGACTGTAGTAGAGGAGTAGTAACATCAATCTATTTCTTTTCTATCCTTTTCCCTGATTCCTTCCAAGCTGCATCCCCCTACTATCTGCCCGAGACATAATGGCTTCCAACCCAATTTATCCATGCGCGGCTGGTGATTATTGCGGCAGGAAGTTCACCAGTATAGACAGTTGGTCTGTACACATCCAAACACACATATTCCCACAAGGCTTTGTGTGCACTGAATGCAAGGACAGAGCATTCATTCCCAATGAACAAGGATGTAAAACCCATTTCTACCTCACGCATAAGACAGACTTTCGGGACTTGGACAAGGCAGCCAGTAACATGCTTCGCATCAATCCATCTAAAGGCGTGATCTGGTGCGAAATTGGTACATGTCATGGAAGATTACACTTAGGCGGAGAGGCTCCTACTGGAAAACTTTCACATGAAGTGATAGTCCACTTGAAGGATCACCTGCGAGAACATGGATGGGCTCATGTGATTGGTGTTAAAGTTTTGTTACCAGGTAGAGTCATATCCTCCATTTTTTGATTACCAGACTAACCAGATTCATCTAGGTAATGACGATCCAGAAAATAAGCTGTGATACAGATGGCTGTGACTGGATCCTTCCTAACCGTGATAAGAGATACCGTGTGCAGTGTTTTGGATGGCCTTAGCTTTAGTCAGGGTAATGGAAACGTACGGCAGGGGAGGGACGGAGGCAGGAGATAATACGTCAAGTGGACTTATCGTCCATGGTCATGATTGGGGGCTTTCTACAGACTATCCAAATTGGTGTCTATTGTGGAGCTATTTTTTGAATATATGTCTTGTTTCACTTCCTGTACGTATCGCATACCAACCATATGTACAGAGTAGATACCATTCAGTACTGGTATATCATCCCTGGTCCGCAACGAGCAGCATAAGTGGGGCAATACTAGGCGTTACATAGCTGGAGAGATAATAATATTGAGGACTACCCCCCTAGGGCCCCAGCTTTCTTCTGTATGTCCTGACCCCGTCCTCGCCCAAGCCTCGATCCTGTCATCTATCAATGGGCCAATTAGAATCACCAGGATCAAGTGAGCCCGAGGCTCACTGGGCCATGTAAGCAGTATCTAACATAAAACACATGTTCTTCTAACAGCAGATCTTCTAGCTATAGCGAACCTTTAAGGGATAACTACAAGGAACGGGAAATACGATATCGTCGAGAATATCCTCAGGAACATGGAGACCGACACCCCTGGCCAATCGATATTGTATGTACTTCTCTACTTTGGCATATCTTCCCTTTCAGAAGAAAATCACTAATTATAATAGTATGAACAATTACGACAATGTAAGTCTACCCTGACCCTTATCCAAGATACAAATCTGATTTTAAGCAGGCAAACAAGCTCATCTATTGCAAGAGCTAAATCAGTGGAAACAAGACTCCTCGATAATAACACAGGCAGGACGTGTGCTTGATCTGAGGACTGGCTTTGGCCTATGGGCAATGTATTTTGGTATGGCACCTATCTTTGCCGCTGGAGCCTTGCAACTAATATCTGTTTTAGCTGACAATAATCCTGATTGTGAGGTAAATCATGATCGATCTCATGTCAATAACGATCAAGCTAAATAAATAGGTTTTTGGCGTTGATTTCGTCTATATGCAGCCTTCGAGGTATGTTGGTAGTATAACGATCTAAACTTAGACTTATTCATTGATAGTGTGCCCCCGAACTGTGAATTTCATATTATCGATCTTACTCGATCTAATTGGTGGGAGATGTACACGGACATCAGTCTCGTGCACATCAACGACCTCGGTGGTGACATCTCATTGCTGAGATGTCTATTGGCTGGAGCATTCAAGTATGTAGAGAAGGCTATATCTACAAATCCAGCTAATTAAAGTTCATTACAGATGCTCTATGCCATGTGGAGTGGTAGAGCTACACGGAATCACATTCGATCTTTATAATCAAAAAAGCTGGTTGTATGGTTTCTACAAAAGCCTACGGGCAGCCTACTGGAAAGATGGGAGACGACTCGATTTACCTAACCGGTATGAATCTGAACTATTAATCCATGGCTACACAAATGTGGTATCGCATCAGTACAGGATACCTTTGATGGTAGAGTACTCCAGCGATCTACAAAAGAGGTTCCTTAAAACCTGGTTTGACGGCCTAGAGGCACTCGCCCTTGACTTGATGACGAAGCATCTGGGATGGACTCACGAAACAATATTACTCAAATGCGCATTGGCACGTGGAGAGCTCCTAAAGGGAACTCATGGATATCTAACTATGTAAGTACTCCCTCATATAATCACATCTAACATTAGCTGAATATAAGCCTGACCAGATGGAATGTATATGGGTCGCGGCCAAATATCAACCTCCAAGGACTCTAAATCAGGTGTATTTGATCGTGAAAAGTATCTGTGCCCCCAGCTTGATCGTTCATCTTATTCATGGCAGTTTCTATGTTTACTCTGTTTGATGAGTTATATGGTATGGTGATTTTATAATCCCTATTTCAGGTTTCGGGCATTCTTTCTGTTGGAGTATCTTACCCGGCAAAAATTAATTCTGCAGATAACCTATCGATTCCAGGCCTAAGTCCATATGGGAACGAAGAGAATACCTCGGTCTTATCGTACTGTAACTAATGTACCTGGGTTCTTGTTTGTCTCGGTTCCTCCCCATTTCATCGCCGGTGTCCAAAATAAAACATTGCTCCTAGTCAGCAGTCCAAAGATAGTCAATAAAAGAATATCCTAGGCTCTGCTTCAGTTTCCTAGCATAGGTGTACACGAAGGTCGTATTCTGATTATTGACAACCAACTACCTCGGGCGTCCGGATCCTGCTCTGTTGCATCCAGAGCGTGGGGACATGATGATCCACATGGGTCCAGTTCATGGACAGAAAGCTCAAGAAGTTTTTATTATGATTTATTTGCAACCTACCAACACGCTATTCATGGGAGGTCACGCCGCTATTCTATCCATTTAGCTTCTCTAATCCCTCTAATAAAAAAGCAGATAGTGATTTTCTCCCATACACCTATGTGGTAGTCCACCAGACATGACTCGCCATATTTATCACAGAGTATAAGAGGGTCCCCCCAAGTCCTCAAGTATTTCAATATCTATTGTATCTCCTTCATAATACCCACAATATTACATTCGATATCGGATGTATCTGGATAATTCGGCGGCATGGATCGTGCGGGCAGGGATCTAAGACGCGTGAGTAGTGGCCCAGTGGCACATGGTAATCGTTCTTTGAAGCTAACCTTCCAAATCAGTGGCTAGTTCGAACGGGGTTCGTCCTTGAAGACTTAAATACCGGGGTAGTTGTTCGGTCGCGAAGGGAAAATGTGCTTGGGTATTGGGAGGTCGGACAGGCGGCTGACAGTGGAGGGAAGGTTTTCTTCAAAACTAGAATAGGGGATTAATAGCTTGCTTATGAAAGATGACTATCCATGAAGAGTCGAATACTGGACTAGTGATTCCGTCGCAGAATGAAGCTGTGTTTGGGAGCTAGGATGCCAGCCCGGTGACTCGGCTGCGAGTGCGAAAGGATTGGGGTGCGAGGCCACTGGCTCGGTCGCAAGATGAAGTTGACCATGAGAACTAGGGTGCCAGCCTATTGACCCGAGCTTGTAGAAAGCTGTCCTTCTAGCTTTTGGCCGGTGGTAAGGTAAGACACTCTGGTGCTTCACATCCTAATGACTGTCGCTTCCCTTCTCACCAACCTACCCCAAATAGAGACAAGGAAATCAATGTTAGAATATGATGAATATCGTACAGCGATAGACTGTTCCACTTTGGAAAGAAAAAAAAAAAGAGAAAAAGTCCATGATAGTAATAGTTCACAAAATGATTCGAACTGGGAAAAGGTTTCACCCTATCCCCATTCCACCAGCTTTTGCGTAATCCGAGTTATCCGTGCTACGTTTCCATACACCGGCCCTTATCCTACGCCCTAGTACATCATCACTAAGAAAAAATTCAGCTATGGCCTGTTTCTTACATATCATGTGCACACAGGCCATCCATGGTCCGGGTCTTCCTCGGCAAAGGCCGATCGGACTTGGTATAGGCAAGGCGTGGTAGTCGAGAGATATCCCTTCCAGTAATATACAATTCCGGCATATTAGCTGGCTGCAAGCATCCTGTTTCAATTCCTTGTAGTCAGGGTAGGATACTACCTAGCAACCTGTACCAGGGTGCCGCTGACGGCTGATTCGAATGGGAAAACTTAGTACTTGTTGGTTCTACCTACTCCGTGCGTGCGGCTAGGAGTACTGTGTAAGACAAATCAAATAGGCCCACTCTGCGAAAACAGCCCCACAATATAGACTCAATGACGGAGTATCCTCCAATCATGGTAGGTGTAGGGTAACCCTGGCTAGGGTGTCATTCTTTCTCGCCCCTTCCTTCTCTTCGCTCTTCCTTTCCTTCCTGTCGGAATCAATGCTGGAATTTATTCCACCTCACAGCTGCAGGGATTGGAAGAAACATCTGCCTCAATATCCGTCATAAACATCAAATATGTCTTTACATACATTTCCCATTTTCCGCGTATCAATGAACTTGCCTGCAAGATACCGGGAAATTCTTTCATTATCTCGTCACTAAGTCTTTTCATACTGGGGTATGAAATCTCACTGAGGCGATCAACAACCGGAAGAAGGAATGGGGCTAGTCCAGGCTCCTTGAGCTCGCTTGTGAGAGCCTGGATCTTTCCACCCCGATTTAGTATAGCTCGTGTACTCTTCTCATCATAGCGGTATTTAGATGCAAAGGCACTCTGCATTCCACCACGGAAACCTTCACGATAGATATTTTCCCAGAATTTAATATTGTCCTTTCTAGTATCAAAATCCGGATAATCTTTGAAATACTGCCAAGTCTTCGTTTGGACGTCAAGTAGATAACGAAGCTTCTCAGATTTAGGGGTTTGGCTGTAGACATTATCGGGTGAGCTGCTTGCGAAGATATCCTCGAATCGATCGCCATTAAAGAAACGAATCATCTGTTGTTCCTCATTGCGCAAGGTTTTGAGGACTTGTGTAATCGTGTTCCAGTCTTTCCGGAAAGGTGGGTTTAACTCCGTGTTTGGATTAGAGAGGTGTGGATCACCGTTGTTCTCCATTGTTCTTAGGCCCTGGTATCCCTGATCCTGGACCTGTAGTGCTGGCCTGGAAAGTATCTGTAGTCTCTTGTGTTCAGGGATACGTCGCAGGAACGGGGCAACCAATAATTCAAACTCAATGTCACTTGGCGTAAGGCTTGCCTGGCTGTTGGAGTAGCCCATGCATACGAAATCACACGGGCCTTTACCCGGACCAAATCGAACCAGTGTGCCTGCTCGGACAACCAAAACCCGATCATGGCTGACTGAAATTGGTTCCCACTTTGAACCAGACTGATTGGTACCCGGCTGGAGCCAATCATATACCTGGTGTTCGTTCCAAGCAAAGGAGCCAGAACATATTTCAAAGAAACCATTACCACTACAGAGCACCTCTTTGAGTGGACGAAATAGGATAACCAGCTGAGTTCTCTTATCACTTGGAGTACCAATGACAAAGGTCTGTGGCTGGGTGTTTTCACCGTCGTAGCGGACAATTCTCGGCTCTATATAATGATGTTTATTTATGAACTTTCCTTCGTAGAACAACAGGGACTAGGATTAATTAGTACATTAACATATAATAGCAGTACCGTACACAACAATGGATAACGTACTGCAGCTCCTTGGTGCATGTGGTTGCGGACTAAAGTGGAGAATCTCGAACCGGGATTTCGCCATATTGTAAAGTTTCCAAAGGCTGTCGGTCTTTCTCCACGTTGTACATTTTCCAGATCTGTGATAGATTTTTTAGAAGGTGATGATACCCCTTCAAGGAAGCTATAACCATCTCCCTCCATCTTAAGTTGAGTTTGGAGGTGCTAACGGAGCAATCCGTTTAGCTCTATTTTCGTGTGAGCGGGGTAGGCACGTGATATATAACATCCGGTGATTTACTGACCCCCCAGATATCACTTATTTTCACTATTCCTTACCAGGATCTATAACATATATTTCATCATAACGTGCTTTAACTAAGCATAACCCATATTTCCTCAGTACGTGCACCTTTCTTTAATATCTAATGTATCCAAGGATCCATCACTCCACCACCTTAGCCACAATGAAATGCAATAAAAAGAAGTGCTATTGATTTATATTGAGTAACTTAACATGCAGATAATAGGAAGATAGTAACACAATTCCTCCTAATACTTGTCCTTCAGCGGGTAAGTTCGGTAGGAATTCCTTCAATCGTTGTTGGTAGTGGTTGTGGTGTAGCAGGCTTTTTAACACCCGTGGTGTCATAGCATCCTCTGCCCATATTTGAACCCCTATAACGAGTTGTGTTAGTAAAGGGAAGTATATCGGTTTCTTTCAAGAGCTCGATATATGTATTAGAAAGATAAGACTCCATAGGAGACATACATCAATAATGGTAGAAGCATTTCGAGCCGTTCCATAGAATAGCTGGCTCAATGATGTATAGAACCAGTAGAAATAATAGATCAATACTATAATGAGCAGCAGACGGCAAACGTGTGGAAATATCCCTAGCCAGTACAGAAAAAAATCACTGGTAATGCCTTATACCATCTGGTAAAGAGATAAATGGCTGTATCAGTGCAATGATCGAGGAAGACGAACAGAATATTGAAGAACCCCATAGTAATGGACTTGGGATCTATTTGAAGTTTTCGAATATTAGTTCACTTAGATAAGTGGATCAAAGTTATTCTTGGACCTAGGCCTAGACAGTTAGTGTTAAACTACGAAGTACTTAGCTTCCTTTTTATCTTCCAGTGTCTCCCTATAGATAGGATGAGAAAGTACAGAAGGATCAGACAATAGAAAGAAGATAAATAATAGAACGTTAAATACCTCATACCTGACATCATTCTGGCAAATGTAATCGTTCAGGTATTTATGTATTCTGATATAAGAATGATCATTACTCCTATCAAAGGACCTGCTAAATATATGACCTGATTGGGAATGCTTCTAGATGTACCAACAAAGGATGAAGAAGCAAGATACACCTGATTATTAGCAATAGTGAGGACTCCAATACTTCTGTGCCTTTACCCTATCACTTGTGACTGGACTCAAACATAGACACGAAATGGTCTAGAGAGTGGTATTGTAACCTACTCGACTCGTTCTCCTAATTTAATCTATACTGTAATTTACCAGTCTGACAGGTACCTGACAGCAGTAATCCTAACTATTTGGGTAGGATGCTCTGTTCTCCTCAACAAATCTTTCCGCGGAGAGAACCCTATCCAGAAAAGGAACTAAGCTACTCCACCTACGCAAGTGGGACCCAGCTGTCCCCACTCCATGGCTTCCTCGTTACTACAGTACTCTGGCGTATCCACACTGAGATCTAGATGCACTGGGCTTCTCACGTATGAACTATGAACCGTCAAGAGTCTCTATATAAGTAGGGAGGCATGCGGACTTCGGCCCCAATATTAACCCGGCCCTAGCTGGATGCACAGGCTGTAGCAACTCCCTCGGGGACCCCTCCGAGGCATTACCATCCACGCGTTTGTTGCTTGCAGTTACCTAGTTAACCAAACCAATACCTCCCATCTACTATGCAGCAATCTACTCCATACCATCGACCGTTCATTATTACTACGAAGTAGAATGGGGGCCGGAGGAACATGACTAACAATATTAGGCATTCATGCCCGCTGCAATGGTAGGAAATCTTTCACCGCCTCAATTATGCCGCTTCAACTTCCCGTCGTCCATCAAAATAGCCCACACAACATATTAATAGAGATGTAGGCAGCTTGTAATCTCCGACGCTATGGAAAAGATTGAAAACAAGGGCCTGCTGTTATTGCTTGTCTATTCTACTACTCATTTAAAAGCAGACGATGAAAGTACATTAAGAATGATAGACCTATGGGGACCATGCTGTGTGGCTTGCTGGTAGTTACAGCACGGACGAGATGACGTGGCCTGAGATCACATGATTCCCAGTTGATGAATAATAGGAAGAGACTGGCCTACGACTGTTCTGAGTATCTCATGCTCTTGCGACCCAGTTCTGGGCAACCCCCAAGGGAGATGGAAGCATAGATATTTTAGCTGGGACTTTATCCGGAGACGAACTCTTCTCGCCCAATCCCTTCGGGGAAAATCGTAATTCCGAGCCCGCCATCCGCTCCGCGAGTCATGCCCCTCGCTCATTTGAAGTGGTAACCTGACGTTTCACTTGCATGACTTGAAAATCTTCTCAGCCTACTATCTGACACACTGTATGCATTGCCCCCCAATTAATGCCGTTTGATATGTTCTGTTACCTTTGCAGAAACGTTGGCCTCAAACAGCACCCAGCTGTTCGGTTTCATTCCCACGTTGACCAGAAACTTCTCTTCTACAAATCTCATCAAATTCACTGCAATCCATATCAGGCGTGAGCGGATGGGAACAGCATATTACATGGTTAACTAAGATGATCGATGCTGCCACATACCTCAGGTGATTCGAACTGTTTCCTTAAAATCGCGCAAGCTTGTTGACCTTTGCTGCTTTTGAGTTTCATGGTATTTTCTGACATTCCCGCGGTCAAGTTCTGCATTAGAACGCAATATCTGGTTCATCCATCTCCAACGAGATCGACTACGGGTGATAGGCTCTTGAGAGCAGTTCAAATATGACAAACACGATAGACAAGTACAAACTCGAACCCACCCCACGAGAATCGCTATTAAATGTTGTTACTGAGAAGGTACATCTTCAGAACCAAGTTGAAACGAGTTATGCTAATCATTTTCTATGCTCCTTGTATAGATAAATGACAATGGTTGCGAAAGTATAGAGTGGACCACACTCCCCAGAAGAACTCGCATAAAACCTCCATCAACAGCTGTTGCGGTTATTGTCGATGTTATACATAACCAAGGTGCGATCCACATCACGGACGATGACAGAACATATATCGACATGGTCGGGACTGAATTTGCTGGTCATCTTGTCGTTGTTCGTTGGAACCGTAACTTGTGGTTGAGAGGTTCCGGACATATCGAGGTTGGGTATGTTCTAGCTAAGGAGGGAAAGTAAAGGTTCTTATTCGAGGATTCTTTCGCGGTTAACAATCAAGGACTCTGCAAGTTCCTTGGATAATGGAATTGTGACAAAAGGCGATTGATAACCGTTGTAGGGTTCGGTCAGCCGTATGATTCCGGTGATTTGACCTGGCATGGCGACTATTTTCTGGACGTCTTCCATAGAAAGCTCATATACATCGCCAGCAACAGACGACAAGGGCGTATCTTCAATGAGTTAGCCCAAGTGTAATAGTATGTGGTATATAGATAGTTCGGCTGCCTACCTTGGTCTAGCAGGTCCGCATAGGTTTGAAAAATATCGAGGCTTAGTTTATCCCACTTTTCCCTCAGTTTACTTCGTAGGAATACCCGCTCGCTGTCTCTCATGTTCGCGATGGCCCCTATTCCCAAGCCAGCAGCACAGAGAATGACCCCGACGTCTCCGAACTCCTTCCGTATACCCAGCAGCGTCTCCATGTAGATGATTCTTTGCTTGGCACCCTTTGCATCGGCTGGGGGCCTCCCGTTAGCGAGAAGCTGCAGAGCGTCGTCGGCCCGCTTCTTCTCCGCGACCCTGAGACGGCCCCGGTGGTGGGCCAATGAAGAGACCTCGACGAGCTTCGCAACAGCATTATCCGCAGTCAATCCCATTGTTAGCTCTGCTATTTCGCTGTTACTGTCTATATTTGGAACAATTGGAGGCGTCAGGATAATTGTACCGTTATAAGCGTAGAGAATAAGTCAATCGAAAAAGATGGTTCCAATCGGAAAGATGTGAATCAACTTGGGAAGATAATTATTGACATAAAAGAATGTGAATTCACTTGGAATCATAAGAATTCACTTGGAAAAGCTTGGAGAAAATTAAAAAAAGTTGGAAAAGTTTGGAAAAAGTTGGGGCTTATGGATCTTTCTCTATTTACCGAAACATATGGAGAGGATCCGAACTCTGAAACCTCCTAGTCCAAAGCCATCGCGTATTAGAGGCGTTATCTCATATGTGAGTCGTTCAGCTTTATCCTGAACTGGATCACACATGATGTGAACTGTCCGATCGAGTCCGAGCATTTCTTAGCCTCCCCACTCGGTCCCACTTTGGATCATCCTGATGGTTTTGAAAAACATTTACATGTAATATGTAACTTAGAGTACCTTTGTTCGAAGAGAGTATGACGCAAGTAACTAGATAGTTCTCGTTCATCCAAGATAGCATGCATATTCAACCTAGCTTTACCCTCTGATCGTTAGCCATGCCTTCACTCTGAATCAGAATGTATCTGGGCTGGTGGAAAGATAAGAGCGATCTGGGTGAACATTTACGAACTCCAGTGCTTATATACTGGTAGTAGAGCTACTTAGGAAGAACTGAATCCTGGTATAGAAAATATCTATCGTGAATCTATCAAGCTACGCACTTCTAGTCTGACATGCAGTTTGTGATTGTGGAAATCCTATGCGACAGCGGCCCAATCCCGGGCCGTAGTTCGATCTCGCAACATGTTCACATATTTAGCCTATACTCGAATAAACCAGCTCCGTGATCTTGACTAACTCATTTGTGTTTAGCAAGTGGGGTTACTAGGTCCAACGCTGATTTACATGCTCTGTACATGGTCACAGTCTGTGCAGCTGTCTTCGTTCCATTGTCATACCTGTCTGAAATGCTCTAGCGCGTATGCGTCGTCAACTCCATTCCAGTAGCCGCTGTCTATCAGTGCTTCGGCCTAATGCATTCAAGGATCACCCATGTTGCTGAGATCCCACAATACGCCCTCAGTGCGATATCAATTATGGATCGGGTGAATAATGACCTAAGGGGAGGAAGCTCTGCTGCGCAGAGAGAGTACGTCTTGGTTCTCTTGTTCATAGTTGCAATCTCGATCCATTACCTACTATGTAGCCTTGGGCCACGCATACAAATAGACAGCATCACTCACAATCTCCCGGAAACTTGCCTTCTTTCTCTCCATAAAACTTCTATCCCTAGACCCTTCTACTAGCCTGTGAATTCGTGCTCAAAGAGTTGAACTCTCTCTTCTTAGAGTGATCCTAGCAACCTCGATACACAGTCCCTAAAATCGTGCATGTTCTGTGCTATAGCTAATATGGCATTCAATGGTCTTTCTCCAATGACAGGTATCGGCAAGAAGCCCTCGTCCACTATGAAGAGTAATAATATCGAATTAGGGAGTGATCCTGTAAGTACTGCAATATGAAATTGAGTTCATATGCTGATTCAGGTAATCGAAGGCTATGTTTAGTCCCCTGCGCACATCGATCGATTTACCTTATGATCACTATGCTTTGATCTTCTTGGACAACATGGGTAAACTCCGGGTAGCCGAGTCCCCTTCAATCCGACACCATCATGCCACTATCTTTACTCCTGACGTGCGTGATAATTTCCTGAGGACTCTCGGTAGGAAAACCGGGCATCAGGAGCCTTTAATCCACAGTAAGCACATCTCTTTTACAGTGCTAATATATTCTACGACTGTCTGACCTACAGCAGTAAAGCAAATGGCGCTTCAAATTGGTGATTCCGATCGGCTGCGACAGTACTACACGACTGCTTTGACACATTTCCAACAGTTCAACTGCCGCATTATTGCAAAGGCTTTCATCAGATTCATTGAGCCGCGTAAGCAAGTGAAGCACCCCTATAACGGCCGGCCTCGACGAGGAGCACCCCCCGGTACCAAAGCCGACCCAGAAAAGACAAAGCCTGAATGGTGGCCAGCTGGCATGGCGCACAGAGAGCCAGATCATCTAAATAAGAACGGTAAATGGTTGGCATCCTTGCTTCTATAAACTATCAGTACTTACGAGGCACTACAGATAGGATTAGCCTTTTGATCCATATTATGCGCCAGCTGGGCGCGATTGGGGCCACAGCCGACGTGCTTCTAGATATTGTGTATGACTGTGGAAGACAGTTCGATAAACCAGAGAAGTTCAACATTATTGAAGAGATCTTTAAGGTGCGGAAGATGGAGGAAAGATATGAGCGAGGCGAAATGAGTAAGTGTTCACGAACTTCCTATACCTAATATAGTAGAGACGCCGATCTAAACTGTTGCTAGATGCCTCAACAATTGTATACGTGATGGACCATAAAGCACACACTAATAGCGACAAGGATGCATACTCGTTTGCCGAGTCTGAGCTGAAACTCGAGCCAGAGGAGCCAACAGAGATGGAGGAAGTGGAAGCACCATTTGCTGCAGTTCCTAGCAACATGCCAGTGCTTTGTACCATGCCTTCTATGGGAGAAAATGCAGACCAACCTTTCCATTTGCCGGAGCCTCTTTATTTTGAAGAGCCAGTGAGACAGGACCGACCGTTCTTCATGTCATCCAACGACTATCTGGGAGACAACTCAAATGTTCTTGTTGAGGCACCCGTGACTCGGGGGTTGACCACACATACTGAACAGGCTTCTTCATTTGAATACCTGACCCAGGCGTCCTTTCCGGATGTCAGCACTGCTGAGTACTCTGCCAGTCAATATGGTCCCAGGACGCCATCCTTTGGAGACCGTCGGTTTATTCCTCAGGATTATGGATTTGTAACGGGCCATGCCAGAGACTTGCATGTACTATCCAATGGGCGTTACTTTGAGCTCTGAGAACATTGCCCAACTGTCTACGCCCGCGTGCTGGGCCGGCCCAGCCTTGAAAACGCAGCCTGGTGCGAACCAATGCGGAGCTTCTGATAGTCCTCTTGTGTGTGCACGGGATGAAAGAATGGATGGCCTATCTGTTGCCGTCCAAAAGTTATAAACCATTGGCTGCCTTTGATGATCCTTCCCTTAGTTCTATGTTCCCGGATATGATCCTCATCATTCTTTTTATGCACGTGTACGTCTAGAGTCTGACATCGTCAAAGGCCAAGATCTAAGCACATAGAATAATCATTTCGAATAGTGTAAACTTCCAAATTTGGGGCCACCTTAGGTTCGCCTTGAATTCCATATCCCGGTCAGGAGACAACAATCCGAGCTGACAGGGTTCCTCCAGAGAAACAATATTTTCAACCCTTGGGCTCGTCTTCTTCTATGAGCCGCTAGTTCTATGATAAGGATTTATCTGAGCTCGCTTCCACAATTGGACATTGCGACTATGGTGGTAAAGGAGGAGGAGCCGATCACAGTAATGGCAGCCGCAGCAGAGGACTTGGCGGTGGTGGTCGTTGTGGTTGAGGTTATGATCGTTGCGGAGCGAGCTGGTGTGGCTCAACCACAAGGATACTGCCAGCCGGCTCCGCCTTAGGTAGAACATCTAGCTAGTAGACTCCCTTGTTCACAATATCATCATCTTCCCCATGATAAGCTCTCATCATAATACTGGTAGCATGTCCGCTACGGCCAGTAGGATACCGCTAAGCCTTGATGTTTGACTTGAACAAGTGTATTTTCTCTCCTTTACTCGTCTTGCTAACGATTCGACCTCCTGGGAGCCAGGTACCTACGTCGAACCACACCTACACCTACGCGGTCAACGCTAGACGCGTCCAGAACCATCGAATCGAACCTCATGACGTTGGCTAGACGTCAAGAGCCACGTCCAATTGAGCTATCTCATCAATGGAACTTCTTCATCTCGCGTACGGGCTCGCGGTTCGCCTTGGAACACGACCTTGACACCCCCCAACGTCTCATTTATCTACGTGGACTACAATTACCTGCCCCTCCTTCCATATGAGCTTATCCACACCCGCCTAACTGGGACATCGACCGTTCCTCCAGGAACGTCCGAGGATTCCTACGGTCAAGCCAAACCTTCCTATCAGAAGACTCCGATTACTCGACCTGGTCGGATCATAACCAACTACAAGGTGTTGAACCTGAGAAACCCCTCGGTCGTCCGAGGTCATGTCCAGAATCTGTATCAACTTCGACCTCTCCTTCAACGTCCGGCTCTGTGGGTTAGGAAGACTGTCAAACGACCCCTGTACCTAGCGGTACGTCGAGCTCTGCTCCGACTGCAAGGACCGAAGCTTCTACGAGGACCGAACCTCCACCTCGACCTCCTGTCGAAACACTGACTACATCTATAAACGTACCAATACCTGCCGTCCCACAAAAAACCTTTCATTCAACGATACCTGAATCTGTCATTGGTGCTGCATGTGGTATTCTCTTTCCAAAGCCCTTATGAACACTACCAGTGTTCCCTCCTTCTCGTCAAGGGTCACCTGTCCGTTAGGCCCGAGTCAACACCCCCGATGTCACCTTACTAGGGGCCTTTGACTCAGCTTGTCGACCTAGTCCCACGGTAGAACGAGCCAAGGACTCAGCCTCTAGGACTGACACTGGCACGCATCACACTGGGGAGCACACTGAAGGACCACTTCTTGAAGTACCCGTGCCAATCGAGGAGCCGTTTTCTGAAGCCTCCGACGTAGCTGCGTCAATTGCGTCGCTCGTCAGGTCCACGTCACTAAGAGGGTCACTCGTTGGGCCCACGTCAGTAGAGGAACCTGTCTCCGACCAAGAATCTATTCCCACTTCAACGATTCCCTCGTCGATACCTACCGTTCGACCTCAGTTCCGAAACAGATGAACGAAAGACAAAGATCCAGTCACAGAGGATCCAGCCATGTCTGCTTCAGGCTCTGGACATGGACATGGCCATGACCAACCGAGACCCCTTCAGCCTACCATGCAAGACATTATGGACTTGTCGTTGACCAGACAACAACGAATGGACCAAGTTACTGATACTCTCCAAAAGTTCGGTTCGATTGTCGCCTTAATGACATACAGGCCCAACAACGACAAGACCCTACTCTTGCGCCACCACCTATGTCACCTGCATTTCCAGGGCCTGGAGGCAATAACAACAATGGTAATGGCAACGGTAATAATACTGGTGCCAACCAACTCAATGCTGAGCTAGCTGACGAGGTCACAACCACTATCGCGTACAACCAGCTCAAACCGGACAAGATTGGCTTCTTCTGGCCAGACCTTCGCTCGGGATGTCATTCGCTACGCACGTGGAGCAAACCTCAACGATTCGTTCAACTAAATAAATAGTATCTGCAGCTGATTGAGTCCCGAACTCTGACACGACATTCAGCAACCACGTCAAGATATCACCCTTGGCGAGTTCCTTGAACAACTCGATGGCCAAGTCTACCTGTGGAAAGACCTCTCAGATGAACGCTCCAGAGGTCGTGATCGAGAACCGTTGGCAGAATCGGCCGTACCAGAACAACCAAGGCCAAGGACCTCGACCCGGTCAACTACTACTGAGCGATCGCCTTTACAATGCTAATAATTGGCATACGGACCGTTCCGACCGTCGAAACAATCGTTGTGTATACTAACAACGGAGGGTACAACTCTCGGATACCCTGGAATCGGAATCGGAACAATAACCAACAAGCTTACATTGCTACTACCGACCCTACTACACCCAACGAGGACCAGACCGTCTACGATGACACTGCCTTTACTGCAGATCCACAAGACGAGTCTTCGCAGGCACCAGATATGTACGCCCAATCCAACACCTATGACGACGCCCCTTACAATGACGATTACGCGTACTACAGTGATCAAAATGATACTCAAGGACATGACAATAACGACTATGACGACATCTACGCTTTCGAAGTACAACCCGGGGATATTGCCAAACCAGATGACAAAGTCGTCGTCAGTTGCCATAATCGCCAACTTACTTTTGCATCAAACAATCAACTTCATGCTCACCTTCCTTGCAAGGGCGAGACCACGCGCTCGGTCGTCCTGCCTACTGCTGTTGTTTCTGACAATGACGTTGTCGAAGCGTTATCACAAATGTGATTGCATCTGACCGATTCGGCATTGAAGGCGCTCACCAGAAAGGCACGCTTCTACGTACTTGGCGTTCCGCCACGACGGACGCAGGACTGAACGTCACAGACAAGTACACTACTATCGTGCTCGACACAGGATGCTCTTCAACAATTATGAAGGCCTCTGTCGCTATGTTCCTATAGTCTTGCTATAGCCTTTCTTATCTGATCGGGTATCGCTGCAATGGGTTCTCATCGTGATTCCCTTGAGCCTTGCCGTGTGATGGGGGTCCGGCCTTACTATTGATCCGGACACCGCCAGACCCGACTCTCATCCCCCGCTTGTATCATTCGTTGTCTAGCTATTATGACATATATGTCTTTACTTGTTGCATTGCCTGCTTTTGCTGCAAGAAGACAGGGCAAAGAGTAAAGATGCGGCAAGATGGTCAAGGGATCACATGTGTAGGTGAGGTCAGCAATTCGTAGATCCTGTTCTTTTGCGGTTACGTTGATTCCCATCTTCACAGGTGATTCTGCCAAGGAGGCTCATACCACACCCAGGCAACACTCCGCCTACTGCTTCGGGGAAGGATTGCTTCTATAACTAGCAGAATTTTCACCGCTTTGAGCTTAGCTTATGCCTGAGGCCTGAAATTTCTCCGCCTACTATTTCAGGATATGGTTGAGTTTTACACCTAGCAGAATCTTCACCGCTTCAATGTACCTGGGGTCCATGCTTTCGTGCCTAAGGTGTAAAATTCCTGCCTCAGGCTAATATTTTCTGCCTAAAGTCAAAGTTTTACGCCTAAGGCTCTAAACTATGCCTCAGGCTACTGCATTGCCTTGATAGCGACGTTAGTTTTGCCTGCACGATGAAATAGCTTGAGGCGATACTGCTATTTATATACCCAAGTTCTTTCCGACGCCTCCCTAAAACGGTAAGCGGAGTGTGGCATGAGCAGATCCCTTTGTAGTGGTAGCCTGGCTGGTGTGGCGCCTTCCTATTCATGCCTTTACTTGAAGAATGGTGATTCGAATAATTCCTTTCTTGAGACCATCTACATGACCGCTTGCAGCCATTTGGGAAGGGAAAATCCAACTTTGACGGCTTTTTGTGAGGTACTCTGTGACTCCCTTCGGGAGACCCTTCGGAAGGTGTATAGGATTGATGCGGCCGCAGAGCCTCTTTCTCCCAATACTATGTATCCTTAATTCAGTGGTTTTAGCGTTAGGCGTACCAGCGCGCTGCAGACTTACTGCCATTATTCTTTACTGTTGTAATAAGTAAGCCAGCTAGTAGCCCATAATCCCGATAATATATATACACACCACTGATGTCTCAGTACCATCGCGATTACTGCTTCCTGAGAACCCCTAGGTTTCCTAGCTCAATGTTTGGTAACCACAACCGTTGTAGTGAACGTCGCGGCATAGGGCCGCGCGATTGATATATAAGATGTCGTTTGAATCGTACTGAAGAACTGCCCACTCTGGCTCCCCGGATTCAGGGCGAAATGAGACCCAGGAAAGCAATAATACCAATCATCATCATGTTGGAGCCCAAGAAACCAAGCTGGTTTAGACGTGGTGACGTTATATATAATACCGCCATCTATATCGTTACCAAGTCTTGTAGCACCTACACATGGTTCATCAAGGGTGGTGTTATATAAGATGAAAGTCCCGTTTATTGGGTAGAACACCACTGCGTCGCCGATCGGCACATTGAGTGACGGAGGATCGAACTCAGTCATATTTCCTGCATTTACTCGCACTGTCTGGGTAGAACCAATACCTGGAGTTGGACGGAGACTGGTGGACAGGGCCATACCGGTTATAGACATTGGCAGTGTACTGTCCGTTCGTAAGATAGGGGTGTTGGATGGCTTGTTTGTTGGTCTCGAACTACCCAGAATACTCTGTGTAGCCAAACATGCCTTTAGCCATGTAGTTGTTTGTAATAAGCTGCTTGAAGCATTGACCACCGTTTTTGAAGTCATAGCTTTGCTTGGGGCCCCAAGGCTGGGCAAGCTCGTCACGTTGGTAATTGACCCTGAGATAGATGGGCCTACTGCCTCGTCTGATATCTGACTAGGCGCCAAAGATGATGGGTTTTGAGCAACAGAGGAGCTTATCAAGACATCACTGGTCCAATAAGAGGGGGTAGATGTTGAAACAACCCCGGAAGGCGACAGAAAACTGGATGGAACATCCTCTATAGTCGGGTTATCTCCAGACGTCTGGATAATTTCAATATCGAAGCATGAAGTGTATAGCTGGAAATAGGAATAAGTTTCAGTCAAATATTTACAAAAGGTTATTGGACAGACCATAAATCCTCCTCCAACTTCGAGTGTTGTGTTCCACATCCAATAGACTGTGTATAAGCTGCCGACCTGGGCCTGCACGGGTATACTGAATGGATGACCCTTCTCAGTTGTAGGTAGAGGTGGGAAAGCCTCCAGTACTCTACCAAATTGAAGGACATCTGCCAAAGTCCTATCATCTGAGTTTCTTTGCGCCAGCATCCAGTACCAATGAACAACACCATCATGGTTTGGTGTAGACAACTTTTCGATAGAATAGTATGGATAAACCACTAATCCAGGGACTGTTCTTAATCTAGGCCATGGATTAATCTGGATCAATTGCCTCTCGTATTCACCGCAAAAGTATGCCGTGGTAGATGTGTCCACAACTGAGTATGATGTATATTGAGTACCTAGTACCATAAGTAGATTTAATCATCATTGTTATTGTTAATAATATAATAGATCGTGTTTAACTTACTAAAGTTCCGACTGTATCCTGGATTCCATCCAATCATAGTTTTATTAATATATAGTGCCTGAAGATTATGAACCTATACACTGTCAGCGATGGACTATTCACTGGTGGAACAGTGGATCTTATACATGTAAGAACGACCAAACTGGAATAGTAAAGAAAAGGACCGAACATAGAACACTGGAAAACATTAGCCACATGATAGGAATGTCACAGACAAAAGTGTGTTTCAATATTAAAATGAAGAAACTACCATTGTAGCCCACATCACAGCGCCATATACCGCATTTTATAGACACAGATAATGGATACTACTGGAACTGGGGCTGGGTATAGTTAGGGATCCAAAAACCTACCAGGCATAGCCCATAGTATGTTCGATAGCCTGGTTCGAATATTTTTTTCCTAAACGGGTCAAATACATCACGTACAAGAATTCCGCTAGTTCCTACGGAAGTTGGGGGAACTTTGAAGAAGCCACTCCATTTTCAGTGTGTGGGTCTACTTACCTTCTGAATCCGGAGTTCATACCAAAAAGATTACCGTTCCTTATAAAGGAATCTAAGCCCTGAAGATCTGCTCCATTGATTAAAGAGTTATGGAATTGCATTTAAATCATACAAAGTCGACCAAGGCTATCACAGTCTGCCGAAAATTATATGATATAGTTTTTCTTCTAAAAAAGAATAAATTTGAAGAGACCCGTCCAATCCAGCTTACACTTTTTATAAGCAATGCTGGCCACAACGAAATAAGCATACTCATGTTTGTCACGTCCTGGTCCTCGAACAGGTCAGTAGTGTCTGCCAGACTCCCTTACTTTTTTTTGAGTCAGTTTGCTAAATTATAATAACTATTTAGGGAAGATTAAAGTGCATACGCGTGAGCCGTTGGCATAAAGAGGGGAGTTTTCCCTGGTTGGACTTTAGTTTTCTGTTTCCCCGATGTCGATATGAACCCGGTGTGGATTCTCTCCACACATCTCAAATGGGTTGACAAGTTTGTGGAGTATTTTAATGCGGTTGGTATTCAGTCACTCTGTGTTGCCTTATTAGACGGTGATGGAGAGGAGAAATTTGGGGCGGTTGAGATGAATCGCCCGACATGTATCGTTTTGCGACGTTTCCTGGTACTTCTTGGAATCAAGAAGAGTCGATACTTGTGTGATATGTTGGAGAGCCTTGAAGGGTACGAGGTGATTAGTGGTTTTGCCTCATCATTTGAAGAAGTAAGTGTATCCGACCGTGCTATGCCTCTATGTCGGAATTGCGGCAGCGTATCTGGCTCATATATGTCTCTTTTTGTTTTACTTACGGTGTCTATACAGTGTATAGTATATGCTAACCGTGATCGGGGGCAGTTGATTATGTTTTGTGTGAGAAGTCTCTCTAGGCCATGTTGCTCGTGTGCTGGGAAGATGCCAAAGAGCATTGAGGCAGGGTGTGTCCCTGCCATAGTTGTGCCGGAGGTGGTTCGTCGTTCTGTTATTCGCAGAAGATTTGGCAGAGATTCTGTTTGGACGCAGGGGGGTCTAGTATGGACCGGACCCGTGTAGATATTTTTCGTGTTGTGTTTGTATGGAAGAGGAGGCAATATTTCAAGTGCGAGTTGTGACTTCGGTGTGCTGCTTGATAGGTTTCTTATTGATACTCAATGTCATTGTAAACCACTGAGTCGGCACAGGATTGCTTAATGTATGAACAACGAAATAGTATGACTACAGGAGGATAGGACTCTTATCTTAATCTACCGCTCCATTATTGACAGTTCCATTAAGGCATTGGTGGAACCCTTAATGATCAGCCGGTTGGCCAGTAGGCGAGTGTTATGTGACCAGGGGTCACGTTGGCACCAGTGTTTCTTGTTCTACAAGCAACGTAGTGAGGTAGCCTTAGCTAGTAATAATCAATATCACGACCGCTTTCCTGCCTCGCATCCCCAACACTTTTCATAATGATTTGAAAGATATCTGTAGCGCGGCTCACTGTAACCGTGCGATCCTGCCTGTCGCCCTTTCCGAGGCGCTGAACCGAACCTCCGAAGCCAGTTTCTTGCTTCTTGATATAGCAGGAATGGTTGTTCCTCTTTACTCTAAGTTTATCCTCCTTGTCATGCAGGGTTCTCATTCTCATTAATAAGGCAGAAGCACGATGACATAACCTCTGTTTTCTTTAGTCGACCCTACCGTTTTCGTTGCGCGTTAGGATTTTATGTGGACAGCATCGGCAGTTAGAGCTCCGGGGGTGGCTTGGTCCGTGGTGGCTCCTTGTCATTGTTTCTTTTCTCGTTTGTTTTTTCTAGGAAAGATAGGGGGCATGGATAATTCAATATCTATAGCGGTATTCATGGTCGGCTCATTAAACATTATCAGGCGTCATTCATTGCTCTTGATCACTGGTGTTGGCTCCGCTCGCTATAAAGTCTTGTTTTTCCTCTCTCTTTTTTCCCTGCTTCTCTCATTTCCTCAACTTTCTCTATCCTTTCGTCTGTTAGTACGTCTTCATTCTCTCTCCAAGTCTTACCACTCGTCTTCTCCTCCACAGTCATGTTTCCATGTCCCCACTGTCTTGCACGATGCTCCTTCCTGAAGTCTGCCCTATAGGGAGCTGGAGACTGTCGAAGGTGCCCCTATGATAATGAATGAACATTCTATCTGCAAATTCAGTACATCGCCGCTGTTATCGATTTCTCACTTACATACCAAACAACTAGTTGATCTTCTGGAACATTATTGTGAGCCTTTACATTAGCGTTCTGTACTTTCACAGATAAAGGCCACTACGAGGCTTCCCTGGCTACAAATAGTCCCGAATTATACCGATGAAAACAATACTGCCAGAGTTCGGCCAACTCCGATCCCACTAGCTATTGATGGGCAAGTTTTGCGTGCAGAACGGAGCGGCTATATGTACTGACTTACACCAAAACTCCAAAGTCTCCGTGATAGAGAGCCCCGACGCAGCAGATTCTATAGACAGATAAGAACAGGCGCTAGAGCCAGACTCCGCTGGCCCCACGAAAAACAACACCAGCTTATGCACTGGTGGTGGCAAAGTATGCCTCTGGTGCGCGGAAGAACAAACCACCAATATACAGATTATACAAGACCTGAATTTGAGATGCAATTTAACGATGGCTTAAGGAGATCGAACAGACAAATTCCTCGAAAACTGAACCAAAGAGTCAAATCCCGCTCTTATATTGGTAGTCTAATATCGACAGCCAAGGCGTCAATTCGAAGTTATTTCTGGCCGGTCTATTTGCAGATGGCTCTGGACCATTCTGCCCGGAGGATGTCTTCCAGGAGAAGTTCTCTAAATACATTCCAAGGCATGCCCACATTGAAAGAAGCCATCTCCTTTCATATCGACATTCATATCGATGCTGTCGCCAGCCCACAACCATTTCGGAACAATAAAGGCGGTACTATATCAATTATTAATCCGAAAATGCTTGAGCAGCGGTATGGTCTGCAAAGGTTATATTCAGAAGACATACTACCATCGATGATAACCTGGATCAAGTGCTGTTTATAGGCTCCAACCCAAGGCGTCGGGATGCCTCAGAGGCCGAGACCATTATTTCTATGCAGGAGGGGTTCAATGACGGGGACTATCTCAATGACGATGCCTATAAGAAGCTTATACGGAACTGGTATGATAATGGTTCAGAAGCTATTCCCATGATTAATGAAAGACCTGCAAGACGTGTTCTTAATGAGGTCTGTCTCGGGAGTATTGTATACACCTCCGCGCAATCCTGAGAACTTCACAATGGCACGTTCATTCGCGTACAGACCATTCTCCAAGACGCGGCTGGTGATGTGTACTTCAATGGACGATGTCTGCTTAGCACTGAACAATACTTAGGGACCTATATGCCCAAATGGCCTAAAAAACTCGTATGGATCGCAAATGAGACAGGGGATATCCTATTTGAGAAGGTCAATTGCAGTAATTCCGGTACTCGTATCACCACTTGCACTTTTATTGATCCAGTAACTCACACCAAGTTCTTTAAAACTTCAGCTGCAAAACGTATTTGATTCTTAGTATTCTGCCTACTTATTTCGCCTCTCTACTTACTCGTCCAGACTCAAATAAGGATACCTAGAACCAAGGATAAGGGAAAGACAACTGATAAAACGTATAACAGCGTGAAGAACAAAGACACATTCGGTAGCGAAGTTCTGTCAAACACTTCCCATGTCTGTAGAGCGTCAGGATCGTAGGTGCACAGGAACTTTGGTTTGTCCAGTCAGCCCTCCGAGCCACCACTGCCCGAAGGATTTGATCAAAGCTTGGTCCTTCTCACGAAGGTCGAATAGCCGAGTTGGACGCATCACCAACGAACTGCCATCGAAATATGCTTCGATGATTCGAGCATGTTGGGGCCCCATAAAGGAGAAAAGAAGAACCTATATGTACGCACTTAGCTTCTGTTTTATTTGCGTGAGCTGACAAAGCATATGCGGAGCAGAGCAAATTACCGGGACAATTGTATGCTCCAAAAGGCGAGCCCGCCTGGCTTGTGCATGAATGATACGGAGAACCATTATAATCTCGCCCCGGAGAAGTTGACCATCCGTGCCATCCAGATTATTGTAGATCATCGCCTTCACATGCGGATACGAACGGTCTTTGACCTCAATTGCCTTGGTGACTCCGAATTCCGGATAGCTATATTCGTCCAAGTCTTCAAAGGGCCTATCACCTAAGCTGCTCCCTCGTGTAAGAATTCAAGTACAGTACAGTGCATGAATGTAGGAGAGATATTAGAATTGGAGAGGGGCGCCCCAGAAGGGGTTGACTACCTGATGCTAGACCACGACGTGGCATAAGTCTCGGTCTCACTACCCATCTCATTGGATAAAACATAAGAGGCGAGATAAGCAATCGTGTTGCGTGCGCAGTCGATCGGACGTCTGTGTATTTCACTGGTTGAATTGAATTCAAGATACGCGGATCTCTTCTTCTGGTCATATTTCTGATCAGGGTCTAGTAAGAGAGAGGCAAGGCATGCGGTAAAAAACTTCGGCATGTTATTGGGTTCTTCCAAATCCATGGATAAGACCTTCACCATGTGTGTCTGCAGACCACTGTAATCGAACTGAGCTGTTCCAAAGCCGCTGAACTGCTTCTCGAGCCCACGGAGTGCAGTCCGTAGGGCCCTGTGTTCCCGAGACTCGTGGAAATGCATAGCTGGGATAATTACTAGACGCGGGGAGACAAAATATGGTCCGCTCCAGAATGGCCGATGGTTTATTAGGTCCTGATCAATGGTGAATTTATCCCTCTGGTTGGGTTGGGGAGTTAGAAGAGTGCTTTGTCTGGAACTTCGGAGTGTCGGCGTTTTGCCGCCCGGGCGGTGTGACCTCCTTTGGTCCCTAGCCAATGGGGCTACTGCAGTCGCGGTGACATGTGACGAGATTTTGCCTTAAAAAGTCGGCGCCAATATAAGGTTGTTCATTGGTCATGGTCATGAATGGTGATGTGACTCACATACCCGATTCAGATTGATGCAGCAGTGGCGTGCTGGGTTCTTTCGGGGTACGGCTTGGACGTCAGTGTTTATGGCCTTGGGATCGGAGCTGTCTGGCTTGTGGCCTATCTTCCACGTCCTAACTACACCTCGGCGTGATGAAGGGGTGTGGGCCTGGCCTATTAAAGGAATCTCGCTTCCCAGATCCTCTCGAGACGAAGATGACTTACTTCATTCTTGACTATCTCGGTTTGTTAGAAGGGAAATCTGTATTCTACCATATAATTATCGGAGACGGAAAAGCTCGCATTCTAGTTCTCGCATGAGTGGAACGTTCCTCTTATTGTCTATTATCTTGCATGCTAGTATGAGTGGTGCTTCCGGCAACATTCCCTCCGATCAGGAGGAGTGGGAAAACTTTGTCAAGCGCAGAAACCTCAAGGGAAAAACTGTCCACGCAGCCGAGCTGGCTTCTGGGTCCAAAATTGGTTATGATCAATATTTGCTCCTTCGCGTTCTATGGGTGGACCATCGCTCAAATTTGTCACTCCCCGAGGAAATCAGTAAGTTACTTCCAAAGGCAGCCGAAATGCTGGCAGGGTGTGAATCGTGGAAAAAATACCGTGGCAGTTTTGGTAAAACGGAAAATCCGGAAGGAAGCTTTGCAGTGGCTCGCCATTATCAGCAGATGGCTGCAGATAGCAGAGGGAACATCCGGCCCAATAGCTTCGACACCCCGGTTGCGCGGCGTACCCGCAGCCATTACTCTAAGGGCGCGCCGGATATATCTACACTACAACTGAATCCACCCAAGACCCCACCGGGAAAGCAAACCAAGTTGCCCGAGACACCTGTTCTGTCAACTTCTGACGATGATTGGATTGCCGACTATGACGAGTCTTCCCCCCAGGTTTCACCTATTACCCCAGCTGCCCAGGTCCCTGAAGAGCTCCAAAAGATGATGTACCCCCCGACAAAAGATGAACAGATTGTGAACATTGCACTTGTGATATTTTTGAACGCGCTTACTATTCACTTCGCTGATTGCAAGTCTTGCGTGTGGACGCTGCACCGGAAAGGTTTTCATGCCAATTTCACCCAGGCTAGCTTCGAAGCTCGGACAGATGGTTATCTGGATGATCTCCAGGAGAGCGCTTACGCTCTCATTGAAGTTAAACCTGTTATCAGAGGAAACAGACAAAATCTTATACAGATGCAAGAGAGCGCCCAAATGGTTGCCTGGCTTATGAATGACTCTGAGAATAACGACATTGACAAAGTGCAAGTCTCTCTTATACCCCGAGACCTATGAACCAATCTGATAGTCTGTTGCAGGCGAATCCATGTTTCACAGGATCGGCACGAGATCTTTTTAGTGTTCGCTGAATACGACGATAACTACCTTGCATATCTCAAACCATCCAAGACCGAACCATCAGATCATAAGTCGTCCGAGAGTCGAATTCCCTCAAGTTCAGCGCCTGTGGATGAAGCCCCATCCTTCCTAACAATGCACCAGTACGGACCTTGGGATACACAACAGCAATCACACATGGAGCAATTGGGTCCTATCCTCCTTGCCATAACGCTTTACGCTGCAGGTAAAATTCAAGCAAAACGGACATCAGAACGGAAGTGACTAAGGTGTTTGGAAAATTCATGGGCACGATCCGATTATTCATGATTCATTCTGAGGTTGTTGTTCCTTGCTGTCTATTGCATACTTTTCATGTTTCCTTGTTAGGTTAATACATACCCTATAGCTCGCGCCGGTGCTGGCGTGGAGGATCAAGATAGCTAGGATTAACTACTCTTCTTTGAATACAGCTCGTGCGAAACAGTTCTCGTACACCCCACTGTGCTTTTTAGGAGAGATGAAAAATTTTCTTCCAAAGTAAGTTGATAGTCATCCTGATGCAAGGCCAGCTAGCTAGGCTAGAATGACTAATATAACATCACAACGGCAAGAAGAATCTTATTATTGGTTAGACGAGGGCTCACTTACGATATATCATATTTACTAGCTATTACTTCTACGCGACTCCCCTTAGATATGGAGATAACTGTGATCTGTTCAGAGGCTGTATCCCCGCCTCCGCGGGATCACTCCATCTCCTGTCCTCATACTCCCTCCATGGTTCGTGGTGGTTTTTTAGCTTTAACCAGACCTTATCGCCCACTCTGTACTGGGGTGTGGGTTACCGTGTCTTGTTTGCTGGTGCTTCTGCGTTTTGTTGGGCATAAGCCAAGGAGGCTTTGGCCCAATCCAGTGCTGTTTAAGCTGCACTTGGTTGCCCCCGGAAGTGAGTCACTAGCAGGAACAATCAACATAGCCGTGAGAATAAGTTTGGTCCAGTGTATTGTACATCATATGTTCTCCCATTGTAACTCAAAGCCTATTTCAGTGTTGTTTGATTGCAGTTGTTAGGCTATATCCTGCTTGAACGAATACAGTCAACAGCGGATTTGGAAAAACAAGAAATATCAGTACATTCGGTTTACACCTGTTCCTATAGTTTTTGCTGTGTATATTCCTACTGTGACCTGCCTCTTGTCAACCTCTGTTTCCAGAGAAAGCAGTGCCTTGTGGGCCAGTTTGTATAAAGTCACAAGATCCTGGTCGGAAACATTATCATATCCATCCCGACAAGAAAATGTACCATTGGAACTGGTCTGGAACAGTAAAGAAGGGAGTTCCATAGCTAATTTTTCGAAAGAAAAGAATATAGAAACTGTGCAGTGGATGTATGGGGAGTTCGGGTTAGAAGCAGTAGTTGGGGAGGAGTCCAGGATGAGTTGGGGGGTGTTCGGCGGTTGTGCCTCCAATTTGGCCCGGAGGGCTTGGATCTCTTCCTGTAGCTTCTCATTCTGGGTGCGTAAGAGCTCCTGTTCGGCTTTTAGTTTCCGGACTTTCGCTCTTGCTGTCTCGATTATCTCTGTCTGGTGTTTGAGTGTTTCATTGAAGCTGGTGAAAAACTCTCTGATATCCTGGTACGTCACCCGTCCGTTGTTTTCTCCGCCGGCCGCAGATTCGGGGTTTGCGATCGGCTTGTTTTCTTCCATATGAGCGCCTCGTCTGCGGCATTCTCTTGTTGCTGGGATCCTAGGACGAAAATCACATTGACTAAAAATTGTTGGTGTTTCCTGCGTGTTTGTGGGGTTCGGTAACCCCTGCGGGCGGGATCGTCATCCCCGCGCGGGAATCGGGAGAGGTGGAAGAATTTTCCGTTGTGGGAGATGATTTGGAAGGCCTCAGGTTTGACGACGAATCGCGCGTGATGTGGTGCTTGTATAACAAAAAAACGAGCGAGCGACGGTGTTTAGATAGCAATAGAGGCTATTTTACACGTCAAAACAACGCAGGAGCGAGCTGCCGGGCTCATAACCTGAGAGATGAGGAAGCCTTGAAGCTCGTAGGATTTGGTAAGACTACGGGATTCTAACTCGTTAGTTAAGGGGCCGAGAGTCAGATGACTGTTTTAGTCATCCAGCATTTCCTCCTCTAGTTAACGTAATCGGTAAGCGAGCGGGCAGCCGTGCGCGTCAGTTTCGCGTTTTTCAAGTTGAAGCAATTCAACCATCAACAACTCCACCAAAAATGCCTCGATCGTCAAAATCTTTGGTGGAACAAGAAGGCCGAATTTGCCTTGCCATTGAAGCTATTCAGAAGGGCAAAATTTCGTTTGTGGCAGAAGCTGCACGTGTTTTTAATATTTCACGAACAACTCTTCAACGACGCCTGCAAGGAGTTCAATCTCGCTGTGATATACGTGCCAACTTTCATAAACTGACTCTTTCTGAAGAAGAGGCTTTAAAGAATTAGATTCTCTCGCTTGTAAAGCATGGGCTTTATCCTTGATTATTACACGTTCGGAGAATGGCTAATATCCTTCTCCAAAGGCGTGAGTCGAATTCTACAGTCTCTGTTGGCGAGAAATGGGTATACAACTTCGTGAACTGCGATGAAGCTTTGAAGACTTGATTTTCTTAAAGATTAAACTATCAACGTGCGAAGTGCGAGGATCCAAAGGTTCTTAGCAAGTGGTTTGCCCGGGTTGAAGGTGTTAAGGCAGAATACGGAATCCTTGACGAAGATGTTTGGAATTTTAATGAAACAGGCTTTGCTATGGGCATGGTAGCTACAGCGCGTGTAGTTACACAATCTGACTGTATAGGCAAGCTGTTTCTTATACAGCCTGGCAACCGTGAATGGGTGATCTCAATTAAGTATATTAACACCGCTGGCGCCGTGTTGGCTCCGTATATGATTTTTAAAGAAAAAGTCTATATCGAGGCCTAGCTTCAAGGCTGTATTCCACATGATTGGCATATCAATTTATCACCAAACGGCTGGACTTCTAATGAGATTGACCTACACTAGCTTTGTAAATACTTTATTCCAGCTACTAAAGATCAGCAGATTGGACAATATAGCCTCTTAATTCTTGATAGACACGACTTCTATTTAACTCCAGAATTTGATGATATCTGCAGTTAAAATAATATTGTCTCTATCTATATACCTCCGCATTCTTCACATCTTTATCAACTGCTTGATATAGCTTGTTTCGCGCCGTTAAAACGAGTCTACAGTGGCTTAGTAGAACGGCTAACTCGCCAAGGCGCTTACCATATTAATAAGGTTAATTTCTTGAATATATATCCAGAGACACGTTCTTTTACCTTCAAGAAATCAACTAAACAAAGCGCCTTTAAGGCTTCAGGATTAGTACCGTTTCAGCCAGACAAGATACTTGGCCAGCTTGTTTTACAACTACGGGAGGCTACTCCAACAGGCAGTATAACCACTACGTCAACACTGCCAAAGACGCCCAAGAATACGAGGCAGTTAAAGAAGCACGAAACAACAATTGAGAGACATCTTCGTAAATATATAATTAGTCCTTCCTTGCAGATGAAAGCAGTCTTAGCCTATATTATAAAGGGTTGCGAGATCGCCTTCAACCGGACTGCCTTGCTTGAAGAGGAAGTTAACGAACTACGAGCCGGGCTGGAGAGGCAAAACACCAAGAAGAAGAGATCATATCGTCAAATGGCAGGCCTTAACGGTCTCACTGTTGGTGAGGCTATAAATGCGTTTACACAGGCTTGTGAGGCTGATAAAGCAAGTGGTATCCGGCCGGTGGAATCGGCTGCAGAGGAAGAACAGCCTCGCTGCCGGGCACCGCCTCGCTGCAGTAACTGTAATACAGTGGGGCATACAAGAATAAGGTGTCCTACACGTCAAAACACCATGTAAGCACGAGATTTTACGTATATAGTGGCTAATAATTGCTTCATCTTTTCATGGAAGTTGTGTCGGCGGGCGCGGCTGCCCGCTCGCTTACACTGCCCGCTCGCTTACCGATTACGTTAGTTACACAGTTAACTATCTCCTAACTTCCGTCCTCTAGGTGTTTCCCGAATTTTATAGCGAATGGTAACGCATTAACTACTAGTGGTTTCAAGCTCCAAGAACCAGTTGGTGTCGCTATGGATAGGAAATTATGCTTTTAAAACAAGCCTACATCAGCAAGGTACAGGTTTTGTTAAGACGGAAGTGGAAGTATGTCCTACCTTGAGAAGCGCTTTAGCTGTAGTTCCCTCTGTAGCCTTTTTGATAAAGTCTGAAGTTATAGATGAGATACTATGCGCTACCTCATCACACAGAATAGGCTCGCCAGTTATTCTCGTTGTTGGATCGATTAGATTCGCGATTATCTTTCCTGTGCCACGTAGATCATGATTCCTAGAGCTTAAATCTATGCCCCGGATCATACTATCTCCTATGTTTGCTAAAAGCCGTTAATAGAGGACATAATGCATGTGGACGTAGTTTCGTACCGATCTTAACTTCACCATCAGTATTCAACACGATATTGGCACAATCAATATCTCCATGAATAATTTCCAGTTCAGAGTGGATATAGTCAAGCCCAAGTAATACTTCCTTGGAAATGGTAGCAGCATCGGACTCACTGAACTGAACTCTGGGACTGTTACTGACACAAGCTAGTGAAACTGCTAAGAGTTCAAGTCGGTATATGAAGGTAATGTTGGATCCGTCGCTCTGAAACCCATAAAGCCCAATCAAGTTCTGATGGAATGCTTTCTGTAGTGATCTTTTCTGCTTTGGCGTGATACTTGACCTTGTTTTAAGTAATACTAATGGAAGCCGGTCCGCATCCTTTAGAGCTATAAAGCCACGGCCAGCCTGGTCTAACTCCCATATCTTGATGTAATTGACATTCCCATTATCCTGGTGAGAGGATGTCTGTCTTACAATCTGGGGATCTGGTCGTATTGGTAAGGGAATAGCGAGTGACCGGTCTCGGATGTCACGACGGCCTGTAGCTGTGTGCAAATCAGGCTGTAAATGAGATACGGCATCCTCAGGATCGGTGTGAGTAGAGCCTACTAAGAATGTCATTAAAAAGCCCTTCATTGATAGGTCTATCCTTACCAGCAGATTTATCCGGTACCTGAATATGCATTTTAATTGTAGAATCTGGATTGCCCACGAGCTTATTTCCGTGCAGGCCCTTCCTTGAAGATGGAAGGCTGGTTGATCGTTTTGCAACTCTATCCATTATCGAATATTTTGTAGAGACCTGTACTGCGTGCAACTTACCACAAGCAGATTATATTCCAAGAAATATCGCTAGTCTCTAGAAGAAAGAGAGATGGATAACACTATATACTGCTACGCCCTATAAGTGAGTAATCCCATCGCAAAACCGGAGCGCAACTTGATCCCCACTTTCACCTGTTACTCTAGGCAGCCGTAATGAGTGCGCGCCGCCCCACCGTGCTCTCCGCTGTCTTTTAGCCCACATAGCATAATATTACTCTCTACATTCACTCAGGGTGGAGTGGCCCAATTTACAAAGGCTAGTTAATTAGGCTTTTGTTTTGGCTAGAGCAGTACTATTTCTGTCGAACAAAGCTTGATGGATCTCACCATTTCCCACCATCCAGCATTCAGCGCGTTCCAAGAGACTCCATCGATTAGTCCACACTCCCTCTCCTCAGATTTGGAAACATGGTTAAAGATGTTTTTGAATCCCGCATGGTCTCAGTCTTTACATTGGTTACAGCAAATGGAAGATGCCCGCCAGAATATGAATAAAGCCCTTGAGAGGTCCAATTGACTGCCAGGCAGACACAATCACTCTAGAATTAAACACGACAAAGAGTGGAAGTGCAGCAAACAAACGTGAGGTCTTAGTGTGCAGTGAAATGCGATGGTAGAACATTCCGTCCAGAAGGGGTTGGTCACATGAAGCTATTCCGGGCAGGAAAAAAGAAGCAGCAGTGCGTGAGTTCTCTAAGCTAAGCACCGTTAAGGTTCCGTACGGGCCTCGTGCACACACCCACCAAAGACTCCGCTGGCGTTGGAAGTTGGGGCATCACAAGCACTACGTCAACGCCGATCCCGCGAAGGTCATTCCAAAACTGACCGGGGAAGCGAACTTCTGGCAATGGAGCGAAGCTCTGGATTGGTTCCTGAAGACCAAGGATCCTGTCCATAGCTTACTGATAACAGGCAAATACAAACGACCTACACGTCCTGTCCTCCACCTCATGGATGCCCACGACAATCTACGGGCAGTTGTTGCCGTTGTCCACAACATTCGGCTGGACGAGGTCACCGCAGCGTTGCTTGATGAGGAAATCAAGACTCGCACGGAACGCAACATTACCTTAATGGCTGATTACCGTTCTGAAGCCGATAAATGGGATCGAATCAACAGCGGAACCGTCCTCATTATCCGACTAACCCGCGACCGCTGGCCCCTGCAAAGGATCGCTAGCATCAAAAACGCCCACGAGATCATGTAATCATGGATTGGATACCACCTGTTTTCCTTCGCTATCTAAGACGCTCCAGGGCATCGACACCTTCCATACTAAGATGAATGGATTCGCGGATACCGTTTTGATGGCTGACATCTACAGAGATTTTGAAAGACACGAGAAACTCCGTCGTCATAAGGGCCCCCAGATTGCTACTTATGCCGCGATTCAGACCAATACCACTTGCATACGGGGTAAAGGCAAAACAGGCCGCGGAGGCAATTAAACAAGAGACTCAGACGTCCCCGGGCACGCCTAGCGACGCCGATTCGAATGCCAACGTTATCTGGTGCCCGTTTCATCAAAAAGTGGATTCCCACTTCCCCTCAACCTGCTCGCTTCGCAACCAGGATCCCAAGTCGGCGCGCGGCTCCGGCAACCGCGGCCGCGGCTGTGGCGGCAGTAATCGCGACCGAGGCGGTCTTTCACACGCCAACAACACTACTGTCGACGAATCCGAGGCCGATGATTCGGAGGCGTTGGTCCCTGTCCCTTCCGGAGGGTCCTCAAATGCTGCTTTCATTTGTTTTGACTCCTTAAACGCGTTTGCTATAGACATATTCTACGATACTGTGCAATTCGCTAGCGGGGTTGTCCCACCACCTCACATTCTCCCTAGACTACTTCGTCACCTTTACAACATGCAGACTGCCTGTCAGATCCGCTACGAATCAAGTCTCTTCCCCTACCGGCTACGATGACGTCCTACTCAACCTCACCGATATGGCCGGCAACCGCCTCACATCCTTACACTTAGAGAAGATCTGGTTGGCACCCGATCTTGCCCACGATCTCATTTCGATACGCGAGCTAGGAAACCACGACTTTTCGACTACGTTCAAGCCTGGTGGCTCTCTTGAATTGGTTGATAAGCGTGGCCACATACTTGCCTATGGCAGGCAAGCATCGAGCCAATACTATCTGTGTCACTGGACTCTTCTCCCCTGAATACCTTTCTTCGTTGCACTCTGCTAATCCTCTAAATCGTTCCTCCGCAGAACCTTCCTCTGCTTCCTTCCCTACTACCACAGCGGTGGTCCCGACAATCACTGCGAACGCTTCATCTACCGCGAAGACTCCACATGCAATTTCCATACATCTTGCTCACCGTCAAGCAGCCTACGCCTCGGAAAGGAAGTTAAGGGATACCATAAAGCACGTCGTTGGGTTGGATATCGAAAAGGAACACCTTCAGAGGCCCTGCGAGCCATGTCTCACGGCAAAGGCAAAGCCCTTCCGGTATCAAAGACCGTGGCGCGAGACCTTGGCTACAAGCCAGACGACCTCATCACACCGACGTCTGTAGCCCGATATCAATAAAGGGGAAGCAGGCAGTTACTACTTTGTCACCTTTACTGACCGCGCCTCCCGCTTCTGTTGGATGTTCATCATGAAGGACAGAGCCTCAGTGGTTCACAAGTTTATTCTGCTACGCAATGGCATCAAACAGCAACTGAATATCGAGATCAAACGTGTCCACGGTGACAGCGCCTCGGAACATGCCGCCCTGGTGAAATATTGTCTAGATCAAGGCATCGTGTGAGACCCTTCCCCGCGATACAGATTGAATCTGACTCCGATTGCAGAGATAAAGAATTGTCACACCATCGAACCGACGATTGCGGTGATGACCGATAATCAGTTGCCAGGTTTCCTGTGGGATCGCATCGTTGTGGCCGTCACCTACATCTACAACCGCTTGAGTCACGATTCTATTGGCAAGACTCCGCACGAGACCTTGTATGGCGTTCAACCAAAACACCAACTTGCGCCCGAATCTCATTTTTTGGAAATCAAGCCGCAACACAACACCCTAGGCCTTCCAATCTAACACCAGTTACTCTGCAGACCGAGGGATATCGGGTGATACCAATTTTATTAGGATACCACAACGATGCCGTCGCCTGCGTCGAGGTGGCCCGATCTGGCCGCCTCGGGAGAAAAGTCTACGCACCCACAGAGCGCGCCATGAACCTACAACACGACGCCAGCGTCCTGCTGGGGCATCTCGAGGCTAATAAAGGCATCAAGATCCCTAAGTCGGTGATTGATCACATCAGAACCGTCCAGGACTTCCTTGTGGACCTATGAGGCCCCTAGCTAGATCATCATCTATCTCATTCTGTATCACTGAATCGCCTCAGTAGCCACTCCAACAGAATACAATAAACATTTACTCGCGTGATTTTGTGGTCCAGTCGATAAAATTCCGGATCCAAGGCCACCGGCTCAGCGCAGTAGGATCAAGAATGGTTGAGCTACAAAAACTGCACACTAGCCGTGAATCATGAGAATAGTCAGAACGTTCCCCTCTTCACGGAACGCACCAATTTGTATCTTAGTATTACACGGTATGATTACAGAATGATAGGACTTCCATCTCTATCTGCCACTCCGTAATTGTCACTGCCAATAAGGCATTTGTGGAGCCACTAATTAGACGACCCACAGAAGGAAAACAGAGTGGTCAGCCTTCTAACCCCTTATAGTCGTTAACTTAGATAAAGCTACGGGGTAAGATCCATGGATCCATGACTTCTACCCAGTGGCCCATATAGCTGATCATGTCATGGTGCTATGCTAGACTTATAACCGAAACCGGGTTAGCTGGTCTGTTCTTGGCATAAGCTAGTCTACAGAGGCCCTGGGCGGATGTAATGCCTATTTATGCAGGTAGCAATTTATAAATGGTACGATAAACAAAAGAGCATTATAGGTTTATACTTTATAAAGAACCGATTACTATTAAAGGAGAGTTTCACAAGTTGCCTACTTCAAAGCTGTACCTAAGGAATATTCATTATCCTTGGAAACTTTGCAAGGAAGAATCTTTTAATACGCACCTCTGGAAAACGGATGTATTGGCAATGGAATTAACTCTCCGAGTTATGACGGGGTCGGATACGGAGTCGGATACGGAGTCGGAGATAGGGTCGGACACAACCCCTGGTGGGTACTAGATTTGGGGAAGACTGGAATAAGAAACTTAAATCAGTGGATCGATGATTCCCTCGTTTTGGCGGAAAATTTCTCCATCCAGTGTCGATACATTGTTATTATACACCATATGAACTATCCAAAAACCGGACTTCCACGATGCTTCTCATATGATGTATAAGTCTTTAGAGATGCTGCCGCGTTTCTAGTTATAGTTGTGGAAGTCCATAACGTTTGCTGCTAGGGCCACAACTACTTATTTCGACTTTTGCGAAGGAGTAAATGATTTGCAGTCACTAGTTAAGCAATACGATCAACAATAAACAAATATCGTGGCTGCCGTCTCTTAGCACAAGGTATTTGCGAGTCTCCTCCTGTAACAGATAGTCGAATATGCCCCCATCTTCCATTAAGACATAATACAAAGCACTTTAAAATCTGCCACATGTCTTGTATATTATGACCTCGAGTATACCCTTAAGACGTCCGGGCTAGCTATTCACTAGGCTTCTAAACCTGACTCTTGCTTGTTGCTCAGTTCTTAGCAGCTCCGCTATGCTCCCAACTAGTTGGGCAATGGTGTTCGTCACATTATCCACCAGGGTAATACAAGTATCAATCTTCTGGATAATATCTGCTGTACAGGGCTCATGGCTGAATTCCCCGCTGCTTAACTGTTCAGCTTTTTGTTCATATTTCTACCAAGCTGTTACATACCTCTGGATAAATAAGGGGCAACCATTGCTAAGCACGGGACTAATAATTCTGTCAGTCTACATACGTAGAGTTGGGGGCTATGATACATACTCCTTATCTAGGGCATCAGTATCACCAGTAATTTGTGTTATAGCCATAGGACCAAGATTTTGAAGTGTCATATGGGTTAAGATCTCTTTGAAACCCCTTCCGTTGGGTGGACTTGTGTCAGGGTAACTGCATAGAATATCTGGTGAATTGGTAGTTTGCATAAACGAGTTGGAAGGATACTGTGCTTAAGTTCTTCTCTTATCTACAGATATGCGGGCTTTAGGTGACCTATTTATACGTAAACCACACAAGTTCCACATGTAACGAGACTAGGGTGTTAACCAGGCCCACAAAACATGCAAGGTGTTTGGTTTTATTAATACAGTTTTGTTTTACTGTCTTTTCCCATTTTTGCCCTTAAGTTATACTATGAGGCTATAGTCGGCAATTGCCTAGACGATCTTATAAATCCACACAGTATAGGCAACATAATATTTTATCCACGTAACTGTCTGTTACTTTTATCTACGGTCCCCTCTCTAACATAACAAAATAGAGTAAAAGCAAAACAAAACCCATAAGACAAGAAAGACATGTTAATATTCAACAATCTGCCATGTTATCGCTCACCATTCGCTTCAGGCTAAAAACGTCTCTTTCAGTGCTTTGTAGCCTGTAATTTCTTCAGCTGCTTCGTCAAGAGACTAATCTGCTTATCGATATTCCTGCCCTTTGCTTTCCTTCTCGTAGAGCTGGCATGATGAGGGCTGTCATTTTCAGTATCAGAGTCAACAGTAATAGGCTTTTGAGATTTGCCACGACGTTTCCTTGAACGGGACACAGTAGCTCGTCGTGTTCGAGGGCTATCAGAAGAGGATATTGAGTAGGCCGTGGACGAATCCGAGTCGCTGTCTGTCGACCTTTCCTCACTGTAATCCTCAGGATCATAACCCCAGTATGCTGTTTCCATCTCCCGAGCTTTAGTATAAATGACCCGGTCTCCATTGAGGCTGCTACCAGCAGTAATTCGTCTCATGAATCCCCGCCGTTCCAAGGACGTCTGGCCGGATTTCCACCTAATAAGGATCCTCGTGTGGGGATAATACTCTTGTTTAGGCCGAATCTCCAATAAAGCATTCCCACTGCTGTCATCATCATCATCATAGACCTTCCAACCCACGCCAAGAATATCCTGAACGTCCGCGCGGGAATATTTCCACACCTCCCTCCTAGAGCCCCCGCCATCCTTTAGCACTATCTTCGAGTTCCCAGGAGTCTTCGACAGGACCAGTTCCGTGGCACATTCATCCCATGGTTGCGAAGAGCCTGCTCGGACCCGATAGATCGGACATTTTCTAGTTCCGTACCGAACAAAGACCTGGGTACCAGTGCCTACTGGCCACCAGTATAGCACCTTGCCTTGTGACAAGGAGCTGTACTGCTTTCTCATTCTAGACTCCAAGGCGTCCAATCCCTCAAGGGCTTGGTCAGCCTCTGATTCGACGTCAGACTCGGAATCAGACTCGGAGTATGCAATTGCCGAATCTAAATCAGAGTCTTGTTGTGCATCCAAGTCGGCTGGTCGGGGACCAAAATTTTGCTCCGCAAATTCACGAGGAAGGTTCCATTCCTGAGGCAGTTCATTCTGTTGGTTAAATTGGCGAAAGGTCTTTTGCACCTGTTCGAAATATTCCCATTTCTTCTTTGTTGAATCCTTAACAAAGTCTGAGTGTATAAGATCTTGCCACTGCTTCCAAGTACGATCATATGTGCCTTCAGGTATAACCCCGCGCTCCATGTCTACCTTGTTCTTCTGGTTCTCTGCACGAATTGCCTGGTTGGCTTCTTGAATAAGTGATTCCGTAACCGAAAATTGAGGGTTGTCGCTCTGGAATTCGGCTTTGATTTGATCGCCATGTTTTGTATAAAACTCTTCCCTGATACGATATACCCAATCTGATATTGTGGGGTTCTTGTGCCGGCGCATCCTTGCAGTTGGAGGATCATAATCAATGGGTTCCGTAAACTCTGTGTCCATCATTTCTATATTATCTTCGTCATTCTGATCATCTTGATTGTTCTGGTTGACTTGATCATCATTGCTTTCGTCACCATTATCTTGGTTGCTATTGTTTTGTTTGTTATTTTTACTAGGACCCTCTTGATGGGATAGCTCATAAGGGTTCGCTCGTGAGGACTTTTTTGATCGCTTTTTTGGTGCCATAGTTTTGATGAAAGAACTAATTGAGTTTAGGTTTTGGTAGTAGAAAAATGAGGCGAAGAATAGATAAAAAATTCTTGAGTTGGCTCTTCTTATGTTTGTATATTTGTGCTTAATATAATACTGATTAATGCCCTGCTGAAAACAGCGCGCAGCCACGCTGAAAATTGATCAATGGCTGCCTAGACTATTTCATCATGCACTTCATGATTTCACAGGGATTAATAAATTCATTACCAATAATCGCGTGAATCCATCTAAACTCAGTTGAAGTTCCATCACCCTCTCCCCAGGCCCCCGGCCCCCTCGGGTGTTCAAACTCGATAATAATTCCCGGAATCTCCTCACTATTATATATCTGTGGTATGGTTCACTCCGCTTACATACATCTAACACTAAATGTAACTCTTCTTTAGTCAAAATCATTATATTGCTACAGTGAGATGCGCCTTCAGCTTCCCATTCAAAGACATATGCATTCTTTTTCCAACCCTAATGACATGCTCATCTTAAGCCAAATTAGGATTAGCATAAAACCAGCACTCGGCGACGGTAAGAATCATGACGTACCAAACCCGTAAGCTGTATATTAGTAACGGGCGAGACAAAGAATCTAGACTTTCTTGCCTTTTCGGTCTGGAAGATTCCATGCAAACTCAACAAACAAACGACGGTGTGCCAATTTGGCAATTTATCAACAACTTGCTTCGAATTTGCAGTTGCTCACTGCTGAGCGTCACGGCGTCCGAAAACCTGCGTGAGGCTATTCCAAGCCAAGCAGGATCATCAGCGCTCTTCAATACCAGTTCTGGATTTGGTTACTTGATCTCCACCCTCTGTCAGTTAGCATGACTTTGGGCACCCGAGTGCCAATAGGTATCTTGCTTGATAAATTCCGGGAAATGGCGAATGATTGATTTGTTTATGATGATGACGTCCAACCGATGGAAATTGACTCCTAACTCTCAACGCCTCATTGCGCTTTGCTAAATCAAACCTAAGCTTCAGGGAGGAGCTTGAGATTTGCGCTATTTATCCCTACATACCAGAGCTCTGAGGAGGTTTGGAATGTTTGATGTTACACAGAATGGCTGCTAAGTTGGACAACTTACCTGCAGACTAAGCATATCAAGTTCTCGTCATCTGGCCTACCAGATCCTCCACCCGTCTTTTGTCCTTAGAGACCACGACACCTGAGTTAAACCGGAACCTACAAAAATCCCAGCCATACAAACCATACCGCGATGTTGGATCTCAAAGACAGGATGATTGTTGAATATGAGGAGCGAAGGGACAATACGCATGAAGCGGTTGATGATGTCGAGGCGAATGTTGAAGGGCAGCCGTGGTGCGTACCATTCGAGTATGTTTCATTGTGGTTAACAATTGCTCATGAACCTTATATAGTCCTTCATGTCGAAGAAACATTACAAAATGGTACTTTGTTCAGAATTGCTTTGACTGGTGCCTTACACACTCGGCTATATCAACTGAAAGCCACGGAGAGGCGACGTACCGTCTCCTAAGCCAGTCAAAAGATAGCAGCGGCAATATAGTTGTCAAAGAGTCTACAATGGTCGTCAGGAAGTGCGGTTCCCCAGACGCAGGTGCCGACTGTGATGTCATCTGTTGCGGTGAGTTAAATCACTCCCACCGGGCGACTGTACCTAACATGACTAAACATATTAGAATACTCGTACGACGAATGGGCGGAAGAAGAACGCACAGAGTGGATGGCCGAGCAAATGCGCAGGAGAAGCCCATAAATCGGTGAGGAGCTGCATCCAGGATGTTCAGACGTGTTTCAAAAAGGTGGTGGACCGGGTACCTAGCAGCTAACGATCACTTTTGGGCTGAACTGTCACAATTTCAATCAAATCTGCAATCTTTCCTTTTCTGGGTAGAGGCAGGTACTATGTAGAGTTTCAGGACAAGACAAGGATAAAAAAGCTTAAATGCCAGTATGGTGACTTCTTGAACTGGCGAGATGAAATCGTCTTGTCGGGTTTCAATCCTTCGCCTGATGTATGTGCCGTTGCGGAGTAATTCGTTTTCCGCCAATAGCCGGCGGAATCATTCAGCAGATCATTATGTAATCCGGTCGGCTCTCCAAGCCATTTTCCCTGGCAAGGGGATAACTCGTCAGTCAGGAACAGTCGCATCATCGCGTTATCTGACGGAATTCTTCCATGCGGTCTATCTGAGAGTATTGATAGTAAGTTGCCGGTGATGAAATGAATTTTCTATAACTGACAAACGTAGGCGTTCAAATGACGGAGCAAAAGCCACAGCGAGTGCTCGTCATCGTCTCGGAGAGCAATTCATATTGGGAGCAGTCTTGGTCTTCTTCGGAGGACTTACTTCCAATAGCTTTTGATATACTCAGCGACAATCATCTTTTGGAGGGCACATATAATGAGCAACCCGAGTTGAAGCTGCTGGTAAAACAGAAGTGGGCAACTCACGTCTTCCTTATATTCGACATTTCAAATACTTCTTATGATCCTACTCTAGGACATTTACCCGAGCAAAACAAGCTTCCTATTACAATCATTCGGTTGGGCAAAAAGGTACAAGCCTACTCAGCAAGCGCCCCTGTGGGGAACAAAGTGAATAGCAATGTTGCCCGGGTTCACAACGCCAACGGAGTAAACAGCTTCCCGCCCTTTGTCACGGATTATACCATCAAGTCACCATTATATTCTAATCCACGCGATCCATCGTTATTGGTTTGACCTGTACTCCGCCGTCAGCAAATAAGATTGAGGGCTAGATTGTTTTGGAGATTCGAACCTAGCGGTGTCTCCTATTGAGACTCTGGCGTAGGCAGACTACAGGGTCCACAGACTTCCCTTCGAGGGAATACATTGGCGTTTACCGTGTCTGTGACTTGATGGATGGTATCACGGCAGGTGTCGATCCGCTCAGTAGCTATGATGTTGTTGCATCGAGGGCAAGTAGTCACGATATAATCACACATCTACCTTGTCGTTAGCTATGAGATCTAGTAGCGGATTAACCTCACTTTGTAGCTAAAACTCGTGATTTTCACTGGAATAAATCTTGGTCCCTTAGTGGTAAGTTTATTGGTTCTGGTAGCGATGTGCTCTGTGTGCTGAGTTGATGTGGTGAGCGATGAGACTTCGGCGCTCGGGCATCATATCAGACGAACCCCGCACAGTCTCTCTCCCGACTCGAAGCCTGAGGCAGATTTCTTGGCCTAAAATAATCTAGTTCATTCTCGAGTACGATAATACTTTGACATTTGCAGAGACGAGGGTCAAGCTCCGCTGTTCACAATGGCTTGGCGCTTATTGATGCCTGGAAGCCTGGGGCAGGCATTTAACTAAATCGGCTTAGATACATACTGTTTGATGTGTTTGCATCTCCTTGTAACCTCAGTCTAAGACGACGTCACTCCAACATCCGTCTTATCCAGGTACTTCCTCAAGATGGCATGGCACCTGGAGCCCTGGCGGCGTACAAAGATTGTTCATATGATCTGTAGTAGAAGATTTACTTCATCACAGATCGCGAAAAGTGTGGAATGCGATAAGCGATCTGTGTCAACCATCCGCAAAAACCTCAGAGTATTTGGCACCGCCGGAACTCCTTCAGTCCACATCGGCTGTCCACCAACTGTCACCCCTTATATGACCGAGGTACTGTTGAATCATCTTAATAAGCAGCCCGGGCTCTATCTTGAGGAGACGGTTGCCTACTTGCAATACGAATTTGATGCTCGGGTATCCAAATACAGCGTTCAACGTGCACTTGCACGCCAGGGATGGACGAAGAAGCAGATGTGACAGAAGGCACACGAACAGAATCCTCGTTTGCGAGCTTTTTACCAACGCAAACTTTCTAAATTCCAATCATATCAGCTAGTCTTTGTCGATGAGTCTGGATGCGATAAACGGGTAGGGTATAGGCGAACTGGCTGGGCCCCGCTTGGGGCAACCCCGGTCCAAGTATCCAGGTTTCACCGGGGCCAGCGCTATCATATACTACCGGCATATGCTCAAGATGGGATTATACTGTCTCGTATTTATAGAGGCTCAACCGATGCTATTCTTTTTGAAGATTTCCTGGAACAGCTTCTTCAACATTGTGGGAGATTCCCAGCGCCAAAGTCTGTGCTTGTCATGGACAATGCTTCCTTCCACCACTCAGAGCGTGTTGAACAGCTGTGCTCCAACGCAGGAGTCAAATTATTTTACTTGCCACCCTATTCACCAGATTTCAACCCTATTGAGGAATACTTTGTCGAGCTGAAAGGTTATATCAAAAAGGTTTGGCCATCATTCGAACGGAACCCTGATCAAGACTTTCGTACCTTCCTCCGGGGATGTGTTTACGATGTTGGCGCGAAACGAGAGAGTGCTGAAGGCCATTTCAGACATGCGGGCATAGAGATCCAGGAGGCATAATTAGATAATGATATGGGTCATTTGGTTGTTCGGTTAGGGTCTTTTTATAGGTATACAGTACATCATCGCCTTTCTGGAGCAAAATAATGAAGATGCTTAGTAACAAGATCGCTCCATATTATATACACAATTAGAGTATAAAAGCCAGCAGATATACTTCATTCGAGGCCATTATCAGCCAGTGCTCCTGAAACTTCACTTCCCCTCAAAATTCCCCGAAGGGCGGACCACTCAGGGATGTCACGAATGAAACGGAGCGTTGTTCCCACTTTTATTCCCTTTTCGGTGAAGAAACCAGGATCCTGAGCGCCCATTATCAGCTCGAGGTCCATGAGGTTTTCCAGCGTTACTTGGCAGGCCTTTCGGATATCGCTCTGTACGCCTCTTCTGTGGCCCGTGACTCCAACCACCTGCAGTATTCCCTCACAGCTCCAGGCCCAGGAAGTACCAAATGGCTGGTAGTCGTGGGATGCTGGGGCGGCGTTGTCACTCCCGTAGTTTCACGTGCTCCCGGTTGTGATGGCAATACGTTTATATTAATCGGGTGATAAGGCATATCCACGCCCTGGGCCTTTTTGGAGCTTGTCCTCCCTTGGCTCTGCGCGATCAGATCCTTCTGGATATCTTCTGGGACGTCATCGTGGTCGTCCAATTTGCCACCATCCTCGACGTAATCACATAATCTAGTTAGAAACCGGCTTGTAAGTTTGTAATGTCTTTTAATGAGAAGCTGAAGGCGCATCCCACTATACAGCAATGACTATTACTGCAAAGTCTACTACGTTAAGATTACAGAATATACAGTATAAGCACTGGACAGCTACTACAATACTACCGATTCATGAAACCTATAATTACAATGGGGAGGATATCACATCTATCATAGTATATACACCAACCCCGGGAGATGGAAAAAGTGATAACTTTTTTTTTCTGGTACAGAAACTGTGACAGTATTTTCCTCTCTCCCATCACAGTCATCGACGGCATCATCTAGCTTCTTACTATTGTCCTGCCTGATTCTTGTATCTATAATAGTTATAATGCTTGCTCTATGATATCAAAGACTTAATTTCTAAAATACTTCACTTTATACCTAAGACACAGGTTGTTTAGATATTTCACTGGAGCCCTCCAGTAGACCGAGGTAAAATCATTCCAGAGTCCAATTCCTGTAAGGAGAGAATGGTCTCCTTCAAGGCCTCTGAACAGCGTATGCAACTGAATTGGTAGTATTCAGCTGCTGCCATCCATTGCTGGACATCTTGTTGAAGAAGATGTATTGTCACTTGCGCCTCTGTGATAGAAGACTCATGTGTGAGTATCTTCTCTTCTGCAATCCTCTTGTCATCTTGTAGCGAGGCTACCTGTTTCTTGATGTCCTCCAGCTCTTGAGTAAGGTCCGCATTGTTTTGCTGCAGTATCTGTAACCGATCACTGGGACTCGGTTGGATATCATCCTGGCAGGTATATATTAGAAATATTATTGAGCGTGGACGTTGCTCGAGATTAGATCAATCATACCTTGTTAATAATTTCTGGCCGAACAGCGTAGAAACTTTTCCCTACCTCCTGACACAATTGCATGTATGCACCAACAGAATGCTTGCTGAGATGCTTATTAAAGAGGGGTTGGAGAGAATCATCATCAATCTTCCACATATACTGGGCTTGCGGTTCACTGGTAATAAGGCGCACTTCAGAAGGGTTGATTGTTATTTGTAGTGCTTCCCCTAAGAATACTAGTTGGAATAGCTTCATGGATCTTCCGTAATATAACACGTACATATATGTTTTGAGAGATGTTCTCGGCATTTTGTTCTCCAACGTGCACGTTTTTCATTGCTTAATCGGGACAGACGCTCCTCCATCTTGAATTGATAGGTGTTCTGTGGGAAGTGCTAGTATTTATATAGACTTTATTTTCGTTCTTGTTGCACTAATAGTGTATTTATGTAGTGGTGCATACCCCCTCGAGCCTCCAAAAACAGAGTGGCATACTCTAGACCTAGCATTTCCCGCATTTAAGGGTGATCTTTGGATTCGGTCTAGCGTCCGACCTTCCCCACATATGTAATGTCGTATCAATTTCATCATATGGAACAGATGCAGACCAATATCTATTTTGATCTGGCTATGAGACTGGAATAGCCTGTCAAGCCTCTGGAAAAGAGTCACCTTGTTCAGACTTTATTGAAACCACTGTTTTCGCTCCTTTCATCCACCTCACTTAATCCCACACCACAGAATCAAACATGCGAGACGACACGGCTGGCGAACGACCGCCAACACCAGTTCTGAGATCTCTGAGTACATGTCCGAAATTTCCAAACCATATTTCGAACACGTCAATCAGCAATGTAAGCACTGGCCTTCTTGGCCACCCACAATACCCTCAAGGCCTTCAAAACAAGTCTCAAACGTGTCCAGCCCAGAGGCAAACACAAGCTTTAAGTACACTTTCGAGACCCCCAAATACTCCCCTAAAATGCTGTGCTAAAAGAAAAAACATCACAGGGGAAAGAACCAGACCTCTAGCCATAACAGCCACGAAATCCACGATAAAAAATAGCCAGATCTGCACTCAGCAGAGCCGACCATGCCGTGGGCTGCGAACCCAGGCTAGAAGTAATGGAGGACATTGGCTTTATATAATATTTGATCAAAGGAACCTATTATACACCTTCTGTGGATGAAGCTTGACTTCCGTCCTCTATGCGTAGCGATGCCTGTGGTTCTAGAAATGACTGCCTCAACTCAGCCCGGCATTGGAAGAACTGGTACCATTGCATAAGTTCCTCCCTCAAACGCTCGGTCTGCATCACCGAAAAAGATGTCTCGTTTAAAGGCATGGTATACTGGTTCTGCTGGGTATATTATCGGTCAATAAAGGGTCTTTGATTATAGGGAGTCACTCATACCAAACTGCCTGCAGGTGGTGGCCAAGACTTGTCATCAACAGAGTTGAAAATAGTGGTACCTCGTGGATGCTCAATAATTAGGTAGACATTGGCATGGCATAATTCCACCATCTCGTATGCTTTGTTTATCAATGTTTGCTTCCTTTTCCAGAATTTATCGCGATCAGATTTGCCCGGGTCTGGACCTCCCATGTCAGCAGAAAACAGTATAAGGTGCGGAAAGATGGAAGGAGAGCCCGGCTATTAGGACCAATATGGTATGTGTATCTCTCTAACTACCGTCACTCTTTATAACGCCGGGGAGGCACTGTAAGACGGTAAATTGGGCCTTTGGTCCTACCGGTTGACCCGGCTCCGGCTGGGCCTGCCGTGCCCTTAGAGAGCGGGAAAAAGAACCATACGGTATGTTTTCGGTTTTCAGAATCAAACTAAACGTAATATATTATTAGAGTTTACTGCACATGCTGATTCGAGTAAAGTCTCTAGGTAACCTTTCGGTCGGGCATCCTAATCCGCCCGAAACTGCCCCACATCGACGCAAACTCTCTTGTTCCTTTGGCCACTGTGGGATAATTCCGAGTCCCGTTTTCTGCGCTTGCCTCGAAGCGAGATCTCGTAGGAATCACACTCCGAACAGGCTGCAGCAGTGGGGCAATCATGGGCGGTTCGGCCGAAGACTGTGCGGAGTTCTTGTTTTGCAATGAACGACTGCATGCACTCCGGAAACCCGTTGATTCTCCAGTGTCTCTGCGTGCCAGCTCGCAAGTGGATGTTCACAGTCTCCTCCAAGTGATGAACCAGAACAGATACTGGCTTGCGGTACCGCATACAAGCAGAGCAAATGTCCTCCAGACCATTGAAGCGACCAAGGGCATCTGTATCAGTAGTAAAGTCAACTCGCTGGGACCAGAGACTCTGGAGGGCGGCTACTATGTGGGTTGCATTGCCCTTGCATCGGATAGTCCCATGGCACCAAAACGGCGCCGTGGTTGTCTCGGGCATGAGGTCCAGGACAAAGTAGAAACGGGCGACTAGCCACCCTATAGCAATATCTTTAGCAAGTCTGGCACTACCTGGTTGAAGAATAACTAGATTGCGGTATTCATCCATGGTGTCGATGTTGTCAATAGAATCAGGTATATCTTGTAGCTGTACGTTGAACCGAGTATAAGCTTCTCTTTGGATGGGATCTAAGTGGCTGATCATCGCTTGCCACTTGGGCTCTGTATCCATGGAAGACATCCAGGCGTCGAAGCCCCGCCGCAGAAAACCATCCCTGAATACATGACGAAACTGGGGTGACTTGTCTGAGGTTTGGCTCATTCTCCCAGTCCCTAGAGATAGTAATCGGGCCGGTTGCTTGCGTGAGGGCCATATTTGACGACATAAACGACGAGCAATGTCAGCAGCGAAATTATCCGTGAGTCCACCGTCCTGGAAGGAGCCAATGCCTCGGATATAGGCAGGTGGAAAAAAGCTGTAGACGCGGTTAGTAATCTTTATTAACACTAGTTTAATAAGAAAACCTTACAAAGGCGCGGCTGCCGTGGCTCTGGCGCTACATACGAACGCAGTCAGCATCGGGAAAAACCTATGGCTTGCTGGTGATAACATACGCTTCCCAAATTGATGGTTCCAGATCAGCCTGCGCTGGGCGAATGATATTAAGGTCACGGGCTTCGATATTTGAGGGTTCACAGTTGCAGGGTAGTTGGGTGCATTTGATGCAGCCGTCCTTCACAATTTCGGGAGTGTTGAAATTGCCAAAAATAAAAGAGCGGGTGTTCTTAGCGATACTTGCGGCAACAACTCCTAACCTGGTGCCTGAAGATGATTGCCTGGAGGATATATGAGCTCTGGAGTCAAATAGACGAGTCTGTTCCCCAAAGGCCTCCTTTAAAGCAGAGTCAAAGACATGACTATCATAGCAACCGTCGTAAAGAAGCCACAGGAGCCATTTATGGAAGCAAGAGATCAAATACCGGCCACCAGAATTGGATCGTAAGGACTGGGATAACGACGAGCTGCGTCGGCTCTGAAATATTCGTCGTGCCAGGCTCTCAAAAACGGTAGAGCATGTCTGAACATCCCATCCCATCTTCAGAAGTCCCAGAATGCTAAGTCCACCTACTACCTTTAGTCATAGCAATGCAAGGCGCGTGGGGAAATTGATATTCACTGACCTGAGCTGGTTCCAATACCGAGATCTATCAGCTCATGAATTGAGCAAGATGGACCAAGCTTCTCCTGCACAAGTATAAGAAACTCAAGTGGGATGACTCCTCTGACGCCGCCTCCATCAATTGCAAGAATCGTCGGGTTCATGGTTGGGGGAAGCACATCAACCACCAATGGGCTTTTATAAAGGCAGTACAGACACTCAGTAATTGTGAACTGATAGTCTGCATCTGTCGCTGGCCTCCCAAATACCTGAGCACAGATGTCGCATATTGTGTGACCACAGGACAAAGAATGTTGAGCAGTATGTAGGAGACAATATAGACAAATTCGGGTGGACCGCAGTCGACATAGCCGGCCGCGATAAGACAGGAGCTCTTGTTTACGAAGAGTTGCTGAATCTATTGCCTCCCGCTCAAGCTTATCGAACAGGTAGACCATATTGCATTCAATCAGGCCTAGCAGATCGTCTGTTGCAACTTTTAAGGCACCATGCATGAATGCGCATATACCACGGAGAACTGAGGTACGGTATAACGTGCGGAAAACCGACCTAGGCTCATACACTAAGATGATTGTCAATACTACCTGAAGCGGGACATTGCCAAGTAGTCTTACCAACAGCACCAGGAATATAGAAATCCATGAGAAGGGTAGAAGCAATGGTTGGTGCCAGCTCATCATAGGTATAACCAGCAGATTGTCCAATTTCACAGTAGTGGGCTAGGTGGTCAATTATATTTGGGGGAATTTTACGGGTTTCTCTCGTAGCCCGAATGAAGTTAAACGGATGATCAACATGAGTCGCTATATGCCTTAGAGCTGATTGAAACAGGCCATCCAGGTGAAGAGCAGTGAATTGTGCCCGGTGATCATGGCGGACCAGTTGCATATCAGCGAGCTGGCCCTGGACTAGCGCCCTAAGCCGTTCATGTCTCACCCTTTCTGATAGACACGTATCTCCAAGCCGAATCATATTGATAGAAGAAAATGCTCCGCCTAGAGACCGTGAGCTGGTCCGGCCATTTTGGCCATAAAGCTGCTCGGTTAACATCGTTTCTTTTGACACGTCCAGCCCACTGGCAAGGACGACCACTAGCCGTGGCCGTACTGCCGACGGCAAAGATGATGCTGACGGGCCAACCAGACATTCAATCAGGAATTCAACCAATTCCGAGAAACTGGCAAAATCGTCGGCGAATATGCAGACAACATCTGCAAAAATAAACATCAATCGACACCAAAGAACATGCAGGACTGCTTTTGCGGTTGCAGCATCCCATATGACTGGGTAACTAACCCCAAGTTCAGGTCGTTTCCCGGGTATGGGGTTGAGCTGCGGATCTCCATCGGCGAAAAGGATAGGTGTGGGTGAATCTAAAGACGTGATATCATATCTCAGTCCTATAACAGACCCTGATTTATGCCTTCTGATATTATTCTGTGGAAAGATTTGTTGGAGTGCCTTGTCCTTTGATACAGCTCCAAGAAAAAGGCATAGAGACGGAATCTGGCTATCAGGGTTAGGTAACATCCCCAAGGTCTGGGTAAGTCGGTTATGGTCGTGAATGATAAACCGGCCGTCTTCGGCAAGTCCTACGTCCAACCAGCCGATGTCTTCAGTGCGTCGCATGGTTGTTATATGAAGTCCAGTCCAGCTCAATGTAAAGCTCAGCGATTTTGCCCAACGTGTGTAGCTACATATTTATATTTATAAATATATGGATGCCTGATCATTTTCCGTCCGTCCAGTTTCAGCAGACCACGGCTATTTTGTGAAGAAACTGCCTACTTGAACTCGAGCTGGCAAAGGATACGTATCTTTGGGTGAGCCGATAGCGTCTTGGCGATAATACAAAGACATATCATATGTTACTGGGCCCTTAGTGCACTTGTCACTACAGTGAGCACCCCTGGCTTTTTGAGCCGCTGGCCTAGTGAAATGGCAGAAATGGAGTGGCCTGACCCGCACTAATCTAGACACCATGGCCAAAACGACTGTTGGATAGCGAATCGGTCGACAGCCTAAGTGTGGAGAATACCGCCCGCAATGACTCCGATCTCGATGTTTATTGGCTATAAAATGTGGGGCTCCTATTAGAGGGGCCCAAGATAACACCCCCGGGCCGAAGAGAATTGTTATGGCCATACCATCCGACATCCCTACACAAGCTGTGTAACAGCAGGCTAGCAAACGGTCCCAGTTCAACCAGTGGGGGAGGTAGGAATCTGGTACATATATTAGGATCTGCAATCAATAACATGGGTCAACGTAGCTCAGGCTCCTAGATCCAATTTGCACGGGGCTATATATTGCTTAAGAACGGACTATTTTCCCGTAGAAAAGAACACAGACTTGGTTTGCAACATGAACGTTTCTGATCCACAATCCCAAGATATTCTTCTTATGCACCAAGACTCATATCCGAATATGTGGGCCGGCGAGCCGAATACCATGAACATAGACGACTTGCTGGCAGATCAAAGACTGGATATAAGTGATGATGCGATGGCTATTCCACCAGAGTTGTCCCTATCACAGGAGCCCGCACTTTCTGTACAAGACTCACTCGAACAACTTTTGGCCATCAGTGGGCAGATCAATGGACCGATTAATGAAGAGTTAGAGTAAGTCTACCTGGCAACCAGATCAATGAAAGATTGCTGATAATGTGATAGCAGATTCCAGCGTATGCAGCACTCTAGGTGCGCTATTAATTATCTGTTTACAAACGTACAAACTAATCAAACATAGGGGACTTATTTGCCAGGGTACATGCGTCGCTGATACAAGCCAAAGATTAGATTTCCTGACTCAGCAGATAAATGACCTGGTTACTACTGTGGCCCAGCTTTCTATAGAGCTAGGCGGTCTTCTCGAAATGGAGCATCAGACACAGGAGAGGCTGAAAACTGCAATAAACCAGTTGGGACGATCAATTCAGGGAAACTCATCAGGTGATGGTCGGTCATAATGTGTACTTAAATGAGATACTTCCTCGGACAAAATTATCTTGTTTACAATATATCAAAAATGTGACCGCAGTTAAACATTAACAGCTGGTAGTGTATTAGTCTCTTTATCCCATGTCAAAATAATGCCTCTACTAGAGAGAATGTATTATCTATACCTAGTACTTGCCGTATAATATTACTTGCCTGAGATGAAAAGTGAGATTCTTCTCTTCTCCAACGCAACTAGGCCACTGCGCTAGCGTCTCTATAGTATAACACTACTTCATTGTAATCCATGGAGCGCATAAAAGATGATATGATAATATATATATCATAGTACATAGTACGACAGAGTACAGTTTACTCTAGAAACATGGCTGAGAGTCCGAATTTGTAGATAAAGGTAATATTATTCTAGGAATAAATGTCTCAAAAACCAGGAATCAATGGGGTTGTTCCATGTATCACAAGTCATAACTATGGGAAATAAAGTTCAACCGGCCCGTCCCGACAACCAGGTAACGGAGACAATAGTGCGACGAATGTGGATCTCAGGGGGCATAACTCTGTAAATGGCTTTAGAATCAAGTCACAATTTTGATCCCGGCACTTCATGGATTATCTTAGAGTGTGTCAACATATAGGCTCTGATTTTAACAATAACAGATAAATGTCCTATCAATCCTTCGCTATCCGGTAAAATTTAGATACTTCTCCTGGGTGCCATCTTAGGCCAGGATATTTACTAAGTAGCCCCACCTGTTTCTTACCGAGGACAATGGCGCGTACTCCGTAGTCTTGGCAGGAAAATGACTAGTAACCTCAAGACAGTTATTACTCCGTATATACTGAACGACGGAGTTCTCCGATAACACGAATTTCTTTTGATTCATTTTTTAATCAGAAATACATGCTGTTTAAGGGATTTATAGTTAGGAGATATATTAATCAGCAGTTACTACGTACGAGTAAATGCAAAATAAACCAAGTGTACACAACTTTAGTATAAATTAATGGGTGAGCGGGAGACATAGCTGCCCTAAATTTTTTTATAGTATCAATTAAGAAAACGACTGCATGCAAGGAAAAACGGGCATAAGAGTGCCCACCTCGTGAAGGTACGTAGGCAGGTTATTAGGTGTCTCACCATCCAGAGTCTAGACTTCATGTAGTGGAGGTGGGCGGCCGGGCCTGGCTGGTTCTAGTTCCCAAGCAAGCTCAACCAAGTTGCACTCCACTTATGCCGCGGCACGCCATTTTTTGTAATCCTCGTCACAAAGCCAAAAAAACCTATGGTGACAACATATTATTACTAGGAGACACATTTAAATCACAGGGAAGGGCTATAAATCATAATCAAAAACAGAAAGAGTTAAGAACAAAAGAAAAAAGGTAGGATCCGTCGCTATATAACTCATCTGACTATGTCTTCAACTCCTGACATGCGTGAAACACGTGACCATGCCGGCCAATGGAACAATATGGTATGTAATCATTCTTTCATATATGTCTAGCAGAAGAAATTATAACTGACTTTTAAAAAGAATATCAACATGCTCTTCAATTTCATACGACAGGATGAAGCAGTCTTAAAGTACCAGGATCAGCTCGAATCGGAAATTCGTCAAAGTAGAGCGACATACCTGCAACTTATCAACCATTGCACTGACTTGGAGGGCAAACTTTGCGAGGTGGAACATATGCGATCCAGATTAGAGTTGAAAGTGGAACATATTACAGAAGACAACAAAGCTCTACATCGCACTCTCGAATTAGAGCGTACAAAAATACGAGAGATGGCTTCACGCCTTGCATCATTGTCCTCTATCAATCAATCCTTACTGAGCGGAGATAGCAAAAGTATGGGGTCTGATACCAGATCTGTTGATACGAGACAACTTCTGCTGGAGAACGAGCAACAGCGCATTTTGATATCTAATCTACATTCGACGTTGGACTGCAAGAATGAAACCATCAAGAACCTCCGCCAGGCGCTATCTGAGGTTAATCAGGGTGTTAAGGGTGCTATTGAGATTATTGAAGAGGGTTCAGAGTCTCAGATAGACTACTGGGGCCAGATTGAAGAAGTCTAGATATAATTTGCTACTCTGTCCTAATCTACCGATGACTTGGTCATTTCTGTATAGTATATCTGAAAAGCTCGCATTGTGTACACATCTCACATGAAAGAATAGAGTGACCTTTTTTATTATAGTTGAACTCGTGAAATTATAATACATATCGATAGATATCCGAGTTAACTCAATATAGTTGTAGAGCAGAGGTGACGAATGATACAGCCGTACTACACCAGAAACCAGTGTCTTTAAAACATATATAGGTAAAGCTTTGAAGTCATCGATTTTTCTGTAATTCCCTATTAATTCTAGGCCTTTGCAGACGAAATTCCTAATCCAATGTTTGTTGGAGAAATAAGTGTACAGTGGCATAACTGATTTCGGATAATACTATATAAAACTTAATAAAAATGCTGTGGCCTGCTGGTGGATCTACATAGTAGCCACTAACTCCACCCCTCCTCATTCACTATTTAAATATTGGACTTCTTACCGTCGTTGGTAATTCTCAGATTGTCTCTCCTCCCACTATCAATCCTCCATTACTACTATCTATAGCAAATAATCCCTGCATAATGAATCCAGCATTTTCCCAGCCACTCTATTCCATCTCAGAAGAAATAACGCCGATTGATGATTATATTCGCCGTCATGGAGGCACTTCATCTAATATCGAAAGGCTCCCTTCTCGTCTTCAGCAGTCTAAACGGTCGTCCATAGATCTTAAACAACAGCTAAAGGATCTCACCTATGAGGTCAGCTATCTCAAGGCTGAGTTGCAATGGCACAAGGAATCGAAACAGGCTCTTTTAGAGTTCAAAGAGCAGGTATCTGAGATATTTCACAGGATAGAAGATGCACTGGTTCAGGCAACTATAAGATTGACAGAAGCAGAGCAGCGCTATCTGAATCTCTGGGGGCTTAATACGGGAGGAGATATGGATGGACTGAACATGATCTAATACGGTTGGTTTACTTGAAGAGGTTTGACCGCTATATTGGTTCTATAATGTACTTTCTTCCTTACGCAACTTGCCTGGTAAAGCATATGTTCCATTTTATGAGACCTTTTGAAATGGAAAATAGCCTTAAAGAGCTTACTCAAGCCCTCATAGACCAGCATATCAAATACACCAAGGTAATGTCTGAAGTATATTTCCAAAGAAGTCATAAATCATCTTGTAAAGCACCTGGGGAAGGGCTTGAAATATGTTATCAGAGTATGTCGACAAGGCTTATAAGAAAATCACCAGTCCTATGACTATAAGACACTTATTAACATATTTGCGAGGCGATAATCAGGTATTTAGTAGCAAGAACAGCAGTGCTGTGACTGCTTACCAATTCAAGAAAGCCAACACTTTCAGGAGAGGAATATCAATTTTGTATAATAATAATACAGGTAATGGACATTGAGTATAGCCTGGGTAGTGTGGCTATAACGCACGCGTCTCCCGCTTAGGGAGAGCTTTGGCGGAGATGACCTCGCAACACAGAAAGAATCTAAGGCAGTATTAGATCCTGCCTGCCTAATCGGAGTCAGTCGGAAGCTATAAATGCTCCCATGATCCCGTAGGATCGATATGGCCAGGGTAGCTAGATTGGCTGACTTGTTAGTTGACGTAATCAGTAAGCGAGTGGCCACCCATGTTCCGAAAACACGCGTTTTTGCAACCACAAGCATTGAATCTGCGATATCACCACCAAAAGATGTCCAAATCGTTGAGAAACAGTGTTGAACAAGAGGAACGAATCATCCTTGCAATTGAAGCTTTAAAAAGAGTGATATTCCTAACGTGGCCTAAGCAGTCCTCTTGGCCGCGGAGACCAGCCGGATTATCTATTAGACCGGCCCGGCTTGGCATGTGACCCCTCCGTGGGCCGCTTCCCCTCAGAGTCTGCAGCCTCGTTCCCCTGCACCCCCATGTGTGCGAGGATCCAATAGAGCACCACGGGGGCCTGCAGGGTCTTGAATCTTGCATACAGGGCTCGCAGGAGATATTAACCTAAGGAACGACTGGGAGTCCCAACCGTGTTCACCGCAGCCTAGCTGTCAAAGAAGATATGGATAGCACTCCCTGTTTGGGCACTCCCCGGCGATCTCGAGGGTCGGCGCACTCCCCCAGAACCGAGGCCACCTGTTCACACACTCCGGACTAGTTACTAGTGGCTTGAGGCGCACAGCAATTGACTCGGCTTTCAACAAACGATGCGAATGTATATCGACAGAAAGCGTGGTCCACGTACTGATTGACTGCCCGCGGTTAAGCGGGCTACGCCCAGGAAATGCAGCGGAAGGTTGGAGGGCCATTCAATAAATACTTCGGACATGCTGGGAGGAACAGGCCAAGGTAGGAAAGGTAGGTTGGAAGCTACTTCACAAGAAAATAGCATCCTAGGAGCGGTACTGGACTTTGTAGAGGCATTGCAGAGATTTCGAAGTCACGCGCCATGAGAGCGGTAGAACAGAACCATAGCCGCCAGCCACAGGCCTTGACAGGGCTCCAAGTTCGTCAGGGGAGTAATTGTTCTCAGTCGATGGGTATACATGGAGTAGAGATAGTGGTACCCTGCATATCACCTACGGCGAGGGGCCAGTGTATGAATTATACTACTAATAGTTGTATCGAAAATGAATCATTAAGGGAAATACATTATAGCCCATATAAATAGCACTGCGAACAGTATCTAACAATTTAAGGTACACAGCTCTTATATACCAGTCCAAGATCAATATAACTAATACTTAGTGTTCTCGTTAAGCCTTCAGTCAGTTATGGGCTCGTCGTCATCTGGACTAGGGAACATGTCTTCGTCATCTGGAAATATTGGAGAAAGATTGACAAAGGTTTCTGCGTCACTCACAGGACTCATGTGGCTGCAGGGTGACTTGGGTGAATAAACAGGAGTTTGGTTCCTTGGCTTCAGCTGGGGCTGATTGCACAAGACATTGTCAACCTCAGCTACTGCGAGGTCAACATCCACCATGGACATAGCCTCACAACTGTTGAGAACGCTCCGGACAGCCTGGTCCAGATGATGGAGATCCTGGGCTACCCTTGGCCACTCAATAGCTATAGTATCCATCATAGAAATGAGGTAGCTTTCTGTAATATGAGCATCGTTCCTGCAATTTATCAGTATTGGGATATAGGATGGAGAGTTATATATATGACTTAGAACGTACACTTTGCTTTCCAAGAGTTTGCTTGGAACAAGGAGAATCCCGAAGGTTAACTTTGAGGCAACTAATATCCATCGCCTGGCCTGTCGATTTTTTCGGAGATACCGCCGTCGACATTCAGTTCGCTCCCTCTCATCAATGTCATCCCAATCGACATGCATCGTCTTCATAAAATAGTCGACAACAAAAGAGCTTGCACGGTGGCCAGGTGCATATTTTGGTCCCTGGTCTTGTGCCTTGGCTACCTTGATGAGAGAGAGGTGCTTGAGGAAGTGAAGATACTGGATGATTTGGGCAAGCCGAGATTCAACCTTCTGTGCCATATGCAACAGATGCAATGGATGGTAATATCCTATGCTAGAAATGTTATATCTCACTGGGATATTCAAGGCAGCTGGAAGGAAAATGCTGTGCTCCTTCCATATTGGAAGATAGAGGTTAAGAAAAGACGAAGAATACTTGTGAATCAAGTTTGATTGTAGCTCCTGTATCTCCTTCGTCCTGGGTACGTCTTGAGTAGCAGCTCTTCGAAGCCTGACGGATATTAAAGACGGGTTCTCAGCAAGAAGTCCATCTAGAAGACCCTTTGGATCGTAATCCTGCCAGATAGGCGATGAGATAGATAAATTCTTCGGGTCGCTTGCCTCCATAGCTTTGGGTGTAGAGTCAAAGGAAAATCATGAATAATTCTGTTTCAAGTACCAGGTTAATCAACTCGGTCAAGTATAAGAGGGAAACAGTACCTGGTATGACTATACCTATTCTAGATTAAATTCTTGGCGCTGTCCCCACATTTTGCCACGCCGATTTTGGCGCTCGGTACGTTGGTCCACAGCCACAATCCATTTGGATTATCCGGCCCACTATGAATGTTCTGAAGACCACAGCGCAAAATGGTAGATTAGGGAACTGGAATTAGTAAAAGAAATTCATAGATTACTATATTTTCTGTAAAAATTACCTATAGTACTCTTTTTTGAGTGACTTTATCTCACACCTACTACAGTGCTTTCACCTTGCAGACTATGGACATGACAATGCAGGTTCCATCACGGTCTCTTGAACATCTTCCTACTGAGATTCTAGAAACGATTGCTATGCATGTCATGCAAACCAGTTCACTCAAATCCCTCTCATGTGTTAACAGGACACTCCGCTTCATCTGTCTACCACATATGTTTGAGAAATTAACGGTTCGGTTTTCATTGGATGGCGTGGAGAGATTGCAGCAGGCCTCCATGTCATACATCGCTTACTATGTGAAAACTATCTGCTATGAGGCCTCAGAAATTATCGATCCTTGTTAGTAATTCAGCTTTCATTCTCTTACGCGCGTACTTACAAATGACTAGTGATTCAGTGTCCTCACTACTTCAGCACATGTCTATATACCCCTCTTGAATATACTAGAGACGAAAGGGAATTCCGTTGGGGGTATCAGGGCAAGCAAATCACGTATAACAGGATATATTCCTACTTCAAGCATCTCTCAGAGGAGCAACAAATGATCATTCAGGCAGACTTCAACCTCATGTCATTTTCTTCTTGCCTGCCTCGCTTCCTGCGACTAAGGTCCTTTGAAATTTCTTTGATGAATAATATCGAGAAGCCATTCCGTTGGTTTGCAGGACGCATGCTTGTGGACTGGAAGGATACTTTTCCAGACCATTTCGGAGCAGTTCTCCAAGGGCTTTGTGCAGCTAAGGAAAGTGGTATCAGAATCAAGACTTTCCAAGTTACTGGGTTCTACTCTAGATTGCCCTTGCTCGATTCGAAAATTCCAAGACTTGCAGCAATTGCTTTACATACAGTCGAAGAACTTTATCTGGCTGACAGCCCTGGCCTGCTTGATTTTATAGCTGCCACCACTCTACCCTCAGTCCGAGTGCTCGAACTGGAAAACTGCTGGCTATGGGTACCAGAATTACAAAAGTTTCTTCTTACTCATGGGAGTACCCTTCAAGTTCTGCACTTAGAAAATGTCTGGCTACCTTCGGAAAAGATTTATGACTGGGGGGTCTCTTTAAGCTTAGGGACGACCAGTACTGTCATCGACGGCATATCCGATATCCGGATAGGAGACGCCATGCGGGAGCTTACCATTAACCGAAAAGGAAAGAAGTACGAATACCAGAAGATATTTAATCATAACTAAAATCAATACATTTTCCCCCGCAGGTATTATTTTATGGTTCTTAAGCTACATACCATTGATTTACCTTCAGACACCCCTATACAAGCTGGACGCCAACATGATGTCTAGCTCTGTATCTTTGGCCAGGGCCACAATCCTCCAGAGTGACTCTCTACTCAAATATAAGCTGGCGGTTGTGACTCCATTTGATCCTGTGCGGAACCTATCTTGTTCTTTATCCTTAAAGTTTGTGGCATTTCTTATTTGCTGCATGGAAAGAATGATGGAGAAGGTGTGATATGAATCCTTGCAGGACATAATAAAATCCATAATCACACTAATAAAATAATATAACATACCCCGGGCACCACGAAGTGGGGATTATCCCCATAAAGATTCACAGAATATCAGTCATTGTAAGGGTCGATCGACATTTATTTAAGAAAGAGGCCTAGGCACAAAACCAGCACTCAAAAGTCAAGGCCGGATATCGCATTATCAAGCCCGTTCGCTCTTGTTTAGTCTATAGCCCTGGTACTGCTTGTTCCCGCTGAGACATTGGCCCGTACTCAAGTTATACTGGCTCGAGTGACATTGTGGATCGCTATGGAATTGTACTAAGAAAGTTTTAGAACATCATATTAAGATAAAGATAAAACCATATCTCACCATTGTATCCGTCTTTCAGATAATCAAATTTTATAGATCCAACTGTACTGTTTCCGCTAAAAGTATTACACTTACTAAGAGCGGGTTGATAGACCCCGAGCTCCCCTAGATTTTGCCCTGAACAGCCAGGTTCACCATAGAGACGGAGTTGAGCAAGTCGAGTATCATTAGTAGATAGGGTTCTTGTAGAAAGAGCAAGAGTAGAAGATAAGAGAATCATAATATGGAAGTATAGCATGATAAGTTTTGATGCTGAACAAATTCTTTAGAAGAAAAGGTAGGTCTTGCGTGACAGTGGATGATTGGGACTATGAGAGCTTTAAGTAAGTTTATATAGGGCTTTAGCATCAACGGAAGCTTCTAAACTGTTATAATATAGGAATTTTATTTATGTACTGTTTATGTAGTACATACAAAACTATAAAGATAATGGAACGCGTAAGCTATGCATACAATGATTAGTTAACTAATAATCTTCACTTACAAGTTACTTAAATCTAGGGCATGTGTCAAGGCTTCTGTATTTAGCTGTATTCTAGTTAGGCTTACCCACCACTCCGTTTTTAGATCCGCACGCAAAAAGCCTCCTCATTGGTGATCTTAGGAGCTAGCTGGCATTAGAGAATGCATAATAAGCTTAACTATATATTGACTGTGCCACTCCTGTTTCAGAATGCAGGGTCTCCACTGCGTTGTTTTATAGTTACTGGAATAGGCCAAAGATTTCGGATGTTAAAAATATTTTCTTTGTAATAATCCACTAGTGGTCCATTACTACTTAAAGTAGACTTATTCCCACCACTATAGCAGTGGTTTAGTTTTACATACTATACACATATCCACCTCGTGATCATGGTGCCTATAGCGGTGTATTATGCTGTGACCCTTGCGGCACTTTTAGCAATTATGCTCCTCTATCTCAGCTGGCGTATATTTCTTAACTGTTATTTTACATACATTCGTCCATGGTGGTTAGTACATGTGGCATACTCAAGCCTACGGCCAACATTCTGGGATATAAAGATTATTTTGAAGCCTCAATTCCTGGGGCCCATCGCATATTTTGCTGGAACTGCGGTATTCAACATTATCGGGGTAAATTCTATCTCTGAAGCTGGTATCCGTGCAGCTCGTCTCTCAATCTTTACTTTGTTACTTCTTTTTTGGGCCGGAGATCATGAATATGGAGCTCGTCTGCTTGGAGTATCATTAGGGACCTATCAGTACATCCATCGAATATCTGCAATAATGGCAGTACTACAAGGCACTATTCATGTGGTTATTAAAGGCCAGGAGATGCACTTCTCAGCTTCGAATACTGTACAATTCTATGGCCTTATGGTAAGTTTTTTACTCCTGGAGAAAGAGTAAAACTGATACAATCTAGTCAGGATCTATGTTTCTCGTGCTGCTACTTTTTCCACTAGTAAAACGGCGGGTCTATGAAATATTTCTCAAAATTCATCAAGGATGTGCAATCTTTACTCTCTACAGTATTTGGCGGCATGTTAATGCATCGTACACAAGATACTGGGTCTACTTGCTTACAGCTACTTTTACTACTACAGCAATCCTGCAAGTGTCTCGCATAATCTTTCGGAATATATCAAGGGGGAAAAAGTCCACTAGATTCGTTACCCAATCTTGTGGAGATGGTATGATCCGTGTAACATTGTTACTCCCACGACCGTGGACGATACGAGCTGGAGAGCGTGTCAATATCAATATTCCAGGACTCGGATTTCGCTATACGTTTCAATCACACCCGTTTTCCATTGCATGGTGGGAGGAAGATACTTCTGGCAGAGTCCAGTCTATTTCACTACTTATTAGGGCGCGATCTGGCTTTACTAGGAAGCTAATCGACTACTCGACGTCATCGATACAACAAAGGGCATGGATTGATGGTCCATTCGGTCCCTCTAGTGTCAGTTCGATAGGTCCTTTAGGAGTTGGGGATTACAGTCATGTTTTCATGGTTACTACTGGAATTGGCATTGCCGCTCAGCTGCCATATATCAAGGAGCTTCTTTCTGAGACCCGTAAAGGGCGAACGAGAACGCGGAAAATATCACTAGTATGGCAGTTACAGCGAGAGGGAGACTGGGAGGGTGCAAGAGATTGGCTACAAGACTTAGTAGAGCAAGATAACGGATGTGTTAGTATAATCCTGCTTCTTTCCCACATTACACTGTTATTAATTGGTATGGAGTCTACAGATGTTAAACGTCACTATCTATGACCAGCTGGAATCACCGTCAAAGGTTCCACATACAGTCGGACATCACGAACTGATCACTACATATTGCGGCAATGTAGACTGGAAAGAGCAGCTATTAAATGAGCTAGAGCACCAGGTCGGTCAGCTTCTCGTGGCAGGTACTGTTACATCATGATGAATTTGTGTCATAGCTTCACCGTTTTTGACTATAGGCTGACTTTCTTCCAAGTTTCTGCAGATAAATCCGTCCGCAAGCATATCCTGGAATTAGTGAGTGAGAATAGTGCTCAAGGGGTTGAGATTTTCAAGCTTGCATTTCAACCATGGGATGGCTATTGAATGATGCTTTCTAGGAAATGCTTTTGTTAACTTCTTGTTGGCTTTACTTGTACTTGCCTATAATATATTAACTCAAGAGTAATACAACCAACATTATCGACTAAGTTATCATATCTTTTAGCAAATCTTTATTAATAAATAAGAAAAGGATGGGTGATCTTTGAAGGTACATACGACTACTGAGACTGCAGTATCCTCAGGCATAGTGAGCTTAGAGCGGTGAAGGCCATACTAGGTTTGAACGCAAACCTTCTCTATGCAAGTGGACAGGGTATGGGATTGGCGTGGTTGTAGTACTTTCCTTGTATACTGATTATCCACCTCCTTCAGGGCCACCCAAGAGTTATTAGGAAGTATCCAATATAGCTGCATGTAATATTGGTCATCCCACCAATATGTAACAATGTATGCAAAGGCTCTCATTATTTGCAAAGTTTGTTAATACATACCTGTAAGATGATGATTGTTGCCTAGTTCTGCTGCTACTGTAAGGCAATTAGGTCTGTAAGTCCAGTCACAAAGATAATCGGGGAAAGGCTGTACCACCTTCGGACGTCTCAAAAAAGTGTGTACGTCTGAAAGGAAAGGGAATCACTGTATCCAAAATAAACGGATTGTTGTGATTGTCTCTTGAACTTGGGGAGGAAAAATGTCGGGACGGGCCGAGACGCGAACCCCTAAACCGCCCGACCGCGACGAACACGAAAACTCACCACCACGATTAATAAGGCTAAAACGCACGACAAGACCACCGGCTCACTATGCTCAAGAGCAAGAGATCGATACTGAACAGAGAAACACGCGCTCTCAGCGGAAGAAGAAGAACCATGATAAGCCAGTCGCCCAACGTGAAGCGGCAACTTCGGACGACTCCTCGACAGAGAGCGAAGACTCAGACGCCTCCAAACTTGTGAAAGAGATTATCAAGCTCAGAAGAGAACTCAGACGACGAGATAAACTATACAAGGAGGAGCTCCAGAGAGTCAAAGAAGAATTTGGCGCTGCCCTCGCGGAGTTTCGACATGAATTACTGGCGAATCGACCCCTGACACCGCAAGCCCACCCCGAGTCATGCGCTCAGAACAGCCACGAGGAGATCCTTCACGAAATCCAGTCCTTACACATTGCAGCCAATCCTTCGGGATCCCTGTCCTATACAGATATTACCCGCACTCCCCTTACCAGCTAACCGAGTAATATACGGACGCTCTCATCGTGGAACATGATACTAACCATCTTTACTAACATACTATATTACATATAGAATGTGCCTTTGGGTGCCGTCGAGGCCAAAATGGGCATCCGGGGCGGCCGTTTCTGGCGTCGTCGGCCCCGGAAACGTCACCAAGACGGGTAATCCGTGGGTGCTGCTTTTAGCTTGGACAGAGCGGCATCCGGGCCTGTACCTGTAATACAGTTATTTTACCCTCAGCCTGCCCCCTTCGCCCCCACCCAGCCAGCTATGATCCCTGTCCTGCTGAGCCGTCCCCATCAGACGCGACCGGCTGAGGACGATAGAACACCTATCGACCTTTCGTTTCTCCTCGTCGCAGTATAGCAAGAGGCCCGGGAAGGCAGATAAATAGCCCTGTACACGCCTGCTATTCTGTCACCATGATTCTATCCTCTTCACTCCTCGCGCCCAGCGCCCGCCTTCCACAAGCTCTCTTCACACCATGGGATTTTCCGGCCTTCCCCGAAGTAAATAAGCGTAACGAGAGAAGCACGGAGGACGCAAGTCCTACCTCTACTATGCTGAGCGTTGGAAGCTGCACCTCGAAAGCGGACCAACACTGCCTCAGTATGCATCTAACACAAACATCTCAGCGGCCTCGGTCAGGGGGAAATGGAGTCAGTATGTCCTAAGTCCAGGGAACGCCCATCCTAATCCCAAGCCACACTACTAACCATCCTTATTGCCAGGTTCTGCTCCGAAGCTTGCCAGGATCCAGATACCCTGCTTCTGAATCTCACGGCCCCGGATGTTAAGTCCTGGTTTAACTGGATTGAGGAAAACTTCTCGGGATCTCTTAAAGCCTACAGTGCACTTATAAACTATTAGAGAACTCTAAAAAGACTCTATTTTATCAAAACCCACTGGGAAATGGAACCGAGCATGCAGAGGGACTGCCTTAATATGAGTATTCTCAGATAAAACTGGATTTAACGGTTGACTAACACAGCTATATAATATATGAATAATATGAGTTGGCAGATAAGCTTGTATAGATATCCTTTATCTAAGCCTACAGTAGTATCAGATAATCTTCTGTATTTTCTTGTCACTCACATGGCCTATTGCAACTCAGTGTTTGCTAATAAGAAGTAACAATTATATGTATTAACTAGTCTCAATTTATCAAGTATTTCTGCCTGTTGAGTAGTCTTATTATTTAATACGAGGCATCCTATTAACCTTCAAGCTGATAGACGCCCCCTCAAAACTTCTGGATCCGAGAACGCCATTAATCATGTAAAATCTGAGAACTCGGTTAACAAGTCGGAGGACAAGGCGCCCTTGGGAATTTCTGGCCATGAAACAGGTAAAGACATTGAGATGAGTAATCTAGATAAAACCGATCTGGATAACATTTTCAGCCACTACTCTGATCTGGAAATTGCAAGCGATATTAATTGCTATTCAGATATATCTAGTATTATAGATGACAGGTATCTTAAGGATAACAAAGAAACTAATACTATTCTTTAAAGATATGTTGAATTCTATATTATCTATAATCCGACTCCCGGTGAACACTATATCCTTACTATTATTATAATCCTGCTTCACATGAAAGAGAAGGACTGAAAGCCGAGAATATAAGTACCGGGTTTTAGATGGTTATGTTAATCACATACTTATACTAATACAGGAAGAGGTTCGTGATTGAACATAAGAAAAATTTAATATTCAATCTATTAGGTCAGCTTATGGCGTTGGGTATTGATGATAATATCTTTATTATAATAAGTAAGGATATGGCTGATATCTACACTGTGCCTATCCCTGCACATTGTAGAGATATTCAGATAAAGATAAAGAAAGAAAAATTAGATATCTTAATATTTCAGGAGCCAGAGCATACTGCAGATAGCTACCGAATATCTGATAGTTAACCACTCAAGCCACGGACATGGAGTCGCATCCTGAAACGACTTGGAATTTGGGCGGGTCAGGCATATAACCTGACATAGAAAGTACTTTATTAGGGCGGAATCAACGTAATCAACAGTATGTTTCCCGTTATATGAATATTGACTTTTATAGTTAAATACTCTGTAAATAGACTAAGCCCTATTATCTGTTTATAATCAAGTTACGGATCATGAATTAAATACTGTCAAATATTATCTCAATAAAGTAATGGACTTTGACACGGCAGCAGCATTTCACAAGCGACCATTAAACAAAATTATGTAACGGGAACTCCGGTCAGCCATACTTTTAGCAGACCATACTGCCCCTATCGGCCTCACAGATGCACAGTCTTGAAAGATAATCCTGAATCCGGAGATACGCCGCCTAAGAAGGATTTTCCAGAGACTCACAGCAAAGATCCATGCAATGGGACTCACTATCAAGAACACAGCAGGAACGAAGGCCGGTGAACAGAAAAGGCAAGCAGACGCGGAACTAAACAGCATGCTCACCTATCTCCGAGACAAAGCCAAGGAGCAAAACCAAAAGAGACATTTCAGGAATACAGACACAGCCATTTTTAATCAACAATATGAGGGCTCTTCCGAACTCGTGAGCAGCGACGGACAGAGCCAATTACCTCGCTACTATCATATCCGTGAGCGGGCGGAGCTCGTCCGTCTTCTGTGCTACTCCGCGCTCGCGGAAACAACAGAGAATGCCCACCATCGCCAGCTCGAGTATGTACGCCTTCTAGTCCGCTGGCAGCATCGAAAGGAAAGCCCACGTCGAGGCAGGCAGGCGGCCATCACCATACAACACATGCCAACTCCGACACCACCAAAAGTCAGAGTTATTCCCGAAAAATATGATCCCTTACAATGTCCATTCTGCCTCTCTAACACGCGCCTACCCCCACTTGACCGTGTAAGGAGAAAATGCAAGATGAATAAACTGTGGGATCACGTGGAGAAGATTCATTGCCAGGAACTAGCTGCATTTGACACTGGTAATCGCCGTTGTGGGATATGCAGCATAAGAGATATTGACTTTTTGCCTTCAAGCAGAAACGAGTTCAAGAACCATACCCAGACAGTTCATGGAATCAGACTACGTCCGTGATCTATTTATTCTTACCAGCCTGTAAATTACTCATTTTCAACGAATGGAACTACAAAATCCCCAGGCCGCAGGAGAATTTGCAAGGAACGCTTTGAGGAGCATCTAAGGATTGTTAGGGCAAAAGTAAAGAAAATAAACCCCCAAAGGAGATCTATCGTAAGTCAATAATGGCTCATTATAAATCAATCAAGTTCCTTACGGTATCTGAATAACCACCATCTTTCTAGTAGGCGGATATCATCATGGTCTCTTGCCGCGTTAGATATGAGAGAGGCTTTAAATCCAACAAGCTTTTTAATAGCATCACTATACTGCTCGTTGCTAATCTAACCATCCTCGCCAGCACCACCAACTTCGTTAATTTCCGACCTTATTAAAGCCAAACCACAGCTCCTCGTTAAGCCCACTGGTTTCAGATTCGATAAATTATACCGGTTATAATAGTCATTTCGTATCAGGTTGATAAGGCCAATGGCCATATATTACCCTACAACACAATTCTCAGAGAGATGACTCATGATTATGTCTAGGACTTTCTATGGCATAGGCTAGTGGGAAGGGTCTCACCTATCGGCAAACAACTGTGGTCAAGCATAACCTCTTCTGACCTTCTAAGCGTCCTAGCAGTGCTCGACCACAAATGCAGTCGAGAAGCATCCTGAGACTCGGGATATATCCCTGGCGGTTATAGATATTCTGACAGATTCCCGATAGCTGGTAACAAATCTTAAATGGCTCGAGTCTCTCATCGCTAGACCTGCATGTGTATCATCACGCTGCTGCTGCTTGCGAAGGTGGTGGTATAGAGGGTCTGGTCCATGAAAGCCTTTAAGGCAAAGGGGACAAATGAAACGAATAGGTGAGTTTTGAATAACCTTCCTGAGACTCTCTTCTATCCTCGCCGAAGTAGCCATGATGTGCCTGGAGGAATCGAAGTGTTTGACCACAAAGTTAACTTCAAAGCAATTAGCGCCTGGAGGTATATTTTCGGGAGCCATAGACGCCCTGACAGACTCTTGGTAGCAGGTAAGGAAAAATTCATTGTCGGTTCTTTTCCTCAACTTTCTTTTTGCTAGCCCTGCATGCGTATCGTCCTGCTGCTCACGGAAATGGCGATACAAAGTGTCTACCCGAGGAAAGCCTTTGAGGCAAAGGAGGTAAATGAAACGAATGGATGAGTTCTGGATAATTATCCTGAGTGCCTCTTCTTTTGCGGACTAGCCATGGTATGTTTGAGGAGATCACATAGTAGCCCAGCTTCATGGACTTTCGCATGAGATACAGTGCTTTTATATACTTCATAAGTCTTATGAGCTTCTGCTGTGAAGGCAAAGGGGTTGGCTCCCATTCTATTAGGTATTACAAGGTATGTTCGCCTGTGCAAGCAAGCTAGTTGGTTGCCTATCTCAATAACACTACTGCAGCAGGAATGATACCCTTAAACAGTCTGTCCCTCGTGCATGCAATCAAGAGCCTCGAGTATATTTCAAGTCCAAAGTTAATGCATGACGCGAATGCACCAAAGCAAGCAGACTCTTCCAAGATAAGGTAGCGCAGGAACTTTGCAAACTCACTCAACCCTCCCTCCCCGTGAGCCAAGGATCCTCCAAAAGTTCCTTAGCCGTCGCCCTCTTCTCCGGTTCCCAAGTAAGAGTCTTCCGAAGGAAGCGAAGAAAGCCCGAGTTATCATCCAGTTTAGCTTCAAGGGATTCGATTGTCCGGTCATGCGGTATAGGTGCCAGACCCAACCACTCATCTATAGTAGATTAGTAACGCATCACTACAAGTGATTTTCATAGAAGTAAGGCATACTCCGATCATTCCAAAAGTCCGCCCGTCTCTCCGGGTTCCTAGCCAGGAACTCAGGGGGCGGTGGGCCCAGTGCAGCAATCAGCTGGGCCAGATGAGCGGCATCGTACAGATCGCCGTCTTCGTCACGCGCGGTGAAGAGTCTTTTCGATCCAAGCATGTCCCATGCCTATGAGCTCTTTAGCTGGGAACTCTGGGAATCGAATCCAGTGCGACAGCGACTCACTGTAAGACCAACACTCCATATATCAACAGGGTAACTCCATCCCACATAAAGCAGTGTTTCAGGCGCCCGGTACTCCAATGGCATTATATCGCCTGCGTGAGGGCCCGGTCCGATTCTCGCTTCTCCAAAGTCAGAGAGAAGCATAGGTCCTTCCTTCGGTAGTGTTAACCGTGACAGATAGATAGTTCGATCGGGATAGATCTTTCGAGTAACAGGGGACGCCATCTCCTTGTCTTCCAGTCGACGTAGAAGATTATTGTCGTAAAGACCAAGTAGCATGTTGCCGGAGTGTACGTCTGCTAAGTATCAGTGGAGGAACTTGTAACCTGGGCCCACGACCTCCGGGAAGGATTATACCAGTATGAACAATCTCTCCGTGGGAATGCAAAAAGTCCAGGGCCTTGAGAAGCTCAATAATGGCGCCCTTGACAAATTCCTCCTCGAATCCTTCTCGACGAAAAACAAATCTCATATCACGCAAACTCATTTGCGCGGGCTCGAAGACGAGAACAGCATGCTTGCCATGCGGACCAGTCACCTCGAAAGAGTCTAGCAGCTTTCGAATGTTGTTTATTCCTCGCCCTTTGTATGACATTTCGGCCATACGGCTATTTATACGGTCATAAACAGGCAATTCCCGATGACGAAGCGAGGTATGGGCGTATACTTTAAGTGCGACATATTGGTGATCCCTGCGGAAATCAGTTATCGTTCAATTCGAACCTCTCGGAGAGCCTACCTCAGGTCTCGGGCCAGCCAAGTGGTCGACGAAGAACCAAACCCTAGCTTTGCCACAAATTGATAGCGATCTTGAAAAAGCTCGCCCAGTTGAACGGGATAAAATCGGTCGGCTTGATAATCAGGCAACTCCTCCTCTTCAACCAGCGTATCGGCATCGACAGTGGTGTAGCCACTCGTTGGCAGGGCCCGTGGCTTCTCCAGCGCGGCTCTTTGCGGCATGGTAGAGAATGATTTGAGCGAAGATGTAATGGTATCCCACAGCGAAGGCATTATGACTCTAGGGGAACGAAACGAGGAGGCACCGATCGCTACTGTCTTGTGTGTCCGATTGAATCGTAGACTAGCCGAGAAGCTCCAGACTCCTGTTCTGAGGAACATTATCGAATAGCGTCTGATCTGGTCAGCATGCTATCTTTATGCGCCAACTAGCAAATGGATGTTGTTGGACGCGTCGTGAATTGAGTTGCGTCATTTGCCAGCAAAGCCTCTAGCACGCGTTAGGAGCTGTGCGGAAGACCCACACGGATCGGTATCATCATTGGCCGATCGCCCCGTTATGTATCACCACCAAGCGGCTGCCAAAAACAGAAATAAACAAATGACGTGCCTAGACCTCGCCTAAGCGCCATGACGATGATCCAAATACTTATCTACTGGATACAAATTTCTGTATTTTTACCTTCCGTCTCACGAGTCGTTTCATGCTGACTTTAGCGCCCATCTCATACCTTTATAGCCTATCAATGGCCTTTGTTCACCGGAATGCTCTTGCGTCCCCGAGGCTGAGCTCGTCATGTAGATCATTTTTGACTTGTCCATCGGCCCAATGAATATTTTGTTGTTATCTGCAAGCGCCATATCCTGAATTTAATCAGGGAATGTGCGAGACTAAACTGCTATCAGTGGCCGGTGGCGGTCCTGATCAGCGGGTTGCCAGCACTCCATCCAGCAGAGTTACATTGACATTGCCGCCCTCTTATGCTAAATACGACTCCCACCTGTTTCATTTGGCGCTCAATGTCTAAGCTGTGACGTCGTTACGTGCCATGCCGGTGCAGGAGTCGTGAATATAAACGGATCCCAGACCTCATGGTCGAGAACTAACTCACTCAGTCTTCTCATCATCTATCCATTTTAGCCCATCAAGTGCTCTGAATCTTCCACGCAATGTCTCTCAACGCTGTCCGCAGCTTTTCGAGTACCACCAAAAAGAACCTTCTCAAGCTTATTGGAAAGGTGACCTTCGAGGACGTCCGGACGTTGAACAGCCCTGACGGCGAAAGATGGGTCTCTTCCGTGCACAAGATCCGGGACGAGGTGGAAGACTTGGTAAGAACTATCTCCCTATTTCGACGGTACAATGTTCTAACCCTTGTTAGTATGACAGTGTTACCGAATATGAAATCCAGTGAGCACACCAGCTTTCACCGAAATCTGTTTTTGTATGTGAAGATTAACGCTTGAGATAGGGGTGGCAAAGCCCACAAGTCAAAGAAGGACCCGGCAGACCCGGATGATGTCATCACTGTAGGTTTCTATAGCAAGAGCGGCACGCGATTGCTCAGTGGGCATGTTCATGCAAACGGATCTTACAAGCTAGCCGAGAGCCGTGCAGGAAGGGGCAAGGGTAAAAGCCAGGGCAAAGATTGATTTTTTCGGGAACCCCTGGCAGAGCGATGTGAGCGAATTTGATTTACAAGTGGACCTGCATCACTTCGAGCAGAAATGGGCCTTGCGCAGCAGATACTTGGATAGGCAGATTCTGCGTTCTTGCAGCAGTTTAGGTGTGGTTTTCACGGGTTTCATATATCCAATGTTGATTCTGCTGGCCTATAGTCTAAACTTCTCGGGCGCTAATCCTTTCTCTTCTAGAAGATTCTTCTAACCCTAGATTTGCTCTTAAGAACTACTTATTATTTCTATATAAGAAACCCTCTTTTCCCCTTTCAATCCTGTTATTTTATTATTAATGTTTAACTTATTTCTTTACTTTTGTCTTCTTTCTTTCTTTCTTTTCTTTTTACTTCTTTTAGCTTATTATTTTATTTATCTTTCCCTTTTCTATATTAATACTTATTAAACAATAATTTACTATATACTATCCTATTTACACTATATATCTATATTATTTTAGATAGAAAGTCTGTAAGTTTAATTAAAAATGTAATTCTTCTTTTTATTTATTAAGCTGCTTAATTTATTATCATAAATAATAAAATCTCTAAATATAATGTTTAAGATAAATTAAAGAGTTACTGGTTATAATCATTATGTTGACAGCTATTTACAAAGTAATGCAGAAAAGAATATTAGATAAGAGATAAATTAAGTATTATTACTATAAGACAAGAAAAAAGAAGATGGATATTACAGATCCCTACTAGCCAGGTTACTAGTGGAGCGGACTCATTAGACAGAAAAACAATAATAAAATAAATCTTGAATAAATAGTAACTCTTATTAAATAGAATCCTGGTCTGAATAATGTCCGGAGCGGTATTATGTCACGTGATTATCTACTATCAGATCTACTATTAATAATATATATAAGGTATACTGGAATCCAGGATTATAATTAGATTAATCCTTAATCTACTCTAAATAGTATATAAAATAGTATATAGAGAATAGAATATAAAAATATTTTCTTATATACTTAGCTAGTTTTGTTCTTCGTGCTTAATATAATTGATTTTAAGTAATTATATATTTAAAAGCTTAGTAATAATACTTATCTATATTTACTTATAAATAACTACACAGTATTATCTAGCTTTACTTTTTTTTTCTTATTCAAGACCAGTTATTCTTAAATAGTTATTAGTCTGATATTATCTTAATTTAGTTTGAAGGTACGTATACCAGTGAAGCTAAGGTAACAGGAACAGGGAGAAGTGATCCTAGGGTTTGACAGATATAATAAGTGCCTATAGAGTCTCCAGATCTTATAATAATAATTATCAGGCTCCTTGAGTAACTGGTTTTTACAGTATCTGTTTATATAAAAGAAGAAATGTCTTAATTTTAAATAATACATGCAAGCACTTACTTAATATAATTATAAAAATATAACAAGATACAGGTGCGGTGATGGAGATTTTGATTATAAAAGACTTTAACCAGCATAACCAACTCTGAAGAGAAGATAATATATCTTTAAAAAGATAAGATAAAGTAGATCTAATCATAAATCTTATAAATAAATATGCTTTTAACTGTCTCTTTAAATAAGATATAAAGATATAGTATAGCAGAGAATACAGTAAAGACTACAAGTTAACTATTGACCTAGTCCTGGCCTTAGAAAACCTAACAGACTTCGTGATTAAGTATACCATACTCAGGATGGAGCACGGCTCAGACTACTGTGCTATTAAGACCTTCTTTAATATGCCCTAACTGCTTCCAAAATATTAAAAATGACTTTTACGGAAAAATGCTATATAAAAAGAGACTAATATCAGGATAGTAAATACTTTTATTACTACTCCCGCGGAGAATATAATACAGTAAAAAACTAATTATTAAACCCTAAGATCGCTTCTTCCTATTCCTATTAGCTTAGCTTCACTGATATACGTACCTTCAAACTAAATCAAGATAAAGTCAGATTAATAACTATCTAAAAATAACTGGTTCTGAATAAGAAAAGAGAACTAAGGCTAGATAGTATTATATAATTATTTATAAGTAAGTATAGATAAGTATTATTATTAAACTTTTTAAATATATAGTTACTTAAAGATAATTATATTAAATATAAAAAACAAAATTAGTTAAATACATAAAAGAGTATTCTTATATCTTATTCTTTATATACTATATCTTATACCATATCTTATACCATTCAGAGTAGATTAAGGATTAATCTAATCACATTCCTAGATTCTAGTATATCTTCTATATACTCTTAATAGTAGATCTGATAATAAATAATTATATAATATAACACTACTCCGAACATTACTCAGACTAGAATTCTATTTAATAAGAGTTACTGGTTATCCAAGTCCTGTCTTATTATCATTTTTCTGCTTAATAAGTCTATTCTACTAGTAACCTGACTAGCAGGGGTCTATAACACTAACCAGCTCATGTCAGCAATCTCAGAAATAGTATATATTAATATTAAAATTGAAATCATTACCACACATAAAGTAGTAGTGAACTGTTAATTTAGTATAACTTTATTAAATATATATATATTAAAGAAATCACGCCTGCTCTGAGCAACAGACAGGATAAAAAGTATCTTATTTAGAGATAATGACCTGATATATAGTAAGATAATATTATAATATTATCTAATAGTAAAAGAAAAAGTACTGGAATTATTTCTTATTAATAATGATAATATATAGAAAGCTACTAGATATCTGAAGTTAAAAGAAGATACAGTATTCAGAAAGATCCTGCAGGTTCTTAAAATAGATAAGATCATTACTATCAATCATAAGAAGTAAGTAAAAAGATTACTGGCTAAATTCTTTCCAGCCCTGTCAGATAATATTAATAATAAAGGGACTCAATCATAAAAAACACTAGTTAATATGTCTGCTATCATGATAAAAAAGATTAAATAATAGCTGATGGCAGCAAAGTCTTGGAAGGCATTTGGTGAAGATGGTTTACTAATAATAATATAAAAGATGACTTAACTTATGGTCAAGTACAGAGTCCTGGATCTCTTCCAGGCGTTATTAGAAGAAGACATGTTATTAAGACAGTAGAGATATGTAAAGATTATACTACTTAAAAAGCTAAATAAAGAGAATTATATTATTATAAAAGTATGAAAACTGATTTTATTTCTTGTAATGTTGGGTAAGGTACTGGAATCTGTGGTAGTAGAAAGGATCTTACATATAATAGAGACTCATGGTTTGCTTCTAACTAGCCACTTCAGCGCCTGAAAGCAGCGGTCCACCAAGCAAGCACTCATACTTCTACAAGAGCAAATTGTTACGGACCCCTGCTAGCTGAACAACTAGTAAGGCGGGTATGTCAGGCAGAAGGCCACATCCGGACGGAAGGGGGCTCTTATCGAGGAGGATCCCGACCCGAACCGTCAGGCAGCACGGATCACGTGACCATGGTATACGGACAAGCATGTGGTATACAACATACCATCATGGTCTATGACTACCAAATGGGTATACAACAGACCCGATGGTATACGGAATAGTATACGGGGAACGGATATATAAGGACACTCCTTCATGTACTTAGTTAGTTCTGTTCTTCATGCTCAATCCAATTGTCTTTAAGTAACCATATGTTTTGGTAGAGCTTAGCAATAACACTCATCCGCACTTACTTACGGATAGCTGCGCGGTACTATCTAGCCTTACTTCTCTTCTCTTGTTCAGATCAAGTCACCTTTAGATAGTCAACAGCCTGACTACCTTTGATTCAGTTCACAAGGTACGTATCGGAACGGGAGCTAAGCTAACAGGAACAGGGAGAAGCGATCCTAGGGTTTGACACAAATCTATGCGGCATGGCGCGGCTGATGGGTCGTAAGCTTGATTAATTTTAATATTAAGGACACCTATAACAGATTATGCAAAGAATAGTTGCTTTAAAGAATGAAAGCGCGAGGCATACCAGAAAATCTATTCTAATAGATTAAAATATTCTGCTCAGAACAAACGGCAACTATCTAAATCAATGAGCAATTATCTGAGATCTAAAGCCTGCCACAGGCTAGACTGCCGCAAGGCTTGCTGCTATCTCCAATCCTGTTCCTCTTCTTCAACACAGACCTCGTACAACGACAAATCGACAGCCAGAGAAGTGTGATTATATTCATAGATGATTTTACCGCGTAGGTGATTAGATCAACCGCGCAGAATAACCAGAAAGGTATTAAAGAAATTATTAATAAAGCACTCAACTAGAAGAAAAGAAGTAGCACAACTTTTGAAGCAGATAAAACAGCCATTATATACTTCACTTCCAAGACTTATAAATCGGACCAGGGGTTCTTTACCATTAAGGAATAAATAGTTAAATCTAAAGATTATATTAAGATTCTGGGTGTCCTGATAGACACAAGTCTCATATACAAGAAACATATTGTAAGAGCAGTGTTTAAAGATTTGAAAACAGTAATAAAGCTGTAGTGATTTTATAGCTTCTCCCCAGCAACAGTACAGTAGTTATTAATATTAACAGTGGCTCTGGCAGTAGATTATGCTTTTAATATTTAGATAAATGCCTGTAAGAATAAGGCAATTAGATTAATTAACTAAGTTTAAAGAATAAGAGTGCAAGCAATTATAAAGACATTTCTTACCATTATAACTAGGATCACGGAGACAGAGACCCATATTGTTATAATATAGTACCATTTTTGAAAGCAGGCCATAAAAATATGGACGGACCTCCAAATACTCCCAGACACTAATCCTCTGCAGAAATACAGCTCAGATCAGGAAATTCAGAAGATTTCACTGTTCGCTGCTATATCAAGTAGCAGACACGCTGAAGAATATCAAGATGGAAATATTAGAGACTATTAACCCTTTTACATTAGTGCCATGGAAGACACGTATGTAGACTAATGATAAAGCCATGCCGGATCTATAGACTATATCCAGTAAATCAATATAAATCACAGTCAGCAGCTCAGCATAAAACGGGATAATAAGATTTAAGATAATGATTAAGAAGCAGCTATCTTAATATCAAAAATTAAAACTAAAGATCTTCTCCATAATATTAAGTATAAGATTAGAACAGAATCTATTCTCTATAAAGCTAACAGCTATAATATATATATTAAACAGGCTAGTAAGTCTAAAAGGTTTCAAACTCAGGTTGCTTACAAGTAATAAAGCAGCGGCCTTTATGATATAGAACCCTCAATAACAGTTAGACCAGGAGTTTATTTACTAAATATACAAGTTAATAAACAGATTACAAAGAAAAGAAAACCATATCAAGATTCTTTAGATCCCTGCCAGAAAAGACAATAAACTGCTGGGCCTAGTTAAGGAGTAGGCTAAAGCTATAATCCATAAAGATATTATCCCACAAGCACAGGTCCCCAGAATAAAGTCAATAATATTAAATCTTGTACAATCTTAAGTAATCACCATAAAAGCCTTGCTAGAGAATGTAAGAAAATATATTAGATAAGTAAATATAATACTTCCAGAAAAGTATATCTGATAACTGTATAATTAATTATTATAAAAAAAATAATCATGCTGGCTCAACTCCGGACTGGTATAGTAAGATTAAATAGATATCTTTACTAAATCAATATTATATAGATAAATCAGTATGTATACAGACAAGCAAGAGAAATTATAAAGTATTTTCTCTTCTAATATTAGAAGTAGACTATACAATGAACCATATTATCATAATATACTCAAACTCACCAGGACAATCTCTCCCTCTCCTGGGCGGGAAATCGCCTTCTAATGATTAGCCATAAATGCTGAATTTGGAGGTAGTACAAGTCTTAATACAATTTACAATCATTATGAGCTGACTCAACACTATCTAACCATGTTAATCAAGATAATAATACCCTTCCCCTAACTAACCTACACTAACCACCTTGTGCTATAGATAGTAGACGCGCTTCAACTACCGAGAATAAGATGTTAAATACTTGGAGAAGCACTTTCAAGCTAGTTTATTAACAAAACTATTAACCCACAGGGATTTCTACAATATTGACAGCTGAGAGAACATATACTGATAAGATCTATATATGGGCTCGAAGAAGATACAGCAGATATATACTAGATTTTGTGTTAATAGATTACTGATAGTTGCCCTTTCGGCTGAGCCGCCGGGCGTTAATGAATTGTGTGTGTGTGTGTGTGTGTGTGTGTGTGTAAGGCAATTAGGGCAGATCGTTACTCCATTGCCAGAGGCCACAGGCCCGCGGCTCCTACAATCCCTGCAACGCTTGTAGTGGTCCCGGACCTCACCATGTGCCTCACATTACTGACCATGAAATGATCACTACATATCAACTTACCTTCCGTAGGGAGTAGGGGTGCATGCACACGTGACTTCCTGCTAGCCGTGGGTCTTCCGAACATAAACGCCTTCGTGGCCACCAGCTAGATGATAATCCATCCTGATCTTCGTGAATCGCTATAGTAGATAATCTAATATATTATGCAACATAGAAGGCCTAATCCTACACAGGCTTTCCAGCGAGCGAATAAAGGCCTACCAGGATCCTAATGCAACGCCCCTGAGGGCCCCGACGGCCCCCTTTCCTATCTGCGCGACCCTCACGCATGGCTAGGGGGCTCGTAGCTTCTAGATCGAAGACATCAAACCTTTAAATATTATCACTTTACAAGACATTGCGGCCGATCACAGCCCTGTGCGTAGCAGGGAATGGAGGCTGCGGATGAGCCGACGAAGGAGGCGGCCGCACGGGGGGAAGTTGAATTAAGGCTAGTGGGGCGGCTGGAACAACCCATTGTCCGGCTGGCCGCGATGGCCAAGCAGGGCGTTCGCCAGCGCATCCAGCAGCGCTGGAAGAAGCAGTGGGAGACAGGAAAGGGAGCGAAGCTGACACGGCCGCTGATTAAGGCTCCAAACAAGAGGAATCTGGTCCTGCACAAGGGCCTATCGAAGTCGCACACGCTGCTCATCGTCCAGATGCGCACCATCTGTATTGGTCTGCGATATTTCCTCTTTAAGATTAAGACCACTGACACAGACTGGTGCAGCTGCAGAGAGGCATCACAGACCTCGAAACACATTCTTCCTGCGGTGTTTGTGTACGGAGAGGCCCAGGGGAGATGATTGGCAAGCTACTCGATATGGAGGGACCCCGGGGGAAACTCCGGTTTTCTTGGCTAATCTGCAGTGTGCTTGGGAAGCTTCCCTCACTCTGCTCAAGGCCGAGAATGCCGTTGCCCCTTTCTACTATGTATTCTTCCCCTTCTCTATTACTCTCAGTTTCAACTAGTAGAATAGAAGCACCGCGCACACGACTTCTATGTTCTCCTGTTGACAAAGCCATCCCTGTAGTGTGGCCAGCTTGTTAGCAGATAATATCAGTTAATAGGGTCTGAGAGTCTTTTTGCGGGTGGCATTCTTCTGTCGTTTCTTAGTCTGTCTGGCCCTCTTAGGGTGAGCTGGGGCTGAGGACCATGGTTGCGGTTAAGCTACCTCCCATTGATAAGATACCTTGTTATTTTGTAACGCCTTGATAGGTTCATAGGTTAGCTTGGGACAACATCGCTATTTGACTCAAAAAATAGTCATGGTTTCCATTTTTATCTAGGCTTTTCCCAGTACTTCCTCAATTTAATACTACTCTTCGCCATCCACCAGGGTAACTAGTGGGCGCGTCTCGTCGTTTAACTGTGATAGATGGCTGTTAGCATTTACTGGACGAATCACATTTACATGGAACATGTTATAGATTCCCTCGAAGGTATCCAAGCGTATAGCATGTATACTGATGGTCTCTAGTATCTAGTACTTAGCATTCTTCCAGTCCAGTTTCTTGCTTGAACGGTCCGTTCTGATATTCTTTAAATTGGCTCAAACTACATCGTTTTCTTTAACACTAGTTGCTGGGGATCTTATTTACTTGTCATTTTAACAGCCTAACTCCTTTATTGATTATGTGATATGAAAGAAACCTTGCATTTTAAAAATCCCAAATTATAATCTAAGATTAATATGGCGAGTCCATCTGTTCCATGTGTCATAATACATGACTCAGTATCTGAGAAGTGCCATCCTGAAGCCTATCTATAGCCCAAAGATAGATATTCAATATCAGGTTTGTAATCGTTGCCGAGTAAAAGAGCAAAGAACATGGAGAGGGCGTAGACACCATGAACCTGTACTAATCCTGAGAAAGGGGTGCTTTATATGCTATCTTAGCATGTTTCTTTAGTCAGGATCAAGAAGGACATACCTGAAGAAGATCTTTAACAGTTACATGACTGGACACACCAGTAAAGTCTTCTGCCAGAAATCCCATAGTTCCTCGTATTCCCCGGGCATTATCAAGATCAAGAAGATCACGGACTATCCGGCAGAGAGCTTTGATATCCTTATCTTTGATCAGTCTTCCTGATCCTTGGATCATACTTCTACCAACATCAGCTATACCAACCAGTCAGCAGCATATACTAATTAGTACTCAAGAATAAGTGCTCACCCAGTTTCACGACTCCATCTGGAGTGATTCGGACAGTTGATGGAGACAAATTACCATGACAAACCCCAAGAACATTATGCATATAGTCTAGTCCATGAAGTATCTAGGAATATATTAGGTAGAGGGCCAAGCTATAATCAAGAAAATATACATACGCTCTTGCAAATAGTTGCAATCTCAACCTCCCCTAGCTGTAAGCGTGGGGATAGTTCTTGTATATCATTAAGTGAGATACCCCAAGAATCGTAAAGGAAGTATATATGTTTTTTTGATACGAAAACCTCGTTTAAATTTATGATATTTTGGTGTGATGTCTCGACGAGGTTCAGTATTTCGGGTTTGTCCTCTCCTAACTGCAACTGCTGGACATAGGCTATATGAGCACCTTCTGTAAATTCAATTGCATTAATTGCACTCTGTGCCGGTATAAGACCAATAAAGAATCGATGAAGCTGTTCGTATGGTGATCCATGTTTGATGAATTCTGAGGTCTTCTTCACTTTCGTAGGTGTAGACAAGCTCCTTTGTCCCCGGAAGGGTAGATCTATAGGAGAGGCTAGTCTGCGGATATTGACCATAATGATGGTGTTTCTTCGAATAATAGGAAATAATCTTGATTAAAATAAAAATACATAGTTTTGATGCTGCCCTATTTCTTAATATAATTGTGTAGGTATGGTATACAAACTAAAGACCCACTCAGATCTGCCGCGCCGGAAATGCTTTTTATTTGATGTGGGGAATATTTGCCACGCCGGAAAAGTTATTTACTTCTTCTCCACTTTGATTATCCACATACCTTACATACCTGTAAGTGTATTGTTATAATACATTGACATATCTTCATCTACTAGATAAACTCTCTTTTTCCACAGTACCTGGGATACTACTAAGAGTTCCTATCAATTATTCTTCTTAAAATTATATCCTCTATTATGGTTAATAAGGCCTATCCTAGCAATTTTAAGGATAAGACTGCTTATCCTATTCAGATAAATGATTTTGATTCATACGCATCGGTATTACTCGAAGATCATCCTATTCGCTCATATCCTACTCAACCTTATACCTTGGCAGATAAGGTGGTATAGTTGGGCTATTTCAGTGTCCTGCTTGTTTCTGCTAATATTGTACGTTATTGAAGTGTATACTCTCACTTAAGTATACTAACATATACCAATAGATGGACTGTCCGACTGCTACATATAATCTAGTTATCTTGCAGGTTACTATAATCGACCTACCATTCTACATATCTCGCAAGGTCAAGGTGGGGACATAGAAAGTAAATTAAAGCAGATGAGAACTACATATGTAGCATAAAAAGTGTACAGTCTAGGTGCTACTGCATTGCATTTTGGATTAAAGTCTGGAACTAAAGATTTAAGTCTGATGTTTTTATTAACTACATCACTCAAATTCTTCTAGGACTATAACAATTATTACTACCGTCACGCCCTGTCTTCAAGTACAGATGACCGCTTATTACCAAAACATGAGACATAGCCCTGAGAGTCTGTCACTACATCACCTATTTTCTTGGTTAGTTAATTTCACTATACGCTATATAATCTCACTTACTAAGATCAATATGCTGTAACAGTTCGCTGCCAGAACAGATAACTCTTAGATCATCAAAATCATCTGTCGGCTGGCGGAGTGAACAAGTAGAAAAAGCATTTCCTCTAATAACAATTAGTCCAATATCATTGGAAGTTATATTATAATTGACTTGTTTTGTGCTCTAATAATGCCGTTATCATTTACATAACACTCATTTAGAGGTAATTCTGGAACAGTAAAAGAACTACCTGTAGTACAAATTCCAAAAAAAAAAAAACACATCTGGCGTAAGAGCAACCCCAACACAGTGAGAATTAGAGTTCAGACAGAACATTATCTTGGCTAAATGAAAAATTAGGCAAAGATCTCTTAGCCTCATGTTAGCTGTTTGATGGAATGAAAAGCCTTACTATAAATATGGGCCATGACCTATACTTATACTGTGCTACATATCCTGGACGCGCGTATGAGTCAGTACTCCAGTATGAAGTATGCTAAGTTATTAACTCTATTATCTCCTAATATAGTAATTTTATAACGGAATTTCAGGAAAGGCTTCTAAAAAGGGTTAGTGTGTTATACCCCTTGGGAAATTGATACCCACATAGTGGGGCACATATCAAAAACAAAACCAGCGCGCATAGATTGTAATCCTTACCTCTTCGTAATAACTCAAGAATAATGGTATGGAAACAGACGCTATTAACCTATTATTCTTCCACATACTCTGGCGCATTCCACTCCCAGAAGTTCTGCGATAACTTCATAAAACATTCACCGGCTTGTACCATCTCAAAAACCTCAGCATCAAATACAGATCCTCAAGAATATGGAGGCATTGTACAGTACCCCAAGCCAGCGAGCTGACCAGCTAGTCATGCAGCGCCTTCGATACTTTCGGGGGTATGCAAAGATCGAACTTCGTCATCTTGCATTTGAGGACATGAGCGTGATGGGTTCCCGTGAGGTGGATATGAAGAATGTTGAGCGGCTTGTTGAAATCTTCAAAATAGAAGGATGTGGACATCTTGAACCAGAGCATAGGGTGGCAGTAATCATTGATGCACAAACTCTAGCTCAAGCTATGTCATATTCTATGGCTACCGATGAAATGCTTCTCAAAGAACTTGACCCCCCAAGTCTAAGATTTAACCGGGACGTCCAGCTACTATGTCCATATGGAAAACATCGCCTCTTAGCTGCAAAAGCTTATGGGGAAAAGTGCTGGTTAGTAGAACTATATCTCAAAGGTAAGCTGGCAAATATCTATATAAGTCCTCACTAACTAGAGTACAAGGAATACCGGCTGAAGTATTAACACAGATGCGGGAGGAGTCAACTAATTCACGAAATTTTAAGGACGGTGATATCTACAGGATTCTGCGACAGTATCAGCTTATTGATAATCCATCCCAAGCAAGAAAATGGTGGGCAAGATTCGACTCCAACGGCCGCCGGAAAGACATTAATAGATTGCTTAAAAATCGGATTGTGTGTGCTGGGTTTGATTTACTCCTTCCTTTTATCGGGCTCTGGGACCCTTTCCGAACATCCCAGCTTGAAAGAATCTTAGGCCTTCGATGTCCTGAGGTAAGAAATAATAGCTTTAAATAGACTGTGCCACTATCTACTTTTCTATCTAGCAGCAATTGATGCTCACTTATATCAGGCAATTGGCTGTTACCTGTCCCAAGTACACTATATATGGTCAGGTCTTTTTACCAATGACACAGCTTCTCGCGTCGATGGGCAGTCAGTGCGGCAGATTGAAGGCTTAATGCCAACTATCTCACTCCAAGACCAAAAGACCATCAGAAAACTTGTAGATTCGGGTGATTTGTTCCCACTCATAACAGACCAAGAAGAACGAAAGACTCTATGCAATCGCCTTCTTTGTGTTTCTGGAAGAATACTTTCACTTCAAACACTTGTTGATGACACATGTTATTTGGACTATCCTGCAAGGATCCTTCGGACGCTGCTGCCCACAGGCTTCAAAGGAAGCATCCAAACGGCATTCACATCATGTTATAGAATTCCGGACCAGAATCAGATTGAGATCCAAATCTCAGAACATGACTTCAAATCAGTGGTTGCTACAGAGCATGCACCAACTTTGGGGTTGATGCAGCTCTGGCTTTTTGTGTTGCGGCATTTTGTTCATCCAGCTACTGACACAAACTTTGATCAGTCAGGACCTCATCAAATAGTTGAGACCCGAAGTAAAAGTCGAATGGCCTTGTTAGCATCTAGACTTGGATTCACTACTGATCAAATTGTGGAGCTCGCAAGTAAAGATACTGATGCTGCCACATCTACACAGATACTGGAGCTTATCTGCCGAGAGGAATTTTATATACCTAGCGAAACGGATATACAAGAAATGACTTTCCAAATCAAGGACCTGCTCAGAATCCTTGGAAGGCAAAAGATACGACCAAGTAGGGCACCATTGCTTACAACGGATGATCCTGGTGAAGCTGGAAGGCGGAGACAAAATCGACCGTTGGCTGGAGAGCACTACAGAGACCGGCATTGGCTTTTTTTTGAACATGTCTTTAGCCTACAACAATCGACTGCCCAGTATCCGACATCATTTGCAGTCACCCAGGACATAATCTTCTGTTTCTTTGGGAGAGATATGGTCTCAAATCTTATAAACGAACAGGGCACAGACTTAGCCGAGGTACCTACAACAGTGCTATTCTCATCTGACATGCAGTATTTGCCAGATTCCAGTACTTCACCTGTTGAGCTTCTGCCACATCCACCAGGGACTCCAGACCATGATCTTATGCTAGGAGTTGAGCATGAAGCACCCCTAACTTTGGAAACCAACATAACAGGTGAAAATGAGGAGTCTTTAACTGCAGGCTTTGAAGCTTCTATAGCAGAGGCTGAGCAGCAGTCCCCCCTAGCTGCAGGCTTTGAGACTGTATCAGCCCCTTTAGACAGGTTGCATTATATCTCTCTGCACCGGAGTGTGAGATCTATTCTTCAATTATGGTATCAGTCAGCAAACACGAGTCTGATTGTTCTTTTCCTGTTCGAAACACGAGCATATTACAAGTTCCGACTGTCAGATAGTTATGCTTTACGTGGAACCCTGACTGATCTTTCCAGGGAGCACTATTTCCTCGTTATTGGGGATAGTGGCGAGTTGCAGAGTGCGGCAAATATCACTAACGAGGCCTTAAAATCACAACTTGTTTTTGTTGGTAAGAAGAATGGCCCAGCTCATCATGAGTTGTTCAATGAAGAAGATGCTCAAATCTCTGTCGATAACCTTCGAAGATATGCGTCTGCTTTCAATGTCAGGACAGGGAAGAGAAAACGCCAATCAAATAGATCCATTCGGTCCAATAGTTCTATATCAACTGTACTCTAATAACAAGTCTGTTTCAGTCTACATAGACTCTAATAGTCTACAAAGACTTCATATGTCTGGATGGACTATATTAATCTATAAAGATGCCTTAGTCTCTATAGACTATAACTATCTAGGCACATCATATTAATCTGGGGAGATTGTATTAATCTAGAGAGATTGCATTAATCTAGGGAGATTATATTAATCTGAAGAGATTTCATTAATCTGGGGAGATTACCTTAATCTAGGGAGATTACCTTAATCTGGGGAGATTGTATTAATCTGAGAAGACTATATTAATCTAGAAAGATTACATTAATATGGAAAGATTTTATTAATCTGGGGAGATTACGTTAATCTGGAGAGATTGCATTAATCTGGGGAGATTGCATTAATCTGGAGAGATTGCATTAATCTGGGGAGATTGCATTAATCTGGGGAGATTGCATTAATCTGGGGAGATTGCCTTAATCTAGGGAGATTGCCTTAATCTAGGGAGATTGCATTAATCTGGGGAGATTGCATTAATCTGGAGAGATTGCATTAATCTGGAGAGATTGCATTAATCTAGGAAGATTGCATTAATCTAGGAAGATTGCATTAATCTGGGGAGATTGCATTAATCTGGGGAGATTGCATTCATCTGGAGAGATTGCATTAATCTAGGAAGATTGCATTAATCTGGAGAGATCATATTAGTCTATTTAGATTATAATGATCTAAAGAGACTATAATTGTCGAGAACAGTCATCCTATCCCTCAGGTCTGTATGTGCGGCAATCTTATCAAGCATGTCCTTGCATGGCTGCGTGTATCGGGGACACCGCAGCAGAGATATGGATTGGGGTCTGCGAGCCTTCTCCGCAGCCGCACCTGTCGTTCTTCTTAATCTTAATCTTATAGAGGAAGTGTGCGAATTCAATCCTCTGCGTACATAGCTGCATAATCATAGCTGAGAAGCCTTTGATAGGCTTTTATACAGATCCAGCGTTCTCCCTGTAGGGGCTTCATTAGGCACTTCGTGGGTGCCGCTGCATGTTCCGTCCTCTTGACCACATAGGCCAACCGGATTATTTGTTGGGCCGGTCCGGCTTGGCATGTGACCCCCTCCTCCGCGGCCCGCTTCGCCTCAGAGTCTATAGCCTCGTTTCCTTGTATCCATGCGCGTGGGGATCCAATGGAGTATCACGGGGGCCTGCAGGGTCTTGAATCTTGCATACAGGGCCTGCAGGAGATATTGATTTGAGGGATGACCAGGAGTCCCGACTGTGAAGCCGGTCAAAAAAGTAAATTAACTGATATTGGTGCTAAATACGAGAACAACTAAGCTAAGGAGGGAAAAGAGGAAAGAAGAAACGAGCGTGCAGTCTCTCGCTAGAAAATTTAATAAGCAGATAAACAGGCCAAACCAAGCCATATGTCTGATTCACTTGCTGTACGCTCTGACGGCCGCGCGCCGCTCTCATCTGGTCGAGCATGCCGTCACACTGGAGCCGGGCAACGCTGGGAATGAGAAGCGTGGCTGTAAAGGATTGTAGCCACCAGGATGGTGAGGAAGAAGTAGCTGAGATCACGTAGCCAATATATTATGGCAACCACCGACAGTATTGACACAAGCTATGTATATGGAAGCTACCAGCCCTAGTGTGATGGCAGCTCGCTCGGTTTAGCTGCAGCGATCCCTAGTTAGTTAGTTAACTATCTCAGCAGTCTATTAGTAACTAAGTGCCATCCTTATTCCGGCTTCGGCCCTACTATTGATCCGGCCCCTGCAGAGCCAGGAATGCCTACCTACTTCATGTTCTTTTGCATAGTTAGTTGAACCAGATTAGTCAGTCTGACTATATTGCCACAAATCGACTCCTTGCATTATGCAATCCCGTAGTCTATGGAGAGGTCGGGTTATCCGCTTCATCTGATCGTTCTTACTTCGCACGGAGTACGGTATCCAAAATTTTTCGGTATACCTACCTAATTGATCTACGTCTGTGGCTATGCAATGCAGCTAAGGAAGGCAGTGTTATAGGCAGCACAATTGCATCCAATACCCAATCCCCCCTAAGATGAATGTGGAGAATTAAGTTTGTTAGCTACATTGGTACACATGCTCGCACAATGTCGGGTGAACGTGCTCACCCCATCTATTCTGTACTCACCTAGCTCACCCATGGTCGCGCGATGGTAAAGCAGCCTCACCCACTAGCTCACCCGAACAGCACCCACCCGCCTTCTGGCCGCGTTCAAGCCACACGCCGGGAGGTTAGTAGTTGGGTGGGTGACCACCAGCGAATCCCTTCTGTTGTATGTTTTTATGCCTTTTTTTCGTCTTCTATGATGATGATTTATTTGATCAATCTTATCAGCCAGTGTGTACTCTGTTTCTCATAATTGCTACAGGGTTCATGCGACATCCTCTCAGCCCTACTAAATCCATCCACCATTCAACCGTCAATGCATACCAACCCAGCACCCCCCTTTAGCGCACGGGATGGCGCCCGCCTCTTCAGCTGGTGTCCTGCGAGGATACAGAAATTGGTGCAACAGCGTCAGACCGGTGCTGGAAAATTAGCTCCGCCAGGTTTAGAGATTCTCTGGCACTGAATAAATCAGATATTAACTAATTCTATCTATACGTGATAGATCATACTTGTAAATATCCGAAAAAAAAAAAAAAAACTCCCAACGATCTATAACACTTTCAGTACCCAGAATTCTCTTCAAAAATCTCAAAGTTTCAAAGATCAGAATAGGTCATCTAATTTCAGAATAGCTTATCCGGTATTAGCTATAGTGTTCCGACCCTGAATAACTTTTCACGTGATAGAGCTTATTCAGTATCAGGAATCCTCTAAATCAATCACACTAAATTCTGACACCGTTGAAGCTAGGACGCTGTGTCCAGCCAGGGTCTGACGGTCATCCAAATGATGATCCAGCCCATCCCAGGACAACATGGCATGCCTCGCACTTGCTACTACTCAAAAGCGGCAGAAAGCCTTCACCAAACGATCTCGCACCGGCTGTCGGACCTGTCGGTAGGTGCCTCACCCTCATCCTCATCCCCATCCCCATCCTCCCATCCTGCACAGATCATCAACAAGGCGATCGGGCTGACGCGACCGTCTTATCTCCCACTCCTCCTAGACATCGCCGGGTCAAATGCGACGAGACCCCGGGACAATGTACCAACTGTACCTCCACCAAGCGCCAGTGCGAGGGCTATGACACAGTCCACGTGCAGTGGAGCCCTAATGATCGTTCAGGGTCGTTCCGGCTGCCCCAGCTGACGACGGGGGTCTCCTCCTTAACATCGGCCGAGCGACAAGGCATCCTCTACTTTCAACACTCCACTATCCCGACTCTCATCGGCTTCTATGATTCCCCCTTGTGGGAGAGACTGAGCCTCCAGATCTGCCAGGAAGAGCCGGCAGTCTGTCATGCCTCCATTGCCCTGAGCGCCGTTCATCGCGGGTTTCCCCTGGCAGGCTCCCTGCAAGAGGAGTGGTATCGCTTCGCGTTCGAGCAGTTGGACCGATCGTTTCGATTGTTGATCAACCGACGGGCCTCCCAGGATCCCCAGTTTACCAATGTCGTGCTCCTGTGCTGCCTGATGTTTGTGGCGCTCGAGTTCATGGTGGGAGAGTATGAGAATGCCTTCCGGCATCTGCGGGGTGGTCTGCACATCTTGAAACAGAGGAAAGGTCATGCCTGTACGGATTCGATGGCCTCCTTTGACCAGTGTCTGATGCATGTCTTTTCGTCTCTGGATATCCAGAGCACCTACTTCGGGATCGGAAACCGCGTGTTATGTGAAGAGATCGATGATTCGGGTTCCCGTCCCAACGTGGAAGATCCCCAATCGTGGCACTTCAAGTCAATTTATGAGGCGCGCCAGGTATTGGAGCCGATCACTGGGGATGTCATCCAGTACTGTGGACTCCGGGTCACAGCAGGGTGTGGAGAATCTCTCGTCTCCCGGCAACTCGAGATTTTCGCTCGCTTGAACCGGTTTCTTGAATCTCTGGCACAACTTCGCTACGAATACGCTGGCCATCTCACTCCAAAAGAAAAGAGGGGAGTCACATTGCTGGAACTTGAGGCCGTGGGGGCGAGGACGTCGCTCCAGATCATTCCGTACACCAGTGGCGACCCTGCCTTGGCCCAGTATACTGACGAATTCGAGTGTTTGTTGTCCCTCTCGGAAGCCGTTCTACGTGAGAACACGGATATCCCACGAGTCAGTATGGATATTGGGGTGATTCCACCCTTGTATCTGGTGGCCAAGCGAAGCGTGGATTACGGCATGCGGTGGCGGGCAATTCGACTGCTTCAGTCTTGTCCACACCAGGAAGGACCCTGGGATGCGGCTCTGCTCGCTCAGGTTGCAATCGAGACAATCAATATTGAAGCTATGGTGGCTGCAGGGGGAGAAGGCCTGGTTGTAGGTCGGATACGTCAGAAACCCCCTGCTTTTGGAGGTTTTGTAATGCTTTCGGATGACCGGCGTCACGTCCGGATCCCATTTCTGGTCGGGAAGGTTGAGAAGCACTGGTGTTTTGACCTGGATGATGAACTCTCGGGGATGTTAGATGAGCCTGTGCTAGGGGATAGTGCTGCTCGTTGGCACCGCGTGATCCCGAGCCATCTTCGGTTTCTTCAGTAGGCGAGGTTCTAACCAGAATGAGATGTTTGCTGTTCCCGATATTCATGGCAGAGCTAGAGATGAATTGGTCCAGCTTGGTTTAAGTATACCTATCGTAAACGCGGTATCTCAATATACAGTGGCTATCGAGTAAGAGCATATTGGAGCCTCCTGTCGAGGGAGCACTGTCTATGACATCAGTTACAGGCTTGGGGACTAGATTGCACTATTGATATCCATGTCATCTTTATTCAGTACGCCGGTGTCCAATGCGGCTGAAGGTAGTGCTCACTCCCATTAGTCAAACACCACGTCTGTACATGGCCTTAGACCTGGCAAAGCTCATAATGGCTACACTTAGTGTCTACTGGTGCCTGGATACTAAGAAGGAACCGTCAAATTCATTGGATGAAGCAAGTATTCATCAGCTATCTACAGACTTATGACGTCGCCAACTCGGCCTCAACCACCCCCAAGCCATCACCGGCGCGCGTCCAGAACTTATTCACGCGCAATCCGACCGAGTCCAACAGCTTGGTCCACTGCTGGGTCGTGCGCTCCAATCCCGAGCAGAACACCATCACCGCCACGTCCGTCATGCCGTGGATCGCTGATGCGTTCCGGTCAGGCACGATGTATTCCTCCATGATCAGCTTGGAATAGCCCGGTTCCATCGCATCCACGATGTGCTTGAGAATGATACGGGCTTTGTCGTCGGACCAGTCGTGCATGACATTCTTGAAGTAGTATACGCGGGCACCTAGGACGCGTTCTCGTCAGTCGCCATACCCTCAACCTTCCGATGCCTCCTAGTCCAAATTGACTCACCTTTGACAGGCTGCTGCTCTGTAAAGAAGTTGTATTTGACGGGGACAATGTTGGCTGCATCCAGATCCTGTGCCCCTTGCACCTCGTCAATCACCAATGGAAGATCCTCCAAGACCAGTTTCCCGGGTGCATCGGGGAATCGCTTCTTGAATCCCAAGAGATCATGGCCACGACCACCTCCAATGTCCACTATCAATGCTCGATCTGGGTTGGTGGTGTCGGCGTTGGCCAGCACTCGGTCCTGAACGGGGAACCAGTCCGCCCAGTGCGGGCGATCGGCACGCTGGCCTTCCATGAAGTTGTTGAACCGAGCCAGGGCGTCGGGATTCTCGCAGAGCCAGGAGAACCCGTCCTCCTTCATGTTGTTTGTGTATTGTAGGGGCGCAAATAACGGGTCTTCGGGGTTGCGGTAGTTGGTGGCTTGGAGGTATTCGGGGGTTTTCTGGACAGAGGGGAGGAATTCGAGGAACCTAATCAGACAATTACTGTGTTAGCTGTGTATATGGGTGGTTTTGTTCCCATAGAGTAACTCACAGGGATTCTACCACCCCGATTGAGGTGCGGTTGACCATTTCTTTGGTCACTGCGGTCGGCAGATACTCGCAGGGCGTGGGCTCTTCCGCGAAGCCAAATGCAACGCAGAGGCGCATCATGCGTTCTGGTTGGCTTGGGTCAGCCTACATCAGAATTCCAGGGTTAGAAAAATCATGGAAGACACGTACCAACCAGGAGAGGATCTGCAGGCTTCAAGGCGGCAAGCTCGCTGACGGGGACTGGAGACGTCGCTTTCGCCAGCACAGGGAACACTTGCATGTCGTGGGCTACCTTGACAGCCATCAAGGCCGTTGGCTAGCGAAGCGGTCAGCTGAAAGCGACCATTGTCAACACTCGAGGACTTACCGTATATGCCAGCTTCAGAATTGCGTCGCGGGGTTTCTCCAGCGCTCGCGCCAGTTTGTTTGCTTTCTCGAGGGCATCAATGCGGGTGGATTCTGTTCCTGTAGTTTGAAAAGCCTCCAGTGAGGACTGGACCTCTGTCCAGATTTCCTGGATTGAGTCTGCATTCATGATGGTTGAGATGATACTCTTTGTTCTAAGGGGGCTCATGAGCAAAGGCAGGCCCCACGACTTCAGAATAGATCGCTCTTATAGCTCCGGCTTGCCTACGTGGGGTGCGCATGTCCACATCTGTCAGGCTTCCCTGGGAACCCCCATAGTCCGGCTCCAGAAAGATGTCCAACTGGCAGGTGGGTGGCATCCTATAGAGTTTCCACCCCGACGACTTTTGGCCCCCACGGCTATAATGACAGTCAGCTAAGCGTTCCCTGCCCAATGGCCGGTATCTCCTATTCCACTGATCATTCTATTGTGTGACTAATTACCATTATTATAAATAAACCGCGGTGGATTAGACATAGCCGCATCAGCCAGATTGCTCTTCTGCCTGGATCGGGGCACAGCTCCGGGGCTGGTCTTCCCCTGTTGCTGCCCTAATTCGGCTCCACCCCCCGGGATTCCGCTCAGTAGCATGGTAACTCTTGGCCAGAAGGCTGAAGGTTCATCGACACTGCATGGCAATTCTTTTACCGGATAGTCTGCAGTAGCTTCTGTCTCATTGTTCCTTCGAAGTTAAAACACGACGTTGGCACCGCGCGGCTTAAAACTTATCCATGAGCCGGCCGGAAGCTGCCCGAGATCAAGGAGATCTCGGTGGAGAACTGCCAACGAAGAACGAAGGTAAGAGGCCAAACCTAGCGTCAAGAGACGGAATCCAACCGTCCTGCCACAGTGCATGTGCGATCTTCGATCAGGCAGGGTCCAAGTCCCCAAGCATCTCTCGGTGTCTTCCATCGACATGGCTCCCGTTCATGAACCATCATACACCGGCCAGCTCCATGCACAGGCCATGCCGGGAAGAGATACTTCCGCCCTCGTGGATCCAGTTTCCCATTCAGTCTCAGAGGTCCGAGATGCTCGGCCGCTGGGCGGATCCCCTTCCCGCACGGCACGGCGATTGATGGCGCCAAGTGTGGATTCTCCCATGTGCATTCCGATTCGTAATCTGGTCGTCGATCACAGATAGTGGTTCCTCGTCTGGACTTGTGTGGGGTGGAGGTTACCTCACCATTGGTTCAGAATTCAAACTATGCGCCGTCACGGCTCAGACGACAGGAGTTTATGCTTAAGACGGCCCGAGGGGGGCACAAGATGGAGCCGCCACTCCGTTACGACTCCCTAGACGTGGGTGGTGCTATTGGATCCACTGTCTGCTCTAACTTTCGCCCCGTGAGGGAGGCTATGGGACACCTGCCACTTGGCAGGTTCTGAGGATCCGTTTACGAAGATGCGACATTTATTGTCGACCTCGATTTTAATACTCCGTGATGCTGGTCCAAGTGGCTGTTTATCCTTTCATGTCCGGGATATACCCCATCCATCACCTACATAAAGAATCCAAAGCCCTCCGTCATGGCTGTCTATGACTGGCAGCTATTATAGTTGTGTTTATTAATAATCTGCCACTATTTGATAGCTAATTCTTGGGTCCTGAAACTGGCAGACTCGTATTCTTCTTTCCACGGAGAGGATCTGCAGTGCTCCCAAACGGGTCAATCCACGACAATCAGCTGCAGTCAGTGCATTTTCACATGAAGAAGCAGTCTACTGTTAATCCTTTGGTCCATCCGTAATTTGCTCTCCACTCCAGCCTCACTGGTCTAGTCGAAGGAATTATGGGGATGAAGTACTAATTCCTCCCAGGGCAACCGATAGTCTGCATTGCCGCATTGCAGGATGACATATGAAGGCCGATACTCAATTTGTATAATCCTCCCCTCCAGTACTATCCCCTTTTCAAGTCGCGTGGCAAGTGTCTCAATCATGTCGTCGCTTTATGATATGCCCTTATCCTCCTGACGCAGCTACCTCACGTTGCCGATTTCCGCCAACGCACGCAAGCTTTTCTCGTGTGGCGCCTATAGAATATGGGTTATAATCTCACTGCAGAGATGTTTAGCGAGTGGGCTATTGGACTTGTTGTTGTGGCAGTTCGTCTCTATGCCCGCTTTTCTGTGGATCGAGGAATTTTCCGCTGGGATGATCTGTGCCTTGTGCTTGGGACGGTTAGCTCACAACCAGTGATGTCTTGGTTGTGGAAGCCAAGCTAATACATGTGTCTTAGATATTTTGGACCTTGCTGGTTGTATTTCTGTACCTATGTACCGGTAGGTAGCTCAATGTTTTTCGATCGCATTCGATCGAGCTGATCCTCACACGGTGATTAGCTGTCTACGGAAGCAATATAGGTCTCAACGACACGACGGCAGCTGAGGTATCAGACGATTATGTGCCTGCTTTGCGACAAGGCTCTATCTATGCTTTTCTTGCTTGGCTGGCATATATCCTTATGGTGTGGTCTTTCAAGGGAGTTCTTGTGGTTCTCTACAACAGACTCACGTACGTCTGTATATTCCACCCCATCCTCGCAGTTAGTTGACAGTGGATAGCGTGGGCCTCAAGCAGAATCGGCTAGCCCTAGCAGTGGGTGTCTTGTCATTGTGCACCTTTATCACGTCGCTCCTTTTTGACCTCCTCAATTGTCGGCCAATCCAGAAGAATTGGCAGATCAAGCCATATGCAGGAAGTGAGCTAACACTCCCTCCACAGCGCTCTCCATGCTAAAGGTTTCCAGATAATTGCACGGTCCGGCCATTGAACTACATTGTGATTGAAGTCTTGAGCATCCTGTAAGCTCTGCGTCTCCCAACGATCACCCCTACTCATCCATCGCTTCAGGACCGATCTCTGCATCATGTGCGTACCTATTCCTCTGATCATCATTGCCAAAATCCCGACCTCGCAAAAATGGATTCTCTCCGGTCTGTTTTCCTCCGGAATCTTCGTCATGGTCGCTGCAGCCCTCCGTGCGTACTACTCCGTCAAAGAGCTCAAGACCCTTTCCACAGCCCTCGGTTGGGCATCGCGACAAGCCTTTGTCTCGGCCATCATCGTGTGTGCACCAGGGATCAAGCCATTACTTTCGCGCTTCTCCTGGTTTGCGTCTTATAGTTCATCCCGCGGGTACGACAAGAAGGACCGGACTCGCACCACCACCTTCTTCAACTCCAAGAGCGGCGGCCGGGACGTTACCGTCGTTAGTACTTGCGAGCCTCAGCCGTATGAGCTCTCTTCGCTTGGCTGGAAAAGAAACAGACACATGTCGTCGGGGGAGAGCCAGGAGCATATCATGGATTTTCCCCTGCCAACGCAGCAGGGCAACGGTCCGGATCTTGAAAGAAATACGGGCATCATGATCACGACGCATGTCACTTTGGCGCACGAAGATGTTGCTCCTGACGATCTGCACACTGTGCCAACCACCCCACCATTCCATCATTGAAATGCTCACCTCGATTGTGAATCCACATCTATGACATCGATCACAGAGGCTTTTTCTTCTGTAGCTCAATGGCTATATCAGCCCGTCCCAACACTCTTTTGTATCTGACGAAATTCCCTATATAACATTACTTATGAGTACGCCAATTAATGTTTAATACCCAGGTTTGAACAATAACTACTTTTGACGATCTCGGGGCTGAATTTGGGGTAATACATATCAAACGCGCATTACATCAACAGCTCTATCATGAACCCTCAGCATCAAGCTCACTCAATTTCCCATACTACAATTACCAATACAAAAGACCCACAAGCGAACACAGGCCCATGGCATTGCCACTGGTATCAACAAGTATCCGAACAAAACTGACGCAAGACTCCAACTTTGGCAACAATCAACACAGTAGCCCATCTCGAAAACACTCTTACCTCTTCCCCGTGTCAGACTGCTGGCCGCTCTGCTGAGAGCCCGATGACGTGCCATACGAGGATCCAACATTCGATGTCGCAGTGTTTTCGTGCCGGTCAGCGGCCGATTGAGCCCGAGCAGCGAAGCCGCCAGAGGACATATCCTTTCCTCCTTGGGCCTTGAATGTTGTCAGCGTGCGGTGTTGTGCTTGTAAAAGAAAATGCCTGCCTGGCTTGATTGAATGCGGGAAGCATCCGACTGGCTCATTTGGTGAGTGGGCATATTGATGAGTTTAGTGGTCACTGGAATCGGTGTTGGGATAAATTGGCGAGGCTTGTTTGTTGGGATTGAGGGCGTCTTCATCCAGTATTTGTATTCCATACATGTCTCCACATGTCTGCATTGCTTGGGTTGATCTGATCTCATCATTGCAAATACCTGGTTATGGATGAATTTCTCCGGTGGTTCGGCGATTCTTGCCGTCCCACTATTTGTGTCACAGTGAGTTGGTCTGGAGCCATCTAGCTACATAGAGTTCAGTGTGACCCTAGGTTGCCTTATCTGGGGTATGAGCTGCCTGGGTTGACTGAGACAATGCACCTATAAACAACTGGACCCTCGTCCCCGATGGCAATGACCCTTATGCTAAAATCCATTATCTGCTGCTATAGCTGGGCTATGTGCAGGTGTATAAATTATTATTGTCAAATTGAGACCGCTTCCCCATTCACCGACTTGTATATCATTGATCTTTGTGTCTACTCTCGTCTCGTTTAATCCTCTCACACCATCGTTCCCCCTCTGTACATGAGCCCAGGTGATTCAAAGGAAGTCCGAGGGTACTTGGTTTCACTTTCGGATCTCATTCCCGATTTTCTCTAATGCAAATGTCTCCTTGAATCAGTACGCTGTACCGTGGGTCACGCTATCAGCTTTCTCTCCTCCCCGTCGTGGGAGCTGGGGACCGTACCTGGATACCTTGCTAACAGCCTCTAATGCCGCTACAGATGGCGCTTAGGGATTTGTCCTCTGGGAATTCTTCGTCCATTACTGACCTCTTTACTAGGACTACTGCTGCGACGTGACGGGTTCGGAGATTAGCACTATATATAGTCTATTGCAACCCGTGTAGTACTCATACCCTGACCGAGGCTGCCCACTCCAACAGTCAAGTCCCACGTCTACGGAGATATTCACATCATCCATTGCCATGGTATCGTCGTCTCCAATGGCAGGATTGATCTGTCCTTCTTTTTCCTCCCCGATCGTTACACACGGATTCCCCGGTAGTGGCGGCAGGCCAAGACCTAGGTATGGCGCTATCAGCAGCAGCCCTAGAAGAAGCAACAGCACCAGGGGCAGATCTAGCCTAGCATCCCATTCTTTGATGACATCTGTGCGCGGGCTCTGTACAAACGCTACGGTTGAGATCAATGTTAGTATGGCGCCACCGCTAATCTTGGTTGCAGCTCTCGTTATGGTTACACAGTCGGTATAATCTGAAATCGTATGTTCTTCCTCTTCAATTTGAGGTGCCCGTCATGATGAAAGCCGACATGTCCAAACCCACGTGATACATCTACTATCGTACTTGTAACTATGAATCTTAGTCTTGTTTGTGGCCACCGGCGGCGCGAAACGCTACTTACTGGAGAAACCCCTCAGTAAACCACCTCCAGACAGAAGATTCCAGGCCTGTACCACGGCATCTTCCTTCATAGGATATCAATTGCTCAATCATGACGAAACGACCGAAAGCGACCGAAGGAAAGTGGCTATACCGTGATGGAATGGTCTGGAACTGACGATATGGCATGACTGGTTCACCCCGCAGCCATGGGACCGCCACCAGTATGACAGCTCTCAGTAATTCCTGTCAATTCACTCCATGGATTGGTCTTCCAGCTCCCGCCGAAGCCTGCCATACGAAGGGCTGTACCACCGGGTGGCAAATGGCATGTCACGTGACCGCGATCGAAGCCGCGAGAAGCGTCGCGAGATGCCTGGGGCCTTCGCGCAGCGTCGGGATCCCCCGCGAACCCTAATCCCCGCAGCTTCCAGCGCCCTCCAGCAGTTACACCACCAGCCCAGCACCTTCCTCATCCCAGCTAACCATGGTGTCCAACAGGTATAAAGAGACCCTCGAGGTCCTGCTCAGTTCATCCTCATCAACAAAGAAATCAAGCTTCTACAACACCCACAAACACACAATCGCAAACCAACCGCGCTTTCATCATAAGCTTCTATCTCTTGAATCCTCATCCAACCATTACCACCACCAAAATGTCTCTCTTCAGAACTTTCCCCGCTACCGGTGACTTCACCCCTCTCTTCCGCCTGCTGGACGACTACGATCTCCACCGTTCCAGCCAGGGCGCTCCTGCTTCTGCGCGCACCTTTGCGCCTCGCTTCGATGTCCGCGAAACCTCCGATGGCTACCACCTTGATGGCGAGCTGCCCGGCATCGCCCAGAAGGACGTCGACATTGAGTTCTCCGACCCCCAGACTCTCGTGATCAAGGGTCGCATCGAGCGCGAATACCACTCCGACAACAACGACGAGGCTAAGCCCTCCACTCCCGTTGCGGAGAACAACAAGGAGGGCGAGAGCAGCGCCGTCACTCAGCCCGGTGACAAGCAGGTCTCCAAGAACAAGCCCAAGACCAAGCACCACTACTGGCACAGCGAGCGCTCCATTGGCGAGTTTCACCGCACCTTCTCCTTCCCTACTCGCGTCAACCAGGACAATGTGAAGGCTTCCCTAAAGAATGGAGTCTTGTCCCTCTTCGTCCCTAAGGCCGCTGCTCCTGTCGCCAAGAAGATTACCATCGAGTAATGGTAACCGATGCGATTAACGATTTATGATGGATTGCTACCTAGCGAAAGGCTTTTTGTTGCTTCGTTCCTTTGCTTTGACCAGAATGTCTGGGGATAGTTGTGCTCAAGTTGTTGCTGGCTTGTCGCTCCTTCTGCTGTACTCTAATACTCGCTAATGAATTTACCTCGTTTCTTTATTCTGCGATTGCCAAAACTCAGTAGCAAGATCAAGTAGCCAATTTGTAGTCAGACATTCACCGAATTAGCCCGGCTAGCTCAATCGGTAGAGCGTGAGACTCTTAATCTCAAGGCTGCGGGTTCGAGCCCCGCGTTGGGCTTATCTTTTTGCATTTTTTCGATTGCAAAATACTTATTTACCTACTTCTGCGTGATCAATAGTTTTTTTCTCTTTCTTAACCTTACTTCATCCTAATGGGACCGTGAATTTATCGATAATGGATATCTGTTAATTAGTAAAGGGGCTGTAGGGCTCCATCTTCTTCCCTATTCGACGTACGACAAAGAATACTACCCAAGCTTAATGCAATCGTAGGGGCTGGAAGCATCAATTGCCAAGCTCTCATCTACCTCGCAGCTTTTAGATTGCAATGTAAAGTACCGAATAATTGCCTTGTCAATTGTATATCTTGCTGAGGCCGACATTCCACTCTGCCGTTATTTACTCATTTACTGCCAACGGCGGGGATGTTTCGACCCTTGAATTGAGTTGACCATTACTTCCACTGATATTCTAGCCTGTGTGGATTGGGGGTCTTGTATACAGCTGATCGATATATTTCCTTTGGTAATCTCATAAATAGAGAGGCAATGGTTCCAAAAAAAAAAAAAAAAAAAAAAAAAAAAAGGAAAGCTTCCACAGAGTGGCCAACATCTGGTGCACGACTATATAAATCCACCAACCGACATCCACGGCATAATCCAACTACAACGCCTCCAACACAAAAAGACAATTATGTATCAAATCATTCTCCACTATCCATTAAACCCCCATGAAAAGCCTACATAAGCTTAATTAACACCCCACACAAGTCTTCCCGTGATGATAATCTCATATCCCATCTTCCGAGAACCCCGCAGACAGAGACAAAATTTAGTACCTCATGTAGCCAAAATATGCCCAAGATGACATCTCCATTCCTCGATGGTCTAACGGTCATGATTTCCGCTTGTCAATCCTTAACAGGAACAAGCGCGGGAGACCTGGGTTCGACTCCCAGTCGGGGAGACTTCCTTTTTATTTTTCCGCCCCTGCTGCCCCTTTTCTTATCTTTCGTGTTCCGGTTTGGCCCGGTCGCATTTACTTTTTCTCACTTGTTGGTGAAGTTGAAGTTTGGGTTACTTGTTGTTTTGTAAGTTGTCTTGTCTTTAGGTACGATGTATTACTCTTTTAATAATCCAATGAGGACTGAACTGATTCCCAACAGCGACAGAACACAGACACGCACAGACACTCCGGCCCTACCCGACCCTACCCACAGGCCATCAGCATACCAGGGTATCCTCTCACAACAACACCCACCTCATCAAGCACAACCCCCCTTCGGAGCCGACAATAATCTCCTATGAATGAAACCATACCCTGCAGCTGCCGTGAGCGCGGCAACCTACCACAAGCATTAGTAAAGCTCGTCAGATGCGATGATTGACTTACCCAACGAATCCCAATCCCCATCCCATGAACCCGGATCGAATAAGACGCAGGATAAACACCCAAACACACAGCGGGATTCAAGCCTAGTACTAACCATCAGCATCATTCTCCAGGTATCTGTTACCATGACATGCCCGCCCCAGTATAACCCTGGTATATGAGTCTCGATCCCCAGAATACAGCCTCCGTGGTAATGCCCACTACCCATGGCGACAAAGAACCCCGAAACATCCGCCCTGGTTTCTGATCATTCGCGAAACGTGTGATGAGTGTTATCAGAGCAAAACACGAGAATGTCTCAACCATATATGTATCACGTGTAGATACTTTCTCTGTATTGAAAAAACACTCCCTCACAATAACCCCCCTACCACCGTAGGCCCTTTCCGTGGCCCAACCTGCCAGAACACCACCGACTGTCTGTCCGGTAAGGTATAGAATAGCCCGAGAGAGTGATATACCTCGGGTGAAGTACGCAGATAGAGTGATGATTGGAGTGACATGGCCGCCGGTCGAGCGCGCGAATGTAGTGATGATGAGTGGGAGGAGGAGAATGTTTATGATAGTAACGGGGAGGAAGCGGATGGTGTTGAGGTTGTTGAGAGAGTCGGCGGTATTGTTGTCTTTGTCTGAGGGGCATGGGGTGATGGTTACCCAATTTAACATGAATGTGTACATCATGCTTGCTGGGTTTGGTTAGTTTTTGATGATGCTGCAGGTATGTAATACTGGAGATGGGTTGGGGATGGGTTGGGGATAGGTCTTACCGAGACATTCTGACATCGCGCATTTCCATAGGTGTATGCTTGTCCATCGCTCTGGATGAAGTAGTCTGGGATCTGGTTGGGAGTTTGGTATCTGTGGAATTGGGATTGGGGCTTTGTGGTTTGGATTCATGGTGGTTGGTTTTTGTATGGGTGACTGCTGGTGTGATGCTGTACACATGTCTTTCGGAGCATATATTGTCTGTCGCACTTGCCATCGTTAATAGTTACCAGATAATTACTAGATGAAGGAAGAATAATTTGCATTGAGAGTCTCAAGTATGAACTTGAGGTATGGGATTCCGGTAGCCGGCGATTGCCGGTCGGGTGGAAGTGGATCGGATCGCCGATACTGACAGAGAAAGATGTCGGGAAGCTGGGGTTATCGATTCATCACGAATCGGAATGACAGAGAAACTTACTTTCTGCCTCTGGTAGCTGGTTTCGTCTGAGTGCCGATCAGTTCATATGATTGGGTGCTCGGCAATAGCTTGTATGTGTGGAGATCATGTCTAGTGTTTGATTGAATGCTGCGCGCTTTTGGTTTGATCGCCCTGGGGCATGGTGATAAGTGTGGATGGTGTGTTGGATGACGGGTTAAGAACTGCAAGGATAATCTCTACAAATTGTATAACTCTTTGCTATAGAATACAAAATCGCTAGCTGTATGTTGAATTACAGAATCTCTTCGAGCGAGCAAATGATAAATTGAAGCCAATAACCGAAATAAATAATACAGAGTGATATCACATGAACAAGCCACAGAAAATCCACGATCAGGAGCAAACATGTTATCCAAACATATTGCGTATCCTATCGGCAAATGTCAAAGAAGTGAAAGTAAAACTAACTATAAACAGAACCAATCGCCAATCCAAGTATCCCAGCTAATACTAGTCGCCATAAGGTCATGTCAACGCTTATGTGATATACCTTTGTAGTCAAAGTTAAATATATAACTGCAGAGAATGAACCAGGCTAGCTTAAGTGCACTTGGTGGCAGCCGTCGTCCAACCAGTGAGACGGTTGGCAATGTCGGAGGCGTAGCAGGAGGTGGCAGCACCGATGGTCGAGACCAGGTCGTCGGTGCTCTCGAGCGAGTAGGCACCAGAGTTGTACAGTCTGGCGGCACGGTAGAAGCCGGCGACGGTGGTCCGGTCGGCCATGTTGATGAGGGATGCAAGTCCGTATCCACCGGAGTAGGCGGTTCCGATAGCTGGATGGGCTGTTAGCAAGGTAGCAAGAGATGTAGGATGAGGGGATACGTACATCCGTCACGGATCATCTGGACAATCTCGGCGTCGGAGCAGGTGCTCTTCTCCCAGCAGGTGCCGGTGCCCTCGTAGCTCTGCATGAGACCCGGGTTGCTCACGGAGTTGGCGGTGGTCTTGACACGGACACAGCCCTTGGATTCCTGCAGAACCACGGCCAGGATGAAACGGTGGTCGACCTTGGACTCCTCAGCCACCTGCTGGATGGCGGCTTTGAGGTTGGCGGTCTCGGTCTCGGAGTTGTCCGCGCCCCAGCCGTTGTTGCTGCAGGACTTGGCGATGATTTCCTTGTTGGCGGCCCACCTGAGAACTGGTTAGTATATGGACGTTGATAATGAGGGCATCGACATACATCTCGTCGAAGGAGAGCCAGTCGGACTTGGCGGGCCATCCGGCAGCAACCGAGCCGTCTCCGGTGTACAAAGTGTAAGAGTTCGAGGCGCTGCTCTTGCCATCCTCGTTGTTGATGGTGCTCACGGCCAAGGCGCTGACAGTCACCACGGCGCTGGTAGAACGGGAGGCCAAAGACTCTCCTCTCTCGGTGACCTCCAGGGTCCGAGTTCCCAGCGGGGCAGCGGCCACGATGCCGGCAAGGGAGCCGATGGCAAGGGTCTAGAAGAAGGTTATTAGGGTATTGCAGAGGATATGCGATATGCACTGTGGGTACTCACGTTGATGAACTGAGTGAAACGCATCTTGGAAAAATGTAATGTAATTGGTTGGAATGAACAAATGTCAATGAATGTGCTCTGCAAAGAGTGTATGAGTATGTGCGTGTGGGTTAAGGAATGTGGTGAAGCTAGTCAATAGCCTCGAAAAGAACTGGTTAAAAAAGGAAGGACTGTCGAAATCGACTGGAATCTGTGAGCTTGCTCTGCTTGGAGAATTCATTTTGGAGCAGCGGACTCGTGCCCTTTATACTGGCTTGCCGGATTGAATCCTCCACCTAGGTAGGTCTAGGAAAAACCCGTGAAGGATGGCCACCGGCCCCATTGCGCAGTCGGCCCTCAGACATTCATTGTTGGTTGGATGCAGCTTGGGAACGGTGGGCTCCGTGACAGGGGGGGTTTGAACGAATCATCGATGGTAGACGGTCATCACCAACGGCCCGCACACTTGGCTACAAGCTGTGGGCTGACTTGGGATTCTCCGAGGTGAGGGCTGCAGCAGTCAGGACGCTCCTGAGAGGTCCATTCGACCGGGCGAGATGCAGGAACCTAAGATCGTGCGGCACTGGGCCGATCACACAAGGCCCCAGGGGCCTTTTCCCAGACCAGTATTATAGCAGATCCTTCTATGAAGACTGAGACTAAGGCGGGAAGAAGCCCGAGAAACCATGTGGACGACGTCGAGGGAGCCAAGCACAGCAAGCGTCCGCGTTGGCTGCCCGGATCCGAGCCCTGATTGGAGGAATCATTTGTCGCAGGTTTTGTGTCCACGAACCAGTCAGAGGGTGGAAGTGGCCAACGCTCGTGCTCGCATGGATTTCTCCACCGGGAGGGGCCCCGAGAGAGACACTGTCACCGTGACAGTGACACTAACGTCCACCGTGGATTGTGCGATTTCACCTTCAGGCAGACATGTTCGGGCCGAGGCCGAGCTAGTGCGGGGTCGGTGGCCCTCTTCTGAGTCAACCTCACCGACGGCAAAATCGGTTTGAGACATCCTACAGAGTACGGAGTAGAGAGCCATCGAGCAGAGGAGGTATGATGCATTTGTTAATTTGCAGCCTGTCATATGCGTGTCAGGTTGTTTTTCCTCCGGTGGCTTGCATCTTGTCAGGGGGGTTACATAAGCCAACAGCCCTAACGGATAGCCGAAGACAGGGATTCCTGGTCTTGTACCAAGATGCCCCTATCGAGTATCCAGCACCGGTTCAGAACATGGAAGGGGCCGGTTTCAGCTCGTAGGGTTGAGTGATGTTTCAGGTTGCGTGGTGGCGATCCAATCTGGGGACAGAGATCCGGCTTCCCCTCTTGGGCACATTCACCGAACTGCTGAACTCCTCGATTGCACTCGACAGCTGAGATGGAAGCCCGGCGCAGCGCCGGCGCAGAGGTGGGGGCGATGGCGCATGAGTGACTTAGCCGAGTGGTTCGTTGATCCCTAGTGAGGAGACTAGAGAGCTTTGCGTTAGCACCGGATCGGAGCTATCCTGAAGTTGTCCCGGCTGCATCCCCAAGTCGCTCCTATCTTTTCGCATCACCTATTCGATCCACAGCCACCCAAGAAAACATATGTCCACCGGTGAATTGCTCTCCAACCTGCAAGATGTTCCTATCTACATGATCTGACCTCGCCGTGAGGGGTATCTTTTGGCCCGCAATGTTGTCTACGTCACCTTGTCAACTGATGATGTCAGAACCTAGTTTCTCGCCCCAGTTGTGAAACTCCAGGATGGTGTTGGCCTAGACAATGCATTATTAGAAATCATAAAGGCGGCCTCCCGCCTCACAGCCTCAAAGGATGATGAGGAAGTTCCCCTGTCAGCGCAGGTCCGCCCCCAACTTTGGCGGCCTGATCATGTCATGAAGATGCATGCAGGGGCGGTTCGTCAGATCCTTCGAAGATGTGCAGAATACCTCTATCGCGATATGTGTTATTATTAGAGGAATAGTCTCCTGAGAGGCTCTTGTTGCAGATGCAATATATTGATATGGAGATCTGGGCACACTAGCATCGAAACGACTTGAAGAAACGCCACCGAGGTCGCAGTATTTTGCGTCACTCTATCACGCCCCCTTCACGGTCCAACATTTGTCATTCGGCGAAGCGATACCTTTCCAGAGCCAAGACAGAACAAACCACTAAGTTTGCAAGGTTTTTCCAAATGGCCCGATCGACTACCTCGTGGCTATGCAGACTGTTATCCCATTTGGAATAAGGGGGTTGTATACGAGAATTGGGGCTATTTGATTTATTGTATCCAACAACCGGAGTACCTATGATCGGACCCTTTTGGTTCCAACACTGTGAAAGACTGAATGATACTCTTGCCCCCAGATGTTCCTTTCCCTTCGATACTTCCTTTTGGCCGAGTGGTTCGCACATAGGTACGGGTTGTCCTGGATATCCCTGCAGATGATTCCTATATTGGAAGATGCTCGGTGAGCCGGAAGGTGCAGTGCTGATGTTAAGGCATGGCGCATGTTCTCGGAGCTTTGTCGACCGACCTGCAACATGAGAAGACAGGGACTGTCACTGAACCGTGATGCTCTACAAGCGCTATGTGATTGAGTGAAAGCTTTCTTGTGCACCTGATTTATGGCCCCTTTTGATTGACAAAGCAATGAAAAAGGTGTCCCACCTTGATGAGGCCGCGAAAGAGGACCGGTATGCAGAAAGTCTTTCCACTCGGATTTCTTGGAACTGACATATTCTGCATAGGAGGGCGATTCCATACGATTTCAATAGGGTGATTGGAGGAACTTGAGCCGGAGACCGAAACCAGTTGAGATGTCAACGAATACACGGTGTTGGGTAGATGTCTCTACTTGGAGAGACGATCGCGTTTATCCTTTCTTACCTTCGGCCTTCTGATTTCATACTGCGTGATAATGAACGCGAGGATATAACAGACACATCGAGTCGGCATTCGCTCAACAGCTCCGCCTGTCTGGCTTCCCCGAGAACTTCCTCTACCATCATACCATGCGACCGATACACTTTGCAGAGATGCAAGATGCACATAGGTTGGCCCACAGTGGCTTTCATCGACCGTCTCCGTCTTTCATCTTCATTCAACAAACAGAGGCAATGCCCATAGTATTTCACGCTTCCGAATTTGCCACCTGGAGACACTAATCCAGCCAGAAACACAACAAGTGCTGGGCAGCTGTTCGAGAATCTGTTTTCAACCAAACGTCTATTCCACTGTTTATCTAGAGTCAGGTTGCCACAGCGACTACTATTGCGTGATCGAGATTGTCCAATAGGCTGTGCAGAGCTCCAGGTCGGATGGCGGTGCTGCACGAAGACCCTAGACCCGGACTTTGTGAGGAATTGCGCTGCAGAATCTGTCAGACACCAATCCTAATGCGTATGCGCTTCGCGAATAAAAAGTAATCTTCAGGGTGCGCTACTGTAGACTGATCGGTAACCAACGGCAACGAGAATCATACGGCTGATGACTCCAAAAATGAGAAGAACAAGTCCTTGGCTGGGGAAGATGAATAGGAATCATGAAATCCCAGTGGTTATCCCAGCTTACAGATGTTCCTCCAGTCCCCACCTGTCTAGAGTAGCCCTCTCTAAGGTGCCACTTAGTTAGGTCTAAAGTGGCCCATCGGCCCAAAGTAGTAAAGCAACAGGCTGACAGGCGCTCAGCCTCACGTAGTACGAGCAACGGTCTCTCCATATAAGATGCAGGATTCTTCGCAGAAACGGTGGTGATAATTTGTTTACCTTTCGATCTATCGCTGTCGGATTCAGATCACCTCCAGTGCATCCAGCACAGCGCGATCATGGCTGGATCTGCTGCTGCCGTCTCGGTCCAGAGCGACCATGCGTCCTCGACCCAGCCAGTGAAGGGTCCCAAAACCAAGGAGAAGCTCGGAATCACCTCGCATCGGTTCATAATCATCTTGAGTTGGTTTCTTCTCACCGTCCCACTCACTTGTTTGACAGCTGTTTTCCTCGCCTTGGTCTTCAGCTATCGCGTCAAGAAGGGTAACTCGCCCTATATAACCCTCTACGAGGGCTTGACTCTCGATTTCTCGAGCGCCTACTACGTCAACATGAACTCGAGTATTCTCCTTTTCGTCACCTCGTGGGCTAGCACTCTGGCTCCTATGTTGTCGGGCTTCCTCATCACCCTGGCCTCGTTTCCTATCGCCCATCGCTACCTCCAAGATATCCGGAACGCACGTTTCGAACGACTGCCCACTCCATATCAACTGACACTTATGATGAAGTTCTTTGATGGAGGTACTCTAGGTGCTACCTGGAGTTGGATCGTCTATGTCTTCTCATGGGGAAAGAAGCGTCAGCCCCAGACTCGTCCGCTGACTTCGGCTGCTGCAGTGGCTCTTCTGGCTACTCTTCTCGGGTACGTACAGTCATGATGTGCCTCCGTTCATTATATATACACCCCCATCCACGATGCAGCCTCTCATATGTGACGACACTAACACTGCATAATCCAGAGCACTGGTCTCCGCAGCAGACACCTGGCTTCACCTAACCACCAAAACCGTCCCCTTCTACCGCGCCACCGTCGTAACCAACAACACAGACTACAGCTTCGGTCTGACCCCCCAATGCCTAACAGGCAACAACTCAGTCGCAGCACAAGAAGCCGTCGCCGCCACCGGCGGCATCTGCAGTGTATCGATGGGCGTCACAGGCCAATTCCTCTCCAACGCCACCGTCAGTCTCGGGGTATTGAACAACGTCTCCGACTTCGCGACCGTCTACGACTACGGCGTCAGCTTCGACAACAACGTCACAACCTACAGCTACTTGGGCTTACCCGAGGGTTCAGTCACAGGTCGAGACTGGGAAGCCACGACTTATGGTGCTCGTACCCAATGCCAGATGATTTCCAAGCAATGCAATCTGACTGAAGTGATGACGACGCTGAAATATAACTGTTCGAGTGCATTTGCGGGCTATATTGAAAGCACGAATCTCATTACCGGGTTTTTCACAGACGCTAGCATGACGGTTGATATTGAGGATGTTGAAGATGGGAATTATGGGGCTGGGAACCCGTTTTATTATACCGTGGCTGGGGTCTTGAGTACGTCTGGTGGAACGGTGCCGAACTCGACGGACTTTGTGCAGAATGAGTCTGGGGTTTATGGTTATGTTCTGGGGTGTAATACCACTATTTATGATATCGCCTACGGTATGGCTAATAACTCGATGAGTTATATGACCCCGAGTGTGAGTAATACCTCGGTGTCGAATATCTGGCAGACGAGTATCTCCCAGACGGTGGATTGGGAACCTGCTATTGAACTGGAGATCGGGGCTGCGGCATACAGCAGCACGGGGCAGGAGTTTGCGGATAAATTGGCGCGGAAGTTCAGCACAGTCATCTTGGCTATGGGCGCGGATGGCCTTGAATCTCGACCTGCGTTCGCGGCTCAGCAGAGAGAGACCTTGTTGGTGGCGAGGGTCCCCATGGCGCCGCTGTTTACTCTCGTGGGAGTAAACTTGTTGTATGTCATCTGTGGGTTGATCTTCGCGGGCTTTGCTTTCCATACGGCTCGACATGAGATTCCTGATATTCATGCACGATTTGGAATCACGGGGTTGGTGGCAGATCGGTTCGAGGAGCCTGGATCGCGAAAGGAAACTCATACTGTGGATGAGATGTTCGAGGAGTATGCGGGCCACCCGAGTCGGCGCGTGGCTATTGAACAGGGCGAGGAGGATGGGGTGTATGCGTACAAGACTTGGGATACGGGTAGGTATACGTCGGTGGAAGTGGAGGAGCGCTGACCTTTGGTTTACGGACGATAGATAGTCCAAGGCACTTTGCCTGTAGATGATATAGAATGCATGTATGACAATGACAATGAGAATATGACCATTCCCCCCTCCACTCCTTACCAAGTACGCAGTATCACTATCACTACCCACGGACCCCAACCTTAGGCAATGGATAAAATGATGAGTTCCCAGGACCCCTCATCGACAGATCACATCATGTGGATAACTCCCCTCCTCCATCCACGAATAACAATCGGGTATGCCCGTTCACCGACACGTTTCATTTCCACTGCCCGAATGTGATTGGTGCGGTCGGCTACCCACAATCCGCAAAGATTTTTAGCCCCTCTGACCAATTAGGATGTTGCGCATCCCAGCAGGATCCCTCTAAGCCTCAACCCTGATTTCTTCCCTGTTCTTAAGTGAGGACTCAGCCCCCTTGGTCTACGATGGCCTTGTGATGGGTTAGTTTGTTGATGGTGGGTTGATGTCAAGATGAGGTCCTGTATGGGTCGTATTGTGATGGTGTTGTGGGTTGTTATGCCTAGGTGTTGGACTAGTTACTGACTGGGTGTAGGTACTGAATCTGATCTAGATGGGGCTGGGATGGAGGGTGTCTCACAGCGGCAGATAGTACTGTACTGGTATGATAGTATGACGTTATTGTCGTGTGTGGGTGATGTCTTGGAGGGGGAGGGGATTGTCTATACTCTATTGATCCGTGATCGAGACAAACTTGTCTTGTCTTGCCTTGCCTTACCGTTTACTATATTTGTTTATCTTATCATATGAGAGTCATTGTCTCAGAAGTTAGAACCTAAAAGGACCACCCATCACTCGGCCCAGTATCTATCTATCCTTGGCACCTGTCAGCGAGAGGATAAATTATTTCATCCGTGGTCAAGAAACCAACACTGTTAGTACATAGTCCGTATTACTATATATTGTATTGCTGACTGATCTCCCCGCATCATAAAATGATAAATGGTTGCTGGCACAGACTTAGATAGAAATCCCAGGGTACGGAGTCCCTAGAAGAAGGGCACAACCACAGGGTGTCCGGAGCTGGACCTAGCGTGGGTCTGCTACCGGATCGAGCGAATTGGCCCGCATTCCAGGACCCGCATTACCCTGGGGGTAGATAACTGGTCGTTGTCTGGGCTACTACTGTTGCTAGTACTGCTATTTTAAGAACCGTAGCCGTTGGAAAATTTCCCGCTGATTGTGATTGTTTGAGGTTAGGTTGCTGGGGTGGTTCTAGAAACTCCATGGAATGAATATACCGTGCCCGCGACGGAAACTGGTGCAGTGCGCGCCGGTATATTCACTACCACGGGAATAATCTCATTGACTACGAAGTGGGATCGAGTAAAGGCGGTTAAGCGCTTGTCGTTGGACACTCCCTACTCAGTACAGACCAATAGGTGCCAGCCGTAATTGGGTATGATACATGGCAGTCAGGAAGGCCAGGCTAGAAGACAGAAAAAAAAAAAAAAGTGTAGCGCTAGTAGTACATCCTTTTGGTTCACCCAGTGAGCCCATGCAAGTGTGGTATCGCGAGCCGGTTGAGTATGTTCTTGCGAAAGATAAGAAAATTGGCTGATGGCGATGATTGAGCGATGAAAACCCAAGACCTAAACTCCAAACGTTGAAAGAGATGAAAGAGATGTTGGAGCCAGCGAGGAGGAGTTGTGTTGAGGCGGAAAAAGCAGGCTCAGCTCCGAGGGAGAATATCGAGTGGTTGCAGGGGATTGTGCAGATCATCCGAGGTCATGCCTCATTCCATTCCCGAGTTGCCGCTGCTTCTTTGGCATCTTGTCGCTTGTTGCGCCAAAGGAAATAGCAGCAAACCGAACATGCCGACAGGAAGATTCTGGGGACCGCCGTTAGTACATTCGTCCTGTCCCCTGTGAGTGCGTTTGAAGAGGCCAGCTGATACTCACACGCCAACGATAATGCCCGGGACGCCGCTCTTGAGGAAGTTACTGACGGGCTTATCGCCGGACGACGAGGAGTCGTCGTCGCTGCGAGCCCATAGAGGCAGCGCCAGAGCGACCGCACGCCTGGTGAGATGAAGGGCGTGGGATGACTCCATTGGGGGTCTTGATATGCGAGTTCCGGGGAACGACAGGGCCGCAGGAAGAGACGGAGAGGGGGAGATAAAAGGGGACGTGAGGCTCGCGTCTGGAATCGAATGCGCCTCCCTGAAATGGGATAAGACATTGTCAGGACTAGTGCGCCAAGCACAGGCCATCCAGGGGGGATGAATGCGGAATGCTGTTTGGTTCAAGCCACCACTTGGTTGGATTTAGGGCCCCTGGCGGTTTGAGATGCGGCCGGGAATAGTTTCATCCCGTCCACTGGCCCCCACTGCACCGGCCTTACACCCCTTCGCGGTGTTCGTGGGTTTCGAAGCGTAGCAGATCCAGCTGCCAAAACGATAGATCAACTGGGAGAGCCCTGCAGAGGCTGACCTGTTGTTCAAGGCGACCCCTCAGCCGCAAAATGAAAATTTGGGGCTTACCCCTGACATTCCCGAATAGGCAACCGTGTTTCACTCCCGGTGGGGCGATGCCTGATGGCCTTGGTGCCTCAGGCAGACAGCCCTCGACCTGAGAACAACCCGGTCTAACTGCTTCCGGCCAGTTCAACCCTCTGGTCCGATCCCCGATCTTGGGGAGATTCAGAGAAACGCTTCTCCGATTCCCCGGCAAGGTGGTGATGGTGACACCGTGACAGTCACAGGTGGAGCCTTCCGGATCAGGAAGCGCACCACACTTGGCAAACAAAAGTTTGCGTGGCTGCCCTGCGCAACTTTTGATATTCAATTGACGAAAGACAACTGGCAAAGAGCTAAAAAAGCCAAACAGTGAAGGGTACATCGGATAGGTCCGAAAACGACACGGCAGACGATGAGCCGGAAATGACATCAACGCTCGTGAAGCATCCGGATCTCTAGTGACAGAGTCTAGGCATAGCCATGGCCCAGGTGGAACTCTTTCAGCCTGCACCCTGGTTGATTGGACAACCCCTGATCAGAATGCAGGTCCAGGGAAGTTTAATCGATGACAGGCGATACCAATCCCGTGCAGCAGGCAGGATAGAAGGCTAGAACCGCTTACTTAGCACTGCGATTCCTGCCGGAATCCCGTCCATAGCCCCTCCGATCGAGTCTGCTGATGTCTAGCACTCCTTACTGAGGATTAAAAATCTCGATTGTACAGCCATCATCATCATCATCATCATTAGTTCATTTTCTCACAGCCAGGCTTCCCGAGCTACAACCGGAAAGGCCATACGATCATCATTGGGGCCACAGACTTCAGGAGATACGCGTTCAGATAGGGAATTACAAACGGCCGCACGGGGAAATGACAACTCAACAGCCCTTTTCCGGCTCCGCAGATTCTCGCAAAAGAGTCTACAAAGCATGTGACCGTTGCAGGGTCAAAAAGGCCAAGGTATGGATACTGGGAGGCAATTCTAGGCCTTTAGTGATGATCTGACGCGTGTCTAGTGTAATGGATTCCGGCCTTGCGTCCGATGTACATCGGACAACGCCATTTGCTTCTACGGCGCGGGACACAAGGCTTACAAAAAGAGCTATCCTACAGGGTAGGCACATCGTGACAGTTGACTGGGTTGGGCATACAATCTGACAATTCGTGGGGCATTAGATATGCGGAGGCTCTGGAGCAGCAGCACGACTGGCTTGTGGATGGTTTACAGCAGCTATACCGGCGGATGTGTGATGGAGAAGGCTGGCGAGGAGGGCCGGTTAGCCTCGATCATCATGGCCACCCTTGCTCCCATGAACTACTCACCCGTCTGGGTGCTTTGGATGAGAGCAAAGGCGAGCATTTCGAGGAAGACACTGGCGCAATGCAGCAACGACTCTGGAGTGCGAATACGGCCCAGGCAACCGTCCGCTCCGACAATGGGCTGAACCCCCTAAATCATCCATTCTGCCTGCCAAGCCTGGCACCCAGGCAGCCACCCTTGCCTCTTGCTTGCGTCGCCCCATCAAGTGTCTGGCCGCCCATCCAGGCATTTTCTTTTCCTGTAGATGGGGACGAGATCCCCACACCGATGCCAAATCCAATGCTGGGGATGACGGAGATTCGGAACTCTCCAAACGCCGACATGGGACATAAATATAGCTGGGGGGTGGACCCAGTGCGCCACACTGACGTCTCCCCGGCATTTCTTTTCGAACCACAGTGAGTTGGTCTAGCCTACCTAGACTTGCTTGAATCAATTCGGTCCGTGTAATTCAATCTTCGATAAGCAATTGGAGTGGGTTTATGTCATCCGAGTTGTATCGCCCGGGTCCGGAGCCGGCATAGCACCACTCCCTATATATCCAACCATCGCCGTACAGAGGGTCATTGAACCTCATACTCGTACCCCGGTTTCACCAGAGTCAAACTGTTTATTCAGAGAGTTGTGTCGCCATCCAGGGGCCATTGTTGATACCAATTTCGCCGTCGCCCCGCTCTTCCCATGATGGCTCCCGCATCCGGCGTTATTTGTTGTCAACACCTTGTGTGACCGTGGAGAGCGCTTTGGTGATTCTGGGGAGGGAGAAATGTCACCGGTAACACCGACATTCCTCAGGTTAGAGTCTTAACCGATTCTCTCCAAGACATGCTCATATAGCGGCTGAGACCAGGGCACGGCCCTTGCTACACTAACTGGAGGCCTGAGCGTCAAATATCTTATCGCCATCTTCATCGTCCGCAAAGCATCTATCTCGACATGTAATATTACAAACTCACTTTGAGTTTGCACGAAAGGCAAAGATACCAGATGTGAACTCAACGATCGTGGGACCGACGTGGAGAGTTTGATGAATCCGGTTGAGCCTAAAGCTTGAACCCGGAAATCAATTCCATCCCCGCATGTTAACTCGGGCCCGACATTTAACCGTGGCAAAACTACCGCAAGCGCAGATTGCCGATCTTCTTCTTCATCGAGCTTGATGCCATAGTCCCTCGACCCATGGCTTCTGGACACGTGGTCCCAGAGAGTGCCCAGATAACCAAGCCATGCATGCGTATTTAGAGGCTGACCACGCGCCCAGGGGTTTCTTCAGCACTTGCCAGATCTAATCTTTCAGGGATACAATCCTTCAGACAGAGGTATTCATCTTCAATTCCTGATATGACATCCTTACCTACCCTCGTCTTTGTGCCGGGCGCATGGCACAGCCCAGAATCCTACCGCCGAGTGATTGACCAACTCGAAGCTGTGGGCTACGAATCCGATCTCGTCCACCTTCCCTCCGTGGGCCCCGCGCAACACTTCCCAGACTTTGCAGCCGATGTTGCCCACATCAGAGGTCATATCCAGCGTTTGGTCGAGGCCGGCAAGAAGGTCTTTCTCGTGGTTCATTCCTACGGGGGGATACCATCCAGCGAAGCGGTCAAGGGGCTTGACTGGGATACTCGACAGAGAAACGGCCAAGCAGGTGGTGTGGTCCATCTCTTCTACTGCTGCTCGTTTATTGTACCAGAAGGAGAATCCCTGATCGCTGCCTTTGGAGGGAACGACTTGCCCTGGTTCAATGTTTCCGAAGACCGCCTCGAGGTTAACCCTGACCGACCGGATGAAGTCTTCTACAACGACATGTCGGATGAAGATGTTCAAAGTGCTGTTAGTGCGTTGAGGCCTCACAGTTACCAGACGTACCACAGTCCCTGCACGTATGCTGCCTGGAAGGACATCCCCACTACCTATCTCTATTGTGCTCAGGATGCTGCGATTCCTCTGAAGGTGCAGAGAATGATGGTGGAGGAATTGGCGGCGGGATACCCCATTCGCACGGAGTTTACCGACGCCTCTCACAGCCCATTCTACTCAACGCCGACCGAGGTAGCATTGGCTATCAGGAGGGCAGCGGGTGAAGAGGTCTGATGCAAGGGTACCTGATGATGCCAAGGTGGATGATGCATATATGTGTCGACACTGGTAATTTGTGGGTCATTTACACACCTCAGATATCGCTGCTAGACATGCTATAGGAACTCTAAGAGTGTCGATTTGACCAATCCTTAAACCACGTTCGGTACACCATGGAAGAAACTAACCAGTTCTGAGTGAGCAGTAATGAAGAGGGTGTGGATTGTAGTGTGGAGAGTGAATGATTGGAGTTGCATGCTGCTTTGTGGAGACCCCGTCTGGAAAAGGATTATTAAGCCGTCGGCAACAAGTCAGTTCCCCGGCTGCCTGCCAGGCTCTGTTCCCTTCCATTCGCAACCTCCAACACTCTCTCCAGAGTGCGCACTTCACATCCCGGGCTTATTGTTCGATTTATTACCCCCTATCCTGTGAGATTACATAAGTGGCTATATCGATCTGGGAGAGGACTTGCTGGCATCGAGAATTCCCACCATCGCCACCGTCACCAATGGAGGGATCAGAACCATGTATTTCCTCTCAACATGAACCCACCTTCGAAGTAGCAATGCCACTGACGCTATGTCTAGACCGCCAACCTTTGACACGCACTCGCATTGTCCACGCATGCGAGCAATGCCGTGCCAGGAAAGTCAAGTGCAATGGAGAGGATCCATGTATCACCTGCTGGCAGCACAATCAATCGTGCAGGTACCAAGAGGTGCCACGCACTAGAGGGCGTGCTTGTAAGAGACGAAAGCTGAAGCAGTCCACTGCTCACTCCCATGGGGGCGAAGCGACTGCTACCACAAGCAACGACCTTTGTGACCGAAAAGCGGCGTCAGCGCGCACCAGCGGTAATCGAGGACCAGCGCGATATAGCCCCGAGGAGTATCGCCAGCAACTGGAGCTCCGGGTAGGAATCGCGGTTTCCAATAGCCAGACTGGATCCTTCCAGTTCTATGGTATTCCCCATCGACCTGCATACGAACGAGGAAAGAACACAGATGACTGACGGCACACCAGGACCCTCGTCACATTTCTGTTTCATCCAGCGCATTTACCAGCGCATGAAGCGGCAATCACATGGACGCCTCCTGGATCAGCCTAAAACTCTGGTTCCGGCCGACTTGGGGGAATGGGGGCTGGAGCGATTCATGTTTGCTGCCGGATCGGGGTCTCTTCGCTCTTTGGGCGGCTCTGCGGACTCGTTCCTGTCGAAAGACATGGGCTATCGATTCATCATGTACTATTTTACCGTGATACACCCACATATGCCTGTCTTGGACCAGCGGATTATTGTTCGGTTATGGGAACAGCTCTGGGATGCCCCGACTACCGGGCGCGAAGTCAAGTCGCGAGATCTGGTCTACATGACACTGGCTCTGGGCGCCCGAACAATGGCGCGAGGGGAGAGCCATAGCGCAGACACACTGGACAAGTGGGCGGATTACTTCTGGGCCCAATCTAACGACTATAGCATGTTGTTCCAGGAACCCTGCCTCAAGGGAACCCACTTATTACTCCTCAAGCTAGGATGGTGTTGCGCCCAAGAAGCAAGAAGTACTGACAAGAAGGTTGTGTAGGCGATGTACGCTTTGCATGGAATGAGGCCCAATGACGCCTATCTCTACCTGGGACATGCAGCTCGAAGTGTGCTTGCCTTGGGCCTCAATCGCAGTCAAGTCGCCAACGGGCTTGGCCCCGTCATGCACAAGCTACGGGTGACCTTCTGGTCAGTTTACTACTACGAGCGGATCTGTGCCTTCTTTACTGGTCGCCCGTCGGGCTTTCTGGATACCCATATCGATGTGTCCCTGCCAGAAGACATTTCCATCAGCGGCTGTAGTACGCTTCTCGAAGCATCCTTAGGTGTCTCAGCCGGTCCGACGACCGAATGCGCATTCCTGAGGGCGATGGTAGGGATCGGACAGCTGGTTGAGAAGGTATCCAGCGGTATCTTTTCCCTAGCCAATCTCCAGGGGCTTTACGATCACCGAAAGGTGGACACTGTTATCCTGGAGTGTGATGCCTCCCTACAGGAGATCCAGCGGATTCTACCCCCGTACTTGCACTTTTTCGCCCATGATCGCCCCCGGAGCGAGACGTGGAGGGAAATCCAATGCGCACACTTGGGTCTCGCATTTCATCTGATCAAAATGATGATCCGTAGACCGGCCCTGGTGTACTCCACGGTTTCTCAGACGCAGAATCAGAGCCCCGCGGATTCCCAGAAATTGGAGAACCTGCAGCCCTCGATCGACCTATCGATACAATCCGCGAAAGAGATTATTGACATTGCACACAGCGCTATCATGGAGAGGGCGACGTGTATTCGCAACGATGCATCTGTGGCAAATTATATCATGTCGGCGTGTGTGACGCTTCTCTACCATGTCCTAGATCCGATCACCATCGAGCACGCGAGGAATATTTTCACTTCCGTGGAACGCGGGATTCAATGTCTTGATCAGATGGAGCATCACGGGCCTATTGCTGGGAAGGCACTGAGCATGGAGATCATGAAATGTGCCAAAGACGCGCTTTTCCTTTCCGCAATCGAGAACAGCCAGGAGGAAGATTTGGCCGGTGATTTCCCCTGGTTGAAGTAGGTTATCCCAGAGGCCGCCGGAGCCGTGCGGAACATGTCACTAATTGATATTTGACAGTGATATTTATCTCCCCGCAAAGGCAGGAGAGATCCTGGATCCGATAGACGAACCGATCCCTCATGGTTATGTCCCCGAGATTACTGAGCCACCAGAGCAGCCGCTACCCGACGGCGATGACATTCTCTCGGCTCACATCTCGGGCATTGATTACATGTCCTATTGGTTGAATGGGAATCCGACCGTTCCAGGCATGTCCAATTATCTGTATTTATAATCGTTAACTGCAATTTTCATGTCGTCCAAGCCCCAACTGCGTTGTCTCCGAAGGCGCTCGGAACCAAGTCCGGGTTTCTTTGGGGATTCCGGATGTGGACCAATCGGACCGCAGCTTTGCATCCGAACGAGCTCGGAACCAACTGAGACTCTTTCTGGCCAGCACAACTGGCAGCTTGTGGTAAGCTTCTTCGTGGAGGGTATCGTTTATGCCATGCAAAGCTTTGTTGTCCCATATTGTTCGCTTCGATGGCAATCCAGGCGTTATATAAGTGCCCGAGCTCCTGGCCCGATGGCTGCTCGGGGTGTGTCTGTTTCTCATACTTCTATTATCATACCTCGCACACGCTACGGTTGGCTGGATCTGCTAGCAAGCTCGGGGACCCATACACTCATTACCGCCCATTGCAAATAGCCCCGGCGCTCAGATGGTGAGGGAGCTTTCTTCCCTACGTTCCGCGGGTCAACTTTGGAAGTCCGTATACACTGACCTCGTGGCTACAGGAGAAAGCAGGTACCGCGAGCGAGACCCTGACGCAATCTCCGATCTATCGTAGGGATGGCCGTGCTCTGGGGGTTGTTTTCGAGGACATCAACGTCCTTGGAGTCGCCGCCGGGGTCGATCGCATCACGACCCTCCCGGCTATTATCAGCACAATCCTGCAATGGCCAGTCAAAGCCATTCGTCAAGTCACCGGCAAGCAGACCACACCAACCACCAAGATCCTCCACAATGTTAGCGGTGTTATATTTCCAGGAGAGTCTATGTTGGTTCTTGGGCGACCGGGAGCCGGCTGCACAACCCTCTTGAAGACGCTCGCCAACAGCCATGGGTCATTCCTCGAAGTACAAGGACAACTGGGCTATGCTGGTCTCTCGAGTGGGGAAATGGCAGGACAGTATCGATCGGAGACGGTCTACTCTAGCGAGGAAGACTTCCATTTCCCCACCCTATCTGTTCAGAACACCATGGGTTTCGCCCTTCAGCTGCGCAAGCCTGCCAACGAGGCCCGAACTGACTCAGAGTTCGCTCGGGAAATGACTAAGGCATCGCTCAAGTCTGTCGGACTGTCACATACGGCCAAAACAATTGTCGGAGATTCGTTTGTTCGCGGTGTGTCGGGAGGAGAGCGCAAGCGCGTGACCTTGATCGAAGCGCTGTCCGTGAATCCGATGATGGCGTCGTGGGATAACCCTACTCGTGGCCTTGATAGCTCCTCTGCCACAGAATTTGTACAGCTGATCTCCTCACTGGCCAAGGAGATGGGAATGAGTAACGCAGTGACCATGTATCAAGTATCCGAGACCATCTATGGCTGTTTTGACAGGGTCACAGTGCTCTACAGTGGGCGGATGATTTTCTGCGGCAAGGCTGCCCAGGCAAGAGAGTATTTCCTTCGACTGGGCTTCGAGTGTCGCGATCGCCAGACAACCCCTGACTTCTTAACCGCGGTCACTTCCCCAGCTGAGCGTCTCATCCGTAAGGATGCCGTTGGAGCTGTTCCTACTGACCCTGATGGTCTGACACAAGCGTTTCGAGAGAGCGAAGAGAACCGACTGCTTCAGGAGGATATACAAAGATATCGAACCGAAGTGGGTACTGATGCCCAGCTGATGCAGAGATTTCGAGAGAATGTACACCAGATCCGCTCGCGCTGGATCCCCAGACAAGCAATCGCGCCCAGTACTCTCTTCAAGCAAATTCGGATCGCGATCTGTCGATACTACCAGCTACTCTGGGGAGACAAACGAACCTTTTTGACACTGATTATCTTCATTATTCTGAACGCGGTGCTCAATGGACCGGCTTACTACATGGCCCCTAAGAATGTGACAGGGTCGTACGAGAAAAGCAGTGCCCTGTTCTTTGCCCTGATCTCTTCTATTTGAATGCGTTGACCGAGGAAATCTCAACGGTCAAGTCCCGCAACATCCTTCCGAAGCAAGTTAAGTATGGATTCATCCACCCGAGCGCGTTCGTTATCGCACAGACCATTGCAGATATCCCAATCGCCTTCGTCCAGTGTCTTCTCTTTTCTTGCTTCTATTACTTCACCATCGATCTTCAACGCACTGCTTCCGCCTTCTGGATCTTTGTTTTGATCGTTTTCACTCATTACGCCACAATTCAAAGTCTGTTCCGGATGCTAGGAGCCTGGGTCCCAAACATCTCCCTGACCCTGATGATGGCTGGCAGCGCATGCCCTGTCGGCCTGCTGTATTCCGGCTTTGGTCCGCCACGGCCCACCCAGCACCGGTGGGGTTCCTGGCTGCGTCGAGCGTCGCCGTCACCATATGCTTTCGAGGCGCTGATGGGGAATGAGTTTGCTGGCATCACTCTGACCTGTTCGGATAGCGAGATGGTCCCCTCGGGGTCGCTTTATACCCAGCTTGAATATCAAACGTGTAGCATCACCGGCAGTCAGAAAGGCCATCAGTCAGTGCCGGGCTCTGTCTACCTGGCGGATCATTTAGGCTACACACGCAGTCACCTGTGGCGCAACTTTGGGATTATCTTGGTATTCTGGTTTCTCTATACAGTCCTGGGAAGCATCGGACTCACCCTTATGACTCGTGAAACGGGAGGTTCTCACAGTCGCAGTTTCAAGCGCTCAAAGGGTCGTGATGAAGAAAGCAAGCCCAAAACTGCCTTGGCCTCCTCGGCGTCATTATCCTCAACGCGTACTGCGTCCGCAGCTTCAGAGCAGGGGTCCACTGAGACCAACACCACCGGCGGAGCGGGGACATTTACCTTTGAGGATATCAGCTATTCCGTTCCGGTGGACGGACAAGAGAAGCAGTTGCTGCGCAGCGTCAGCGGGTATGCTCGGCCACGACAGCTGACAGCTCTTATGGGCGCCTCGGGCGCCGGAAAGACCACGCTGCTGGACACGCTCGCCCAGCGCAAGAGCACCGGAAGAATCGATGGAACTCTTCGTTTAGGTGGAGAACCCCTCGACCAGGCCTTTGCGCGCTCCTGTGGCTTCGTGATGCAACAAGACGTGCACGAGCCCAATGCCACCGTCCGGGAAGCATTGGAGTTTTCGGCACGCCTGCGCCAACCCGCTCATACCCCGGACGAGGAGAAATTGGCATACGTGGACTATATCATCCACCTGCTGGATCTCGAGGACATCGCGGAAGCCCTAATTGGCCAGCCGGGAGATGGACAGCTCAATTTCGAGGAGCGCAAGCGGGTGACCATCGGAGTCGAGCTGGCAGCACGGCCCAGTGCACTTTTGTTCCTGGATGAGCCTACGTCCGGCCTGGACAGTCAAGCTGCGTTTGCGTTGGTCGAGTTCCTTCGCCGGATCGCCGCGGAGGGAATTCCCGTGGTCTGCACTATTCATCAGCCTTCTGGAGTACTCTTCGAGATGTTTGGCCATGTCTTGCTTCTCGCTCCCGGGGGCCAGACGGTGTACTTTGGGGAAACGGGCGAGAAGTCGTCCCAGGTGGTCAATTATTTCGGCCAGTACGGCGCCGTCATCGACAGTCAGGCCAATCCGGCCGAATTTATTCTTTCCACCATGACCTCCAGAGAGACAGGGTCTAAGGACTGGCCTGCCATCTGGCGCGAGTCCGCTGAACGGAAAAGCTTGGACGCGACCATCCAGCAGCTCAATGCTCGCACCACGACGCCGACAGCGGCTAGGGGAGTCTCCAACACAGAGGGCCAGTACGCCCTTCCCCTCAGGGCCCAGATCCTGGCCGTCACCCGACGCCACTGGCTCTCTGTCTGGCGCGATGGAATGTACAACTTTGGTAAAGTAGCCAAGTCACTCTTCGTGGGGATCTTCATCGCTTTCAGTTTCTTCCATGCTGGGTCATCGGAACAGGGCATCCAGAACCACATGATCGCCGTCCTACTGTTTGCATGGATCATCCCAACCACCTGTGCCGACCTGCAGGATATGTGGTTCCGCAAGTGGGCCATCTTTAGCGCGCGAGAGAAGAACGGCATCTACGACTGGAAGGCTCTGCTAACGGCTCTGGTGGCCGTTGAACTCCCCTGGCAACTCGGAACATATACACTGGTCTTCTTGGTCTCCTACTGGACCGTCGGCTTTCCCAACGTCACTGCCATCTCGGGCTTCAACTACTTCATGTGGCTGCTCCTTGCCATCTTCGGGACTGGGTACTCTCAGCTTCTCGCAGCCCTATTTCCCAACGATACAATGGGCGGCTACGCCAACTCGCTCTTCTGGGTTCTTCTCATGATCGGCTCTGGGGTTCTAACCCCACATGCCTATATGAATGACTTCTACCGCCCTTGGCTGTTCTGGGCCGACCCGATGCGGTACTTCTTCGGGGCTACTGTCGGGACCGTTCTGCATGACGTCCCCGTCGTCTGTCGCCCCAGTGAACTCGTCTCGTTTGACCCACCCCCGGGCCAGACATGCGGCCAGTATGCTATGGCCTTCTTGGAGAGCAGTTTTGGCTACGTGGTGAATGGCAATGCGACAGCCAATTGTGAATACTGTGCGTACTCCGTCGGGGATGAGTATCTAGACACACTGGATTTCTCTTATGGTCAGCGGTGGTGGAATTGGGCTGTTTTCTTGGGATTCTGTTGCACTAATGTAATGTTGTTGTTTGGCATCATGTGGTTCACTAAGGGGAGGGGACAACGGCGTGTTTGAGAGAGGATTGAGCGAGCGAGATGAGTTATATGGCTTTTCGGGTGTGTAGACATATTTTGGCCTTGCATTTGGCTTCGTTTTGGTGTTTTGTTTCCTTTTTTTCTTTTGGTTCCGTCCGTCTAATAAAGTTGCCTATTTAGATTATGCGGTCAATGTTTTGATTATCCTGTCAATAGAGAAACAATATAGAAAAGGGGAATAGGACATGCCTGCGTCAATCGTCAGACTTGTTCCTCCTCTCCCACTGAGTCCTGACCCGGGAGATCTGCACAGACTATGCCCAAAGGAGAAATTAAGAAGCGCGCTCTGTACGCCATACAGCTAACGGCCGAAGTTTCGCTAATATAATCTTCAATCATCTCATTGATAGAAAATGCACTTACCGTGTACCTGGGACGGAACCTACCACGATATGATCCGGGAGAGTTTGTTGACGATCTTCTCCGAATTCAAGTATCGGGACTTCGCAGTCCCGCCGTACAGAACAGAATTATGTTTCAATAAAGGAGGGGCAAAGAGAGAGGGAGAGTAAGACGCGTCATCTATCGGCCAAAGTCTCCTGTTCCAGGCAATAGCACCGAATATGCTCCGCAGATACGCTGTAGCTCTAGCACGGGTGTTATAGTGCGTCGTCAGATAAGATCTGATATAGTTGATGTATTGCGCGTCTATTTGTTTGACCGCTCTTCTTGATCTTCGCGGTTCACTGTTCAAACCAGGCAAGGGCGGTTTCGACTGATGCTATGCTAGAAAGCTGATTTTGCAATCAGATAATGTCGACATTCGACCAAAAGAAGATGCTACTGACCATGGAGTGCGTAATATCCGCTTTCCTCCCGCATGGCCTGACAAACGATCCACCTGCATATAGGGCAACGTATACTCGCCCATAGAACTAATTAACTATGTCCCTACACTTGACCAAGGATCAATAACCAACAACCCTATATAAACCCCATATATCCGCACATCTTTCATCTCATCTGAATCACCCACCCCCCCTACAACCCCAACCAAACCAACCTACCACCACCATGCACATCCCCTCACCCCTCACCACCCTCGCCCTCATCGCAACCACCACCCTCCCAGTCCTATCCACCGACCTCCCCATCCGCACCATCTACCAATTCTCCTCCAACGACACCTGGCTCGAGAACCTCGCCGTGCGCTCCAACGGCATCATCCTCGCCACCGAAATCGGTCCCCCAGCCAACCTCCTCGCCTTCGATCCACGCTCCCCATCCCCCAAAAAACACATCCTGCATACCTTCGACTCTGTCCTCGGTCTCTCCGGCATTACCGAAGCAGCCCACGACATCTTCTACGTCACCGGCGCCAACACCACCTCAGCGAACATTGACGATCCGCCTAAAAACGCCACGCACGTTTGGCGCGTCGACTTTAATATCGGGAACGGAACGGCTCCTGAGATCACCCTCATTGCGCGGCCTACAGCCCCCACGGGGTTTAATGGACTCGCGGCATTCAACGAAACCATCATCCTCGCGTCAGCCTCCTATCAAGATTCTATTTTCGCGGTCGATACCACGACGGGGTATACCTGGGAAGCTATCAAACAAACAAATCTAATGAGCAGTATCAACGGGCTCAAAATCCAAGATGGATTCGTATATTGGACCGCCGGAGGCGATCTCTACCGTGCACTGCTCTACAACAACGTGACTGCTGGGGTCGGGGAGTTGATTGTTAAGGGGACCTCGTTTGATGATTTTGCCATTGCGCCGGATGGTTTCCGTGCGGGCAATGGGAGGAAGTATGTGTATGCGGCTACGGCGGCGGAGAATACGATTATGGAGATTAGTTTTGATTTAGAGGGGGGTGAGAATCGCACGGAGGTGGTTGCGGGGGATTTGGACTCGACGGAGATTGCGGAGCCCACGGGGTGTGCGTTTGGGAGGGGGGAGGGGGAGGTGAATGTGTTGTATGTTACTACGGGTGGGGGGAGTGCGGTGGCGGTGGATGTGGATGGGGTGGATGTTGCTGTTGGGGCGCAGTTGTTGGGGATTAGGTTGGGGTAGTTAGGGTTTGATTTGGTTTGAGGAGTGAGTAGTGGGAGTTGATTTGGGGGTTCTTGGTTTTATGGAGAGGTGCCTATATAATTAGCATTATATATGGGGGTTATTAGGTTGATAGGCTATGATTAGACTCGACTTGGTGGTGGACTGGACTGTGAAGGAGTCAATGGTCGAATGAATACGTCAACTAAGTGATATACTTGATCGTGGTAAAGGTGGTAGTAGTAGTGGTAGTAGTATGCTTTGATATCTACCAGAGACGCTGTGTCTACCAGCACTCCTAAGACCCCCTGAGGGATATAGAGACGTACCAAGCTGTAGAAATAGGCACAAAAGAACGACCACAAGACAACTAAAGAGAATGTAGCAACGTACAATAGTTAATTATATCCCCCGACATGTAAACTGCTCTAAGGTTACATTGAAGGCGGGACAACTGCCCAAGCTTCAGGCCTGTATTGCCAAGGGGTCCTCTGGATCTAGGAATTAGGGCTCACAGACAGGATCGTGCAGTGACGCGGGATCAAAATCGTAAGAAGCACGAAAGAAAGAAGGATAAACAGAAAGAAAGGGATCCATATTTGAATGTAATTTTGCCATATCTCAATTCCTGATCCAACCTGTGATTGAATGGCATCACTCGCACCAAGTTGTCCAACTATAGCAGCAAGTATGTCATCCCAAAATGTATACCCCCCAATTCCTTTCCTCTCGAAGGATCTTGTAAACCGCAGGATTTTGTCCTCGGGCATGACTCGCAATACTCCTAATCATGCCAAACCACTTCTGAACATCCTGTGTGGTACCACTGTTCACCACCTTTTCAAGATAATTGAGCCTGATCTGATGGAGCATTTGACTCGCCTTAATCCCAGCTTGCAACTCAACGGCTTTGCCTAGACCTTCCACAAATGAGGTCTCCAGGTCCTTCGCCAACCTGGATCCTTCCACATCCTGGGCAGCCAGTCGCAATTCGATCATAGCCATGCCATGAGCCTCTGACTCGCGTGCATCACAGTATATGATAGTATCAGTGAATCGACAGGTCCGAGCAGAAATCAACTCGCTGATGGGACAAAGTTTCTCTTCTCTCTTGGCATTGATCAGCGAGACGACCCAGGATTTTGAAAGGCTGCTGATAGACGATGGCTTTCGTCCGCGGATGGCAGCCAGTAAAAGCTCAATACCAACGTTTGACTGTTTTTGAGCTTTAGATTTGTCTCCACCACGAATCATATCGGTAAATGGCTTGGTGAGCACATCGTATAACATTCCGTCGAGTGACACTCCAGTACCATTGATGCTGATCATGTCTAGTTCCGCCACCCAGACAGCTGACAGATCTTTGACAAGCCAATCCTCCCTTTCACTCATGGCGGTGCGAATAAGCTGAATGCAAGTATTCGATACTGCCTTTGCCCGCCTGATATCGCCTTGCCTACATGCCTGGCTAAACGCAAGAGCGTTACCGCAAATAAGGGAGCGTACAGACCCGTCGCCTCTTTCCTTCTTGGCTCGTGCCAGGCCGCTTATGATGGAGTGTGACAAACCGTCTCGAACATCTTCCTTTCCCCGTTTCATGGCTGTTAGAAGCAGCTCGAAGGACACATCCCAGCTGGATGCCGACTTGTGAGATTCATTCTCAACACCCAGATAGATGGCATCCTCTCTCTCCGCGATAAGAAGCTGGAATTTGTTTTTGGTCTCGACATCATGCCCAATTTCAGCCACGCGATTCCAGACATCAACCCATGATACCGATAGCTTTTCGATTAAGCCATCGGCATTCCGCCCAAACGCCGCAATCATCAGGGATTGAATTGCCCCTGATATGTGTTTGGCCTCGAATTCCTTTGTGCGTAATGCGGTATAGATTGTGTCAGCCGAATCCTTGAGCAGGTTGTCGAGAATACTATGATGGCCGTCGTCCGTCATGCGACTCAACGCATCCACAGTGGCACTGGATATGGCTCTCAAAGGCTCGACAAGGTATGGGCGATGCGATGTGCGTAATAGAGCCAGTATCGCCAGTAAAAGAAATTTGGCTTGCTTTTCTGCACCTTTACCTGCCAGATGGTTGAGCTTCATGACTTCCTCGTTGACTATGCCCGTGACCAATCTGTCCTGCCTCATCTTTGAAGCCTGGAGACATCGGACGAACCTTTCCGCCAAATAGTTCAAGGCGTACTCCGAGTCGTCGTGCTGTTTCACGCACGAGCTCAGAATGACCATTGCAGCACTGGCGAGGTTCTTCGCCTTCTTGCTGCCTTCATGAAGCGCTCTGTCGAACTTTGCAATATGGGTGTCGATGACCTCTGTCAAGATATTGGTCTGGTTTTTCTTGTGAAGCCTATTTATTGCTCGAACCAGATCATCCGACAAAGCCTTGACCGTTTCGTCCGCTTCAGCTTCATTACTGCCCTTCTTGGCAATAAGTCCTCTTAATGAATCGACCGCGATTTCGGCTACCTTGACAGAGTATGAAGCATGTCCTTTGGCTGCAGACAAGCGCACCACTTCGAGACCGATTTCGATATTTTCCTTCAGAAGCCATCGGGATCTGGTCCAGAGCACGAATGTAAACCAGACTGATATGGGCCAGAGGGTGAGACCCATCGCCGGCCCGCATCCGATATTGTATACCAAGCTGAGATAAGCGGTAATGATCCCCTTCAACATGGCTACTGCGAGACGTTTGACTCAGAATAAATGGAGTATCACAGAGACTTAGTAGTATGATTGGGTAAAAGTACAAGAAGGTCCTATTTCGTCTAGAGATTTATTATCAGGACCAGAGAGCACACGACGAGAAAGAGTTAGAAATCTGCCGCAGCTATTCACACATGCTTATCTATCACTTATTTTCATTCCACCCCATAACCGACCGGACTACCTTGAACTCTAGTACGTGATAGGTCCTTCACCATCCCTCTTCAGCCCACTTGGACATTTACAAAATTCAATTGAGCCCTCTGCAAGTATGGCTGGCTGGAACAAAGTACGAATCTCAGGTGTCTTGTTGCAATGTCGCCTAGTACTCTAGTCATCCAGCCGCGCAAACATGATCGTCGTTGACAGAATGTGATACTAGCAATATTACACACCCCGAGATCACATAAAGAACAGATGTCGGCTGATCCAATTATGCCACAGCCCAGGGAGCTAGGTGCAGGATGCAGAACATAGTTGGACACCTGCGGATGTGAAAGACGATCACGATCACTTGCTTCTGGAAACGTTCTCGCCAATCTGCCTCCACAATCCGACTCCAAGCCTTTGGCATCGAGTGCGCAAACTGCCCGATATGACCAAGATAGGAGTACTTACAGTCTTTTTACACCACTTCCTGACTAGAGTGCTTCATGTTCAGGTTCTACAAACGGCGTCTACCCTCTTAGCTTCCTTCCCTCTGCGATTATATTAGACCCAAACGTGGCGTGTTATGATATGACATGCCGATTGCTGATCCATGACCTATCATCTCGGGTTGTGCCGATCACATGACCTATTTAGATGATCATTGCAGACTTGCAGTATGCATCGCTGCCTGTTTGCCTGGGACATCAAGGTGTTGCTTTTCCCAGTGCTCTTGAGACCAATATATTCTGCTCGACGAGGTATCGAAGTCGGGAACAGGACCAAGTTCACCTACTCAATGACAAGATAAGGATTTACTAACGGCATGCAATCTTCGTATCAGTCTGAACAAACCAACCTGCGCAAGTGCCAGGGCGCTTCCAAAGTAATGACCAGCACATGGTATTCATACCGGAGGGACGTAATCTTTCTACAGAATAGATGTTGCGCCATTTGGGAAGTGAAATGCTTTGGGAAATGACATGTCATATGTATGCATAAGCACTACATGAGACTAGGGCAACTGTGCGGCTGACGGGGCGGGTTTGTGGTCGCCGATTTTGGGATTCGCCCAATGGATATGACACACTCGACGAAGGCTTTGGTTGTTCTTTATAGGACATGTTAATTCTACCATCCATGACTCGTCCCTACGAGACTACTAAAGGGTAGAGCCACGGGCCGCCCCGGCGACAATATTATGGATGTGCTGCGTTGGAAGTTGCAGCTCACTAGCCAATAGCGACATGACACTAATGTATGCCGGCCAAACCTCGGACAAAACAATGCCCAAGCTCCAAGCCTTTTTGACAAACCCGTGAGTCACCAACAAAAATGGAGATATACGTGTGACTGGGTGAACTCAACCTCTTCGGTTGACGGAACCTATGGTCCTCCTGTCCGATCATGCATGCTAGTTCCAGTGCACTTCCCATTCAGCTCGAATGCATGTTGACGGATTTTTTCACCACTTATTCTATCGGACACATCACAGAAATTGAAAAATACAACTATGATTCTGAATTTTACCATCAGTCATGGAGGTCTCTACAGGGTTAGAGTTCCAGCCCCGATATGCCATCCTAACCAGCACCACAACCCATAGCCGGCCTCTTGGATTGGTGCAACAGGCTTAAACAAAACATTTCAAAATTCTCCAATCAGTCCTTGACCCTTGAAGGTTACTTACTGACCCCATTCCATCCAACACTCAGCGGCAAATATATCCGGACGCCCATGGTGGGGCCCACTGAGCTGGGCTGAAGATCCTCGAACGTAGGGCATCAAACCCGTCGGGCCAACCAGCATGCAGGAGGGGAACACATCCCGACATTTCTCCTCTCCGTCGACTCCCCATAACCACAGCTTCACTCAGGGAAGATATTCATCCACTCACCTTTCTGTCCTTTCTCGAGCGAAGCAGTCCAGATAACGACTCTGACTGCGCTTTGGTCTCCTGAGACAAGATGGGTGACCAAAGTACCTTCAACAATACAGACCACACAACCACTCACAATCAGGCTGGTCACCAGGTTGTCAATGGGGGTATTTATAATATCAATAATTATTATACCCGACCTGGAGGTATAGTACTTGACTTGGGGTATTGTCTTTCAGTTATGCTGACCATGCCATAGTTCCCATTCATAAACGAGGTACCGCTGTACACTTCCTCCACTGTCATTGCCACTTGTACTAATTGTTCCAGATGGATCGGGTGCTAGCATCCAGGATAAGGACAAGGTAAAGACTCTCTATCCTTGGCTCCAGGGCTCAGACTAATAAGGATACAGTCTCACCTCGACAGAAAGCTCCTTGATGCGGCAAAGGCCGGGGAGACCGAGAAAGTGCAGCAACTTCTGGACGAGGGAGCAAATGCCTCTGCGACCGATGCACAAGGCCAGACCGTGTTACATATAGCTGCTTCTGAAGGGCTGACGGATATTGTCAGTCTTCTACTCAAACGCGGGGCGAAAAAGGATGTGAGGGACAATTCCGACCGTCAACCTGCACATCTCGCAAGGCTGTTTGGTCATGTTCCTCTGGCGAACAAGTTGGAGTTGAATTTGCTTTGATGGGTTGGATTCAGGCGCAGTGGTTCGATCAGCTTTTTTACAGAGCCTCTAATGTTTGGCTTGACCCCCAATCAAAATTATCTATATCTTCCCGACCACGGTCAACTGTAAGAGGCCTTGATGGCGGATATATAGTTGTGATAGCCCTCTTGCTGTTTACTAGGTAATTGATTGACACTGTACCCAGCTACAACGACAATGCATTAGCCACAAGCATTCTGCCTCCGTCTGATTCCTGATGGCTTTCCATCAATCCACTGCTCCAAGCCCCAGATGGGACATCTACCGTCCGAACGAACCAAAGTTCATGCCCCCATGGATGGTCTGCTGACCAGCCTGATTGTTGATAGCAGCACCAGCATTGTTAAAGTTGAAAACCGGGCTCTGTCATTGAATTAGAAAGCACCTTCAGCATTCCAACGCAGCAGATACTCACAATCTCCTTCTTCCTCACGGGCACAATAACCAACATCTTCTTCAACGCCCCTAGAACCAACCCGTATCCCTCATCATCCCTCGACCCAAACTTACAAATGTGCTTATGATCCGCCGGAATGGAAATCATATCTCCCCGACCGGGAATGGCAGCCGAATTTCTGTCAACCACCTTTGCGGATGTTAGCATAGCCCCTCAGGTTATAGATACACTCACCATAACATTCTGGGTCTTCCGCTGCTCATAGAAAAACGTAGTATGGACGCTATCATCCGAGTTATCCCGTTTTCGAAGTACATTGGCGAATTCCTCCATCAGATGCTGCAGCGTATCCGATTTACTTCTCAGGTCGGAGATATTCGACTTGTTGATTTCGAAGATGTAATCCGCTACTTTGTGGAAGCGTGACACCCAGCTTGCGATCTCGGATCCGCAGAATGGAGTCCCTAGGAATACTATCCCGCGTATGTGTTTGCTGACTGTCTCGGTGTTGTCGGAGGGTGCACTCCGGTTGCCTGCCACCACGGCCTATCATGCCTTGTTACCATTGATGACACGATGATGGGGTTCGTAGATATATACCTGTGCGCAGACAAGACCACCCAAGCTATGAGCTACGAAAATGATCGGACGCTCTGCCTGTTGACACTCTTAGAAGCTCTTCCACAAGCGAGAAAAGTTAATATCGTGGCTTACCGTTCCAGATTCAGTCCGATAGCGAGACAACTGCGCACATAAATCTTCCGCATTGCCAATGATGCCATTCTGCGATAGAGCTGCCGTGAAGCTGACTACCCGCGAATCATAACCAAAGGTCAAGATGCGGGTTTTGGGCAGGTCCTGGGGAAGGAGGGCCTGTGGCCAGCACACATCGTTGATAGTCCAGGTGGCTTCGCGAGCTCCGCCGAGGCCGTGGACGAAGACAATGCTGGAGGGAGTCAGTAACATGTAAACACGATGGTAGTGAAGTTTAGAAATCATACTCTACCTCCGCCTCTTCAGAGTCGTGCAGCTGTTTGGTGCCGTACTCGGGCTCCGGCTCGCTCTCGGAGGATCTCAATGTACGAAATATGGTCATTCTGGCTGTGAACTTAATTCTAGAATTGATAGTAGTAAGGCTGGGATGTACTAAGTAGCTAGGTGATAGATATCAGACTTCTAGCAGTTCAGAGGTAATTTATATCCATGTCTTTGCTGGAGGTGGCAAAACCCACGGCTTCCACACTATTGCCATCCCAATGTTCGTTTCTCCCCAACCCCACCATTTTCGGACTGCAGCAGATCAATCAGACGACGAGACTCGAGCCACGCCAGCATGCATGGGAGTCCGGTCTGTCATGTAGATCACTGTATCCCGACGACTCATGTAGCCGGCTCACATTACCGCCTTCAGAGCTAGGCACGGCTGCATACAGAAAAATACAATTCATGTTTTCATGACACGATAGCTGGTATGTATGAGGGTTAGATTTAGAATTTGCTTGGACTGGCATGTTATAGGAGATGTAATATTTCGCTGAGCGACGGCCTGTGTGCGAAATGCGTATTCATCTCCTTGTTCCTTCTGCGGCGCATCGACAAACACGATGATCAGATAGACGTAAGACGAGTCAAATATTAAGGGATAAGAAGACACTATTACGATCTAAATCCACTTCCAAAACGTAGAATGAGTTTCTCGTCTTGCCGTTATCAGCGTGTAGTATTGGGCCTCTACCCACAGGCTGATAGACCAGATAGGTACTTCTTTCCAATTTAAACCAAAACAAGCCGAGCGTACTGCGTACACCATATCTCCTTGGAAGATAACATAATACTGACGCATGTCCAGAGAATAGCATACCTCAAGATACTTCCATCCCACACGACAACTCCAATGCCCCCTCGAATTCCTGCAGAAACAGCCATCGACCCTTCTCTTTCAATCCCCTCTCCTTCCAATTATTCGCACTAAGCAGAAAAGGTCCAAAATGCCATATAAGCTAGTATCATGCGCCGCTACGACAAACATATCCGGATCCGCATCAAACCATTGAACCGCCTGGATAGTATCGCAACCCTGCTGGACATCCACTGCAAGGACCATCCCATCCAGTTGCTGCGAGAGCGTGTGGAAGGGGACCTGATCCGGCTTGCTGTGGGGAATTCCCAATGCCTTGTGATAGTATTGGAGCACCTGGGCAGGGTCGGATATGACAGGGTGGATAGGATGGAAGGCTGCACCGGGGCAACAGTGATTTTCAGTAATAGAGATAGATACAGATAGATAGGTACCTGGATACAGTTACAGTTCAGACATGTGATAGAAGCTATCATCTATAAAATAGATAAATATGTTTTCAGTGATTCAGGCCAGGGTGTTTAGATAGCTGATGGCATGTTCCAGGGTTGAGAGAAGATAGAAGCTATTATTATTAAAGTAGTTAAAGATCTTGAGACCACTGAACTCTAGATTAAATTTGGTGAGTTCTGATTTTTGGATCTCATGCCTGGTGAATTTATAAGCCAGTACAAGGGCTTCCTTGATTATTAGATAGCTGAGAAAATATGCTTACTTGATCTCTGGGCTGATGATTAGTAAAGTAAATACAGAAAAAAGAGAGGATTGTCAAACCCTAGGATCGCTTCCCTGTTCCTGTTAGCTTAGCTTCACTGGTATACGTACCTTCGAACTGAATCGAGGATGTATCAGACTGATGACTATCTAGGAATGACTGGTCTTGAACAAGAGAAGAGAAGTAAGGCCAGATAGTGCCGTGCAGCTATCCGTAAGTGAGTGCAGACGAGTATTGTTGCTAAGCTTTCCAAATGTATGGTTACTTAAAGACAGTAAGATTGAGCATGAAGAACAGAACTAGCTAAGTACATAAAAGAGTGTCCTTATATATCCGTCCTTCGTATACCAAGTCGTATACCTTCCCATATACCGTATACCATATACCATATACCCGTTTGTATACCCTTCCGTATACCCGTGGTCACGTGACGCGTGGCTGTTCCGGGTGTTGGTTACTCAAATCGGGATTCTACTCGATAAGAGTTGCTGCCCGTCCGGACGTTGTCTTCTGCCTGGCGAGTCCGCCTTGCTAGTAGCTTTAACTAGCAGGGGTCCGTAACAAGGATTATCTGATATAATCAGTGTGTGTATGGCTGTAGTAAATAGAAGGAGTTATTTAGTAATATAGTAAGATAGAAAGTAATAAAATAAAAGTTATACTTTTAAATTATTGATTTAATATTTTCAAGTAGGACACTGTGTTTTTCTAGAATCTTGATAATGTATTTTTAAGCTCTTATATACCCGCCCAGGGCTTTGATATTCTCAGTAATCTTGGAAGGAAAGTTATTTATTATGTTTATTAGATTACTGAGATTAAAGATAATGTTGTACTCTTTATCTGAGATATTAATATACTTAATTAAAAAGATATATGTTATAGCTTTTTATTTTTTAAAATCCTTAATGGCTGGGCCCATGAACGGAGTAGTTAGTAGCTTGATTTTAAAAATAATATTAATAATTGATATTTATACTGTTAAAGTAGAGGACAGGATTTATAAGAAGATACTAGTAGCCATATTACTGGACTTGTTTGAGATAGGGAGACTTAGATCTTATAAGAGATATTGAATAGCTTTACTAGTGAATTTATAGTAACCGGGCCTTTCTAGTCTACTCCAGTCTACTATACTTTATAAAGGGTCCAAGCTAGATATTACATATTAGTCACCTGCGGCTATGATTCTGAAAATCTGATAAAAAATAAAGAAATATTAACTGATTTCTCTCTTTTTACAGCCTGCGAGAGCCCGAAATTCTCAAACTCAGGATTCATGTTAAAGCCCTACTGTTATTATTATCCTAATTATCTAACTATCTATCTATATAATCCCCTCATTGATACTCTCTTAAAAGACCTATCTATATAATCACCCACTTTAATCCTAATTTCTTATTATTAAAATCACTGATATCTTCTCCACCACTGCTATCATTATATTTATCTTAATAACCTTCTATCTTAATACACGCAACTAACTTGCCTAATTCTGTGAATTTGATCTTATCATGATATCTGTATATTCTTTAAAAATATTTATATACTACTCTACAAGAATTAACCTTGAAAATAATATCTTAGTCCTCCCTGTCTAATACAGCTTATCTTTAATAATTTTTATATATTCTATCTAGGAATACTCTCTCCCGTTCTTATAAAACCAATATAAATCATTATAAAAAATCTTATTAATTTGTGCTATTTTATTTATTATATTATTATCATATATCCGCGTGCTAGATCCTGAATATAGATCTGGCTCTATACTGACTAGCTATTTCTGATATACTCAGTATATCTGTACTTAATAGCGTGCTGTATCAGTCCAGGTAACTAGATTGAGAATTATGAAAGAGTTCTTTTTTAATGCTGTAGACTAGAAATGGGATAATGAGGATAAGCTTAGTATAGGTACTGAGGGTTTTATATCTCTAGAAAAAGGTATGGTCTGTATAGTAGTATAGGGCAGGATTGGATAATAAGATAAAGTCTTGATTAGTATTATTAAGGATGGTGGTGGGTTTGGAAGCGTCGGGGCTGGTGTTAGTAAGATAGATAATATTATTAGTATAGATATAAATGGTTTAAAGACTGTGGATAGCCTGCTGGTAGATATTAGTAAGAATGACTGAAATAAAGAGTATGTGTTGGGATGTTATAGTATAAAAGATAATATTATTAGTTAAGACTTAGGATTGGATGGTTACTGTATTGTTTAAAGTGCCCAGAATAGTGTTAATCTTTTATTAGTGGAATTTGGATGCGGCAGAGGCCTGGTGGATTAGGATTATGAGGGTATATGAGTCTTTTTAGAGATGGAGAAGAAAGAGAATCTTTTAACTAATATAATGAAGACTAATGAGAAAGATGGATTTATTTAGTATGATTATTGACTTGAAGAGATAAGGGCTGTTTATATCTATTATCTAGAAGGATTGAATTATAGTACAGTATAGCTCAGGTTATTATATAGGTAGGTGGAGATAAAGCTTTGTTATATAAGACTAGATAGTACTTAATATAAAGAGTTCAGGTCTATTATATTGTATTCTTCTATCAGCAAATAGAGAATAGATTAATATTTAAGATAATTAGGATCAGATCAGTATATATTTATAAGCTGTTGCTCGGGTGGTTCCGATGCCATGAAAATTGAAACTCTCCATTAATTAAGAGGAATCCGATTGGCGTGGGATGGCCCCACTGACAGGGCCAAAATAAAGAAGTACTGGCCGATGCCCCCGTCTCAGTCTACCATCTTAAAATTTACCATCCACGGCAATGGGGAACTTAACCATAAAACTGAAAAGTCTTGTGTTGGGATCTATCTACCTTGCCAGTCACTGTTCTGGTATAAGTACGGATTTCTATGAGGATTCAACCCAAATTGTTACACGTCCGCATAATCTCTCGATTTATCTTCTCATGCATTGTAGTGCTCAAATCATTACTATCTACATGGCCCAAGTAATCAAATACAACTCCTCTCCAACTCCATGAATGACTTGGCAGCATCAACAACCGTGTCCTCCATCGTCCGATACCTCAGCCCCAACACTTCCCGCGACTTCGACGTATCAGCACTATACACATCCCCCAGAACAGCACCAGCCTCTAGATTCCCAATCGGTACCCGGCCCGAATCTCGGGCAATTTCTCACGCAGAATATTCACAAAATGCTGATAGGTAAAGTTGCCCTGACAGACGAAGAAACGCTCCCCACCAGCCCCCGAAACCCGGTAAGCTTGGACATGCGCCTCAGCAACATCGCGGACATCGACAAAAGAGAAAAACTCATTCCCGGGAACCATATCCCTGGGCCTTGTCTGTGGGGTCATCAATCTGTAAATATCATACGACGAGGCATTCAGATTGGTAAGCGAGGCCGTGGCATTGAGATTGGGCCCATATGTCATCGGCGGCAGGATGAAGGAGATATCAAAGTGCGGGTGGTTCTTCGCAACAAAGTCCCACGCTGCACGCTCGGCGAACGTCTTTGCGCCTGCGTATGCCATCCCCGCGGGTGCATCTTTAGAAGCCGCAGATTCGTAGGTGGTTGGGTTCCAGTCTGTTTCGGAGTAGATGTGGCCTGGCCAGCGGCCTTTGAGAATGTTGAGCATTGAGACAAAGGAGCCTGTGAAGACAATCCGCTTGACTTGTGGGGCGTGTCTGGAGACGGAGAGAAGGATGTTCAGTGTGCCGTTGATGGCTGGATCCAGTAGATCGGTCTTGTTGTCTTGGACGGACACTTTGTAGGGGGTGGCTGTGTGGATTACGCCGTGCACGCCTTTGACGGCCTCGTCGAAGGCCCCTTCTTTGCCTATGTCTTGGACGATGGCAAAGCTTAGTCGTGAAGAATGGTGCATGAAGGTTTGGCGGACTTTTTCAGCGGTCTCGAGAGATCGCACTGTGCCGCGGACATAGTATCCGGCTTCGAGGAAGGACTTGACTATGTGGGTGGCCATGTAACCGGAGGCACCGGTGATAAGGATGGTTTCGGCATTGAGGGTTGCCATCGTGATGCATTTCAGAAAATTGATACCCAAGAGAAGGATGGAGGAATGATGAGGAGGGCAGTCGACGGTATGTGGCCGCTATGAATCTCCCATCACCTGCCCCGCTGCTTGGATCGCCATATCCAGGTAGTATATTCCAGACCAGCCGGATTAGCAGTAAGCATAGACCGTAGGCTACGAATACCGAGGAGAATTGAAACATATGATTCTGCCAAGAAGAGAAAGACGACCCACCTCGAGTTTGCCCGAATTATGGACGGAGATGTCCCGAGTCCCATGCTGCTGAGGGCCACCAACTCTGGTGGCCCAAGTCTCATTTGGGACATAATGAATAGTGCGATTTCCTGCTTCTCTCTTGCAACATATGTTACCAGTAGACGACGGCAATCGCAGTATTAGTCAAGTTATCTGTTGGCTTGAGTTTTACTATTTCTAAATAATTTCTTTTCATGCCTAATCCACTGTGAGGAGAACACTGCGAGGATGGCTGGCTCTTGAGGCCGCCCCTGGAAAAAACACCAATGCATTGGCGTGAAGAATAAGAGACCAAAGCTTATAACACCTTTGTAGTTCCATAGAGAATCGATGGACATGGTGCCAATATAGGTTGGAATCATGTCGCCAACGACGCTATTGATGACCCTGTAGCATTTGAAGGCCCCAATGACATGCATAATTGATTTAGCACGGTCAAAAAATGATATGCTTGCGCATCATTGCTGAATTGGCTTTGCACAAGTGTCGTTTGTATTTCCTGAATGTCCCGCACAAGAAGCCCTGCGTGGAGCGAGGAAATGCGTTTCCAGAAGACAGTATAGATCAGGACGACATGGAACAGACAATATCTAACAGGAACACATCGTCAGAATGAGGAAAGAAAGAGATAAGTTTGGAATCAACTTACAGAAGAAACGAGGCCTCGGTACGGGGATATGAGACACGCCGTAAACAGCCCAGGACCAAGGCCATGCTTTCCCGAGCAATTTCGACGCACCGAAACGCCAAGGCCCGATGGTCTCCGTTTCTATCATCCGCCGTCCAGGCCATCAAGTATGGCCGCAAGAGCAGGATCCGAAGGTTTTTCTCGCAAATGCGTAGGCGTTCTCCAGTAAATCTCAAGGATGGGCATGCTGGGGGGTTGCTGGGATCGGTCAAGCATGATGGTAGTGTTTCGCGCCATGTGTCTATGCGGCACTCTAACTTGGACACCTCCCCCAGGGACACGGTTGGGTATGCAATTAGACTGCGGTAAATGCCATTGGCCATCAGATGGAACTGCGCCTGCGCAATGAGTCCGGTATAGGGCGTCGGTCCGTCTACTTCAACTGGCAAAAAAGTTGTTTGGGGATAGAGGGACTGGTAGATCGCGTGAATGTCAGGCTGCTGAAAGAGAGGGTAGGCCACATACCTCGTCTCGTATGTTTCGGATCCTTTCTGTCTTAATGAAGCTACTTTCCGGGAGCAGCAGAGGTAAGCCGAAGCTCTTCGCGGCACAACTATCGAAGATATACAAGGTCCACCATACACGTCTCCTCATTTCCTTTTCCAACAAGCTCAAGGTCTCGTCGGCAAAGTCTCGGTGGTACCCGAGGTTCATTGCCATGCGAGCAGCAATGGAGAGATACTGCAAGCTCTTCTCTTGAATGCCAGATTTCTGTGCCAACTCATGTAACAAGACCAAGCCTTGTATAAGCGTCCGGTTCCCTACATCCAACACAGATACCCCCTTCAAGAGCTCAACCGCCTGTCCGTAGAATTCGAGGTCAATTCCGGGCTTCAGACCGTGACAGCACCAAGAGCCCATGGCCAGAATGGCGTTGTACAGAATATCCCATTCCAAGCCATGGGCGGTCGGAGGTCGGCTTTCGCATTCAGCCCGGAAGCTTGTCTCATGCACAAACGGATACACGGGATGATAGTTGATAAAGTACGCATCGATAAGATGCTTGTGATTCCCGGTGGTATCGATGACCGGGGGGCTATCCAATTCTAAACCCAGTGATAGATCCATCGTGTCCAAGGAAGGATCAGCAGTGATGGGATCCGAAAGGGGGTTCGCAAGGGATGAATCTTCGGGTAAGGAGGCAATTTCATCGGTCGACTCACGTACTAGAGATTGGACAATTTGCTCGACGCCCCCGGCCGGGAAGAGCCTTTGCAACGCGATTTCAAACCGATTTAGCCGATTTTCAACACCCGCAAGATGACTACAACATCCAGGCAGGTCCTCGCCGACCACATATGTTAGACATCACGTGACTATCTGGCCGTTGGGGCCGTCGAATGACTTACGCTCTGGTTAGAGGGGTGCGAGTCTTCTTCGGGGGGTAAATGCATCCCTTGTCCAATTGCCGGCAGCGAGCACATACAGGACGTTCCTTGGAGCACTATCTCGAGGTTCAGCTTCTGCGTGGTAGAGGAACGGATTGGCCCGGATGCTCGCGTACCCTTGCTTTTCTCGCTCTGCACTCACTGCACTACATAACGTTCAGACTGTTGCCGTGGCTCGCGACCATGTCAATCTTACAGAGGGAATATGTGGGTTTCGGACGTTGGGATCCATATTGGATGTACTGAATGGGTGGAAAGATATCGGGGCCAAGTCGAGTTGGTAGTCGGTGGGCAACTGGCGCAGCAGCAACGGAAACAACTCGGTCCGGCTCAGCAATTTTCCGAACGCGGTAGACCTTGATTGCCTCAGGCCAAAATCTATGCACAACAGTTATACCAAATAAGAAAAGGTCAAAATATTGGAATTCCAGTGGTATTATTCGTGGATCTATACACATATTCGTGTGGTTACACATTATGATACCATACAGCCAAAAATAATCCCGCAGTGATATTTAAATGAAGATATATCCAATGTATAGAGTGAAGGTTGAAAGATCAACATAAGCTCTGGTCAATTATTATTCCATTTGCATTTGCATTAATGTTAATACATGACTTTTGATCGATGCCACATACTATGATATTATCTAATTTAGGTTTCGAGATATTTCATGCTGCTATCTGTTTGTCTGTGCTGGCACTTTGCTGTTCAGCATGTGATAAAGAGAGAGCCGTACAAATTGAGATCTCTTGATGGTATGACAACGCCTTTTCCGTTAAAATCTTCCCTTAGTATATACCTGGAATCAAGCTATACTTGACGCGTCTCTTAACCTTCTTATACGGCTCACCATACTAGAAAAAGCTAATTAGCCACTGCCACGGAGACAACTACCAGAATTTACTCACCCTCTTAACCAAGTACTCATCCAAGACTGGTACCCCACGCGTGGCAAAGTCGTAAAAGAAAAAAGAGAAGACGAAACCACCCCATGCCACACCACCGGTGATCGTGGCATAACCGGCACGCCACAAAGTATATCCCCCGTAGTTGATCTGTCTGGCCAGAGAAAACAGCCCCCCACTATATGGCTTGCCCTTGTTGGCTGGGTTCCGCTTGAAAGATCGTCGCTGCAGCTCAGAAACCAGCTCGGTGAGGATTCCAACGGTGTAAGCAGCCAACCCAGCAACGATGATGGGATTTGTGACCAGGGAGGAAGATTTCGAGGTGGAAGCTGGGCGAGTAGCCATCCAGACCGACAGTAGGGTATTAACTGTGTTTATAACCGTGTTGAAAGTCGCAATCATTGCCGCAGAAGCGACAGGGGTTTCTTGCTCGGAGACTAGAAGCATCGCGAGAATTTGCTTGACGCTGCTACCGAGCGACAGCATCAACACGACTGAATAATAAGGTCGTGGCAAGAAGCCATCTGAGCTCCAGATTCTGGTATTGCGAGCCCACCAAGCCTTTCGATGGCACGTGTGAGCCAGCCCTGGCTCAGGAGGTGGTACTGCCAGAACACATCCAAAGCGCGGAGACCAATAAATACACTCCGTCCAAGAACAGAGGGAGCTTTGGTCCGCAACACATTATCGTGTAGTTTTTTACCCGCCATGATTATCGTTCATCATAGTTTTCTTCTGGCAGGTGATAGAAGAGGAGTATTTAAACGTCATGACGGTTCTGTTGTTCTCGGGATACGGTATTCCGGCTTGGCTTATTAATTCGGCATCAAGAAAATGCCGAACAAGTAGCAGCTTAGTCCGGACATGGAAAACTTACGTGGGGAGTAGGCCCACGCATGATTTGACAAACTGGACCAAGTAGTATCGACATGCGATTTACAGCGATGAAGGGCTTTAGACTCCAGGCCCTAGTCACACGGTACTGGGTGGCAACCAGGGTTTCAGCGGGGATTTCCAGCCTGCGCCGCGACGGCACTGTTCTCCAAATCCGCTTGAGGATCAGTAAGATAGCTCAAGAACACGGTGGATCGAAAATTTATCATCTTGCCGCTTACAGGTCCACACCTGCACTTTTGTTATCGAAATACCTTTGTGGGGAAAAGTGGCGGCAACACCCGCTTTCTTAAAGAGGCGATACCCCATAATTCTGGAAATCCCTGATTGTGGCTCTCTACAATTTTTATAAGACTGCCAAGGAATAATATGAGGTTACCTGGGAGAAATTATCGGTCCTATATCAATCTAACAACACATTTTTCGAGAGCCATGGCTACCAATACGCCCCTTAGTCCAGCGGATTTCCGAACTTACAATCACATGGCGGAGAAAATGGGAGCTTTTGTACGTACTGGACCTTGATTTTGAACCTCTTGGCCCTAACACCAAGATTCTATAGCACAATCACTTTCGGATGCAATGGAATGTACTATCCACCGCTGCGACTACTTCTAAACGGCCAAAGGGCATGACCCTGAGGTCATACTTGAAGCTGTGCTTGGAGTTCTGTCACGGACTTGACATGCATCATAAAATTGAGGAGGTATTGCTGTCCGGTGAAAATGGCGATGTTAAATTATGCTGACTGTTGGCAGACGCGAGTTTTCCCGTTTCTTGCGACACGGATGCCTGCATTCAAGAAAAAGAGCAGAATGGTCACCCAGCATAAAACCATCCATAAAGGTCTCGATGATTTAGAGTCCTATGCCCAGGACTGTTTACAAGGGGACAGGGACTTTCAGTGGTACGAAGTCAAGGATATTCTGGATAAATTCGGGACTACTTTGTGGGAACATCTGGATGAGGAGGTTGAGGAGTTAGGTGCTGAAAAGTTAAGACAATTTTGGTCTAAAGAGGAGATATTACGCATGCCGATGTAAATAGCAGATTAACGGTTTGCAGACAAGTTAATGCAAGCGCTCATTCTTTGCATTTGGTATTAGTTGGGGAGTTTGGAACTATCGTCCAGATCTTCATACAATCACAGCCTGAGCAATCATCGATGTATCGTTCCGGGGTCATCTCGTTCTTCACCCAAATAGACTTCTGTATATTTGTAAGCAGAAACACCCGGGAAGATGCACAAGAGAACTTTCTCACGTGAAGGAGCTACTGTCTCCCATGGGGGTTGTGGGTCGTGCGGAGTATCTCCTCCTGCGCTTCCATCTTCGGGCTTTGGACACTTCCGAAACCCGAGTCGATTTGCAATCTTCGCAGTGGTGGCCATACTACCTTGACGGTAGTGCAGTGGTAAGGAGGAGACTTATACAAATACACCCTGATCTGCTTTATGATCCTCGAGAACATCTCTTCAGCTCACACATCTATATCACATCCATCCCTTCATCATGCAGCCAATCACAGTCGGAATTGCCGGTATCACGGGCAAATTTTCCCGCTGTATTCTTGCCCGTCTGCTACAGAATTGCCAAGTAAAGATTCGGGGGATCCAATGAAGGTCGTGTTCCAGTATCTACAGACCAAACAAGTGCAGGGGGTGCATGTCATGATCGGTGCGTTGATGGAGACCCTGTTCTCACCTTTCTTTGGCATGTACGATTCCACAACGGTGTCTTTGAGCTATTGGGGAACTGGCGATGAGGTTTGGGAGAGCACAACATACGGCAACGCCGCCGACTTTGTTGCCAGTGTAGCCCTGGATCCGACAGCCGTTGGAGTACAACGATGTAAGTCCTGTACCTCCCGGTTGGTAATACTCGCTAATCAAAGATGTAGTCATGGGTGATCGGAAGTGTGAAGCAGATTGCGCAAATTTACGAGGATGTTTACGGCGAACGACCCATTCTGACGAAGCTGGGATCTCTGGATGATTTGGATGGCCTGATTCAGGAGCGACGCCAGAAAGATCCTCCCAATGTTATGAGCTATCTTGTCCTGTACGAAGATAATCTTCATCTCATCATCTGACTAGATGCTAATGGCTTTCACCCCAGGTCGTACAACTATTACTGCATGAATGGCCAAACGGCTGTGCTGCCGGAGACAGAAAAACCGGCCCTTTTTGAGATTCGGCGTGAGAGTTTTGAGGTCTTCTTCCGTCAACAGAAGAAGGAGTCAATTCCGACTGCTATTGCTCGCGTGGGGACTAGCCTTTGTTTGTGAATGTTCGCATTGTACAGGGCCTCCTTGGGACCTTGCTCGTTATCGGTATGAGGGCATAGTATAAGCTGGAGAGAGGTTTGATGGACGACAAGGTCTATTATCTAGATAGTCACGGGTACCTAAATCTCCAATAACAATAAGTACAATGATCGCTTGCTCTCAAAGGCTCTTCATTCTCTGAACTGTCCTCTTCATTCTTTTTCTCTGTTGGTCACAGCAGCGATACGACTGGATCCTTTGAATACAACTAACCGGGGAGACGGACGCCCAACAAGGCCCCGTACTCAAGGTTTGCTTTATTTCTTGGCGTCGTAATAAATCTCTGCATTCTGCTCGGTACTACTATGGTTACGATCGGATACTCTAAGAAAAAAACTCGTCCCGAACATTCTCTGAATAAGCAAGGCAGCAAAATGACGACATAGAAGGTCAAGTTTCCGGACCCTCACAGTATTAGTGATTGGGCTTCTCATACAGCTCGAATGTAGCATGCCAAACCCCAAAATTGGAGAATCCATTACATTGTTGCATTCATCATCTGACCAATCAGAGGCTCGGTTGAGAGTACTCCGGGCCCAGTTGCCCCCGCCTCGGTGTCAGCGTTGTGCTCCCTCAGACATCCGACCATCTGACAAACCCTGAATTGAAGATGGTCCGATTCTATACTGTAGGGAAAAGACAGTCTAGCACACGGTGGACTTGGAAGTCGGTCCACTGGTGGCAACGACACGGATGAATCTATAAAATGGTCCCCACAATGAGCCCCTGGGACTATCCAATTGAGCATATCTCTTCCCCCCTAGACCAACCCACAGCTTGTTGCTTTGTCTACCCCCTTTCATCCAACCCATTCCTCCATTCATTTAATCAGTCGTCCAATTCATTATACGCGCAATATGTCACCGCTTTTCGACGCCCTCAAGGTTGGACGCATGTCCCTACAACACCGCATGGCCATGGCACCCATGACCCGCACCCGTGCCAGCGCCAGCCATGTTCCCCTGCCTTCCGTGAAGGAATACTACGCCCAGCGCGCCGCCGTCCCCGGCACGCTTTTAGTCAGTGAGGCCACCGTGATCAGCCCCCGGCATCTACAACGAAGAACAAATCGACGCCTGGCGCGAGGTCACGGGTGCCGTCCACGCCCAAGGATCCTTTATCTATCTCCAGTTGTGGGCGCTAGGCCGCGCGGCAAACCCGGGTTTGCTCCAGCAGCAAAATCTCGATCTTCTGTCGAGCAGTGACGTGCCCATGAAGAGTGCCTTTAGCGATGAGGTGCACCAGCCCCGGGCCATGACCGAGGTCGAGATCCACGGAGCCATCGGTGATTTTGCAGCGGCTGCCAAGAACGCCATTCGGGCTGGGTTTGATGGTGTCGAGATTCACGGTGCTAATGGGTACCTTGTCGACCAATTCATTCAGGATGTCTCGAATCACCGCACCGATGTCTGGGGAGGAGATATCCCTAAACGCTCGCGGTTCGCCGTGGAGGTCACTCGTGCTGTCGTGGACGCAGTGGGCAATGACCGGACGGCAGTTCGGTTGAGTCCCTGGAGCAGATACCAGGGCATGGGAATGACTGACCCGATTCCGCAATTCTCCGACCTGGCGCAGCGCCTGGCAGAGTTCCGGCTGGCGTATCTGCACGGTTGTGAGTGGACCGAGGGTGAGAGCCTCGACTGGTTGATGGAGTCGTATGGAAAAGCCGGCCCCGTGGTGACGGCAGGGAATTACAATGGAGAGACGGCGCGACAGGCACTCGAGCAGCAGTATCGCAACCGAGATGTGGTGGTGGCATTCGGACGGCCTTTTATCTCCAACCCCGACCTTCCTTATCGGGTGAAGAACCAGATTCCGTTTGCCCCTCTTGATTTCAAGACCTTGTATTCGCAGGCATCCGAGGGCTACATAGACTACAAGCCCAGCAATGAGTATGCAGCAGCATCGCAATCCGCATGAGACTTATCTTGCTTCCATGATAAATGTATATATAGTTATATATCTCTGGTTTTATTTACATTAGACTATTGGCATGATTTGCCCACCTTTGCTGTTCCGGACCTAGCTGCATTTCCCTCCACTCTCCAGACTAGGGCACACCGTGCCTGTGATGCGTCTTGCATACGCGTCGGCCTTAAACAGACCCGACTGGCCGACTAGTTAGTAGTGCGAGTGCTGGCACTAGAGGGTTATATGCCCTGAATTCCCATCCTCATAGCGCAAGCAAAATACTATCCATCCTCATCATCTAGCCTACCAACATGTCTTCACCATTTGTCGCCGTGGCCGGCGCCACAGGCCAGCTGGGTTCCCTCGTCGCCCAGGAGCTTCGCAAGCGCGGCGTGACTGTCAAAGCCCTCGTCCGTCCCAACACCGACCCTTCGCGCACCGCCGTCCTGCGCGACTGCGGCGTTTACATCATCCCCGTCGACCTGGCCGACCAGCGCCGTCTCACACAGGAATTTACAGGCGCGACCTGCGTCGTCTCCACCCTTCAAGGCCTCGCCAACGTCATCCACACCGCGCAGGGCACCCTCCTCGATGCCGCCGTCGCGGCTCAAGTGCCTCGCTTCATCCCATCCGACTTCTCCCTCGACTTCACCAAGACCAAGCCCGGGTCCAACCGCAACCTGGACCTGCGACGAGAGTTCCACAAGTCTTTAGAGAGGGCTCCTATTGCCAGCACCAGCATCCTCAATGGCGGATTCATGGACCTCATGGGCGGCGACTCGCCCATGATCAACCACAAAAAGGGCAAGGTGATGTACGTTGGCAGCGCGACGCAGTTGCTCGATTTCACGACGGTCGCTGACACAGCCGCATACACGGCCGCCGTGGCGGCCGACACTACTCCGACCCCTCGGTTTCTGCGCATCGCGGGCGACGTGCTTAGTGCTCAGGGCATCGCGGATGCCGCGGGCCAGGTCTACGGTAAGACGTACAAACCGTCTTGGATGGGCAGTATTGGGTTTCTGGAGGGGCTTATCCGTGTGCTGCGGCTGTTTGGAGGCGAGGATCAGATCATGCCCGTTTGGCAGGGCATGCAGTATATGGTGAATATCTTCTCGGGGGCGGGTAAGCTGGATCCGCTGGATAATGACCGATATCCGGAGTTGAAGTGGACTAAGGTGGTGGAGGTTTTACGGGAGTATAAGAATAAGCGGTGATGCGGGAGGTGATGGCTACGGTTGGGTTATATCCTGTTATTTAGGGAATTTGAACTAATGTCAGAAGTACACTGTCATGAATGTGTATCCGGCAGATCGTGTGTTTTTTCTATGCCTCTGTCACTCTCGATACTTATTTTTGGTTCCTTCATCGTTCAATCTCCCGGACACTGCTAGATTTGTGATCATTAGTAGTTCGGCTTTGAGATCAAGCCCGAGACTGACTAATTGGAGCCCGATCCTCCTTGATTGCCGGTTGCGCCGCAGACATGATGGGTTTGGCAATAATTGATTAATTAACTGATAGAGATATCTCACCACAATTAAAATATCCCTTCTCTGTTTATATACCAATGAATCTTGCCTCCGTTGGGGACAGGGAGCGGTGACATCATTGTAGTCACGGAATACCCCACTCCGTCTGCAACCTTAAATAGGGTTTGCTCTTCCCCATGCCCTGTAGACACCTATCTAGTACTACTAATCCTTCTTCTGCGCCTCCATCTTCTTCATCTTCTCCGCCATCATCGCATCCTGCTTGGCCGTCAACTCCTTAACCGTCTCCCTCTGATTCATCCGTTCCAACCACCGCGTCAAATGCGGATACTCGCTCTGATCAAACCCCTCCGCAGCCAGCATCATCCTCGCCCCATTCTGCCACGGCACAAAAGCCAAATCCGCATAGGACATCTTATCCCCAACCAGCCACTCCCGCGTTTCCAACCACCCGTCCAACACCTTGGACACGCGTCGGATCTCATTCACGTACCGCTCCACCGCGCTCGGGACGCGTTCGGGATGGTACCGTGTAAACCACACAGCCTGTCCGTAGTACGGCCCCTGGCCGGAAACCTGGTAGTGTAGCCACTGGCGGGCCTGGTGTGCCTCGTGGGATCCGGCGGGGAAGCTGAGTTGGTGGGTTTTGTCGTAGGTTTCGATCAGGTATTCGATGATGGCGCCAGATTCCCAGAGAGTGAGGCCGGTGTTGGGGTCCTCGATCGCCGGGAGTCGGCCGTTGGGGTTGATGGCTTCGTAGGCGGGTTTCTTGAGTTCGCTGAATTCGATGGGGATGGCCTCGACGGGGAGGTTCAGCTCGGCGAGGATGATGGAGATTTTGAAGGGGTTGGGGCCGAAGGAGCCGCCCCAGACTTTGATGGGTTGGAGGGTAGTCATCTTGGGGGATGGCTTGATGGGACTGTTATGGAATGTAGGGATATAGATGGAGGATAATTGTACTGTTTTTTAGAGGTATATATAACTACATGTTCGTTTGGCCAACGCCGAACCCCGAGAGGGATTACCAAGCAGAGCCCCTGGATTATCGATCAGATCCACATTTTGTTTCGTTTCCGATGCCGAGGATCCACCCAGGGATGATGGGGAAGGGGAGAGGGTCCTTCACGGATGACACATCCTCCTGTCGGCTGCAACGTCATCAATGACCGCCAAAACCTGGTTGTAAACAATCAAACCAAGGGACACATCAGCATATAAATAAGCCCTTCGAAACAGCACCACAGCCCGGCCAGCAACCCTATCACCACTCCCCAAATCCGAATCAACATGCCGCCTTCCACCAACCCCATCGCCATCATCGCGGGCGCAGGCCCCGGAACAGGAGCCGCGCTGGCTCGGCGCTTCGCCCAGCGATACCCAGTCGTTCTCCTGGCACGGTCGCAAAGCACCCTAGATCCATTGGTGCAAGACATTAACCGGAGTGGCGGGTCGGCCCTAGGCATTCCTGCCGACGTTGCCCATACCGATCAATTCTCTTCTACCCTCGCCCAGATCCGCACTCACTTTGGCTCCGAGCCACGCGTGGCGGCTGCTATCTTTAACGTGGCTAGCAAGTTCTCGCGCAATCCTTTTCTGGATCATCAGCCTGAGTTCCTGGATAGTATTGAGGCCACGGCAAGAGGGGCCTCCAATTTCTCCCGGGCGGTGCTTCCGCTGCTCTTGCGGGAGGTGGAGAAGACGGAGGAATATTCTCCCACTTTGATATTTACTGGTTAGTTTTGTTACTTCGAAGTGGAAGGGTGGAAGATGGTTGTCTAACAGAAGAATGACTGCAATATGTAGGGGCTACGGCGGCCTTGAAAGGTGGATCCGGGCTGGGCTCATTCGCCATGAGCAAGTTCGCCGTGAGGGCGTTGGCGCAGTCGTTGGCACGAGAATTCGGTCCCAAAGGAGTCCATGTGGCGCATGCCATTATTGATGGGATTATTGCTACTGAGAAGACCAAGGGTTATATGGATGACCGACCGGATGCGAAAATTGATCCTAATGGAGTGCGTTCTTTCTCGAAGACTAGTTTGAGGTGTCAACTAATGAAGGATTGACAGATTGCTGAGGCATACTGGTTTTTGCATACCCAGTCGCGATCTGCCTTTACTCATGAAATTGATTTGCGACCATACTGCGAGACGTGGTGATGGTTATGTGAGTTTGGATGGGGTTGTGTTTAGCGTTTTATTGTATGGAAAAAGGGAACACCGTCTGTGAATTAGGTTCATAGAAAAAAAAATGATTGCTTTAAGTAGTACTGTCTGCTGGAGCCCAAGCCAAGTGTGAATACCATGTCGCAGTCATCCGATACTTGGGATACACACCGTCTAGCCATTCATTGATTCGACGAGTATTCTCCCTTGCTGCAGTTACGTGGGGGCTATCTGGAGTGTGGTACCACCGAAGTATTGCCATGTACCTCGATCGTCTAATTATGCATTAGTTGGACATGCCGGCGTAGTAGGTGGGGGAGGTGTCATCATACTCCTGGTATTGAGCAGCCAGGATCTGCTCTAGGCGACGCAAACGGGTCCTCAACTCCAGCTCACGCAAACTCAAATTATCCTGGGTAATCCCGGTTGTTTTGATGGCTGCAGCTTTCTTGACGCCGGACGGGTGTTGTCGGCAACTTTCGGCGGGGCATTGAGCAATGCGAGTTCTTTCGCGAGGACAATTTCTCCGTGATTCAGCCATTTTCTGGTGTATATTTGCATTTGAGAGAGAAACAGACAGAAACAAGGGGACGTGTTCTCCGTATATGGTGGAGATGGCCAAGAATGATCGCCACCCCGCGATTACCTCAGCTCGGCCTTTGCGACACTCCGAGCTGACTTACCCCGCGGACTACCCTACTCCTCCATCCCTTATATCAAGACAAGCCTGTCCTGGAGAAAGCAACGTCAACTTCACAACCATATCATACCATCTCAATCAACCCTCACCATGTCCCAGATTCTCACAGTGTTCGGTGCCACCGGCAATCAGGGAGGCTCGGTAATTAAGGCCGTCCTTGCCGACCCGGTCCTCTCCAAGCAGTTCAAGATCCGCGGTGTCACTCGGGATGCCTCCAAGCCAGCTGCTAAGCAACTAGCTAACCAGGGTGTCGAGCTCGTCGTGGTATGCACCATTCCCCTATCGACTCTCATGAAGCGATTTTAACCATACATCCACAGGCCGACATGTCCTCGGTGGAATCCGCCCTTCCCGCCGTTCAAGGCGCCGACACCGTCTTCTTCGTCACCAACTTCTGGGAGACCATGAGCCACGACACTGAAGTCGCTCAGGGCAAGGCAGTGACCGATGCCAGCAAACAAGCCGGCGTCAAGCACCTGATCTTCTCTTCCCTGCGCAACGTCACCGAGATCAGCAACGGCCGCCTGCCCAACGTGTCGCACTTTGACGGCAAGGCCGAGATCGAGCAGTACATCCGTGCCAGCGGAGTTCCTGCAACCTTTGTTCTGGCTGGCCTGTTCATGTCCAACTTCTTCCAGATGCTGAACAAGCAGGGTGACACTTATACACTTGCCTGGCCTGTCGACCTGGATAAGGCCCAGGTGCCTCTCTTTGATGTTGCTAGCGATACCGGTAAGAGGTCCTTTTCAGACAAATAAAACACATACTAATCCGGAGCTCAGGTAAATTCGTCAAAGCCGCCCTCAAGAATCACCCCGCTACGCTCGGCCAGCGGATCCTCGCGGCTACCGATTACTACTCACCTCGTCGGATCGTGGAGGAGTTCCAGCAAGCCACCGGCTACCAGGCGCAGGCTGTTACCATCCCTGCCGACGTCTTCAAGTCGTTCCTACCACCCCCTGTTGCCCAGGAGATGCTGGAGAACATTCTCTTGCTGGAGGACCCAGGTTACTATGCTGGAGAGTCTCTGACACCGTCTCATGAACTCTTGGATAAGGAGGATAAGCCCACGCAGTGGAAGGAGTTTGTTTCACGCAACCAGGAGAAGTGGTAGTTTATTATACCGAGCCCAATAATAGGAAAGAAACATTCGACTTGCTTCACTACTACTTTTGGGTAATATGCCGAGAGAGCGGAATACCCCACTCCGTGTACCTTAGAGCCGAGGGCATCCTATCTCAACCATCGACATGATTGGGGCAGGGAAGTGGGCGACGGGCTTAGCAGAAGGCCGAAAGCCGGTTCAGCCAAGGAGCTAAATTCCCCGCATTAGAAAGATACCTCTGATTCTAGACCATCCCCATGGCACCAACTTACGATAGAATAAAGGCGACCAAGAGAAACATTGTTATTTGTTATCCAGATCTTCAAAATTGTCAACTTGGTTTACTTTTATTCATATCCATAACTCCCATACCTCTTGATGAAAGATGATTTTTCCAAGTCTCGGGACACTTTCCCTCGGGATTGAATAAGCGCGATATGCCGAAGGATGACAAATTAACCCCGGTGCTCTTAGCAGTAGATATACATTAACACTACTCTCTTTCAAAAATACCACCATGATCATGTTCAATCTCGCTAACAAACACCATCACCATGAACCCCGGAATCCTGCTACAAGGCGGTACCCTTTTGGTCCATCAAGATGACAACACCGTTATTCCATTTCGTGCTGACATCCTAATCCACGGGAACACAATCGCTCAAATTGAACAAAACATTCATGTGGACGACAACATTAGAATAATCAACTGTAGCAACAAAATCATCTCCCCCGGATTCATCAGCACACATCATCACCTATGGCAAACCCAACTGAAAGGAAAACACGCCAACCAGACCCTTCTGGAATACTTGCCATCTGGAAATCTCATCGGTGCACTGTACACCCCAGCCGATGCATTCTGGGGCGAGTTAAGCGGTGCAATGGAGGCTATTGACGCCGGTACGACGTGCGTAGTCGACCACTCGAGCCTCAATATCGGGCCGGAATACCGTGAGTCATCCATTCCATACAATCTTCCTATCTTCTACTAAATCACACAGCACCCACAATGATCCAAGCCCTGGAAACCTCCGGCCTCCGAGCCATATACTGCCAATGCGTCCCCAGAACCATCACCAACGACAAGGACCTAATGGGAACAAACGACCACACGCCCACCACCGCCCTCACCACCTGGAAGCCCCTCGCGAAAGCTGTGCCCTTCGCAAACGATCGAATCCAGCTCGGCTTCGCTATAGACAACCTCTATCTCCCTACAACCCAACTCCAAGAACTATACTCTTCCCTCCGCTCAATGAACGCAAAAATAATCACCTCCCACGGAACAGGAGGTATATCTTTCGGCAACGCCCCCTCCGCAATCCAACTCCTCCACCAGTCCAATCTCCTCGGACCAGATATATTAATCTCGCACGCCAATTTCCCCAAACCAGGTGATGCAGACCTCCTAGCCACGCACGGCGCATTTGTATCCTCCACTCCGAACACGGAGCTGCAAATGGGGTATCCGCCTGTAGCATTCATGCCTGAGTTCGAACCGCATGCGAGTCTAGGTGTCGATTGTCATAGTTGGGGGAGTGGGTTCATGCCGTATCAGATGCGGATGATTCTTCAGTATGCGCGGACGGTGAGGTCGGAGGGTCTTGCGGGGGAGGGGAAGTGGAGTCGGCATGTCTCGCCGTCAGTGGAACAGGTTTTTAATCTTGGGACGGTTGGGGGGCGCGGGCGTTGGGGATGGAGGGACAGGTTGGGAGGATTAGGGTTGGGGCTAAGGCCGACTTGGTGATTTTTGATATGACCACTCCGGCTATGTTGGTGGCTGCGCAGGAGGATCCGCTTGCTGCGGTTGTGTTGCATTCTAGTGAGAGGGATGTTGATACGGTTATTGTTGATGGGGTTGTTAGGAAGGAAGGGGGGGTTTTGTTGCCTGTTGGGGTGGCGAAGGCGCCGGGGTCTAATGGTGGTGGTGGTGTTGGGATGGAGGGTCAAGAGCTCGCGTGGAATGATGTTGTGCATGAGGTGCTGAAGAGTAGGGAGGCAATAAGGCAAAAGGCACGGGGAATTGATATGAAAGCATTGGAAGAAGGTATCATTGATGCTTTTCATATGGACCGAGAGAGTATGATTGAGTCGGCTTGAAGGATCGAAGATGTCAAGCTGGTAATTATTGTATCTGGCAGATTCGGCAAAGAGTTACTATCCAGCACTCAGACGAAGGTGATATATTTTTAAGTTCTTTTCAAAAGATGTACCACTGGCATCCTTTAAATCCCTCCAGGTTATATGCACCAAAGATTGCAGCATCGCGGCGGCTGTGTTTCAGCTGGTGATCAATATTGACCTTGCACAGCTAACCCCGACATAAATGACTCTTATGTTGTTGTTTGGTATTGAAATATGCTATCTACCATGACAGTAATGCTATGACTATATATGCGTATTGAAGCTGACGATAAAAATAATAGGATAGTAATTTTCTGTGATATACCAAGATTGATCTTGAAGAAGGTAGTTTCTCTATTATAGTAAAATTGTTACTCTGAATTGGTATGTGTACTCATCGTGCACCCTTGCTGCCTGCAGATTACTGAATTCTCCCTCGCTCCCCAATGCCTTGTCATTCATGCCTCACAGAACAACGTGATTATCTCCTAGGCCCCTCCACCCTTCCTCATTTTCTTCGACAGGTTCCGACTAGCCCAGTCCGCAATGGCCATGTTCGTGATCATCGGGTTTACACCGCTCGCACTAGGAAAAACGGATGCATCCATGACATAAAGCCCCTGCGTACCCCAGACCTGGCATTGAGGATCCACCACCCCCTTGCTCGCCGTGCTCGCCATGCGACAGGTTCCCATCTGGTGGGCACTAGCATAGCCCGCTTTCTCGACATCGAGAGGCGAGCTCTGTCGGAATTGAGTGATCCATTTCTGAAACTCCGGATTGTTGATTCCTTCATCTGATTCCGTGAGATCATGAGATGAAGCTTGGTCTTCCGATCGACAGAACGGTGGCATATCCGCATACGAAACGTGGAATTCCTTGGCACCCGAGATATAAGCAATCTTCGCACTAGCAATCAATGCTTCCATGGCACTGTTTCGATCAAATGCAGAAGGGGTGTAGTCCACGCGAAGCCGTCCATCGACGGGATCCGGATAGACGCGCCCGGAATCACGGTCACGGGTGATGGCAATAAAACTGGTCATGGCGCTTAGTTTGGCACAAAACAATTTGTACTCGAGGCCACCTCGCCAGGGGAATATGGGTAGGAAGAAGGGCGGCAGAGTGACCGTGGTTTCGATCTTCGCACCGTGACCCCGGCCATCGAGATTCTCGAACTCCTTGACGACAGCGGTTAGGGCCGAGCCCTCCCAGGGTCGAATCTCTTCGCCAAAGACGGCCGCTCCAAAGAGGACTACCGAGGAGTAAACTTAGTAAACATCTCTTTCTTTCTCAAATACAACGCGACGGGTATAATGCCTTACCTGGATGGAGATGAAGATTTCGACCGATATGCCAATTCTGCAACCCACTGCGGAGAAGCAGAAGAGGGCTGTTCAGGGTCCCGCAGGACACAATCACTTTCTTCGCTTTAATCACCACCTTCCGGGTGATCGCATCATCTCCCTGGCCCCGGGCCAGGTACGCGTTCCGCGAGGTCCAAGTCCCCTCCACCCCCGTAGCGATTCGTTCTCTGTCCGTAGTCGTGAAAGTGACTTTATCCGCCTTGAAGCCTTCGACAAAGACCGCACCCGCCTTGGCCGCATCCGCCAGCCAAGTTTCCGTAGGACCCTTCTTGCCCGCCGCTGAGCAGCCCAGGGTACAATACCCACAGTAGTGTTCCTCGCCGCCGGTATTCTGCGGCACCGCCTCGGCGGCATAGCCGAGTTTGCGGGCCCCCTCGAGGAGATCGCGGTTCTGGCGATTGTGCCGGATGTGCGCGGCGCTGACTCCCATGCGAGCACTGACCCGATCCAGCGAGCGCTGAAACGCGGCCGAGGTAAAAAAGGGTAAACCAGATTCGTCCGCCCACTCCTTGCGGACGAAGGCCTGCGTCTGCAGTGCCGCTGACCAGTTGATGGTGCCGCCTCCGCCCCAGGTCGAGCCGGCGAAGATGGCCAACGAGGCGTCATCGGTGAGAATCGATGCCCCGCCCTCGAACAGACTCACCGGGGCGGTCCGAACGTCCATAGGAAAGTACTGCGAGGGGTAGTGGTAGGACTTTTCAACGACCAGCACGCGGTGGCCCCCTTCGGCCAGGTTCTTCGCCGCCACTGCACCGCCGCAGCCACTGCCAATAATCACCACGTCGGTTTCAAGGATTTCCGGCTGCTCCTTGCCCTTTTCATCATGATCACCCGGAGGAAATTGCAGGAACTCGTACTCCCAGCAGCCCGGCGCGTACTTCCCATGGACGGGGACGCGCGGAAATCCCAGCGCGACTGGCAGGGTCGGGCTGGACACCACCCAGGTGGTTTTGAACATTGCGGATAGAGACCGGTGGATGAGGCGGATGGGGCTTAATCGCGACGAGGCCCATCCGGAGAAGATCTGCTCGCGTACTGCCAGGGGTTGGTTCTGGATGGGGGTGGTCGACCCAGTCAGAAGAAGGGATCCGGTTCGGGTGCTGAAGCAACGAGAGATAGTTAGCGAAAGACGTGCATGCATCCGTTCCCAGTCAGCCTACTTCAGAACGGTGAGGATGAAGCGCAGCCCGTTCTGGCCTTCATGATGGACGTAGTCGGCAATCAGGCGCTGGAGGCCCTCACGGAATCCCGGAAGAGACGACGCACTCTCCTGCAGATACGCCCGGGCTACCTCTGCTGCTTGGGGGGTTGTTTGGGTGATGGTGGCCGTGAGTCTGGAGGTAGCAGATTCTAGTTGAGTTTCGGTAACGGTTTGATGTGTGGTTGAGGAAACATCCACATCATGGCCACGAGCACGGATAGATGGGATCACCGTGTCCGCCAGAGCCAGCAGGGTTTCCCAGTGAAGATTGGTCAGAACCTGAGTCGTAGGTACCGGGGGGATGTTGACATCTAGAGGGGTGTATCCGGCCATTTCTGCCGGACCCTCCTCCATGTTAGTCGTTGCTGACAAGAATATTGATAGAACACTTGTATCGGTGAATGAGAGAATAGTAAATAATGGGAAGTCGACGTTCTGTTAGTATACTATAACATGAATCATGCAACCATGACGCTGAAAGAAGAAGAAGAAAGAAAGAATTGAGAAGACAAAGCAATGGGGAGGCGTGGGGATTAAAAAGAGCCAGCCGCGACCCTCTAGTTTATTATACAAAGATAGATATTCGTTTTGGATGCCCAGTCTAGATCGCGCTGCCGAAGATATTAAACCAGTGGAATCATCTGATGCCTATGTTTACCTATAAGCTAGCCATGAATGGCAGTAGTTGGGGTGTAGTGCGAACCTTAAAGCCAACAGCATGAACCACAGAAGGATTAGCCAATTTTGCGCGTCACGGAGCCCCATTTCCATCTCAATGTGGATATCTCAACCGAGCAGCGGGCGAATAACCCATCGTTATCCCCGACAACTTGACACTCTCGTAGCCACCATGTCAATACAAGTGGACCCCCCCAAATCCTAGCAAAGCAACAAAGGATACTCTACACCGCTGTGCTGGCCCAAGTGGCTGGCTGAGATTTGGGGAGATTTGTTGTTCTCCGATCCCGTGGATCCACTCGCGGCAGTCAGTTCAGCCCAACACCACGTATCTGGATAAGTCGACAATCGGCCTTGCCGGCCAAAACCGTTGGCCAATCGAATGACTCGAGCAAATGCGTATCTATAACAGATTTAAATTATACTCCTCTGCCTAGACCTTGGATACATCTGCCGCTTCGTCTGGATACTTGATTTTGGTATTTCAATAACAGTTTTCCATCCTTTGCAATTGTATATGTGTAGACTTCATGTACTAGCCGGAAGAATGTAATATTCAGCAGGTACCCGCTAGCTCCGCGCCGCGTAACTTTTATAAGCGAAGGACTACTAGGCACTAATCCTGAGCCACAGTTGGGGCTCAGCCACTGCAGGCCTAACCAACTAACCAGATCTATTTTTGATGAAGTCGTGCTCGAGCTTTTGTTGGAATAGCCAGTTAATCAGTAGACTGGCTCACGTGAGATAGAACAATGGTTCCCAATAATATTTTTATACTGACTCTAAAGCTATATAAATAATCTCAACTGGAATATAATATTTTGGATTTGTAAAAGTTTTGGCTCCCAATTTCTTATAAGACTTCTTATAAAGCAATCTGCAGGAGTCGTTACAAAAGAGATAATACAATTGACTCAAGGACGACTGAAATGACGGAAGCCCTCTTCCCCACACCCAATACTAACCTAACACTAAGGAAATATAGATGCGATCCTAGAAAGGCACCAATTCTCGACTGACTATTCTCATCTGCACCAGACGTGTATTTCGTCCAACGTGACGGAATTCGATGCCTCTCCGGCCGTCTCCATTACAAAAGGGCTTTCGTTTGTCCTAGCGGAGCTCCGCGACGTCGAGACTTTGGGAAGTATGTCTGGAGGACTGCTGAAGGATTGTGTCAACCCAGAGAACTTGGATGAAAGATGAAGTGTTGGTATTATTAGGACAAAATATTTTGTAGACCTTGGAAAATATGACCAGGGTTGCAGACAGTTGAGAACAAGGATGTTCGTCTCGTGGGAGGATCATGGGACGGGCAGCGCTTCCAGTGCACTTGCTTGCTATCTAGCTTTGACAGAACCAAAGGAGAAGGGAAGGGGGCCTTTCCAATATCACATTATTCAGGGAGTTGAGATTGGAAGACGAAATGATATTTATGTCACTGTTTCTCGGACCGAGGATGGGAAAAACATTGCAGAGGTTTTGCTTCAGGGCACCTCTGTTTTGGTTGGCGAAGGACGGATTGCAGCCTAGAGCGTGCCTGAGTGCTTTCGGCATATGTTTGCAGATCATTCTGCCCTTTTATAAATAGCTTGATATTCAAATTGCCAAGATAATATTCTGCAATAATCTGCTATCGAGATCAGATACATATATATGTGATGAGTATGACACCGAATTTGCACACCTAGTCAATTCCCCGGCCGCATAAGATACCCGCATATGTGTAAGTATAGCTAAAGCCCCGTATGTCCAATACTGATCAACAGATGCATACCTAGGAGACTCTTCAACTCACCATTCACCGTATATCCACATCACGTGACCGAATATGAGTCACGGATAAATATCTACCCACACCAACATCAACACCAGAAGACCTAATTTTTCACAGTTCATATAATTCACAAGGTATAGCTCCAAACGGTTCTAGCATAATATCCCAACTGAATTCCCCACTAACTAGATACCAGCGCCATGAATCACCAATATACCCTCTACTACGCCCCCGGAACGGCCAGCCTCGCCGTCCACTGGATATTAATCGAAGCCAATCTCCCCTTCCAGGCAATCCCAGTCGACCTCGCAGCAGGCGCACAGCACACTGCCGCATATCGACAGTTAAACCCGACAGGACGCGTCCCGACCCTGGTCATTGATGGAGAGCCCCGCTGCGAATCAACGGCCCTGTTGATGCTCCTGGCAGAGCGCCACCTCGACCGGGGGCTAATGCCAGCAATAAATGCTCCTGAGCGTGGCATGTGGCTAGAAACAATGATTTATCTAGCCAACACGCTCCTCCCGGCCATGCGCGATTGGTTTTATGCAGACACCGACGGCTTGGCGGACGGGGCGGCTGCGGTGCGCGATCTGGCTCGGCGCCGAATTGAGAGTGCTTGGGATCGGCTAAATGCGCAGTTAGAGGCACCTGAGCATGAGGCGAAGGAGCACTATCTGGTCGGGACAAAACTCACAACGGCGGATTTTCTGGCTGTGATGTTGATGCGGTGGGCCCGAGACATGCCTCGGCCGGCGACTAGCTGGCAGTATCTTGAGCTTTATGTGCAGCGATTGACGAGGTTGGAGTCGTTTCGGGAGGTTTGTCGGCGGGAGGGTTTGGTTGGTTGGCCGTCTGTGGGGGAATAGTCATGTGTGAGTGTTAAGTTGACTGGTTAAAATAACGAATGTTGGAACTAAGCCGAGTTAGAATCATGTTAGCGACTTCCTGCTGAGAAGTAGCAATTGGGCAGTACTCCCACATTAGTTCTCTTTTCAATCAACATAGCCCTGCGGGAGAGACCCTTGGCATGGGAGACGGGAGACACCGGATATATTGGCATGATGTCATCCATTCGGCGACTGTCCGTCCGGTCTCATCCTCCATGCAAATCCTCACTATGCCTTCTCCACTCCAGACATAACGATCTACATACATTAAGACCGGGATTATGCCAAGGTTTATCAATTGCCCGAGCAATGTCCGTGCCTATCGCCTTGGAAGGGGCGGGACAATAAGGGATCGAGTAGAAAGTCTCCCAAAATTGAAATTCCAAGGGCACTTCCCTCTCCTCTACCATACTAGCATCACCTACACCAACAGCCTTGTATACTAGGATGTCAGCCTCTCCAATTGAGTCTTCCCCATATCCCAGGTGATCAAAAACAAATAAAGGACGGAACCGGGGCAGAATTGTGCGAAGAAAAATGCGGGATTTAACCCGGGTCGAAATCCCCGCCAAGATGCCCAGTTTATCTTATCTGATCCGCACCTTGAGTTGTTTAACCCTTTTTCATTGGTGGGTTCCGATTAAAGGTACCCACAACCGGTGAAACCAGCATTTTATAGATGTCAAGTCCGAGACATGCCAAGCGCGATGTCTCTCCGTGGTTGTCGATGGTAGACAATATTCAAGGTATAAATGAAGAGTGCAGTCACCGGAAAGTATGTTATCATCCACAGCAACAAACTTCACTCCTACAGATTACTCTGGATCAACAAAATCACCATGCGCTTCTCTGCCATTGCCCTCCTCTGCCTCTCAGCTATTATGCCTGTGATTGCTGCCCCTGTGGCTGATGGTGCTGTTGTGGATGGTACTGTTGAGCAGATTGGTGATGTAAGGCTTCGAACGATATGTTCCGCGGATCAAATTTCTGATATTCCGTGACATAGGAAATCTGGATTACCAAACGCTGCTGCATTCTCTGCGACAATGGAAACCGTTGCGGCTCGAACGGTGTACCGATGTAGGCTGATGGATACTGTTGGACTGTGAGTGGGGGTGTGGTGTGCTATCTGGGATCAAGCATGAGTCGAACGGCAGGTCGTGCTGTGGGGATTCTGATTGATGACTATGAATCGTGCTGCTTTCTTGTCAATGCTCTTTTGTACTCACTAGAAGTCTAGTCTTGCTCTCGGCCTTGGATAATCCTGGTTACCGAATTTATATTTCTGTTGAGATTATTCTCAATGCTTCGTACAAGGACTTCGAAATCTATTACCGTTCTCTAAATATCCCCTCTCGTATATATATCACATCGATCATATTGTTACCATCATGAAGTACTATTGCTAACGGTAGCTTCTTTCTTTCAGATGATTGAGGTTATCTATTCTTTGTCGACACAAACTAGGCTCAACAGCCCTAGAAATTCGATACCTAATCACCACCCACCCTAACCCTCAACCTCCTCCCCCAACACCTCCCCATTAACCACCACAGCCTTCGACTCCTGCACCACAAAAAGAACCCTCGCCCACTGCACCTCACTAACATTCCGCCACTGATGCTTCGTCCCCCGCTGAACAACAACATCCCCACGCTGCAGCGTCCTCACTTCCCCACTATCCAGCTTCAACTCCACACTTCCTTCAACCACAACGGCATAGTCCAGTGACCGCGTGCGGTGCAACGGGCTGGTACTCCCAGGAGCCAAGTCTATAGTACAAAGCACTGTGCCGCCGGGGATGGTAAATCCTGGGGGATTGGTCATGAAGTGTTGATAGGTTGGTAGGTCTTGGTGAAGGTCGAGGGGGAATTGGTTGGTGGCGTAGTTGAGGTATAAGGTGTCGCCTGTGGGGATGGTTTGGGCGGGAGTGGTTGGGGGGATGTCGGAGTTGAAGATGGCGAGGCCGGCGGGGGTGTGTTCTGTGATGAAGCGGTTGGGAGGGCGGAGGGTGTTGGGGGCATGGGCTTGGGGTTGGGGGACGGTCATGGTTGTGCTGGGTGGGTTGGATGTAAGCTGGTAGAATGGACTTGGAGTGATTTTAGATATAGGAGGCTGGGATTTGTTGCGTCTATATACGTCTCTTTCTTACGATACAGGACCGGGATTGACCGAGTTGATTACGGTGAGATGGTGGATTTCTAAGCGTCAGCATGTCAGATTTGGTCGGTGCAGGGCTAGTGTAAAGTCTATCTTTGCCTGCTGCCTGGGGATTTATGCGCTATTTCCGCCATTGGATCTGTGCATCACATGCTTAGCAATGTCGGTCCAGGTGTGACCTCTCAGAGAAGTGCGAGGCGAGTAGAGTCTGGATAAGAGCATCGGATTGGCCATCCCGGGAGTTGGCGGAAGCGACCAGTGCATGCTTATTTTTGTTTTGTCAGACGTGAACGGGTTGCCTGATTCAGAACATGTTTTATTCCAAAAGAAGGATTAATTTTATGTAGATATTATGATTATTCAAAGGTGCTAGAATATGCCAGTGTCTTCTTTTTCTTTGGGTACCAAAACAGGTCACATCCACCAAGGGCTGTGAAGAAAGTGCATCGGTTTGCATATTCAATCAAAAACCTTAGCTGGGTAGTCATTGGTTCTTGAATGTCATAAGTTCCATGGTACAAAGCAGCCTGGTAATGTCCATCACCACGTTCTCATTCTTGTTCCCGCTTCAGATCTCATCTACAGATCCGTGCGATCCTTACCATGGCGGCCCTTGGCCTTGCGATCGCTGATAATGTTATCGGTGATCTTTTCAGCGAACATGACTGTTTCTATTAGTATGGTCTCTTATAAATCAGAAATGAAGACTGGAAAACATACAAGCAGGAGCCAGCGGCAAGCCCGGGGGCAAGAAAGGGAATGCCGAAGGATCGACGACTCTCACTGGGAAGACAGAAAGATTAGTCTACATCTACCATTGATTGGGGAGGTCTGCGACATACCGTTGTCCAATCCTCTCACCTTGCCTCGGCTGTCTGTCACCGCGTCAGGATCACCATCTCGACCCATACGCAGCGTGGCAGCCGGGTGGTGCATCGAGCGGAACCCGCCCTTGAGGGCATCCTCCAACTCATCCCAGGTGACGGCCTCAATGCCCGGAGAAATCTCATCACTGGCAAGGATCTCACCCATAGCAGGGTTTTCGAAGACCCGACGCATGTACTTGAGGGATGCGATCGAGACTTGCAGGTCTGTCTGGCTAGTGAGCCAGTTCGGGATCACCTTTGGCTTGTCGACCATGCTCCCGGACTTCAGGGCGATGGATCCGGTCGACTTGGCCGTCATGGGAATGCCCATCAGGGTGGCGTAGTTGCCATCGCTGGGCCAGTCGTGGCCGAGGGGGAATCCGACGATGATCAGTTCAGGCCAGTCCTTGGGCAAGGCGGCCAGGTCTATCGAGGGGTCCGGTTAGTCTTCATTGTGTATTCGGCCGGACAGCGGGGAAGATGAGGGAAGGAGGAATACATACCCTGCTTAACTTCCTGGGTGAAGTTCCGGAGATCGGAGGGGATATCCACGATTGCACCGTAATCGGGCCCCGGGTTGACCAGCATGCCGGTGACATTCTCCTTGAACAAGCCCTCATGGTGCCACCGCGTCGCATCATCCAGCAGGATGGACGAGGTGGGGACCTTGACTTTGTAGGTGACTCCAAAGACGATGTGGTCGTGCATGTTTTGGCCGATCCGCGAGTGGTCCAAAACCACGGGGATATTCAATGCCTCCAGCTGGTCGGCTGGTCCGACGCCGGAGACCATCAGAAGTTGCGGGGAGAGAATGCCTCCGCCTGCCAGGACCACCTCATGCTTGGCATTGATGTTGAACTGTTCTGTCTCCTGGTTGGGCAGATCCCGGGTGACGTCCACCCCAGTCGCCTTCGTCCCATCGAAGACAATCTTCCCCGCGAGCGTGGAAGTAAAGATATCGATCTTCTTCTGCACGGGCTTGTCCTTGATATAGGCCGTCCAGGTGGTGGCACGGGTGCCGTCGGTGCTGTTGATCGTGTCCAAAATCCAACTGGACCCTAGGAGCTCGCCAGTCACGTAACCCAGGGTATGGGACACACCCAAAGCATCAAAGGCTTTGGCAATCCAGGTGCTGAATGGGTGCGCCCATCGTGGCCAAGTGATCTCCAGGGGGCCATTGCCTTTCAGGCTAGGGTCATATTCAGGGGTGGCATTCGCAAAGCGAGTGGTTGCATTGGGGGGTGTATAGAAGGTGGATTGGTCGAAATACTTCTTGGTGTTGGGATAAGTCCAGGATTGATCGCCAACATCATCGGCCCATTTCTGCATGGCCCCGACGGTAGGGTGGAGGTAGCCAAAGTAGGAGAAGGCATGGCTGCCGCCAATCTATGAAGGGGAGACGTATTATCAGTGAGGACTCAAGACACCACCGATAGTACGATTGGACTAACCATCTTGCCACCGGTAAAGTTCAGGTCACGGTTATTGGTTTCCTGTCCACAGAGTTAATAATTGAGAGTGGACCCAATCAGGGCAACTGCCTACCGGAGTGCCAGGCACCTCCCACCAATGCTCCACTTCGTCCCGGGGAGGAGTCTTGCTGTTGTCGAACAGCTCGGTGTAACCCGGCACCTCACTCAGGTTGCCTGTCATCTCCTCATAAAAGTTGCCCCGTTCAATGACGGCCACAGTGTAGGACGCCTCGGCCAGACGGGCGGCCGCGATCAGGCCGGTCACGCCTCCTCCAACCACCACGTAGTCATACGGCTCCGTGGGGATAGACGGGTTCTTGTTCGTCTCCGGGCCCAGAACTTGCTGGAATTGCGGGCGCCGGTGGTAGACAAACGGCGTGGAGACCGCCGAACCCAGGAAGAGCGAGATGAGGGCGACGGACCGGAGATGGGACAACATCTTGGAAGGCGTGCGCTGGATGGAGATGAGACTGGGAACGCAATGGTCTTCTCATCCGCATCTATATATGTATCCTGGTGGACTCGACCTCCAAGATACTGAGGGCAGTATAGGGCTCGATGACGCACCACCGCAAGCAGAGCGTCGTATCCGAGCCATTGTTTCCCCTACCATATTGCAGTATAGGCCAGTGGGAGCGTCAGGGAGAGTGGACAACACTAGACCAGCCTCACGACTCAAGACCGTCATCGGTGATGAAGGTCACATCTGGTCATGGTCAGCTTGAAGAAATATCCGCGGAGTTCAGCCGCCAGTCAGGTTGCCCGTACCAGGGGGTGGAAAATAGTTCAGCTAAGCTTTTCAAAAGACCGGTTGTTAACACCAGAATTTATGCTTAATTACGGTTCAGTCATGGCGTCAGGAAAGAATTCATGGGCAGCAGCTACTTTCCGCATTTGGCCCGCGTGGATGGAGTAGGGTTACAACGAGGGCTCGGATGCCCCGGTTTTTGTCTCGGATCGGGCCCCAGAGGATCCCCAAAGTCTCGTCTGGCTTCGGCTGGTCGATTCGGACCGTCGGGCAACATCAGAGGGATACGGCCATGGAAAGGGCCTCGGATTACCATAAGAGGATACATATGGCCCGGCAGCCAGCCACATCGCAACTTGTTTTTTTCCAAGTCAACCATTGACATGATGCGGAACCCACGGAATGAAACATCGGGAACCTGAAAGCAGGTGAGACAAAGACATCTCTGATTCCGCGGCTGCTACTCCGGTATTCCACCGTATGTTTAGCTTCAATGTAGCTACGTGCCGAAAACATCCCATGAGGGCTTAATGATGCCAGCCTAATCGCCCAAAATTTACGTGCCTACTATTCTACAATTCATACCAAATTCTTTAATATCATCAATCTTGGCATTCATTAGATTCTATCGCATAAGCAGAGACAGACATGCATTCTATCAAAAACATGCCCTAATCAGCGAGCGGGCCACAAAAGCAGCCCCCAACCCATCAAATCATCGCTAATTACATCTCACGCCGTCCCCGTCCACAACTCGCGCAAATACTTCTCATCCACCGGGGGACATTCCACCAGATCCTTCACTTCCGCCAAGAGGGCATTCGCCTTGCGGCAGTCCAACGCAAACATGTTGTGTCCATTTAGGAAGTAATCGCGCAGCGTCTCCAGTCGCAGCTGCTCGTCTTCGCCGGCTGCCTGTTCCAGGGCTTCGAGCCACTGCTCCACGGTCACGGAACGGCCGGTCTGGTTGTCACCGCGGATGGCGCTTGTCAATTGGGGTAGTTGGTCGAGAGGTAAGGGCTTGGGATTGGTGATGTGGAGGACCTCCAGCCCGGATTGTCGGCCGGTGTCTTGGGCGAGGGTCAGGTGGCCTAGTGCTTCGGAGAGGTAGTTGACCGGGATGAAGTCGATCACGAAGGGGTCGGAGGCAGTGCCGGCTTGGGGAACGACTCCGTGGCGAACCATGTCCATGACCATACCGCGCACGATGTCCTGATCGGAGGAAGCAACGCCAGTGACTGTGTTGCCGGAGATGGCGGACGAGCGGTAGATGGTTACTGGGAACCCGCGAGCCGCGGCGCGAGTGAGGAGCATCTCGGTGGCCCAACGGGTCTTGAAATAGCCGTTGTCGACTGTCGCAGGAGGGGAGAAGTGGATGGGGCTCATTTCGTTGACTTGGATGCCGGAGAGGTTGCGGTGCGACTGATCCCAGGATTGCAGATGGGGAACACTCCAGGTGGACAGGTAGTGGATGCGACTGCCCTGGCCGCCGAGGTTGGCCAGCTCGATGAGGGTGAGAGTCGAGGTGGTGTTGATGTGTTTGAGGTCCCGGTAGGTCTTGAGGAGGGATACCTCCGACACGAGATGGTAGACGGCGTGGATCGAGGTGGCCAGGCGCTTGAAGTCTCCGGTGGGCAGGCCAAAGTGGGTTTCGTTGGCCAGGAACCCGGGCACGACTTGGATGCCCGTCAGGATTCGCTCCGGGGTGAGGCTGCCATTGACTAGCTTGAATTCCATCAGTTTCTGGAAGATCTGTCCGTGGTCCAGTGGAGCGTAGGTGCCCAGTACGTAGACGGTGACGCCGGGACGCGTGGTGAGGAGATTGGCTAGGAGATGGATGCCCGTGAAGCCATCCGCGCCGGTGAGCAGGATGTTGGTCACGGCTGCTGGGGGGTTGGACTCGGAGGGATGAAAGCGACAATCCATGGGCAGGGTCGTTTCAGCCACCCAGTCAACACGCTCGGCATTCTGGCTCCGGATGGTCTTCTTGTCGTTGGTGTCGGGGGTGGTCGTCGTGGTGCTGTTGGAGGTTCCACCACCGGTGAGTCGGTCAACCAACTCGGCCACATGCTTGGGGGTAGGGTTCTGGATCATATCCTGTAGACTGAGGGCCACCTTGAATTGCTTCTTTAGCTTGCCCTGTAGACGGAGGAAAAGGAGACTCTGACCGCCCATGTCGAAGAAGTTGCCGGTGGGTTCGGGGAGTCCATCCAGTTTCAGCACGGCCTGCCAGGCTCGACGAACCGCCTCGAGGGTGTCCGGACGTGCGTCTTTCGGGGCGGCGCCCTCGACGTCTTGAGAGGAAGCCTCATCCGAGGTTGACTTGACAGACACCTGCGTCGGGTGGGTCAGCTCGACCGGGACGGTGAGAAGGCCACGCCGATCGGTTTTGCCACTGGTGGTGGTTGGTAGGGCATCGAGGAACTGGTACGCATTAGGAAGCATGTATTCATTCAGCGAGAACTTGGCCCGGTCCTGCAGCAGCAAGGCGTACTCCTTCTTCTCGGCCGCCGTCTTCAGCGGCTTCTTGGGCACGACAAAGGCAACCAGCTGGCGGTCGTCCGTGAGTGATTCCGGATCATCCTCGACCGAACGGGCTACGACGGCCAGGTCGACGATGCCCTGGCCGTCAGGAGTGAAGGACTCGCGATGCATAACGTATTCGACCTCGCCGAGATCGATGCGGAAGCCACGAAGCTTGACCTGTTTGTCGCCGGAGATCCGCCCCAAGAACTCCAGCTGGCCATCGGGGAGGAACCGGGCGCGGTCACCGGTGCGGAACAACATGGTCCATCCACGGTCTTCATCCTCGGCGTAGCAGAAGGGGTTGCGCACAAACTGCTTGCGGTTCACCTCAGGCCGGTTCCAGTATCCACGAGCCACCTGAGGACCGCCAATGCAGAGCTCTCCAATGAAGCCGGGGGGCAAGGGGTTCATGTTGTCGTCGACAATGTAATGCCGGCAGTTACCCAGGGCAAAGCCGATGGGAATGTTGAGCTGATCATCGATGGGACCCTCGACGGCGTGGATGGTGGTCTGCACCACGGCCTCGGTGGGCCCCCAGCAGTTGTATAGCGTCGCCTGCGTGCCCAGTCGCTGGAAGGCATCCGCCAGGCGCGCGGGCAGCCGCTCGCCACACAGCAGCGCGATGCGGTACTCGGGACATGCGACCAGGGCGGCCCCGTTGTGCTCGAGGACCAGAGCAAACTGGGTCGGGGTGAAGTAGCTGACCGTCACGGACTCCTGGCGCATGTAGTCGCCCAGCAGCATAGGGTTGCGCCGCGTGGCCTTGGTGGCAATGCAGAGACGAGCACCAGCTGTCAGGGAGGACCACAGCTCCACCACTGATAGGTCGAACGAGGGCGAGATCTGGTGCAGGAACCGGTCGCGGGGGCTGAAGTTGAAGTGCTGCTGCATCGAGGCCAGCATCTCATGGACGTTGCTCTGCGAGAGTCGCACGCCCTTGGGGATACCGGTGCTTCCCTACATCATAGTGAGTGCCCAGCGGTTAGTTATAGTCATTACCAGGAGGAATAGGGGCACACTTACCGAGGTGTACAGCATGTAGCACGGGTCACTCCGGAGGGAGGGATGCACATCGGCCAGGACACAAGACGCCGTGGCATCGCGGATGCTCAGAAGGCCGTAAGGGGACTTGCTCTGGGCCCGGACTTGGGAGGCCAGGACGCGAGACGCCTCATCAAAGAGCAGCAGCCCCATCTGGGAGTCATCCGTAATGAAAGACAGACGGCCGACGGCCATGGTCGGGTCCATGGGGAGGTATCCGCAGCGGTTGAACAGGGCGCCGAGCATGCTGACCACCAGGGGAATGCCCGGATCGGCAAGGATGCCAATGTACTGACCATGGCGGACGCCAGCATCCTGCAGCGAAAAGGCCAGTCGGCGACTCGCGAAGACGAGATCCCGGTAGGTGATGGTCTCGCCCTCGGAGGTGGCAATGGCAATGACATCTGGCTGGGACTCGGCGAAGCCCAGAACCCGCTCGACGATCGTGGTATTGTCCCAGGGATGAGGCTTCAATTGGTGGTTCCAGAAGTGGACGCCCAACCGGTCCATCTCCATCGAACCCGCGACGGGGACAGTCGAGATCGGCTGTCGGTGATCCTTGATGACGGAGCTCAGGAAGGTCTGGAAGTTGCCAAAGAACCCGCGCATGTCCTGCTCGCCATACAGCGTGGTCGAGAACTCGAGCTGCAGCTGGAGCACATTGTCGGAATCCTCGCGCGCCTCTAGACTCAATTCGCAGCCGGACGGCATGTTCTCCGCCTCGAGCTTGTGCAGGGCAAAGTCGCCTGCCTGGTAGACGGCCTGGCCCTCGGGTTGCTGGTAGTTGACCATGACTTGACCCAAGGGGAAGTGTCCGGCACTACGAGCCACCTTGGTCTCGCTGACAATCACGTCGAAGGGCACCACGCTGTGGGACATGCCCTCGAGAATGCGACCGCTCATGATTTTGAGAAGATCCTCAAAGGTGCCATCGCAGGCATCCTGACATCGAATGGGGGTCATGTTGACGAAGAAACCCAGCAGGTCATTGAATTCGGCATGGGGCCGGTTGCCATCCACCATCAAGATGGTCAGGTCCTTATCCGCCGTGTAGCGGTAGAGGAAGGCCCGGAAAGCGCTAAACAGGAACTGGAATGGACTGCTCTTGGCCTGTGAGCAGATCCGCTTAATACGCTTGAGCTGCGTGGCTTCCAGCTGGGCCGTGATGGTGGCCCGCGAGTAATCATCCCACGAGGGGCGCTCGGCTTTGGCGAAGGGGAGCAGCTGGCTCGCCGTCGGCATGCCGGCCAGGGTCTGCCGCCAGTAGTCGACATGGGGGACAATCGAGTCAGACGAGAGCAGCTGGTTGTGCCAGAGGGTGAAGTCGGCGTAGTTGACCTTGGGGGCGGGGATGGCCGACAAGCTACGTCCACTGCGGAGGGTGTCGTACAAGGTGGTGATCTGCGTAAGAAGAGGCTGGGTGTTGCCCCGGTCAGTGCAGATGTGATGCATGATGAGCACCAGCGCGTAGTTCTCGGGGGTCATCTTGACGAGCGTGGCGTCGATCAGCTCGCCGACTTCAATGTCCAACTCTTTGCGCTTCAGCGTCGAGACCAGGGTCTGGAGGGCCTCGCTGGGGTTTGCATTGGCCGAAACGTCCCGGAATTTGATGACGAATCCAGTCGCGTCGATGATGGTTTGCTCGGCAAAGTCGTCACCCTCCTGGTAGGCTGTGCGCAGGATAGGATTCCGGGCTTGCAGCTCCTGAAGAGTCTGCCGCAGAAGAGAGAGATCTGGCGTGCCACGCAGATGCATGACAACCGGGATATTAAGGAAGGACTTGTCTTGGGCAAAGCTGTGCGAGAACCAGAGCCGGTTCTGGAAGGTCGACAAGGGAAGGGGCTGCGTCATGTCGGCCTTGGGGATCTCAAGGGTTGCGGCACCCTCGGACGAAGGTCCGGTAGGAGCAGAGGCACCGCTGGCCTTCTGTGGCGTGGGCTTGCCGCTCTTCAGCTCTTGATCCTTGTACAGGGTCACGGCCTTGTCAATCAGCGAGCGGATGGAGGGAGCCCCCATCACGTCAAACAAGGCGATATCGACCCCCAGAGTTTTGGTAAACCAGTTTCGCAGGTCCACGGCCAGCAGGGAATCCAGACCGTAGATGGGATCGGCTGGCTTGGGCGATTCCTTGGGCACGCCGAGAGATACGGCCAGCTTCTCGACAAATCGCTCCAGCAGCAACGAGGCCCGCTGCTCCGGGTCAGTGACCTGCGCGAACAGCACCGGCAGGCTGACCTCGCCCGGCTTCTGACCGGACCGGCGGTCGAAGTCGTGGTTCTGGTACAGGTTCTTGAAGAGCGAGTGAGCCGCCCAGTACACGTCGTCGCGCGTGAGAATGACGCCCGTCACGGTTTGATACAGATCGACGCCCCGAGACGAGACGGTGGACGTCTGGTCGGAAAAGACAGCCTCCTCGACCTGCTGCAACAGCTCCTGTCCGTTGACACCGTCGAAGCCCTCCTGCTCCATGAACCGTTCCAGCGAGGCCGCTTCTGCTGCGACACCAATGCCCGTAATACGCCCGCAGTTCATCGTCGAGCCGGGAAGGCCGATCTGGCGCCGGTGGCGGACTAGGGCATCGATGTACGTGTTGGCTGCCGCGTAGTTGCCCTGCGACTTGGTACCAAAGCAAGCCGAAACGGAGGAGAAAGCAACGAAAAAGTCCAAGGAGGGGAGGTTTTTGGTCGCCTGATGGAGGTTGTATGCGCCAACCACCTTGGGCTGCACGCACTGGTGCCACTGCGCATAAGTCATATTCTCCAAGGCCGCATCGGCCAGAACCATGGCGGCGTGGAAGACACCCCCCAGGTTGGGGATCGCGCTCACACACGCCTCGACATCGGCCAGGTTGGCCACATCGCCCTTGTACACTGTCACTTGGATCCCATGCGCCCGCAGCCAGGAAACGGTAGACTTGGCCTCCTCACGAGTCTCTCCCGATCGCGACAGGAAGACGAGGTTCTTGGCGTTGCGCTGCAACATCCACTCGGCCAGTGTGCGTCCCAGACCACCGAGACCGCCTGCCAGCAGGTACGTCTTGTCGGCGCTGAATTGGTTCGCGCGTCGGTTCCAGGTGGGCGGCCGGATAGGCACCTGCGTCTCGTCGTTGGCCACCAGCACCACCTGTCCGATGTGGCCCTCGCTCTGGACAATGCGGAATGCCTGGGGGGCCTCGGAGTAAGACACCCCCAGAACGGTCTCGGGCATTCCCAGCTTGCCGACGTGGCATAGATCGCAGACCTCTTGGAATAGCCGGGCACCTAGGGCTTGGTTGGTGGCATACAAAGTCACCAGGTCCACCGAGGCAAAGAGCACGTTGCGCTGGAAGGGAGCCATCTCGATCATGGCATTCTCATTGATATCCTGCTTGCCGATTTCAATAAACCGACCGAATGCCGCCACGCAGCTCCAGGATCCGTGGAGGAGCTTGCCGGACAGGCTGTTCAGGACCACGTCGACTCCCCGGCCGCCCGTGGCCTTCTGAACCCCTTCCACGAAGCTGATGTCGCGCGACGAGAAGATCTTTTCTTGAGGGAGACCATAGCGAGTCACCAGCAGCTCCCGCTCGGCGTCGGTCCCAGACGTGGCGATGATAGTGGCTCCAATCATCTGAGCAATCTGGACGGCCATTTGGCCCACTCCACTGGCAGCAGCATGAACCAGCACACTCTCGCCAGCCTGCAAGCGGGCAATCTCCACGAGCGCGTAGTAGGGCGTCACCAAGATCTGGGGCAGGGCGGCCGCGTCCTCGAAGGGCATGGGCCCCAGTCGGAAGCAGCACGAGGCAGGGTTACGGACCACAGAACGATGAGCGCCCTGACCAGGACGGATGGCCAGCACCTTGTCGCCGGGTTGGAATTTGGCCGGGTCGACCTGGGATCCGACGCGCAGCACCAGGCCGGCGCATTCATCGCCCAGACGGAAGTCGTCGATGGTGCCTGTCGCCGCAGCAACGTCGCGGGCATTCACCGTCGAGGCCTTCACTGCAATCTCGATCTCGTCAGGGGACAGCTCCTTATCCAGAATCTCCTCGTCATCCTCCCAGACCAGGCTCTCCAGCCGGCCCACTTGACCGATGGTCAGCTTGATGGGACGCTCGCTGCCGAAAGCCCCGATCTTCTCGCCCGAGTTGACACCCCCGCGCACCTTGGAGTTCAGCCCATCATCGGCCTCGATACGGGGGATGAAGAGGGCTCCGTCGCGGAGGGACCATTCCTCGTCCGCGACCTCACGATCCAAGAGCTGGTTGACAAAGGGGACTGCGGATTGGGCCGTGCAGTCCACCGGAAGGTCCAGGGTCACGATGCGCGAGCCCTCGTTCTCCATGCGGGCCACGCGAGCCAGACCAATGATCATGGCGTTCAGCGGGTTCTCGGCTACTTGGTCGGTGGCGCCTTCAAGGAGCCACACGAGGTTGAGGTTGGGGCGCAGGAGCAGGTTCCGAGCGGCATCGAATGTGGTTTCGCCGTTCTGGTCTCGCTGCATGAACAGAGGACCGTCCAAGCTGGCCAGAACGACCACGTCCGCATCTGCAATCGGGGTCTTTGCCAGGTCCCCAAACCCGACGCAGGATGTTGGGCGATGCTTCATGGTGGCGGCCAGTCGGGAGATGAGATCGACCGTCCGGCTGGAGGGAGGCGACGAATGCACGATTACCAGGGGCTTGGGGCTGGGCTCACCAGCCGGGCTCGTGGCGGTTTTCCAGACCGAGACTGCTGGGGTCTGGAAAAGAGTCTCCAGCTCGGGCTCCGCGACACTGTTGGAATAGGCAATGACATGGCCACCCTCCTTCAGGAACGGTACAACTCTACTCTGCTTAGCGCCAGTCACCAGGACGAGATCATAATCCTGCTCGGAGGGCTCGTCGAGCGTGACAAGACCAGGCCATTTGCCCGCCAGCTGCTCCCAGTCTTCCCCAGAGGCCACCGAGGCTCCTGCAATTGGAGTCAGGGACTTCAGTCGGCGTCGCTCCCGGTTAGGGCCGCCCAGGGACTGGAGCACCTGCTCGGTATCCTCGACCCCAGAGGTAAGATGGAGAATCTTGGTATTCGGGTGCTGGTGGACGAACATGTCGAGCAGCTCGGCAAGCGATGCCTGCGACAGCAGCGATGAATCCGAAGTAAGTTGGTCAAAGGCCGCCTGCCATCGGACACGGAAGAACAGCGAACGGTCATTGGAGTCACCGCCACTGCCCAGCGAGGTCACCCGCAGCCCTGAGAAAGACAGCAGCGGCTGGTGACCCTCGGCGGTCTCGACGCTCAGGTGGCTGATGGCCGAGCGGAACCCTGACTTGTGCGTCGTGGTGTCCACCCACACCTCCTGGGGCCCCTGGGCATCCTTGATGGTAAGCATCTCCGGGTAGATATGGCAGCTCTCGACAAAGGTCGGGATGTACGCCTCATCCAGGTCACGGCCCAACACCTGCTCCAAGGCCGGGAAGATGGTGTGGAAAGTTGCGTCCAGCATGGTCGGGTGCACGAAGGTCACGTCCGCGGGCTGGTTGGCATATTTCTCCGGGCTGAAGCTGAGGCTGGCGCAGGCAAACCCAGGCCCCGACTCAATGCTGCCATTCAGTAGCCGGAATTCGTCGCCGTACTGGAGCCCGATGTCGCTGAGATGGCGATAGTAGCGACTGACCGGCGACCAGGCCGTGCTGCTCTTCAGCCGGCCTTCGCGATCCTGCGCGGCGGACGTTCCAGAGAGTTCCTCGACGGCGACCAGACCCGAGCAGTGCTCGGTGCAGTTGTACAGGCTGTCATAGGAGAAGATCTCGAACTCATACCACGTGTCGGAGCGTGACTTGGCCGAGGTGACCTGGGGATGGATGTCGACAATCAGCTCGGTGCCCATGTCCGAGTCATCCAGCACCAACGCCGACTTGATGGACACATTCCGCAGGGCAAAGCCATCGGTGGCTTTGAGACCATCGCGGGCGCGCGCAACCGCCTCGAATGCAAGGCTCATGTAGCCGGCTGCAGGGAAAAGCACCTTGCCGTCGATGACATGGTCTGCAAGCCACGGCAGCTCGCGGATGCGCAGGTAATTGCGCCACCGCACATGGTTCTCGATCGAGCCCGCCATTTTGGCGCCCAGCAGCGAGTGCCGATGCGAGCGCAGCCGGTGGTTGTGGATCAATCGCGTTTCCGCCCAGTAGCGCTCCGAGTGATCCCACGGATAGCTGGGCAGATCCTTGAGGCGACGTCCCCGGGGTGCGGTGCAGGCGATGCCAGAGTCGGTCAAATAGGCGTCGCTATTGACGGCCACCAGGTCAACAGGATATCCAACTTGGAACAGCTGCCCGGCCAGCCCGAGGATGCCCTCGTAGTCGGGGGTGCCGCGCGTGAGGGAGGCAAAGTAGGGCAGATCCATGTTCAGGCTCTTCATCACCTGCCGAGCTGGGCCCTTGAGCGCCGCATGGGGGCCAATCTCGACCAGCACGTCCACGTTCTGGTTCTCGGAATCGTCGATCAGGATGCCCACGAGCGCATCGGAGAATCGGACCGTGCCCGTCATGTTAGCGGTCCAGTACTCGGCACCCATCTGCTCGGCATCGGCCACTCGCGCCGTGACACTGGAGAACATGCGCGCCTTGTCCGATGGTTGGGGGGAGAAGCCGGCGCATTCGTTGAGGGCCTTCGCATAGGCGGGCGCGAGTGGGAACATGTGGTGGGAATGGAACGCTTGGGCGACTTGCAGCCGGCGGGCAAAGATCTTGCGAGCCTCCAAACTCTTCTGGACCTCGATGATGGCGTCCTCGTCACCGGACAAGGTGACGCTGGACGGACTGTTGACCGCCGCGATGACGGCGCGGCCTTTGTAGGGCGCCAGCTCAGCCGCAGCCTCGGACTCGCCCAGTCCAACGGCCATCATCGCCCCCACGATGGCATCGGGACCAGCCTGGGCTGCCCCGTTGGACATGTGCAGGCCTCGGTAGTATGCCGCGTACATGGCACTCTCGAACGAGAGAATTCCGGCCGCAAATGCAGCGCCCATTTCACCCGACGAGTGTCCCACGACGGCCGTTGGCTCGACCCCCCAGGTCTTGAGGAGTTCGAGAATGGCCAATTGCAGGGCCGTGCAGATGGGTTGCGACAGGTGCGTTTGGCTCAATTGCGAGTCCTCCTTGGTTCGCGAGAGCTCTTCCACCACCGACCACTTGGGACCGTCCGGAAGGGCCTTGAGCACCTGGTCGGCTCGTTGCAGCGTCTGCAAGAAGATGGGCGATTGCTCCATCAGCTGACGACCCATGGCATACCACTGGGCTCCCTGGCCGGTGAACACGAATCCCAGGCGTGGGACCTGCTTGCTGGTCTTGGTCCACGCCGGGACTTTCCGCAGGCTCTCTTGGATGGTGGTGGCATTGCTGCCAATGGCATAGGACCGCTGCTCATGCATCGAGCGAGCCGTGGAAAGACTCACGGCGAGGTCGGACACATGGCTGTTTTCCTGGCGTTCCAGGTATTCTCCCAATCGCTCCGTGAGGAGATCGCCGGCCTTGTCAGAATGGGAGGTCAAAGGCACGAGTAACGGGCGGTTTTGCACCGCCTCCTCGAAGATCGGAGGGATGGTTGATGGAGGGCGTTCCTGGATGGTATGTGGCCGATAGTCCTCGAGAACGACGTGTGCATTGGCGCCTCCGTAGCCGAACGAGTTGATACTGACTCTTCGACGGCCGTGAGCATTGAGAGGGAAGTCGACCAGCTCGGTGGGAACTTCGATCTGCCAATCTTCGAACTTGATCTCGGGGTTGGGAATCTTGAAATGCATGTTGGGGGGAATCTTGCCCTTCTCTAACGCCATGGTGGCCTTGATGATACCAGCCAAGCCGGAGGCTCCCTCGGTGTGGCCGATGTTGCTTTTAATTGAGCCTACATACAGAGGCCGTGTGCGACGCTTGGAGCCAAAGACTGCCCCCAAGGCCTTGGTTTCTAATGGATCACCCCGCCCCGTCCCTGTGCCGTGGGCTTCCACGTATGTGGTATCGACGGGGTCTAATCCTGCCGATCGGTATGTCTTTCGGATGAGCTCCTCTTGTCCGTCCGAGGACGGGAGCGTAATTCCCTGCTTCGTGCCGTCGTGGTTGGATCCGGTGGCTCGGACAATGGCTCGAATATCATCGCCATGCAACTCGGCCTGTCGCTGGCCTCGCAGAATCACCGCGCAGACACCATCACCACGGGCGTATCCCTTGACGCCGGCGGCAAAGGCACGACTGCGTCCTTCCTCCGAGAGCATGCCCAAGTCGGTCATGGTGATGAAGATGTTGGGGTCGAAATGCAGGGCGGATCCCACAATGATCGATGTGTCACAGTCGCCACTCTGGATGGACTGGGCTCCCAGATGGAAAGCCACCAGCGATGAGGAACAGGCAGTATCGATGGTTAAACTCATTCCTTGCAAGTTGAAAACATAAGAGACGCGATTCGAGAGGATGGCATTGCCGGTGCCGGTGACTGTGTAGCTGGGATAATATTCAAGATCTTTCGTGAGCATTGCATTATAATCATTAGTAAACGACCCGCACAGGACAGAGGTGCGCGAGCCGTTCATTTCCTCGAGGGTGATGCCGGCATCTTCCAAAGCCTCATACACCACCTCGAGGATCAGGCGTTGTTGGGGGTCCATTGCCTCGGCCTCCTTGCCGGAGATGCGGAAAAAGCTGCGATCAAAGTGGCCCAAGTCTTGATCGAGATAATATCCGTATTTGGCATTGGTCTGAAACAGTACCGGTGTATCAGCAAGCGTTAGGGTCTATAGGTCAGTATATCAGGGGCGGGTATCACTGACCGTGCCCTTATGGGTGCCATCTGGGTGGAAGAAGTTGTCCACATCGAATCGATTCGCCGGCATCTTGCATCTTACATCCTTCTGCTCGACGATGTTGTCCCATAATTTACTGGGTCGGTCTGCGCCGGCCACCCGGCAGGCATAGCCCACCAGGACGGCTGGGTTAGGGCCGTCGATGGACGTCACGGACGATCCGGACTCGAACGGCGAGAAGCCCGGCGAGGACTCTTTCGTCGAGACCTCGGGCTCCTGGGAGCCTTGCCGTCCCCGTAGATCTCCTGCCATCCTTGCTCGGGGTGTAGATAAATGGAGATGAGGAGGGGTTAGAGTGGGATAGAGCAAGGTTGATAAAGGATGGAGAGGATCACCGTTAGAGGAATGGGAGGGACAGCAGGTGTCTATTGTACATGTGGGAAAAGGAACGAGGGAAAAGGAGGGAACTTAAGTCTCTACGAGGGGCTGTGAATGGGGAACAATTGGGATGCCAGCTCGTCAGCTCGTCAGCTCGTCAGCGTCAGCTCCAAGCGCATCGGCGTGGCCTCGTCTGCCCCCAATCCTGCGGGCTTCGTCCTCAGAGGTGCTTGGCCGGCAGATCCATATGGGTGTCTCAGCACGCCGTGCAGTTGCTTCATTGGATTGATTGACCGCAAGACTTCCGCGGATGCTTTGGGCCACTCGCAGCCCACCTGCCCTTAATGGGACGACCAGCCAAGTGGGAAGGGCCACAGAAACATGACACCCACCCCCGACGGCGTCCGAGAAAGGCCAGTTGATCGGGCCCCCTTGCGGGGTGGGCAGCACGAAGAGACAGACGATCCAGCAGGCAAGGGGTGCCGAACGCCCACCGTGGAATCCGGCCTTGCTGCGCACGCGGCATGTGGCGTCCAAGGCCACCATGCAGCCAACCGGACGCTGAGGCGTAGCTGAGATAAGGGCATCTTTCGGTTGATCACGCAACCCGGACCGGATATGATTTACCAACTCGAGTCCATTTGCAGGGCTTGGCTCTTTCCTGGTCGAGACAAGCTCGATGCCGCTGATGGACAGCCCGGGTTACTAGAACTTGCGGTAGAAGACGGTCGAGATATCGCTCAAGGGTTACATTTTTCTACGGGAGCATTAGGGCAGGAGGCTGAAAGAGGAAAAACTTCGTGCAATGACATGATCTAGACGGCTAATCCACTACTTCGTGTTTTCCTCCTCGGGCAGCAGGTTCAGCCACTTCTTGAACACATTTTCCGGGTCGTACTTCTTCTTCAACATCTGCAGACGGGGCAGGTTTGCTCCATACACATCCTTCGCACGCCCATCGCTGTGGGAGTAGTTGGCATATGCCCGGGCATGCGCCCCGGCACCCGCACGATCGCCCACCTTGCGCATCAGAGCCCGTTGCATCTCGCGCATCGTCTTGTCCAGGCTGGGGTCTTCCCAGCGGAAGGCACAGCCCACGTTGTACCAGGCACCTCGGGTGGTGTAGGACATGCTGTCCTTGGGCACCAGGATGGCCTTCTTGTGAGACACCAGCTCGAAGAGGACCGCCGTGGCACTGGTCCCGTCATAGGTCTGGATCATCGTGGCGTAGTCCTCCAGGATCTCCTGGAAGAAGTCCACTTGCAGGGGCAGCTTGACAAAGGCCCCGCTGAACGACTTGCGACCTCCGTATGTGGCGATGGGGTTCTGAATGCTGTTCAACTTCTCGTAGGGCATCATTGTGGCCGTGTTGATGTCAGGCCCCAGCTCCAGGATCGGGGCAAAGTACTTCTCGGCCTCGTCCTGGGGGCCGTTGTAGAAGATGGCGGCCACGATACTGACGCGCCCTGCGGGCATGGCACCGCAAAAGCCGAAGAAAATGCCCATGTCGCCCGTGTTCGTGTCGTCCTCGAAGTGGTTGACAAACTCGATGATCTGAGGCAGGCAGGAGGCCGGCCAGCTCAATAGACCCGCATAGACGGCGTTCTTCTGGTCGTAGGCCTGGAAGATGAACTCGGTGGTGACGCCAAAGTTCTGGCCAGCACCCCGAATGGCCCAGAAAAGATCCTCATTCTCGCTCTCGGAGGTCTTCACAATGCGGCCATCAGCCAGTACGATGGTCGCACCCAGCAGGTTGTCGATGGTCAGGCCGTAGCGCCCTGTCAGCCAGCCATAGCCACCACCCAGAGTCAGGCCTCCGACGCCGGTGTGGTTGACGGTGCCTCCGACGGTGGCCAGACCATACGGAGCAGCCGCACGGTCGATGTCTTCCCAGACGGTGCCTCCCTGGGCCGTGATGGTCTTTTGCTCGGTGTCGACCACCACGCCGCGCATCTTGGTCAAACTAATCACAATGCCTCCCTCGGTCGCGGACGCTCCGCTGGTAGAGTGGCCGCCATTGTGAACGACCATGGGGATTTTGTGGTTGCCCGCAAAGACTACAGCGATGGACACCTCCTCCGCAGTGGTGGGAAGAACCACAGCACCCTGGACATATTAGTGGTGAGCGGTGCCGTTGAGCTTGCTTCGCGGGGATAACTTACGGCTTTCTTCTCGCACGTGTCACTCCATCTCCTGATGCCTTCGGCGTACCCAGGCTCGCCCTCGATCAGGACCTCGGCATTGGTGCCTGCCAGCAGCTGGCGCAGTTTGAGAACTTCAATTGCAGTGATCGAGTGCATATTGTGACAAGAGGTTCACACCGGAGTAAACCTGGAATCAATGGAAGAGAGCTTACTTATTTTGAGCGAGGGTCCAAGAACAAAGGCAGAGGATGAAAAAAGGCGGGAGCGCCACGTCTACAGGCGCCAGGATATACTTCTGGTTACGATGGTGCCTGGTGCTATCCATTGTTGGAACCGGGTCGAATCAACATGCTCGTATGTCTGACATGGCTCTTTATCCAGTGCCCCCTTGCTTGTGATTCGTCAAGATCAATTCCCTTCTGATCTATGTCGCATGGCATAAAGCTTGCCCAGCCATACCCATTTGCATCGACTAAATCTCCGTGTGAATCCACCATCGACGAGGTTCCAGCTAAATTTGACACGCATCGGTCTTCTCCCGATGGGATCCACTGTCCGGCAGTCACTAGTCTGTGGAAGATTGGCATAGACCTCTTAGTCGTGAGCAAACGGCACCAGAAAAGTCTAGTCATTGCCAGCCACCAGCGCAATGAGAGTGGAATTACCCGGTAGACCCCTGCATGGAAGGTCAAGAAGACAAGTGGACTCGATAGATGAGAGACACACAGATGCAGTGTTTTCATGGATCAGACCGCTTTCCTGGAAGACATGCACATACCCAAATAGGAGGGCAGATGCAGGCCCCATGTAAGGGCACGATCTGTCCGCCAAACACACCCTTCGACCTCAAATATCTTCCGACTGTATCTCAACCACCGCCGCGTCATACTACACGTGCAAAAATAGGCTTCAATGTGTCGCCGGATACTAGCTCCGAGTTACACACACCAAGGCAGGGAGGGGGGGGGGATGACCTGCCATCTCCATCGGCCCGGGCTTGACACGAGTCAGCATTCCAGCATGCGAGGAGGCGCCGATCCAAACCCAAAGTCAATCATTCAGCAACGCCACGGTCGCGGCTGGGGCATGTGCATATGCAATGCCCATCCCAGGCGTTAAAATCAACCGGGCAGCCATCATTGGGATGGCAGTTTCAAATTGCGGTGGACGGTACTGCAGCCACTGCCGGCTGTGAATAACATCCAGTCTCCTCCGGGACATGGTAGAGACCTGGGTGACGCGTCCTGCAATCCGGGACGATCGGGGAGCCCCAAGGAGTCAACGAAGCCGTCGCTGACCCTGCTTCCTGCAGGCGATGGGAGAGGATCATCGGTCTCGGACTGCCCGTGCTCGAGGGCTGCCATCCTGCCACACTGGGCGTTGTTAAATCCTCCGCGGACCTTTTATGCAGTGCAACCGACTGCGATGAAACCAAGGGTCGGCGTGGTCAGCGTCAGGACTTTTATGTCTTGTGTTCGGACACCGGAGGTTTCTGCTGGAGCTGAAGTGCCCATCTCTCGGATTTCCGATCCCCCATCTGTGCCCCGTGAGCAACCATGATTGAGGATATTCAGGCCCGTCTTCAGGCCCGTTTCCAGGCCCATCTGGCCGGCCGCGAAGAGCTGCTCGCTTCCCCCAGTATCGTGGTTGGGACGCTCTTGTTCTTGCTGGTCCTGTTCCAGTGGCGCCGAGCTGGTGGTTCCAAAGCGTTTCCCACCCCGAGACTGGGCTTTCCTCTCATCGGAGATGCCTTGGCCTTTCTGAACACTCCGGTTGGGTTCGTGAAAGATGCGACGAACAAGTGTGGCCCGATCTTTCAGGTCAAGTTGCTGTTCGCCAACATTGTCTATCTCCGCGGCACCCAGCTCAACCGCATGTATGTGGATGTCAAGGAAGATATCTGGTCCTTTGGGGGCGGTATTGTAGGCATTTCTCTTTATTCTACTTGGGAATAATCCCCGCTCATCTTTTCCAGGGCATTTTCTTGAAGAAGATCGCCATCCCCGGGTATTTCGATCATTTCCGAACCCTGGTGGGCTCGCTGAACCGCGGCATCAATCGCAAGGTGACGCTGGACCGCTACACCGAGCTGGCAGGCGAGGAAGCCGACAAGGCCCTGCTGAAATGGAGCCAGCAGCCGGATGTCAAGATCTTCGACGAAGCATCCAAGTATGTGCATCGCGTGATTGTGCGCACCCTCATGGGACAGGACTTTTACGACAACCACATCGACGAGCTCTACGATCTGCTGCACCGCATGGAAGACGAGATTGGCCATCCCCTCAACCTGCTGCTCCCTGACTGGGTCTCGCATCCCCCGGCACGACGCCTGGGACAGGCCCGCGACCGCTTCGCCGAGATCTTTGAGCAGCAGATGGCGATTCGACGCCAGAATCCGGAGCAGTGGAAGGGCTCGCTCGACTACATCACATATACGCTGGAGGATCCGCGCACAGCCCATCTCCAGGAGTACTATCCCTCCCACCACACGGTGCTCATGTTTGCGGCTCATACGAGTACCGTGGCCAGTATCGCCTGGACGGCCATGGAGGTGAGTCGTTGCATACCCACACTATTTCTGATATCTGGACAATCTGACTGACATTCCGCGCAGTTAATTCGGAACCCACAGTACGTGGAAGCCATCCGCCAGTCGTTCAAGGAACACGGTGATGTGCATCAATCCCCTGAGCTGTTGGCGTGCGTCAAAGAGAGCGGTCGTCACTACTCTGGGGTGCACATGTATCGCACCACCCATCGTCCGGTGAAGCTGGAGGATGGCTACACCGTGCCCGAAAACTGGGTGGTGTGTACCTCGCCCTACCTGACCCATCACGATGCGGACATCTACCAGCAGCCCGATCAGTGGCTGCCGGAGCGGTGGCTTCGCCCAACTGCACGCCTGCAGAACCTGAACAACGCCACTGACGCGGCCTTTCTGCAATTCGGGGCGGGCTCGCATCGGTGCCCCGGCGAGAACATGGCCGGCATCATCGCCCGCGAGCTGGTGTCCCGACTGGTGAAGAACTACGATTTTCAATGGGGCAGCCAGGGTCCGGCCAAGCTGGAAATCTCCGACATGGACTTTAGTAAAGTGGGCAGTCCCTGGTTGCGGGGCGATGCGCGCATTCGTCTCCAGCCGAGGAAGTCTGCTGCTTAGGTGTTGGATGATTTAAGTGATGGGCCTCACGTGGATGCCCTGGTATACGGCATTGAGCTTTTAGTTGAATCCAAGCTTGAATGATGACAGTAGCATGAGTTGTACACAGTCCTACTGGACTCCTAGCGCATATCGTCTAGCGCCTGTAGCCTTCTGGTTCGCCTCACTAGAATTATATTCGTGGTCTAAGTGATCGATGTAGGATTCAACTTCATACGTACCTTTCACATTCCGTACTATCACGCAACCAATGTCCATTGATCCCACCGGGGAGATGAAACGAGACACTGCGTGGCCCTATATAGACCCAACTGGCCACCGCTCATTCTCCCCCAACCCTCACTCCCAACGGGGCGTCTATGGTACCTTCCGTCGAATGGACGAGTCTGACACGACATGCCACAGGCTCTAATTCAGCCGATCAAAGTCACCGTTCCTTAGCGCCGTCGGTTCTTGTTCTCCTCTCACCGACATATGCAAGGCACGCAATTGGGCCCATGGATTTACCCTTTCCAGACGCTGCGGTGCGGATCATCCCTTCGTACGAGGGCCACTAGATTCCTGTTTTGTGTGCAGGCAAAACGTACCGGTCCACGAAGGGCGATTGTCTCTTGATGAACGTGCATCTGCAGCCATCTTCATGCCGCCGCTCCGACCGTGGCTGATACGGTAACCGATGCGAGCAGTCCCATCCGAGAGGAGATTCCGCACGATACTTAAGGAGTAGGCTCCGATCCAGCTGAGAAGTACCCCGAAGCTACTCTTCCAGACGTCTTACCACACACTCGGGGTCCCAGGCCTTTTACATTCCCCCACTCTTCCGATTTCGTTTTTGTTCTCTTTTCCTTCCCGTGGCCTTTTCTCATCATGGCTCCCAAGGCCGATGTCCAGGTTTTGATCATCGGTGGAGGTATTGCGGGGTTGACACTGGCCAACATCTGTAAACGGATTGGACTGACCTACAAGGTGCTGGAACGCACTGCTGAAGTGACCCCCGTGGGTGCTGGTATCTCGCTGGCCCCCAATGCCCTCCGACTCTTGGACCAACTGGGGTTCATGGACATGATCCGGAAGGAAGGCCAACCGCTGCGCAAAATCCAGGTCTTCCGCAACACGACGAAATGGAGTGTGCTCGACTTTGAATGGCTGGAGGGGACCTATGGGTATTCCATGTACTCGATGCCGCGACACTCGCTCCACCGGGCCCTGTACCAGGCGACCGGGACGGAGCACGTCATCCTGGACGCCGAGGTGGTCAGCTTCGAGGACGACGCCAGCTCGCCGGTGGTCAAGGTACGCCTGGCAGATGGGCGGGAGTTCAGCGGCGAAGTGCTGGTGGGTGCTGATGGCATCCGGTCGATCACTCGACGCCTCCTTGCGGACAAGCAAGGGCTGGCGGGCGTCAACACCATTCGCTTCACCGGTCGCACCCACATGACGGGCATCTCGTACCCGCTCACGCATCGGGGGCCCGAGGATCTCGGGGTGGCCACCTGGGTTTTCTACGATGACTGCATTCTGACCTCTTGGCCGTGCATCGAGAACCGCCAATGGTTTGTCGGCGTCAAGGTATGTTTCTGATCCGTTGCACGGAGTAAGACTAATGTCCCCGACTGGCTAGCAATCCGAGGCCAAGACCATCACGCGCTCCACCTGGAAGGGGGCAACCAAGGAGATGATCAACGAGGTGTATGGCCACCGCTTCCATCCAATGGGCAAGAATGGCACCGTCCGTGATGGTTTGTCTCTCCTCCTCCTCCTCTCATCCGATTACTGGGCGCTGACTGGTGTAGTGGTCGACATTGCCGAGCGAGTGACGGCCAGTGATGTGTTTGAGGAGACGGCGTTCCCCGAGATGGCCTTTGGCCGAGTGGCCTTGGTGGGAGACTGTAAGACGATCCGATGCATGAGTAAGATCCAGACTGACTGCTTTATAGCTGCCCACTCCATGACGTCATTTATTGGCCAGGTAAATCCCGAATCTTCTCCAATGAGTGGCATTGCTAACTAGAACTGCACTGTAGGGCGCCTGCCAGGCCATTGAGGATGTAGGCGAGCTGGCCAACGGGCTGCACACCTACTTTGCCGGCCAATCCAACGATCCGCAGGTGCTGCGGAATGTGCTGGTCGATTACCGCAAGAGCCGGGAGCCACGCGCGCGCAATCTGGTGTATTACTCGAGCATCTTTGCGCAGGTGCATACGGGACGGTTGCCCTACGGATTGGGGCCAATTGCCCGTCGCATCGCGTTCTCATATGCTCCGACGTGGTGTTGGAAATGGGCCACCGACCCGCTGTATGGATACCAGCCTCGCGTGCACGCGCTGGATATGTTGAGTTAGATGTGTGGTTACTGTTAGATGTTTAATGAATGGCGTTGGCTTTGGCTGGCTGAACGAGCGAGATAGGCTCGTTATCCACGTAGACGGTGCTGTCAAGTGGGGAGTGGAAGCAAGGGGCTGCAAGGGACTTGCCACCGAAGATCGATCCGGGCATCAAATCCCGGTGGTCGCTGTTTCGAGCATTCGCATGGGATTCTAGGCTACGGACATTGGTGATGGAAGCATGCCCGGGATTATCATGTCGGAATCTCTCCACTGCCAACACTGCCAACACTGCCGACTGATAATGAGATGCTCGCATGAGGATGTTAGTCGAACATATAAATAATCAAATCTGGGTTTCAATTCTCGCTGTAACATCTAATTCGGGTTCTCAAGTCACTTAAGTCACAGTACAACCCTTAATCCATTGAAGTAACTCATCGAATACATTAGACGTTCCCTTCACAACAGTCCAATCCAGCTGTAGATCATCATTGTTGCAGCTCATACACACTACTTCTAATTAAAGAAATGTATTGTGGCTTTTACTTCGTTCTTCCTTGCTATTTAGACGTTTCAGTGAGTTGGTACAGTGGTAGAAGCCATATCGTTGCCCCAAGTGGAAATATATATCTCTACAGGAGTTCCGTACATCAACCACATGCCCAATACTGGCAGTCAAATGAACATATATTGTCACCCTCTCATGCTTGATACTTATGAATCCATACTGTAAGCGTATTCTAGTTGAGAAGCTCCACTAAAATTAAGAATATCGCAAAACTTATGTTCTCAGTTTGATGATAATCCCACTGGTTCAACTCCGCGGGGTCAAGGTTCAATACCACATAACCGGAAATACCACTCTAGCCCAATACAGCCCCCCACTAACCCCCTTTGAGCACCATACCTGCCAAGCCATGCTAAGCACCACCCGGAATTACCCGTCCTCCATACCGCCGCATCCGCAACCATACCCCCCGGCAACACACCTACAATGTAATCATGTAATCCTGCTCAACGAACCAACCAATCAAATTAAATAAATAAAAGTCTAGAATCTCAAAAGTAAAAACCGCCCTAGTGACATCCCCGACGCAACTAGACAATACACAACCAGAACCCTTCCCCTCCAAACCCACCAGACAAGATCATCCCCACCAAGAAACAAGTCATCTGCCCATGCTCAAACCCTTCTCAAATCCATCTACCCCGCAAACCGACTCCTCTTCCGCAGCGACGGCCCAAACCAATACAACACCAACACACCCACAATACACCCCACCGTCAACCCCGCCAGCAGCGTCGTCCCCCTGGCCACCCCCAACCGATCATACAACGGCCCCGACCAGAGAATAGCCGCAAAGGCCAAGCTCGCACGCGCCAGATCATTCATCGCAAACAAACTCGCACTGTAGGTCATATACGCCACGGACAGATAACTAAAGATACACTGCAGCACCAGCGACATGCCCGCGACCTCAATGACCAGGCCAATGGTCGGGACGATCCAATGGATCGACGCCCGGGACGTCCACGCGAAGAGAAATAATCCGGCGGGGATGAGCACGCTTCCCACGATGGCCGGGACGAGACGATGTTCGGGGTGAGGGAACTCGCCTCGACGGAAGGCTTTATTGAGGGAGAAGTGTACGAAGGCGTAGTAGAAGGGGATTAGTAAGAGGGAGCTCACGACGCAGCTGAGGAAGATGAGCCCTAGTTGGCCGAGGTTCATGTGGTAGATGTCTTGATATACGAGGGGGAGGACTTCGAAGTAGGAGTAGAAGATGGCGTAGACGAGACCGATGTAGACGGTGGTGAAGAGGACGGCGGGGTCCAGGGCGTTGACTTTCCAGGGGATTACGAGGGCTTCGTAGGCGATTTGCATGGCGGTGGCGTTTTGGGTTTGGATCTCGGAGCGCGATCGGAAGGCTGGGTTGCCGGTCAGTTTGCGGAGGCGTTTGGCGCGGAGATGCATGATGGCTGGGCCGGAGGTTTCGGGGAGGAAGAGCTGGAATTGAAGTGGTTAGAAGGGTCACTGGGAGTAGGAAGAAGAAGGAGGGGGTCACTCACCAGCATAACAAAACATAATGCTGCCGCCCAGAGAATCTCCCACATGGCCCAATGCCAGCCCTTGACGGGCACACTAAACCCCGAGATGGTCGGGGCAATGGCCGGCCCTGCGATAGAGCACATCCCCCAGATGTACAATCCATACGGCAGGTTCTTGATGGCCGTCACATCGGCCAGGGAAGCACCCCCCGTGGCCAGACCGGGAGATCCGAAGAAGCCCTGCAGGTAGCGCAGGATCAAGAACCCCGGGACATTGTTGACCAGGGCAGTCGGCACGGCGAGAATCAGGAAGATGGTCACAGAGATCACGTAGGGAGGGTTCCGGCCCACCTCGGGCACCTCGGACATGGGACTCCAGATCATCGGGCCCATGCCATAGCCCAGCACGTATAGGGCCAGCCCCAGCGAGCTGACGGTACGGCTGACCCCGAAGATGTCCTGGATTTGACCCTCATCGGCTGCCACAATGGCCGCTGCCATGAACACCAGGAAGGTGAACAGGTTCACCTCGACGTAGACCAGCAGCTTGGCCGCAAACGACCAATTGTGTGGGTTGTCCGGGTCATCGGGCGAGTACCAATCCACCAGGATGGTGCCGTCGGGCATGACTTCGGGCTCAATCCACGACGACGAGGGCGACTGCAACGACGACGACGAGGGCGGCGTGGGAGCCGGAGTGGGGAGCGTGACATCTTGGATCCCATCAATTTCCTTGACTGGGTCGTCTCGGGGCAGGGCCTGGTTGAACAACGTACTTCCATCCGCTGACGGTGCTGTCTTCTCGGGCGATTGCTGCTGCTGTTGCTGGGCGAGGGCATTACTCGCGGCCAGTTGGTAGGGCGGCGGGAGGGTGAAATCGCGACGATATTCGCGCGGAGTGAACAGACGCCCGCCCGACACGAGGCGCAGGATCACGCCGATTGCCGAGTTGGAGAAGACTCGTGCCATGATCGGGGTGGTGGTGCGGTGTCACTGGTTGTCTGGGACAAGAGGGGAATCATCGAATCGAATAAATGATACTCCTCCGTAATAACAATAACAATAATAATAATAATAATAATAATAATAATAATAATAATAACCACTAGAGGGTATTGACCAGGGTATTGACCAGGGTATGTATGGAAGGATTAAGGGGGCATCTGACCTGTAGTAGACCGCTTCCGTGCACGCAATTTCCCCAGCCCTAAGGGGCATGCAAGGGGGGGGGGCGGCGCGAGGTCAGACCAGCAAGGCCCGCGCTGTTTTTTGAGGGCATACCGCAAGGATCGACAAGGTTCCATGGTTGCATCCCCTGGCCAGGATGGATCCGGCCATTCACCAATCCCCCGTCCATTCCGGTTGGTGTTAAACCCCCCCACGAGCCGAGTGTCCGAGCGGTTGCATGAACTCACACCGATGCAACGAATCACCCCAAAAGTGAGGTCATCGTCTACGTGGCAGCCTTATCCGCCTTGAAAAACAAGCCCTATCCCGCTGACTGACTGTCTTAGACGGACAGACAGACAGACAGGGGAAAATACCATTCATCTTGCTTGTTTACCCTTGCCCGCTTGCCCACCATGACTTCTCTACCCCCAGCTCAGTGCTGCATCGGCGGCCATCTGCACAAAGGCACTCCCAAGGGGGAGGTGACCGACATTGACGGCAGTAAGGACCCCCTCCCTCCTCCCCTCCTGTTTTTCATCTCATTCTAACGTGCATCCTCCCCAGTCTACACCTACGTGTCCGCCCCCGCCAACAAATCGACCCACAACGCCATCCTGTTTCTGTCCGATATCTTCGGTCCCAAATTAATCAACTCGCAATTGATCGCGGATCAATTCGCCGATAATGGGTACTACGTGGTGATGCCGGATCTTTTCAACGATGATCCGGTACCCGTCGAGCACGGAGAGGATTTCGATATCATGAAATGGTTGCAGAAGCACCTGCCCCCCGTCACGGACCCGATTGTCGATAAGACCCTGGATTATATGCGCAGTAAGCTGGGATGTAAGCGTATTGGCGCGGTCGGATACTGCTATGGTGGCAAGTATGTCGTCCGTTATCTTAAGCCTGGGAAGGTGGACGCGGGCTTCATGGCTCATCCGGTGAATGTGGAGGCGGAGGAGTTGAAGGGTATTCAGGGGCCGTTGAGTATTGCTGCTGCGGGTGAGTTTATGCCTGATTTCTCTGGTCGTTGATGTGCAGGTTAACTGAGATGGATGAATGATGTAGTCTCGGACTTTCTCTTCCCTACGGAGAAGCGTCGCGAGAGTGAGGATATCCTGGCGGAGGTGGGCCAACCATACCAGCTGTCGCTGTATTCTCATGTCGAGCATGGGTATGCTGTGCGGTGTGATATGGAGGTCAGGCAGCAGAGAATTGCCAAGGAGCAGAGCTTCGCTCAGGCTGTGTCGTGGTTTCATCAGTATTTGAGGGAGTAAATATGGAGATTGGATATATATACTTTGAATATCAATAGAATTCATATGCTTCGTGAGATGTCATTGTTACGGTCGCATCTAGAGGAGAAGAGTATTCCTATGAGATAGTCGGTGGAGATGACTCTGGTCTACCTCCAACGACAGATTTACAATGATGGTTACATCGAAAAGATAGTGAGGGTCTTTCCAACCAGACCATGATCATCTGGCAGGAGTCAGTCCTCCTATGCCAGCTGGAAGCCTCACACCGAGTCTGCATCCGGGATAAGGCAACAATCAATCAGGCAACCGCTTATGCCAAATGGATAGTAGTAGTAGTAGTAGTAGTAGTAGTAGAATTCATAGACCCGATATAGCTGGCTGTACTAATGGCCTTGCTGTACAAGTGTTTCTGAGCTCCAGAGAGATTATTTATATATATATATAAATTATTAAAATATCATAAAATATGATGTTAACCTTGCTGGATCTCCAGATCCTGTTATATATTTATTTTTCAGTTATATAACTGTTTATATCTGTTTTGTTACTTATTTTTATCCGGGTTATTATTATCATAATATTACTATTAAGATATTGTGTTAAAAAACTTGATTTTTATTTACTGAAAAGCTTATTAAAAAGTATATTTTATTTTATTTTCTATTCTATTCTTAAATATATATAAAAATATATTAGACAAGATTATTTAACCTGTTTAAATTATATAAAAGTAACAGAATTACAGATATTTTAAAATATTTATTATCTTAAGAAGAAATTATATAATATTAAGATACAGGCTAGTAAGATAATAAGATAAAAAATTCAAATAAATAAATTTAATTAAGATAATTTGAATTTAGATAGATAACTAGTTAAGTTATATATAAGTTAATAAATAATAAAGCTTAAGACTATAAATAAAATTATAAAGATAAAAGACTTTTTAACAGTACATGGAGTCACATGCGAGGCCTTAGCAAGGATGTGCCCTAGTCATACTGTGACAGACCTTCTACATCATACAATACAACTACAGCTGATTAAAAAACCAGATTATAATACCATTCCTGCAAAAAACAGCTATGAAAAAGATAAATATCATTACCTGCTAAAACCTCTAAAACAACCCCTTCCAGAACACCACATACTATCTGAATATAGATATATACTATCTCTTACATCCAGAAAGTAATAATAAAGTATATATTTATTTATATATTAATAAGAGACTGCACCCAGATATCTAAAAACACTAGTCAGTAAGTCCAGATTATTAATAACACCAAGTCAATTATACTAGAACTAATAAGATAAAAGCTATCTTTATTTATAATTTTATAACAAACTTAATACAGAGACTATAAATCTTATAAAAAATTACTTTAATAATTATCACAGTGTGACTAGGGCACTGTTACGGACCCCTGCTAGTTAAGCTACTAGTAAGGCGGACTCGTCAGGCAGAAGACACCGACAAGGCAACGCCCGGACTATCAGCGACTCCTATCAGGTAGAAACTCGGTTCGAGTAACCAACGCCCGGAACGACTACGCATCACGTGACCACGGGTATATGGAATGGTATATGGAATGGTATATGGTATATGGTATACAGTATACGGGAAGGTATATAACTTGGTATACGAAGGATAGGATATATAAGGACACTCTTTCATATACTTAACTAGTTCTGTTCTTCGTGCTCAATAACACTGTCTTTAAGTAACCATAAGTTTGGAAGCTTAGTGATAATACTTGTCTACACTTACTTATGGATAGCTGCGCGGCATTATTCAGCCTTACTTCTCTTTTCTTGTCTAAGACCAGTTTCTAGATAGTTATCAGCCTGATACCTCCTCGATTCAGTTCGACGGTACGTATACCAGTGAAGCTAAGCTAACAGGGACAGGGAAGCGAGCCTAGGGTTTGACAGCCTTGTAGTTATGGTGTAAATTTAAAAAATTTGATCCGCGCGTGGGGAGTTGTTCTACCTTATGCTAACTGGAGTAACACATGTCATAGTTATCTAGTAATTAAATCCACAGATGCACTGGCACATCTCAACTAGCCTCTCAATAATCGCCCTCTACAGATATTTACATCAAGATCCACCAACCAGCAACCCTCACGACACCAAAAGATCATTCGGAATATACAACGGCATAGTATCCTCCCACCGACTCTGGGTCAGCACCGTCATATTCGACCCATCCGCCTCCATCTGCATAATCATTGGGTACGGCTGCTGGTTATTGTCATAGATCGCGGCCTCGTCCTGGAAGCCATACATGCCCGATGCCCAGGCGATCTTGCCCTCGTGCGTCCACACGGCGTGGGCGTCATTGCACTGCAATGTCGTCAACTGCCTCACGTCACTGCCGTCCACGGCCATGGTCATCACGTCGTAGTTATCATCCAACGGGCCCGAGATAGGCCAGCTGGTGCGCCGCGTGAAGACAATCCGGTTGGATCCGTCCGGCGCGAACATGGGCGTGTTATCCCACGCTGAGCTCAGCGCCACCACCTCGCCCGTCGTCAGATCCATGCGTCGCAGCCCCAGCGGCGCGACCTCCTCGCTGGCCGTGTACGCGAATTCGCGCCAGACCACCCACCGGCCGTCGGGCGAGATGGTCGGGAAACCTGCGTTGGTGCTGCCGTTGGTGAGAGGGACGGCCCAGGAGCCGTTGGCGGCCACCAGATACACCCATCCGGGGTTGGTGTAGCGGTACTCGAACCAATCACCTAGACCCACGGCCAGGACCTCGCCATCGCCGCGCCATGACGCCTGGAAGGTGCCGTTGGTGTTGGAGGAGTTGACTCGCGCGGGGAACCGCGAGCCATCGAAGATGTCGCCCGTGCCGGTGCCATCTGCGTTCATGGTCACCAGCGACGAGTTCTTGGTCTGCTGCGACGTATACGCCACCTTGCCCTGTTGGGACATCTGCGGGAACACGTCGCTGAAGCGGTACTCCCACTCATCGTCCCAGCTGTACAGCTCCTTGTTCACGGGCCGGACCGGGTCCCACTTGACGTGCTCGTAGACCATCTGGCTGCCATCGGGGGACCAGGCTGGGGAACGGTGGTAGCCTACGAGTGAGGCGTTGCGGTACTTCGGACTCACGGTGCCTTGGACTTGCGCTGCGGTATAGTTGATGGAACCCGGGTAAGTGGTGTTAGTGAGCAGACTCTTCACCAGGTAGCCGACGGTGTTGTCGTCGATGTACTGAGGGAACAGCTTGATGCCACCAGACTCGGCCGACGCGTGCTCGATGCGGTTTGTGCCCGTGGCGAAGTCGACCGAGACGATGGCCGTGCTGACCTCGTAGAAGGCGGGCTCGGCCACCCGTGCATAGTACGTCAGCTCGGTGGGGATCTCATAGAAGACGATACGGCTGCCATCGGGAGAGAACTTGGGCGAACCCAGACAGTAACCCGTGCGGTTGGCGACAAGATGGAAATCGCTACCATTTGGGTGGATGGCGTAGATGGACAGCTCCTGGACGTGCTCCCAGCCACTGATGTTGTTGTGGCCGCGCCAGGGGGTGTTGCGATCCGAGGTGAACACCACCCACTCGCCATCAGGGGACCAGGCTGGCCGGAAGTGACCGTCGGGGAGGGTATAGTCGCCCGCCACCTCGCTCGAGTTGGTCACGTTCCATAGGGATCCGGTGTCGAGGTTCTTGATCCAGATGTTGCTCTTGTAGTTGTTGAGCGTGCCCGCAAAGGCCACGAGACTGCCATTGGGTGAGATCACACCGGCATCCTCCACAGCTGGGGTGGTGGAGATGGGCTGCAAGTCGGTGCCATCGGGACGGACACGATACAGATCCGACTGCCCATCGCCGGCACGCTCACTGGTGAAGACAATCCACTCGCCATCCGGGGACCACTGCGCGTGGTAGTCGAATGTGCTTGCGTTCCCCAGCAGCAATCGAGCATTGGATCCGTCCGCATTGGAGACGTAGAGCTCGGAGATGGCCGGCGCAATGCGGTTCATCAGCATGACGCCCTTCTTCCCGGCCACCGGCGTCCCACGGGGAACGATGTTCGAGGGCGTGTCGTCCCCGCGCGTCATCGAGGCGTACGGGCATGACGCGGCTGCGGCAAGGCCGCCGAAGAGAGGTATGATCAGAGAGGAGAGACGCATCGTGATGCGATCCAGAGCTCGCCGCTGCTGTTCACGATGCAGAAGGATATTCACAGAATTTGGCACATGGGAACGGCCTACTTAAGCTTCACGATCCTGTGGAGCATGCCCCTCCGGAAGAATTGAAAAAACCTCCTGCTCGGCCAAGACCTCGGACTTCGCAATAGCCTTCCACATGGGGAAGGGAACGACACCGATATCCTGAAGAAGTGGGTTGCCCGCGATTGGTTTTCGGCAGGAAATGCCGATCACTTCACGCCCGGGAGGAGATGGGCAGGATCAGCACGGTGTGACATTACCTTCCACGCTTCAGCTTCGAGACATTAGTATGCTCTTCTCCACCGGCCTCCGATGTGGTTGGATCCCGCCTCTGCTGCCAAGACCGGTGGATATGAAATCCGAACCAACACCGGAGATATCGAGACGGGACTCCTACGATGGGGCTATATCTTTTACCCCCGCGGGGTGTCACTGCGCTCCCAGCCTCCTACTGCTCTGTGCTTTCACTGCTCTGTGTTGTAATGGGCGTCCCGTGGGATACGATTCGAACGGACAACGGTGGGTTGAACGTCTTGAGCCCACTTCATGGTAGCCCTGGAGCTGTCGGGTTGCTCGGCATCGGGCCTCCACGACGATGCTGCTCAGGTTCGACAGGAACAACCTGGCTGGGGATGTCGGAGGATGATGACCGGGCCCAAGATGACAGGACTAGACTGCGTCTGGTCTAAACACCGCAGGATGTGCCCGTTGGGGTCTGATATCCCCGAGGACGGACTCGGATGATGAGGATGCTGGCTCACTTGGCTGGCATCTTGGCATTCGGGATCCCTCGGCTAGTCTCCGGCTTCGCCCCTCATGGAGGAGATCAGTGCGGTTCATCCGTTTCTGGTCTGCTTGTTCGAGATAAACTTTGGCTTCAGAACCGCTGAAGGCACCCGAGAACTTTAAAGAAGCCATATATACTACCCACGCCCCCAGATAAACATGAGATTCTTCAGTCAGGCGGGATGGTGTCGAAAGGGACGGTACACGGATGCAGGGACGAGCAGGGTCCTCCTTAGCCCTCACTAGTCGTCACTACTTAGTCACTACTACTAGGAACGGGGCCGAGAGAACGTCTCCGCATTGGCCGGGTTCCCCTCGGGGAAAATTCCCTGCAATCTGAATCCCACACACGGATTACCATGGCTTCTGGCTCCGGGCTGCAGGCTGACAGTGCTCCCCTGTTCCCGGCTGTCGGCGGCCAACCCAACTCCGGTCGCGTTTGGGGTGAATTGATGCCAAAGAGATCAGACCGACATTGGCCATTGCAGCCTACCGACTGCTACAACAAAGCCATGTCTGATTGCGCTTGACCGTGGAGCGAAAGTGAAAATCTCCCCTGTCAATCCCTGAGTTAGGGCAGGCGGCCTTCTCCCCGAAGTAATCCCGCAACAACCACAACCACAACCACCGCCACCAGAAGCCCACCGAATGAGAAGGCGGGCAAATCCAAGCCGGAACAGGAGTGCTCGGCCGCGGTGGAATCCTGAAGCCGGGCTTCAAATTGAATACGAGCTGATCGCTCCCAAAGGAGCTGGTAAGGTGGGGGTCGCTTCGTAGCGTCTGCGCTGCCAAGCCCGGATGATTGATTAGATGCGAGAGTCTGATCGCTCAGCTTCTACGCTTGATTACAAGGATGCCGGATTCTTCAGGGAATCATAAAATATAAGAAAAGCCCAGTTATCTCCTCCCCGACAGGTCTGGCATCGGGGTTCTGTCAGTCCGTCCCTTCGACGTGAACTACCCGGCCTTGGATGGGGAAGTCGGCCCTAGAGTGTGGTTTTCATAGCCGGTGGGAAGCTGGAAGCTCACCCCGAGATGAGCTCAGCGACATTCTCACCAAGCTAGTCATGATATGGACTGGGCCGGCTTCAGGCGTTGGTGGTAGAAAACTGCTGTGCTATTGCCAAACAGGCTGCATTCCCGAGTGGGAACCGGTTGGCCTGGCCGGGCCTCGACTCAGGAACCAGACTAGGGTATGTTTGCTCTTTTGTTTTCGAGAGTACAGTTGCAGAGCCGAAGAAGTTGGTCAGTTCTATCGATAGGTCCGGAGTATCCCCAACCGACTGCAATGCGAACCTGTGCCAGCAGACAAGATGCCTGTCATGGTAGCGGCCATGTCGGCGTTGCATATGCGCACAAACACACGATCGGTCCTGGCCTGCATTGCATGCTCGGTCTGCCCTTTTCTGCTGATCGCGGTGTAATTCAAAACCAACTCCTGGTCGACCACCGGATAAGTTGGGGGATTTCCACTCGTGAGGCGTCCAGGCCGACTGACCAGCATCATGGCAAGGAAGGAAAGGAGTCCGCGAAATGGAGCAAAGCCAGAAGGAGCAGCCATAGCCATGCCCCCGCCAGACCCGCCGATTGGCTGTAGAAATCATTACGGTGCTGCTCACCGAGGTGCTTTTGGTCTCCATATGCTCTTTGGTCCATGCTAGACCCCCGCTGCACAAATGAAGGAGATGACACCCAAACCGTGAGAATACTGGCAACCAGGAGCTATCGGACGCTGGGTTTAAAATGCAGGTGGTTGAGAACAATTACCTCGGTCTTCTATATGATTGCATCGTAGAACAGAGTGAAGTACCGGTCAAAGTGTCCGGGTTTTCGGCAGAGACGATGTGCGAACGGCTGATCATTGGTCACAAACTGTAGCCTCTCATCGAACAAGAGTCTCTGCACGTCCTCGGCTTTGCAGAGAGGTGGTCACGGGGGTGGATCCGACAACTGAGATGTGGCCAGATTGAGATGAAGTCAGCCTGAGTCAGATCCCGTGCGTTGCTGCCGAAGAGATAAGCCATCCGGGTGGACTCGGAGCGGGTTGAATGCCTGGTTCAGATAACGGGGGGACCTAGATCAAGATTGAAAGCTGAAGATAAAGTCCGCCTTCACCCAATTGCAGAGACCTAGATAGATATCATCCATACGGAACCGTGGTTTGAAGGGATGATGGCATCTGGGTGCTACTGCACCATCCTGGTCTCTGGTCCATCCGATGTGCTGTGAACCCCAACAAATTCAGCAAACCATGGAGCTTGGATGCGCCTGGATGCGCCTCATCAGGGCCCTTTCGAGTAGGGTGCAGCAAGTGTATTGGATGGGGTTGCAGATAGCCCTCGGACAAATCATCGTAGCCGAATGGCTCTTCAGACGCACCCCGGATTTCCATCTGGTTTTCTTTCCCCACGGTCCTCCGGGCTTATTAACATGGGTAATGCGTGGGGTAACCAGTTAGCCTAGACATATTCCACCAAAGAAACGAGTGCGTGGGCTGTATCAGCCGGCACCATGACGCAGGGCCCATGCATCGGGCCCCGGATGTAACCCTCCATCCCCCAACCTGGCCGGTCTGGGAAAGGCGGCCTTGAGATGGACAGTGCCACCAGCGTCATTTATTCTTGTCAATTGCTTATCTCAGTCATGGCGCGATAGCCTCATCCAGGCTTCGATGTACCCCCATGCAAAAGACCACCCAATGATCCCATCCTACCCTGCGTTTTCGATGGGTTTCCGCCTGTATATAAAGACTGATACCCCCGTTCTGGACTCGAATCATTGAAGGCTGCTGAACTCATGTACTAAGCGCGACATGGCTTCATTGGCTGCAAAAAAGCCCTACTTTGGGCTAGTCGGAGGATGGCTCACCTTTTGGATCACAGTAAGCGCTGTCCGATATGGCGAGGCTGTCGCAGCTTGCTAACCCCTCAGGTTGCTTGCGCCACGGACATGACCTTGTTTGGGTATGACCAGGGGCTTTTCAGTAGGTCCCTTGCCTGATACCATCGGGATGCCGAGGTCTAACCCAGGCAGGTGGCATCGTGGTGACGCAGAACTTCCTCGAGGTGCATGATCTTGTGGGACCAGACAGGACCACGACCCTGTCGACCGTCACGGCCATCTACGACGTGGGGTGTTTCCTCGGGGCCATTGGAGCCTTTGCCATCGCCGAGCGACTGGGCCGGAAGAAGTCCATCTTGATCGGAACGGCCATCATGGCTGTTGGCACCATCCTGCAGGCCAGCTCCTACAGTCTCGCGCAGATGTTTGTTGGGCGAGTCATTCTGGGGTGAGCTCGACCTGCCTGCGAGGTTGCGTGTGCTAACCAGGGCCAGTATTGGAAACGGAATCAACACCTCCACGGCACCGATCTGGCAGACCGAAACCGCGCAGGTGTCATGGCGAGGACGCCTGGTGATTCTGGAGATGGCCTTGAATGTCGGAGGCTTCATGATCGTCAATTGGATCAACTACGGGCTGTCGTTCCACGGTGGCGCGCTGGCCTGGCGACTGCCGATTGCCCTGCAGTTCTTCTTCATCGTCGTTCTCTTTGCCACTGTCCCCTGGCTGCCCGAGTCCCCACGGTACGTACGAGTCCTGAGTGTCCATGGCATTGGTGAGCTGATCGATCCAGGTGGCTGCTATGCCACGGCCGCACCAAGGAGGCCTTGGAGGTTCTCTGCTGCATTGAGAACAAGCCCTTGGATGATCCATACATCGCGACCCAGCATAACGAGATCGTGTACAGTATCCAGTACGAGCAAGACAACGCCGTGCCCTGGCGGGATCTGTTGACCGGCCGATCCACCAGCGACATCAAAACCCTGCGACGGATGATTCTCGGGGCGGGCACGCAGGCTCTGCAACAGTTCCAAGGTATGTGCAGCCTCATTTCTCGTCCATCTCGTCGGCGGTGGACTAATTGGGGCACAGGGATCAATATCATGTCGTACTATCTTCCGCTGGTGCTTATCAACTCGGTCGGGCTGTCCAACAACATGTCCCGATTGCTGAGTGCCTGCAATGCGACGGTGTATTTTGTGTTTGCCAGCATGGCCGTGACGCTGATCGAGCGGTTTGGTCGACGAGGGCTGATGCTGCTGTCCACCTTCGGCCAGTTTGTGTGCTTCTTGATCATCACCATCCTCCTGCGGTTTGCCGAGATGGATCGCCAATATGCGACCGCCTCGGTCGCCTTCTTCTTCCTGTACTATATCGCGTTTGGCATTGGGATGCTGGGGGTGCCCTGGCTATATCCGACCGAGATCAATTCGCTGCCCATGCGAACCAAGGGTGCGGCCGTGGCGACCGCGACGAACTGGTAGGTGTTTATCCATGAGCTGTCGGTCTTGCAGCTGCTAAGTATGAGACAGGATCACCAACTTTGCAATTGTCGAAATCACGCCGATCGGCATCCAGAACATTGGCTGGCGGTTCTGGATCGTGTGGACGGTCACCAATGCGGCCTTCTTACCCATCCTCTATTTCTTCTACCCCGAAACCGGTGAGTTTTTTTAACAGCCTGCAGTCTTTCAGTAAACCATCTGGACTAATCCGACCAGCGAACCGGACCCTGGAGGACCTGGACGAGTACTATCGCTCGAACCCGGCCCTGGTGGTCACCCGGGACCCCGATGCCATTTGCACCCAGCGACCATTGCGGTATGTCCAGCGCGAGGAGGAGGAATTGCAGCGGCAGAGGAAGGTTCCCCTTGGGGAGGACTCATCGAAGGAGGCGTCAGTGAGCCATGTCGAGTAGGAGTAGGGCTGCCGGGAAGGGGAAAGGCGATTCCGAACGAGCTGGGTCAGAATAGATAGTCATCGAAAGGAGGATTCCTAGATGCAAATGAAACGCGTCTATTATTATGATTGATTCAGGCAGCCACGGCCAGTGGAAGTGGAGCCTTAGCTGAAAGGGCCTCGCCTCGAGTCAGCCTGCCCTTTCTTTCGCATTCACCACGACTAGTGATCTGGTAGCGAGCCGCGCTAACATCGATCCACGGCGCCGTTCCATGGCGCGTGGCCGAAAGTTTCTTCCTTCGTCGGTCTTCCCTTCCATTCGATTTTCTATGATCATCATGTTTGTTGTTCCGTTGCTGAAGCAAGCCCGGCCTGCAATTGCCATGCAGGCAGACTGCGGGTGGCATCAACCCGGCAACCCTAAGACTGCGTAGCAAAGGGAAAGAACCCAGAATCCCCGTCGAGAGGACGCTCGTGCTTGGGCCCACCTCCAGTCAGGAACACGAAGGACGGGCCGATCTCTGCGAACACCATCTCGAACGCAGCACTAGCTAGATAGCACTCCAGCTAAAACCCTCACTAGGATCCATTGGGCCAGCCATTGCGAACCAGCACGACGCATTGTCCTCCCGTCTAACACGAGATGGAAAAAGAATGTGAAACGTGCCCGAGTCAGGATCTGACTCGCTTAGATAGATGGCGCGTGGGACCCCGCTTGGAGTTGAAGGGCTGCCCCTGGATTTATTCTCCGGCGTGTCTCCACCCACCTCATGAACGGCTGAGCCAGAGCCTGGTCCTCGGCAGAGAATGGTGTCTCTGATCGGATTCCCCTCTGGTTCGCTTATTAGTCAAATGGTTCCCCGTCTTGACGTCTTATTCTTCGATGACGATGACCCGCGTGCCTGAAACTTTGCCCGTCCGCCGGTTCACGGGGTAGCCCTTCGGGTTCAATAATGACCCCAAACACCACCTGAAAGGATTTTGCTCGTCCGATCTTCCTGATCCCAGCTGTAGAATGAGTGCCTCGATGCCCCTGGAGGGCCACAGTCTGGCCATCTTCGTGGTCTCGGTGGTGATGATGTGTATAGCCACCCTTGCGGTGGCCCTGCGCATCTTCGTCCGGGTCTATCTGGTGCGGGCGTTTGGCTGGGATGATGCCCTGATGATTCTCGCCCTGGTACAGTCTTTCCATCTGTTCATGTCGATCAAGAACCCGACTCTGACCCAGCCAGGCTCTCTTCATCTTCTTGGACATCTGCTGCATCATTGGATCCGAAAACGGTATTGGACATAAAAACGACGACTTTACGGATTTGCAGACATATGAGCGAGCCCTTCTAGTACGAGCAACTCCAATGCCTGCCTACAAGACACCTGAGCTAACCAAAGGGAACATGTAGTGGTGGTGGCTCGGCCAGATGCTATATCTCTGGTCCTCCGGCGTGGCCAAGATCTCCATCGCCCTCGCCCTGCTGCGACTCACCGTGCGCAGACTGCATCGCATCATCCTCTGGGCCATCATCGGGGTCGTGATTGCCATTGGCCTGATGTTCTGGTTTATCCTCCTGCTGGATTGCCGTCCGATCTCTTACTTTTGGCTGCGGGTCGACCCAACCCATACCGGCACCTGCCAACCCATCCGGATTCTTCTGGCCATTGCCTATCTCTACAGTGGTATTACCATCTTCTGTGACCTCACGCTGGGCATCCTGCCCATGTTTTTGATATGGCGTCTGCAAATGAACAACCGGACCAAGATTGCCCTGGGAGGGGTTCTTAGCCTAGGAGCTGTGTACGTGTCCATGACCCTCCGTTAATAGCCCGCTTGCAAGTTCTAACCCTGTGGCAGGGCAAGTGTCGCCGTCATCATCCGGCTCCCATTTCTCCATTACTACGAAGACATCAATTTCCTCTGTAAGTCCCCAGCACACCACTCAATCAAGCAACGCATATCTAACTCAGAGCAGACTCCACCTACCAAATCGCAATCTGGTCCATCATGGAGACCGGACTCGGCATTACCGCCGGCAGTCTAGTCACGCTGCGGGCCTTATTCCGCTGGTTTCTAGATAGCAATCCCTACCACAGACGCGGCGGAAAACCCAGTGGCAGACAGTATCCCCTATCCAGCTTGACAGGCGATGCCTCGAAGAAAAGCTCCCGCGATCCCAGCTACTGGCGTCCGGACCTGGTCCCAGACAAACTGAACAACCTAACCGTGACAACAGTCTCATCACCCATGGCTCGGAGTCCCCTCAGCGAGGCCAACAGCAGCCAGGAGGTTTTGAACCCGGCCGACGAGGCCTGGAATGCGCGGAACCAGGTTAGCATCCACCGGACCTTTCAGGTGTCGGAGGGGGAGTAGTATCACTGTCTACCTACTTGATATCTTTTCTCTGTGTCCCTAGCGTTGATTAATTACCTAAAACCATAATATATCTTCTTTATCGAACTCTTTGCTCAACCGTCATGCCTATTGCGTCTAGTCTGGCGCAAGGGACTAATGGCGAACCTCACGCGGTGATCCGACACTCTATTTGGGGTGCAGATCTGCCAGATCAGTTGAGCTGGGACTCGGGAGAGTGCTATTAATATATTTTCATCTAAAGCGGGGGTAATTGAGAATATACATAGTAACCTGGTTGGTCACAGGTCTCCACTATAAAGTGGTCCTGGAGCCGCTTCTCTGCGCTACACAGTCCGAAATATACAGGGAGATAATAGATATGTTCCCGTGATTTACTGATTTAGACTTATTCTGGAAGAACATCATCGGTGGGGCAGAGGAGCATATCCCATGAGAGAGATAGCAGACGATCTCTCCCCGTTTGGAAGAATTGATTCGTGGGTAATTAACATGACAAGCGACTCGACACAGCGCTCTCGGGCATCAGATTACGTGAGAGATAAACGGAACGACAAAGACAACTCAGATCCCCAGACTGGCACAACTAAACGCCGGCGACACCGATCCCGAATAATCGGCGATGATCGCCTCGACGGCCGCATACAAGCCCGGCCCCAGCAGGAACAACCCACAGGCCATGACGAAGATGTGGAACAGGGTCATAAAGCTCCGCGAGGGACCATCGAATAGGGTTCGCTTGTACAGTTGCCAGTATGCGACCGCGAAGAAGATGAACCCGAAGAAGGAGTCAAAGGCGGCTCCCAGCAAAGAGAGGAAATCACCCATGCTTGGGATGACCTCGGCGAAGATGAAGCCCACGACCCAAATAAAGGCCATGACTAGTCCCCACACCCCCCAGCCGATGATGGTGTTGCTGTGTGCGTGCTTGGAAGCACCCATGACGTGGGAGTAGATGAATTTGGCGGTGACGTTGGCGTAGATGGCGCCGATGAAGAGGGTGGGCACGATGACAAATCCGAAGGAGGCCTTTTTGTAGACGGCGGTGGCGAGACTTCCAAAGGCAGGGGCTGTGGAATACTGGCCGAGAAAGTGGAATCCGATGGCCGGAGGGACGATGAACAGGATGGTGGAGATGCCGACCAGCACGGCCAGCGACTTGGGGAAGTCCTCCGGGCGCTCCATCTCGGCGATGAAGCTGGGGAAGAGGATCTGGGGTACCCAGAGGAAGGTGATGTTGAGGACGGCATTCAGGCAGTTGACCCAGGTGGTGCCGGGCAGGGGGAAGGCGTAGGTGTGCACCGGTCCGTCGGTGGGATAGTCCCCATTGTAGCCCACCAGGGGCGCCTTTTCGATGCCGGCGAAGATGAGGAATAGGAGAATGGAGACGCCCATGCAGGCCGCTGCTAACGTTAGTACGCATGCTCATAGCGAGAGGAAACCGAGGATGCCATTCATCACGTACAAGAGAACATGGACATGAACGAGACGTGGTGCAGAGTCCGAGGAGCGGAAATGATGATGCCCATCACCATGCAGATGGCAGAGAACCCGACCGTACACAAGGAGTGATCCGACAGAGTGTCGAGGATCTTGGCCCCGGTCAGGATGTGGAATCCGATCAGCAGGATGTTGTTGGCCAGCAACATGAAGCCGGAGAAGATGTATGCGATCTGGTTCTTTCCGAAGGCATAGTAGCCAAAGTCGCCTGTTTCCGGGGGTGTCAGTCGGGAGATGGTCTCCGTCTTGTTCAGGGCCAGAGAGGATCTTACAAATGTCCTTGATCTGCGGGTGTTTCATAATGAATTTGTGCATGGTGGTGGAGGTCACCCAGAACAGGACGCCGGACAAGACCATGGTGATGATGCCAGGCACCCATCCCAACACGCTGGAGGAGGATAGGATGTCAGCCGATGCCATGGGGGCCCTCTCAAGAAGACGCGACGAAAGACCTACGAAAGCGACCATGTCTGAGCCATGATGGCCAGACAAACCTGCTCTCCGGCGAGCAGCCATGCGGCCTTTTGCCAGGACATGGTTCGGAGCTTGATCTCATGCTGGTGGTCTATGTCACGCATTAGCACCGGTTCCGAGACGACTTGATCGACTCTTCGAAACACATACCTTCGGTCACGAGCGCATTGAAGATGTCGGCGGCATTGGACTCGTCCGAGGACAGGTCGGCGACGTCGGCGGGGGTCTTGGGGGCCTTCTCGTCGGCATACATCGGGGCCGCCATGGTTCCTGGAGTGAATCTGGATAGTTGACACTCGATCGGAGGCAGAGATCGTCGGGCCCTGCAGCAGAGATTGCAGAGATTGCCGATATTTAAACGAGGGCGTGGGAAGGCAACGAGGATGGATGATTGGCACGATTGGCAAGTGGATGGCGTGATAAGGGCAAAAATGACGCTGGGCCCTCTAGCGTGGAAGGCTCTGCGGGCTTATCAGTTCCGCGTGGGTCGCCAGCAAATCATCAAGCTGGCTCGGGGTTAAAGTTGTCAGGATCGTTCAGCTTGATGGTCCCACTGCATCTCTCACCGGGAAATGGCCCCAGCAAATATCAGATGGCGCAACTGCGTCCCTGATGGTGGCATCCAGGGGGAAATTGCCGTGAATGGAAGGATGGTGGAAACCACAGGGAATGGATTTCCGGTGACTGCCAGTGAGTCAGTGGATTCCTGCTTCACTTTTCTCACTTTTCACTTTTCACTCACTCAGGGCTTCCTTCCGCCAAGTGTTTGTTTGTTCCTGGGCCATGTGACCGCGCCCGTGCCCTTCCTTCCAACTCACTCACTGATTACATCCCCAACCAACCACCTCCATCTTACTCCGGCCAAGACTAGCCATGGTGTTATCTTGGGTTACACTCAAGACGCTCAACCCAGATCCGGGGTAGCCGGGAGTGCAGTGACAGACAAGGACATGTCCCACTGTGGCGGTCCACACAAAGACACGGTCGCAAGCACCAGCAAAGCTGACAGGCACTATCCCTGGGAAAGTACAGATGTAGGCATTAACTGTGTCAAACTGCCTGTACTGCATTCGAGTGTGGGGATGACATTACACCAGGGAATGCACCTCATTTCCCAGATCAACCAGGATTGGGTGCAGCACAACAATGAAAAATAACTTTTCTGCTTCCGGCTAGGTAGCAGAATAACCTAAGAGACGCTTTAGGAGAGACACGGTGTGGATAGGGCACGGCACCCCCCCTCCTCCACGATCTCGCCTTATCTCCAGCACGTGGAAGCTTCTTGTCAAGCTCTAAAGTCTAAACATCCAGTCAACCCCGAGCGGGGATCGGAGCTGGCAGGATCCCCACTGGACTAAAGCCGGTCGTCGGCTACTCAAGCCTGCCTCTCATCGAGGCCAATGCTGGAACGTGCCGGCAGCGCATCGGCTGTCTCGCCCCACCCACATGGCCAAATGACGGCTTTCCGCGGGGGAAAGCGGGGTGTTTATATGCCCAAGGTAAAATTGTTGATTGCGTTCTGAACATCCCCAGAGGTCTCCCAGTGAGATGCATGTTGCGCCGCTCCATTCTGCTGGCTTTCTGCTTGGTTTGCGGTCTGCATGCCCTGCCGGACTCCGGGAAGCGAGGGGTCGCGGATAAACGCCTTCAGTTTACTAGAAATGGCACTTTTCACTTGACGGTGTTCGAGGACTTGCACTATGGGGAGGGTACGGTGTCCACTGGCAGCTATGGACGTGAGAGATATTAACACTGATGGATAGCGGAGGATACCGACTGGGGACCGGAGCAGGATGTCGAGAGTCGGGCTGTCATGAATACCGTTCTCGACCACGAAAGCCCCCAAGTTGGTCATTCTGAATGGAGATCTCATCACTGGAGAAGACACCTTTCTGTCCAATGCCACCGATTACATTGATGAGATCGTTGCCCCTCTTGTGGAACGAAAACTGCTCTGGGCCTCCACCTACGGCAATCACGACAGCGACTACAACCTGTCGCGCAGCGCAATCCTGGAGCGAGAGCAGTCGTACATGAACAGTTTAACGACCAGCATGGTCGCAGGGAAATTGGCCGGCGTATCAAACTACTACCTGCCCGTGTACCCGTCCGATTCCTCCAACACCACCCCGGCGTTGATCATGTGGTTCTTTGATAGTCGTGGGGGGAATTATTACCAGAAGTTGAAAATGGGAACGAAGACCCTCAGCCTTGCTGGGTGGATGAATCGGTTCGTCTATCCATCCGTTTATACGTTCAACCGGATCTGAAATCCTTGATTGATCATTTATCAGGTAGTAACATGGTTCGTCGAAACCAATGCCAACCTCACCCAGCAGTACGGCCAAGTCATTCCCTCCATCGCCTTCTACCACATCCCCGTCAACGCGATGCTTGCCTTTCAAAATCAGGGTGTCAATGAGAATGAGGAGCCGGGCATCAACGCCGATGACCCCCTGGACCAGCAGGGATCCGCAAGCGGCCAGGGAGAGGTTTCCGGACCGTTTTCAGCTATTCGGGCCAGGACATTCGGTTCATGCAGGCGATGCTCAACACCCAGGGGCTTCTGGCAACGTTTAGTGGCCATGATCATGGTGATGACTGGTGAGAAATCCTAGGGACCCTATTTTGATTAAACCGCGTCTACCGGATAATAACCGAGTCAGGTGTTTCAAATGGGACTCGAAGCTCCCCGGTATGAATCTCACCGGCAACGGTCTGAACTTACGCTTTGGACGCCACAGTGGCTATGGCGGCTATGGTTCCTGGACCCGAGGGGCAAGACAAATCCTCCTGCATGAGAAAGATCTGGGGAGGCAGTTGTCCACCTGGGTCCGGCTGGAAGATGGGTCGGTCTCGGGCAGCGTCCGGCTCAACGCGACATACGGGGAGGATTCGTACCCAGCCGTGCCTACCACCTATACGTAGGGGATTGGAATGCATTGGGCCACTGTAAGGTTTATAAATATGAGATCTCCGACCATAAAATATGAGTGTTGTTGTCAAAGCAGTGGCCGATTTGCCGTCAAATTTGTAGACCGTAGCCAGCCATTGTATCCGCCAGCGTAGCATTTCTACACAGTTAGTCAAACTGCTCTCTATTACTATTCGGTGACAAAGATTCCGCAGATACAAATTTCGGTCGCCAATATGGGGGATTAAATTGTTCAGCCACAGCCCCGACGCAAGCACTCTTTGCTCGGGGGTGGACATTAGGTTCATACTCTATGCGACTGCACCCCTTTCGAGAAATCTGGCCATCAATCACGGTTAGACAATCTAACCTGGTGCATAGTATTTCCCACATATATATGAGAAACCCTGACGTTCAAGCCAATCGGCTAGAGAAAACATCCCAAACGGAAAGCATCACGGATGACATGCCATGCATCCACGCAGTCAGGAACGTACATCATTACATCAAATATGCAACAAAATCCAGGCCAAAAGTCGACTAGATTCTATATTAAATATCTGCGTCATAATCATATCTCATTTTTTCCCATCAGCACCCAAGACACCGTCATCCCCCCCCCAAAACACATCCATCTCCCCTTTTAATATTCCTTCTCCATCGTAAACCCATGCAGAGCCAGATACCCCTCCAACTCACGATCCTCCTTCTCCAGATCCAACTTGCCGCTTTCCGGCAAGAAGCAGTACACAATCATCCCCAGAACCGCCACCCCACCAGCCAGATAGAACGTCGAACTATCACCCGCCGCATCCTGCAAGGGAGTAAAGCACTGCGTACCGACCGCCGCTCCAGTCCGCCCAAAAGCCGTAGCCACACTGTATCCCATACCGCGCATGGCAGTCGGGAACGACTCGGTGGAGATTAGTCCGATGGTGGCGCCGGGTCCCAGGTGCCCAAAGGCCTGGAGCAGGCCGTACAGAACCACGAACGCGGCGATATGTTTAGAGAGCTTGGCGTAGGTGCCCCCGATGATGAAACCCAGCACGACGTATCCTGCGAAGCCGACCAGACCGGTGCCGCGCCGACCGATGGCATTGGTGAGCCAGGCGCCGATGATGACGCCCGGTACGGGCAGCACGGCCAGGATGACCTGCCAGACGGCGGTGGTTTGGATGTTGCCGTCCTTGACGAGCGAGGCGATGATGGAGCTGGACATGATGCTGTTGGGGAAGTTGATGAAATCGTAGAGGAAAAAGGCCAGGGAGGTGGTGAAGAGCCGCTTCCAGTAGCGTTTCACCAGCACCCAGTAGAAGCGGGCGGGTTTGCGTTGCCGCTTGAAGTTGGAGTTGTGGTATAGGGTTGAGTCGGTCATGAAGAATCGTAGGACCATGATGATGGCGGGGAGGATGGTGGCGATGGAGTAGATGGCGTGGAAGGTGACGGGGAGGTTGTTGTCCGTGGCCTTGAGGCAGATCAGATAGATGATCATTAGGATGGGTCCGGCGGTGGTGGCCATTAAGGTGGTGAAGGAGACGAAGACGGGGCCTCGATAGCGGCGTTTGAACTGAGGATCTTTGGTTAGGTTGAGGATACTGGATCTGATGGGGGGATACGCACATCGTCGGACTCTTCCAAGCCGGCCGCAGCACTGGGAGGGTATTCACCCCCGACGCCAAAGCCACAGATACCGCGGATGATGACAAAGTACCAGAGCATATTGTAGGACGGGTGCACCTGCAGTGCCAGGGCGGCCATGAGGGTGGAGATGGTGACCAGCCCCGAGGTGAAGAGCAGGCCGGCACGCCGCGATGCCATGTCGGAGACGTATCCCATTACAATCACGCCCAGGATGGCCCCGATAAGTAGCGAATTACTGATCCGGGTTTTCATTTCCGCGGGGTAGCCAGATGATCCAAGCAGTTTCTTGAAAATGACATTGGTGGGATTGGCCAATTGGTTCTGGAAACCATCGCTGAAGTTGGCAATGTACTGTGATGGGTGCGATTAGTGACATCCAACCATAAGGAATGGGACCGACTCACACAGCTCAGGATGGTCAGGTTACTCTGCCAGCGGGTCGGACGGTAGGCCCGCTGCGACCCAGACTCGACCTCGTTGTCGGCCACCACCGTCTTCTCCGCTTTCGGGACCATGCTTTCCACCATCGCGGGGGTTGTGGAGCAGGCTCACGACGACCGTGTTTCGAATGTAGATAGGATGGGGGTGTTGTTGTACTTGGTAGAAATCCTCCTCCATGGCCAGACCTGGGGCGGGGAGGAATTTAAGACGACAGAAAAAGCCCTAAGGCAACCCCGGCACCGGCCACTGATCAGATCGTCAGATAACACCACGCCCCGGTTCCGATAATGTCCGAGGTTCTGGTTGGCCAGTCTAGACAGGACCCTTCTCCGCGGGGGCAACAAAAGGAGATTTTATCAAATTATCACATTGGATAAATACTGCTACCCCATCGGGTTGCGTGCCAACGGCGGATCATGATTCGTGCACGGCGTCAAAATGCCATATCCATTAGCCAAGCTTCTGACATGTGTCCCTGACCATTATTCTCCTGTTATTATCCGGGAGTCATATTAATGCGGTGACCAGTCATCATTGGCCTCATTGGCGCTGGGGGAAAAAGTCGTGGTGAAAAATCTTGATCAAGGCCCTTCTGGCCGCCCCACTTGCCGTGACTCTGTACGTAAGCAGTGGAGGGGAAAAGAGGGGCAGCCCTGCTTGCAGGCCTCGTCGGTGAGAAATTCTTGCTCTGGTTGCTTCGGAGTTCGCTCCTTAGAGTGGAATGTGGGCGGATACGGCCGAGGCAATAGTCAACTCGGGAATGAGAGGGAGATAAGCGTCAGAACGCACGTCCGGGGTACTCCGTATACTTGTAGCTATCGAATGCTTCCCACAGGAGGATGTATAGAAGGGCTGTAGCCGGGTGCTCCAAGTAGTCAAGCCACAATCTGCCTGAAGATGCTTGGCTTGCTACCCCTGACAACCTTGAGACCCGCGTGAGACGAAATGAAAACAAGAAGAGAAAGAGGTGGAAATGGATAACTAGTTTAGGAGTAAAAAACCTGGGGTACTTGGGGGAAGCTCTCTGTCGAGTTGAGGGTCGCTAGGCGATAGTCAGTCCTTGTACTATCATAGTACGTGAACTACTCCTTGGTAAGGACAGTAATTTTCGTCCTAGCATGCTGTCTATATCAATCATATGGAACAGGAGAATAGTACATACTACCACAGGGTGTGGAGAACAGGGCTTCCCGTCCGCTCAGCCGTACTTGAGCCACCATTATCAACGCGGCCAGAAGTAAAACGAGCCCTGGGTGTGTTGCTGCTTTTAGGGATGAGAGACGCTAAGTCCAGGGTAAGTACAAGTGATATGGGTGATAGTGTGGTAAGAATATTATCCCGGGTGAGTGGGGGATGAGAAGTAGGCTAGTATTATGATTTTTATAAGCTAAAGATAAATAGCAAGGGCTTTTTTAACTTTTATCTAACTCTTCTGTATACTAGATATCTTTACTTTATATATATTTCCCACTCATATTCTTTATATAACCCAATGGCTCCTATCAAAGAAGACGGAAAGTATAAGAAGCTTAAATTGCTTTAGAAATTTACAGTATTCCGTGGATTCACAGAAAAGTATTAAGAGAACCTGATTAATAAATAAAATATTATTAATTACAAAAAAAGATCTCCTGCTACTAATAAGAGATATAAGCATGCTGTTTATAATTGAAAAATATAAGAGTCTATCTTATCTTGAGATTTAGAATAAAGAATATTAAATTTTATAATCAATAGATAGATGCTTTTAAGGAACCAGCCTGAGAATCAGTACTTTAAGGCCGATGATCTTCATCCTCCTATTCAAATCCTTAAGCTGTTCTTAGAGAGCTATATTATACCTTAAGAGAGTTCTTTACTAAGTCAGCATAATATTTTATAGAACCTTTTTTATCTTATAAGTGAATAGAAAAAAGCAAGGTTAACCAAGTTACCCAATGCTTTTAAGAACTATATATATAATATATGTTTACTATCTTCCCTAATTTATCTAGTTAAGATATTAATGGTTGTAGCACATTAAAAATGAACTTACCCCCAACTACGGGCTTATAACCAAGTATTGAGAGAAGTTTTCTATAATGTGACTAGATCTCAATATTCTTATCCAGTATTTTTATAAGGATGATCAGCATGATTATATATATAAACACTGTCACTTTTAACAGGTCTTTAACCTGTCACCATTTTTCTTCTCTAGAGCCAGAGTAGATACTATTATAGAATCTAGTGCTTACTAAATCTCTAATAAGGCTTTATATTATAAGGTAATTTACATGCCTATAATAGGAAGCTTATTATATACTGATACTATGTTTAAAGTACCTTATTCTAAATCTAAGATGGAATAAATAGAAGATTGAGTACTGGGCCACAATTAGCCCAGATTTCTTAAATAATTATATATGATATTTTCTCGGATTTTTAATCACAGGATTTTGCTGATTAGAATTAGCCCTAAAAATTAGGTTAGCAAGTAAAAGAGTCTTGGAAAAAAGTTTTATCTTCTAACTTATGATCTGTAGTATTACTGATAAAGTCTTTAAAAGAATTAAACCTTTAAATAAGCTGCTGGCGAAAACTCTACTAAAAGAACAAGAATAATAGAAATTTAAATAGACTGAAGATATTAAAAGCTTATCAGTACATCATATAATAACTGTTTTTAGCCTACATTTATCTTATGCTTTAAAATTCTTATTACTATAATATCATTATAATTTACTAGCAGAAAGAGCCTATCTCCGTGACACTCTCAGGATCAATGGAATTAGAGATACTGTTATAACTACTATTAATTATAAGTAATTTCATTATTTATGCTTTTGATTATAAATATATATTAAGTATTATATAGCAAGGATACCTGAAGCCGCACACACACAAGCTTTAGATTATCAGAATCCCAGCACTTTCTTCAAATATTAATTAAGTATTAAACAGCTGGACATAAATGTCTGTTTCTAGAATAAAGAGGTTAATCATGAATCCCTGGCAGTAGAAAACAGTATAACTCATTATCATGATATTAATTCACTATATAAGCTGAATACTGCTGCCATAGCTGAAGTTGAAAATAATCCTGAGATGATTAAGATATACCAAAAAATTGAAGGACTTAACTAGAAGATTGCTCAGCAATCTCATAAGCATGAGTATCTAGCCACTCAGTAAGTTATTCAATATAATAAAGTAGTAAAAAAGCACTATTCCAGGAAATAAAAGTTTATTAAAGAATGGTGGAAGACCTCTTATGATAAATATATTATAGATAACAAATTCAATGAGCAGGATTTAATTAATCTTTTTGAGATATATTATAAATACATGCCAGAGAGAGATTGGCTACGACAGATCCTTTTTACAGAGATATTTATCTATAATAATCTGGAAAGACAATATCTAAAAGATATACTAAGCTTAATCATCGCCCACCAGGTCGGCTCTGGTATAACCCCTCTCACATAATCCAGAGCAATAACATTTCTAATGGCTTATAGTCCTATATCTCCAACAGCAGTTGGACTGTTAATTCCAAGAACCAAGTGATGGAAAATGGACTGTTTATTCTAGCAAGGTGTTACAGACCCCTGCTAGCCAGGTTACTAGCGGAGCGGACTCGTTAGGCAGAAAAGCGATGACAAGGCAGGACTCGGACAACCAGCAACTCTTATCGCGCAGAATCCCGGTCTGAGTAACGTCCGGAGTAGCGTTGTGTCACGTGACTATCTACCATCAGATCTACCATCGAGAGTATATGATATGGTATACGGGGATCCAGGAACATGATTAGATCGATCCTCGATCTACCCTGAATGGTATATGATATGGTATACAGAGGATAGGATATAAGGACACTCTTTCATGTACTTAGCTAGTTCTGTTCTTCATGCTCAATCAAATTATCTTTAAGTAATCATATGTTTTGATAAAGCTTAGCAACAACACTCATCTGTACTTACTTACGGATAGCTGCACGGCACTATCTGGCCTTACTTCTCTTCTCTTGTTCAGGACCAGTCACCTTTAGATAGTCATCAACCTGACTTACCTTGATTCAGTTCAAAGGTACGTATTGGAACGGGAGCTAAGCTAACAGGAACAGGGAGAAGCGATCCTAGGGTTTGACACAAGGATTGACTTTTAGGAGCTATATGGATCGTAGCTGCTTCTATGTTGTTGGAATTCACAAGTACTCGGCGTTATATTGTTTGTCTATTCAAGAAAAGAGAATTCTTGAGTCTCTTTGACATCTGTCTTCATACTATTATACTTACAAGCTCTTCTATATGGCCTTCATTCACAAACATGAGGCGTGAGAACTAGTACAGAACAGCAATGAGAGTATTCGAATATCTTAATTAACCTTATTTACAACTAAAGAAGAAAACATGTCACCACCGCCAGCCCGGTACGGCACCATAACCAGTTTATGCCACCTAGCTGCTTGTTAACCTGACTAAAATACAGAGAGATATAAAGTAATCTATTAAAAGATAGTGGATAAAAGTTGACGCTGAAGAGGAGGCCTGAAGAAACAGATACCTATACTTAATAGCTCTTAGCTATAGCTGAAACAGAATATTAAGAATAATACTCATAAAAGTACCAACTCCTAACATTACTGTTAAATAAAGCCAGGAGAATTACTGATTCTTCTTTATAGGAATGCTATGTTAATAACATTAAATAGCAGGACTATAAATAGAGATTTACAATAATGACTGGATTGTCTTCAGCTTTTTGAAAGTGTTGAACAGCCAGTCCACCCCTAGTAAGATAAACCTGGACCAGTATAAAGAATTAACCATGATTAAGCCATATTTAGCCATGTACAATACTACTCTGAAGGGACTTAACTTATAAAATAAGAATGATTAGGACTATTAGTATGAATAACCAAGCCAAGTAGGGCTATACTTGCCAGTTAAATAACATTAGTCTGAATCCATGTCTCAACCTCAGCCAAGTAATTGGTAGTAACATCATCTACCGTGCTTTCTGTATTATTATAAACATATATATTATAGAAATCAACAAGATCATAAAATAGACTATACACGGTATCATTATCAAGATTATAATTAGTAATGTCCATATCCAGATATAAGAAGTAACTCTTAAAGAGTTTATAAAGATTATTAAGAATAGAAGGATCCAGAATGTAGAAAAGATAATAGTAATAGCAGGACAGATATTACGCGCAAAGACAGCACTAGTAGTAACAAGAAAGATTGAATTAATCCAGTGTGTTTAAATAGGGTATATAATAGGATCAGCAGGAACATCCAGCAGGAAAATAATTATAATCAGGGTAAGGGAAAGCGGAAGGCAAGATCAGGAGAGCAGCCGTAATAATAAGGATAGCTAAGGATGAGCAGCAAGAGAAGGAAGCTAAAGAAGAAAGAAGTTATAAGCTAGAGAGAAATCTAGATGATATGGCTAGTAGTAAGTAAGACTTATTAAACATATCTAATTAACCCTGTTACTAGGTATTAACATAGTATAATCTTACATAACAATTAAATAGTAATAAACAAGATTGAAAAATACTGTTTTACAGGCTATATAAGTTATATAAGATAGTAAATATAAAGTTTTAAACCTAGGAAGCAGATACTAAGATATACTTCTGAAGCTAGTCCTTTATAGAAATAATATCTTAACAAGAACAGGAGAGCCTGACTAGCAGCTATTACTAGATTCTGCTTAGTATAATTACCTCTTCTACTAGATCAAGCAGCGAATAACATGAGAAACAGCAAGCCGGTTTTAATATAAACTTACTAGATATTATATTATCTTGAAATCTTGTTGTAAGGGTTCCGAAACCTCTTACTAATACTAGAGATATTATTTGCTTGTTCACGGGCAGGTGTTGTCTTAGTATACAGAATATTTAAATTTTTATATGAATAATAAACCTTGCATCAGGCCTTGAAGAGAAGTATTGTGATCAACCCAGTCAGCACCACGAAGGCACTTTTGAGGACTTTCCGCTCTAGGAAGCAAGCTCTGAAGATCGGTCTAGACTGCTACTCTCCTGAGCCTAGGCAGACTCTATGGCCCTCTGCTGCGCCAGGGTTCTGAGGATCTCTGATATTATAACTGGCCAACGCGACCACCATGCTTCTGAAGTTATCATTATCTTTAGCACAGATCTTACCAAGGCTGATATATACTGGAAACTAATTCAACAGCCTTATTATACTGCTGCTAAGATGGCTAAACATGTTATACATAAGTTTATCCAAGCTAAAGCTGCTCTGTTCCCGGAGAACGGCTTCTCAGGCAGCAGTCCCCGCCCGTGTCCCGAGAAAGAATAGGTCGCTCTAAAACATAAAGAAATGGTTTATTATACTCCAGATTCATGAAATCTATCAAAAAAAATAAAGACTATTGTTAAATACTAAGTAATAATGAGCATGTTGTTACGGACCCCTGCTAGCTGAACGAACTAGTGAGGCGGACTCGTCAGGCAGAAGGCCACGTCCGGAACAGCAAGGACTCTTATCGAGTAAAATCCCGATCTGAGCGACCGATAACCGGAACAGTACCACAGCACGTGACCACGCGGACATGTCGCCGACATACTATAACATATCAGCGCTATAACAGAACATGGCAGCAACATAACATAACATATCAGCACTATGACAGAACATGGCAGGGATATAACATAATATATTAGCAATATAATATATCATGGCGACGCTATAACAAAGGATAGAATATAAGAATACTCTTTCATATACTTAGCTAGTTCTGTTCTTCATGCTCAATCAAATTATCTTTAAATAATCATATATTTTGATAAAGCTTAGTAACAATACTTATCTGTACTTACTTACGGATAGCTACACAGCACTATCTAGCCTTACTTTTCTTCTCTTGTTCAGGACCAGTTCTCTTTAGATAGTTATCAGCCTGACTTACCTTGATTCAGTTTGAAGGTACGTATTGAAATGGAAGCTAAGCTAACAGGAAGAGGGAGAAGCAATCCTAGGATTTGATATATTGAGCATCAGTCAGTATCAGTGTTATCCAGTAATAATTATTTATTATATTAACTACTTTGAACTTATTGCGCGCCCTACAGCAGCAGGGCTTAATAATACAAGAACTAATAAGTATGATTAATTAGTTATAAGAAAGTATCACTGTCTTAAAACAATAAAACCAGTTACTCGAAGATTGCTTAACAGTTAAATCTGTTAAGATCTGATCACTAAAGCCATTTAATAATAATCAAGCGAAGCTCAGGGCTTTCTTGACCCAGTTGGACTTATACTTTAGCATAAACAGAGAAAAGCTTAGAAATAAGATTAATAAGATTCTTTTCATGTCTACTTATCTAACTGAAGCAATATTTAATTAGTTTAAACTATATATCCGCGAGTATTAAGAGAAGTCAGTAAATAATTAGAATAACAACATGAAATGAATCTTCACTAGTTATACTAGATTTAAATAATATCTTAAACAGACATTTAGAGATATTAATACAGTATAAAATGTTAAGTAAAAGTTATAATAACTTAAGTAGACTAGATCAGTATCTAAGTATACTTCAGAGTTTTTACAAGTCACTAGTTACTTAGATTAGGATAACAACGCCTACATCGCACGATTCAAAGAAGGACTTAAAATAGAGATCTAAGAAAAACTCATCTAGTAAGAATGACTAAACACATTGTTAAAGATAATTAAAGCAGTAGTTAAGATTAATAATAAGTTATATAAATATAATATAAAATAATAAGAGAGTTAATAAACCAGCAGGTCTATATCTTAATAAAACAGCTAATCAGATTACCAAGCCAATAATAGAAGATTGATATAATCTAGAAGCTTGGGATACGAAGATCCCTATAAATCAAAACTAATGAAGCTGAATACAGCACAGTATCAGACTTAACAGAGTAAAGTATCTAAGAAGAAACTTGAACAGTATAAAAAAAACTGCTTATACTTTAGCTGCAGTAAAGCAGATTATTAATTAAAAAACTACAGTCAGAAACAGCCTCAGAAACAGTTAAGAGCTATAAACCAAGATCAAGATAAAAAAGTCTATAATATCACTGCTATTTAATATAAAATATAGATAGACTCTGTAATGTAGATATCGGATAATAAGAAACTATATATTATTTAACATGGTCAGCTGTTAAAAAAAAAATATACTGTAATTAGTTAAGGCAACAGGCTATTATAAATAAGTTAATAATATTATTAAATCAATAAAAAGATTAATAATTATCTATACCATTAGTTTGGACCACAGAAATCAATAATAACAGTTATAAGCTAGTTTCAAGAAATGATTATCCCAGTATAGTTTGAAACAAATTCAATCTGTTAAATAAAGAGTATAATACTCAGCTTAAAGATCTTAAGCCCAGTAAGAAAAGACTCAGCAAGATATCTGATATCCTAGAAAAATCTTTATCAGAAATTAGTAAATCCTG